CTACGAGCTACTATAAGTCGCGGATATACTTAGCGAATCCTTACCGGCTATCTTACTTATAGATTATAAGTTAGTCGAGCCTATATTCGGCGCTAATATACTCCGAGAATTTATATTTAATCTATTCTCGGAACTCGGCCTAAGTAGTAGTATATTATATACTTTATATTAGGTTAATATATTTAGACTAAGTATAGTAGACTTTCTATATATTATCTACTAGAGCTCTAAATATATATATAATCTTAGTTAAGTCCTAGAGGATCGAGTCGGAGAGTTAGCTTACTTCTATAAAGAAGTATTCGTAGTTATATAGATACTCTCTAGCTCTGTTATTCCTAATTATATCTATATAATCCTTAATTTTTAGGACTATTTTAACTAGTTATTTCTAGATAGCGGTATCTATACTAGATTCTTAGGGTATATCGGTACTATCTCGATCGGCCGGAGATAGATATATCTATAGTATCTATCCTAGGAGATATTAAGTAGTCGCGATTTAGTCGAAGATAGCTCGATAGATAATCTTCTTCTAAGAAGTAGGATTAAGGATACTTTAGTAAGAGCCTCGAAGGGATTCGGCTATATTAGCTAGTAAGATTATTAGAGTATTACCGGTCGATAGCGATACTAGTTATAGTATACTAGGCGTTAGCTAGTAAGGGGATTCCGGGGGCGGTATAAGGGATTTAGAGTATAGGGTATAAGCCCTATATAGGTTTTCCTATATATCGAATTCTATCGGGAGAGGATTATATACTTCGGTATTCTGTAAGTTAATAAGGATTATAATTCGTTTAAATAAGGAAGCTTTCGTTTCTAATCAGATATCTCTCTTCTAGTTTTACTTCCGGTTACTTAACTACTAGTAGATTAGGTCTCTTCTAGAAGGATACCCTATATACCGACTATAGTAGAGTAGAGTTCTTTTAGGATTTAAGTCCTCTCTTATACTATCGTATAATTTTCGAGATTTTTAGTATAGTAAGGAGAGGGTTACTTAATACTATAAGTAGTCGGTAATTTAAGCTAGATCTTTAGGGATCGTTTAGTCTCGAGAGCTTAGTAAGTATAGTTCTAAGTAAGCTCTCGCTCTCGAGTAATTAAATATAGAGGCTTAGCTAATATAAGGATTTACTACTAGATAAGATCTAGAGGATAGATAGGATATAGTTCTTCTAAGTATAGCTACGGACGTAACTATATATATATAGAGGACTAAGGGTCCTTATATAACCGAACGGAGCTATATAGTAAGGTTATAGCTTATCTAGCTCTAGTTATCGCGAAAAGGAAGGGTTAGGATACCTAAGGTAGCTATAGGCCTATGATCATAGGAGAATAAGTAAGTCTAAGTATAGTAATAGGGATTAAGAAAGAGATATACCTTTATATATTAAGTAGATAGATTAAGCTTACTATATCGCCTATATAATATTATTATCGTAATAATCCGATATAGCTCTAGGTCTTCTTCGGGATTAGGGATTTTAGTAGAGATAATCTTATTAATCTACTAAGGATTAGAGAAATTACGGTTATTATTAATCTATACTAGAATATAAGTATAGGAGAGGCCGCGCTTTTAATATTTAATTATAAATATAGTTATATAATACTCGCTAAAAATACCTCCTTTAATATCGCTTACTAATTCCTTAAGCTTTAATCTAAAGATATATACTATTAGGTTAGATCGATCGAAGGAGTCCTAGATTAGATATCTATATATATCCTAAAATATATTATCTATAATCTTATTCTAGTTTAGATTAGTAGTAAATATTATAAAGAGAGAAGGCTTCCTATACTATTATATAAGGATAAGCGAGTTACGAAAGGAGTTAATTCGGTCTCGCGGGCTTCTCTTAAAGAAGGATAGTAGTATTATAGGATATCCTAGCTCTAAGGGAGGTATCTAAAGTCTAGTATTAGTAGTATATATACGAATAATATTCGAATACTAGTTTATATATAACTTTTTCTAATTTTCCGGATGGCGGATCTAATTAAGGCGAGTCTTCTCGACGGTAGTAAATAGGTTAATTAAGAATTATTAAAAGAGACTCCTAGTACGGTATATAATATTAATTAAGTATCGGCGCGTATATAGGAAGAAACGTATCTATATCTACTATATAATAAAGTCGCGCTTTCGCGTAAGTCCTAGTTATATAAGATTTAATAGGCGAAGTTAATAATAGTAGCTGATTCTATCTTATAGCTAGAAGAGAATATACTAGAGTAGTATATAAAGAGGGTAAGAATAATAAATAAAGGAGAGATACTAAGTAATACTATTAGTTCCTTATATAGACTAAATAGACTAGTTAAGCCCGAGTAACTAGAGGATAGAGGATTATAGCCTTTCTTTTAGATATAGTTAGATATTATAGATAGAGGGATCTAAATCTTCGCCCTAGATCTTAGGGTAGAATCCTATAAGTTCACGGGCCTATTTAACAGAAAGATCGAACTAGCGGCCGCTATACTAATTAGGTATAATCCGTAGGGAAGGGGTAAGATATAATTTAGGAAGATTAAGATCTTAAAGTATAGACTTTATAGAGTAGAAAATCGAGATAAAAGGGTTAGTCTTAGTAATCTAGCGGCTAAGATATACTAAAGTATAGTAGCCGAATAACTAAAGATTCGGATTTAAATTTAATCGAATATTAATCGTAGTATTAGGGCTATTAAGTATATAAAGTATAGTATAGGATAGTCGAGAACTAAGTAATAGGCCTAAGCGATAGGCTATACTACCCCTAACCTAGTATAATCGAGCTACTATCTAGGCTAAGAGATAATTATCCCGAGTTATAGATATAGACGTAAAAGTAAGTACTATATTAAATTATCGAGCGTTCTTACGGAAAAACTTCGAATTATTATTATTAGTAGAGAAAAGACACCGAAGCTCTATATTATTAGGTTTAGGAATTAGCTCTACCGAAGATATTCCGCCTCTTCTATAGTATATCTCTAGTCCCTAGTTAGATATACCGGATATCTCTCCTTTAAAGAAAAGTATATAATATATACTATACTCGATATCTATTAGGCTAAGCGAGGAGTAATCCTAAGAAGATAGGTAGGAACGCAATATATATAGAATCTCGATATCCTATCTAGCTTAACGATCGTTAGTATAGTAGGGACTATACTTTCGGTAGCGTTAAAGATATACTAGAAGAGTAATACTATATACTATATAGTAGCGTAAGGGAGATAGCTATATAGTAGGGGATCTAGGCTAAGATATCGGCCGGAGAGGAGATAGTACGATTAGGGTATAGTAAGACCGAGGAGTAGGTACTTAGTATATCGAGGACAGAGTTAGGGCTAGTTAAGTTTATCTATTAATAGATAGAGTAGAAGATACTAGAGAGATAGATTATAGATAGAACTAAATTATATAATAGCGACGATATCGATAGTACTATCGTCGTAACTACTCGTAGGTAGGAAGATTATATAAATATATCTTATATATATAAACCGTAGGCGCTAGGGTTAGAAAAGGCGTAAAGTATATAGTAGTCCGATATAGAACGTACTTTGTATTTCGAGATTAACTATCTATTAAGAAGGTATAGATATAGTAGAATCGTATATCTCTAATCTATTTATTAGAGCCTCCTCGAATAGTAAGAGTATAGGAGGTATAGCGTATACTCTATAATCGACGGTTATTATTAGGAAGCCCTTTATAGGATACTAGTATAGCGTATCGGATATAAAAGAGAGAGAGAGAGAAAGATATATTATATCTTATAATAACGATAAGTAGGATAGATTAAAATCTTTAGAAAGAGTAGAAGAAGGAATATATAAACCTAATTATATATTATAGATAAAATAGACTAAAGTTAGGCGAGGAAGCACGAAAGTAGTAAAGCCCTAGGTAATATTAATAAAAATTCGAGTTAGGGCTTCAAAGGAAGATATATCTATTATACGAATCGAAACCTAGTTATCCAAAAACACTATATAGTAAACTATATAGGCTATAGTAGAAAACTATTAAAAAATAGCGCAGAAAGTATGATTAATAGCATAAACCTAAATACGGTTAGGCAGGTAAGGAAAAGGAAGAAAAGGAGATAACGAAGAGGAAAAAAAGGAGGATAACGAAGACGGAGAAAAGGAGGATAACGAAGAGGATAACGAAGAGGATAAAAAGAAGGAAAGTAAAGAAAAATCCATAGGATAGATAGGTAAAGAGTAAAGAAGGAAAGCTAAGAATACAAATATAAAATATATTAATTAAGCGATATCAACGAATTAAGTAATATCAACGAAGCGATATATTTTGGAGAGGTAAGGACCATACCAATGGTGTATCCAGCGCGGGTCTGCAATGTCAATTCATGAGAGTTCATGTTCAAATCGTCAATCGGCCGAGACTCCCCTCTCTCCATGCCTCTCTTTGAGGTCACAAGGGCGGGCAATATCATCATTCGACGCGCATCATCAAGATTGCCGAGTCGCATGCTCCCGACCACCACCGGAGACGGTGAAGAGGGGCTGCATGTGTCTTGGCATGGTGTAAAACAAACAAAGAGGGAATAGAAATAGCGGGAAAGCTCAAAAATCAAAACAGGCTGAAGCGAGAATCAAAAGCGCAAAATGCAGGAGCCAACAAGAAGAGGTGCGCCCATGGTGCCCAAAGCCCGGGGACCATCCCAGACAGGAAGCACACGATAGTGGAAGCGACACCCGAAGTCGCAAGCATGGAGCCTAGCTACCGCTGCCGCGACCTTTGACGCGCCGGGGGGGGGTTCATGCGAATCCAGGAAGACTACTGATGAGGAAATTCAGCCTCCTTTGGGCATCCGTACGAGCCAAGATGCGGCAGGGGGTCAAAGCAAGTGGGGCCGATCGGCCAATCTATGCAAATAGAAAGGCAGGCCACTTGTAGACTTCCAATCCTCCTTCAAACAAGAGCGAGAAAATTCGAGGACCAGGGAAGTCAAGCAGAGCTCGAAGCTGACTCACGATGGAAAAGCGTTCTCCGCGATTGAGACTGGGGTCATTGGCGTACCAGGAGCGTCCAGAAACCCCCTCACGACGGAGCTCACCTCCTGGCTGCTGTGACCAGTCAACAGCCATCCAAGGCGGCAGATCTTGTGGAAAAGCAGTGGAGGGAAGTATATGAACAAGGCCCAGAACAACAACAGCAGCGACACAACCACGAAGGAGTTGGCGACCACTTTTTCGTTGGGAGTCAGGACATATAGTCCAAAGGTGACCTCGTAGCGGTAGTACTCGAGGCGCACGCGATCAGAGAACCGTTGAACTGGATTGCGGTGGCCCGGCTTGCGGAACACCGCAGGTGCCGTAGCGGACGAGTATTTGCTGATAAGCTCATCGACTGCGGCCGGCGCATGCGACAGATGTGTGGCCGCGGTGTTGGGAGTATAGAAGGATTGCATCTCGGGCGGCATGGTGCACTGTCAGGAATCTTGCTCCAGGCAATCTGCACGCAGTCCCCGCTCCCTGAACGAAATTCGGTGTAGTTGAGAATGAAGATTCTGGGCGCTACGCTCGAACGAGATGTAGCGCCTGGAATGAATTTGCTATTGTCGTGAGACTGGTAGTAGACAGAGAGCCTGTCAAGATCGACAGCCGAGAAACGATTTGAAGAGAAGGAGAGAACGGCAGAGAGACGATTGTAAAGAAGTCTCACTCAAGGGAGCGCGAATTAATTCCGCCGATTACTCGATAATTGTCCGCTCAATTGCGAGTCCAATATTTAACCCTGCACTGGCTAGGGTTACCGGACCCAGACGGCAAGTGCACAGGCCTGGAAAGCTGATGATGATCGTCGCGACAGGGTTGCGCGAAGACCCGAACTATAGGTGGAGTGCACAGGACCACGCCGGAGGAGGTACAGTCGAACAGATGAGACGAGGGAAAAATGAACTTCACGCGAAAAAGAGACTAAGACGAGTAACGACAGTTATACCAGAGAGACGGACCGGTGGAGACGGACATACTCAGGAGGGTGCAAACAAGAAATTTGAAGGATGGGATATACTCGGAATTGTCGGCAAGGCTCAAAAGGACTATGATGATGATCACGATCGAGGTTTCCGTAGTAGTACTAGTCTCCCTGCCTATCCGACCATCTATCGACTCAAGAACGACCGTCCGCTGCCCAGACTGGCAAGAGTGGAACTGGTTCCCGTCGGTAGCGGTGCGGTTGACCCGACGAACTGAATCCTCAGCCCAGAGATCCCATTTTAACCTTTCTGAGGCTTCTCTAGCCCATCTCCCGCCTTTTGAGACGGCTCGCTGTGCCTTGGAAGACGCGAAAAAAAGAGAAATGTCGGCGCCGGAACTTAGGTGGATCTGCATCGCTCAAAGCCTGGGCTATAGTCCTTCGCCAACTAAATTCACCAAATCCAGAAACTCAAGCGAGGCCTTCGCTCACGTGGTAGCCATACAGGGTTGCGTGCATTAAAAACCACTCAATAATACGTCCCCGAGTCGCTGAGTTCAAAGTTGTAACTTACTTAGTAACTACCTGACAGGTCTGTTGTCTGTCACGCGCTTGAAATTTGTTCTTCTCGTGTTGTGATCAGTACGAGGTTGACCGCTTCATCGTCACTCGATTGCGACCACTACACATGCGCGTCATTCTCAAGTATCGTAGTATCGTTATGGGATAGGGAGCGAAATCCCGGTACGCAGGGCCGGAACTTTTCGATCGGTCCCATCGGGGTTCGTCTCGCGCATCTGAATAAAAAAGTGATGGTTAACCGCAGAATCGATCCTCCATTGAGTGATGCAGAGCTTGGCAAATGACGAAAGAATGATCCACATGCGCTACCCAAATCGACGAGGAAAGCTTAAAAAAAGAAAGAAAGCGACAATTTGCTCATTTTCGGCACGCTGGGCCCGACAGGGCGGATCCACAGGCCAGCCGCGCAGATGATTCAGGCAGTAAGGCACCTGTGCCATATCCGCGAGTCATTCAAACGAGGGTTGACCTTATTCAAGTTACTCAAACAAGGGGTGCTTGTAGGAAGTACATGCATGACATGATGACACAAGGTCGAAATCATATCCGCAGGCTTGGATTCAATGGGAGTCTATCGTATGACGCCAGTCAGACCATGTCCATTGGGCGATGAGCGTCACTTGACCAGTCATATTACCGTATGTTCACTATCTGGTGTTGAGATTGCATCAAGTCGAAATCAACTACTCTAAACTTTGCACCGTTGAGTCATGAATGACTGTGCCACGAGTCGTGGGTGTTTGCCCTGTATCCAGTGATCCACTGTATCGAAGTTGTGTCAACAGAAAACTTGGAGGACGGGCTTGCGCTCTGCGCGGGCATCGTTTGATTCCCGTTCCTTTCGCTACTAACTACGTACTACGTATACTCCATACCAGGTGATGCGATATACACTTTGTCTGCAAATTGCTCCATAGACTCGGCGTCTACCTACTGATCTCAAGGGACTTGAGCTCTGGCGATACTATTCATCCCTGCCCTCATCATTGCTATCTTGTACTGCCTTTTTACTCTACCCAAGAGAGGTACCTCGGTCTCGACGCCTTTCACTTCTATGCGTGTGATTTCCTTTCAGAGATCCAGCTTCGATCCCGATGTATCCGAGCCCATGCGCGAGGAGCGGCTCCAACCTACCGTAAGGTTTGCTGGGCATTCTATAATCTCTGGGGATGCCACTGCCATGAGCCATCATCCGTGATGGAGAATCACCAGTGATGACTAAGGTCCGGCTCATCCGCCGAGGCCCCACCGTGATGGTCTTTCGATTCATCCAGCCGTCGACGCCAGTCTCCTTTGGGACTAGTTCCTGAGTGAAATTCCTTATCTGCATGTACGGATCACCGTACTCTCTGCCGCAAGGTCGGGTCGTCTGTGTTCATGTGATGTTGTGATGTCACTACCCGCGTTCGCCTGCTGTCTTTCGAACCCCGCGTTCGGCTGCAGTGGTCTGGTCTGACTTGCACCGACTCACGACCTTCTCGGTCCAATCCAGCCGTCAACAAATCAACAAAGTTACCCCTTTCAAGTCCAAGTTCCAACCCTGCTGACCATGGACAAGGAGGATCCACTCGTTCAGGCTCTCCCGCCAGCGACCGACTACCTGACCTACCTCACTCTCCTGGAATACCAATTGACCCCTCAACGCCTACCCCTCCTGCATCGTTTATTGCAAGATGAAAAACTGACGACCAATATTGGCTGGGACTTGGTAAAGCTCCTGCTGCCGATGCTGCCGGCATCGACAGAATGTCTGCAGGATGTTGCGCGATTAGGAAATCCGCGGGAGGTGATTCTGCGTGTTTGCGAAGCGTTGGAGCATCTGCAACCAGGGGATGAAGACAGTGTCGACTCGGAAGACACCCAGCGCGAAGATCGAGAAGGGAAGACCTCACTACCAATACACGTACTCCAATTCAACTGCCTATTGGCGATGTTGTCTGTGCTGCACCAGCGTTTGCAGGCCAAGCGACCAAGTCGATTTGTGGCCACCTCCCTCAAGGCTGCTTTGGAAGCCTACGAGACCATGACCTGCGATGAAACAACCCTGGCACTACTGGAATTCTTCCGCGATCTCACACCCAACAAGCGACCCGCACCACCACCTCGAGCGCCCAGCGAGTCGAGCGTCGTTCGAGTCGCAGAGGCTTCCGCGCCCGATCCGGAGGCAGAGGTGCAGTCCCCTGCGTTGGCGAAAGATACTGAGGCGGATCTGGTGCGCAAATTTGTGCAGTTCGGTTTACTGGAGATGCTCAAGCTGTATCTTTTGAGCTTCTCCAGCCCTATGGATCCGGGAATGGCTTGGACCGTTCGCATGCAGGAAAAGTTGAACTCTGAATTGCGAGTGCCCGCCCAATCTCAGACGGATGCATATGCGACTATTGAGGAGCTAAGGGAGCGAGACATGATGATGGGACGGATTAATGTAAGTGCCGTGGGCTTGGGTGATGGCAAGAGAGTGTAGTTTTTGTCGATAGTGGCTGATGTGCCCTCGCAGTCACTTTCCCGCGATCTGGGCATCGACAGCAATGAGTTGCTTTCTATCGTTGCTCGCTCGCCCGAGAATCATGCCCCACCACTCGACTTCGACGAGCCCCCGGAGAAAGTAAACGACATCCACCTCGAGCGACACGGCTCCCTGCTGCTTCTGGCCGCTCGAGGTGCCGGGGCGACTCTCTACAAAGGGACCACCAAAAGCATGCCAGCTCTGCCAGTCTTTCCAGACCTGGCGGGTATTTTCACCAACTTCCTCGGAAAGAACGAGAACTTGGAAGAAGTTGCGTTTGGACAGCCACAGGCGCTGTTGGACTCGCTCCTCGCATTGACTGTGTACTCAACGCAATTCGAGATCGCAACGCCTTCGAGCGACGTCGAATTCACGAAACTCCTGACAGTCCTGACAGCATGCACTGCCCGTCAGAGTCACGGAATTGTGCGACGGATTCCTGCGAGAATTTTCCACAGTCATCCATCTGCTGTCACACGCTTCCAGATTGTGCGCCAGATTCTAGAAGACAAACGATATCTTTCCATCCGTGACAGTGCCATTTCATGGTTGAAAGACGAGATAGTCGGCACAAAACTCTCCGAGTCTGAAGAGAATATCTTCCACGATGCTCTCTGGTTCTGGTCCATCTTTCCACTCTTGCTACAACCCGTTCACGCAGAGGAAACCACCGCTGCCGAGAACCTTGTGGCGAGCTGGTCTCGCGTCACCCAAACCGAAGGTCCTTCTCTCCACTCCGCATTGAACCTGTACTTCCTCCTCCTCTCTTCCGAGGATATCCGCCAGCGACTCCAACTCGAAAAGACCGTGAAGTACTTCCGGAGCCAAGTTCTCTCCCCACTCCGCCAGGTCTTCCGTGTCTTTGAAAACGATATGCAGGCCGAGGGTGGAGACGGTCTAATCGAGGCAGCTGTAGGCACCGACACGTGCCGGGCGGGACTTACCCGATCTGCAGGATTGATGGGACTCACTCTGGACCAGATTGAGGAGTTGATCAATGAACATTATGGCACAGACGATTCTGATCTTCAGGGGTACACTGATGAGGAAGAAGCTTCGGTAGAAGAAATTCGAAACAAGACAAATAAGCTTGTTCTCTAACTAGAATATGTCTGCTGGAGAGAAAGCGAGGAGCGTTGAACCTTTGCAGGAGAAGTTCATTCTACCACTTTGGTGATGTATGTATGATGAGCTTTCCACATGTCATGACTCTATTTTTCTGTAAAGTCTAATCTTCTCTGTTCTAACTCTCACTGTAAATGTGATTGATTATTCCCTCGAGCTGGCTCAGGGCATTCCTAAGGACACGCTGCACATTCATTCAAGCCTCCCTAAACCCTCTACCAACAAATCCTCCCCCCCCCCCCTTGTACTTACCAAAACAACATCCACAAGCATCCTTGAACCCTAACTCTAGAAGGGTTACCTGTCAATTGTAGAAAGAACCGGCTGAAGCTCCCAGGCCAAGACTGTTTGATCTTTCCAGATGACCAAGTCGTATCACCAACATGAATTGATTCGAGTCCAACATTGAGCGCTATGGAATTTACTCTACTCGATTGCCCCAACCCTACCTAGTACCTACGACGTTGGCAGGGGGAAGAAGGAATTTGTCCGGGATCAATATTGCATTCCTTATCCGCCGCTCATGATCAACACGAGAGGGCAAGAGAAAATAAAAAAGGGTCTAAAGAGACAATCACAAAACTCATCACCAACTCTGTACGAGCCATCGGAATGAAAAACCACAGGCACATCCCTCGCAAGTTCCCAAATCTCCCCGAGAAAAGAGAACCAAGTTGGACTAAAAACCACTCCGAAACCAAAGAAAAAGCAATTGAAGAAATTGCAAGACCACATTTCCTCACCAGCCCGTTGTTGTCGAATTCTCCACCCTCAGAACAGAATCACCTAGATCGATTGTTTTTGAAAGGGGAAAAAGTTGACAAGGATGTTTGAAAGCTCTCTCAACCCGCGCAGCAAAGGGGAACAAGGAATTGAGTCGCAATATTGAAAAAAAACCCGGGAAGTAAGTTTAGAAACGCGATTCCGTCTTGAGGAAAGGCTTTTCAATTCCCAAACACCCATGTAATGTCCAGGGGTGAGATGGGACAGCAAGGAAACGATCAGTTATGCTCCCTCTCGCCGTCTTCATACGCGCGCTTGAAGGGGCAAGGGAACAAACACCGGAGACGTCGACTGCTGCGATGAAAGAATGGAACTGGACTGGGCAAAAAGGAAGGAAAAGCCAGGCGAAAAGGCGCGAGGGAAAGATGGTTGATCATGGTGTTGAGAGAAGACCCTTGTCGGTTGTGTTTTTTTTTTTTTTGTGTTTTTGAAAGTTTTCGATTGTTTTTCGGATTTTGTTCATGATTGAAGTTGGAGAATCGACCGAGAGGGTTGGAAATTGTGATCTTGGGGAAATTGTATCATTGTCGAGCCATGATATGGATTGATGAAGACCAGCGAAACAGGTCAATTCAAATCAGTCCAATTCAGGCCATTGCGAAGTGGTGCGAGGGCAGGCGGTTTTCAAGGTGGGCGATATCATGTAAGTAGCTTACATGACAACGCAGCCACCACCGGGGGAAGCTGGAGAAGAAGATTGCATGTTAGTCAATTGATCATAGAAGAAGAGAAGGAGAAGGAAAAGACGCGAGGAGAGGAAGTCGCATACCCTTGACAACAACAGGGGTAGTCTGGATGGGAGCCATTGCGATGGTGTGAAAGTTTGAAGCTTTGAAAAAGCGAAGAGATTGTTTTGTAGAGATGAGTGATTGAAAGATTGAAGCGGATGATGATGAAGAAAAAAATCCTCCTTGGCCGGCCAGGAAGGCTGTATTTATAACTTTCTGAAGCCTCGATCATCCTCCATGATCGAAGGTCTTCGGCTTCAATCTTGACGATGCCTGACACTGACCCGCCGTCAGCCTTCAAACCCTGAATGCCACGGCGTCGATTGTTCTGTGGCAAGAGACGAGGCATAGTCACCGCTCAGGGAGACTGTTGGTAGCCTGGACCAGCATGCAGAACGAGATCGATGTTGGCGATTGCCGTTTTGGGAAGCGCAAGGCGTGATTCAAGTGCCCACATTTTCGATTGTTCTTGGTCTTGGCGGCGTTGAGTTTCGATTGTTCTCATCAGGATGAATGCAAAGTGGCTGCCTCGGGGGTGGATAGGATGTTGGGCAGTCATAACTCATATCAACATGCTGGGCTGGAGGGTGGAGCAGTCGAGACTCGAAGGGCCGGGGGTTTGCTGTCGATCTGCGATTGTTCTCTGCAGAACAATCTAAATCCGACCCACCTGGTCACAGGCTACCGTGGTCACCTGACACTGTCACCGACAGAGAGAGAGAGAGAGAGAGAGATTGGGGTGGTTTTCTTTCTTGTCCTCTACGAGTCATGGACAGGGTTGACCCAAATTTGATCCATCCCACGAGGCTGGTCATGTATCACATCAATCGAAAACAATATCCCGATACTTGCTGGAAGTGGAGTCCCCTCCTGCATCGTATCGTGCTGGCGGTCTGCTCGCGAGGCTTGACTGCTTTTTGCGCTCTGCAAATCTTTCTCTGGCACCTAACACCTGCATGGTGGTTGGTACTCGGAAGCCGGGGAGAGAGGGTCGGTTACGGAACCAGGCCCAGATGGCCGAGTGTAGAAACAAAGAAACACGCCCGACCCACGCCAGCTCCTCAACTCCACCGATTGTTTTCTGCAGCAACAATCGACTCCCTGGAAGTGTGGCTGACCGCGTGCCAATAGAACAGGTTTCTGGCCATTGGCGTGACCGATAGTCTTCTGGAAAAGGGTCACGTTTGAGTCCACGAATTCCGTCAATTAGATGGTCCCCGAACAGGGCAACGGCACTCATCCTAGGTCGAGTGCGATGGCAGACGAGGACTCCCACTTGCAAACAGATGCAGATGCATCGGCAAAACTCCCGTCACTACAGCGTGGAAACCTATTCGTCGAGAGGACCACTTCATGACACAGCCCTCTCACATTCCCGGCACCTCTCTTTCTAAGCTTGGAAACACATACTCTGTGCAGGCCACAAGTTCAAGCCTTTGGAAAAAAAAAAAACTACTAGGACGTAAGGCTCAAAAGGATCATCATGTCCAACTGCAATACGGACTTGTTACACTCCAACATGAACACCTTCCTTCAGGTACATCTGCCTCAGGTACATCTGCGTCAGGTATACAGAGGCTCTGTCAAGTCATTCAACGTCACTCCCTCCTTCGCAATATCCTCCTCGGTCAGGAACATCAATGGCATCTCGACCAAAGTTCCCTTGACCTGGCTGAGCAATTCCTTCACCTGTGTCGCCCCCTCAGCTCCGGGGGCAAAGTCGTCTCGAACCACATGTCCCCACTGGAACCGCGGTGGTCGGCTGAACGCCTCCTTACCCTCGGCTTGCTGGTCCGCTTTATGGAAGTAATACTCATAGAACTCCTTGTACGTCGCCCAGTTGCGCACAACGTCATCCGGGACCGCATGGAAGACCTTGCGGAAGACTTCGGTGTTGGTGTGTGCGCGCGAATTCCAGAGACTTTGCAGGGTGTCGGACAGGGGATCGGCCACCACTTGGCTCTCGGGGCAGTCGAGGTCGAAGTGTTCCGGGGACCCAGGGGGCTGACAGCTTGCACTGGGACGAGAGTAGTCTTGCGGAGCCAGTAGACCTAGGTGCTTGCGGAAGAGTTCACGACGCAAGGAGGCAGCAAAGCGACTGGCCATCCAAGGCTGGCCATTCATCTGGGACGGAACGGAGGTGAAGTCCTCGATGATGACGGCAATTTCGGAGTCGTGGTCTCCAAGCTGCGAGCGATCGTTCAAGTTGGCCGAACCGCAAATCACCACACGGTCATCGGCAATCATGACCTGTGAGTGTCAGTAAATCAGACGATTTGATTGCTAAGTCTCTTACCAATGAGCTTCAAGCTTCTGGAGCGACATACCTTCGAATGAACATAGAGCTCCTCGCTCACGAATGCATCAATTTCAGCGTCGGGGTGGCCGTCCCACGGCACATTGCGGATATCGGGACCATTCAACATGTAGCAAGAGCTGACACTGTCCCATTGGCTGGATCCTGCAGGTCGACCACCCGCGTTGTGATGCTGAGCCGCCTGCTGGTACTGCTGGAAGGGAGCAGAAGTATCAAAGGCACTTCGTGTAGCACCACCGGCACCGGCACCGGCACCAGTACCAGCACCAGCGCCGTATCCAGACCCATTATAAGGAACCGAGCCGGCAGATCCAACAGTTTGTTGATCAAATTGACGGCGAGCGTCCTCATAGTGCACACCACTTTCACGCTCCACTGCAGACAAAAGTCCAGCGTTGTTGATCCGATCGTAGTTGCGCAAGTTGTAGAACCGAATATATTCCATGGGGTTGTAACCTTCCTTGGCGATCATTTCCATAATGCTGTGTCCTCCTCGGTTGATCGAATTATACTGGAACTCCATGATGGCCCGAGTCCCCAGCGTTTCCTCGTCGCGGAGATCTCCCGCAAAACAAGGCACCGATGGGATCACCACAATAATCTTATATTTCTTTCCGGCACGCGCCGCGCGCAGGATACGCTCAACAATGGCGGCGCCAATCTTGTTTTTCACGGGACGCTGAGAGTCACTAGTGGCGGTAATGAAGAATTGGTTCTCGATGTAGACAAAATGCTCGCTGTTCCGGATAATAGCAGCGTATGCATCAGCAATAGAGTGCTCCACGGGGGTACCATTGCTCCACTTGGCACAGCTCCGAACAATCTGGCAGGACATGTTGCCGCGTCCTTGTTGATCAGGACGTCCGTAAGTGGTGAGTTTGTCTTGGTACTGATGAATCTGACCAGCAAGCTGACCGCGGAGCTGATTGCCATACTGCGTGATGTCTTGTCGCAGACGTTTTGGTGCGAAGCCCCGTGACTGATCTTCGCTTTGGTAGTGATCACCGGCCCCGCGAGTCCCCACGGTCGGATTTACTTGCCCGGCAGTTGAGCTCCCCTGACCGGGCGGAGGGGGATAGTAGGACGCTTGATTCTCTTGCTGGTTAGAATAGGCCGGCGAAGAGGATCCTTGGCCTGGAGGAGGAGGGAAATAGGGTGCCTGATTTTGCGAGTGCTGAGGCTGGTGCTGGTGCTGGTACGATGGAGTCGCAGGAGACTGGCTAGGCGGCGGTCCTGGAGGGGGTGGTGGGAACGAGCCACCTGTGTAGCTGTACTGCTGGGGACCATGGCTTGCCGACTGCTGGGGGTTGGGGGGTGCCTGACCTTGGCTGGCTTGGTAGCCCTGGGTTTGGTAACCCGGAGTGCTTGCGGACTGGCTGGCTTGGTATGTAGAGGAGGTGTTGTGCTGCGCTTGCTGAGTCGGGCCTGGGGTGTACTGTCCTGGCGGGGGAGGGTAGCTTGGTGTGGACGTTGATTGCGAAGCCTGCCATTGGGGTGTGAAGGAGTGCTGTTGCTGGCTCCCGGCGGAGGATTGTTGGCTTTGCCACTGAGGGACCGATGCTTGCTGCGTCTGCGACTGGAATTGGGGCTGTCCAGGAACTCCTGGCAATTGAGGACCTTGCTGCTGCGCGCCACCGACTGGGTTTCCCTGTGACGACCCCAGTCGTCCGTGAAGCGCAAGTCGCGCGTACCGGGTGTTCTGGCGAACCTGGTACTTGGCGTCATAGATGTAGTTCCAGCGCTCCACGAAATGGCGCCGGAGATCCTCGACTACAGGACCTCGCAAACCCACAGAAATGTCCGACCAGCCCATGCGAGACATGGTCATCCGATCAAGCTGGTTCTTCTCCCAGTCGGTGACATTCTCAAAGTCGAGAACGCGGGAGTTGTTGTAATCCTGTCCGGGGAAGACGGTCTCGGCGATGTTTGATGGATGCACATCCGAGATCGCATGCTGATGAGTGTCCCATCGACCAAAGCAGAGATCCAGACCTCCCATGAATGCGATCTGTCCATCAATGAGACACAGCTTCTCGTGATGGGCCCAGTATAGAATAACGTCGTCGTTCATACCATACAGGCCGGTCAGAGTATCCTTGGACATCCGTGCAAGACCCGCCGGGGTGAGAGAAAAGTTCTGCAGGGATTGAGTGATTCCTGAGATCAACTCCTGGCGATCGGGCAGATGGTCAGGATGACGGAAGACCGCAATATTAGGGTGTAGGTCCTCCAAAGCATGCTTGGTGTGGGAAGAAGATAGGGTCAATGCTTGGGTAACCTCCTTGTACACGATGACATTGACACGTACGCCCCGCACAGCGGCGTCTTTGAGCATACGGTCCAGTCGATACTTCTCATTTTGAGCGGGAGGTCTTCTGAGATAGAGTTCCGGGGACAGCCACCCTGCATGAAGATATTAGCTCATGTTGAATTTCGCGCAAAAGGGCTGATCGAGGCACATACAATCGAGAATCCAGATGGACTCGCGCGCATTCTCCAGGGCTACCGAGACTGCCCAAAAATACGAGCATCCATCTACGTATGCCTTGACTTCATTGTGTTCACGAGGTGGTGCGAAGCTGCCGAAGCGATGTTGTGCCGCCTGGTCATTCGATCCGTATTGGGCATAGGCCTGTGGATCGATGGCAGTGCCAATTTTGGTCGCCAATTCAGACCCCATGTCGGTGACTGTCCCCTGCAGCTTGCCCAGGAGCCCCGAAAGCTTATCCTGCTTCTGAGGGCGATCCTGCTGGGTATACTGGTTTGAGCTCGAGCCGGACTGATACTCTTGTCCTGACTGACTTTGAGGGGTATGACTGTATCCGTATGGACCTTGATTCTGAGCCTGATCGGATCATTTGCCCACTGTTAGCAATGTAATCGCTGTTCACCGAGGCGGAATCACAATCAGAATCACGATTGTTGGGCCTCACATTCACATTCTGGGCACCAGCCTGGCCACTCGCCTGGCCTGAGGGCTGGGAGTAACTTTTGTAGGTGTCTTTGAGCTTCTTGAAAGTATCACCGAAGCCCCGAGAGCCGTCTCCAGACCCACGCTCCGACCCGTAGGCCTTGCCATATGCTAAGTCATTGTTCTGTGACATCTTGATCGATGTATCCAGAGATCACTCGACAAGGGAAAAAACAGGTGGAGAAAGGAAGAGAAAAGAGGCAGAGAAATAGATTGTAGGCGAACTTAGAATTACGCAGCCTAGGGCGGGGAACTGCGTATGATCATCTGTTGAGTTAGTCAATAAGGCTGCAGGGTGGGTGCCCCGCAGATCAGCTCTCGGAAGATGAACGTGGCGGTGCTGGAGCTATTTCGGGTTGAGTTGCCAGGGTCCGTGATTCACGCTACGCTTGTCCAGTATCCATGCAGATTAGTTTCGCATCTTGAGGGGGAGTTGATGTGGAGTTGGAGGCGGACGATCCAAGCAGACAACGTACTCGATCTGCACCAAACAACAAGCACCTTTTCCACGAGTCCACGTGAAGTGGGGTCGCCGGCACCGGCACCAGGGAAAAGGGAGGTATGTCCATACAGCAGGAGTATGATGTAGGTAATTAATACTCAGAGGAGTTAAAAATCCTGGAGTGCCCAGCTTCCATAGGTAGTAAGGTAGTTTAGTTAACCGCAACCTTGTGAAGTCTGATTACATGATTCGAGCGAGAATCGACCACAAAATGAAGAGCCTAAGTCTCCGCCTACTCCTAGTGCCCACTGCCTACCAGTGCAGAGTGAAGGCTTACCACATTTCTGACCTTTTCTTCCTGGGGCATCTTTCACAAGTGCCCAGTCAAGGACGCAAGGATGGATAGTGAATCTCAGTAGAGAACCGCCCGAGTCTACTGCCGACCCAGACAGGACCCAAGTAGTACGGCTTGCGTTTAATGAAATCTTTCCACCGCCACGCATCTCGGACCGTTTTCTGCCAGTGCTGCAGGGTCATTCCAATAATGACGCTTCTCACGTACAGCTCCGGATTGAATTTCCCATGACCGGCGACAAGAGAGCAAAGAACAGGGCGGCCAGCGCTATGAGGTGATTGCAGAAATGCTGTTCCATCTCGAAAGGGCCATCGAAGAGTGTAGGTTCCACAGTCATAGGAATCAAGCGTAGTGCATGAGAAGAGGGTCGACAATACAGACTGCGCTGTGGAGGGATCGTTTCCTCCAAGGATGACATCTTGACTGTTAGTGAACGTCGGCAGGTATCCTGCTAACTGATTTTACATGTCGGGAGTAACAGAAATGAAATGGAGGCTGTAAGTATGTGTGTTTGTAACATTAGGGGTTGAATAATTCAATAGGTACACTGTTAACAGGTAAACCTGGATGAGCTAAGAGGCACAGAGACAGAGCCAAACAGAGACAGACAGAGACAGACAGAGACAGACAGAGACAGACAGAGACAGACAGAGACAGACAGAGACAGACAGAGACAGACAGAGACAGACAGAGACAGACAGAGACAGACAGAGACAGACAGAGCCAGACAGAGCCAGACAGAGCCAGATGCTAGTTATGCTAGCTGGCCACTGGTGTTAGTCGCACCTCACACGCCCCCGTCACATTCTTGATATCTTCGAACACTTCCTCTATGGGGGTGAAGAAAGCTTCAGTCCCGGCCCTGTATGCTCCCCAAAAAAGACCAACAACATCCTCTGTGAAGGGATCGTAGACCAGAGACCCCGAGTCTCCGGGCTCTGCGAACACGAATTTCTCACCAGAGCATATTACATGCTCCCTCGTGATCTTTCCAATCTCCTTCCCCTGGTCATCAAGGACTATGTGGAGTTGAACATCTCGAAGACCGTTGTACTTCCCCACGGTGAATCCAGACGAGCGACCGACCTTTGCATACTTCTGGGAATCTTGTGGCTGTGCGGTAAACTGAAACTTCGGGCTCACTATCATGTTGCTATCACGATGAGGCTACACATTTATGCAGTCAGTCCATGACTCAGTGGACCGGACTGGTGAAGCCGGGCTTACTTCATTTGCACCACGTCTTTCTCTGGGGATTCCAATGAGAGCCCAATCAGCAATACCCTGGTCATGTCTTCGAGCAATGGTCCGCCAGAGTCCACTGCCGGCAAACACGGGACCTAGGTAGTATGACTTGTCGCGGATGAACGTATGCGTTTTGTCACGCTGCTCTGCCAGGGCTGAAATGATCTCCATTTGGCGGCTGTACCAAGCTTGTTCGCCTGGCGTCACGACATCGCTATCTGGATCTAGCTCGCATCTCATCATCTTCTGCTGGATACGGGAAACCCTGTCGTGGAACTCGATGGCTTGGATATGTTCCGTTTTATGGAGAATTTCCCCTTTGAGATCTCCCAGAGAAGGGTGATCGATCTCTAACAGTCCGCTGACTCTGGTTGCATCCTCTGGACGTACGGGGTTTGTTTTCCAGTATTGTAAGTCTTTGCTGTGTTAGGGAAGTCAGCAAAGATAAGTAGAATCCACTGACCTGCATCAGCCCCAGAACGACGACGAAGACCTTCACGGTGTGCCGGTGGCGGCCAAACACCGTGGAACGCAGTGATACCAAACGTTTCCCAGTCTTTTCCAGGCCAACGAAGATCGACTAGGCCCCCTAACGTCGAGCTACCGGCCGTACTCCCGTGAATTCCGATGCTGACGCCTGGGCGAACTGTACGGGGGATGACCTGGGATGGCAAGATGGGCGAGCCCGCACCCAAGAAACGCTCATTTTTCTCGAAAAGAGTATTGGTGTCGCGAATATTACAGGACGTCAGAAGGCTGCTGATACTCCTTGCAGCACTGGTCCAGTCCTGTGTTGAATCCTTTTGAATGCGTATCACCACCGTGACCGAGTTTTCCTCCGCTGTCTCTTCCACGCCATATCTTGAACATCCAATGCCGATCCACTCATTACTGTGTAGAATCTCAATGATCTCACACGCAATACGTTCCCAATCTTCCCGGATCTTATCAGACGATAGTACCGGGAAGCTTCGGATTGGTAGCCGAGCGATGATGTCAATGATCTCGACATTCACATTGTAGTGACTGCGTCTCAAGTCGGCGTAAATTTCCTTCGCCAAGGCCGCGGCATTCATGGGAAGCTTTGTTGTCCTGATGACGCATGTCCGGATAGCTTCTGGTTCCGGATTCAGAAGAGAGCGTCGACCCTCTACTGCGACAGAATCAAAATTGACGTGTTTGCTTTGGAGAATTGTCACGACAATGTCGCTTATGCCACGCCGATTAGCCGGAAAATTGGTTACGTTGACAAGTCGTGAAACCACCGGCACATTTTCCGCGGGAAGGGAGCAAAGGACAGGCCCGCCGGCTCTATGAGGAGATTGAAGAAAACCGGCCTCGTCAATCTGGAATGGCCCATCAAAAGGCGTAGGACCTGAGGTAGCAGGTATGAAATTGAGTGCGTGAGATTTTGCTCGGAGAAGGGATTGGAGGTGTCGAGGAGGATTTCTTCTAACTGAGGAAGACATCTTCAAACACTAGTGGATGTTCTCTGATAGTTCACCTGGTGGCATTCTTCGAGATACGTGGATGAAGATGCGTACCGGGAGGAGTGCCAGGAGAGACGGTGGAGGATGAGTTGGTGCGTAATGTTTATAGTGGAAGGACGGCATGGCCCGAACGGGCCCGCACAGAATCGGGAGGCGGACTTCCTATTCGGGAAATCAAGCACGTCAAGCGTTACTTAGTTAGAGATAGAAAATTACCTCGTTCAACGATCGACGTCAGCCCCATCAAATCATGTTAACTGGACTGACAGGGCCGCAGCCTAATTTTTGTTGATCCGCGAACCTAGAAGGGTAATTGAATGAACAACAATTGCCACATTTCACAGATCACTGGCTTGTAGCCCGACCTTCGATGCGATTTCTCCGATCTTTGAGCTTCGGGTATATTTATTCGGTCAGTTTACACACTATGAGATAGTATTACCTATGAGATAGTATTACCTATGAGATAGTATTACCTATGAGATAGTATTACTTATGAGATCGGTACCTACCCCTGAAGTGCAAATTGAGAAGAGAACGAGAGAGGGGAAGATACCGAAACTGAAATGCTTCGTCAATCCAGAATTCTCGAGTCAACGAGCCTCTCTAAAGGTTCTCCCGTATCTAAGTTAACATTAAATAATTGGAAGCGTGGACGTTTCACTGTAGAGACTCCTAAATAGAGAGCCTGCTCTTGGGCGTGTCTAGTCACGCTGCCATTTCTCTTGCGCAAATACTCACAGAAATGGATCGATGGTCCCGCTAAGTCTACAAGGCTGCAAGGCTGCGTAATGGATCACCTTATAGTAAGTGGTCAGACTGCTTTCAAGCGTATCTGCATCTACATGCAAGCCTTACCCTACACTTGATCAAATGGATTCAAGGAGAGTCCCTCCGAATGTCATTTCGCGGTCTTTTCAAGGACTGATTTGATAGGCAACATACACCTGCCACGGCGGCCGACAGAAGCCTCGGCAGCGAACGGAATGTCGCATTGACTAGGATTGTAACAGGCTGTAATTTGAAGAACTACAAGATCGGCAAGATCATGAGAAGGACCTATAAAGCAATTGTCATATTCTCATAAACGATTCAAGGCCCTCCGGTTTGAAAGACCATCCAAAAGGACCATGAGAGTATGCGTTAGACTACTTGGTAGCCTGCTAAACTTGGACCCAGTCCTCTGAGGACAACACGAAGATCGTATACAAGACCCCGCATCGGTTGAGATTAGCCGAATCAAGAGATTCCATGGACTAGTCGGACTAGCGCACGATCTTCAGACACGTAATGATGAGTCAAAAGATACTAATAGTAGTGACCTGGGAGATTCAGTCTCGTCGAACAACTCCGCTATGTAATCGGGTAGACCGAGAGGTTCATGTTCCCCTCCTTGCCAGTCTTATCTTGACCTCGATCACCATTTCGTATCACTCCATCGTCATTTTCATCACAACCAACACACCCATAAGACCGATCGAGTCTCATCCACTTCTCTTCTGACAATCTCTGAAGAATCACTCTCATGATGTCTCTTGCAACTCTAGATGTACGTCAACCACGTTATACACTCACAAGATAGTAGTTTTCTAACATGAACCCCGCATTTCACTCCCCCCCTCTTCAGACCTCTCAGCACCCTTACCTCCCCGAATCATCATCGACCCTCTTCAGTGCCAAAGCCAGCCAGGGCCTGAGCTTCGAACAGATTGCCCAACATATCGGTCGTAACGAAGTTGCCGCCGCCGCTATCTTTTATGGCCAAGCCAAGGCCTCGGCGGAGGATATCGAGAAACTCTCAGACTTGCTCGGGATCGACCACGAACTGCTGAAGTCGCAACTGAGCGGATTTCCAGACCGGGGCCGCACTGTGGAGATGCCGCCGAAAGAGCCGTTGATCTACCGTTTGTATGAGATTGTGCAGAATTACGGGTATGCGTACAAGGCGGTGCTGAATGAGAAATTCGGAGATGGGATCATGAGCGCGATTTCTTTCTCGACCAAGGTTGAGAAGGAGACGGATGCGGATGGGAATAATTGGGCGGTGATTACGCTGAGAGGAAAGTGGTGAGTGATGGGATCGTTTCTACAACGAGCTTGGTATTTCGATGGTGAGCTGATCTTTCTGTTCTTAATATTCAGGCTGCCGTTCTCCAGATTCTAGGGCCGCGAGGTCGCATCTGGCCCTGTGAATTGTCTGGTATCGCAGAGGTTCATCGTGAGCTCGTGATCCGTGTGAGAAAGTGCGATGCTCCCAGATTCGATCGGGGGGTCCTCATCGTGTACTCATCTATATAGAGGTTTCACAAGGTCCTGTCGGCCATAGGAGCCAGGTATACAGCAATGAATCCTGATTGGAGCTATCGATAATATGAGAATGAACTGACTGGAGAATGGGAGAAATGTAAGATCGAGGGATCTCTATTCAGATAAGCCAAAGAGATGTTTCGAGGTCCCTCAGCTCTCCTTGGGTCATCTTGCTTGGCGGCTCATCCGTGGACGAAAAGTAACGCTTCTGGGAGATCATAATGCTCGTGTAGAATCATAGATCATAAAAGCGGTAACAAAGTCGCTGCAAGACAGTGCAGGACGCCGGAAATACAAGAATCACCATGAACTATGGTCAGGCGAAGTAACTCTCGTGACTCTCAAGATGAGAGGCCCCCACGCGGAGGAGTGATTGGATTGTGCCTTTCAGCAGCAGTCTTCACAGCACTCAAAGCAAAGGAGACCAGCGCAGCTATGATATACATGTCAGTGGGGCCCTCGGTGTTGGAGAGTGGTGTAGAACAGTATGTAAACAGGATAAGTAAATCGGAGGGAGACTTGGACTCCAAGACATAGAATTTTCAACCCGATGGAAAGTAACTTACACGCCGCAACAAACATCACCGGCAGCACCACCACGGAGCTTGAGCATGTTCTTCTGAGAGTCCTAGTCAAGATACAGTCGGTATAGGGAGCATGAAATTAATATAAGATAACTTTAACATTCACTTACTGGCTGCTCGGTTACAGCTTGCTCTGTCACGGACGGGCCAGCAGGGCTGGTGGGCTGCTGGTCCTGGACGCAGATCGAGGTGGGATCTCCGGCAGCAGCATCATCGGGCTTCTCGTGCTTGGATGCAGATGCAGAGAGCCAACCGAAAAGACTATTGCCGAACATTGTCAAGGGCGACTGAGCTTAGTAGTGGAACGAAGTCGAAATAGTTTGATCCTAATGTGTTTAGGAAAGGTATGTGAGTTACTTGAGACGAGATCTTGAGTAGAAGGAAGGAAGTGAGATGAGTGACACGACGACTCTGGCATTGAACGGTACAACTTTTGAGGTCCAGGGATCACGGGATGTACAGTATCTGCGTGTCAATCAATACAAGACAAGGTGGCAAGCACTTCCAACAGTACCGCTCGGAAGTCTGACACAGGCATTACCAGGAGACAGTGGCACCGAGGTACAAAGTCAAAGTTGGCGAAGCAGATTCAGATCATGAAGAATACATCATCACTCAGAGTATGTCAACGTGAGGCCTAGTACACTTGAGTTGTCAATGGTCGCAATAAAACTTCTACCACTTACAAACACCAGCCACTTGTGGTTGGGTGGCTATATCACCCCTTGAGAAAAGCTTTCATGACTCGACAGATTTACAGAAGATAAGCTCTATCAACAACCCTTTCTTGGTATAGCTTCTTGCAATTTGGCCCAGGCAACGAATCGGGTCTGTCTTTTCTGGCGTGACTGATTTGTCGCAAAGATGTGGTTTGATACTCGACAACCTCACTATACAGTATACAACTATACACTATTCTACTTGATGGATTTAAGACTGGTCGCAATGAATGAGCGGCCTAGTCACGAGATTAATCGTTCAAATGAACTGCTGTTGTCTTTGCTGCACAAGGAAAACATCTGTCCCCGACTCCGCACCATCGTCGTCCCACGTGAATTCTTCAATATCCTCCGCCTGCGTCATAGCGCCCAACTATTCAACTTGAGCTTCTCTTTCAAGTTTTTCATATGAAAGTGGATGAGATATAGAATGATATCTTCACGTACTTTTTTCATGTCGAGGAAGCAGCCACATAATTTTGAATTGATAAAGGTCGGAATCACGGAGCTACTAACTGACCATTTCAAGCTTCAAAATGCTCTGAAGTTCCGATATACTTTCATGGTCAAAGTGGATCAGACTCTTACTCCACCGTTCCCGGTGTCAGAGTTCCGTTCTTTTCCTCGCAAGAAAGATTGGCTGGCATCAGTCACATGACATGCACACCCGGCTTCAATGCCCATCCGTAAATTTTTTGCAAGGCCAGCGGCCCGGCCATTCAGGCGTGTACCGTCGCAATTCACGGGATCACGTCACAAGTTCAGGAACTTGCGATTCCAGAGACTACGCCGATAGCCCAAAGCTGCGATTATACAGTCCATCCTTGCAGCAACATACCCTGCTCGTCACATCCAACATGTCTACATCACAACCCCAAGAACCCTCTCCGATGCACGATCCCCGCGAAGCAGACTACGAGCGCTTCAAGAAATACGCCGCATATACCTTCCTCCTCGCCTCCCCCGTGCTCATTGCCCTCCCTCCCCGCAAATTCGACCATCTCACTGTCCTCCTCGCCAGCGCCTTCGCCATCTCCGCAAACCACATCACGCGCGAGCAAACAGGGCGTAGTATCGTCCAGCGCATCGAGGCCCGGATCGCCCGTCCCCACATCCTGCGCGAACTCCCCAGTGATCGGGCAGAGGAGATCCATGCGCGCTTACGGGCTGCGCGGGAGGCGCAACTTCGGGAAGCGGAGCTGTCGGCGAAGAAGGGCTCTGTGAGCGAGGAAGTGGAGAAGTTGAAGGCGCGACAGTTGCAGGAACAGGGTGTTGTGTCGAGGGTGTGGTTGGGCGGGGAGGAGGAAGGTTGGATGGAGAAACGGTTGAGAAAGGAAAAGGAGGCGTTGGAGGAAGGGAAGGGATATGGAGATTTGATCTACGAGCATATTTGGGAGGTGTGGAATTGGGGGAAGAAGGTCGATGAAGATGAAGACGATGATTGAAGCGAAGCTTACCTTATCTCCCCGAGCGGATTCGCAACTCTGTCATTACCGGCGTTAAACTTCAAGACTGCGACGCTCGAGCTCTGCATTTCCCAGCCAAAGCCCACTTCAGCGAGTCAATATTCGGCGACTCTCCAAATCTCGCCCCTGCATGCAAGAAAAGCGTATGTCATGCCCCTGCGTCAGGAGGGAATGAAACTATACGAAGTTCCTGGCAGCCTGCCTTGGGTGTCGCTGTGTTTGAACGTGACACACTCGGAGAGCTCTCTGTACCAACATTTTATCTTTCTGGCATTCAATATGGGGCGTTGGTTGCTTTCGTCAAGAGCTTTGACGATTCTCTTCTCTTCTTGGCCAATTTTGCAAATACGTGTATGTATCACCTCCTGTTCATTTATCATTGTATATTATACCAGCTACACTTCTTTGGGGCACCCTTGCAGCCTTGATTGTACCTGCCAATCCATGTAGGGCCAGACCGTGAAACACGTCCGAGTCCAATGCATGGTCACATGCTTCGACAATCATTTTTACCTATTTTCATTCGCTTGGACTCAGCTCAATAGGTACCTTAAGTCTACAGTCGAAACCCCGACCCGCGGTGACTGGATGGCTTATTTTGCGCAGTATGACTCTTTCGTTGTAGTAAGTATAAGAGCGAGGTATAAGGGCGTACGGGCCGTAACAGAAGCGCATCGCGACTTAGGAATCCCAAAAACAAAGCTCAAGGTCAACTGAAAGCAAGGGGGAAGATACAGACCTTCAAGCACGAAAAGAAACAAGAAAGAAGAAACACAACAGGGGAAGAAAAACTTGAGGAAAAGTAGACCTAGCCATCGATGCGTGAAAGAAGCAAAAGAGCGATGCAGTAGACGCAGTGATGATCGATCAATCAACGCCAAGCGAGGGTATTTTCCTCATGATGTCTGAGCTGGACTCCGTGCGTCAATTACCAAGAGCTGCGTATGATGAGTTTTGTATTCGATAATGAAGTTCGCTCTCAGGGAGAGGAATCAAATGATCTTCGACGTAGGTTCTACAGGTACTATGCCTGTGCGGACGTACCATTCAAGTTGGGCGAGCGCCGCATTTATAGATGCAAGTCCCTCCGCGATGATCTTTGTCTGCTCAAACTATTACCAACTGCTTCGAAAAAGAAAATGTTAAATATAATCCTTCACCCGAAGAGATTTTTTGACTTACGGAATCGTTGACCCAAGTCGGTGCTCCCTCATACGAGACGGGTGGAGCATCGATCATTTCAACATCTGTGTTCTCCTCAACGACGTCGGTCATGTCAACGTCACGAACGTTCTCAAAAAATTGTGGCTGTCCGAAAGGATGAAGAGTATCAGAATTCGGAGGAGGGAATGATTCTTGAATCCGTTGGTGACGCCGTCTTCGGTTCTTGGAGGAGTTTGGAGGAGTCTCGCTCATACGATCCTCGGAATCAGTCTGATTGACACGTGAGTGAGCTAACCAGGTCAAAATTTCTTCACAATTGGTTAACAGAGAGGCGACACACCGTATTCTCACAACTAAGTTGACGCAGTATGTCAGATGTCTTCACACATTGCGGGCCCCGGGTTAGAACGTTGGTGTAAACACCATTCTGGCGGTGGAAAAAAGGCAGATTTTGAGAACGTGAGTGTAGCATAGACGATTCTTGATGTTGAACGTGATTCTGGTTCTGACGGCGATTGCGGCGACGATGGTCATTCGGACGATAATGAAGTTGGGTCTGAGTCTAAAGAGAGCATTAGCCTCACCCGACAGCCGTTGGAAAGGATATGGAGTGGAGAGATCTAACTTGGTTCATGGAACCTCCAACATGACGAGGGTTAGAAGCGCGAGTAGGAGACTGGTGCCCGTTTGAATATCGAATGTGTCCGTGACGACGTCCGTTTCCTACGCTTTGGAGCCACCCCGGGCCGCGAGTGCATGGTCGCGAAGACTCAGCCTGTTGGCGATTCGCAGGACGACCTTGGCGCGCGCCAGAAGAAAAGACTGTGGGTCGACGACTACCCATGTTCATTTGCAGGCAACCTCGAATGCCCATTGATGCTGATCTTGTGAGAAATTATCAGTGTGAAGTGGGCTCCTACGTCTCCGGACTTGACAGACTGGAAGCCTGTTTGACTGCAGTTCGACACTCCGAGGTAACGCGCAATCGGTGAACCTTGTCGGGAAAATGAGAAGTGTACCGGTATAGGTATAGCTGGCGGAAGGACTAACTCTGACGTTTGAGTTGGCGGTGGACGAGAAAGAATAAGAGAGAGTAAGGAGAGAAAGACAGGGAGAGAGAAGCGGCCTTTATAAGGATGTCCTTTGAGTAGATCCTACAAGCCCTTGTAAAGAGGTGCAGAATGTCCACCGATGGAGCAGGGTCGAATCAGAAAGGAAGTATGAAGTAGCTTCCTGGCGGACGAAAGATAAACGACTAAAGACAGTGAGGGTAAACTGGCGGAAATGGATGTCTGAGGTCTGTTTCCTTTGAGAGATTGAAAGATTGAGAACAGCTGAATGCAAACGATGGATTTCCAGCGGAGTTCGGTTCGCTTGTCAATACGAACTGGAAAGGAAACCACGAAGCTGCCTCAAACGGCAAGCATTATCTTAGTCCGCAAATTGGCCACGTGCAACAACCCCAATCGCGCAGTTACGACTCTGCAAGTGAGAGATAGCATAGACAACACAGTTATCCCTGAGCTGACATATTGAACTTGGGTTTCAATGTTCAGTCTAGGAGAGGCCCGTCGATCCCTGACGGTTTATCGCGTCGGTCTGGTAATGAGAACGCCGAGACCTGCTGAAGGTCTCGGTATCTTTTCTGGCTGCTCTTGAGAGTTCCCATCCGAGTAGGAAAATGAAGTTCGCAGACCTTGATTGAAGGTTTCGATGAATGTGTTTTTTGGTTCTAGCAACGGCTATGGGACTCATTTCATGGATATCTGGTATGCATGCAGCCAGTCGTCACTGATCTGTACAAAGACCCATTGTCTGTTCAAACATACGTCAAGCCTTTGGAATGCAACAAAGTCAAAGTCAGCTTTGTCAGGCCTCAGGACAACGGACAAAGACGATTCATGAAGGCATGGACAGACCATAACTATTTGTTTTGGACTCGAAGCATCACGTCCCCCGCGTCTGCTTCAACCGCTTGTTTCCCGGGTCGACATAGCTACCAGTGGGTGAGTCTACTTTTCTTTTCAAATCGGAGCTTGTTCGTCGTGCGCGCTTCTTCAGATGGTCACATTCAGAGACTGATGAGCCGTCATCCAAAGTGAGACTGTCGCGTTTGCGCTTCTCTGGCTTTGCATTTTGTCTCTTTCGGCGTAACTCCTCTTTGATTCTCAGCCGGCGCTGAACCTCTTCGGAGATATCTTCGGTGTCACACGTAGGTGGAGGGACACTGTTCACATTTGGAGTTTTGTTGTCCTCGGCGATGCTTCGTCGGCGTTTGATGACTCGAGTGTCGCCTTCAGTAGCGAGAGGCTGAGGCGAACAGGTGGATACGACTGTCTCGTTCCGAGATCTCTTTTTGCGACTGTTGGACGCTGTATCTGTGGTCTGGGAACGTCCGGTACTCTCTTGGTTCATCTCACATGGCGGCGGGGAGGAAGCGGAGGTATGCGGCACGTCTTGAGACGTGCTCTCTGTCAAATTGCAGGTAAGATCACTCATGTTCCACGAAGCCTTCAACAATGAATCGAAGACAGCAAGCTAGACAATATCACGAGGTACTATGGGTCACAAAACATACGATTGAGCTGAAACACACCCGTTTGTTAGTCAAGTGCCACCCAGAGCGCGTGGTCGGATCCACCTACCATTTTCTTCCGAGCAAGTCTGGACTGGTTCATGGCTTGGATTGTCTTCGTCACCATGCTAGTGATCGCGCGGGATGCTTCCCCAGTGAGCGCGACTTGATTCTTCACTGCTCCAAGTACCTCGAGATGCGAGGCGAGAACAGCCTCGTGTCGAGTGAAAATCTACCCATTCAAAGACATCCGATCAGTAAGACGATACATATATTGAGGTGGTACGCGCAATTGGCACGGAGGAATCCCCAATCTTGGCTCCTGTTGCCTTCTGGCTTTGTCTTTGCGTTGCCGAATGCGCATTCCCGGATGACGACATACCTCTTCCCATGGTACAGGCGCGAAGCTTGTTTGGGAGCCAGCGGGAGGTCGATGAGTTGGCGCGTTCAGAGGCATCGTTTGGCTACCAAGAAGTGACGAGTAGATCGTAGGATTCAAAGAACGAAGTAGTTGATGTGTCAAGGGTTGTTTTTTGCGAAAACGTTGTGGGGGACGGAAAAGAGAGCTTGCAGCGATCTGCGGAGACAAGTGGAGCTGATCCGCGATCGAAGTCCTACAGTATTTATGTGCCACAATTATTTTGCATCCTCGGCGCGTGCGCAATGATATAGCCAAGCAAACAACCCGTTCCGACCTAGGCAGCAGGACGAGACGGTAGTGGCAAGAGCCTCAAGCTGTTGCTTGCACTGCTCTCTGGCCAAATAGGCAGCGTTGATCTGGTACGAAGGTCTTCGCTCAACATCTCATGTTAGGAATCCAAGAAGCGCTATCTGTTGATCTGGACTACACAATACATGAGACCGAGGCAGTAAATAAAATGTGGAGCAGCTTGGAGATGACGATCGCTGTTTTCGATTGACATATTATGGAAACAGTTATATCTCGCAGCGTTGAAGCTGATGGTTTTCCTAAACGCCATAAGACTCCGCAGTCCGAGTGTACAAGTGCCGTCCGATCCCATGCAATTTCAGTCGCTTCAACCTCAGTTCGACCATGTGTTCACAAAACAGAAGAATACATTCACCACGCCCCTGCGTCGAAGTCAAATCGAGCTAGCTCCTTCTGAGAATCTTCGACGTCCTTCTTTGCTTTCATCCGCATGTAGAAAATGGGACAATCGCGCGAAGAGCAGATCACCTCACAATGCAAACTGCCTTGGCAGCGCTGACATTGAGTCCATAGCCGTCCAAAGCGGACCTCCAAGTCAGACACTTTGGTAAGAGCTTTGGTGTACAGCTCGCCAATGCGTGGCCGGCAGTTGGCGCAGACAGCTCCCTCCATTTCTTCTTTACCCATCAAGGGCTTCTTACAGCCCATGCAGGTTTGGGTGCGCTTGGTAAACTTCATAAGACCACCGAGGCTGGGGGCGGCGACCGAGATAGAGCGGGTGTGCTCACCAGTCAGCAGCTGATTAGCTTTCTTCTCTCCCAAGATGGGTTCGAAAATTCGTCCCAGGGGATTTGCCAGCTGGTTGTCGAGGTAGTATTTGGTATCGATGGGGATATTGTTCTCCAAGACGAAGATCGGATCTTCCGCACGCTCGTAGCCTTTCGAGTTCGCGGCGCCCTTGATCATTACGTAGGCTACACGGTCGCCTAAGGCAGGCGCAGATCCAGCATCTCGTTTCGTCATGCGCTTAGCAAGCTCGACGTGAGCTTGCTTTGCCGCATATTCCTTCTGTGACAAGGCCTTGGTGATCACAAGCTTGGACATGTCCACTTTGTTCTGCAAAAGGTCCGAAATGGTGGCTTTCACGTAGCTGCGGTCTCAATTAGCATCGTGACAAAAATCCGAGTAGTGGGCATTCTGGCTTACTCTTGCGCGCCGTCAAGATCTCGGTCGATAAGGATCTTGTTCAGCACCGTTTCGATGACGTTCTGGACCAACAAACAATTGTCACGTCGGACAGTCTCAATACCCTTCGTGTCCATCTTGTCATGTTTCTTAGTGTTGGTCCAGTAGAGACCTGCGTATCGTTTCTTGTTGATGAGCAGGTATGGGAAGTAAACCTTTTCGAATTCGAGCTTGATCGGTTTAATGAATTTGGACGAGACGTAGTCCGCCGCTTCCTCGCCGAGCTTCATCGCCTCTTCTAGTTCCGTGACGCCGAACTTGACCATGACAGAATCAGTGTCACCATAGATGACCTGAGCATCGTGAGAGTATCCATTTGCAATGGTGTAGCGCGCCTCAACCTCGGCCTTGGTTTTTTCGATCATTTGACGGCCGTAACTGGTCGTGCTACTGGCAATAGGAAGACATGGTAGCTTGCCGACAGTAGCTCCCGTGAGACCATAGACACTGTTTGCACTGATCTTCAACGCAAGTTGACGACCGTTCAACACGGCCTTTTTGAACGGATCTGTCTCGCTGGCCAGTTCTTTCTTGGCGCGCTTTCTTGCTCCCAGCAACTCCTCTAGAATTTGCGACAAGAGGCCCTTCCGGACCTTAGCGGTGCAGAAAAGGTCGCCGTTGGGCGTCACAATGTAATCCTCGTCTTTCTTGAGACCCAGCTTCTCGACGCTCGACTTATTGAGTAAGGTGGTATAGCAGAGATTGTGGGCTTGAATGATCGATGGGTATAGAGACGCAAAATCAAGAGTGGCGATGGGAACTCCGTAGTAACCGCGCTTCGGCTCAATGACGGTCGCACCCTCATAGTCTTGCTCGTCTTGCGACTTGGAATTGGGGATAACGAGCTGCTGCTCGAGAGCTTTGCGGAACAGCTGGCTGATAAATTTCACTTGTTGGCCGCGGGAAAGGAGGTAATTGAAGGGTACACCTGTGACCCTAGCCATTTCAGTGTAGTTGACCAAGCACATCAGCTTGTCCATCAGTCTCTGGGGCAGATAAGCATCTTTCAAACAATAAACTGCCAACCGACGCCGAGAGTCGGGTGTGCCGTTAAAGAGCTCAGTAATCATAGTATGATGAACGTCTTCTTTCTGCTCCCCCAAAAACTCGTACGAAACAGAGTTGAGTGTGTAGCTTCGCAGCTGGTGGTCACGCTGGACCAGTTGTAGCAAGTCGAGTTGAATTCTGCCATTGGTGTTTGTTGCCTTGGTCTCGCGATTGCCCATCTGCTTACTGGAGAAGCTCGCCTCTTTTGCTTCGGTCTTGCAATTTCTCACTCGCGTCCAGTATGGGAATTGACCGCATTTGAGGTGCTTTGCGCGATCCAGCAAGTAAGGGAAATCGAAGTTGGCAATGTTGTATCCGATGATAACATCCGGGTCGACCTTTTCCACAAACTCCCGCCACGCCATTAACATCCGTTCCTCTTTCTCAAACTCCAGGATTTGCGTGTTGACGATAAGACTGCAGGTATCGAGGCAAAAAACATTTCGTATGAAAGGTTTTGACTCTCCGTACCGAGTGACCACATTGGCGATTTGAATCACTGGGTCTACGTTGGGCTCGGGAAAGATGCCCTGGCGACCAGCGCATTCGATATCAAAAGAGAGGATGCGTAGTGGGGCCATTTTAGCCCACTCGCCGTTCGGGGCGTGAGCTATCATGTCACGGTAGTCCATGACAGCTTCTATTTGGCAGTTGGATTGTCTCTCGTGATCTGGCAAAAGACGGTATTTTCCAGCCTTCGCCTCGACCCACGACATTCCGTGTAGCCCTGTATCAATCATGAATCGAAGGAGATATTGGATACTGTCGAACGTCAGAATGCCAGAATCGGAATTGCTCCAGAGACCTTTATAGTTCATCGTTCCACTGCCCGTTTCAAGTGCACTCCGTAGCCGTGCAATGAATTTGGGATCGGTCACTGTGATCTTGAGGTACCAGCTCTTCCGGTTTCCTTGGAAGCCGTAAAGATTCTCCCTCAAAGTGACTTCCACGGATTGGATCACTGGGGCCATTTGTGCAAGTTTCGTTTCGAGAAATGCTCGATAGGGATCGCAGTCCTCTTTTGTGAATCCGACCGGAGCAGCAATGTAGAGATAATGTTGAAATCCAGTTACGTGTAGCATGACCGAGTGTCCGGTCTATTCGAAACAATCAGTGATCACTACATCGGAATGGAAAGTCCCTTAGAATGCCTTACCTCAGTGACGCCGAATAGACGCACCGCCATCTTATCAGCCCCAAATCTGCCTTCTTCAGCATCTATCTGCTGGAAGCATATGTTATCTCTTGTCGGGTTGAAATCCACGAGTGCTGGTCTGTCCCATTGTTGATCTTTCTCTGCATTGTTCCCCTTCAGGTCACCGATGTCTTGTGTGAATTTCTCGAGGACCTCCTCTTCGAATTGACTTTTTTGCGGTTGACTTGAGCCAAAGCCCTTTTTGTGAAGGCTATTTGCTGGACCTTTTAATAGGGAAGAAGGTTGGCTATCAAGCTTCCGCTTCTTCAACACGGCGGAAGAGGCGGCATTACTGCGCGGATTGCTCGTTGTATCGGTGAGAGCCCGCTTATGGGGCGGTACAGCTTCGGGCATGATGCTTTTCACATTCAAGCAGCTATAGTGCGGCTTCAGGCGTAAATACTCGACACTTTGTGGACTGTGGAAACCGGAGGAGTTCGCCCACCACTTCGAGAGTACAGTGGCCCGTCGTGTCCAAGTCGCGCCTTCGACGTGACCCTCTTTACGCGTGGCTTCCTGTCACGTGGAGATAAGATAATATGAGCGTGGCTCATGGGGCCTCAGGCCAATACGATCATGAAAGTAATGAACAATCTTTCCAGTTGACCTCACCCTGTGAGGCTCAAAGTGTCGCCAGACTACTTCGTTTACGTGCTCTCGAGTGCAAAGAATCTCACGGGCGGGCCTCAAGTCCAGCCAGCTTCACATCGGTTTGCCATGCACTCGTCGCTAGTTGACGAACCATTGTCAGCGGCTTCTTACGAACCTCTTCTTAGCGGAGGATGAAGGAACCTTGACAGTATCTTCCAAGTGTTGAGCTCCACTACCCTGTGGACAAGAATTCACATCTCGGTATCAGCCGAACCACAGAAGTCATGATCACAAGTCATTCAATTATGTAGAGTGGTGGATCGCATACTTCATCAGCTCTCGGAGCCGTGTGGTCTACACCGCCCGCATGACGCGCCCCATGGGATACAATTAGAATCCCGTGGAAGAAGCCTGAGTCAAACGAAGTGGACGTTAAGCTGCGCTTGGTATGCCACGCCAGAGTTCCACGCTGCGATAAGTCCAGCGTGTCATCTTGAAGCTACACTTCACCGAGGCTTCCTTCACGGAGCGTGAAAAGTCTTTCGCCACCGTTTACAAGTTCAATTGACTGTTCTGGCCTGGCAAACAAACTGTCAAAACGATACCATCGTTAATCACCAGAACCTGAGAGCATGTTTTAAATGGATATCCTCATCATCGATACTCTGAATCATTGAGACTTGCAATTGGAGTGTTGCGGGTACTCACTACGAAAACTCTTCATGGGGCCGCCTTGACTGTTACTATATTCATACTTCACCTTATCGCTCAGCTTGTCCTTATCGTCATCCTTCGCGATCAACAGCATGTCAATGTTTCGGTCCGCCGCCGAAATTTCATCGTCGGAGGCCGACACGGACTCCGACCCTGGTGGTCATGACGAAGACAATGATGCCTTCAATTCTAGCTCGCATGGGGTGCCGGTGTCATCCCATCTCGATAAGGGAAAATCACCTGCGAATTTATCGACTAGCGTGGATTCCACCAGTGAAGTAGACGCTTCTATCTTACGTGAGGATGTCTCTACATTAGCAAAGGATGCGTTGACATCGAATGTGGAGCGACACGCCAATTTCATGACGGCCGCTTTGCTGGAATTCTATTGCCAAACCCGGGCAGCAGACATTCTCAATGCACAGACGGGCTCGTCAACTAAATTCACTCGGCATTCTCCAGAAGCCCAGTATCTGGGTAAGAAACTGTATAAATACAAATCACAGTTTCTCGCTTCACATGGCGTGCTTGCAGATGGAATCGAGAACGAGGACCTGGACGGAACTAGGCAATCCTATCGGGACAATCTTGATATGCTTGGCCTTTCCGCTTTGGAAGATATAAATCTAAATGACACCCAACCACCCACGCCCATTGAAGGAAGCGAAGAGCTCGCTCTCATCTCAAAGTTGTCCCAGACCCACCAGGGGAATCACGGCCCTGAGAAGAGCGTCCACTTCTGGAAGCTCCCCGGGGAAGAGGCGCCATTCAGCCAGCAAATCTCCCGCAATCCCAGCTTCAATGTCCGCCAGGGTGTGGCCTTTGAGGCCCCTCGATTGCCTGCACCGTCAAGGCCTCTTTTCGGGAGCTCTCCAGTTAGTCTGCCCATATTTGAAGGCCCTGCGATGCCGCCGCCATACAACAACATGTCACGCTATGCGGTCGAATTCAGCGAACTTCGAATGCTAGGCCGGGGATCTTTTGGGGAGGTTTATCATGTTAAGAACCATATTGATGGGCAGGACTACGCCGTGAAAAAGATTCCACTAAGTCAGAAACGTTTAGACCAACTTCAGTATGGTGGTCAAAATCATTTGGAGGTCATCATGAAAGAGATTCGCACGCTCGCGAGGCTCGAGCACACTAATATCGTTCGATATTACGGTGCATGGGTGGAACAAGCCCACGTCACAGGCCGTGGACCCATCGAGCATAAAGTTCATGGTGAACACGACTCGTCAAACTTGGACGGGTCCGGCCTTGAATCGATGGATGATGGCATGAACATTGTATTCGAGCACTCAGAGAACTCGGCCGTACATGGCCATGTCAGTGACTCCATGCCCGACGAGGGCGGGTTTTCAGATGACATCACAAGATGGGACAGCCACACGACGTCGTCAACGCATCGATCTAAGAAGAGCTTCAGGGGAGGACTCGAGGAAGATGACGAGATCGAGTCCATCCCACGGCATCGCAGTGGACTGTCAATGGGAGACACCTCCACTTTTGGGGAGACTGACGACATCTTCACTGATGGCATGAGTCAAGATCAGTCGAGGCTCCAATTACAACGCCGTCGTCGGTTTGGTCATCAACCACCAGCTGTCATTCTTCACATCCAAATGTCACTTCATCCCATTTCGCTCAGCTCGTACCTTAATCCAAATGCGGCTGGTAACACAAACCCTACTCCTGGCATTCCGGCTCGCCGTCACTGCTTCCATTTGATGCCTTCTCTGCGCTTCATGCTTGATATTCTCGCCGGCGTCGAGTATCTCCATTCCAAGGGGATCATTCATCGCGACCTGAAACCTGCGAATATTTTCCTCTGTGCACCAGAGAGCGCCACCAAGGCCATTTGTACCTCGTGCAATTCAGGCACCGCCCCACTCACCCATTTCTGTCGTCCGCGCATCGGTGATTTCGGCCTAGTTGCTGACGTATCGCATTTGAATGAAGCTGCCTCTGAGAGCGCAATCACTCCCTATCGTGACGGCATCAATGTCCAGCCAGTCGTTGGAACCGAGTTCTATCGACCTCCTGCCATTGTAGAGGACTCAGACCTTTCGGGCTACTTCGACGAATATCAGATTGATGAGAAGCTCGATGTTTATGCTTTGGGGGTGATCTTCTTCGAGTTGCTGTATCGTCTAAACACTAGGATGGAGCGGCAAATGGTCCTGAGTGACCTGACTCGGCGAACCACTACCCTCCCTAACGACTTCGCGGACAGACTCGATCACTGTGACACAGTGCTCAACACGGGCCGCACTGTCGCTGAAACAGTGACTGAGTGTATCCGCGGCATGCTGAATCCGCGATCCCAGCACAGATGGACTCTTCGTCAAGCCAGAGAGCACATCCGCCCCGTCTACAAAGTCATGAAACACCCCGAGAGCGCGCGCAAGTAGTTGGCATCATCATGCATTCCCCAGCCCATCTTCTCATGTACTTTATACCCATAGCATTACACTACCTATTTTCTCTTCTCAGATTATGAATCATTTGTTGAACATCTGCATAAACGATCGACTGTGGCAATGGATCGACGCCAACGTCGGGCCTCGGCAGGAAGTGGAGTTCCTCACAGGCCCCGCCGACGGGAGCTCTTCCCCAGACTCATCCCCAGCATAATTCTCATACTCCACTCAACAGACTGGAACCTAACAACACGCTGGACATGGTATAGATATTTGCGCCGAACAAGTAGTCACAGCCAGATACACAAATATAATGGCACGAAACATCCGCCCCGCGACTGCTCCCTACAGTGAACCTCTTCTCCCTCAGCTCGACGTTCGCAATCCTTACTATACTGATCTGCATCACGACTTGCGTGCATGGGTCCGCGACTACGTGGAAACTTCAATTGCACCGCATGCACAGGAGTGGGAACTAGCTGGACAGGTACCCGAAACTGTCCGGCGACGTCATTGCGAGCTCGGATTCGGCATCGTTCATCCTCTGACCACGGAGGAGCATTCAGCAGGTCTTGCACTTCCGGGCAATGTACCTCGGGACAAGTGGGATACGTGGTGCTCATTGATTGTGAACGATGAATTGACTCGCGTGGGCTTTGTTGGTGTCATTTGGGGCCTTGGTGGAGGCAACGGCATTGGTTGTCCACCCATTGCGAAGTTTGGCACGCCATCACAGCAGCAGCGCTGGCTTCCTGGTGTCGCGAGAGGCGATATTCGATTTTGCCTGGGAATTACAGAGCCCGACGGTGAGAATCCACCATCATCCCACGTCAGAGTAGACATGCTAAATTGAACTTTGTCCTCTTGCAGCGGGCTCAGATGTCGCAGGCATCAAGACCACCGCGAAACGCGAGGGCGACCACTACCTTGTCAACGGAGCCAAAAAATGGATCACGAATGGCATTTGGGCGGATTACTGTACGGCTGCCGTACGAACTGGTGGGCCTGGGCAGTCGGGTATCAGTCTGCTTGTGATCCCCTTGAAAGCCAAGGGAGTGACTCGTAGACGGATGTTTAATTCCGGCGTGAATGCCAGTGGTAGGATTCCTCGTCGGGACAGATTCAAGAACAAACATGTGTTAACTACTTGACAGGTTCAACCTTTCTTGAATTCGACGACGTCCGTGTTCCAGTTGACCACCTTATTGGTGAAGAGAACAAGGGCTTCCCTCTTATCATGTCAAGTAAGGTTCCAACCATCAAGTCCAGTCTCCTCCAGGAAGGGTTGAAGGAGAATCTTCTAACGCCTCTGACCAGACTTTAACCCGGAACGCCTCGCACTCGCATGTGCTTCTCTCCGCCTTGCTCGTGTCTGTGCAGAAGACGCGTTTCACTATGCTGTTCAACGCGAAACTTTTGGATCACCTTTAATCCAGAAGCAAGCTATTCAAGCCAAAATTTTCAAGTTCGGCCTCATGATTGAGCCAGCATACGCATTTATGGAGCAACTTGTGAACATCTTAGAGCTGACCAAGAATCGACCCGTTGACGACGTCAACATCGGGGGCATGACCGCTCTTCTGAAGGTGATGTCGACAAGAGCCTTGGAGAAGAGTGTTCGCGAGGCTCAGCAGATCCTCGGGGGCGCAGGCTACAACAAGGCAGGTAAAGGGGCACGAATCGAGCAGATCAGTCGCGATGCCCGAGTGCATGTCGTCGGTGGTGGGAGTGAAGAGATTATGGCTAGTCTGGCACTGAAGGAGGAAACAAAGGCGCTTCGAACTCGACGAATGGCGCTGGAGAAGCGACAGTCAAAAGTTTGAGGCACCGCGTTCCGGCAGCGCTGATTTCTATTCTGCTAGCAGCTTTTGTGCAGTCTGAGGCTTTCGCAGTAACTATTCAATGTAGGCAAGAAGGGTTCGTACTTATGAGCCGATAATGGATTGTGGTCTAAATTTTAGTGGCGGTGAAATGGTGACCTTGAGAAATTCCCCATATCCAAGTTAGCCGACCGAGCAACACGGTATGAACATCTTCACACGATGAAATCTGCGATCCGTTACCTCCCATCAAATACTTGAAGTTGTTCACGTGATTGCGCAAAGCGACTCTCAATCTGAAGTGGTCGTCCGATTAGACCTCAGGCACCCGTCCAGGCCAAAAGCCCGACGACGTCACGGACGCACGCCTGCGGGGGAAACCCGTCGCCGAAACACAAACACAAGACTTGGCCTCAGCTAAGAAGACAAATGTGTTCGGCTCGTAGTGATGGAAAGCTTTGACGACGTGCCATTTTTGGGCACTGTCCCCGAGCCGTCTATTCCTGATGATCACTTGCCGGCTGCCATCAACGATGCGAGGCCCAAGAAAGCCGGCGATGGGCAGTCCGGGGATCCAGGCACTCCAACCTCCGACCGCTCCATCAACTCGGGACGGCCGCCAACCCACAACACCAGTGAACTGGGTGGCGGGACGCCCATTTCCTCCGAGTTTCCTCAAGAAGAGGAAGATGAGGAACCTAAGGTTGCGACATCCTTTGAGCGAGAGCCGGGATCAGCTTTCGCGCAGAAGCATCGTGTCTGTGTGGACACGGAGGATGAAGGCGTCAATCGGATGCACAAGTTCACTCTCTATGAGACCGCCACTCGATTCTACGTGGTGGGAATTAATCTGGCAGAGACAAGATTCCGGATCTTGAAGATCGATCGTACCTCAGAGTATGGCGAGCTGAGCGTGACTGAGGATGATATGGTGTACTCCAAGCGGGAAATGGTCCAGCTGTTAGATGCTATAGACGACGGCAACAAAAGCTCCGGTGGACTGAAGCAGAAGTGCAGCGCGTGGGCCCTTTTGGGATTTATCCGATTTACAGGCGCTTTCTACATGCTTCTTGTCACGAAGAGAAGTCAGGTTGCCGTGCTTGGTGGCCACAATGTCTATCAGATCGATGAAACAGAGTTGGTATCATTGACCCCCCTGAATCATCAAGGCCAAAGTCGGAGAAGCAGTCAGAAGAGGAGAGGTACCGGGCAATACTGAGCAATCTGGACTTGACTCGGTCATTTTATTTCAGCTATTCCTATGATATCACGCGGTCTCTGCAGCATAACATCTCACGCGAGCGCGAGGCGCATCATCGAGGCGTTCACCAAGCCACATCCCGAGACTACAACACGATGTTCATTTGGAACAATCACCTGCTTGCACCTGCCATTCAGACCCTGAAGAATCCATACGAATGGTGTCTACCTATTGTTCATGGTTACGTGGACCAGGCCAAAATGAGTGTCTTTGGGCGTGTAGTCTACATATCGATCATCGCTCGGCGCTCTCGGTTCTTTGCGGGCGCACGGTTCCTCAAGCGTGGTGCAAACGATCTAGGCTTTGTGGCCAATGACGTTGAAACTGAGCAGATCGTGTCTGAGCAGACGACTACATCCTTTCACTCTGCTGGCCCTGGGTTGTACGCAAATCCAAACTACACCTCGTATCTCCAGCATCGGGGCAGTATCCCTCTTTACTGGACTCAGGAGAACACGGGCGTATCCCCCAAGCCAGCCATTGAATTAAACCTCGTGGATCCGTTCTATTCGGCTGCGGCATTGCACTTTGACAATCTGTTCGAAAGATATGGGGCACCAATCTATATTCTGAATCTTGTCAAGTCAAGGGAGCGCATGCCTCGTGAATCCAAACTGCTTCACGAATTCACCAACGCGGTGACCTATCTCAATCAATTTCTTCCAGCTGACAAGAAGATGGTATACAAGGCGTGGGATATGAGCCGTGCTGCGAAGAGCCGCGATCAGGACGTTATTCAAACTCTTGAAGATATTGCTGGCGATATCATTCCAAAGACTGGCTTCTTCAGGAACGCACAGGATGTTGAAAGTGGCCTGAAGTTACAAAATGGGGTCGCACGTACAAATTGCATCGATTGTCTAGATCGTACCAACGCCGCACAGTTCGTCATCGGTAAAAGAGCCCTTGGATATCAGCTTCATGCACTCGGTGTCATTGATGAAACAACCATCGAATTTGATTCAGATGTCGTCAATCTCTTTACCACAATGTGGCATGACCACGGAGACACTATCGCAATCCAGTATGGAGGGTCACACCTGGTCAATACCATGGCCACCTATCGCAAGATCAACCAATGGAGCAGCCACTCGCGAGACATGGTCGAAAGCTTCAAGCGATACTACAACAACTCCTTCCTCGACGCACAGCGCCAAGAAGCGTACAATCTGTTCCTTGGCAATTACATTTTCTCCCAAGGGGCGCCCATGCTGTGGGACCTCACAACTGACTATTATCTCCACAACACCGATCCTCGGCTTCACCTGGACAAAAAGCGCCCCAACTACATTTCTTGGTACACTCCGGAGCATTTGAATGAAAGAGAATTCCCTCCTCTTCCGGTTCGGCCTCAGGAACCAGTTTCACACTTTGACGATTATTGGCTTGAGTACTATCGGCCCTTGAACGTCTCGACAATGTCCAAAGTCTTCTCCTACAAGATGAACTCAACCCTACGATATCTTCCCCACTTTCGCTCTGGAAATTCCGACCCCGATCTCAGTCCATTCGTACCTCGCATCTCACAAGAGCAGCTCCAACGAGACCGGCCCCCAACCCGAACTGTCCGAATTCAGGAGCCAAGCGATCAGGTTTCTGAAGGTTCCACCGTGGTTACAGAACAAGCTCGCGAGGACCCCGATAGCTGGAAGCATCAACCTCCGTCTTCCACCAAGCAAGCTCCATCTTCTGGAATCATGAGAGAACCAGCATTTGAGCTCGACGAAGCTCCTCGCATTCCCCCAATAAATCAACCCTCCACCGCAATCACCACGCCCAGCAAAGCACAGATCGCCCAGTGGACACTAGGACAACTAGTGAGCGACTCTTTGAGCCCTTCCGTCACCGCCGCCGAAGCCGAGGAATACGAGCGTTACATCAATCATCCTCTCAAAGTACCTCTCGTGGTCACCTCTGAAGACGAGATGACTGCAAGCTCAATTCGCGAGCACGGTGCCAACCTCGACCTTCTCGAATACGTGAACAAATGTAAGATTGAAGATGCTGTCCTCGAAGCCAATGCCGAGGAAGATCTGGCAGAGTATGCCGAATTCCTGAACGTGTCAGAAGAAGGCTTGACTGTCGTTAGTGACGATTATCAGAAGAAACGATACAAGCGTTATCGCCAATGGCTGCGTGGTAAGAGCCTTTTCAAACAACGAGTCGATCCGTGATGCATACGGTCGTCTTTCGTCATTCTCCATTTCTCTTCGCGGTGGTGTTTCAAGTTGTCAGAAAGATGATATGCAAAAGATACCCTTATGTATCGAAGAAGAGCGAAGTAGTGATAATATGCATTTTCACACAGCCCTTTCCCCAGCCGGGCACATGACCCCACTGTACTCAATACGAATCCTTGTTCAAAGGTAGCGAGCTCGTCTTGAACTCACAGTACGAATACCTCGATGTCTAGGCCATCAACAAAGCAGCAACTCCAGGCATCAGTATCGGGTCCTAAAACAGTACGGCAGGAGCTCAACACTCGGGGTCCCGGATAAGCCTCGTTGGCCCCGAGGGCCCTGGAAAACCTCTGATTTTACCGCAATCCAGGCTGCATGGCCGCCAGCTAGTGGAGAATGTAAGAAATTTTACGTCGTGTTTTGGAGAGAGGCGAGTGAATTCGGATTGTCACATCTCTATCTACTAGTTCTGACCCAACTAAAATCGTAGCAACGATTCCAAGTACTGGCAAACGCATCCCGTTCTTTGACAAGATGCGCCGGCAAAAGTCTAAGGACTTGTGGAGAGCGATCACCGCTCCCTTTACAATCTAGAAAAGATAGTCGACGCGGATCTGACCCTCGAGCAAAAATTTGAGGCGATCAAGTTGGATCCAGAAAGCGACTGTTTGGTCCCACTTGAAATCAGCGAGAATCAGGTAGTTGGGCTTGGATATATGCCAAACAAAATGAACTGTGACGGGAAATCCTCCATTCCACTGCTCAGTGCTCACTATACCCCTCTTCAAACCACTCTCGCAAACCTGTATTGCAGGCCAGTATTGCAGGCCAGTATTGTAGACAGTAACCTTACATGCTCGTACAGCGTCGAGACTTCTCACCATCTGCATCACTTTACAGCGTTGTCGCTTTCGGGAGCAACAAACGCTCGAGTCTCGTGGAAGCTCAGGGTTCATGGATGCGGGGACATGTTTCTTTTCGGTTCGCATGCCTCAAGACAGCCGAAGTTACTGGTGAGTGTACATGAACAACAGTCAAAGAAATGTTCTCTATATTCTAGCAGAGATACAAAGCTTTATGGCTGTACATTGGCAAACAGTAAGCCGTTCAGCTCACTATCCGCTTCTATCAACGTCTGCAGCTCCTGCTGCAAGGCTTCCCTTGTGTGTAATTGATCTGCATCTGGCTCAACGGAACCGAGTGGGACAGGATTCTGCAACGCCTTTTTCAGAACGAACACAGTGACTTGTAATTCTTTGCTGATCAGTGCCAAATAACGAGTCTTCGTCGGGTTCCCTTTCCCACTCTCCTTCTCCTTGTCTTCTTTTTCGCCAATGATCTGTAACCAGCACGCGCATAAAGCCCCCAGAAGCTCACCGCGCCATCTCCAAATTCGGGGATGGGCATTGAGGACCAGGAATTTAGTAGCGGATGTTGCAGCAAGAAGGAGAGGCGGATAGGCAGTGCCGAAAGGATTGCACAACGTCGCGTAGACCACGGGAACAAGTTCTTGAAGGTATTTGGTAGTGTGAATCCCGAGCTCCTTGATGAAGACAATCATCCATTCCACAAGGAACGCTGAAAGACGCGGATGGGGAAATGAAGCAGATGTGGACAAAGTCGCCGGTGTGGAAGAGCTTATGTGATGGAAAGAGGAAACGAGATTCGAGCGCAGGATCTTGGTTACCTTGGCGATATACGTCTCTTTCGCCTTCTCAGCCTGATCTGTTGAGCTTTTCGGCGGTGGTGCCTTATATGCTGTCTGGAACAGCGAGAGTAGCGCTGGATACGCGGCGCCAAGCAGCTTGAGGGAGTCATCTTCTGGAGTAATGGTTGGTAGGGAGAGAAGACAAGGTGCTATTGCATCTTCGAAGACCGATGTCAAGTTGGTGCGGACGAGAATATCAGAGCCACTCTTTTGGATTGGCTGGAGAACTTTGCTGAATAGCTCACACCCGATTCGCTTGAATGTGAGGCTGTTGTCATCAATCAACGCCAAAAGCGCTGGTACCATAAGGGGGAAATGAGCTTCAAGTTCCGATTTGTTGCTGGACTGCTGAACACTTAGCTGGTCTGTTTGGGTCCAACCGACGCAAAAATGTGTACAAGTACCTGATACTGCGAAATGATCCATGCTAGAATCCTGGTAGCGTAGATGTCATTGAACTTCCAAGGCTTCAGTTCGTCGTTGAGGACATTTCCATCAAATCGACTGAGTGGCGTAGGATGGAAGTTCTTCCGTCCTTCAGTGGTGATAGCCGGATTTTTGATCTTGGTAAACAATGGTCTCAACTTCTCCTTCAGAAGTTTCTCGATGATTGGCCATCTTTCGCGTTGCAAAGCAACATTGAGATACATGCTTGCCTCCTCATATGAGTCTTCTGCCGTCCATGGATCGCTCTGATCGGTGAAGCAGGCTGCAGCCAGCACGACATCAGGTGCGCTCACAATGGAGCGATCCTCCAGACAAGCAGGCGCCTTTGCGGACAGTTGTAGAATGAGCTGGATCGCCAGAGTAGATCTCAACCGGCTGTCCTCCTGCGCGCTCTTGATTGCTGTGATGGGTCAGTCACTGTTCGATCGGTGGTCATGCTACCACGCAGCACTCGGCTCTCTTTGCTTACCCTGAGTTGTCTCTGTGAAATCGTCAAACTCAGTCGCAAAGGCTGAAGATGGCAACGCCAGAGCGCTAGCCCAGTGCAAGATTCGCGTGACAGCCTCTGTGTCAGCTCTATTTAGCTGTCTTGGCCCTTGGTCGTTTGGCAGGAGTGTGTCCCAGCCATCGACAAAGCAAAACGCCGTGTAAAGATTCTCACAAACCTGCAAAACATTGTCAGTACCATGTCTCTATAGTGCCAAACCTTTTCCGGACGTACATCAATATGAGTGTCGCTATCGTGAGATGCCAAGTCTTGCCACAGATCGGCCAATCCATTCTTTGCTGTTGCGGCGAAGACCGACCGCAAGAAATCAGGTCGCTTCCATGGATTGCGCTGCAGGACTGCACGGGCTTCCTGACGCAGCTGATCCATTTCACAACAAGTCTTGACCGATATTTGTTTACAAGTCAGAGGGAGGGAGAATGGAAGAATATATGTAAAAGCAAGGTTCAGGACTCCGCGAGCCTGAGAGACTTTCATTTTTTTCCGCCTCTGGTACTCCGCCTATTTCCTACAATCCCAACTCTGCGCGCCGACCGGAGATCTCCTCCAGCACGACCGTTTTATCAGTAACCTCGGGATGCAAAAGCTGCCATTCCACCACGAATCCAGTTGCTCTGCTCATCCATGGGCCCTTCTTAGCCCCCAAATGCTGCATAATCTCTAGGCCGTTGACGATGGGTTTTAGTTCGCAGACCGTCTCCAAATCCTGTTCTACTACATACGCTAGGAAGCGCTCGTACTCCTGGGCCACTGCAAAAAATGGTGTCAGCTTTGTGAACACTATAGTCCGGTCTTTGGGTTAATCTAGTTACCTTGGACGAGATCCCGTCCTCGCATGACTTCTTGCAAGATAGCTAGAACGATACAGAGCTTCCACTCTTTCCCCCATGATCGAATGCGCAGCCCAATTTGTTGCCGAATCTCGGCGGTTGAGGCCTGAATAGTACCCCCCAGAAGCGAGTTCTTGCACGCAATGATATCTTCAAAGTGTGCAGTTGCATCGCGCAAGATGAACAAGGTCTTGTTATCAGCTCTGAGGCTGTCTCTACCAACTTCGACCGGACGCAGCGGGGGTGGCTTCTTCTCCGTTCCTTGGCTTCGACTGGGTACAGATGTCCAAGGGGCAAAGGCAGCAATCATCCAAGCGCTGTAGTGGCTTGATGGATCTTGCAGGAGTCTCTGACGGATTGGATGTAAAGATTCATCGGTATCAGAGGGATGCAATAGTCTCGCTAGGGTATTGTATGCCAAAGGCCATGTCGATGTATCTGCCGTGACATTGTCCTGGTGGTTCGCAAAGATGGTGGGATAAAGCCCGAGTCGGTCGATGATGTGCAAGGCGCCGCGAGGATCCGGCCCTGCATGAAAGCGAGTCAGATTTGTACAACAATTCTCCAGGGCGCAATGCACTAACCATGAAGCATCTTATCTAGCTCAGCAAGCACTCTTTCTTTGCTAATCTTGTGTCGTAGCGCAACACTGATGTCCTCGTTTTGCATAGCTGCCTCTGTTTCCTTCTCAATAGTATATCCGAGCCTACTTGCGAATCGAATGAGTCGTAGGACTCGAAGAGGATCGTCCTTGAAGGTCTGATAAGGGTCGAGCGGGGTGCGAATGATCCGCTGCTTCATATCGTGAAGTCCACGCTTTGTCAGATCCTCCAACTTCGCCTCATTGAGATTGTAGAATAGCGCGTTGATCGTAGCGTCCCGACGTAGAGCGTCCTCCTCGGCAGTGCCAAACTCCATCTGAGGGTTACGACTGTCATCCGAGTATGTTTCCTTGCGCAAATTGACCAGGTCAATGTCCAGCCCGAAGATCTTGGTCGTAACAGTCTCCAAGTGCTTCGATTTTTCCGGATTCGCATCAATCTTGTGCAAGCTGACTATTGAGTCACTGAGTTCCTCATTCGGCAGGCTTCTTTTATATTTTTCCAGATTTTCAGGCTGATCGAGGTAATCTTTCAGAGCCATACCGAACTGATAGCCAGTCATGCTACTGATCCCAACGTCGATGTCATGGCTGTTCACACCAAGAAGCTTGTCGCGAACCCAGCCACCAGTAAAGCGCAGGACAAGTTCCAACTGCAATTCACCTTCATCATTCTCCCCAGTGGTGTTCCTTGCGCTTTGAATATGAGCAGCGACATCGAGTAAGAGGGTTCGCAGTGTACTCTCGAGAGGAGTAAGCTCGATCTTCGGTTGCGAGAGATCCATTTTTGGGCAGTCAATGTCTCGCTCATGCGAGGTGGATATACGTCGTCTCTTGACTGTGCGCTCCGGGAATTGCGTATCAATTTCGCGCCCATGCATGGGCTGGTGGTCGCGTCGGTTTACTCGGAGGACTTGGAGGGGCAGGTTGGAGAAGCTCCGCGGGGAGGACTTTTGTTTCGAAGCTGAAGAGGGACGGGCTGACAAGGCTATCGAGCGTAAAGAACGGCTGAAATTTAGTGTGAAACGAGATGGAGGAATATTAAGCATCAGAAATTGCCAGGACATCACATACTGGAGTGATATAGCCTGAGTCGCACCAAAGAAATTGTGAGTCAAGCAGCTGTTGATCGCCGATAAGATTGAATCTCACGTGGTTGCATCACCACCCGCATTTCTGCCGATGCGCCTGAGCTACGGAGCTTCAGAAGTGAACTGTCCACATAGTGCATTGTTCCTCTGCCTGTCACGATCTATTGCCGCGCTCTCCTTTTCCTCTGTCTCAGTGCTTAACCCACTTATTTCATTTCATTCTTCGGCTCAAATCTACATAACCCGCACCCTTGCACCCCCCCCCCCCCTGCTTCCAAACAGACGCTGCGCTGCGATCGAGATCCAGCCAGCTGCTGCCGCCCATCTGTCTGTTCCCGTCGAGTTGATGGGTCTCTTAACAGCTTTATATAATTTGCGTTAGCACCATCACCAAGTTGTCGATGACATCGCCTGGAGATGTCACTCCGGTGAAACCACCGCCTTCCTTTTCACCTGGGTCAGGGCGCAACGCATCTAAGCTTCGGTATCCGGAAGAGCAAGAGCCTACTGTGTCTATAGATGCCGAGCTAGTGGAATCTCGCTCGGTCTCCTCGCCGTCGCCGTCAATACCAGCGTCGACTGCAGAGTTGCCTATACGGTCAGCTTCGCCTCAGGCCCGCTCGATCAGATCTTCCACACCACAATTGGCTCGGTCATCATTCGGGTCGCCGTTTGAAGGACGATTTGACGGGTCTGAGGATATTCGGTCATTGATCATTCGAGCATTTTCGCCAACCGTTGCAGTTTATGCCTCCGAGGATACAGACGACCTTGTGAGGAATAAAGGCTTCAAAGGGGGGTTCTGGGACTTGCTTCGGCCTTTTGGAGAGACTGTGACGGGCAAGGTTATCATCCGAGATAGTGTTGGAGCGAGTCGTGCATGGGAGGACTTTGGTGTGCGCTTCGTTGATCTCAAAACCCTGGGCCGCGCGCCTACCGGTCAGGACCCTGGAAGAGATTCGCCCCTGGCTCAGATTGAGCAAGTTTTGGAGAAACAACTAGGTGCCTCTGATGGCTCGTCGGGAACACAAGTGCCTGCCAAGGACATACTAGGGTTTTCTGCCACTACACCCCCTTCTAAACTGTTCTTGAGGCAGTTGCTTTGCTCGACAGCCGCCTCGCCTCACGAAACCTTCGGGCATCCTGTTGCAAGTGTGATTGCCATCAGCTCCCGTAACAAGGCCCCATTGGAAACGCTTCGGCGGCTTTATGCAGAAACAAACACGGGTGAGCAGCGCTTGCCAGACTGGATTCATCAAGAGTATCTGCGCTACTACGTGTTAGTACACGATGAAGAACGTGACGACATCACCGAAACTACAAAGTTGTATGACCAAATGAAGCGTCATTTCGGTCTTCATTGTCATCTTCTCCGACTTCGAAGCAGTCAATGTGTAGTGACCGATGACGACAGCATGCAAGTGCCACACTGCGAATGGTTGTCTCCGAAAGAACACCTCTTAGGTGTTGGGGAAACTGGTAAGCGTCTTTGTCAGCCGAAGCGTTGTTGCGATTCTAAATTCGTTCTGCAGAGACCCTCGTCGATCTGGGGACAGATGGAACCTCTCACATCTTTGATTCCGATGTGTCCGCGATTAAATCCTTTGTGAGAGAGCTCATAGTCCAGTCTATCATCCCTTATATGGAGAATCGGGTTGCGGTTTGGAACGACCAAGTCGCTGCTCGTAGGCGCGGCATCAGTGGGCGTTTCATGTCGCTCTCGAAAAGATGGGCAGGGTTTAGCTCCAGCTCTCGCTCCGGAGCCAGTGGCTCAAGCGGCGGAAATGGCGGTAATTATGACACTGAACACAACTTCTACCGTCAAGAGACTCCAGAAGCGATCCTTCGGAAAATGGCCGATTTTGCGTTCATGCTGCGTGACTGGAAGCTGGCTTCGTCAACGTACGAGATGATACGCTCAGACTACGGCAATGACAAAGCGTGGAAGTATCACGCGGGTGCTCATGAAATGTGTGCTGTTAGCATGCTGCTGAATCCGCTGGCCATGTCTGCCAAGCTTAAACTGGAAAGCGTTGATCAGATGTTCGAGACTGCATGTTATTCCTACCTCACACGATGCTCCGATGCTACTCACGCGCTACGCTGTCTAGCACTGGCTGTTGAGTTGCTCAAATCTCGAGGTGGATCAGCAACGGAGAGCGCCGCCAGATGGGCCATGCGGGTCATGGACTTTGGCTTGGTCGGTTCTGTTGGGCAGATTCTATTCATGGAGCGAGTCGCCGCATGCTATGCTTCGAAGACTCCGGTGGGCGGAGCGAAATGGGGAGCCCGTCGCAGGAAAGCTGGGATGTGGAGTCTTCTCGCTGCTGATCAATGGCTGCAGGCCGGCCGACCAACACTTGCCTCTGCCTGTCTGGAGGAAGCTGAACGTCTCTATGCCGACGTGCTGGAGGTTGATGGTGTCTTCCCATTGCCAGAAATGCAAAGTTTCGTTGATAATTTGCGCCGTGCGGTGACAAGTGATTATCTTCAAGCACGAGGTTTCACTGCGCAGGATGAGCCCGCTAGTGGTGAAGCTGGGGGTACTGAGGAATTCAGCGAGAAGCTGGACAAGCGCAAGCACCGTCGCTCGCTCATGGGTCTTCCTTCTCAACTTGATGCTGGCAATCTCATAAGCGGTGGTCCAAGAGACCCTGACGACCAACCCAATGACGACTTTGAACGAGCGTAATGTTTGTTTACGAGGCCAATTTCTTTTGTCAGAACATAAACATAGAGAGACCGAGGTTGAAATAATCAAAGTCGCCCGCCGTCCCTGATCATGGAGTTGTTATTTTATCTTACTTTTGACTCTTTGCCTGTCTGATGTCACTGCATCCGAACAGGATTTGTGAACAGTATTGAAAACGTGGCGGAAGCTGTTGAAGAGCGGGCAGTCATTCGATAATTTGCCCGATGGCCCAGACAGTGAATGTCTATGGAAGTAGGTAACTCGCTGTCTTCCATGATAACCCCTAGTTGTAGTCTGGGTACCTATATAAGGAAACTGGAAAGTTTAAAAAGTTCAATCACGCGAATCTGACAACGGGCTCCTGACAGGCTCGGCTGGTCTCTTCCATCATCCCATTTGAAGTGGACTCGATGGCACCGAAGGAAGATATATTTCAAACTGAAACCTCCGCACTAGGTGCCTCCACAGTCATACACGTCCACTGTTAAACTAAGGACCTAAACCGCAAAATTTGAGAGCCTCGGGGCTGGCCTCTACTCAATCTCTGAATATTTGACGTGTTCACTTATAGAAAGAGTGTACTCCAACGTGGGAATTGACGGCAACAAGTAAGTACTTCCTGGCAATTATAAGACTAGTAGCTCCTAGCTATTGCCCATGTCGAAGACCAGCTCTCACTGCGAAGCCTCGCTGGCCCCACTCATCGATGCATCAGAATCACGTGGGTCTATCGATAAAGCGGCCCTCTCCACACCAGATGCGGGCCCAGATGATCAGTATCTCAGGCAACGGCAGCACTTGACGACAACACTTTTTGGAGGATACATCAGGTTGTAGAGACCAACGACTTGTTATACTACAGAGTCTCACTGCAAAGGCGGGACAGAGCATTCTGTGGTTCCTATACCGTGCAGCTTTCGCTCAACTATGAGTGAGCTACTGAACTATATTCTGAACAATGAGGATGCGTTCCGAAGGTATGTCCTGCGTTTGACTCGCAGCATCTGCAGGGAATCGCAGAGCCAGTATCGAGTTCACCCACTAAGAATCACACAGGAATCGCCTTCCCTCGCTGTATTCAGACTTTACCCTCCAGAAGAGGACAAATCCTGACGGCTATGCGGTCAATATTGCAGCGTGGGAACAAGCGTTGACTAAAGCAGCCAAGCGCGGATACACCTTCTCACGAGGTGTACGGCCTAGATCGGGCTCTATTGAGAACCCGAAGGAATCGAAAGCTGGTCGAAAGAAGACTGATCATCTCATTATTCGCACCGATGAGTCTCTCTTGCGAGATTTGGAACTTGCTGAGTGGGGGAGGCCGGTTGCCCTGGGTGCTGTCTTTGTAAGTTGGTGGACGGTTCATCAGAGCCTTTGGATATTGCGAAGTGGCAAATGCTAAACGAGCCCTTTGTCAGGATGAGGCTATGCGGAAACGCTCCATGATCCCCTTGGCTTTGTACAAGGCTAGCGAGACCAGTCTGCAGAAAGCCCAGTGGAGGCTGATCGATCCGGCGGCCCTGAGCCCCTGGAACGTGGTGAGTTGGGGAGTGCGACAATTGAAGGGAATCGTCATCGGACCTGATGGCGAGTCCGCTCCCAACCTGCAGGTGCAAGAATTAGTGCTGGTAGAGAACTTGCAGGTATGTCGTAACAAGCGAAGTCTGGCTATATCAGTGCCGTCATTGACCAACTTTATTTCATAGGAGGCCGCAGAACTGATCGTGAAAAAAGCTACCACGAACAGCATTTCGCAATTAGACCAGATCTACTCCAAGCAAAGCTTCATTGAAGAGTTCGCCTCAGTCTTGCATGATGCAACTGAGTTATCTGACTCAGACTTCGATGTCCTGCTACTTTATTTATCTCGGGACAGTAATGCAATCGCATATGACGGCAAGGTATGCTCGTGCTATACATACATCGAGACTGATTTTCAATGCTAATGGGTATTGGGAAAAGACGATAAAATTCAAGCCGAAGGACAAGACTGCAGAGATCACACCGGAGGACAAGAGCATTGCTTCCATCAAAACGCTCATATCCACGTTGTCGAAGCAGGTCAAGAGTCTGGAAGACAAGATTGCGGACTTGACAGCATCTGCAAAAACGGCCTTGTCTAACAAGAACCGCATCTCCGCATTGTCAGCTGTGAAGTCGAGGAAAATGGTCGAGCATAATCTTCAACAGCGCCTCAACACACTCGCCCAGCTTGAGGAGGTATACTCGAAGATTGAGCAAGCGGCCGGCCAGGTAGAAATTGTGCAGGTCATGGAAGCTAGCACTGGAGTTCTTCGCAGTTTGCATGCGCAGATTGGCGGCGCCGAGCGTGTCGAAGACGTAATGGATGAACTGCGTGAAGAAATGTCTAAGGTGGACGAGGTGGGAAGCATCATTAACGAGGCCGGGCCGGTCTTCGATGAAAGTGAGATCGACGAAGAGCTCGCGGCCATGGAGAAGAGCGACCACGAGGAGAAAGAGAAGAAGGAAGCCGAAGCCACACAGAGAAATCTGGCCGAGTTGGACAGCATCAAGCAGGCTTCAGACGAAACTGCAGGCCAGACGCAGAGAGCGAAAGACGTGGACAGTCAATTGGCCCACAGCATTGACAAACTGTCCAACATGACGATGGAAGAGCGCCCGTTGCCCGCCAATTAGTCACCAAATATCGAAGATAAGGACACGCAGGACGTGCGCTCAGCCACCTGCAAGGTCTCAATTGCTTGAATTGTATCGAAGTGAGTGGCCGGGGAAGTCATCAAGGCATATTGTCCGGTATTTGCGGTTCCCATCTGGCTGCACGCAGCCCCTCGGCCTCATCTTCTACTGGCGGTTCAGCAAGGCGATCTACCGGCATGTCACCTTGCTCAGAGGTTGGTTTTACACCAGAGATGGTTGACCGCACTTGGGCCTCGCTTTTCTTGCGGGCATTCTCGATCAAACGTTTAAAATCAGTGCCGTGATTCACAGACCATTGAGCCGTATCGAAATCCTTAGCCATGACGGCTGCTGTTTGCCCGAGGGACGACTGAGTTGGCGCAAGCCCGCCCTGTGTCCTCTCCCACACGTCAAGCTCGCGTAGCAAGGCTCTCTTACTTTTTGGGAACGACGAATCGCAATTCGCGTTCCATAAATTCATCCACTCAATATGACGTCTTTGTAGAAGCTGCCGGGGGCCCCAGTTAGGGATTCCAAGATCACGAAATTTCTTCCGTAATTGAGTATCCTTGAGTAAAGAGTAATTCATCGCAGGGAGTCTTTCAGGTGCTTTGGAAGGAGATATCGGCATCTGGCGTGCTGGAGGCCGTAGAGATCTGCCCAGAGCGTGTCGTATTAGATATGAATTGCATAAGTGCTGCAAGGACTGTTTGAAGCAGGGATAAACCTACCCAAAAGATGATGGATTGTTTGAAGCAGGGTTTGCGACAGGATTCGAATTGCCAGTACAGCTATCGAGGTGCGCAAAGACAGCCTCGTTCTTCATTCTGCGAGCGCAGATCGGGCACGCGACCGTCCCATCCCCTGTGAACTTGTTAGCCAGCTTGAATCTCAGTTGCAGATGAGGCGTCGCTACAAACCAGGTTCACAGTCTTCATCTTGACTATCTTCCACCACCTCTAGCGATCCCGAGGTTCGGCCATGGTCTCGTCCAGCCGCTGGCGCCTGCACCACCTGGGTTTGTGACCTTGTACGCACGCCCTGAGGACCGTTCTCAGTGCCGTGAACCTCTTGGTCTTCGGAATCCTCCCTCAATCTTCGCTTCTTATGGGGAGGCTCTGGATCTTCAGTAGTCCCGGCAGCGATTCGTGCGGCCTCCTTCTTCGCAAGTGTGAGAACACTTTCTCTAGCGTTTTGAAAGGCCTCGAGAATCTCCTGAACCAGCCAATTGCGGCGCAGCTTCAATTCCTGGTCACCGGACCGACATGTAGGACATTTCCCTTCTGTGCTGAGGCATCGGCGAATGCATAAAGAGCAAAATGTATGGCTGCACGAGGTGATGACCGGGGTATCGAAGAAGTCCTTGCAGACCTGACAGCGAAGTGAGGACTCGAGTGGGGCTAGAAGTGACACTGGCGTGTCCAACCAGTCGGTAGAGTCGGGAAGGTCAAAGGACTGCTCCATGATATAATTCAAAGCAGACTGACTCTTACGGTATCCGGCAAAGATGGCGCCGCAAGAAGGTGGAGATGGCGTCGGTGGGAGTGCCAAGACCCGCTGACTGATACGCGTAAAGTGGTTTCCGCGGCACGCGTCAAACTAATTGTCGAGATCAATAAGTATTCACTGCGACGCTGTCTGGCTTAGCTCGTCAGAGGCGCCATGAATTCAAAATTGTATCTTGCTGAGAATGTGCTCAATGAACGACATACTGTGAGTTTCATTCTTGTGCGCACTTCGTTTTTTTGACGCGACTGATCAGTCCTAGGTCACTTATCGATCATTGAGCCGCTCGCTCAAGGTCCACGCGAATCGAGCTAAGCAGTGCGATCCCCAACCTCATGCAGAATTCAGCAGAAGACCGGACATACTAAAGTGATATTGCGCAGAATCTTGTACGAGTTTCATCGAACCGAAAATGCCAAGCGACCGCACAGTGTCCACGCGACATACGTGATCTCCGGTGTCCAAAAACCAACGGCGCCTCCAGCGACGAATGGCCACACAAAGGACGAGGACGAGGTCATGCAAAGCAGTCCCTACCTTCCTAGCTCTATGCCGAACCAAGAAGCCGCCTCAGATGTTGTCTCAATCGCATCCATCCTATTAGTGCGCGAGGAAGATCTCGAAGGTACTCAGAACTGTCGGACTACTAGCGGCAAGACCCTGCTGACAGACACCCGGCGATATAGACGCGAAAGCCACGTTTGAGTCTGTCAAAACAATTCATGTATACAGTGTACAGGCAGCTCCTCTCCAGGATCTTAACACTTTGACAACTGTGTGCAGAGAGTTGGCTTTAACATCTACCCAAGACGACCCTCTAGAGTGTGGTTCGCAATGGGGGATGATCCAGAACCGCGACGTGAAAGTAAGTGATGGTTTCGATTCTCATCAATTGCACCAAGAGCTGACCTGTATCTTAGCGGAGATCCGGAACTCGCCCTCCCCCAGCGGCCAAGGCAGCAACCACAGCCAAGCCCGAGTCGACAGTGCCAGCTAAGCGATCTCTGGCGACCAAGGAATCTGCCGTGAGACAAGAAAACAAGCCGGATGAGTCTCAACCAACTAGTGACTCTCAATCGTCTGTGAAATCTTCCAGCAAAAGTGCTGCTCCCCAAAAAGGGAAGAGTAATCTCTTCAGCTCTTTTGCAAAGACGAAGCCTCCAAAGCCAAAACACGCTGATTCTGTGCGTACCTGGGACCCGGATCTATAGACTACAAGACCTCTTTGACTGATTTGAAAAGCAGGCTACCCACAGCGGCGCTGATGATGGTTCGTCAATATTTTGGGATGCCTTTGCAGACCATTCGCTAATTATCTACAGTTGTGCCTGATGATGCTTCCGAAGACGACGCCGAAGAGCTGTTCCCTGAGAGCGGAGACAAGGCGCCATCGACCAACCGCGAGACTAAGAAAGAACGCGAGGAGAAATTGAAGAAGATGATGGAAGAAGAAGATGCCGATGGTAAGCACTCTAACGCCGCGCATTTCTGGGATGGGAGCTTGGGTATGCGTATGCTTACCCCGGTACAGATGAAGAAATGGCCGATGCCGATGAGGAGCCTCAACGAGAACCGACTCCTGAGGAACAACCACCACCTCCTCCCCCGTCGAAGGCTGCCGAACTCAAAGAGGAAGTGACAGTACATGGCGGGCGTCGACGCGGGCGGCGCCAGGTGATGAAGAAGAAGACGGTCAAGGACGAAGAAGGTTACCTAGGTGAGTGGTCTTCAAGTCGCATCGAAGATTGAACAAGCGGAGATTGAATACGAGCTGACTCTCTATACCAGTGACTCGCGAAGAAGCGACATGGGAGTCATTCTCCGAAGATGAGCCGGCGCCGCCCAAGAAGAAACCAGCGGTCAATGTGGCAAAGGCCAAGGGCAAGCCGACGGGTCAAGGCAACATCATGTCCTTCTTTGGAAAGAAGTGAGTGTATCATGAGTATTGTGACTGTCACTATGTCGTGCTGGAGCATTGGCGCCTTTCATTTTGACAACTCTGGAGGCGCAAAGGGTTTCGAACATTGCTTTACATTTTCACACAGCCCTTTTTCAGAGTAATTTCTTAGCGTCACTAGACGCACTTTTTACCTTCACATGAATCCGAGTATAGAATCTTAGACGAGACCTCGGACTCACTAGCGACAATAATGCTGTTGCTCGTACCAATATCTTTTAGATCAGACAAGCAAGCTAGAAGGGTGATTTCATAGGAGCTACTCCTGTCTCCGAGCCTGTCAAGGGAACATCACATAGATAGCTTCCTTCTTACGGTAAGCTGGAGCTGAGCTCCAAGGAAGAAGAGGCAGATTGACCACCAAGCGAGCATATACATAGTCGAATCCTGTATGATAATTCAACATGAGGGTTTCCACCAGTCTTTCTGATGAAGGTTCGACCTGTTTCTGTTCTTCGGAAAAGTGAAGTTGTGGTGCTCCACAAATATTTGTAAACAGACGCCGATCGCTTCTCCGCACTTTGTAGTGGAGACAATGCAACCATTGAAAGCATCAAATCGTCTGATCTCATTCTGCATCGATCGACAGCAAGCCTGCGCTCACCTTCAAGCCCCCAGTATGTTACGTGATGCTACCTAACCAGCAATTTCTCCGAGGAGCATCGTCAGGATGCAACTGTCCTTGCAGATCACTAGACTGGGCAGTGTCACCAGGTCCATCTCGCGAAGCGGGCGGTTGAGCATCTGCAAACGCTATGGGCGGCGCCGCACTGGTAACACAACCGACAGGGCCGGCAGTGGTCTCGTCCATCGTGGTCGATGCTTGGCTCTTGCTGCGCGTCCGAAGAATGCGCCCTTGTCTGACGGAGGATCGGCAGGCGCGATGATCGGCCTTTGTTCTATTTATGCTCCGTTCTGAGCCCATACTTGACCGCGCGACCTTGGAAATCATTCGACAGGCCCAAGCTGTCAACAATGCCGCTGTCAGCCCTACTGCTTGGAGGCTTGCTAGCCTCGTCAACTTCTGCGCTGCCGGGTCGCGATAGTCCTACCGTCCATCGACGAGCGTGTCCTGACTACACCTCCTACGCATCGACGCCGCAGTATGTATACTGATCGGGCCTGTAAATCCTCTATGTGATGTATGAATGTGAACTCATCTTTCACTAGTGGCCCATACAGTGGAGGACCCTTGAATCTCCCCTATCAACGCCCAGACCCTGCATGCCGTACCTTTTCGTCGGCTTCGGTCGAACAGGTCATTGAGGATGTTACTTCGCGTCTGGTGGACAAAGATCTAGCGCAACTGTTCCGAAATGCGTTCCCAAATACTCTAGACACAACTATTCGCTGGCACCAGAATGAAACGGCGGCAGTGTCAAAAAAGTCAAACAAGCGGGACTCTGCGCAATGGACCGGCCTCCAGACGTTCATTGTCACCGGCGATATCAACGCAGAGTGGCTGCGCGACTCAACCAACCAGCTCACCAACTACCAGGCCCTCGCCAAGAAGGATAAGAGCATCTACAATCTCATTTTGGGGGCAATTCACACCCAGGCCGAGTTTGTCATCCAGTCGCCTTACTGCAATGCTTTCCAGCCACCTTCTGCAAGTGGCATCTCCCCCGAGAAAAGCACTCAGAAGGACACCGTGAGCCCGCCTTACGACAATTCTTTTGTGTTTGAATGCAAATATGAACTCGATTCCCTCGCGCATTTCCTCCTTCTCGGCACAGAGTTCTATGAGAAGACTGGTTCCACAGAGTTCCTGACCGACCGGTGGTATCAGGCATTACAGACTGTTCTCACCGTACTGGATGCTCAATCACAGCCGACGTTTAACTCCCAGAATCAATTTGTCACTAATCAATACACTTTCCAGCGGGAGACAAACACAGGCACAGAAACGCTCAATTTGAAAGGTATTGGAAATCCCCTCAATGGCGGTACAGGTCTCATTCGAAGTGCTTTCCGCCCGAGTGACGACGCTACAATTTTTGGTTACTTCACCCCCCCGAACGCAATGATGTCTGTGCAACTCCAAAAGATAGCCAAAGTCATCAAAGCTGCCGGTGGTCCAGATGATGTCGCCGAGAAGCTGGAGCGCCGCGGTTCCAGCTTGGCGAATTCCGTGAAAGAGCATGCGATCATCAATGATCCCAGATACGGCGATGTGTATGCTTTCGAGGTCGACGGCTATGGGTCCCGAACCCTGATGGATGACGCCAATATTCCGTCTCTACTATCACTCCCGTACCTTGACTTTCTCGACAAGAAGGATGAGACGTATCAAAACACTCGCAAGATGATCACTGAGAAAGGTGGCAATCCATACTATCTCGAGGGTCCTGCCTTCCACGGAATTGGCGGTCCGCACAGTAAGACCACGACTTTGACCTAAGAGTCGTCCGCTCCATTTTGACTGACTTTATCTAGTTGGGCTCGAAAATGCCTGGCCGATGTCCCTGTTGATGCAGGCCATGACTTCCGACAATGACACGGAGATTCTCGACTGCATCAACTTGGTTCGTGACTCTAGCTTACTGGGTCTCGTCCATGAGTCAATCAATGTCACCAACATCGAGATCTACACTCGTCCTTGGTTCGCGTGGGCCAACTCCGTCTTTGCGCAGACCATTCTAAAGGTAGCGAAAGAGCGGCCGCATTTACTCTTTGGGGACAACGCGGAAGCCTATGTCATTGACTAGGGTGGAAGACCTCTCGAGGCGCATCTTTGAAAGACGTGCTGAATACATGGCCCCCAGGGGGCTAAGAGTTTTCTCACGGCGCCGAGTCGACGGCGTGCTTAACCGTGGATGCTTCCTTGCCTGGGAATTGTACATGTGCATTAGGAAAACCCGCAATCCTTCCGTGAATTGAGCATGCGATTACGCAAACATGCCAGTAGTTGGGCTCTTGCAATGAAGAGGCCTAAATTTGTATGTTTCCGAAGAGATTTAAGCTTCTAGGTCTAGGAACGCGCCATTTCATATGTGCAATCTCGTAATCTCAGGGAACCCTCTCGTATCGGTCGTAGAACAATTCAAATCAGGACTCTCCGAAGTCCATCTGTACCGCCCAAAACCCTCCTGCCCGTGACCGGACACCTTCCTTTCCCACTCTCCCATTTTCCAGCACGCTTGCGGGTAATCCTATCTCCATCTTCAGTCCCATCCGAGCCGCTCTTTACAGGGTCATCGTCGCCTGTGATCTCCTCCTCCCAAGGAGCACCGGCCCCTTCTCCGTTCATGAAGTCAATCTGTCGTTGGTGCTCGCCATTCAGCCAATGGAAAATACACACATAGCAGAACACATAGCCCGTCTGGCACGCTGTCGGGTTGACCAGTGTGTTCAGACAGACTGGGCACATATTCGCGCTCGACGTCTCGGCCGGCGGGAGCGGCACAGTGAAAATGGGAAGATACGAAGTCGCGGAGATTGGAGACTGATGACGTCGGGCTGATTTCAATGCGGATTTCAAGTCGCCTGAAGCTTTCTTTTCTTGCTCGGCTTGCTTTTTCTCCTTCTCCTCTTGGCCGGCTTTGCGTCGCTCTGCAGGGCTGGTTAACCCCGATACAACGGGTGCTGGCAGTTCGAGAACCTCGGTGGCTTTCCGGGCCAATTGCCGCGAGAAGTCACTTGCGTGCCACCATTCAAGGAATTTAAGGGCGAAGATCGAAGCGGGCAAGAAGTAGCGCAGAGAAGTGAGGAGCTGTGGGTAGATATTTTGAGGGCTCAACAGACCCATCAGACCTGAGCCGGGACGTTGGTGGCGACGGGTCCCAGCGGAGGCTGGCTTGGAATCCAGCACAGCGGCAATCGCACGATGGTCTGCAGCTCCTAGCCGCCGAATGCGCGTCCCAATTAGCCACAGGAAGGGGGAGGAGTATTTGGTATTATCGAAGAGATAGGCAAGATTGAATGCCAAAATGGAGAAATAGTATGCTGCGTTGACGGAGGGATAGATGTTGCGCAGGAACCACTTGTAGTAGTGGAATATTCGTTGGCGAATTGTCGCATTATGAGGAAGATCGTCGTTGGGATTGTACCGTGGACCGCCGCCCATGACGAGGGATGCATGTGGTGCAGCATGTATATCATATCCCTCGTCCAGTTTTCGTTTCAGATAGGGGATTCCGACCATGACTAGCAGGTTCTTCCAAATGTCTGTCGAGTGCAGCTTTAGGGCATCACGCACGGGACCAGCCGCGCCGACCTGGGCGCGTGGGATTTCGCCATTCTTCGTGCGGAGGACACGCTCGCGCTTCAGAGAGTAAAAGTTTTCGGTGAACGATCCGCCAAACGTGCGGAGATAATAGCGTTCGACAACGAGTGAGAGGAGCGCATAGACTTCGTCGTACGAGTTGAGAATACGGAGCAGATAGCGAGGATGTCGGTGTGTCGCAACGGCAAGAAGGTAGCGGAGGGAGGGCGGGAGGAGGTCGGAGAGTTGCTGTTCAGCAAGTAGTTCTACAGAGTAGCATCGTCGTCAGCCCAATGGTTCAAGTCAGGCGTTCAAATTCGGCGTGGAGAAGCAGGGGGCATCCCCGGATTCCGCGGCCGACAAAAGCGGAGATCATGTGGATGTACTCACCGAAAAGTGATGGCTTCTGCTCATCAAACTCCTGTTGGAGACTGGGTAGATACTCCATTGTTCGAGGAGCCGCTCATTCCCAACCAGCGAGTGTGCAAGTAGGTCAATGGGCGCTCCGCGGGGATGAATGGGGGAAGTGGTCGAGGTGGAATTGGAGACTCGGGATCACAGCCGAGGCTCAGTTGCCCGAGGCGGGCTGCGCTAAGGTACGCTGATCCGTGGGCCCACCCTCCACACTGTAGTACTGTTGAAAGTAGAAACTAAAATCTGCAAAGTACGACGTACAGTACCTGATAGCTTTACAAGAAGGTATTATCCCAAGCCTGCTGCTCGTACTTCTAGGTGAAGTGGTCTCTCTGGGTATGTGCAAGTAGAGTGTGATGATATCGATGGAAAACACAAGATCTCATCTATAGTACAGAGAAGAACACACACCTTCAGAACCGTGGCTGTGAAAGCGCATCCTGGCATCGCCGCCAGAGCTCGAGATGGAAGCTGGGAGACCTATCCCCGACTCGATGCTGGATTTCAGGTTCTGCAACCAAGAGGCAATGCATAACAGAGGTAACGATTGGGCCCTCCAGTTCAATGACAGGATTTTCGTTACCCATCATGGGCACCCACGTCGATAAGCAATCGCGTGCGCGACGCTCCTCCCCGAGATCAGCGTGTAGCTGGAATAGATTTCGGTAATCGTCCTGGGTACGCCCTGTGCCCTTAAGAGGTATTTGGTGCCATATCCGCCAGAACCCATCGTAGTCTTCGCACTGAAATTGGGTAATCATGAGTTTTCGGGCTTCCTCCTCGTCAAATGCGACCTCGGCAGCTGAGACGATCTTGGATAAGCGGTTGAGCATGAGTCGCTGAGAGGCTGTCCATTCCTTGCCGCTAGTGCCCATGACAGGCCGCTCGGTCTCGGGCATATCATCTTGCAGAGTCGCGCCAGATTTGATGATGGGTGTATCTACCACTTTGTATAGCATGTTGAAGACTTTGAAGTTAAAAATGGGCACACCGCGTAGACTCAGCCGCTCCAGAACACGGAAAGCAAGCTCAATATCTTCTTGGGGGAGATATTGCGAAGAAGGTCCACCACTTTTTCGGTCGGCTCGTGCAGATAGGAGGGCAGCGACGATGTCAAAAGCAGTTTCATCCTCCAGCTCATAGCCGACACGAAGAAAGTCTTCCAAGGCTCCGTAGAGCTCATCCTTACTGTACGCTGGGTGTTGCCTTGAGATGGCAATGGAATGAAGCTTCAGGCGGAAGATCGCAAGGTCCTTTGCAGACATAGTATTAGTCAGGCTTCCGTATAAGAGCTGCAAGAAGACAGTAGAGGTGCGATCGTTGGGCCCAGAGCCAAGCTCAGCGCGGACTCTCTCGTGAGGGAGTGACAGAAGCATCCGAAGCAGTGAATCCGTACCCATTTCCACTTCAGCGGCCTTGGCGGTGATTCCTTTTGCCGTAATTGCAGCCATCATTTCAGATCTAGTAGACCCAGTGCTTGAAGTCATGATGGGCCGAATGGTGTGAAATCCGCGCCTCTGGCCGTTTTGATTGCGCATCCTGTAAGAGGCACGACTGTCCGACGAAGACTGTCTACTCAAATCAATCTGCGACATGTCTTTCAGCCGATTTCTTTCGTCTCGTTCGATTGTCCTCTCCCACAGACCGTCGAGATCGACCTCAGCTCTCTTCTCCTCCGTGAAGATCTGGACCACGACGTTCGTTCCAAGTTCTACCTGCCCGAAGCCTTCAAGCCCAGCATCTGCAAGACTCGTCTTCTTCATGTCCTTATCAACGACTCCAGCATTGACACAGATCCAACCAGTTGTGATGCCATCGTCTTTCTCATCAATCGTTGTTCCAGCGTGACTGGCCGCACGAGCGCGTTTGGCCTTTCGTCGGAGTTTGATCTTCAATTCATTGCGTCCAAGAAGTCCATCCGCATGTGGAGAAAGCTTGTATTGACTTCGAAGCCAGCGACACAGACGGTCAGCAGAGACGTTCAAATGCTTCACACTGCGCGCCGTTCCAATGACCATGATCACATTGGCGCCCAAGGCCGCAGGGGCCTCAAGGCCCCGCAAATCATAAAGTTTCAGTTGATCGAGGCCGACCTCTTTGTAGACGTATTCGAGAAGTGTTGGGAGCATTTCGGGGGAGTCTTCGGGGGTCTCGGGGATGTGATCGCCAGGCACAAGGCGTTCCTCGGCTGTTTCTTTATCTTCCTGCAGGTACCATGGAACGTGCGATGCAGACCGCCCATTTTCCCTCTGTAAATCTTCATTTTCGACAGGTGAATGATTGATATCGGATAGATTGAACGCGGGAGGACGATCGGAACGCAACGGCGATGCGGCAGAGAAGGCTCTGGAGTTGAGACTAGGAGGTCTGGAAATGGTTATGTGAGGCATCGGTATGCCCGTAACAGCAATGAATGATCGCAAAATCTCATGGCGACAGGATTGGCACGCAGCGCCTCTCAGTAAAGCTCTACTCATGATTGCGTAACCTCCAGAAAGGTTGGCGATGAGATGGAGCACGCGAGTGCGGCTTTGCCTTCGGAGGATCCACCGAGCCTTGCTATCGCTAAGTGCAAATCATGCAAACAGATTAGTCATTGACAGAAAAAGATTCCTATCGGGGCGGGGCAATTGTTACAAATCGCTCTTTTTACAAAAGTGCATTCACTCTGAACTAGACATTTTGGTGTTTTAAATCCACCATGTCGATGGATCTGGATGCCCCCGTACCTATGACAGGGCTGCAAGAGCAGCCTGTCATGATGGCGACGTAAGTATCTTCTCCCAAATATCGAAGATGCGAACACAAGCTTACTATTTACAAACAGTATCCTGTGTTGTAATTGTGGTGCCCCGATCGATGGAACAGCTTCTGCTGGTGCTCTTTGCTCCGGTACGCATACATTTTAACTCTTCATTCAAAGGAAGAAACCACTAACAAAAATTGCAGAGTGTCTTCGCAACACCGTCGATGTCTCCCAGGGCATTCAAAGAGAAGGAACCCTTCAGTGCGTATCGTGACCTTTGTTTGAGTAGCGGGCGGTTTGCTTACTGTTGTCTCTAGCTGCTGCCGTGATTGTGAGCGTTGGTTGCAACCACCAAACAGCTGGGTCGTCGCAACTCCCGAGTCGAAGGAGCTTTTGGCTGTCTGCCTGCGCCGACTTCGCGGTTTGAATAAAGGTATGTCGGGTGGTGTCCGGGAGCACCGTCGCATAAACTGACCATGTCGCTTACTTTTGATCGCTCACTCCAGTGCGGATTATCGACGCCAGTTTTATCTGGACGGAGCCCCATTCTCGCCGTATTAAAGTCAAGATCACTATTCAGCAAGAGGCATTCCAGGGTACCATTGTCCAGCAGACGTTTGAGGTGGAATACGTTGTTGCCTCTCAACAGTGCGACGACTGCAAGAAGAGTTATACTCACAACACTTGGCGAGCTTCGGTTCAGGTCCGACAAAAGGTCCCGCACAAGCGGACGTTCCTGTATTTGGAGCAGCTGATTTTGAAGGCCGGCGCCCACAAAGATACAGTCAATATCAAGGAAGCCAAGGATGGTCTCGATTTCTATTTCGCGCAGCGCAATCACGCCGAGAAGGTAATTGCTTCGACTCCTCTCGCACGAGAACACCGACGAAGAGCTGTCGCTAACTGAGTACAGATGGTGGACTTCCTTCAGTCCACGATTCCCTGCAAGATGAAGAAGTCCCAGGAGTTGATTTCCATGGATATTCACACCTCTACAAAATCCTACAAGGTCAGCTCCAGTCGAATGGAGATCGCCTCGAACCAAGTACTAACATCATGATGTAGTTCACTTTCTCCGTGGAACTGATTCCCATCTGCAAGGATGATCTCGTCGCTCTGCCCATCAAGCTTGCTCGCCAATGCGGCAACATTTCGCCTCTGACCCTCTGCCACCGTGTCGGAACCGCCATTAATCTCCTCGACCCCCTCACTCTCCAAACCGCCGATGTCACTAGCAACACCTACTGGCGTTCCCCATTCAAGAATCTTGCCGATGTAACAGAACTGAAAGAGTTTATTGTCATGGATATTGAGCCCCTCGGTCACTCAACTGGACGCTACCAGTTGTCCGAAGCCACTGTTGCGCGTGCATCGGATCTTGGTAACAACGATACTACCTACTATACCAGAACTCACCTTGGCGGTATCTTGCACGTTGGTGACTCTGTTCTGGGCTACCACTTGACCGGTACGGTCTTCAACGACCCAAACTTCGAGGCTATTGAGGCCAGCAACCAGTACGGATCCACGATCCCGGACGTAGTGCTCGTGAAGAAGCACTACGCACGCAAGAAGAAGCCCAAGAACCGTGCCTGGCGCCTCAAGCGTATGGCTCGCGAATATGAGGAGGAAGCCCTTCAAACTCGTCGTCAAGAGCAGGAGCAAGATCGCCTCGAGCAGGACTTTGAAATGTTCTTGCGCGATGTTGAAGAGGATCAGGAGCTTCGCCAGACTCTCGACTTGTACAAGTCTCGTCGCAATCCTGAGCAGATGGATGAGGACAGTGGCAGTGACGATGAGGTGCCGAAGATCGACATGGATGAGCTTCTCGATGATTTCGATGAGCTGAACATGAACGAATAAGAATGATACCTTATGCGAGTGATATCCTTGATGATCATGGCTGGCGTTTGTTTTTTTTTCCTTCTCAGCTTTTGTTACAGTGTTCCGTCACTGTTTCTTTTGACATATGATTTGGGGCGAACCGGAACTAAAAGCTTCATTGAACATACTCATGAAATACACTTTTGCTTCGTATATTTGCTGTCGCATTTAAAAGGCTACATGGCTGTTGTCAGTAAGACTTAACTCTATCCTATGTCGAGGAGTGAACTATGCGAATTCGATTAGGCCGTGCTTGAGGTTGTTTTCTCTCAATTAGCCGAGAGGGAAGGCACTCTGTGCACTTTGAATACTAAGCTCCATAGCTAAGCAAGACTTTTCCGCATGCAATGCAATGATGACCTTCCAAGCACGCTCATAGGTAGGAGCTGCCTTTCGAATTGAGACCAGCCACACTCCGCCAAATCTGGATATCGCAATGGATTTCAACAAGCCTAGGCTGACAAGACATCCGACATGATACCTCCGCCGGAATCATCGTGTATGAAAAATTGATAAGGTCGCCATTCAAATGACCAAAGACTACGTAGACCAGTCGTATACCATCGCCGAACGCCCCATATTGAAAAAGAATACAGGCGGGAAACGATTCTAGAAAATCTTGCCCAGAACACGCTTCGCGTCATTATCGATCGCCTTTTCGCTCTTCTGCGTCGTCGTAACGACGTCGTTCTGAACAAAGCGTCTGCGCACGGGAGCGGGCATTTTCGGCTCCTTCTTGTCGCCTTCGACTTGTCCCTCGGCCTCGGCCTTGCGCTTCCTCTTCTCTTCGTTCTTTTGAGTGATGCCGTCCAGACGACGGCCTGCCTCGACACCTGCGAGGAAGACCTTCTCTTCCTTTCGGGCTCGGATATCAGCCATGCGCTGCTTACTTTCCCGCTCGGATCGTTCACGTTGCACGGTTTCCATTAGCTAGAGAGACTCGGTTAGTTTTCTTGTGCATCATGGAGGGAAATTGAAAGGCATCGGAGCAAATGATCGATTCCGTGATCTCTAGGTAGTCACAACAAAGGAGCAAATGGTCACTTACATCTGCCCATTTGAATCCGGATCTGAACGGTAAGAGGAAGGCTTGATGTTAGCAAATAACGGACTTCTAAATCGAACGCCAGATTGGCAGGGAGAGCTCACAAGTAGCGCATGTTAATAACGTCGTCGCGATAATACATTCCCTTGGGCCCGCCAAGCGGACGAGCATTCATCGCCTCGGCCGCTAGACGAGCGGTTTTTTTCGATTCGAATTCAATCCAACCCTCGGAATAGAGCTTCCGCTTGTTGCTTTTTCTCTGGCTTGAAGAGTTGCTAGGAACGAGGGGGGCGAAGAAGACTTTGCGAATGGGACCGAATCCACGTTTTTCCATAATATTCTTCAGTGCGAACCTGTAGTAGAGAACCGAGTCAACTAGCTATCATACAATGTACCATCGCGATCGCTCATAGTACATAGCGCATGTACCTCTGAGCTTGCGCGATGAAAGAAGGCAAAGGACTTCCACTCACGGTTTGAGATATGGCGGCAGTGAAGAAAGATAAACAACGCCACTCTTGTCCTTCTTAGGTTTCTTAAGCAACTTTGTAGAAAGCACCTTTTTAAATTTCTTCTGCTCCGGCGATTCGTGGTCGTCTTTGGCGTGTTCCTTCTCATCACCCTCTTTGTGCTCATCGTCCTCGTCCGCGTCGGTCTCTTCCCGCTCCACGTCTTGGGAAGAAGTACCCGCGCTCTTCGTCTTCGGCCTCAATTGCTTGCGACCCTTTCCCTTGACATCGCTCCGGGAGGTCTCATCCTCTTCCTCCTCCGACAGGTCCTCGTCAGACTCGAGACCGAAAAAATCCTGCGTGTCGGTGCGGCGCTTCTTCACGGCTCGGCCTTTTGACTTGGCGTCATTCTCCTCCGAGGAATAGCCCCGGACATCGACCTCATCCTCGTCACTTGCGACGTCTAGAAATTCATTGTGCTTTCGTGTAGTCATGTCGGAACGGTGTTCTTGCGGGATCAAATGCTTCGAAAAAGCCCGGTTTTGCTCAAGCGCGGCCACAGTGTTTCGCCGTCAAAAGTCCGCAACTTTTTTTCCCGCCGGTGATCCAGAACTGGTCCGTGCGCGGGTCGATAACTCCGCCTTATCTGCGACCGTTTGGATACCAGTGACGAAATGGTGGGTGTGGCTAATAGCTATTGTAATGCATGTCATATTTGATCGGAGACAATAAAATATTCGCAAGCTGATAATGTAGTAGTATATGCTACTAGCTACTTGTAATAACATGCTTGTCAGACAGTATGAGGAGAACGTGCATTGAAATCTGTTTAGGACAACTTGATTGCTTCCATAACATAGCAAACGCTATTGATGAAGAGAGTTCGCATCTGAAGCAGAGTCAACAGCCCATAGCGTATGTACAACTTGTGTGAGTGACATATTCTATCGTGATATAATCGCCAAGAAAAAGTGTAGATGGTCGCAGCAGGAAGTTAGTAAGCCCATAGAGACCCAGTTCGCCGCCTGAAGACCGACCATTCGAGCTGAACAACAACGCTTCAAATGCCCAGAGACCACTTTAATCTTTCGTAAACGAAGAAGGCCGTTGCTGCCATGGGCACGACCTTGATGTACCCGATGGTCAAGCCTACCCAGAACCCGCGGAACCCTCGCTCAAGCCAAATTTTGCGGCCCGTGTCAAGGATACCGAGTCTCTGACCCCCACCCACAGCACCACCGACCTGCATACGCCGCCTGATCACCTCAAGTGGATAGGATGAGGTCTGTGAGACGACGCCAGCCACCGCACCAGAAAATAGTTCGGCTGTGGCGGTAAGCTGAGGTTGGCGTGAGCCCTTCTTTGGCTTCGACTCAGACGCCGGTATCGTCGTGTACTGGGCAATAGCAGGGGTCCGTAACCAGTCGCCTACCGTGTCGTGAGTCAAGAAGGACACACCGGCGTAAGGCAACATTCCCAGGATTGTGGGGCCAAATCCACGGTAGAAATTCGCTAGTCCGCTACGTGGTACAACCTGGTTGACCGTCGCGGCAACGGTCTCTGCGGTGGCGATGGTGGCCGACGTGGTCTGGCCTCCCGCGCTCACTGCCGCACCTGTCGAAGGAAGTGCAGCACGTTCATTGTATATTTGGCGACAGATGTCCGTTAATGATGAGCGCGATGATTTTTTCGTTTCAAAAGCTAGTCGAACTCGGACGAGCTCTAATGGGTATGTGAAGAAAACGGAAGTGATGCCGGCCAGGCTGCCGGACAAAAGGCGGCGTATGGCAGTTTCTTTCTCGGGCGAGGGGATGACGATCGCGCGGACTTGTTCATATGCAAGGAATTTGATACCAGCGTAGGGAAAGATGCGGAGGAGGGTCGCAGAGTGGCCTTTAAAAAGACCTCGGGCCCCTTCATAGCGTTTAATGTCGCGAATGGCAGCTGAAAGACCAGCCCAGCTACCGGTGTATTTGGCAAATTGAGGATTTGAGGCCTGGAACAGAATTTTGACCCGATCCAGGGGAGCCACGACAGTTTTGGCCTGGAGAAACAGAGCGCCGCCCGGTCAGCAGGGTCTTCGAGCATTGCCTCGGTCCAACAGTGTGGACGGCGTTCGTGTCAGCTTACCGCACAGCCTGCTAACCCTCCAGCAAGGCCACTTCGCAAAACATAGTCGACACTTCGTGTTTTCACGGTCCCGCCGCTTTTCGTGGTGTCAACTGCGGTGTTCGACGTGGTCGAATTACCGGCGCCGCCAGCAATTGAGGATTCGGTTTGCGCGACTTCACTCATCGGGGATAAGGTCTGCGGAGACGGCTCCGGGTTGTGATGTGACTGATGGTAATGGTTTGTGCGAGCGATAGAATCAAGTCGTGCATTGTCTGTTAGAACAGTTGACATGCAAAGAATCAAACTGAACTGTCGGGGACCGATCCTGTGCGGTCGAGGCGCATTCGGAGTGGAGAGAATCCGGGTCTTATCTCTGGGGAAAACTAGCGATGGTTTCTGCACCCCTCGTGATCACTCGGCGATAATTTTTGGCAGGAAAAAGGCTCGGGTTACCGGCAGCTCGTCGGGAGGCCTTTGATTAACGGGGATGAAAGAGACTTTCCCCGTCTCACTCGGGTCGCACTGGTCTGATTGCAAGGGGACTTGTGTCTTATGTCTACTTGAGCACGATGGTTGCGAAAGATGTGGAATGACCAGACTCTCTTGGAGATTCTGCCGCCGTGTGAGCATTCACTGACGTCGGACTGCCACGGGCATGCCGCATTACTGCGGGCTCGGCGTAAGGACTGACAAGCCGATACCAGCCGCCTCCCGAGTGTAACCGCCGGTTGGCCGGACAAGAACCAGTATTTTACAATACGTTACAAAGTATTACGCAAGGTTTGCCGGCGATGGTAAGTTCGTAACTTCGTAGCCCTTCACAAGTTCACTCTCCAGTTGGCGACTGCCCCGTCGACTTGGCCACAGTGACTTGGAGATTACGTGATGGGGAACACGTTAACAACTGGTGAGCAAGTACTAGTACTATGCGTCTCACTTATCACTACATTTTTGCATATCGATCTTGATTCGCAAAATGCATTCGCAGCTTATGGGATTCTGAAATCAATGTTTGAAAGAATCTATGTCGCTGTTCGTCATCTATCAAACGTTTGATTGGGAATGTCCACCGAGACAACATGAACAAACCCGAAGTCCGCATGACTTGCCCTTTGGAGATGCTTTGGAACTGTACAGAATGCAGGTCTCTCTCCGGTATGCAAATATGATACATCAACAAGAGTGCAGATTCGTGGGTCGCGTGATCGCAGAGAAGGAAACTGGAGGAAAATACATGCAAGAGGAGAACCGTGGTATCTAAGCGACGTTAGGTGTGGCTGCCCTCTGCAGAGAAAATAACGTTCAACCCGTGATGCAGATCACGCCGAGGGGCTCGATCAAGTCCCACGGCGTGACGCTCGACGGGCGGGCGCCTTGGCCCGCGTGCCTCGGCCGCCGCGCGAGTCATCGGCGTTCCGCTTCTGCCGCTTGGCGGGCCGCTCAGGGTCAACGTGAAGGTGGCCATTCTCGCTCATCGATGTGCCATTTTGCCATCGCAGGCAGCGAAGACGATGCTCATTAACGTCCACGTAGGTTTTCTGCCGCGTAGTCACGCGTTTTGTGGGCAATTCCTCTGATTCAGCTCGTTGAGCGCTCAGGCTTAAATATGATCGGCGCTTTTCCATGGACTTGGTGATCGCGTGCTGCTGGAGGCGGAGCTCTTTGACGAGTTTGCTCTCACGATGACCGCGCGTGTCCAGCCACTGGATCAATTGCTCAATAGCTTCGGGGTCATCGTAGTAACCCCACTCCCGAGCGTTCGACACATGCGTAGGGCCCTCCTCATGCTTCTTGCGCTCAGCCGGCGTCGTGTGGAACTGCTTCTGATATTGTTTTCGTTGTTCATCGGTGAGCTCGATGAAGCCAGTACGTTCCATTTCATCGGGCCCTTGAACCCAAAGGCGACCGTTCGCATACCCAGCTTCCGCTGTGGAGCTATCGGGCATGCCACCATGAGGCATCGCGTTACGTTCGAACCACCAATATCGGTTGCAGAAGCGGTCGAGACCGAGACATTTGGTCCGAGGGCAGTCGGCCTCCCGGAGGTCATTTTCAACTGACTCGATTTTCTCTTCGATCTTCCTGATCTTGGTTTTTTGGTCCTCGATCTTCCTCAAGACGCGCTGGTACTGCTTGGAACCCTTGGGCTGTTTGGCCAAGAGCTCCTTTCGCTCCCGCTCCTCTTCTTGCTTGCGTTTGCGCTCCGCGGCGCGATCTGCGCCGCCTCGAAGCGAACGGGTCAGAGTCAGGTGAGAATCTTCGTCGTCTGTGTCCAGAGGCATCTCCGAGTCACCGTCTAGACCAGTCAATCGGGAATCATCGAGCCCCTCAAGCTCTGGTACAGGCGTAGCAGGTTTCTCAGCGGTCTTGTCTTGTTCGGGCTGAAGTGCCTTGCGCTCTTGCTGGAGGAGCCTCAGATCATGGACACTAGGCACACGTTCGGGGTCAGTATTACATTCTTTCAACATGGGTTCCTGCCAAGACAAAGTGCACTTACGCGGCTTTGCGAGATTTTTGGTGCTCGATCTTCACCTTGCGAGAATCGGTCATCTGAACATTGCATTCCTCCATGTAGTTCCGAATGGCCCTTGTCTCCAGACTCAACATGCAGATGATCTCGAGGGCTTTCACTCGCAGGTTGATATCGAGGGTCCGATACTGGTCTCTCGCGGTCTGCTGCGTGGGGGGCTCATCAATGGGCGCAAGATGCTTCAGGACCTCGTGGCAAGTCTGCTGAAGGCGAGGGCGAACAGAAAGCTGATTTAGTAGACCAACCATGACCATTTCCCATCCACCGTTGCGGAAATCGCGGCGACGAAGGCGGTCGATCCAGCTATAATCGTCGAACATCTCGTCCGCTCGGTGGATGCGCTCTTCCTGCTCGGAATCCTCCAGTTGCGCTTGGAGGTCCTGGGCCTCTTTCTTGGCCAGACTGCTGCGAGTGGTCATTCTCCTGGCTGGTGCAGGCTCCTCCTCCTCTTCTTCCTCCTCGTCGCTCTCTTCAGCCTCACCGGCATCTGAATCCTCAGAATCATCGGAAGATTCTGACTGAATCTCTGGTAGAGAGATCCGTGTAGCCCCACCGTTGAACTCCGAGTCTACCAGTGTCTTGAGAAGCGCGCAGTGAATCTCTACGAACAACTCGCAGTCTGTGACCTCCGATGAGAACCGCATTGCCTGCACAAAGTCATCGAAAGTGAACGAGTCGAGCTGATACACCTCGCAGTAGACGTTGAGCGTGTTCCAGGTCTCGAGAAGAAGTCCCACAGATTCGGGTTCCACGTCGTCCGGCAACAGACCCTCAGATCCATCATCATCCGTATCCCCCACCATCAAAAACTTCAAGGTTGGGCGGTGATTTTTGTCTTTGTTTGGCGTGATCTCCAAATCCTCGATAGGATATTTGATGGGTGGGGGTGAGGGTAGTCGCGGTTCGCTCTTAGGGACAACTGAAGGCTGCGGCGTCTTCTTATCACCGACCAGCGGTGGCTTTGTGGGACGGAGGGGATTCCCTGGTGGCAAAAAGGTTGGATTACCGTTCAGAGAGCGTTGGTATTCCAAATACTGTGCGTCGCGGGTTTTGGCGTGGTCATGGGCGGTGAGCTTGGATTTTGCACCTTTCACAGCAGGTTTGAGTTCTGGCAGCTGCTGCGATGAGAAGAATCCAAAGAATCCGTCTTGGTCCGCCTTCTTCATGGCCTTCTTCTCTGCCACCTTGGTACCATATTGCAAGTGCTTGGGTACCTCGGTGGAGATCTTGTATTCCTCCGCGACAGACGGTTTTACCAACCAGGGAGCACCCGTCCACGACTCTCGCGTGACATTGTTCTTGATGAACCCTCGAAGCATCAACTTGGTAAATGACTTCCGATCCCGAGTGATGTGGTCTTGATCCAGGAGAGCCTCTTCATTGGGTCGGTCGGAGATCTTGACCAAATACCTCGCATATGCGGAGGTCTTGATGGTGCCGTCCGCATAGAGTTGCTCTGGGAAATTGGCCTTATCTCTGATCGTTCCATGAATGCGGCTGTTGTCTTCCAGAAGGATCAAGACTGGCTCTCCGGGATAGAAGTCGGTTTTGAATTCCTTTGAAGAAGGTTAGAGGGACATCGATCTCACACACAGTTCACTTCACCCGCACAGTCAGACTCACCTCGTAGATCTCGTCAACTGTGAGAGCAAAGAGTATATAGTCAGTTGGAACGTTCTCGAACTGGCATGGAAAGTCAAGTTCTGGACTGCATACCCAGATTGTCAACTCTAGAGGTCGTAGAAAACTGAATGCGACGTAATATTGGCTCCTTCAGGGCTTCAGGGAAACTGTTGTTGACCTCGCGGGATTCCTCGAGCTGTTGCGCATAGTCAGCGGCCGTCGCAAAAAGCCCGCTCATCAACCAACATACCTCGCTTCGAAGGGCCTCAAAGAAGGTCATGCCGGAATGTCCCGTTATTTCACAAATGAATCGACGGGATTTATAGAAGTCCATCCGCTGGAGATACGGCTCATAACTCGTGAAGACCTCATTGGTCTCTGGAATGACCCAAACCTGCCAAATGAGACTCGACAGTTAATAAGAGCCTCTTCTCATTCCACTCTCCCTGGTTGTGCGATGTCGTTTCTTGGTACCTCTGAGCTTTCATCCTCAATTACAGGCCGTGGCAGGTATTGAACCGGTTTGCGCTTGTACAGAACCTGAGCGTTCGATCAGCCGACGTTCCAAGGATCTTCGCGAACTTCGTCGATTCGTGCAGAATGAAATGCTCCATTTTTGGTAGAAGATCATGAAGGCGTACCATAATATCGTCGAATGTAATACGCCGCGCGCCAGTCTACCAGAGACTAGCGAGAGACACCGCAAAGAAAACCAACTAGAGCAGCACGCGACAGTCAGCAACAATCTTCAGACATACAAAGCGATGTGTGTAAATGGAAAGCAGGAGACAAAAATTGAGTGCGGCATGATAGTCTCGTCCTTAACTCATCCCGGCGGGTTGACCATGACGACTCAAGCGGGACTCATCGGAGGTTGCGCTGCAATCGACACGAATCGGAGCGCGGAGCAGTTGAAGTATAGCAAAGTGGAGTGCTCACATACTGATAGAGATGCGTCGCGCGTGGGAACAAGTTGCTCTGTGGGATTGTTGGCTCAAGATCAGGACTGGGAACGAAGAAGGTTGAAAGAACGCGTCTCACGAGAGAGAAATGTAAAGGAAGAACGTTCAATGCAAAGAAGAAGCGCAGAAAGAGGAGCGGTCGATCAACCGCGCCCTGGCTCAGAGACCTCTGATTGGCTGAGAGGAGGAGCAGCGGGAGCTAAAGACAAAAACCAGCCTGAAGCGTGAGGCTGCCCACATTTCCCGGAAGTCCCTCGGAGGTTGCGACCCTTCCTCTCCTTCTTGTCCTCATCCTCCTTGACCCGCTACGCGCATGAACCATCCACCAGGGACCAAATCTGGCTTTGTTTGTACTCGTTCGACTCGCTGGAGCCTGAAGATTTTATCCAATGCATCGACTTAGCTTCGACTTCGCAAAACGTCAAGTTTTACGTTGAATCTCTTAATTTGCGCTCCTCATCATGTCGGGGGTTTATTGTCCACTGGGAGGACGCTTTTCACTTCCATGAATATTAAATTGATCGGTGAAAGTCTGACAAGTCTTCAAGGTGGACATGGAATGACCTCTACATGCTGATTTATCAAACCAAATATGAGGCCTCAGGTCCTTCTGCCTATGAGATTCTGTCATCCTGCCCTCTAAGATGTACTCTGACTCTTGACGGCTGTCAATACTGAACCACACGAGAGCTTCACGCAGGAGACCCGTCTCAAATCAAATGAATGATACTAGTTAAGCGTCTACCATAGCGAAGTCTACTATCACCCAAGGTCATACTAACACCAGTTTATGAGACCGACGGTGCACAATTGGATCCCATAGATCTTCTCACTCTGGTCTTGCTACGCGAAACCCTTTATCAGTCATCAAATGATCTCCACAAATATTAGATAGCAATTTCGATAAGGAGACCTAACTATCTCAATCATTGAAGCTTCATCGATGGGTTTCCGAGACATTGAGCTGGGGAGAGTGTGAAGAAAGGAAATACAATCAGAGATCGAAGCTTATACGACCGTTGCACTTTCATGTCAGTCAAAGAATGCCTCGTTGGGTAGGTAGGTAGGCAACGGAATCACTCCCTGCTTGATTGACATTCAACGATCTAGGGATATTATTTATGCTATTGACGATATCCCATACCCTTATCGTTTCTACGTCTCTCAACACGGGCAGAGATCCATAGACAATGTTATTCAAGCATCATCTCTTTCCATACAGGGTCAAGAGCTTTGATGGTGTCAGCCAGGATTCGGACTGGTATCATCATCAAGTACGGTTCCTTAATTACCTCCGGATCAGAAAGCCTTTTCAGTGGGACAGCCTCAGAGCTCCTTGATAATACCCTCGCTGCTGGGTAGATACGAAATTTCACCGAACAAGCGCAAAATTGATGGATGTTTTCCTGGTATTGAACCTCCCGGTCATAGCAGATACACCCAAAGACGGTTGATCTTTCTTTGTTCTTTCCTTGCAATAAAATATCTTTAAGATGCTCGAAAGCTGATGCAAGATCAAAAAGATGCTATTATCAATAAGCTTGGGAACGGTCAACTTTCCATGTATGGTCTGCCATGAAGAAGATCTCCATGTCGCTCATCTTAGTGAGAGGATGCCTTGTGTATGCAAAATATGATACATGGCAGTCGGCATTCGAGCCGATGGACTATACCTAACATTATCTAGTAGTCAGATCATAGACTGAAGATAATCGGTTGTCTGCATCTACTCAACCGAAGTTGAACAATCACTTCATGAGGTCGGGTGCCGTCCACCTAATTTTACTGATCCTCATGTTAGATTGATGAACCTCAGAGACGATATATCAATGTGTGCCCCTGAGAACACTCGAGATACGATGACAATATTTCATGGAGAGTCTGTACCAGATGAGAGTACCGTATGGTGGCACTTGCCTTGGGTGCATACTGAATTGTGTCCGACCTACCTCTCTGTTACGCCAGCGGCGGATGTCGGCCTACACATGTATGCAGCTAATGCACTACTTACAGGGACAAGCGGGTCCGGATGAGCTAGCCGTTTCAGGTGACGTGCAGAAATAAACTCCGTGGTTGAAGTGGGGTGCCCCCACGTGGCCAAACAATGCAAACATTGCAAAAGCATCGCCGACAGCCACGTATGTTACCTCAAATTGTAATCTACTGCAGTGACAGCGCAAATGTCGGTCATAGTACCTCAAATCCAAATAATTAATTCGCAATGATTCAGCGATCTTGCTCTGTTATTTTTTGGCTCCAATTCTGCATCTATATTTTCAGAGATTAAGAGCATCATGTTGTGAAATATACAACCATAAAGCCAACCCAGCTACCAACGACTCCTAGGGCGGAGTAACTGCTCATGAACATCAAGGGAAGGAATTGCAACCTTTGCGAGCCAAAGACCAACCGATGAACAATAGAGCAGTACAAGACAAGAGGGATCGAAAGAGTCAAATACAATAGAGAAAATCGGTCGAAGAGAAAGACACGGGGCCGTTCTGGTACTGGCACCATGCGGTCGAACACGAACAGGAAGAGAACAAGCCAGAAAGTCGTGTAGACGGTCTTGAGTGGGAATTCCGCGGGCGTGAAAAGCAGCGGGAACAAGGATACATGTCCCGCCACTGCGAGCGGACGAAACGCCGAGAAGTGCCGTCGGTCTTTGAGGGCAATCAAGCTGAAAGGAATGATGATCAAAAGGACGGCCTTCTCATGGACATGCCACCCAAATAGGAATGAGGCATATCCACAAAGGGTGATGGCACCGATGAAAGTGTCCCAGTCTGGACGAACCCAAAGCTTCACCAAGGGAATTAGCTGAAAGATAAACGTCAGACCAAAAGTCATCTCCTTGGTGACTTCGGGAAGGATGGCGAAAGAGGTATCTCCCACGAGCCCTCGTGTCACACTGCTGAGAGCCTCTTGATTAATTGAAAGATGAAGACGAGGAGCGACTGCAAGCCGTATTTAGCATTCGAGCAAGAAATGTATCATGGGGTAATGAGCTCACCTGTGATCAAGACACGGTCCACAAAGGAGTAAATAGCCCAGAAGTTGGGTGCCCAGTAGGCGTGACACAACCCTCTCGAGAAAGGAAAAAGGCGATCTTTGACTTGTGGTAGTTGATCCACAAATGGGCCGAATGCAATTGCAAAAACCCCGACGACACAGATTCCCAGCTTGATAGTGTTAAGCACTCGTGGGCGCAACACATTCTTTGGATCCAAGCAGTAGGCACGAAGAAGGTAGACAAAGTATGCCAAAGACAGGTAAAGATAGATGTGTTTGAAGCAGAGCAAGGCTGCGAACAAAAATCCACTAGCGAGCAGTTGCTTTCGAGCCAGTACGAGCGATAGGATGAGAATTCCATACATGAAGCCATTGTATTGGAAGTGAATATGATCAATGATCAAAAGGCCGGGCGATAACAAAATTGAGAGACTTGCGACATGAGCTGCGGGCTTATTCGCCAAAGAGGACGATTTGATGAACCTGCACACAGAAGGTTAATACAGCAACGCCAGAAAATGATTGGACGTCGAGTATCCTTGAAGTATGTCACGGACCTGCTCAGCGCGTAGACGAGGACTAGCTCTGTCACAAGGACAGTTGACCTTTGAAAGTATATCGTCTGCCACGAATCATAGTTGAGATTGTTGACCATCAGCATTGCTGGATCTATCCATGCCGCAGCCTGAGACATAAGCCATTCGAATGCCGCGAAGAAGGGCGGGTAGTCGAGCGTCCATTCCGAGGTTTTCTGAAGTAGGTTAGAAAGTGCAGAGCTTTCTTCATTCTCCGTAATTTAGCACACCTCATAATACCATTCTGTGATCGGTAGGGAGTGCGTGATGGCCAGCCAATTTCGGTGTACCTCAAAGTCGGTCGATTTACTGCAAAAGGCAATACTATTAGCGGTGCTGTCACATAAATGCGAACCATGAAAGAGATGTCTTACTATGCCGGAAATAACAGAACCTTGAACGCTGCAGCCACAATGGCGCATTGCGTGAGTGATGGGTAGAGCTCGGCCATAGCCGAAGCGTCTTCTTCCCTTCGGTAAATTGAGTTGAACAATCGCGTAAGGATGCGGGCGGGATGCGGAAGTGCGAAGCTCCTCCGCAGTCATGAAGTCACGTGCCAGCGCGATATGCGGAGAACTTATCTCAGGAGTAATCGACCCGAAGCACGCTAAGAGCGCTAAGGCCAGCGTATCAATAGCATATCCTCCGCATGGACTTCTCAGACGTCGGCGTGCGCCACACCATTCTCAACAGCATCCAATTACAACATTTTATCGACTTTTCTCCCTCTGCTGCAGTAATCGCTAAGGAGGTTCGACTGTGTGTTGTTGCCATTGTGGTAGGGTGGATCACTACTCGTGTGGTGGCCAGTCTATGCGAATCGGACAGATCGCGTAATTGCGACTGTGATCGAGCTTCTCGTCGCTCTCAAAAGCTCGAGAAAGAATAGTTGATAACTTCAGCTATCAGCAGGGAAAAACCCAGCTTGGCCCCGCTCAATTGAACAAGTTGTGCGCAACGTACGGAACATACGTCGACAATACACTCGTCGCACCGACTGAAGCATATACACATTGAGCGCTCTGAACTCGATTCGCCGATCACAATGAGGTGCTTGAGCACGTTAACATTCTTCGCCATTGGGGCCACTGCCCAGGTGATCGAAGGAACTAGCTTTGGCCATGGAACAACGTAGGTTTTCTCATACGTGGGCTGCCTTGTCTTGAATACAGACTGACCTCGCTGCCAGAATTTCTCCCCATCGAGACTCAATTCCGGGTTGGAGCCTGGGGGGAGAGGGTCACATACCAATTCTTGTACGTGGGTCATGACACCAGTCCGAATCTACGCGCAACCTGAATTAACCACAGCTGCCTTCAGCTTTCGGACAAAGTTATTCTCACGCCACCTTACCCTGGCAACACCCGTGGATCCGCTTGGGCTCAGAACCCGTACGTGGCCCGTTCTTCATTTGTTTTGCAACGTTTCACTGACAGACTTCAAGTGTATCCCAGCAGGAATGGTCGGCTGAATTCCAATTCCGAGCGAGTGGACCTGAACGAGCAGGTGGTATCATGCAGTTGTGGTACGCAAAAGATGGGCAAACTCGAGTTGGCACGTCTAGCATCTACACTGTCGGGCCATTCGATGGCTTTGCCCTTGTGGTTGATACTCATGGAGGCCGGGTAAGTTGTCTGCCTTTGCACAAGCACTTTTCTCAAAGTCAACCTTATTGATCGACTGTTATAGGGCGGGAGCGTTCGCGGATTCTTGAACGACGGGACGGTCGACTATAAGAGCCATCGAAGCGTCGACAGCCTCGCTTTCGGTCACTGCAACTATGCGTACCGGAATCTGGGCCGACCCAGCTCGATTAAGGTCAAGCATACCAACTCAGTCTTCGAGGTCACTGTTGATGACAAGGTCTGTTTCTCGACCGGCAAGGTACGTACTTTTCCACTCTCGAGTTTATTTACAGTGTATGTGCTCATGATTTATAGATTAACTTGCCGACTGGAAATACATTCGGTCTCACTGCTGCCACCCCCGAGACGCCAGATTCGTTCGAGGTCTTTAAATTCATCCTCACATCTGGCTCCGGACAGGGACAGACCGCCCAAAGCCCTCAAGATAGCACCCAGCAGCAACAGCAGCATATCGTTAATCACAACCAAGTCCCAGTAGGTGGTGATTCTAAGACGTCCGGGTCAGACAGTTCAAACGCCGCTCAATTTGTTGAGCTTCACAGCCGCATTCAACTTCAGAATAAGGCAATCAACAACATCATTCAGGAAATGAAGGCCCAAGCTGGCAAGACCGAAGCACGCCACAACGAGGCCATGCAAAAGCTGGTGGCAAAAGAGCAGATCGCGACTCTCGACGCCCGTCTCCAGCGCATCGAGTCTCTTCTGCAGAATATTCAGCGCGATTTGGAGGGCAAAGACTACAGCGGTCGCTTCAATCAACTTCAGGATACGCTTCGATCGTCGCACCTCAGTCTCACTGAGAATCTTCAGAGTCACTTCATTAGCGGTAAGTTTTCCACCGATCCAGAATTTATGTGATGCGATAGGCGCTGATATCTTATCTGATAGCCATCACTGCTTCAACTCCTCGAATGGGCTTCTTCATCTTCCTGGTCATTGCTTTTCAGGCTCTTCTGGCTACTGCATATGTGATTTACAAGCGTCGTCGGGCGAACATGCCCAAGAAATTCCTCTGAGCGGGTCTCATTCATCGCAAGTGTGTACCGGGCCGATGTCTTCAAATGGAAGTCCGCCATATCTAGAGAACTTCGAGAATGTATAAAATCTTGTAATGCGCATTTCGTGCAGATAGCTCAATTTCTTTTTGTTCGACCACGAAACCCTGTTTGGTGCACGATCTCGCTTAGTGATAAATCACAAGGCCAAAGGAAGCATCCATCTAAGGCATCAGCTGTACGTCTTTGTCTTAGCTGGCGAAATCAGCTTCCATCGTGGGCGCTCTACAGAATTGCCATTGACGGATGGTCGTTGGCAATTTTCTTCTACTTGCGAATTGTGCCGCCCATTTAGGTCGACAACACTACGTCCTCTCGATAGAGCCTTGTCTACTCCAGTCAAGAATAGTTCAATCGAGGCAGTCGCCCTTATTCGACCTCTCATACATCCGAGGGATGCATCATTACACATCTTGAGACACCGTTGCTCGTGCAATGTAATCAACAAGCCATATCGACCTACCCTGTTTCGGGCAGCTTTAGGCCAACTGCACGATGGCTTTCGACACTTGACAGGGATTTACCAAAGCAAGGCGTGATCCTCAAAGTCGCTCGCTCCGCGAGAAGAAGAAAATGTAGTGTTCAAACTGCGCTCGTTGAATGAGAAAATGGAGCCATATGCTCTGCAGGATGCAAATGAAAAACAGACGACTGTAAAAGCCATGCTTAGAGCCAACCATGCTAAAAGTACAAACAGAATCTTCAAAATGTAAATGCGCCCTCCTGATGCAAATGACATTCTTCGCAAAGTCCATGGAGCGCAAAATGGAAAGAAACAAGAAAAAACCAAAGAGAAAGAGGATGAGGTGCGGCAAAACTCATGTTGAGTCGGGAGCATTCATTTGCTCAGTGTTTGGTGGCCCGAGAGAATTGAAAGTCCTCGATATGGAGAGCGTTTTGATTGCTCAGTGCCAAAGAGTTCAGAAGCATTGTAATTCTCTCCATGTGCAGGACCCTGAGGTCTTTTGATCGCTGCATGGTAGAGTAGGCGGGAGCATAGAAAATGCTCAATGTGAAGAAGTTGCGAGCATTATCATTGCTCAAAATGAGATGGTCTGGGAGCATTGAGGTGGCTCCATTAGAAAGGGGGCGGGAGCATTGGAATTGCTCAATGTGAAGAAGCGAGAGCATTGCAGTTGCTCGATGTGAAGGGAGCGGGAGCATTGATTTGCTCAATGTGAAGAATTTGCGAGCTTGAATTGCTCAAGGGTGAAGGAGGCGGGAGCAGTTGACGTGCTCAATGTGAAGAAGTGATAATGAGACGGATCAGGAGGAGGAACCATCGACTGATGCGCTCGAGTCGTCGCCTTTTGCGAACCCCATGAGTGCCACGGCAGCGTCGTACTGGTCTTTGCTGGCCTGCCCGGATTGGAGATTCCCAATTGCTTCCTTGATCTTGGGAGCAATCGAAGCCGTAATCTCGTCAGCCGACTGATTGGAGGACTGCGCTAGGCGCTCTTCAACCAAACCTCTGGCATAGTCCATGCAAGTTCTGGTCAATTCAGTGAAGTAGTCCTGTCGGCGACGTGAGGAGTCATGACGAACGGCGGAGATGAAGTCTAGGACCAAATCTCCGGCCGGAAGAAGATGGCGTTTCTCCCGGAAATCGTCGTCGAATGTCGTTTCATTGACATCCTCATACGGCGCGGGCTCCACATCAACGGAAGCGACCGTCGCGTTCTTTGGACGGCGCGGACGGCGTTCTTGCATCTTCCCATTGACCATCTTGGTAACGACCAGCTCGTCCGGAAGGACATGCTTGGGACACATCCACCCGTTGCGTGAATTAGGGGGTGTGCCAAGGGAGGGTCGAGACAGTCGAGGTGGAAGTGAGAAGGGCAGTAGTCACAACGAATAATTGGACGCTCGTTATCCGTGGACCGACCACAGCAGTTGCAGAGGATCACCTGCCCATTGTCCGACATCTTCAGCAGGTTGGGATCATCGTAGGCAGGAGTTGCCCGGGTCCCAGCCCTGGGAGGCTTAGTCAGACGCGGTATGTGGGGTGCCGACTTGTAGAAGCGCATGTTCTTGATGTCCTGTGGGTTGGGAGCATCGGACATGTGGCCGGTCTCGACTCCCGTGAAATAGTCCTTGATTTCATCCGGGAGATTGAACTCGGTCTTTCGCTTCTTGTGTCGACCATGGGCAATTGTCGTGGTGATCGGGTTTCGGACTCCACAACGCGGGCAGTACCACTCACCCTGAGGCGGGTGTTTGGGGTCCTCCGCAGGCCGCAGGCATTCGAAGTGGAATGCGCTCTCGCAGGTGTCGCAGCAGAGCAGATTCCCGACCTGATCGCACTCGTAGCAGTTGTCGCTATTCTCTGGTGGTGCGCTGTAAGAACATAGTCAGCAGCTGTCCTTTCTTTCCGATGTAGTTGTAGTAATATTATTGTTCACTTACATAGAATTCGGCATCTGTCGCCGGCCGAAGCCCTCGTGCCATTCGTTCTCTCGATCCGAATAGCACTCGTTGGAGAGCTCGGATTCTGCTGACACTGTCGTGTCGAGCGACAACTCACGAGAGCGTTTCCCAAGCACCTGAGGAGGGGGGGCGAGAGCGACGGTTGGATGCGACCCAACCTGTTGCTCGGTCTGCTCCTGGGCGTCTTGGGTACGCTGCGACCGCGTAGAAACGGCTCGGCCTCCTCGGCCACGTCCACGACCTCGGCCACGGCCACCACGTTGTCCACGCGTAGGGACAGGGACAGGCTCCGACGGCAACTCCACGGAGTTGGCGACCTCCTCGACTCCAGTGCTCTCCGATGGCGTAACTTGACGGAGAGACTGCTCGATGAGAATGGGCTCATCCTTTTGAGGGCGGATGGAGCTCCGTTCAGCCCTGACCTGGCTGGGATCAGGGGTTGAGTTCTTCATGAGCCGAGCCCGCTTCAGTCGGAGAGTCTGCTCAAGCGAGGGGTCGCATTCCCACTCACGGCGACGCTTGAATGACTTCTCATTCACTGGACACGGCTTCTTGGGTCTCTTCAAGGGAGCCGTGTTGGTCTTGCCAGCGTTGAAGAGGTCTTCAAGGCGGGGTCCAGACGTGTCGCGGTAGATGTCCGCTGTTTTGTATGCCTGGGCCGCACGATCAGCCTCTGCAGGCTGCGCCGATGAGCGCCCGGAGTCGCTGCCTGGACCCTGTTGCGTCATGGAAGCGGCGTGACTGGCAAGATGTGCCCTGTACCACTCGAAAGCCTCCTCGTTCGACCGGCGCATCAGTGTTTTGAAGGCCAGCAACAGGTCGGCGTCGACCTCCTTGAGCCCCAGGTTATGGATCAGCGAGAGTCTGAAGTCATCTCCCGCTGTGCCGGACCAATAGTAGAGCAAGTCTACGGCAATCTCATCTTGACCAGCTTCTCTCGCTTGAGTGATCGAGCTGGCCAGAACCTGCTTCAGCTGAGCCACGTCGTAGTGGTCAGAAGTGGGGGCTGGTAGTGACTCCAGAATGGCGAGGAAGTCGCGAGCCACGGGAACGTCGGGTTGCGGGACCAGAGCGGGCAGCATGTCGGCGTTATTGACACCGTTGGGAGAAGCTGGGTCCGTCTGGCGACGCGTTGTCGAGGCCAGGAGGGGGCCGGAAGAAAGGGAACCAAGGGGAGCAGAAGAGAGAGAGCCAGGCGCGGCTAGATCTGAAGCCAGATCGTGTCCAAGCATGGCAACCGCGGCCTCGAGAGGAGAAAGGGAGGTACCAGCGGTCTGAGATCCAGTCGCCTCAAAGACGGGGACTGCCTCCACCAAGTCATGCTCAGAATCACCCGGGAGAGGCTCCGAAACTGACTTGCTGCCCTGGAGATCTGCGACGATCGACTGCTCAGCTACCGGTGAGATTGGTGCTGAACGATCCGTGACAACTGCCTCACTGGGCCCTTTGTTGCCGCGCGTCATGAACTTGAACACGCGCTGGAAGGAACCCTTGGAGGGAAGAGGCAAGAGTCCAGCGCTCTTGTACTCGGCGGCGGTGGGGTATTGTCCGATCGGCCGCATGGTGATGCCGTAAATCGTCTCCACGCGTGGAGGGAAATCGGCGTTGGTGCTTGCCCTGGTGCCGTGGTCGCGTCGAGGGGCCGGGGACGCTCGGTTCTCATCCACAAGCGCATCACCTGTCCGGGGCGAGGTGTTGCGTGTGGAACGCAAAGTCTTCTTAAGGAGCCGGGAGATTGTCTTTGGCTCAGCGCGCTTTTTCTCCGTGGGCTCGGATGCCTGACGCTTGGAACGGGTCAGGACAGCCATCGCGGGAGGAATGCGGCTCCGCTCTGCCGAGACGTTAGCGCCAAGACTTCACTCAAGCCCTAACTCAGACTATATTGTATATCATGATATAGAGAAAACGCAACGACACTTACCAAGGTGACCTTGAAAAAAAAGGAGAAAAGAAAAGAGAAGAAAAAGAGGGAGGGTGAGGGTGAGAAAGACCAAAAGAGGGTTTTTGGCCTTAACTTACAGCAAGTGAGGACTTAGAAGTCAACACAAGCTGAGAGGCGGGTGAGAGCGAGCGAGAGAAGTGTCAGCTACTCGTAAATCGTTCTAGTGAGCGAGATAAAATTGCTTCTCACTTATCAAGCTCAAGGGACTTTCTTGAAGACGAGCGTCTTCCAAGGGGAGCAAGGGAGACAGAGGCGAAAGGAAGGCGAGAGGAAGACGAGAGAAAGACGAGAGAAAGACGAGAGAAAGACGAGAGAAAGACGAGAGAAAGACGAGAGAAAGACCAGAGAAAGACCAGACGATGGAGAAGCTCTCTATTCCCTGGGAAGTCAAGAGGAAGACGGAGAAGTCGGGGAAAGAAAGGAAAGAGAAGTCAGAGAGTGGGAGATCTGTGGGATATTTGTACCCTGAAATACTTATCTGATGTTTGCTACTCATCTCAGTCTGGCGATAGCAAACAAAATGAGTGACGGTGGCCTGGGGATGCCTCTGTGGTAGCAAACAATTCCCACTATACTATGGCACACCACACGGAGAGGTAAGCAACTAGCCCAGTCTACAAGGTAAACATCAAGGCTTCCACAGACTTCCATCCATGAACTCGGACGAGACACAGGCAGGAGCGAGAGACCATCTACCTACGAAGAGACACCTTTCGCAGCACCACATGCTTTGGCCATCAACATTCCACCTACACAAGTACAGAAGGGGGTTTGGGTGCCGTCACAGCATACATAAAAATTCGGCTTGGAGGATGTTGCCACCTCATTTGATCGAATGAAATATCCGCAACCTACTCGTGAGATCAAACCAGGCAGGCACCATACTTCTACGTACCGAATCCAAAGCGGATTTCAGAGTAGAACCACATGGTTTCATCTAGCTCACTTTCCTCATTGACCCTTGACATCATCGAGTACCTACTCTTTGGAGCATGAAAAGGGAGTTCACGCCGCATCAAGTATATGACAGGACGCAAGCTTGACACGCTCTCCATGGTCCCAATTTCGTTATTCTGAGCCAGTCTTTTATGTCTGGCGTAAGTGATACGAAGCGCAGCGACGATATTTGAAGTTATACCGGTGGTGTTGCATAGGTTCCTCGATTATGGGATTTGACATTCGCGCCTGCAGCAACATATGGGTCGTAGTCGAAAGTACTTGTGGGAGACTTCAAGTCGAGCATTCATCCACTAGACAATCAGGCTCGACGTGAACCCGCTGCATCTAGTTGTAGCTCAATTATCTGTTGGGTTACGCGCGCTAGTTACATGATTGCATCTAGACACTTGACCCAAGTGCACAGAGCGCCGTGTTATTTCAAGACTCGGAATGCGAGCATGAAATTTATTTTTGGATTCACCTATCGACCGCTACTACTGTCAGCGTCTGGCTGAGTTAATAGTCTTTGAACTGGGCATGCTCCATGCCAAATGAAAGTAAAAATTTGTCAATTCGGTTGGTTTTTTTTCAAGGCCAGAAGTCCGAGATCAAACACGATGTGGGCTACTTTCCCAGTAAAAGGGGTTGTCAAACTGCAATGTTCGCTTGATCCACTTTCATAAATGGTAGGTGTTCTATATAGTTCGCCAAGTAATCAGTTGACCTTGAATATCTTTTGAATTTGTTTTCTTCGAGATTTCAAAGTCTAGATGCGACTGACATTCATAGTGCATAGGTAACCGCGACCAGACTTGGAGTTTGACGATTGAGTCAAATACATTTACTCTTCAGCACCAGCAGTCTTCTTCTTCTTGTTCTTGTTCTTCTTGTTGCCGGTAGAACGGGCCAAAGGCTGCTCGAGGATCTTGAGGATCTCTTCGTCCTCGATCTTCTTATCGGACTTGTACTGCTCCAAATCGATGGTAGGGGCAGCAAGCTTGGTGAGACCATTCTTGGTGATGGCTAGATGATATTGTCAGTCATGGCCGTCTATCTGCGTGTCAACTCTGTGTGTACTTACCGACGGTAGACAGGATGCGAGAGACCGGAGCACCCTCGGCGTCACCAGCGGGCTCGTACTGGCGCAGAACGCCGTTGCGAACACACTCAACAACACCAACCTTGGCGGCCTTCTCATCCTCGAGCTGGCGCAAGCTGAAGGGGAAGGTGCCGAACTTCTTGACGACCTCGGAAAGGGTCTGGCGAGAGCTAGGACGCTTCAGGATGTAGGTGGTCGTAGTGCGGCGGTGGAGGGTGGCACGGTGGTCAAGGTTCTTGACCTTACCGGAGCCCAAGCTGAGGCCCACCTCGACACCCCAAACCTCACCAACCTCCGGAGTGCCATCACCACGGACACCATCGCCGGGGGCGAGAATGATCTTCTTGGTGCCCTCGATCTCGTTGCGGTCGAACATCCAGCTGGTGGTGTTCTCAACGAGCTTGCAGTCATAGGCCTTGGCAACCTTCTCGAGAAGGGAGGACATCTGAGCCTGAGTAGGGGCGCGCTGGGCAGTAGCCTTGGCCTTTTCCTCATCGGTACCTTGGGCGAGCAGGCCCTGGGGAACCATCAAACGGAGGAGAAGCTCGTTCGCGTAGTGGGTAGCGAGGATCAAGTCAGCCTCACGGCCAGAAACAACCTCCTTGGCAGCATCCTTCTTGGCAACGACGTGCATGTCGCAGACAATGGTACCGAATCCATCGATCTGAGCTCCCAGCTGGATCTTGACAATCTCGCCAGCCTTCAGGGTGGTCTCGGCCTCAGAGGCATCGGACACCAGAGGGGTGTAGGGAGTCACGTATGAGCTAGGAGAGACAGTGGTGGGGTGGGCAATGCCTGCAAATGTCTGCATGAGTATGGCCGACGTTCTTCATTTAAAGTGTGAGGGTGGTGGAATATTTACCCTTGGCGATCTTCTTTCCCTTGTAAACCTTGTTGATCTCCTCCTCGAGGAACGCATCACCCTTCTGGCAGATTTCGACAATCTTCTCACCCTCATTGCACAGAGCTGCGTTGCTTCGATTAGTTCGAGCGGCCGACAGGATTGGTGGTAGGAGACGTACCGGTGACAGCCTCCAGGACCTTGTGTGAGATCTGGGCAGCAGTCTTGTACTTGGTCAAGGTATCGGGGTTGTTGAGGGTGTAGTCTAGAATGGGCGAATTGGTACGGTTAGCTCTGCCAGAGCAACAATTTTTCCATGGCCGGCAGGTGCGACGGGGAGCATTCGGAGTGGATGCCCATAGAAGTTGAGAGCTTTTGCAGAGCACGTGAAGCATAGATATACATACCAACCTCGGGTGCTTGAGTGGTGTCCGCCATTTCGTCTGATGTTGAGCTCACGGCAGGAGCGATGGGAAATTCGTGCAGATGGGTTCAGCAGTTGCGGTTAACTCAATTAGCGGAGTCACCAAGAAAGAATGGATATTCACAGCAAGTCGTGTGCAGCGAACGAGAGAGCGTTTAGCGGGACGGATGGTGGGGGGGGGGGGAAAGGGTGGAGAGCCTGAAAAATGAGGCAGTCAACGTCTAGGGCTACGGCGGGCCAAGACGTCATGGCGGACGGGCCACTCAGAAAAGCTCCAGCATCCTTGCTACTTCCGTCAAGCTGGTGAAGATGGGGTAAGTCGAGGTACTCTTTATGGATGTGGTACACATTTGTATTTACAGCCCGTATAATCTATCGAGGTGATATCTCTCGTTGTCAAATTGGAACACGTCAGAAACGGCACCCTTGTTCTTGCCCTGGGACAGACGACTGGATTCGGTCTCAGTCAATCAACTGAACAACGGCAGAATCACATTTAGCTTTCTCTTCATGTGGTCTCGTGGGCACTGAAGACTTCCCCGCCTTTCAGCTGCAGCCAATGCACTCGGCATCCATCCCCTCTACTGGCATCATAGCTGTTTGATCACTTCATCTGAGAAGCATTGAAGAATATTCCGAAGTTGATTGAGATTTCTAGTGCATCAGTTGGAGGTGTCAGTATATCGTCGCGGTCACACGCCATCATGGAAACCTTGCCGCAAGTTCGTCTCCGAGTCCTCACCCATGGAGTCCGGTATGCGACCAGCTCCGCATTCAAAGTTGAAGTGCCACGGGAACAGCGGAAGCAGTCGCTGTTGAACGAGCTTCGGTATCACAAACGCCGCCCAAGCGTCGCATTGATCTGCTTGCAAGAGGTGCTTCATCAACAGCGAGTGGACATCCTCAAGGGATTAAATGAAGTTCCCTGAACTGCGGACTCAATCTAGGCTCTAATTGGGGTCGGTCGGAACGATGGACGTCAGGCCGACGAGTGTTCGCGTATTATTCTTTTACCGAAAGTCAGCCTGGCATCTCATTCATTGGGAGACTGTCTGGTTGTCGAAGACGCCATCGAAGTCTTTGAGAAGCTGGGATGCAAAGCCGACGGCGATCCAGACGCAATCACCCCAGTACTGCTATATCAGCTGGACGGTACACTCCTGTATTCAGAGGCAAAGAATAGCGAAATTTGGCTCTGTATTCCAGACGCAATAAAGATGGACGTCTTTGAGATAGCCCGTGGAGACGGTCATCAGGACTTCAAACGTACCTAGCACAAGATAAGAGGATTCGCCATCCACAAGAGATCCAAAAAGCTCCGCGAGTATATCGACTAATATCACGACTGCCGCAAAACTACAGCTCCCCGTTACAAACCATACATATCACTTCAGCCGATAGTCGCTCCATCGCTCCTCTTATCTACGTTGACTATCGACTTCGTCACTGGTCTTCTCGGACGAGAAGTAGATTCGACGAAGCGGCCATGTACACATACAAATTCTTCACGAGAGTTGGCTCAACTCCAGGGAAGAAAACCTGCACCACGAAGTAGTGGGTAGAATTCACCTTACGCGACCTCCATAAAGCCGATTCGGGTTATGCATTGGTGTGGATATCAAGGGACTGTTCATGGCGTTGGGAATCAGCCTTCTTGACCCCACCGCGTACTATCCACAAAAGAAATATCCGATCAAACGGCTGAGATTTGGCTTTGGCATTGGTCAAATATTCACCAAGATTCAAACTGGGATAAGACACCCCTGCGATAAAAGCCTCCCTCAACTACACCACACCGGATCATATACGGCATCAACCTACGTATGCCGTGGAATTTTCTCCGACAAGCCTTCGTGAGCTACCCAGCTGCCGAGCGACTAGATGCCGATGGATGTGCCAAATACCTGGCTATGATCATGAACAAATACTATAATAATCGTCATACGCCAATTTTCTTCTCGAGAGGCGACATGGTGTACTTGAAACTGGCTAGAGGTATCAAACTAGGATATGTGCTGCCTTCGCGAGCGGTCTATGTAAAGATGACACAACACTTCGTCAAATGCAAGATGCTCGAACGAGTCGGCCGCATCGCATACAAGCTTCAGCTGCCGAAAGCACTTTGAAGACTGTGATCCAGTCGTCTCTGCTCGGCATCTCGAACGTACGACTCGAGGCGAGATGTCGCCGACCTTGCCACCAACCACGCATGATCCCCGCTTCACATGATCCAGATAGAGCTGACGTAGACGCCGTGGTCAATCACAGATGGCGCGGACGATGAAGAGTCAAATGAGTCCGTGCGATAACCCTGAGTGGCCTCCCCTGGTTATTGAAACTGGTCTCTCAGTATCGGAGGCCCAATTGCGGAATGACGTGTATTGGTGGTTCTCGAATTCTGACTACAAAGTTAATATGTTGCTTCTTATTTTGATCAAGAGACAACCGGAGCTCTATGTCACCTAGCAACTCTTCAATCTTAAATCCGCGAATGCTAGAGTCACGCGTGGCCTACAAGCCGAGGTCGATCGCGGTCTGTCGTCGGATGTCACCCCCCGATTAAACGGGCTCGCCGTCAAAGCTATGACCTCACTTGGCAGCTAAAACGATCATGATCACTGCAAATAATGTCGATGAGAGCCCATTACAGCTACGGTTTGAAAGTCTCATACACCGTCCGCCCAACCCCAACATAAAGGAAGGGGACCTCATCTTTACCGCGATGGACTTTCGTTATAGCTGCGGCTCCGGATTCTCGGCTTGAATTCAAGGGGACCTGGTTGGAGATCTCTTGCATCGAATAGGACACACAACGTGGCTGGGTCGCGAAACCCACTTCAGAGGTAGAGATATGTATTCACGGCATTGTTGACGCCCTGACTGATAACGCCATCGGAGCCAGACGAGGTATACTGATCGACCTCCTTGTCGACGAGGTTGTTGACGAAATCATCAGCAGAGGTGTTGCTATAGTGGCCGATCTTTTTATTATTATTGTTGTTTGAAGAACTGTTTTGCTTGAGAAAGCCTAGTGGATATCCGGCTTGTCAGTTTCACATGAGACCTTATTGCTCTGCAGTCTCAATTTTTCCATTGTTATTAGTATGCTCACCCACCGTACGTGTAGAAATACCGTTCTCGTAATGATCACGCATCTTGATGATCAACATAAGGTTCGCAGTCTCGCCTGGAGGCGGCACAAATCACCCGGGCCAAGATGAAGGAGTAAAGGTACCGACAAAACGAGTATGTCAGCTTTATCAGGGGCGTACTTCTTGCAGGTAACTTGAATAGCCAGGAAGATTAGGAGGCCTACTTACTCTCACCGGCTCCGGCCATTTCATGAACGATTTCAGACAGGTAGGCTCCTGTCGGCGATACGGCAGTTACCACCACATGTTCTACATTACATCACTAGAGTTAACAGTATGTCTAGAGCTTTCCGCCTCAGGCAACAATGGATGGTCCGTGATGAGCATCACATGACCTCCACATGCCTCTGAGCCGGACATGGCGCATGGCCTTCGCCAGCCTGAGAGAGTAATGGCGAGTAGACTTTTATTATAGAAATGATATTCCAGTGTACAGAAGGTACTCTTGTGTGGACTGATGCTGTGGTGGCAGTGGGGAGAGGTGACTGAGGCTTTCCTTCGTCTTTGCCAGATGCGGACATACTGCAATTCCTCGTTCGCTCCTTGGAACTTCTCCCAACACCCGCGCGCTCAGCCAACATCATCCCCAAACACTCGCGCCACCTGCCGTTCTTCCGACTAGAGTCAAGTGCAGTGCTCAATCGAAAAGCAGAAAGCAGGCTTCGTGATTCTTGCTCCCATTTGTCATAACAGCATTTTTCAAATCAGCAGTGCTGGGTAGCTGGTGGGATCCGCAAGGCCACACAGCGCAATTGGCTTCCGCGAGATTGCTTCAACCGAGGTATGTTGACCGCATTCTCATTCAATGTTGATTGTTTCATCATCTCCTATTATCAATGATCATTACAGAGTCCTGGTGACGCGTCTCAGAGGCGTCGGTCACGCCGAGGACTCTCAATGTGACATGCGATCGTAGCGAGACTGCGTGATATCGTCGCGGTTGCGCGTGCCAGTAGCTCTTGCGCGACCGGCCACTGCGCAATCTATCAACTCGCTAGCCATCTCAGAATCAATGAGCTTACACATCTTTGGTGGAGTTAGGAGCCTCGGAAACATGCTGCTTTAAATGTCAATGGTCTTACCCCCTATCGTGTCGACATCTACCGTGATTGACCAGCCGGACAGGCGAGCCGTCTGCTACCCATTACCGCATTCACTCGAGATACAATCCCTGCATTACTTTTGACCATTGGACATTGAATCGATCAGGCCTCGGTCTGCTCTCTTCCGGCGCGCACAAGTGTCCCAGTGCATCAGATCCAGGACTAAGCGTCGTTTAGTCTTCGGGTACCACACCCAACCACGCCCTAGCGATCTCATTTGGAGGTCACGACGTCAGAAAATCAGAATAGCGCATCCGCAATGATGAGCGTATCGGATGCAGATAAGCTGAATGATACCAATGGTACGCAGCAACCGAATGGCACCAATGGATTAGCACAAATTCGCAGACGATCCCGGGAGGGCGCTCATGCCCAATCAAGTGAAGCATCCAGGAATCTCACGGTACGAACACGTGAAACGCCGGTGGAAAAAGTCCTTCTCGACCAATTTGTAAATCGCGAATTCCGCTACTCGGCAGCTGCCGCGAGGGATCATCCCGCCCAAGAATTGCAACAGCATAAACGGGCCGAAAGAGACTACTATCTCTCAGTGCGTCGCGAAACACACGGGAATCCTGCTGCTTTATTCGGAGTGGGCTATGAAGGGTTTGGCAATCAGCGGACCGACATCCGGAATCAGCCCTCACAGGTCCTTTACCCGGCTCAAAGGCGTCGGCCAGGCAATCGCAAAGCGCGGGAATTACGTGTCTCAAGACGAGATCTAAAGATTCAAAGCGAACAGATCGAGGATCTGGTGCCGATCAGGCTAGATATCGACTGGGAAAAGGTCAAAATTCGAGACACATTCACGTGGAATCTTCACGATCGTGTGGTGTCGCCCGATCTTTTTGCAGAAAAACTGGTGGAAGATCTAGGACTCTCCTTGGAGACCTCCGGTCCACTACTGCGCATGATCTCGCAAAGTATCCAAGAGCAAATCATGGACTACTACCCACAGATTTATATGCAAGACGCACCTCTGGATCCTCAGCTGCCATACACAGCTTATCGCAATGATGAAATGCGCATCTTGATCAAGCTCAATATCACGATTGGTCAACACACCCTGATCGATCAATTCGAATGGGATATCAACGATCCTCAGAATTCACCAGAGGAATTCGCATTGCGGCTGACAGACGATCTATCGCTTTCTGGGGAATTTACCACAGCCATCGCCCATTCCATTCGCGAGCAGTCCCAATTATTCACCAAATCCTTGTACATCGTTAATCATCCCTTCGATGGTCGCCCCATTGAGGACCCTGATCTCAATACATCCTTCCTTCCCACCCCAGTCTCCTCCGCATTCCGCCCCTTCCAAGCAGCCAAGGAGCACACGCCATACCTCTACGAGCTCAACGAGACCGATCTTGAGCGTACCGAAATCTCCATCTCGCGCGAGCAGCGTCGCCAAAAACGATCTATCAATAGACGAGGAGGCCCCGCGCTCCCAGACCTCAAAGACCGCCAGCGTACTATTCGCTCGCTCATTGTCTCCTCTGTCATTCCCAATTCTGCCCGGACCTTCGAAGAGAGCAATGTCATAAAACGTTCTGGTACCAGTCGACGCCGCGGGATTGCAGGCACTCGTGGTGAAGAAGAGTCCGATGACTTTGAGAGTGATGATTCCGATGAAGATTCCCCGGCTATTGGACCCCATCTCTCCCAGGGCACTGCCCGTACAAGAGGCATGAGGGGCGCTGCTACAGCTGCACACGCGGCCTTACGTGCCAGCTTGGGACACTCTGCCACGCCGGAGCCGATTTCGCAGGAGCCTTCCAGAGTGTCTCGACGCCAACAATTACGAGAAGAGAGTCTCGAAGAACCAGAAAAGCTTGTCGTGAAGTTCAAGATTTCGCGAGACAAGCTCACTGATCTTCGCAAAGGCAAGCGCATCTTTGATGCTTCCACGCAAGCTGCGACTATGGCTCCTCCCTCAGAGAAACAAAAACAACACCATCCCCCGCGACCACAACAGACAGGAGCCGTTGACGCGCCGAATCCGCCCCAGCAGGGTGTTCCTGGAGTAAGTCAAGTTCCATCTCGAAAGCAGCAAAGCTCTTGAACAGTTGTCTGACTTGAACCTCGTCATCAGCCTCCTCCGCCTCCCTGGCTTCAGGCAGGGCTGGGCAAGCTGAAGCAAACACATCCCAATGATTCATTCGAAGGAGTGATGCGTTATTCAGCGGTAGATACTGAGACACTGGCCCCCGTCTCAAATCCGTCCAATCTGCAGCCAGGCCAGAAGATCAAGTATCAGTACCTGCCCCGTATTCGCTGTCACGACTGCCCTGGAAAGCTGTACACGCCAGGGCCAGGCATGACAGTGGACAACTTCGAGGTTCACCTCCGCAATCGTCAACACAAAGAGCGAGTCGAGGAGCGCATCAAAAAGATTGCCAGCAAGCCGCCGGGCTTATCTGATGTTGCAGACAGCGCCCACGCAAGCCCAACACCTGGCGGAATTAGCTCCGCCGGCACCAGTCCTGCGCTGGCTACCACCGCAGTTCCAGGTGCTTCTCCATCTTAGACAGCCAGGCCACAGTGGTATATCCAGCACCGTCTCCTTCCCGGCTTGAGGTGAGGCCGTGTGGCCTGTGTTGTACCAGAACTTGCTTTGATTGGGTGTGTTAGGGTGTGTTTCCGCGCATCCGTGTTGTCGTGGATTCGAGCTCGCTTGTTTCAGTCTTTGTTCAGATACAACCGCATTTTGCAGTCGTCAAGATTCTTCCGTAGATTCTTTCGTGCTTCTTTTGCGCTCGGCGTACCCCGTCAATCCTGGCGATCATTCCAGTATTATCTCACGAGACTCACCAATCTCTTCATCTGCTTCGCAGTTTTGGTGGTCCCATCTTGGAATATGTACATCATTACCTAGTCGACTGTCTCATTATACACCCGTAATTGGAATGTGAAAGGCCTCTCCGCGAAGTAGCTTCACTGCATATGGCTCCCCGCGCCAGCATCATCGACCCCTTGAATGGAGAGATCGTGTACCTTGATTATGTGGACGCACCTGGGTAGCTACGGCTTTCAATGAGATGAATTGATCGGTTGCGCCATTGAGCGTTTCCTAACTGCCTACGTAGACAGGTAGGGCTGTGACCAGGACAAGGGTCCTTGTGGACTGAGATCTCAGGTTATTCAGGAGCTGTGGGACCAGTTGAGGAACGAAAGAATTCAAGGCTGATGTGCATTTGGAAGTACTTTCTGTACTCCGTGACGTCCGTAGACTGTAGCCTGTAAGTTACTCGGGACTACCATCGCTCAAGAAAAAATAGGTATTGATCATTTGAAAAACTCATAGCAATATGCATACAATTGATACTTGGAAAATCGCTAACGCCGGAAGAAAAAGCAAAGGAGGCAGATCGGGTATTGCATCTCGAATTCTCGTCGGCTGGAAGAATAAAAAAGACAAAAGATTCACACAAGTGCAAGTGTAGTGTAGTGTAGCTAACAAATGCAGAGTGGTATGCGGTTGCAACTGGTGGACGTGAGAAGGGTAGAAAAAAAAGCCCAAAGACAAACACCCGGCTCCAGGCAAGAATTGAGAAGGAGAAAAGAAAATCAGAAGACGCTGAATGTGAAGGCCGGGTCAGAGGCAAAAGGTCTTTGCTCAATCACCCACGACGAGAAGACCGACGAGTCGGCAAAGCGGCTGTAGTCGACTGCTTGACACGAGGACTGGGCTTGGGGCCTGAAGCAGTAGACTTTGGTCTTCCCCGGCCACGCTTGGGTGGCACAGGAGGCGAATTTTCTTTCTCGCTCAAGTCCTCGCCGAGATCTTGCATTTTCTCATCAGGAGCCGAAGCCTCGCCGTCTTCGCCGGCCTCGTCGTCATCCCCGGTGTGGTCGTCTTCTTCCTCATCATTGGCCGCTTGAGCCTGTTGCCACGTCTGCATCTCTTCGTCGTCTTCGTCGCTATCCTGATCAGCATAACTAACGCTTTGCTTGACCACACCCCGGCTACTTCGCCGACGGTGCGACGAGGACTGGGGTTTGTCCTCTTCAGGACCAGCGTCCGAGGGCCACTCGTCGTCCTCACCACGCTTGCGACGAGCTGGCTTTGACGGAACCCCAACAGACGAGGTTGACTTTCGGCCTGCCCGCGTGCCTTTCTCCTTGCGGGCCTTCTTGGATGCAGACGGGGTACCATTCCCATCGACTGGCTCAGTCTTCCGCTTCTTGGCGGAGCCACTATGCGCACCGTGAGAAGTGTTCCTCGGCTTCATGGCAACACGAACGACACGGTCAAGCAGCTCGTCGATCTCGTCAGGAAGGAAGTTCTTGTCTGCAACGTCTTGAGCTTCGCGGTGGCTACTCATTGACACGAAAAGAGAGCTAGGAACACCCATCTTGCCGGGGTATGTTTGAAGCAGATTCGTTGCTCCGCCGCTTGCTCCTCCAAACTTGTGCTGCTGCGAGTAGATGTCGGCGAATCGGCGAATAGTCGCCTGCGCAAGGTCAGATAGGGTGTGCAGACGGGTGGAGATCTCGTCTGATTTGGTGATGCCATCACGGAATTGCTTGACGCGTTGAGCTACGTGGAAGATCAAGGAGAGATTCTGTTCGTTGGCCACCGCTGCTAGGTAATAGACGATGTACTGTGCGAAATCACTCAAATCGCCTAGTCGGGTTGACTCGTCAAGGTCGTCGGAAGGATAGTCAGGGTGATAGGCCAGCAAGGACAAGAGACGGGAGAAGACTAGCTCCATGACCATGGTCTGTTCGTTCTTTTTTCCACTCGCTTGCGCCTGTTGGGCGAAGAATGAAGCACGAGAGCGAAGCCAGATAAGCGTGGAATCCTTGAGTGTCCTGCTCGGCTCAAATGCTAACAGGCAAGGAATAATGTACCATCGATGGCTAAGGTGGTTCCTTTGCACCAATTTTTTCTTCAAATAGTTGATGAATGCGCTGCGAACTGGTAGAAGTCGATCTTGCGCCACAAGAGCCACAGAATTGAAGTTTATAGGGGTTAGAAGCTGGTCACACAGCGTTCCAGAGGCGCATAGTTTGATGAGGGACTTTGCCGCAGTAAGGCGAAGACGGGATTTCTGAGCCGCGGGGGTGTCTTTTTCTTTGACAATTCACCCTCACCACTGACTAGTTTGTTCAACGTGTCAAATACTGGCTCAGCGTGGGCACGGAAATCGTCGTCATCATCTGATCCATCCTTGGCGCGAAGGCGGTTCACAATAATTCTGAGTGCCCAGTCTTTGGCCTCAGTCTCCTCATCTACAGTTTCAGACCAGGTGTAACCGGATTCCTGCTCAGGGGCACGATTGGTCAAGAGTACTTGATTGATCGCGATCGAGATTATGGCATCGCTCTCCCCATCGGCCTCTCTCGGAGCGAGGAGGTTCAATTGTGATAGTGCAGCAAGACGAGTCAGGAAATGCTCAGATCCGTATGACCACTTCTTGACACATTTGGAGACGAGTTCTTTTGTGTACATCATTTTGCGATCAGCGGTGGCCATGAGGATCGACACAGCATGTTTGGCGGCAGCAGGGGAGCTGCTGTATAAGGCGTAGTTCACCAGAGCCTGGTAGAACTTGCGCTCCTTGGGAAGCTTATCGGGCAGCTTCTTCGCAAATCCCGCACATGCCTTGAGAATCTCCTTTGTGCTCGGATCGCCGGAGGAATTAGCATTCGGAGCTTGCGCCTCGAGGTCTTTACACATTTCTTGGACTTGCGCCTCTAGCACCTCCGGATTATGGGAGGAAATTTGCTTGAGCATCTCCTGTGCGGCATTGGCCAAGCCTTTCTCGTCAGTTCGCGATAGTGTCATGATCGCGGGAATGTGACTGCGGTTGAAGACAAGAGATGCAGAGCGATAAAGCAAAGTTGTCATAGTCTCGAGAAGAGGTGAGTTGCTGGCGCTCTGCGCACGTCTTTGAAACTCTCGGATGGCCTTGATCACAGTGCGGTGGTCACTGACTACTGCCATAGCGAACCTTATCAGCTGGTAGCTACGACGATCATGGCCTTTGGCGAATTTCCAGAGATCGGCAGAGGCACGCGAAGCGTCTGGAAAGGTCTTGGATAATGAATCAATGACCCGTGAGAGCTGAGCCTTCGCTTGGCTCTCATTCTTGTCGGTGACACCACCCTAGAAGACAGCTTTGTCAGTATTTTGGAAGTCTAGTCACGCGAAAGACCCAAGGGCTTGTAGTTCGAGTGCACTTACATTGTACTTCTCGCAGGCTTCCAAGTACATGGTCATGGCCGATCTCATTGACAATTGACGAGCAATCATGACGAAGAAGACTCTGCGCGCCTTTTCATCCAAGCCACGTAGTAAAGTCAATATCCGGCGAACGCGAATTTTGTCAACGTCGGTTTCTTGCTCGGACTCGGTGGTCTGGGAATCCTTCTGCTTCTGCGACTGGTTTGATGCGGACCGAGAGAGTTTGGACTTTACAGGGGGTAGTTTAGAGGTAAAAGAATTTCAAACAAAACTCGATCAATCAAGATATGAATCTCCAGATCGTTAGTGTAGAAGGCATCAAAAATTCTCGTCGGCGCGTCCTCCAAGAGCGAGACCACTGGCTCGGTGTTTTGTTCGATCTCGCCGGCGGCCACGGCCCACATACGAGCGAGAATCTTCATTGCGCGCTCGCGAACTTGAGGTTTGCGATCTTTCACGCGTTCTGCAAGAATGGCAAGAACAGAGCCGTCCGACGAACATCCGCCCTTGGTTCCTAATTTGTGGACGACGTCTGAAAGTCCAAAATGACCGACAGTGTCTACCGCCGCGAGACGGACCTTCTCATCTGCGTCACGAAGCATGGCTGCTAGATTGCTCACAAGGGACTGTTCCTCCTGTTCACTGAGGCCAGACCCTCCCGCTGAAGTCAACAGGATTCGACCGACCACGGTTGCCCATGCAGCACGTACAGACGGATTCTTGTCGAGTCTGCGGCTCAAGAAGGCGCTGTACGCTGAGCTGTGTACTTGTGAGAAGGGCTTGGGAGAGATTGGCGTAAGAAGGACATTGGTTTGGGTCACCCTTTGCGACAACTCTTGCAGAGTCACCGGTGGATACGCCGCAGGATCCATCGCAGGGGGTGGAGGAGGTCCCGCGACCCCGACGCCCGCAGCAAGGTCACCAATTGTTTGGGTCGCAAGCAATCGCAAAGCCACAGATTCCGCGGATAGTTCAGCCTCGACCTGAGGAATGACGTTTTGTAAAACTTCCGGACAGGCCCGCCATAGTTCCCGAATCAAGCGGTGTGCTTTGCTCAATTCCTTGATGTCTTCTCCCTCATCATCCGAGTCGTCGAGGTTTGGCTTGCGGGAAGCGTTCTTGTTCCCATTCGTGTGGTTTTTCGGGGCGGAGGCATCGATGATGACATTGTTGAAGTACTGGCTGATGTGACTTGTCATCCGCTCGGGGCAAGCTTGACAGATCGCTTTGGCCATGTTGTAGGCTGGGGGATAGTCCTTCAACAGGAGGGTATCCTGCTTGGCATCGAAAGCTGCTTCAGCCCGCTTGCCCTTTTTCGGATTATCCAAGACTCGAGGGTCGACTCGTAAAAATTGAGCGACGATCGTATCCACCACCTCTGCTGCCAGAACTGGAGTCTCATCAATGACTGTCACAAGAAGCCTCGTCATGTCAAATTCGACACCCTTGGCAACTTCTTCACCGGTGGAGGCCTTGGAAGATCCGGAGACAATATCGAAGCAGGTGGTAAAGAGAGGAACAATAAGCGAGTCCGGGTGGTCGAGATCAGTCATCAGAACAATACTCTTCACCTCGGCAAGCGAGCCGAGAACGTAGATGTGTTGCGCATTATAGGCATTCGATGGATCGGCCAGCGCGGGGATAATGGAGGAAACCACGCAGGTGAAAACGTCCTATTCGAAGCAAAAATTGAGTAAGCATATTTCATTCTCCTGCACAAGACCTTGGCCAAGAGTCTTTGACTGTGACCGAGTCTGTCCAAGCAATTGGCGCGCACCTTGAGCTGATTCCGTGTAAAGGGAGCATCCGGCGCGCAAAGTCGCAACACATCAACAATACAACAAGTGGCCCAAGCTCGAACACCTCGATCTTTGTGCGCGAGTAGATGGCTATCGGCTAGCTCCTGTGAGACCTTGGTCAAAGAGTCTTTGTCAATCTCTTCCTGTTCGAGTTTCCGAAGTTCCTGCGCGAGAGTCTGTAGACGTTCCAACAGATCCGCGATTGGAATCGCGGAGCGACCGGCGCGCCATGAGAGTGGCTGGTTAAAGGACAGGCTGCGAAGACCCGAATCGTCGTCTACCTCATCAGGAGGACCTTGGCGTGTGCGCGAAGGCATGATGACGGCAAAACACAGCTCACATGGGACAGCCGAGGGAGCTGGCGAAGTTGACGCGGAGCAAGAAGGACGGCGAGCGAGTGGGAGGAGGTTGACCGCCCGTGCCGACGCGTCGCACGGTGTTCTGACGGTGGGACAACCAGCAGTGGGTGGATAACCGTGAATGACGTTCGAGCTACGAACGCGTGCTGGATTTGATCTTGATGAGTTATGGCTTGCCGTATCTCAGCTATTGAAATTTGCACTTGGAGAGCTTCATATGTGTTGAAGCACGAAGATGTCTTTTTTGCAGGGTCAAGGAAAGAAGCACTGACCAACTGTGGGTTAGTACGACGCCCGTGATTGATGTGGTGTTGCTTTGTACTGCGATACGAGATCTGATGTTCATACCTATATAGACAAGCAAAATCCTTACCGCTGATGTCAGTTTGTTGTTCTCTTCTTTTTTTTTCATTCTAAGTTTCTGTCAAATTTGATGCAATGGAACTTCTCAGAGTCGTATTTCCTTCTCGAAGTATCTGCCCGGGGATTAGGTACACAGTAGGAGGACTTCCGCCGGCTTTGCAACACCCACATATATAGTGCTGTTACAGAGACCCACTTGGACTATATGAGGTTGTGCTGACATCCTGAATTTGAGCTATATAAGTATATAGGAGCTTCTTTTGAAGCTTTTTCCAAAGAGCAGTTGGTGTAATATCTGGCGGTGACGGGACCTTTCCATAGAAGAGGACCTGATGACGTCAAAGCCCTGTCGTTGAATGATTGTGAAATGTATAGAAGACTGCCTCCAGAGACCACGTTAGGTCCTCCTTCCTAGCCTGAGTGGACGTTCTTTATTGCAAATTAGAGTGGAACGAGAAGTTGCTTCTCATCTAAGTGCTTAGAATTTTATTCCTGTGCTCTGATTAGCTAGCCGTGGCAGAATTAACCGCCCCCAAAGTTACATCACGTGGAGTCACATGATATCTCCCAGATGTTTGCTTCTCACGTGATCTTTCTTAACCACCATATATATTACGTGGTCCTTCTGTATCGATTCACGTAACGTAATCCTCGTGCCTCGGCCCTCGACTCCCGGGTACCCTAGGCCCCTATCTCTCGGCCCCTTAGGTATCGTCTTATATATAATACCCTCCGGTCGTAAGATACCTCAGCTTGAGGCGAGCTTGTCCTACCAAGGCTGATTGAGTGGCTGGTTCTGTTGTCTTTGATTACATACATCATAGAGCGGATATCCACTCTAGAAATCGAGGAAATTTTCGACCGCGGACGCCGAGGGCGAGTGTCGATCATCAGAAAGTGATGTCGGGAGTTTGGAGACCGATAGTGCCGACGGCCCACTCGGTCTGTCGGGGCTGGGCCAAGGCCGAGCCTATGTCAATTCCGAGAACCACTTCTTGAGTCATGTGGTTGCATAAGATAAGCTAGTTAGCTACCTTAAGTCTTACTCCAGTCTCCCAGTCTGATTCGCACAGCAAAGGTCTCCTGTAGCCCACAGGTTAGGTTCGGTTTGATTTATCACGTCTGTACACTTTGTGCATAGCAGATTAGGTGTTTGTGTGCGTACTCATCTGCATATCGAAGATGATCACGTCAGAATTGAAGGACTAGCAGCAAAGTCCAGTATGACTGAAGAAAAATTCGTGGAGACAGTGATGTACATTACTCATGCGTACAGGTTCTAGTCCGCCTAGCTGACTTGTTGAGGGTACAAGCCTGTACAGCTCTGGTACCCTCCTTGTGTCCCTCAGCCTACCCAAATACGTGCCACCAAGCGATCTCGGCAAAGTCCTCCCGCGGCAGTGGGAGGTACCGTGACCTGCCGGGTCCACTCTTGGCCGGTCCCGTCCAGTTAAGCTCATGCGTGACCTGTGCTGCGGGGACAAGCAAGCTGACCGGTGATTGGTCCCTGGTCCATGTGGCTCGGAGATTCGGCACATGGCGCAAAAAGACGCTTTCTAAGCCATCTGGGACTCTGGTCGGCACTGGCTTTTCTTGCTACGAACGTGTTAGGTCAGATCGCGCCTTCGGGGTTAGACTTTAGACGGATTCAAACAGACAGAGTCTGCAGTCTGCAGTCTGCAGTCTGCACGCCTGATGGCGTGGTTACCAGGCGGGGTGGAGATAGTCCAGTGGGTGTTGAGATGGTCCAACTAAATGCTGTTAGCTTGTTCCAGTTTGCAGGGCCTGAGGTCTCCTGGACCTGTTCGAGTGCCCACTTGACGGACCTGAAAATTTGTCATTTGTCGGACCCTCGGACCTAATTACACAAAGATGCTATATCTCCGACCTGCGGTCGTGTGGATGGGGATAATGGTATAGGAGTTAAGGCGAGTTGATCCACTATGGAAATTGTTCGAAGACCCACGCGTTTGGCGATGAGATGGGCTCTGTCTCTTCTTTCCAAATTCTATATGATGCCTTCAATCCCCACCGCTCGAATCATCCTGTTTTCCATTCAACGATACAATACTGTCATCTCGCAGTGACACAGCCAACGGTGTGCCATTGAGCCTAGTTTAAACCCTGGGTGGCTCTGTATCTGCCTGAGAGTCTACCATCTGAACCAGACGCCTCGTGCAAATTAAATCATTATCAACTACAACACACCTTCTTCTTGTCAAAGACGACACCGTCGCCTGACTCAGCAGGACCAATGTCAGCCAGTCAGTCATTTGATTCCACAGCCACCACAACGCGGCGCAGCATGGAGCATCGCCAGTCAACAGACCAGCCCTGCGTGGCCGACGTGGAAACGAAAGAGTATATACACGACGTCCCTCGGGAGACCGACAATGAGAGAGATACCGACGTGGAGAGTGCTCGGATTCAGTCATCCTCATTGGAAAAGCCCACCGAAAAGGATCCCAATCTGGTGGAATGGGATGGACCAGATGATCCAGAGAATCCTCAAAACTTCTCTCGAGGCCGCAAGTGGCTCATCACCGTGACCATGTCGTCCATGACCATGTGGATCACCTTTGCCAGCAGTGTTTTTTCTACAGCGACCCTGGTCACAGCCAAGGAGTTCAACGTCTCAACGGAGGTGATGACCTTGGCCACAAGTTTGACCGTCTTTGGATTTGCTCTGGGTCCTCTGTTCTGGGCCCCCGTGAGTGAACTCTACGGACGTCGCTTGCCGCTGTTCGCTGGATACGCCGTCTTCGCCATCTTTCAGATCCCCGTTGCGGTGGCTCAGAACGCTCAGACAATCCTGGTCAGTCGATTCCTGCTGGGCGTCTTTGGTTGCTCGCCGCTCGCGGTGGTCGGTGGCGCTATGGCCGATCTCTGGGACCCCATCGACCGAGCTGTCGCGATTGCCATGTTCAGCTCTGCCACGTTCCTCGGTCCCGTTCTCGGTCCCATCATCGGCGGCTTCCTGACAGACTCGTACCTTGGCTGGCGATGGACCGCCTGGATCACGCTGATCACATCCTCCTCCTTCGGCCTCCTCGCCTTGATCATCGTCCCCGAGACCTACGCGCCCAAGCTCCTGCAACAACGAGCGGCTCGTCTGCGCCGCGAGACCAAGAATTGGGCCTTGCATTCCTTCCTGGACGAACACGAGCCCAGTCTCGCCGAAATCGGCCGCAAGTACCTCCTCCGTCCCCTTCAGATGCTCGCCCTGGAGCCCATCCTCATTTGCATGACCATCTACTTGGCCCTGGTCTACGGCATCCTCTATCTCTTCTTCGAAGCCTACCCCATCTCCTTCAACGTCGTGCGCGGCTGGCACAGTCTCGGCGTTGCCGCACTCCCCTTCATCGGCATCATGATCGGCGTCCTCTGCGGTGCCGCCCTCATCATCTACACCACCAAGACTCGTTTCGCCCGCAAACTCGCCAAACACGGCAAAGTCGTGCCCGAAGAGCGTCTCGTCCCCATGATGATTGCCTCCGTCCTGCTCCCCATCGGCCTCTTCTGGTTCGGCTGGACCTCCGACCCCAGCGTCCCCTGGGGCGCCCAGGTCGTCGCCGGTATCCCCATCGGCCTCGGTATCCTGGTCATTTTCATGCAGGGCCTCAACTATATCATTGACGTGTACATGATGTTCGCCAACTCGGCTATCGCAGCCAACACCCTCATTCGGTCCGCACTCGGTGGGGCCTTCCCGCTGTTCGCAACGCAGATGTATACCAACCTCGGCGTGGACTGGGCCTCAAGTGTCCTGGGCTTCATTACCATTGCCATGATCCCCATCCCGATCTTGTTTTTCTTCTACGGTGCCCGTATTCGTGCCATGAGTCGCTTCACTCCCAAGTTCTAGATGTTCGAAGGGGACATTTTTTCCTCATATTTTGCGCATTGTGACATCTCGGGCTTGATGCATCGTCATTGTCAATATCCCGAGAATTTCTTGACGGCCCACTCACTCGAGTCCACTTCTTACATTCTTGCATTTCGCGATTTTGATTTTGTCTCGTTCTGTCCATATTCTGATATCCTCACCATCCTGCATCTTGGTGGTGGCGTCTTGTTTTGACTTCATGATTCCATATACATAGATCGATAGCGCTCACGAGAACACGCATAATTCTAATAGACTTTTCAACCCAGAAACCAGCTTCAAATCATGATAGCTTAGTATGTGACAGTGTTGATGTGGGGAGATTTTGATCATAGTGTGGGGGTTGGTTTGGGTCCCCTACGTATAAATGAATATGGAATCACAGATATCTCGTCAAACGCTTATATTGCCTTTGCATCCTTCAATCGGAATCAGTGTAACCAATTATTCATATCACATTCGCAGCCTACAAGCAGGGATCACTCTTTTTGGAAAAAGTGCATGAAGGCTTGAATTGCCTCTGGTACATTATTGCACCATACATCTGGCTTGGGCAAAAAAGCTCGTCCGTGGAAGCAAAGCATAATTCTTCGCGATAGCAGCAAGTCTCTCTCAGCGCAAGGCCGCTCATACAAGCACGTTCTAGCTACGAGAAATATTTCAAGGTTTTTTTAAAAAAAAGAAGGAACCAATTTGCAAAATGCTAACTTTCTGAATAGCCCAGCGTGGAGTAAAGATGAGGAAAATAGATTATGTCGTCAACTGGACCGCAGAATATCAGAGATCCGTTCAGTCATAAAGGCTGTCATCGTTACCAGCTTCGCCAAAGGTGTCGTTGTTCTGCACCTCACCAGCAGATGGGAAACGGAAGAAACTGCTACCGCCAGAGTTCTTCAAGCTCTGAGCAAATGCCTCGTAGCGTCGGATCTCAACGTCACTGACTGAACGACGGGCAGTCTTCATGGCCTCCTCGAAGTGGGCACGCGTCAACTCGGGGACGGGGTCCTCCTCCTCAACCTCACCCTCTCCCATGGTCACGTCCTCACCAGCGGCCTCACGAGCACGGGTGCGCTCGATATCGAGAGAGATAGCCTCCTTGATAGCCAGCTTGACGGCACGCTGAGTGACGAAGCCAAGATCGGCACCGGAGAAGCCATGAGTTTTGCTGGCAATGAAAGCCATATCGACATCGGGAGCGACAGGAGTTTTCCGCAGCTGAGCCTTGAGAATAGACTCACGAGAAGCCTGATCGGGCAGTGGCACGTAGACGAGGGTATCGAGACGACCGGGACGGACCAAGGCAGCATCAAGCTGCTCGGGACGGTTGGTGGCACCGATGACGAAGACGTTCTTCTTGGAGGTCATACCGTCCATCTCTGTATTGAATTTGGTTAACAAATGACTCGAAGGACTAGATCAAGCGAGTCGAAAATGAGAATGGAAAAGAACTTACCAGTCAGAAGCTGGTTGACAACACGGTCAGAGGCACCACCAGCATCGCCCTGAGAGCCACCACGGGACTTGGCAATAGAGTCCAACTCGTCGAGGAAGACAACACAGGGAGCAGCAGCACGAGCCTTATCGAAGATATCGCGGATGTTGCTCTCGGACTCACCGAACCACATGCTCAGGAGTTCAGGACCCTTGACAGAGATGAAATTGGCAGCGCACTCGTTGGCAACGGCCTTGGCCAACAAGGTCTTACCAGTACCAGGAGGACCGTAGAAGAGAACACCACGAGACGGTGAAAGACCAAACTTCTGGAACTTCTCGGGGTGGTCGACGGGGTACTGCACGGACTCGATGAGCTCGCGCTTGACCTCCTCGAGGCCACCAATGTCGTCCCAACGGACGTTAGGCACCTCGACAACCGCAACCTCGCGGAGAGCAGAGGGGTTGGAGACACCGAGGGCATAGCGGAAGTTCTCCATGGTGACACCCAGGGAATCAAGGACCTCGGCATCGATGGTGTCCTCGTCGAGATCAATGAGGTCCATCTTCTCACGAATCTGCTGCATGGCAGCCTCTGAGCACAGGGAGGCCAAATCGGAACCGACGTAACCGTGGGTCTCGGCAGCGATAGTCTCCAAGTCAACATCATCGCCCAACTTCATGTTCTTTGTGTGAATCTGCATGATCTCGAGACGACCGGTAGGGTCGGGAATACCGATGTCAACCTCACGGTCGAAACGGCCGAAACGGCGGAGAGCAGGATCGATGGAGTTGGGACGGTTGGTCGCGGCCATGACAACAACGTTGGAGCGAGCCTTCATACCGTCCATGAGAGTCAGGAGCTGGGAGACGACACGGCGCTCGACTTCACCGTTGGTCTTGTCACGCTTAGGGGCGATAGAATCGATTTCATCAATGAAGATGATGGCGGGGGAGTTCTTCTCCGCCTCCTCAAACGCCTTACGAAGGTTGGACTCGGACTCACCGGCCATCTTCGACATAATCTCAGGACCGTTGATCAGGAAGAAGAAAGCACCGGTCTCGTTGGCCACCGCACGGGCCATGAGAGTCTTACCAGTACCGGGAGGGCCGTACATCAAGATACCACGGGGAGGCTTGATACCGATGGACTTGAAAAGTTGTGGGTGACGAAGAGGCAGCTCGACCAACTCGCGGATCTGAGCCATCTGCTTTCTGCAGCCACCAATATCATCATAGCCCACCTCGTTCAAGTTACCCTCCTCATCCTCTCGTTGGATGGGTTCGCCCTCGCAGTGAATGACCGTATCTTGAGCGACAATGCCGTACTCTGGGGGATCGACTTCAACGACCTTGAATTCTACCTGTCGCATACCTCCACGAACGGTAAATGTGTCACCGATGCGGAGAGGTCGGTAGGCCTCGCGGAAGTATGGGGCAAGGTAAACATCGAAGAGGGAGCCAGTCAGACCCTCGATGGTATCGGCGATGGGGAGAACCGCGATGCGCTTAGCCTAGAGTGCCAAAGGAAAAAAGGTTAGTCTCTAACAATTGCAGTCAAGCCAAGCCCACCGTGGGACTGGTATTGCTCGCAGACAAGACAAGACGTACATATTTGATATCGGGGCAAGGGTGAACTGTGATGATATCACCATGCTTCACTCGCAGGTTGTGTCGAACGACACGGTTGATGCGAGCACTTCCATCATCAAGGTCATCATCGGCCAGAACAATCAGCACGGTGTCCTTGCGCTTCTTGCCCTTAACCAGAACTGTGTCACCGCGGAACAACTGGAGAGTTTCCATGGTGTTGTTGGAGAGAGCAATCACGGAGTTATCATCGTTGACGGCGTCGGTCACACTAACAGGTATGTTGTGAGCTTCTCATCTGTAATGGTGCTGGTCCGACGTGTGAATTGGAGAATTCTTACATGAGTGAGTTGGGCTTCTTCTTCTTCTTGAGAATAGCAGTAGAAGTGTCGAGCTCCTGTTAAAGCTAGTTAGAGGGTTGCTGCCTGCAACTGATGTATTACAGTCAAGTCGAGCTAGAACGTACATCCTTCTTCTCGGCGCCAGAGGCGTCCCTATGTAAAGATCAGAGTCAGCAAAAGTCCATTCACGGACATCAGGTAAGAACCGTACTGAAGGTTGACCCTTTTCTTCTCGTGAGTGTGATCGGGCTCTGCAGACATGATGAAGAATCTGAGGTTGTGACGTGGATGAAGATCGAGCTTGGCAAAGAGCAGAGGAGATGGTGTCCTCAACTGACGAAATCAACTCGGATGGAACAGCGATAGCGTGGGTATGGAGAAGGTTAGATAGGGGAGATGAAGAAGGAAAGATCCGGCAGATCAATGAGGGGATCTGACGGTTAACGAGATACGGGAGGTGAGGTGTTGAGCTTCCTAGGTCCCCAGCGAGATGGGACAGTGCCAGAGTGACGATATGTGATGACATAAGCTCCATCAATTATGTCAGCAAACTCAACCCGCCCGCCCGGCGCCGGCGAATCTAATGGAAATTGGTCGATCGGGGGCGATGCCTGAGCGCACCGGCGTCCAGGTGCCTGGATCTTCAATGTTGATAGAGGCGGAGGCTCAACTAGGTCTAGCCGCCAAGACCTTCAAAAACCATGCCCTCGCCGCCATGAAGTTTGTACTAGTACAACTAGCATGATGGTCTGAAGGTGAATTTTGAGACATGCCAGACTCTCATGTGTCGATCTGTCCTATGACCTACAGTGCTACCAGAACATTACCCTACATACGCATGCCCAATGGCTTGATTAGGCCTAGTGTATCTTGGATGCAGCTGAAGACACTGAAATTCTATACTCGATGTCACTTACTGGTAGTATTCCATTCCTATCAAGATGAGTAACCCGACCCGACCATTCGCGAACAGAGAGTCATCAAAATTAGAGAAGAGTAGCGGCTCGCTTATAACTATCCTGCAAAGCAACGGCTTCCCCATGTGGCAAGCAGCATCATTTTGTTGCTAAGCATATCCGTCACCAAGAATACCCGCCAGTCTTAAGCCGAATCCAGTCCTTTCTTTCTGCGACCCTATCCCCCATATGGATATGGTCCATCGTCTCACTTCCCAATTTGATTTCATCACCGGACTCATCATTCCTCCGAGAGGTGAATATCCAGAAACGAAGCGATCGATACGTGCCGTTCAGAGGGCGCTCTAGTACAAAAGCGAATGCGATGCGATGCACTGTCCACTAGATGAATCTTGTTCAAATGACCGTACGACATCGAGCAAGTTCTGCAACACTGAAGGGGCATGAAGGGAGCAGGATCCATCCTCTGGTCCAGATGCCTTGATAAGTAAAGCAAGTCTAGAATCGTTCAGCCCGGTAAGGGTGCTATTTCGTCTATGCAACAGAATAAGAACCTGAACATGCACCATACTTGCATCCATCAGGTAAAAATATATACAGGAGATGTAAGACAAGACAAAGCATGCTCCAATCACGAGTATTAAATGCAAAGGAAGGTCAAGGTCCACTTGATTCTACGCCTTCGCAGTGGCAGCCCAAGCATCATGTAGAGCCCACGCCCCAGCCATGAAACTGATCACGCCCGTCAGACTCTCAGGGATTCCGATGCCCTGTTCCAAACACCAGTGCAAGCACAATGGAGCCCACACAGTGTTGTTGACGAGGCTCTTGCGCCATGTGCGAATTTCTAGCCGCAGGGATTCCTGGGATTGTGCATCGACCTCCGCCTTACCCTCAATATCGGTAGCAGCCTGACGCTGGGCTGCCAATCGTCTCCTGCGTAGGATGTGCTGTCGCCACAAGACGAAGAACTGGAGGAAAATATGCCCAAACCAGCCCCGCGTGCTCCAGATGTACCACTTGTCGATACTGCCATACTTTTCAATGAGACGCTTTGGGACGACACCTTTGGAGGAGAGGTATGCCACGTTCTCGAGAAGCTGGTAAACGACGTTCGACACCACCTGAAGCATAGTCAAGGTGCGGAGGATGGGATCAGAAGGTGGATTCTTGAGTGTTTGTGAGCCCCAAACCCATAGAGGCAACAGGCCAAAGAGGCGAAGATTATATCGTGTCTCTGACGCGAGAGAAGAGAGGGCTGCCCATCTGGCAGCCGCCGGGGGAGTTTTATCAGTCGATAGCGCCGAGAAAGACCGGAACCGACCAAGAACGAGGAGTTGATTCTGGAAAGCGTGCCATGTCTTCGATTTGCAGACGTGGTGGAGGATAGACGCCACGTAGTTTATCGTCGCCAGCGCCCTTTCTTGTCCGCTGGCGGTTGAGAGGAGACTATAGAGGGTTCAGGGATTAGCGAACAGTCTATCAAGCATCAAGCAATGTCTGCACTACGATCGCACTGACACGGCCACTTCACCATAGTCCTGCCATGTGCACCAAAAATGACAAAGGAGGCGCGATTCGTCGCTGGACTTACATATCTAATCGCCGGATGGTCCTATCCGTCCTTGTCAGCGCAGCTGTTAGCTGCTGTTGAGCGACCGCTTTCCCCGCGGCTAATGAGCCTCGAGCATTCCCCACATGTTGGATGTGTTCCGTTGCCTTCTTGGAGCCGTCGTCTGGGAGTTCATGATCCGCCATGGTCGGTGAGAGGCCGAAGGGTGAGAACAAAGGCCGAGCCAGGGATGCGACCAAAGCTGGAAAGATGCGACCAAAGCTTAATAGACAGACGCTCAACACAAGTGAATGACAACTGTGTTTGACGGGATCATTCCTGGACTCGTGCGGAAAGGGACCGAGGCTCCGAGGCTCCGACATAGTCTCATGCTCACGGGGAAGGATAAGCGGTGATTTGTTCAGAGTTCAGACGGCCGGGGGCGCGACTCCACATTTGACCGCTGGTGGTTGAACCGACGATTCGGCCGGTCCCTCATAGCGCCTACTAGATTGACTGGGTGTCCGAGCGATTACCCTATCTCCCTCTGGCGTGAAGCGTTGAAATCATGAACATTGGATATACTTTGAAAGCGTGCATCAACGGTCTGGGTATATGTACCTCGCAAACACGTCATCCCATACGCCCTCACGCTCATCCATGACGGGATGATCAGATCGCCTTCCACCCTTGACCATCGACGTTCTCGCTCAAAGGTGATGTTGAGCCCACTCACATTTTGATGGACCAGTTCGATGAGATCGTCCTGATGCGCTGCCAGCAACTCAGCAACCAGAAGCAGAGGTAAAAGATCATACCCACTGTTGATCCGGGCTGCCCACCACCACGCCTCGAATGCAGGGGACCAATCCCAATGTGGGAAATGCTCATGCATTTCACGCAACAAGGAAGCATCGGAGATTGGCCGGTCCTGGTACTCTGGGATCTTAGGCAGGGGACATACGGTTCCCGGGCCACCGAGTCGAGACTGCCCCAGGACTGCTCCACGTATCGAGGCCGACAGTCGGCACAGACAAGCATGCGACAGGCCTTGGATGGGCCCTGCTTTTCGGGATATCTAGGGCTGGAGACCCCCTCAAGATGTTGGTCGACCAGTTGTCAGGCAGCAGCAGCTTCCTCCAACACCTTGAGCTTTTGGTTGATCATGACCTCAACCTGAGGCTCGGTATATTCGCCCCGGAGAATGGCCTGCTGTATCCTGATAGAGTGTAGCTACAGTAGGTGCAGCCGTACAAAGTGCGAGAGGGGTGAGGTGTGAGATTGCTACGGGGGAGAGATTCTATCTAGGCTATGGACTGCGGTGTGCGGCAGTATCACATGCCACACAAACATATCCATGGAGCGAGAATGCTCGTGCCAGGTACAACGGGCTCAGGACTTGGCTCGCAAGGTAAGTGGACCGGTGTGTCTGCTGTGCAAGACCACAGCCAGTGAGGAGAACAGCCGCTCTCTCGGCATCTGGCGGACGCATCGGAGTTCCAGAGACGCAAAAACGTTTCATATAGACACTGAACGCCTGCGCGAGGGATGTAGCGCATCTCTTGCGCAGGCTCCGAGTCCTGTGAAGCGGCCGACGTGTCCCGCTGAATCGGATTCGATTCCAGCGGAGATGCATCTCGGCCGATGCTTCGCGGCTCGAGGGAGTGTGTGAAGCTGACGATGTACTTACGTGACTGCAGAGCGAGTGTGTCGACACGGAAGGAGACGTGAGGGTGAGACTCAGATGGAATGGCGAAGACGAGATGAGCGCTGAGAAATCTGAGAACGAGATGAAAGATTAACCGCCGGGTCTGAGATGGCGATGGGGATGACCATGGTTGAAGGTGAAAAGAAAGAGGGAGGGGACATGGATGAGAGAGAGGGGGCCGGGGGGGTTGATGAGTCCACCATACGAAGCAAAACAATTATTACGGCGTACTCGAAAGCTCTGTTTAGGGTAACACGGATGATCTTATACTTGAATGAACATGATCTTGTCTTTGAATGATCCTGCATTCTCGAATTGGGTTCGACATGACATATCACTATCAAGACGACCAGAAGTGTTCTTTTGGAAAGTAGGTTCTGGCGGCTTGGGCAGTCTCTCCTACGGTCATTGAGTTTGAATGATTCGAGGCAATACACGATATGCATTGACAGAAAGACAACTACTGACGGAGTTTGCTTGTTGTCGTCGCGACACGACGACACGACATTACGGTTGCACCGTCATGTTCCAGTCATGCTCCCAAGGTCCTGTTGATAGTCCAGGCCAATACTACCAGCTCAGGGTTGGACAACGGGGGCGTTCACTCTTCACGCACAGCCACAGATGCTTGTGTTGCTGGGTCGGTCTTATCCAGCACGTGGTGGCCGGCAATCCTCTCTACGTACACAGGGCTATTGGACCGTCGGGCTCTAAGATTACAACAAAAGGAAGTTGTGAGGAATGATGTCCACGGCCTGGCCAGCGATGCGAATGTTGTGACCAGTGCAAGGATCACTCAAAGTAAGGGGATGTCAGAGTGTGAGCATGGAGAAGTAAATGAATCACATCTTCGCAGTAGCCCACGTTATTGAAGCATAGCATGCCCACACCAACAAGACCAGACTCATACTTCGGCGAGGCAGAACCATTCTCCGAAATCTTCGGGTCCCTCTAAGTCCCTAGTGCCGCAGACCTTCAAGTGCTAAGTTGTTTAACTCGGGCTACCATTCTACAATATGATCAATGGAGTGGTATGCCCTGTGTCGGTCTGGTTGCAGATAATTCAAATATTGAGGTCTAGCCCTTTGATTAGAGGTAGAGGAGAGCTGGTCTACAATACAACTTTGATCTGTCTTCCGCTGTGAGCCGACCTAGCGGAGGTCCTCGATAGTAGTAGACTAGGTAGGTACCTACCTCACCTACTAACTACCTCACTAATCTAGGTAGTTAGCAGTATTGGTGTGGTTTACCGACGGTGGTGCGGGCATCGGAGGGTTCCGACGTCCCACTCTTTAGACGGGGCGTGAACCGATGGGAATCAACAAGACCACATGAATAGGTCCCTAGTATGAGCTGAGCTACTTAAAAGTGTACAGTATATATCGTCGCTAAAGATCGTCGCTCCAGTAAAGGTCCAGCTTAATTATAATAGTTGAGGTCATATTAACAGACTTTGCCGTGAGTTGAGTTATTTGAAAAGGAACTCAGATCATGTTTTTATCAAGGTTAGAACTTCCTAGGCTTCTTCTTTCAGGGTTCATACTCACACAGTGAAAGCGCCTCTTGAGTACCCATTGTGAAAAGATGATTCCGGCAGCAGCCACATTGTATGAACCAATACTACAAGTGACAGTCCGTCCTGTAATAATGTACAGCGAGGCTGCGAGTAACTTGGTAAGTAATAAGTATAGACAGTAGTGGCAGTCACCTTGACATAGAATAATGGTGAGGAGCTTAGGTATCTGCTGTACTCCGAGTTCTCTGGTGGAGACGGGGTAACTGTGGAGACTCGAGACTCGAGAAAGGCCATCTCCGTTTGCCGACTGAGGGAGACTGCAGCTCCCGGTTTGAAGGTACGGTGGCTCATGCATGGAAAGAGTACACTACTACACACATTTTCCGTTATTCATACATTATTGACAAACTCAAGACATGGCATAGTACTGATCCAGTGGACTGTATTTCCTATCAAAGGCTCCCTGCAAGCACAAGGCTCAAGAAAACCATCAAACACATCAACAGTAGGAACGAAACATCTTTGCCGTGCCTCCTCCTTATAGTGACCGGCAAAGTGCTCAAGACACCTCGGTTGTTGCTACTCAACCGCTGGTACCATAATCGGCCCAGCTCCAGAGTTCGGTTAGGTAGGTAGTTAGTAGTTACTAGTAAAGTGAATGAATGAACAAACTGGTACTTGCGGGTGAGTTACCGTTGACAATAAATGAATGATGATGCACTAAAATGTCCTTCCCAGTAGTAGAATAATATTGGCAAGATTGAATACAATAATATGTACGGTTTTGCTGCAATTGATTTTACTCATAGTGCCGAGGAACTCAGGATTTCGAGTCGGGTAGGTAGTAGGTACCCAGTACTTCACTCAGTAAGCGGAGTCGGCACTGTTACTGTACTATCCCTCAGTAGCGATACCAGGCTCAAACTCCCAAAGTACCCAGAGTCGTACAGAGGACTCAATAGAGTCAAAACTGACCAGCCCAAAGCCCAGCCACACCCCAAAAGGGCCCTCGATCGGACTCCCGCGCTCTCCTGCTCAGTCCTCACCTTCTCCTCCCGTCTTCCGTCGCCGAAACTCGTCCCTCTTCACACTTCCACACTTGCACTGGGCCCCATAAACAAACACCTCCCATTCCCAATCACCCACGCCGTAATTTCCCTTTTCCACACCCCCCCCCCCCAAGCTTATACTTAATTTCCCTAACCACCCCCAGCCTTCTGATTCCTCTTTTCTCCCTCTCCGAATTGCTCCACCCGCATTGTCTGCCCCTGCCTCCCCGCAACTGTCCGCTCTTGCGCCGCTTCACCGTCGCGCTTCTCTCCATCACCCTCGGTCGCCAATCCAATTGATCTTTGGGACATTCCAACGTGTGACCCCACTCCGGATCATATCTGAGCTCTCCACCGTGACCCGTCGTCTCCCCGTCCTTCCAAGTATCTTCCGCCTTCCCGTCATCGGGCATCCATCATGTCGGTCAAGTTCCAAGAAGAGACCATTCGCACGGTCACGGGCGGCAAGTCCGAGGACCTGGCGCATCGCGTCGGTGAGAAGTTGACTGGCGGGAAGAGCCAGACCGGCTATCTTCAGGTACGAACACATCCATATCCGTCCTGCATGGTAACCAGCAGAATGGCTGCGGACACGCGCAAAATGAACAACCAAACACCGTTCATATAGACATCCACACCATCAATTGAATGGTGAAGCAAGATGTTGATCCGCTGACTGGGAGACATTCCACAATGACAGGCCTACCTGAAGCAGCTCCAGCACAACCCGCTGCGCACCAAGATGCTCACCTCGGGTGTGCTCTCCGGTCTACAGGAGCTGTTGGCCTCATGGCTCGCCCATGATGTTGGCAAGCACGGCCACTACTTCAGCTCCCGTATCCCCAAGATGTCCCTGTACGGCATGTTCATCGCTGCGCCTCTGGGTCACGTCCTCATTGGGATCCTTCAGAAGATCTTTGCGGGCCGCACCAGCTTGAAGGCCAAGATTCTGCAGATTCTTGTCAGCAATTTGATTGTATGTCATGCCTCAGCAGGTGGCTTCCTGCACTACCAAGCATCAATTGGCTCGACGCGGTTCACGTTGTGGCTGACCACTTCCTCTCTCTACACAGGTCTCCCCAATTCAGAACAGTGTCTATCTGACCTCCATGGCCATCATTGCTGGTGCACGCACTTTCCATCAGGTGCGTGCCACCGTCAAGGCTGGCTTCATGCCCGTCATGAAGGTCAGCTGGGTCACCTCCCCGCTGGCTCTGGCCTTTGCCCAGAAGTTCCTGCCGGAGCACACTTGGGTACCGTTCTTCAACATCATCGGTTTCTTCATTGGAACCTATGTCAACACCCACACCAAGAAGAAGCGCCTGGAAGCCCTGCGAAAGGTATGTTGTCCCGATGAAACCACCGAGGACAATCCTTATTCCGAGGTTGTGCAAGTGTACTGACTTCCCACACCGTAGCGTTATGACCAGCGTCGTGGTCCCGGCAGCGACTACGAGAAGCGTGACTATCCTTAGATGGACCCAAATGACAAACCAATTGATCTGGCTCTGAGAATGGTCCAACTTAGTTGACACTCAAAAATTGCCGGACTTGACGCATGCAGGAGACTCCTTTGTGCCGGCAGTGTTGACTATGGCACCTGTGTCGACCCCGGTCTGTCGGAGATGTGAACTCCATACTTCTTCTCTGAACATGTGTACACATCCCCGCTTCTCATCTCTAGATGGGTTGAAATCCTCCCTTTTGCAACGTTAATATATCTCTTCATGACCACATGCCCCCAATGCCCCAATTATATGGATTTATGCAAATATACAACTGGTTCAATGACAAGTTCTGCGGTCGTAATGGAGCGCTTTCCCTGATTTCTCTCACGTGCTTTGATATTCTTCGGTCTTGACCGGATCGAGTCATCTGCCACTCAAGCTCTTGCAATCATACTTGCACAATTGGAGTCCATGAGCAATGCCATCTAGGTCTCGTGAACAGGCATAGCAACAAACAAATGAACGATTTGAAGAAAGGCAAGTAGAAAGCCTTGGGAAAGGTTTGGTGAAAGTTTTTCCAGTAATTGTTTCTTCTTATAATAATCGTTTCCAACGAAGGTCAAAAGTAGAGAGAAAGTGACCGCTATAATTCCGGCCATCGATCAATCTTGGTTGACCACTGTGTTTTCGTCGCCCAGCTCTGCCCACAGGAACCAGGTCCTCGAGCCCGATCTACTTCACAAAACCAGCCCCTCTGAGAAGAAATGCCATCAGTTCTTTTAAAGCTCCATGGCATTTCCCTGAGCTCGCTTCTCCTGCACCCAGCCCACAAAATCATCGAGGGTACCAGGCCAAGCGGCATCGACACTCCACCAACCGAACGACTCATCCTCCTTGGTCTTGCGCACAAACAGCTCCAGTTGCTGCCACAAGTCCTTGCTCACGGCCTTTTTGCCACGCTCCTCCAAGAACTCCAGCCACCACTCGAGCCACGGAGTGCTGGCAGTACTCCAAGGGACGCCGCCTCGGTCTGCGGTGAAGAGGAGCCGCCACTGCTCGGCGGCAAGGTCGTATGGGAGGTTGCGTTGACCAGCCATGCGGGAGATGGGGAACGTGTGGCAGTACACGCGTCGGAAGAGGTCTTTGTCCGTTGGGATCCGGGACCGGAGCTGGTTTGCATACTCGGCCATTTTGGGGAGAGTGTCGCATCTGTGAGAGTTGTGCGGGATGATTAGTGACGTGCAGAAGAGAGATTGACTCATGGGATTTGTTCGGGTCATGGCCTGATACGGTAGGGCACAGGCTCAATCCATTCGGATGGCCGAGGAGCTTGTTGCAGTACACGAGGGTGAAGTGAAACTTACTTTGTTTCCTTCCAGCCGGCCACAAAGCTCTCTCGAGGGAATTCGCCCATGGTTGGGCATTTGCAAAGCTCCATGACTCCCAAGCAAGTGACTTCATCTAGTTGAACATTGATGTCTTCTAGGAATCGGATGGCTCCCTCGATGCTGATGACAGCAGCTTCCTCATTTGACTCATCTTTGAATGCCAAGTTCATGTTAGCACGGAATGTAGTCAAGGCAGGGGAGAGGTGACAGTAAACTTGGGTGGATTTGTACCTCGATATTGGTTAAAGATCTTTTTCAATGCCGCGCTGCTTTTGTCCTCGGCATTGCTTGACGAGCGGCTGCTGAAGTAGCTGCGTGGATGTTAGTTCCTCTTCTACAGTGGTGTCCTTGCTTGTAAACATGCTGAAAGAATATGATCTGTGCTTGGACTTGGAACGCAAAGCTGAAAAATGGAGAAGCAGTCATTGAGCCAAGATAAATAGGGAGAGACTTGGCCTTTATGGCGGAAGTCGTTAAGGCAAATACACCCTCGGCGCAGATGCTCATTTCTCGCCTTTTATCAACAAGAGAGCAAAGGCACAGGATCAAAGAGCCAACAAACAGATCGACGCATACCTGTCAATCGCCCGGTCTATATTCCAGTGCGCAGCTCTCAAAAACTATGGTTTCTGGTCAGTCAAGGCTCACGCAACTGGGAACCCCGGTCTGTATGTGTCGTGTGTCTCGAATTAAGCCAGGTTCCTTACGAAGTATGCCACTGGCATATGCATCAAACCTTCGAGATACAGGAATCCTGCATGAACAGACGCACCTTGGAGGCAACTGAATCAGTGCAGTCTGTCAAAGCCACAAACTGGGCAATTGACTGCTTTTGTGAAGCTGTGGCCGGTGGCATGGCGCGAAATGTGTGGATTTGATATGAGCCCCGCTCTCGAGTCCCGTGTTGTTTTTGGCTTCAAATGTGAGACGCAAGAGCTGTGGATGTTATGACGGCAGAGACAGTGAGAATTATAAAGCGTAGCACGTCGCAGGGAGCCGTGGTAGTAATGGGAGCTTGGATATGCAAAGGCGTACACCCCATTCAATGGTTATTTCCAGCCTGATATGACGGCAGCCGGCCTGATGCACAATGCCACAATCTTATCGCGATTCACGATTAGCTCCATGCCCGGCCCGCCGGCACGCCTGCCATGTGACTTGACTCACGTGCCTGAGGCTCTTCCAGCATCGACATCTTTATCAATGTTTGTCTATCTGAAAGAGCAATGGTCTTACAATGAACTTGACTATACATCATAGTCCTTTCAGTCTGCACAATTGAGTGTCCCACAAAAGGATTGCAGGTGCGTCAAATTTGGGCGAGGGTGGTAATGATCGGCTCTCGGGATTCCGACGAGGCACTTTTAAAAAAAATACAGTAATCGGAGCATTGAAGTGAAGTTGAGATTGAAATCATAGCGAGATGCACCAGTTGAAATAGTCAATACCTTGCGAGAAATATGTATATACCGGGCTCTTTCTGCCGCTCATTTAGAACAGACCTAGCCTAGCCGGTCATTTTCAGCGCTCTTGAACAGAGCATACTCTCTTGTGCGCCCACAGCTAAGACAGGTCAGATGGAAGTACCAGCTTCGCTGTTATATGTATCCGTGAAGTAAGTGAAAATGTGAGATTCATAATATGTTCTAACGGAGCCAAGGTATAATCCCCCAAGTCGAGGCAGGTAAAATACTTTTCACAGAAGAAGAATGACTCCAATAACTCCAAGTCCAGATTTTCCAGATCAAGTATGCCGAGACAAACATGCAAGATTCGATTCTTTGAACAGTCCACTTTAAGCAGTGAAGAGAGAATCCTCCTGTTTCATATTAGCGGCCGTTCAAGAAAAAAAAAGTCAAACAAATATGACATAAGGTCGGGCTCATTCTTACCTCTCTTAGGTACTCGCCAGCATCTGCCTGGCGGAAGACCACAATACCGGTCGGTTCGAGCTTCTTGGCCTCGGCGGTAGAGCGCGCAGTGACGCCGAAGCCGAGCGGCTCATCGTTCATGCTGTAGACGATAACTCCACTGTGCTCAGGGCAGTCCTCACTCCAGCGAGCGGCATGCGCTTTCAGAACGCTATCGCAAATTGGCCGTTAGCCTGTGCGCCATAAAGTCAGGTCTGGGGTCCAAAAGCATAGACTTACTTTCCACCATACAAGAACGGCATCTCTCCATTTGCCTTGATCCAGACCTTATACCGACTGTGAGGGGCGATGACGGAGAGGGCGGTGATGTGGAGTCTGAACTTCATCGTCTTGGTGAATTTTCCCTGTGTCGAGGTTAGTGACCATTCTCCGCCCATGCCGTAACAGTATGATTTTTGCAACGCACAATGATGGTACCCGCCGACAAAAGGTTGGCGCGGGGAATGCTCGTGGCATAGTTTGCCAGTCGGAGAGGGAGATAGAACACCTGCAAAAGGTTGTGATTAGATCAACTGTCGTTTCTGACATTGGCCTGATGAATGTTTTTAAAGACGTACACGAGAGCCCTGGAGACGGAACACATGGCGCTCCGTCTGATCACCCTCTGGAGGCGCAATCAAATTGTTCAAGGACCGACCAGTGTAGTTGGCAAGCTTGGAGAAAAGCCTAAAGATCCAATGTAAGCAATTTCTGTTGCTGAATACTGGGAAGCTGCGATCGGACAGGGGTCCTGCACCGACTTACACCTTGGCCTCTTCTTCTGTCAATTCACGCATCTTGGTATGTTTGAATTATGTCCTGGAACTAAAGCCTATACAGAAATCACGTTCAAGCCCAATGGAAGCCGACGATACTCTCCATCCCAGAAAAAAAGATGGGCGGTGAATATATGTCCGGCAGAATAAAAAGCTTGGCGCGAAATTTTGAGATTAGTCCGCCTTCCGCCCGCAAGTCCTGTGAGACTTCAACAACGACCAAAACTTGCAATTATCGATACAATGGCCCGTGGACCGAGTGCAAAGAGGAGGCGCTTGAGCCCTCCAGCGGATGTCAAAGCAGCTCAAAATGCTGAGCTGTACAGCGGTGCTGACGAATGGGACGCGGAGCAAGACTACGAGCGTCGCCCGCGCAAATCCAACAAGAAAGAGAACGAGCGCACCCGATTGCCCATCAAGACCTCCGAGGGCTTTGTTCATGCAGCCGAAGTTGTTGAGGATGCTGGAGAGGAAACAGACAGTTTCTTGGGCACCGATGATGACGACGACGAAATGGAGGACGGATCGGGAGACGAAGACAGTGAAGAGGAGGAAGAGATCGAGAAAAAGCCAAAGATTCCCCTGAAGGTCCAAATTCTCCAAGCAAAGGAGGATTTGGCTCGTATTGCCACTTCGATCAATGAGGACCCCGAGGAGAACATTGCGCTTTTCAAGACCATGGCCGACATGGTAGACAACGAGGACTCTCCTGTCACGGTCAGAAAACTGGCTCTGGCTGCGCAGGCTGCGGTCTACAAGGATGTGATCCCCGGATATCGAATTCGCCCTCTGAGTGAAGAAGACATGCAAGGCAAGCACTCGAAGGAAGTCCGCAAACTGCGCAACTTCGAGCAGTCATTGGTCTCTGGGTACAGGAATTATGTCCAAAAGCTAGCGACACTGTCAAAAGCCGGACGAGTCAATGCTGCCACAGACCCCAGCTTGCGGAGCCTCGCTATCAGTTGCGCCTGTACGTTGCTGCAGGCTGTACCTCATTTTAACTTCCGAACTGAGCTGCTCAAAATTTTGGTCAACCGTCTTGCCCGAAAGCAAGTAGATGGCGATTTTGTCAAGTGCCGTGAAACTATGGAGGAAATTTTCGCTAAGGACAATGACGGAGTCGTCTCTCTTGAAGCAGTGCGTCTGCTTTCAAAGATGATGAAGGCACGAGAGTTCAACATCAATGAAAGTGTCCTGAACACCTTTCTTCATCTCCGCCTCCTGGGTGAATTCTCCAGGAAGGCATCGCGAGATCGAGTCGACCCCAATGAGCCGGAGGAGGAGAAGACCCTCGGAAAGAAGCAGAAGCAGAAGCGCGAGTTCAGAACCAAGCGGGAACGTAAGGTAATGAAGGAGCGCAAGGTTGTCGAGAAAGATATGAAGGTCGCCGATGCATTGGTCTCACACGAAGAGAGAGACAAGAACCAGGCCGAGACTCTGAAGCTTGTCTTTGGCATCTATTTCCGCATACTGAAGCAGCGCATTCCCAATCTCATGGGTCCTGTACTCGAGGGTCTTGCCAAATACGCGCATCTGATCAATCAAGATTTCTTCGGGGACCTTCTGGAGGCGATGAAAGATCTCATTGGCCACGCCGAGCGTGATGAGCTGGGCCAAGCCGATGAAGACGTCTCCGAAGACGAGGAAGATGAAGAAGAAGACGACGAATCATACAAGACCGAGGTCACAAAACGAGACGCTCGCCGTGAGACGCTTCTGTGCACAATCACAGCCTTTGCTCTGCTTGAGGGACAAGATGCCAGCAAAGCTGCCAGCACCCTCCACTTGGACCTGAGTTTCTTCATCAAACACCTCTACCGCTCACTTTACACCCTGTCCGTCAACCCCGACGTCGAGTATAACCCTAATACATCCCTCCGTCTCCCCGACCCAAACTCCGCCGAAGAACAAGCAGCCGCCCAATTGAAGGCCAACAACAAGGTCAACTTCCAGACACCCATGGTTTTGCTGCTCCGTTGTCTTCAGTCAGCCTTGCTATCCCGAGCTCACGGAACACCACCCCCAGTCCGCCTGGCTACTTTTGCCAAGCGTCTCATGACGACTTCCCTGCAGCTACCAGAGAAATCAGCCATTGCAACTCTGTCGCTGATGAATCAAGTCTCAAAGCACCACGCACGCAGAATCTCCTCTCTATGGCATTCGGACGAGCGCAAGGGAGATGGTGTGTTCAACGCATACGCTACCGATGTGGAGGCTACGAACGTCTACGCGGGGTCTGTATGGGAAGGCGAACTCCTGCGTCATCACTACTGCCCCCAAGTGAGAGAGTCGATTGTTGATATTGAGAAGATGATGACAGGGACTGGTACAAAATAGTGCAAGCGGTTGTGTATATGTATAGATTTTTTTATGAAGTTACCACCCTGACCCTGTCAGGACGTTTTACACCTACTTTAGACATGGACCAATAGATCATGGACATATCATTCAAGTCTTCATTTCATTCCAGAAAGAGGTATCTCATGTTGCTTGCCGATGGTAATCCGTTATCCCTAAGCACTAACATTTGCTGCGGGTATTTCCGTTCAACCCATGTGAGCACGCTGTGAGTTTCATAGCTGCGGAGCATGATGGGGGTCACATCCAGAATGGAGCCGGCGTCAGCCTTGGAAACCTTTGAGATGTTTCGCAATCTCAAGTCATGGTGTCATAGATCGCACGGAACAGACGAGTCATCAAATCCATTCTCAAACGAGGGTGATTGGCAACGAGAGATTGCTCAAAAACAAATAAACTGACTAAGCTACTCACATGGATTTCCTCATACGGATAGTCACACAGGGTGTTCCCGTAAAAAAGTCTTACTTGCCTGAGACGCTCCCGTCACGAGCTTTCTGAGAACGTCGACGACGCATGTCCTCCACTGATCTGGCAGATGAAAGAATCTGTCTTTGAGCATTGGATGTAGCAGACTTAACAGGAAGCCACCGGTGTGAAGACGATTCCTCATGCGGAATATCAGGAATTCGTGGAAGAGCCCTCTCTGGAGCATATGATCCAGAGTTGCTTCTCGCTTGATCGACAGAGAGACAGGGTAGATCGGGCAAGTTTGGCGATGAATCTACCTCCGAAGCAGGGACTGGGGTTGATGGTTCTGTTGAAGTGTCGGTCCGTAGATCAACGCCTAGTGCTTGGCTTTCGCTTGCGGGAGTGGTCCCACGCTCCCAGATTTTATGTTCTTCATCAAAGGGCGAGCTGTTTTCAGGGGGCAAAGGGACGGATGAGATGTACACCCGCTCATCACATCCTCGTTGCTCTTCCCTTGAAAGACGAGGAAGCCAGGAATACTTGCCTGTAGAATGAGTCGAACCAGAGCCGTCAGTGTCCTGTTTACCAAAGGACAGAGGAGGTCGCTTCTTCGGCTCGCTGGCACTGCAAGCTCTGTCCTGAGGCTGACTGAAACTGCTCGGGGCACTGGATCCAGCGGGAGAAGAAACTCCCTTGCTCTTGAAAGACAAGCTGCGGGGAAAGATAGACCCTGTCTTTGTCGTTTGTGAGCCATTGAGCGTGCCACTCTGCCGGGGTAAGAAACCAGTGATGGACCGCGGAAGTGGAGATAGTCGGGTTAACGAAGATGACACTGATCCAGAGCTGAGCTCACTACGCTCGCTCGAGAAAGAACCGAATTTGACCGGAGGCGAAGAGAACTTTGACCGTTCCTTTTCAATCTTCGTAAGCTTCTTTCCATAGGTGTCCACGAGCCGGGAAAGTTTGACTGTACTTTCCCGACACCGATCACTCATATCGTTAATCTTCTCGTTCAGCCCCTTCGCGGTCTTCTTCAAGGGCTCAATATCCTCTCTGTCGGCTATTGCGAACCTTTCTTCGAGATGCTTCACTCGCTGAGTTGTCTTTGCGAGATCCAGCTCTGCGCTCAGCCTTGACTTACGGAGTCCCTCCTGAACTGCTGACATTCGCGAAAGAAGCTCAGCATTTGTGCGCTTGATATCTTCGATATCTGCAGCTCGAGCATCAAGTTGATCATGCACCCACTTGGACAACTCCGAGACAGTCACACTCAATTTGTTAATCTTGATGTCCGTTTGCCCCTGGATAGCTCTAACGATTTTCGCAAACTCGGCTGCGTAAGGGCTAAGATCTCCAGTCTCAAGTATTTCTGTGCTTTCAAGCAGCAGCGGCTCGATTTCGCCAGGACTTTCGTCGCCTTGAGAAACAGTTTTTGAGAGGGGGCTAGATGTCAGCCCTGCTCCAAGTAAGCGGTGCGCAGGATGTATTGCTCTGGGTGCCGGAGATGGAGTCGATGGCATAGAGTTGTCGGGCCACAATCTAGGAAGATACTTGAATCTGCTTGAGCCATTAGAGCGATCACCATGCGTGGGAGGTGTGTCGCCTTCTGCTGAACTGCCAGATAAAGAAGTTTTGCTCTTTGGGGGCAACCCTTCAGGGGTAGAGAGTCCAGGGCTTGAGGGAGAGGTCGAAGCCTTGGGTCGAAGCCGTGGAATTGGACCTACTGCAGGTTTCTCATTGTCGTTATTCAGATCCACCTTAGCACCTGGTACCGATGACGGCGTCGACAATCTGCTGTTTGCAGTACCGTCCTGAATACGGGGACTTTCACACGTCGCCGGGGCAGCAGGAGATCCAGGAACTGAGACCTTGCTAGCATCATGCTTCTCGGATGACAAGCCGCTGGGAAGAGGGGGAACCACCTGGTCACGGGTTGTCGCCTCCTTGTGAAGGTCCTTGAAACTGAGCTTCGACTTCAGTGTCTGCAGGCGAGATCGTTTCTTCCCAACCGTTGCATAAATGTTATCAACCTGTTTGTTTGGGACAACAGCCTCTGGTAATGAACCCTTCCGCAAGTGGGAGAAGGGAGCAGGGTTTGGGGAAGGACCACTTTTCTCACTTGTATTGTAACGTCTCTGGGGCGGTTTGGGCATGGGGATGGCCAGCTCCCTATCATAATCCAGGCTCGAGCCAATCCGCGGGATTTTGTAGTTTGGACTGGAGGGGTCTGAGCTTGCTGTATCGAGAATATTGTCAACGAACGCGTTCACTCAGTCCATGCAGCCGCAAGCAGCATCTTCTGAGGGCTGCATGTCAAAAAGGAACAGTCCTCAGATGACAGCTCGCACGTGTGGATATACTCACCAGAGCTTTTTCGAGGCAGCTTGCTGGTGTCGATGCCTCGCGCTCTCATCTCAGAGAAAGCATTACCGCGAACAAACGCTGCAGTTGGGCGACTTGTCGAAGCTGCAGCTGGTTGTGCAGCTGGTGTCTTTTTAGATCGAGCCGTGTCACTAGGCGTGGGAGCAGATCGTGGAGATTCATATGCTGGCAAGGTGCCTGGCTTCCTGGGGGATTTGGAAACAGGCTTGCCAATCTTTCTGTCACTCATCTTGATTTTGGATGCGGACAGACTCTGAAGGAAACAGAAGTGCGCACAAGGTGGGATGAGATAATTTTTGAACAGATCGGGAAGCACTGAAAGACGCGACGTGAGTGAATGATGAAAGTGTGGGTTTGAGAGAAAATGGATGGGCTGGAAAACGTGACCGGCAGTATCAAAACAAATTGCAGTGAGATGAAACCTGCGAAGTCTGCAAGCACACTGATCGGGTAAACCCGTAAAGCTCTCCAGGTCTCGTAGTCAGCATGATATATCGTCAATTTCATTATATCAGGTCCGATAAGGTACAATGGAGTAGTGAGCGTTGCGTGCAGGAAGACTTCTGTGGCAAGCATCTACTGAACCCCCGCTAACATGATGAAGACATAGGAAATTCATTATCTCGATCCAAACCAAGAGAGACACATAAAAGAAACAACCTCAATCGAAGAATACAGTATCTTGGACAAAACAATAGTTCAATAATTGACAACAAAGAGAATCGTAAACAATACAGGGGAATCAATAGTGGAGAGAAGACCAAAAGATTTGGACATCTTCTATCAGTGCAGCACGCTTATGCAAACATGAGCACTGATATTAATCGACTGGACAGGACTTTCGGTCAGAAGCCGCGATCATTGATTGAAGAAGATGAGCGCAAAGAAAGGTACCGCAGCAATGGTAAGCCAGAACAGCGTCCTGATCGAAACAGTGTTAGTAAGATCTGTTATCCCGGAGATAGATTTCCAAGAATTCAGATAGGATGGAGTTCAGGCACATAGGCCGAACATGCAAGGGTGAATGAGTGCGTGGTGGTTCAAGCTCCTCATTCAGATCTATGAGAAGAAATCTATTGGGAAGCCTTGCCACGACGGCGGAAGGGAGAGAAGATGGTGCCAAAGAAACCCACGAAGACGGTCCGAAGGAACGCCTTGAGCCAGTTGTCCGACGGACTATTGAGAGAAACAGCAGTCACTGACCGATTTTGGCTCGTAGGACGAGCTTCTTCCTCGTTGGCATCTTCGGCCGTAGCATTGTCGGATGCGGGCTGACCACGAGGCTTCGAGCTGGATTCGGCAGCAGGCTCAGGTTCAGATTGAGTTTTCGCGGGCTCGACAATGGTGTCTTGCTCAGTGACTGTTTTGTCTACAGAGGGTTTGTCAGGTTGTTGAGACTGAGCTTCACGGTCGTCTGCGATAGCTGAAGGAAGAAGAAAGAGGTCAGTTTCGGACGAGCGCTGGGATAGTTTGGGCGGAGTCAGCGACGATGATGGCTTACAAGATTTAGGCGGTTCCTGCTTGGAGGAGGCTTCATCCTGGGACTTTGCCTCGGCAGCCTGGGTGGACCCAGCAGCAGCAGCAGTCACCGAGTTCTTGGTCGCGGTCGTGTCGTCGAGTGCAGAAGAAACACCGGCGGCAGCAGCGGCGATCGCGGCGGCAGCAGCTCCAGCTCCAAGGATCTGGGGTTGAAGAATGCTATCGATCAATGACTTCTCAGAGCTGTCCGCTTCTTCGGTCAAAGACTCCGCGGAAGGAATCTCTGTAGCAGGCTCCTTGCTTTCAGATGGCGAGTCTGTAATCTCAGGTTGCTCAGCAGAGATTTCAGCTGCGATTCCCTGTTCAAGAGGTTGATCGACCTTGACAGGTTCAGCGACCTTCTCTTCGCTGGGCTCGGGCGTGGGCTCAACAACGGCTTCGGCAAGCTTAGCCTCGACGACTGGCTCGCTGACCTGCTCCTTGAGTACCTGGGTATCAGGCTCAACTTCAGGTTCGGCAGCCTTCGCTGCAACGGGCTCAACAGCGGGCTCAGCAGCCACATCAGTAGCCTTATCTTCAGTAGCTTTCTCTTCAACGGACTCATCGGCGGGCTCAGCAATCTTGGCCTCAACGACTGGCTCGCTGATCTGCTCCTTGGTGACCTGGGTATCAGGTTCAACGGCAGACTCGGCAGCCTCTTCCTTGACGGACTCTGCGGCCTTCTCCTCAGCGGGCTCAACAACAGGCTCGGGAGCAGTCTCGGCGACAGTCTCGGCGACAGTCTCGGCGACAGGCTCAGCAACGGGCTCAGCAACGGGCTCAGCAACGGGCTCCGCAGCAGAGTCAGCAAGCTTGGCCTCAACAATTGGCTCACTGAATTGCTCCTTAGCAACTTGAGTATCAGGCTCCACCGCAGGTTCAGCGACCTTCTCCTCGACGGGCTCGGCGACGGGCTCAGCAGCGGGCTCAGCAGCGGGCTCAGCAGCGGGCTCAGCAGCGAGCTCAGCAGCGGGCTCAGCAGTAGCTTTCTCTTCGACGGACTCAGCTGCAGGCTCGACAACGCCCTCAACAACCTTCTCGTCTGTAGTCTCTAAAGCAGGCTCTACAGGAGTAAGTTCAGAAGCCTTCCCCTCAGCGGGTTCAGCAACCGGCTCCGCAACAGAGTCGGCAAGCTTGGCCTCGACAACTGGCTCACTGACTTGCTCCTTAGCAACTTGAGTATCAGGCTCCACGGCAGGTTCAGCGACCTTCTCCGCGACGGGCTCCGCGACCTTGTCCTCAGCAGCCTTGTCTTCAGTAACGTTTTCTTCGGCAGGCTCGGCAGCAGGCTCAGCAGCGGGCTCAACAACAGGCTCGGCAACCTTCTCCTCGGTAGTATCTGAAGCAATTTCCAAAGTAGGGGGTTCAGAAGACTGCTCCTCGACGTGCTCCTCGACGGGCTCAGCGACGTGCTCCTCGACGGGCTCAGCGACGGGCTCAGCGACGGGCTCAGCAGCGGGCTCAGCAGCGGGCTCGGCAACCTTCTCCTCGGTAGTATCTGAAGCAATTTCCAAAGTAGGGGGTTCAGAAGACTGCTCCTCGACGTGCTCCTCGACGGGCTCCTCGACGGGCTCAGCGACGGGTTCAGCGACCTTTTCCTCGGCAGCCTTGTCTTCAGTAACCTTTTCTTCGGCAGGCTCGGCAGCGGGCTCAACAACAGGCTCGGGAGCAGTCTCGGCGACAGTCTCGGCGACAGGCTCAGCAACAGGCTCAGCAACAGGCTCAGCAACGGGCTCAGCAGCGGGCTCAGCAACGGGCTCAGCAGCGGGCTCAGCAACGGGCTCAGCAGCGGGCTCAGCAGCGGGCTCAGCAGCGGGCTCAGCAGTGGGCTCAGCAGTGGGCTCAGCAGCAGAGTCAGCAAGCTTGGCCTGGACAACTGGCTCACTGACTTGCTCCTTAGCAACCTGGGTATCAGGTTCGACGGCAGACTCGGCAGCCTCTTCCTTGACGGACTCTGCGGCCTTCTCCTCAGCTGGCTCAACAACAGTCACGGGAGCAGTCTCGGCGACAGGCTCAATTTTGGCAGACTCAACGATAGACTCGCTGGTAGGTTCAGCAGCCTGCTCTTCGGGAACAGTTGGTTCGTCCACCTTTTCGGCAAGAGGTTCGGAAGGCATGTCTTCAACCGTCTCCACAGCAGGCTCAGTGGCCGACTCAGTCACCTGCTCAGTGGACTCGGCCACGGCTACCTCGGCATAGGTTTCGCTGGTGGGTTCCGCGGCCTTCTCGTCGGTAAGGGTCTTTTCAACTGGCTCAGAGATAGCCTCAGACGGTTCCTTTTTGGCAGGCTCATCAGCAGGGTCCTTCGCCTCTTCGGTAGGCTCCGCAACAGTCTCCGCAACAGTCTCCGCAACGGGCTCAATGTGAGCAGACTCAACAATGCTCTCGCCGGCAGGTTCGGAAGCCTTCTCTTCAGTGACGGTCTCCTCAGTTGGCGCAGAAACCGACCCTGAAGGCTTATCTTCAGTGGTTTCCGAAATAGGCTCAGCGACATCCGCGCTGACGGGCTCGGTGGCCTTTTCGTTGGCGATCTCTGCTTCAACGGGGTTCTCGGCGGGTTCGGGAGCCTTCTCCTCGAGGTACTCAGCCACTGGCTCAGCAACCGGCTCGGAAGCCTTGTCCTTCTCAGTTACGGCGACTTCGCCGAGCTTCTCTTCAGTTGCCTGTTCCTCGGTGACTTCGGTGGTGGGCTCGGAAGACCTTTCCTCGACGAACTGAGCGTTCTTGGCTTCAGCAGGCTCCACGACAGCTTCATCGGTTTTCTCCTCGACAACTTCCGTAGGCTTGTCTTCCGCGGTCTCAGCGGGAGCCTCTGTACCCTTCTGCTCCTCAGGTGCGGCGGCCTCTTCGTTGATGGGTTCAGGGGTCTTCTCTTCGGAAGCCTTCTCTTCATGAGATTCAGCTGCGGGCTGAGAGTCCTCAACCTTGGCATCTGCTGAGACGGGAGTCTCCTCCACCGCATTCTTAGCCTCGAGCTGAGTGACAGGCTCCTCGGGAGTGTTCTCATCATCGTCGACCTGCTCAGTAGTAAAAGTCGTTGGCTCAGAGGCGGCTTTCTCAGCGGCGGGTTCGTGCTTGGTCACATTCTGGCCGTCCTTGGGAGCGTCAACAACAGATGATTCGGCCTCCTGAGATGGAGTGTCTTCAGCCACAACCTCCGCAAAGGAAGGATGTTCAGGTTCGACGATCTTCTCTTCGGTGGCTTCGGTGGCTTCGGGAGCCTTCTCCTCAACAGCCTGGGAAGGAGCGTGTTCGGTGGGTTTCTCGGCATCCTCGGCTTGAGCGGACACGGGAGATTCGGTAGTGGCCGCCTTCACAGACTGCTCAGCAGAGGTTTCTTGAGTGGCGGAAAACTCAGTCGTCGAAGTAGCAGTGGCTGGCTCATCGGCCTGAGAGTCCTTTTCAGTTTCTTCAACAGGGGCAGCCTTCTCAGGAGCGGGTTCCTCAGTTGTAGGCAAATCCTTCTCGGCTGTCTCGGCTGTTTCAGCCGGAGTCGCTTCCTCGATGGTCGATAGAGTAGCCTCGGTGACCTTGGGCTCTTCATCGTTTTTGGCAGCAGTTTCCTCGGCAGGGGGAGAATTCTCAGCCTTCTCTTCCTCGGCAACAGTCTCGACGTGAGCGATTTCGGGAGAAGGTTCGCTGGCCTCGTCGGCAGCAACAAGTTGCTCAACCGCTACTTCGCTGGCTGTCGGCTCCTTATCCTTCTCTTCAGCAGCGGTAGACTTGGAGGACTCCTCAGCAGTTGATTGCAGAGGAGTAGGAACCTCAACAGCAGGAGCCTCGGTACTGGCGGGCTCATCGACCTTGGTTTCTTGAACGCTCTCCTGCTCGACCGGGTTCTCCTTCGACTCGGGCGCCGATTGATCAGCGGAGGGCGTCTCTCCAGCGACAACTTCGGCAAGCGTGGGCTTCTCAGCATTCGACTCCTCGGCCGTGTTCTCGGCAACAGGTTCAGGAGCAGACATCTCGGACGAAGGCTCCTCGGCCTGAGCGGGATTGGTTGCAGTGTCGTCTTCGGCCTTGACCGAGTCCGCCTCCTTCACGTCGCCCAGCGACTGCTCGCTCTCAGCCGGAGGTGCGGCAGACTCTTTCTCGGCTTGTTCGATGGTCGGTTCGGCAGCATTGGTCTCCTGCACCTCAGCCTCAACCTCAACGGGCTCGGCGCTCTCAGAGGAACCAACGTCTAGGACCAGTTTGGCATCGGGGACGGCTGAGTCGGCAGCAGACTCCTCCGCGGCGATTTCCTCTTTCGGCTCTGCAGTGGTCTTGTCCCCAGTGGAATGCTCCGTGAGGGTTTCGGAGGTGGTCTGCACTTCCTTTGGCGCATCGCTGTTTTCCTGAGCATCCGTCGCCATGTTGGCCGTGGCGACGGTTGCAGCCAGACTTTCCTCCTTATCCTCGCTCGTCGGCTGAGCCTCCTCCTTGGTCACTGACGCTTCAGTGGGCTCGATCACAGTTTCTTTGTCCACAACTGACTTGGACTCGGAGTCTTCGGCCGCCACAGAGGCTGCGTCACCATTGGCGAGCTCCTCCTTGTCCTCGGTTGTCTCGGCGTGATCGTCTGTGGAGGCAGCAGCAGCGGCGGCGGCATCCATGCTCTCCTGTTTCTTCTGCTGCTTCTTTTTGTTCTTCTTGGCCTTCTTTTTCTGTGCCGCGGTCAAGGGCACTTCTGGCTCGGCCGAGTCCTGTGCAGCTGCGTCTGTGGTCGCCTCCTTGGTGTCGATCTCCGCGGGCTTGTCGTCGACGGCGACAGGAGTCGCTGATGGAACAGACTCCATCGAGACAGGTTCTTTGGGGAGGTGCTCCTCTGACACTATATGACTGTTAGTTGCAATGGTCCTCTCCGTGGAGTTGTTTTTCTTGTCTCTTTGCATTGTTGTTTTTTCTTTTTTGGGATTCGGTCCCCCACTCTACACTTACCGCTTTGAGTTGCCGCAGTCGCCATAATTTCTAAGTCGTTAAGTCGTAACGGTCGTGATTAAGTGAGGAGGGGCTGAGTGGTAGTGGATAAATGTCGGGGATCTCAAGATTACAGAATCGCCAAATTGCCCAGCAGCGGAAGCAGAGCACAACTCAAATCGATGATACAGAAGGCTTTTTTGAATGCAGTAAACGACAAGCAACAAAAAGCGAGGTGAGGCTGGGAATTAGAAAAAAAAAAACGAGATTTGAGAGCCCTTGCAATGGAGGGCCACGAGATGAGCAATTGGGGGGGTTGATTAGAGAGTTGAGGAGAGGAAGAGGGGGAGGGGAAGGCTAGAAAAAAAAATAGGATGAGAAAATTGGAGAGGAGCTAGGACCACATGGAAGGACAACAATGAACGTCCGCGGCTACGGGCTTTTGGCTTTCACGGGACCCGGAGTCTACAGTCTACACTGGTACTACTTCTGCTACTTCTGCTACTACTAGTCCGTAGTCACTACTAGCCTACTACCGTAGTCCCTTGAACCCATGGTCGTTACCGACCTTCATTGACCCCATTCAGGGAAAGAAGGGCTTTCATGTGAAGATTGAAAGATGAATTTGCAAGTGGTGGTCGTTCAAGCTTCTTGCATTTGATTCCCGGCCGTCTGTGTACTCTTCCCATAGCGACAGGTGAATGGTACGACCCCAGATGCCGAAACATCATATCTGCAATGCCTCGCACAAGGATCACTTCCAGTAGTGACAGACGACCAGGCATACCCACTCCGAATCAAAAGGAGTCGCGCCGATATGAGCCAGCGCTCGAGTTCCAAACCACCAAAGAGAGCATGATGATCGGTCTTTGGTAGAGGAACAGGGAAAGAGAAGGGGATAAAAAAAAGAGTCATCAGTGGAGCCAGTTGGCACAGTGACCAAATATGAGCAGCTCGTGCTAGCCTCACATGCGGGTGCGAGATAGTGATCCAACCACTACTCATGTGGAGAGTAGTCGAGTATAGACCCGTCGACTACTGTGAGTGAATCTGGTGCAGTGTGTGCCATGATAGCGACAGCTGCTGAGCTTACCGATTGGAGTCGTATGAGGGTCTCGCGCAATCCTCCTCTCGAGGTCTCTGCGCTCTGCTCGTCCCGGCCGTGCATGAGACCCAACTGGTGAGGTGAAGATGAGTCTCGAGGAAGGAAGCCTGGCCCCGATGCCCAATCGCCATGGCGTCGTTGGGCCCACACGGCGGTGTCGCCAACATGCGGTGAGGCCGCTCGTCCGTCCGCCGAGGTTCCCGTGGCGGGTTCCCTCCAGTTCAGAGTTCGGACGGTCTCCAGCGAGGCCCCATTCCCAGATCGGCTTAGGACGGAACTTTCGGTCGACGCAGATGCAGACGGCACAAGCAGAACAGATTCACGCTGGCGCGGGGACGCAAGGTTGATCATGTTGGATGCAAAGATGCGGATTATCTCAAGACATCCATGCCAACTCAAACAGCCTGCGTCAGGAAGTAGGCCTCGCCATCGAAGTACTCCTAAGGAGTAAGTACCTGGGAGGAGTAAGTACCGTACTAACTTAAATATAGGGCAGGTCGTTCAGTACTCTAACTACCATGTAAAGTACTGCTAACTAGTAACTAGTACTTTGAGCTAAAGGAATAGCTTCAATGCATCAGAGGATGCCGAGTCGGCGATTCTCACAGTCTTATCGCACCTCTCTCAGGTGCGGGGTCAAGGTGGCAGACATGCCAGACCGAGTAAGGTAGCACCAATTGTGGTCCAAGAGAAGGCTTCACAACTTGCATTGTGCTACGGTGGAGGATTGCACCATGTTTGTGAAATGGACCGTGCCGTACCATCATCGGGCATCGTCCTCGACAACAAACAGCAACCAAAGTCAATCCTCTCGACTCGGAAGGAAAGAAAACAAGGCAACCCAAAGAGGGAAAGACGAACCCACAAGGACCCACCCGGCAAAGGGCGCGCTAAGAGTTAGCGTCTGTTGACCGCCGTGGAGAGCTAATCAGCAGCCAATCACACACCAGGTGTCAGGTGCATCCTGTCCCCACTCGGCCCCGATCACCTGCGAGCAGCAGAATGGGGCATCTGAGCAGTAGCACTAGTCAGCATCAGGCTACCAACGACAGTTTCTTGACATGGAGGATTCCAAGGGCGAACCCTCGACAAACGCAGCTTGGGGGGAAAGACCACTCATCAGCCTCAGTCGCACACAGAGATGGGATCATCAACGCCATCTGGTCTGCTTTCGCAATAGCGTGTACCCTCCCGCACCTAAGCATGGCCCATCAAGTGTAAGCTAGGTCGGTCATGTGCCTTCCCAAGACGGGTGTTCCTTAGGGTTTCCACCAACTCCAAGTCTTCAACGAACCCTTGCAGCTCCATTCATACCTACGCACATGGTTCATCCTTCAAGTACCGAGAATATGAACTCCAACAGCTAAAGATCAAGTGCATCCCGAAGCTGGATGGAAAAGTGGTCAAGATTAATGCATGTAATGGTCAATGATTGTCAACTACAGTGGTAAACAGCTACCCATCGAGGATCTACAGTAGTTGGAAACGATCACTAGAATTCTCATCACGAGGGTAGCGTGTGAAAGGTCAGGTATGTAAATTGGCAAGAACACAGGACGCTGGCGTATCTTGGGATTCCCTCAATTCCATCACCGTCTTCGAACTGACTCGGGTTATCCAACTCGAGGTCATCCAGCACTTGACAGGATGATGAGACATACCGTCTGGAGTGGAGGTCTAGAAGTGACATATAGGGGAGCCCGGGGTATGAACTACCTTACCCTCATCCAAGGACGGCCAAAGAAAACTGATATATTCATGCGTGATACGCGATTCACCCGATATCAATAAAGATACCGTGCCTATAGCCCTCGGTCCTCTTCGCGATACTTGGTGTTTTCTCAGTCGTGGAGAAACCACGCCTCTTCCCACCAATTCAAGCTGGAGGCTTTTTTGATACAGCAACCTGAGATGGCTGTGGAGGGGTGTTCAGATTGGAAAATACGACGGAGTAAGTTTTTGAACTCTTGACGATGGCTCATAGATTCCATTTTCCAAGTACTTCCAGTTGCATGTCAAAGAAATGAAATATGCCTCTGATTGTATCTGAATGGATGCCAGGAAGAACGTGATGTCTATATTTTGAGTGGATTACTGGAGAAGTCTCCAGATTGAATCTCGGAAAGAGGAGGAAAACAAAAGAAGAAAAAGCAACGGCATGAGTGGGTATCTCTACAAAGACAAAGAAAAGAAAAAGAAAAAAAAAGAGAACCGCATCAACCAAACCAAAACCAAGCCAAATCTGAGCTCAATATCAAAGACCATCCTCTCACTCCCGCACCGACCAGACATGTCTTCCAACTCACATCTTCGAGGGGTCTTCTTACCTACCGACGGCCGCCTCTTGCTGCTCCTCCCACATCAGGGTCTCCCCGATCTCCCGGATGAGTTCTCCCTGAAATCTTTCGGAGAAGGCCGGCGAGGTCACGTCAATCCCACTTGCTAGGGGGCTTGTCTGCGAGGCCGTGACACGAGTGTCCTTGTTGGCATTGCTCGACTGGGTGAGGATGGCGACCAATGCCAGGATACCCTCGATGCCAGACCGGCTTGCCGCGGCGAGAAAGGGATTGGTGAATGCCGGCTTTTCGGAATCCCGAGCCGGCGCCCCAGCGGTAGAAGACGAGGCCGAGGATGAGGAGGCAGAGGAAACCCTGGTGTGGTTGGCTTTTCCCGGGCCGGCAGGTGCATGGTCGACTGCCTCGAAACCAAGTGGCTGGTAGCAGCCAGGGTCGAGCATCTCGACGTCGCTCTCGTATGGACAGTCCTCAGTGGCATCGCTGTCTTGGGAGTCGTCGTTGCCAGAGGGAGCGGCATCATCATCGGGACCAGCAGCTTGCTGTGTGTTGTTGTCCACGACGGTGTTGTTGCCGAGGATCTCGTCCATTTGCTCGTCCGTGAGGAAGTCGGTGGCGTTTGGCGCGGGCTTTGTCCTCTCTTGCTCCGTCGTGGGCTCGTTGACATAGAGGTCCCAGAGCACCTCGTCCAGCTCGGCCTTGGTCAACATGTCCGTGGGGAGATGTGATGGGTCGGTCCCGGCTGGGACCGCGAAGGAGACGTCAACGTCCTGCAGGGCATTCTCCAAGTCGTTGGACGAGCACGCCTTGTGTAGCTCTTGCAGGGCGTCCATCATGACGCAGGTCTGCAAGGCCAACGCGGCGTGTGCCTCGGCGGTGGCGCGAACGGCGTCTTCGAAAAGCATAGCCGTGTCGGTGACGGTGCCCAGATGCTTATGGGCCTGGGTGGCTGCGTCACTTCGAACCGCGAAGCATTGGAAGGACATGTCGATGGCTCGTTGCGCCAAGTTGGTGCCGTGCTGGGCAAAAGCGTTGTAGCTTGGCTGCATTCGGTGCAGCGAGGAGAGGAGGTCTTCATGGAGCGGGTCTATGTCGCGCTGGACCGAGAGCTCGTAGAGTTTGGCAGCTCCGAGCTGCTCCAGCAGGCTCGGAAGCATGTCGGAGGCGGGCATGTCAGAGGCAGACATGGTGGAAGTGAGGTTTAGAGAGAGGTGAATGAGGCCAGGAAGAGAGGTGATTTGGGGCATTTTTATATCAGGATGCCAATTAGGCTGCGATATCTAGCTCTTCATCCATCTGGACTGCGACAGTGAGGTTGGGAATGATGCCTACAGCCTGAGTGAAGTCCATCTGACGCGGGCAGATAGAATATAACAAAAAGTTTGATTGATTGCCTGAGCATTGATAGGCAGCACAGCCATTGGCTTATAGGCAATCAAGCTCATCTTAATCCAAACAGCCCTCATTTCCATCCGGGGATGTTTGTTTCCTAAATGGGTAATTTGTAGAGTTTTGGTAGCCTAAAATTTGATGTCATCATTTATTCGCAAGCAGACTCTCGCATTGTCTCTTCTCGAGGTCTGAACTTGGAAGATTTATCTACGCTCCTCGTGAATCTACGGTTCTTGTAAAAAATCGATCGTCGTATGAAGTTGCTGATGCGAAAAGAAAAATAAATTAAAGAAATTCGTCAACAAAAAGTCCAAGCAACATGTGCAACCCTCATATCCAGATCATCCCCAAATTGACGCGAGTTGTCAAGCTACCAGGGGCTTACCACTTGTTAGCCAGGCAAAGTACAAATTGCAAAGTTCCACACTGACATTTTTTTTTTCACCCATGGCTGGTCGGGAGTTGTCAAGCCGTCAGATTCTCCTTGTCATGACCGTCGCTCCACAGGCAAGCCAAGCTGTCAAGGCCTGATTTGCTCATGCAAGAAAAATCACAATTCAAGTACCTTGTCTCGCTCAACTATTGCCTTGTATTCCGCCAAGAGAGGATCGTCCCCGAGGTCGGCATTGATGTCCATGTAATCGTATGGGTCAGACTGAACAAAAGCTGGAGGGGTGACCTCAGGTGTCTCTGACTCAACGGAGGGCTGGACGTGTTCGTTCTTTGTGGACTCAATGTCTTTGGCCGATACATCCTGGGGATTACAGTATTTTCTCTTGACCGTGCGCACGCTCTGCTGCTGGAGCTCTTCAAGTGGCTTCAAGCTAGCGTCGTTCAGCAAGTCGGTGACCATCGACAGGCTGCCCCAGATAAGCTGTCTCATTGCGTCGAGCCCCTCGCTGAATGCACTTGCCTGCTGACGGTACGTGAGGGCGACTTGCAGGGAGGCCTGGCGGACATCCCAGAGCTTTTTGCGTGCCTCGTAGTACTTCTTAGCCGGGTCGTTGGCTTCCAGCTTTTCGCGCAAGTCGTCGGCACTCTGGGCCACTCTATCGGCTATGATGGCGAGCTCATTCAATTCACGCCCGTTGATGACGCCGAGAGTGCGAATGGTGTGGGGAAAGCCGAAGGTGAGTCGTTCGTGGGCAGCTCGAATTTTTTTGAGTTCGTCGTGGACGGTATCTAGAACCTGGGCGGCTCTCAGGCCGTCATCGTGCTTGGAACTCGACTTCCTTTTGGGCATGGTGGATGTCAAAGACAAAGTTGTGTCGTGGAGGTGTGACGGTGTGACGGGGTGTGAGGGAATGATTATTTCGAGAGAGAGAGAGTTGAAGAGGTCGCAGGAAACTATTGGAAAGATGCGTATTCGTGTGGTATGTGTTTTGTGGTGCGATGTACGGCCAGCATATGTAAAAGTACAAAAGATGGACAAGTGCAGAAGGTATGGAAGGTTGGGGAAGACGACTTTGTTGTGTTTACACTTGGCTCGTGATGTTTGTGTCCTGGCGATTCTGCCAGCACCGGGGGCAAACACACGCGCGCATGGAAGCGAATTACCTACTTGGGAAATGACAAACAAGTCATGCACATGAACAGACGAAGCACAATATGTATATGTCAGATGTTGAGATTTTGCTAGAGAATTCTCTGTATTCATGGGGCGACAGATATTCTATTCCATTCTCTTCACCGAGTTCTGCTGAGAAGATTGTTCAGATCGACTGGGACGAGTATCAACTTCGGACGACAGCATCTCTGGGACGGACGATTCTCCTCGCCTCTGTTTCGAAGCAATATCTGGCTGTTCAACAACGACATCCCAATGACAGCTAGCAGCCATTAGCCCTTTGTCTGCTATGCGCCACACCAGCACGCAGTCCTCGGTGTCGTCGCTGAGATTTGGAACCGACGTCGTCTATATTCTTCAGTTCTCTCTCTGCAGACGGCAGAGCTATACCGCAGCTTGGTGACTATGGATCTGAGATAATCGTGTGGTGGCACGCAGCCGGACTCTTTGCGTGCCTCCAAGCCAGATTCAACATGGGAACCATCGGATCGTGGTCGAAGCAAATATGAGGTCCATTCGTCTGCGAGGCCCGGTACGAAAGGTCCAGGAGCCTGCGGAAAGTGCCGACTAAGGTCAAATTGTCCTGTCAAAAAAACCATCACGAGACATGTCATCGGAGCTTTAACCTGGATTTGAGCTCGACCTTGCAGGTGACAGCGTCTCAACGGTTATACCAACACCCACGTGTGTCCCACTGGATCTTCTCGGTTTTCCCACGTCAGTATCATTCCACTGTCACCGTTACCTTCTTGGATTCATGGATCGAAAAGAGAAGGCAGTGAAAGAGATTCAAAGCTTGTAGCGGCAAGCTGATCAAAACTCGGGTCAGCGGAAAGGCATAAAGGACGGATACTAGTCATGGGATCAATTGATCGACTGAATAATGCGCTCAGCTGGAGCACATTATTCTTTGATTCAGCGAGTCTCATTCACTGTGGACGAGCACAAGTGTAATGGAGATAATCAGGTGCCCATTCATCATAATTCAATACAACCGAAACTGATTCTGAAAGCAGGAAAATACCCACGCTTGAAATGAGACTTCTACAAAGGACCCGACGCGACGCTCGTCAAGCCCTAATTCCAATTCCTTCCCGTGGGGGGTGGATCAGCGAAATTCAAAATCTGGGGAAAAGTGTTACTTTGCTCCCCAAAAGCCCAGTGACATCAACCGGTGCAAGGTGAAACGGGGATTTAAGCCTTTTGGAGAAGAATAGGAGACCCTCCATTGTGGCTTTTGAGGGTAGGGCACATCTGGGTGTTTGCCCCGGAGGGATTATGGGTCCTGTCATCTTCTTCCCCTTTCGGGTGACGGAGATGGCCAGGATGATCTGGAGGCTCTGGGCGAGCTCAGCTGCCGGAATAGTAGTGCATCACTGCATGGTGACTTCACGAGTAAGAGCTCCAGCCTCCATGGGGTCTGTGGCCTTTGCATTGTGTGCCGATGTGCTGACGGTCCGACGTTTAGTTGCCCACGAGCCAGCTGATTCTTCGAATGTGCGAGCTCCCTTATGTGCACTGTGCACCGTTACACCGACCTGAATGCAGCATGTCTGGCATTCAATCTCATAAGTCTGGAAGCAAGTCCTCGCTGGGATGATTGCTCTGCCCCATGGCCGGACTCGTACGCAGCTCTGATATCTATTCAGGGCCAGTCCGAGATCCAACGCTGTTCACGTCTACCACATCCACATCCCACAATCCCAGCACTCCTCGTGGAAGGCTGCTTTGTGCTACGGTGATTGGCCTTGAAAGCTGGGGCAACCTCTACAACTCCATCTATGCAATCAGGTACCGATCCTCTCGAGCACGATTGATGGAATGGGATTTGTATGATACGAGCATCCACTTCTAGGTCCGGAAAGCGTTCAGTTCTAGCCGTTGATAGTTCGATCATGATCACATTCATGGTGACAACTAACATGGTCTACACTCTACAACACTGCTACGATACCAGTCTGATACTGTACGCCTTGGGGTAGCTGCCAGCCAGTTCGTGGTTGTCCGATGAAACCGCGCAATATAGGCAGAGATACGCGGTTCCAATTTCTCACTGGTGCAGCGGTGCTAGGGTCGAGAGGCGTACTGTATCTGGTGAAATTCACATTGTCCCATACCAAGGAAACGACATCGATACAGATCTTGACGATGAAGTGGCTCCGGTTCACAATGTGTATTGTACACAGATCCACCTTTCCACTCTGGATGCCCGGACGAGGTGGATTCCTTTCTGACCGGATCCTCCATTCATCGCGAACCAGATCCTACAATGGGTTGATCACCCAAGTACCAGGGTGATAGAGAGGTTCAGAGAGGCACGCTGGATGACGTGGACGGAACAGCATGTACTTAGGGGGCCACCGCGCGAGTAAGGCGTCTCAGTGCAGCATATGATCAGGTTGGAGGACAGTTGCACAGAGATGAGGCTGACTGGACGTGAGAAATCGACGGGAGGGAACCTCTGAAAGTTCAGTCACCCTCGAGATAGTCCAGTCCATAGCCTCGTAAGTGAGATGTGGAACCAAAATTATCCACGATTCATCACATGAACGACTGAAACGACCGTCAAGATCACGGATCAGGAGTCAGGACGCCCTCCGTGATCGTTCCGGGGCAAGGAAGGATGGGCGTTGCCAGCCTGGCCTCAGCTGGACCAAGCCATGTCATGCGCATGACCTCACGTTGGTCGATGATGCTTCGATGAGTCGACTCGTCGAGTGGTCTTTGTACGAGATACACTGGTACAAATGTACAGTGGTATCGATGGGTATGAGACGTAAAATTACATGGTCCCGCAAATTCCCGAGCCTTGCTTTCCCCCTTTTTCCCGACAAACGGCACCTTTTTCGCTGGACGCCCAAGTCATGACTGGTCCGCGAGCTCAAGATGTGTCTCTACTCTCTCGAATACCCAAGTGTGATACGAGATCCACGTCCGGACGACCGAAATCTTATTCAGGAATCAGGAATGCCGGGACGATACACAACATACGGTCATGAATCTTTTCTGTTCTTTTCTTTTCTCTTTTTTTTTTTTTTTCCCAGCTCCGGTTTGTCCCCTTTCGGCCCTGCGAGTGGAAAGAATGATTCTGTATTGTACAGTGTACACCCATTCTGAATGGCGTCGTTCGTCAAGAGACTCCATCTTTTTCACTGCACAATTGCACGCGAATATAAATATTGACCACCGGTCCCCCTTTTCGCAGAGACCCTGCGTGGGTTGTTCGGATCTCAAACAGTCCTTTTGCTCACGCCCCTGCGCGCGGCTGCAAGGTCCCCTTGAGCGCACCAGCCGCCCGGCAAGAGTCTCACGGCCCATCCCTGCCAAATGAGCTGCACAAGGGCCGGTCACAGTTGACTCGAGAGCTCGTGTGGGTCCCGCCAAGCTCCTTTCGCTTTCCGCGTCTGCAGCCGGCGCGCAAAGTTTTCCAGAAGTTCGCAAAGAGCCTCGTCGGGGACTTTGCGCCTCATATGCTGGACCTGGTGGCATCTTCCACCACGGGCGCTGGGGAGTGAGGCCATTCCGACCGCGCGATATGGATATCAACTGAGTCGCCGCGAGGTGTAGAATCGATTCGACCGGATTTGGGCCCGCCGGTCACTGGTCTGGGGTGAACCGGAAGGGGAGACCCATTTTTCGTGTCTCCCAAGTCGGGTTCTGGCGGGTCAGAATTACAGCCTCTGATCCTCTTGTGTGGAGGCCGAGGGAAGTGAGGACGTGTCTGACCTTCTGAAGCAGGATTTCCGTAATTTATCCCTTCTTTACCCGGCGCTCCCTCATCTTTTTCCCCTTCTTTTGCCGATTTTTCTCGTGATGTACATTGTACACTGTACAGTGCCAAACCGGTACTGTATCAATCGTCCTTCCTGCTTCGGGGGGCCCCTTGTCTCGGAAGCCATTCGCCTGTACCAGGTATTACAGTACCGGCGGCGGCTTCCCTCTTTTTTTCCACCAACATGGCCTTCGGCATGGGCGGTTCAGCTGCGCGAGTACGTCAGTCCTCTAGTCCGCCCGATCTCTGATCTGTGCAGAAGCGCAGGTTCATGCAGGATGTTGCATGGACCGTACCTTTTCGGGATCGTGTGAGAGCCCCGACACGATAGTCATAGACTGCTTGTTGTAGATCTCGATGTGGAACTTCTATCGTACTGTACTGTATAAGAGGAATTCTGTCCTCGACTGACCCATTGCAGGTGATGGTGTAGGAGCTGTGGTGCCGGATCCGGTTTCCTTATTGTCGACACTCCTCATCCAGCGATGGTTTTTTCTCGTCACCGTCGTTCCGTGGCTGCTGAAAAAAACGACTCGGTGAGGCAAGCTCCCGAGGAACAGGGATTCCAGGGATCCACCCGAGCCAGCCCCTTCGCCGGTGGTTGCCCAGTGACGCGGCTGCTGGTGGATTGCCAGTCCGAGTCGGCCCGAACTAGGAAACGCCGGGAGTCGATTGGGGACGATGGTGGAGCAATTGGGCATTATGATTGGTAGAAAAGCCGATGGGTCTAGTGGATTCATCCACCAACTTGGAACTAAATGATGATCCACTGCAGGGAAGGGCATGTAAGAGAAGAGGGAAAAAAAAAAAGAATGATCGAAACGAAAGAATGACCCTGGAGGTGATTGTTCTCTTTTGCAAAAGGGTGTATCGTCGAGATGATACCGCAATTCGAAGTCAGCAGGCATATGTGCTCTGCACTGCAGTGCAATGCCACGATGTATCCTCGACCTGCAGTATCATATGCAGGGACAATTTGAGACTTGTCTCAAGGCCGTCCGGACCATCAATATGCGTCTGCGGCCGGCGCCGGTCCCCAAAGTATGGGATAATCTTTACAGCTCACAGTTCCTCTTCCATACTGATTCAGTGATTACTGATGTACTGTACAAGCCTTCCAGCTGGACCAGGAAACCTACCTGCGCTGACCCGATTGAACCCGACGTGCGGTACTGTAATCTTGCAACCTCCCCCCCCCCCATGGGCATGAAGGAGGACTCTCTCATGAAAGAGGAAGCTGTGTCTGTCGGTCTCGTACGTATTGAACTCGGGTCCTCCTTGATCCCCCAACTGCGCCGATGTCCAATTGTACAGTGTATAGGAGAATGTCTCTCGAAATACTGGGTAAAACCGAAATCCCAACCTCATCCCCAGCATTCCATTTCCACCCCAGTAAGGGTACAGTACGGCCAATGGATGTGCGGCTGGAATCCTCTCAGGCTACACGCAGTGACGCACAAGAAAATAGGGCTTTTTTAGGTCCCAATACTGAATACACAGTTACAGTCACACACTTCACACAGTCACGCACTAACCTGGACTGGAAGACCCGGACGGGCGAAAATTTGCCCGGACAGTATTTATGTCCAGGGTAGGCCATCTTCGCTAGTTGTTCAGCTTTTTTCCCTTCCCTGAAAAGTTCCCTTTCCATCTTATTCCTCCGCAACTTCTTTTTCTCTCTCCTTCTATCTTTCATCCTCCTCCTCCCCCCCCTCCAAAAAGACCACCTCATACCTCACAATGGCCGCCTCCCGTGTCTTCGCCCAGCGCCTGGCTTCCACCATGGCCCAGACCTCCAAGGTCGCCCGTCCCGCTGCTCGCTTCCAGCTGAACGCTGCCACCAAGCGCACCTTCACCTCCCAGAAGGCCCCCGTTGCCACCTTCGCTGCTACCCCCAAGCGTGCCACCTCCACCCTCCTCCAGGCCAACGCTCGCCAGGCCTTCCAGACCGCTGCCCGCCGCCAGTACTCCTCCGAGGTCGCCTCCGCCATGGTCGAGGTCTCCAAGAACCTGGGTATGGGTTCCGCCGCCATTGGTCTCGGTGGTGCCGGTATCGGTATTGGTCTCGTCTTCGCCGCTCTCCTCATGAGTGTCTCCCGCAACCCCGCTCTGCGTGGTCAGCTCTTCTCCTACGCCATTCTTGGTTTCGCCTTCGTCGAGGCCATGGGTCTCTTCGATCTCATGGTTGCCATGATGTGCAAGTACGTCTAAGCGTTTGGAACTCGTATCGGAAAACCCTTGGGAGCTTCCCCTAATCTCTCCCGTCTCGCTTTTTGATCTCGTTTCCTTGATTGGTTTATTGTTCTACGAGACAAAAATGTGATGATGGACGTTTATGGGAGACTCGGGGTCCATGGAGCTCCCAATGCAAAGAGAGATTTGCCGGGGGGAAGGAAAGACAACGAATGGGACATGTCAACACAGAATGATTGGGAATATAAAAGAAAGGAAAAGGAAGATGAACTGGTTGTTTTTTTTCATTGTCCCTCTGATATAGACGGTTCTCTTCAATTTCTTCTTTTTTTTCTTCTTTTGGGTCATTCTCAGTTGTTCGAGTGCTTCCTGTTCCCTTTCCTTTGCCTTCCTCTTCCTTTTTTCCCTTTGTCCTCTGTGAGCCGGGGAGGGTATCTGGTCGTGATGTATTACCATGTACTACTTTTCAGCGTCATCTACAACCACCTATTTCCTTATTGTATGTACATATAGAGTCTTTTAAAATGGCCTACCCATCCCAACTTATCCAAGAGCCACAACAAAAACTCTGTGTGTTGAGAGTCTCTTTCCCTTGCTGTGTATTACCCCAACAGAAGCTTTTTCCCGTTTCTTCCTTGTAGAAATATATCCTTCCGACAAGAGTCTCTATGGAATGTAGGACCGATCTCGTAGGACTTGACGGGGCAAACTGCCATAATTCAGTATACAACAAATACTCCAAGTTCGATCTCACATATCCGAGTCTATAGCCGGCGTTTACCCCATCAAATAGCTTAAACAGTTCAACGGCATACTCCTGGGCCGTAAAAAGTGGACATGCACCTGCACTCCCTAAGATTCTCCAGTCCTTTCCCCAGACGACATCATCTTCCTCGGCCCCTTTTGGATGGAATTCCGAAGCATTCAGCCCTCCCATTCTCAACGCGCCCCTTCTTCTTCCTTCCAATCCAGTCCTCCTCCTCCTCCTCCTCCTCCTCCTCCTCCTCCTCCTCTTCTTCCGAGCACCCATCCCCAATCACGACGTCTCACATATCAATTCTTCCACTGGATAATTTTCATCTCTACCGAATCATATTGCAATTCCTTTCAAGCTCCAGGATCCAGGGTTAAGCGCACACGAGGCTCGCCTCAAACCCATACACGTAACAGACGTGACTCGGCCCCGGCAGAATAATCTCACTACTACCCCGGCCTCTCTCTCTCTCTCTCTCGTCCGAGCCCTAGAGACATCTGAATGTAGCCGTATAAGAAATGTACTACGTGTTTTACCTAGCTGGCTTCTCCCGCTATTGTACCTGTATCTCGCATACTACTACTACTACTACTACTACTACTACTACTACTACTACTACTACTACTACTACTACTACTCACTGCCCGCAGGTGTTCTGCTCGGCCGCGGCGGCGAAAGCTTCGGATGACTCAGCTTCCAGCCCTTAGCTCCAGCCCACCTGCAGCTCGTCCCGACGGGACGGAGTCGGGCACGGAGCTTCAACGTTCGAGTAACACTGCGGCACCTGCTTAATGACCATGAGGTTGAGATACGGGAGTCAGATCTCGAATAGAAGACCGAGCTGTATCACTCTCAATCTGTAGACACGAGACAGAGAGTTTTTGATCTCAATTCACATAGCATGGTGATCTTTTCTTTTTTTAAAAAAAAGAAAATCTTAACTTTGAAGAAAAGCAGCGGGCACGGGACAGGATGCTTGCTCGATATTCTAGAGAAGCGGGTCACAATGTCGGTGTTTATGTGGGCTGTGTGATACATGCCATGTATACGAGTAGTGGACCTTCTGTCACAGGTTCATGTATGCTGGAGTAAATCAGAGGCTAAGAGTTTTTGCAAGTGCAGAAAATCAAATCGAGTTGCTATCTGGTGACGAGGCACCAACTAGAGATCCAGTGTGAATGCCCGGCTCTCTTACAGTCTCACTACTACCAGTGATGCATTCCTGTGCGCAGATTGAAGGAGATTGAGCATTGATTCTGTTGAATTTCAAGAAAGATAGGGCTTGAGAAGAGGAAGAAGAGGAATAGCTCAGCGGTACCGGCGGATCCGATGCATCAAACACTCGAGCTCATCTTCAACCACAATGACTTTTCAAAGAGTCAAAACAAAAGGTCTCTGGAAAAGAAACTTCGCAAAACCCTTCATCCGGATGATTTCCTAAAAAATCTCCAGATCCTCAAACTCAACCACCAATCCATCAGTCGGTCCCGCCGCCAATGTACTATCCAACGTCAACCCATGCATGGCATCCCACATCGTCTGACCCCGAGCCACATTTGTCGGACGACTCGCATAAACACCCACATGAACAAATTTATCCTCGACGCCATAGAAAAACCACGTTACTTCTCGTAACTTTTTCCATGTACTCCCCACTGCACCGGGGGTGGTTGCGTAAGGTGCAGCCAGGGGAACCTGGTACCAGATCCAGAGTGCATGGCCAACCCGCTCAAGTTTAATCCGTAGAGATTGGATGGTCCATCCTCCCCCTGAAGAGTTCATCATCGCGGGTCCGAGTGGTGAGACACACCAGTCTGCCCCGTCGGCAGTGGCGCTCACAGAAGAGGCGTTGAGGGTACCCGAGGAGAATTCCATGCCGGCTTTGACCCATTTACACGGTAGTGGTGACGATCGCGGGGGTGATGTTGTTGTTGATGTTGTCGTCGTCGGCGTTGTGGAGGGTGGTAGCGACGAGGCCAGCGTGGTCCGATCTGCGATTGAGCGACGTGTGGAGGAAAATCCATTGCGAGCATTCGATGATAACGATTGAGGTGTTGCCCCGGCGAAAATCACTAGGCCCCCTTGATCCCATTCCATTTCCCAGTCCGCACTGACGGTGACCTCGGCGACGACAAAAGGGTGACGTAGCGAGGTAAAGACAATGGGCGCAGTCGAGGTATCCCCGTTAGGTGGTTTTCGCCACAGATCCGTGTTGGGTCCGGCGGTGAGTTCAAAGTATTCCAGGCATCGTGGGAGTGTAAAAGTCGGGGGGAGATTCAAGGGGGTAAATGAGGCGCCATCCAACGGCATCCTGAGAGCAGGTGATCACCCGGTTCTCTGGGTAGGCGGAATAGTCACTGTGACCGTAGAAAGAGAGCAAGAGTATATGATGATGATGATGTTGAAGCTGCCTCTTCGAGGACCGCTATAATTGTAAAGGCCGTTGCGAGCGGTAGTAGAGCGAGCGAGCGATGCAAATAATTGAAGATTTAACACGTTGACGGGTGGTAGCAAGGCGAAACAAAGACGAAGGATCAAAGAGCGATGACAGAATGTGGAAAGCTCCGGTGAGGCAGATTGAAAAGAAGAGAGAGAATCAACCCCAAAGAAAAAAAGGGTTGAATGCTTCGTTGATTGACCAGCAAGCAATGAGGTCGATCTTTCCCGTGGTGTGTTGTCACGATGATTCGTGGTCTTCTGGGTGCAATGGTGTTGAGTACCCCGTCCAAGGGCTCACTGACGCCAGCTGTGGCAGATGCAGCAACAAAAAGCCTCGACGACGGTGTAATGCTATTGGGCTGTCTCAAGAGCCGCGATAAGCGATTTCCAACAGGGTTGACAGAGTCGGCGTCCCAGGCTTACGACTGCGGGTGGATGATGGAGGGTTTCCGAATGCAGGCACGATGAGGAAGTTGCCCTGTGATGCAACCCAAGAAGTCGAGATGCAACGAAGAATGAGCGGCAAATCCCGGATGACGCTGGATTATGACGAGCCGGCCGAGTTCTTGACAGGGTGCACTCGAGCTGGACCTACTGTACAATCATACGTCAAGTTAGTGAGCGTGAAGAATGGTCGATGGACAAGAATCATTTGAAGAGCAATTCATGCGAGGATTCTATACAGAGAGACGTACAAGAAACGACGACGGTTCGATGGTCTTGGATCTTGCATGTGAGAATGGCAGAAACTCGAATGAAAAGATTCAAAGAGTCTAAAAGAAACAGGTCCTGTCGGGAAAAAAGGTACATTCCCATTCGGGATCTATTTATGTCCTTTTGCCCCTAGCCTTAGGGCAATTGCTCGCCCTCTATTCAGGCGAGATCGAAGGAGGAAGCCTAGGCCGGTAGCTGAAGCGGGACTCAGGTTGCCATCTCCACTCGTGTCGTGCTGTAGTATAGCACAACAGTGCCATGATGTATACTGAAAGAGGCAAAACAGTCCTGTAGTCCAGCTATAACCTCGCAGCCAAATTAAGCAACCGGTACCCATCCAGTGGGGCCTATCATCTTGCTGAGAGCGTGAGGCTGGTACAAAGTCTAGACTCGACACATCCACTCACTACCTTTGTCGCAAACATTCAAGCTGAACTTGAGGTTGGCGAGAGAGGGGGGGAAGAATCACGCTTCACAAATTAGGAGCACGATGGCCAGTGGTGATAGGAGCGCCAAGTGGACCGGTTCGCAAGTGGCGGGTCCTTCTGCATCTCCGGGGAAATCAATCACGTCGGGAAATGTGACGCACAAGCTCACTACTGTAGCAAAGCCCGGGGAAGAAAGGGGAAGATGGGGATGGAGACGGGGCTGGGACGTGGATCTTCGGCAATCGCCATCGCATCTTAGGAGACGATCGGACGGCACAGGTGGATGCGAATGATGAGCCTCGAGAGAATCCGTGGAATAAGGGGGAGTACTTCAGTCAATATGGCTGTACACTCAGACACTGTAAGTGTGCTCTGTACTCAGTGTAGTCCTGTAGTGTTGCCAAGAGTGACTGAGTAATTCGTGTACGTGTGGAGTCAGCACTACGGTGCTGATAAGGTTGTCGCATGAATCAGGTGATGCTTATGAACTGGTATCCGCAGGACCTGAGGACAGTCGGACACAGTACTAATGATCCCAGTATTCCTCCCAATTATTTGATCTCAGGTTGTCCGGGTAGTAAAAAAGTACTCTACGTTCGTCCAGAAACGGCATATCACACTGCCGAGGTAGACCAAATCAGAAGCATGCAGATGATCTGGTTCTGCCCATGAGAATACTTTGTCTTACTTGAGGCAGACTCGTGAAGCAAAAGCAGGAGGCGTGGAAGTACTTACCTGTTCCTGTCGAGCTAAGCTAAAGTCGACTAGTAGACGTCAGTGTAGATCGCTTCGGATCCCTTTTGCAGGAATCCTCTACATCAATAAGTACTATGTACTATGAACTATGTAGTAGTGTGCTGCTGTGTTGACACCTCTCACTGGTCGCCTCATTTTAACCCTGTGCGGGTAACAGTCTTTAGTGAGAAAACATGCAAGTCCATCCATCATTGGAACCACCGAGCCCCGATAATAGGGGCAGAGTGACTTGTGGCTGATACCTGCAAAAAGGGTCTGGTTTTGACTTTCCTACAACAGGCCAGTCTTGCGCAAAGATCACATTGCCTCATGTTATTCTCGCCTCAATCTCAGCTGCCCCAAGCTGTTCGTAGCGCAGAGTGCTAAGGTCGTAAGATGAGCTGAAAAGGTACATCCACCGGGCGGACAGGGCGCAGAGCGGGTACATTCTCCACTGCCCAAGTAAGCTTGTGCAGTATGTAACTAAGTACTCCTGAACAATGTGCAAGGACGCCCCCTCCAGCTCCGAGGGCTGGCAGTGTGGACCGTGGCGGTGGATGCTTCAGCCACCACCAGCCACGCATCCTTTCCACTGCAGCACGCTGAGAGCGGAAACGCGCGACACCACAAAGAAGATGGCCGTCATATCGTTTGAGAGAGATTAGACTTACCTTCTATAATACAATGACAAGGTCGCTGAGGCTGCTCAAAGTCACTTCAACAAGCAAGTTGGCACTGTTGTGTCAAACATCCAGCTTGGGCATCTTGTCCTCCCAGGCAAATGGTTCTCCTCATCAGTCTTGTGCCAGAGAAAGGGACGGTGAAGACGTCAACATGGTGAAAAATCCCGCTCTCCACTACAGATGGCCATTCCTCGCAGAACCGAGCATGGTCTCAGGGCGCAATAAGAGTCCACTTTTCGGATCGGCGGATTCCGCCCCATTTGACCTCGAAGAGTGTAAGAGTCAACTGAATCCCTCGTGAGGCACCCTCTAAGTGGCGCCTGAGGCTATACTTGAGTAAAACTTCGACGTAGACGCGAATATCGGATTATCAACGGTTGAATATAGTCAAGCAAGTACTCCCTCCAATATTCGCTTCTTATACGCCTTCACTTCTCAGCTCATGGAGCATAGAACTGGAGAAGGGCTTGGTGTCATCCACCGTCAATGTACAGTCTCGGCACAATTCTCAGGCGGTGGCGGCAACATCACCTTACTCAATACAAACCCCCAAAAACATATCAACCCTCTACAAATCGCCATCCGATTGTACTACTCCCACCTGCATCGGACCCAGGCCCAAAGCCAACGGTAACAAAAAAACAACCTCAAGGAACATAATGGTCTGCGCCAAGTGTCAAAAGAAACTCAAAACCACTGAGCTTGCCACACCGGGCGTCAAGCGCAAGAATGACATGTACTATGGCTCGCCGGCCACAACGCTTGGTGGGGCATCGTCCTCGTCTGATAAAGGGAAGAGCAAGCCGACATTAGGGGCGACGGGCGTAGGCAAGGTGGGTGTCTCATACGCATGCTTTTAGAATTCCATGTGAAACGAAGACTATGCTGATATTGTATTTGCAGAGCAAACTTCTCAGTGCCAAGGCGAAGAATCCCTACGCGGCGTATTCATCGTCCTGCGAGCAATGCAAGACCAAGACTGAGCAGGGGAGGAAGTTTTGTCAGCGCTGTGCGTATCAGAAGAATGGTAAGCAGAGTACCTTCCTCCGCGCTCCGTCGATAGTTCCTCTCTTTTCATCGTTCCTCTCTTTTCATCGTTCCTCTTCACAGCGTTCAACAGCTAACACGGAAAATTCTAGCATGCCCGATGTGTGGCAAGAATTTGGCTGGTAAATCAGCCAAGGACCAGCCCATTGTTCAAGGCCAAAAATTCAATTTGAAGTGAATGTAGGTAGTCCGTGTGAATGTTATCTAATTATCCTTGGCATGGCGTTTGGTGTCGGACCGTTCCACTCTTTGGAAATCACGAAATCGCAGTTCGATGTTGGCAGAATATGCGCCGGCATATGTGACAATGTACATACTTTACTATAACTACCCACAAAGCCTTGATCTCGGCCGTATCCAATTCAAGGTCGAGGTAGGCAGATGGCCTCGATTTGAACTCGATGATCAATCAATCCGAGTATAAGTCTCTTCCACGTCGTCGGCTAATCCGCATGGATCTCAGTCGAGACCCTTGTAATTGAACACAACCATCGTGTCTGAAAAGTGCTTGGCTCAATGATAGATTAAACTGCCCCTTGCAAGGTATAGTTCTCGAGCATCAAGGCAGGACCCATCAAAATTTGGATAACTGTACTCCTTTGACCCGAGAAGGGACCGAAAACAGCACTTGCTTGCAGCAACGTCGAGGAGACAAGCTGCGCAACATAAAAGAAAAATTTTTGCAAAGAGATACCTGTATAAAAAGGGTGATATGAAATATGAAGTCTTTAATTGAGATATACGAAGAGAAACTTTTACCTTGAAAGACATGGTTTTGTTCAGGAAAGTGGCCCATGATACCACCCTTGGGAGGTTCGCCCTGACACGATGTTACGCAAGCGTGAATAGACTGTAGGAAGATAAGATTGGTAACTTGAACACGATGAAGAAAGGAAATACCTAGTTATACATGATGGGCGCGATGTAAGTATATGCAATGCGTTGCTGACAACGCTCAATACCGGAGATATAAAAAATCCAGAAAGAACAATCATTCCCAGGACGAATAGATGATCTCGCGCCGTGTCCTCTCTTCTGTTCGTACACACTTTCCAAAACGTACCCAGTGGGCTTTGAGCACCTCCGAGGGGAGACTTCGAGTCGAGTCGCGCTCCCCACACCAGTATTTACCGGTCGGCGAGCATGTTCTTGATGTGGCTGTAGTACTGCGGCAGCACATACTTTGAAATTTCGTCCTTGGAGAGCCACTTGAAATCCTTCAGCTTCTCCGCACTACTGGAGAGGTCCGCTTGGCCGGCCATGATGCGGGTCTTCATGAAGAAAGTCTTCTCGCCGTGGGTAACAGCACCGGTCACCTGGTCAACGTGAGGCTTGCGGTTGGTGTAGACGTGATGACCAGCTGGGTGGAAGCCGACCATCCATGTGTTCATGTTGACACCGGCGGTTTGGGCGAGGGTACGTTCGGCAGCCTGTATTGGGAACAAGCGGTGCGTCGTTAGCAATCAAGTATGTACGATACGCACGTGAACAAGACAGGAAGGCTTGTTTCTAACGGGAAACACATACCTCACGCAAGGTCTCTTCTTTCTCAATTGGCATGCTGGGGAATTTCCAGTAACCCTCCTTGGACTGAACAAGCAAGTAGAGAGTCCGTGAAAGCAGTCGGTTGAGACTCCTCTGATCGCCTTTCTTGTCCGCTTCCGTCACCCGCGAGAACGGCCTCGGGATTTCTTCTTTCTTACTGGTGTCTTGCGAAGTGGCATTGGCTGTAGTCTCCGCATCGTGCACCAGTGCCTCCACCATATGTTCGGGCTCGGATTCCTTTGCGCCCAGAAGCAACTCGTCGTTCCAGGCATCATTGTCATACGCGTTGTAGTTGCCAACGTCGCGTGCTGGGGTGCGGCGCTCCTTTATCTTGTTCTTCCAGTCCACGTCTGCTGGCGTACCGCGCTTGAAATAAAAGTATTTGGTGAAGGGGAGCGCCAAACGCTCATTCAGACGCTTTTGATAGAAAAAGAAGGCCTTTTCAAAAGGCTCGAGGTCACGGGTGATTTGAGGAGGGCGGGAAAGGACCACACCGGCGTTGATGGTGTAGACAGGTTCAATGGCTGAAGAAGGAGTTGAAACCGGGGCAGTAGACGATGCAACGCCAGTGGGCGCGGTCGCAGCAGAGGCATAACTGCGGCGGCCGAGTGATTCCTGGCAGCTTCTGCATACGCCTGGATCGAGTCGAGAAGGTCCTATCATGCGGTGTTGTCAGCACCAGTCACTCGGCGTCTCCCATTAACAAGCTATCTAGTGTGATCAAAGCAAGTCACTTACGCATCAGCGACGCGACACGTCTGGCGCTATTGGATCCTGACGCCATGGTCACAGTGTATAAAGAATGACAATTCGATGCTCACTCGTCTCTCTACTCCGTGATTTCGTATGTCTTCCGAGAAAAGTTCCAGCAGGGCGGTCACGTTGAAACTTAACCCTTTCGGGACTAGCGTTTCATGCATTTCTTTAAAAGTTCTTCGAGTCTCAGACTCTTCTTCTCCTCTGCAGGCACCCATTACCTTATCGTCACTGGCCTCGAATTTTTTTCTCACGGTCAGTCGATCATTCAGTGGTGCTCAGAACGAAATGCGGCTATTTTTCGCTAGCGGTACCTTCACATCACCTAAGGCGTACTGTTAGATAGCTGCTGCAGACATCTCAGCACCAACCTCGCTAGTCTAGTGTGAACCTCGATCAATTGATTCTTTACTCTCCTACATCTACCTCTTTCCACTCGGTGATTCAAATTCAGAAACGCAATCGTATTTTTTTTTATTTTTTATCTTTTGCTGCCTCCGCTTTTCTCTGCGAGGCGTAGACGATGTTGTAAAAGCACTCTTGGTGCTTGCAAAATCCTCAGTCCCTTGATTGTCGTGAGACTGAGTTCAACTCGGAAAAAAGAATAAAATAGCCAAAAACATTCTCACGCACCAACCAAAGCTGTCGTCACGCTCGCATGCTGATACACTTAATCTTCAATCAGGAGCACGTTGCTAGCGGCTCCTCGATCTTCCATGACTATGTCGGTATCGGTAGTCATGGTGGCGGCCTTGTACTTGCGCTTAAAGCGCTTGTTCTGGCCAGGGGGCCCACAGCACACGGTCTTCTCAATCGACCCAAAGACTCTCAGCTTGTTCGCATGACAGCGCCAGAAAGTGTCACTGATCCGCGGAATCAACAGCCCCTTCTTGATCTTTTGCTGGACATGCACATCATCGGTATCAGCCAAGGGCTTGATAGATGGCTGTGGCCGAGGCTGTGTCTCAATCAACGTATCAAAGAAGTTGGTGAAAGGAGCTTTATGACGCGAACGTTTCTCTGGGAACAGGTCGGGTACAACAATATCGATCGGTGCAACCACATCGTAAGCAATCTCCTCAAGTCGGCCTCTCATCCCTTTGGGTAGCTTTCCATTCTCAAGGTGAGTCGCCAATTTGAGGAACGCGATGGCGGTCAACATGCTGTCGTAGCCCGCTTCATGGACGGTCTTCGTGTACATGTACTTGGAGTAGGGGCCCTCCACGTCTGTGAGAAATTGTCAGTATGAGGCTCGCAACTATAAGAGGCTTTCGAAGGGTTCATACTGATCTTGGGCGTGCGAATCTTGGCCAAGCTCTTGTTCAACTCCTCAAGCGAAGATGACGGGTTCGCAGAGTCGAAATCCAACGTAGCAAGGTACTTCGTGTCCATCAGAATGGGGAACGTATGATGGATCAAGGTGATGAAGTCCTCGATCTTGTTGGGAAGAGCCCCAAGGAAGGTCTGATACAGATAGATTAGATCGGTGAAGTTGTTATGGCCGACAAGAATTGGGCGGTTCTCCTGAAGACGGTTCTTCACCCGGTCTGCAAGCACGTCAACGGTGATCGACGGGTCTTGTTCCTCTTGCATAAGCGGTAGGAAGGTGGATGCGTCCAGGGTCGAGAGATCGCCTCCAGCCAACGCCTCTACAATCCAGCGGAAGCCCACGTGCTTGCGAATGCGCAAGTTGCTTTCCTTCATCCGCTCGTCAAAGTCCATGGCGCCACCGCTTCGCTGTTCAATCTGGACGTAGGTGGGCATACCCCGGGTCTTCATGCTGGGATACTCGGCCTTCACCAAGTTGTGAACGAGCCATTTCTGGGAGCTATCCAACTCGCGAGGCAAACCAAACTTAGAGGGCACGCCGTTCTCGGAAGAGGGGATGTTCAGGAACGGGGTCCGTGACTTGAAAAGGGGTCAGTTGTTAATATTCTTGAGTTAAGAGCGCGATCAGGGAACGTTGGGACACTCTACCTTGCCCGAATCGGTCCACGCTTTGATCTCGAGACGAACGGCCTGAAGGAATCGCACGTTTGCTTCATCCCGCAGTCTACCGTCAAGATTCTTGAATGAACCTTGCGGACTCCAACGGCGGATGGCTTCCTCGCGGACTGTGTCCTCTTCATCTCGAGAGAGGTAGCGAATGCCTTTGGTGAAGACATTACCAGCGTCGAACCCGTGGCCGGTTAGAAAATCCATGGCTGAATTGTCACAAGGTAGTCTAGTCAGTCGCCAGATCTCTTCAATCCAACCTTGAGTAGGGGCACTTGATGTACTTACACCATCCCATGAAGGTGAAGTCGCGATTGACATTGAGGTTACGGTCCAGACAAGGATTGAGCCAGATGTTGTAGGGTTTCATCTTGTAGCCTCCTGTGTTGTGTCAGCTGATCCATGATTGCAGGGGACGCGCAAGCCTTGATGAAGCCGGCAATATACATACCGTTCACCTTGTCTTCGTGGCAGATAGTCATGCCGATTTGAAGGATCTGGTACTTCTCCGCAGCGGCTTTGTTTTCCTCGTAGTGCTTCTGGAGAGGTCGACTACCCAGGTGCTTCGAGGAAATGGCGATGCCGGACATCTCAAGGTCCATAGTAACGAATGAACAGGTCGCTAGCTCATAGAGAATCCATGGCAGGTACTGGTTGAAATTGGACGCCGTGACGTCCATTGTGAATGGTCTGCGTGTTATGCGCAGAAGTTGGAGATTGGGTTTTTTTGAAGTTGAAAATCAACGATGTTGTTGTAAATCAAAAGCAAGGATGGTGTTGTGGAAGAGGAAGAGGAAGAAGAAGAGGAAGAAGAAGAGGAAGAAGAAGAGGAAGAGGAAGAGAAGAGGAAGGGTGGTGTTAGCACACAGAATGTGACAGAATGTGGTTAGCTTGCGCAGGCAGAAGTCGTAGACTCTTGGGATTGATTGTGTTTTCGGAATTGCAGCCTGTTCGTGGGCTTGATTCTGTCGTCAAGGCACTAGGCTTCAGGTGGTGACAGCTCAGTTCGGCGGTGCTGCAGTTGAGGATGCGAGCTTTGACCGAAGAACAGATGATCACAACAATCTGGTGGGCGCTGAGAGTTCAGACCGATTCGCTATTCTGAGAACCAAGCTCAAGATGAAGGTGAATCAAAGCTGAGAGCTGTATGATGAATCTTGAAACATACATAAATAACGATTCTAAAAGCGCTGATGATAGTGATATAATGACACACTAAGAGAAGCCGAAGGACTAACTTGATATCGGACTCACTTTCTGTCTTTCTCACCTGGTACGCGTGACGAGACGCGCATGCCCGCATATGTTAAGGTACCAACAGTAGTGGAGTTCACTTAATACTGAATGAACTTAGTTCCTGACTGACTTTATGTCTTTCTCACTTGATATCTTTCTCACCTGGTATGTGGATGTCCGTCCATAGTGCAAGGTACCCTCAACAGTGGGACTGATATGGCACTGAATGAAGTTTGGACATTTTGTGCTCACCACAAACCCCCTTGAACTTGTAGCTTAAAGCATGTGTAAATCCGTATTGATGAGATACTCATACACGTAGAAATAAGGTGAGGCTAAATGAAGCTCGTACTCTTTATACTGCCACTATGATTTCATAACCTAGTGCGTCAGTCAAAGTATGCTCGTCCGTCTAGAAGAGGTACCAATGGAAATGGAAATCTGGTGAATTAGTTTTAAGTAGTAGTTCATAGAGGCTCGGACTCTTATGCTCACGACGGAGTCTGTGAACTACCTAAATGCATATCAGATATTTGCTCCGGCGGGGCTGAACAGTCATGTTATTGCCTAGAGGGTTGTGTTTGCGTTTCGGTCTATTATACAGTATCCTTCTCCCTCTTTCCATTCTTTTCATTTTGTTTTGCTTATACCTCCCAGTGTCAATGTAAACAACTTCGCGCTTTCTCTTCGTGTGAAGTCCTACATCTCGGCCAGTTAGAAACAGACAAGGCGACTCTGACAGTTGTAGCAGAGATTTTATTCGTGGAATCGTTTCATATCTTGCTATAATATCTCCTCTTTCATGTCACGCTTGATACTTTGATAGTGTATCTTTGCTGAGCTATCTTCTCATACATTAGGCCTCCATTCTAGCAAGTGAGCACTTCGAGATTCGTGGAGGAATGATGTTGTAGAATGAACGGGTCGCAGATGGCATCGTGTCATTTCACTCGGATGAAAAGAATGAAAAAAAAGACCTAGGTAAGCACGGAGCAGGTGCTTATGATCGTGGCCATTTGGGACATTTTGGTGGGCGTCAGCCGAGATCCATTTCTATGTCGCTAGTTCATTGGTAAACACAGGAATAGCAGCTGTGAATATGATTCTGCGAGCACAGAAGTTAAACTGCGTCTCGATGCATCACCGCGGCTCAGAAGTGTCAGTTCTGACCGGACACATCGTGAGTTTCAGAGTACTAAGTACTACTGATGCTCCGTATCCCGGCTACCTCGTACACGTTTCTTCATCCTCCCATGATGCAAGCCTGCTAGTCAGCTTTAATGAGATACTATTTATTCTTCATTCTCAATTTATTACCCCGACTTATTTCTCACGTTTTCTCGCACTAGTTGACCGCCTAGAAACAAGAACTGTTTGTCCACCGACCATATGGCACTGACCTATGTATTGGATGAAACCCTAACTCTTGTGGATGATGTTTGTTTATATGCACGTACCCAAATAGGTTAGCTCGATGGAGCCCGTCGGGGAAAGATGATCCCGTGACTAACCCCGGACTTGGACGAGCCGAGGGAAAAGCGACAGCCGGTCGAACTGGGATGCATTGCCAGCTCGAGTGTTGGCCCCCCCCCGAAATGGTGAATGGCTCCGGATCACCTTTTTCTCATCGCTCGTGACCGTGAATCCATACGCCCATAAATCCTATTGTATTGATATCCTCAATCTCATTTTTACTATTACCATTTTACGGAGCATCACTGAGAGCCGCAATGACCGACGAAATGTCATCTTCACAGACCCAATTATCTTCCGCCTCCTCCTCCACCTCCGCTTCCCCCGCGAAACTGTGCTCCAAAACCTACAAAAAAGCCTCTCAACTATACTTGACGCGGCGGCTACCAGATTCGCTGGAATCGCTCCAGCCTATTCTTACCATACCGTCATCACAAGATGAGCATCTGACGAATGGCGATCATTCTGCTGCGGTCGCAACGATTGCCACAGCTCCCAGCACCTGGAGAATCAAGGTCTGGAATCTCTATATCACTCTGCTCAGCGCCATTGTGGACCTCGGTGCGGAAGAAGGCAAGGTGCAGTTTGGTCACAAGGAGTGGAAAGCGATCGCGACGCAAGTGCGCGAAGGTGGTATCTGGGAGAATGTCGTACAAATTGGATATCGGGGCCAAGAAGGCTCGGTCGATGCCGAGGTTGTCTTTAATCTGTGAGTACGATGTATACACAATGTCGAACTGTGATGAACTAGTACTAACAAGTAATGATAGGGCAACCCTGATTCTAAACCACTCGTCTTCCCAAGCGCTGAATCAACAACGCCTCGAAACCTACCTGTCGTCATATGGGCAACCCAACCTAGATCTTACAGATCGCCTACAGGATGCATCGAACGGACTGCAGTCAAGTCACATCACCACTGGTAACGGGACACATACCCCCAAAGATCTGAATGCCCGAGTCAGGATCATCGAAATATTCACTCTGCATGTGCTGCCACGAAATGGAGAATGGGACTATGCGCAAGAATTCATCAATCTCAGCGAGGTTCTGGACGAGGAACGTAAGGAATTGTTCCTCCAAACATTGGAAGGTCTCAAGGAGGAAAAAGAGCGGGGCGAGATGCGCGCCGCAGAGCTGCAGCGTCAGAAAGATCTCGAGCTCGAGCGACAACGAGAAGATGAGCGGAGACAGGCCGAGGAAGAAGCTGCACAAGCCGCAGCAGCGTCAACAAACGGGCACAAACGTAACGCCAGTGAAGTGGATTATGGGATTGATAAGAGCGGCTCACGCAGCAAAGCAAAAGGGTCAACCAAGTCTGGGGAGAAACTTACGTCGAGTAGCAAAGGTGGTTCCCGGTCATCCTTGTCGTCGAATTCCAAAAGCTCGAAAAAAGCAGGTCAAGGCTCAGCCCCGAAGCCAAGCACAGGCCACCGCGAATATGCTTCGCAACCTCTTCGCGAAGATTGTTCAACGGATATCGGGCAACCCTATGTCAATAGCACGTACCTTGCTCTTTCTCCTCGGCATTTTGATGGCTATGAGCAGACAAGGTATACGTGACCGAGTTCGTAGAATTACCGGCTCGGCATGGCAGAAGGTCAAGGGCACTGTTGGGATGGGTGTTAAAGTGAGCTACATCTGATATGTCAATTAGCGACCTCTCTTTCTTTTGACTTTGTTTTTACTTGTTTCTATTCGCCGAAGCCAAAACTCGAACGTCGCCCATTTGGCACACTTTGTGCATTCTCATTGCATCGGGAGCCAGCTCGGTCGTCACAGATATCTTCCTTCAACTGTCAATCTTTGGTTTATACATGTACACATTATCAGTCAAATTCAGCAGGCTCCTCGAGAGGTTTCGCTTCGAGGTACTGCTTTTGCCACTCAAATCATCTATAACACTAGGCAAGGATGTGGATCTGTTTTGACGCTCAATTACCATGGCGCTCGTTCCATTTCCGATCGAAAATAGTCAAGGATCGTTGTGCTAGAGTCAGTTAGTCCACATAGGTTTACCCTTTGTTTCGGTTTGAGAAGTCTTTAAACTCACCTGATGCAACCATATCGAGAGCTTTGATCGAGATATTGAGCGGTTGATTTAGCATATAAACAGCCGCACCGGCAACATCCTCCGCCACCAGTGGACTGGCCACATTAGCCCAGATCCAGACGGAAAGCCTTCTCATCATAAGGCAGCGAACTTACTCGTATCCCTCAAAAAATTCATCGTACATCTTCTTATCATGTCCCACCCGCAAAGAATGGAAATTGGTCGCCACGCAACCCGGTCGAAGCGCAAGAACCTTGATGTCTGTCCCCACGAGCTCGTTGCGCAGAGCGTTCGTGAAAGCCTCTTGAGCAGCTTTGCTAGAGTGATAAACTGCTTCGCCGGGAAACGGCGGGACCTCCAGTCCCGTCACAGAGGTGATGTTGAGGATTGTTCCTGAATTCCGACTGACCATGCTTCGATTCAGGACAGAGTGAGTGACGAACATGGGGCCGTTGATGTTTGTGGAGATCATGGTTTGGATGTCACCGATCTTTAGATCATAGAAGGCATTTGGAGCACCGAGGGCGAGACCGGCCTGTATGTTGCTTCGAGGTACATTAGTGATCTGGAGAGGAGACTGGGCAGTTGCCGCGCATTGACGGGATCGGGCGCCACTTGCATTATTGATGAGTATGTCGATGTGGCCCATTTCTTCAATGACACTTTGAATAACAGCATCGACTGCTTCGTGGCTGCCTACGTCCGCTGCTCGATATACAACCTTGATACCAGGATGCTGTTGAAGCAACTGGTCTTTCAAGCTCAATAATTTATCCTGTATGTTTCTATATTAGCGTCTTCCATAGTGCCTTGGTTCGCTTGAGGTCTAAGTTACTTCTGATCGTGCTAGTAGAATCAAGTTTGACCCCTCTTTCGCGAGAGATCGTGCAATCCTCTCGCCAATTCCCATCGAGGCTCCAGTCTATTCAAATGGTGATATCTGGGGTTAGCTTGACAGGCGCACGACGTAGCTTCGCGCAACGCACCAGAAGGACATTTTGTCCGTGCAGTGGCATCTTGGGATGATCTTGGGATAAAGTATCTGTACCACGATGCCTGAAAGAAGATGACAATGAGAAGTGAAAAGGACGTATTCCGAACGAATTGTGATATCAACCGCGACTTTTTGTTGATAGTTCACGATCGTCCTCATCAATCGCCTCGGGACTGACGTCATGGTTTGCGGATCCACTAGCCATGGTAGATCAGTCAGTGTTGAGTGACTTACCTGGAACAGTACAAACTTAGAAATAATTATGCTATTGTACGAAGTTACTAACTACCTACCTCCTGTTAATAATGTAGGCAACAGAAGGTAAATCGGACCCCGGTGAATTGCTCATACAACGTAAGCCTGGATGAGAGTCTGTGGCTGTCACTTTTGAGCAAAATTAAGGGCCCTCCGGGCTTCACGAGGCTCCTATACATTCGTGCAGATTGGTATGCTCAGACTGAGTCTCTATCACGCTCCACAGATATCCGTGAAAGTCGATCTTGACACTCATCTTCACGCGGGTTACTAATCCCGTCCAGTTCATGTCCCTGTCTATCCTCGCCCTCAATAATTCGAGAGTGCCAGCGACGAAACAACTGCACAAAAAATTGCGCCACGCAAATCTGCTCCGTGGTGTACAAAAGAACCGGCACTGAGGTTTTGGCCTTGGTGTAGAAGTCCACCGGTGCCCACATGGCATAAAGTAACGGTAGGCCAAGGGCTGTGCTTTTCGCTGGCGAGCAGAAGCAAACTGCGATGGTCTCTTCCGGGGGCAAGCTTTTGAAGAGATGCTGGGACCATGAATATCGATGGAGCATTTTGGGCGGTTGACAGCTGAAGAAGTATATCACGGTGAGTGCAATATAGAGAACAATGTTGAAGAGAACGACGAAGACGATGCTTTGTACAGACAAGCTTTGAAGAGCGCCGGTAGCGAAACAGGATGAGAAGGTCGTCCTGAAAGCTTTGGTCAGTCTATATGAGATTGAGATTCTCAAAGACGCTCGGGGCAACAGCAGGTGACTTGATGCAGCAAGAGCGCCGTATAATACCACACCTACCAAATGAGAAGAAGCATACAAGCACTGGACAGTTTTCGCAGACTTGTCTTCTGTATTACCCAGGCTGTCCGCTCAGGCCATGTCCAACGGACGATTTGTCCAAGAAACAGAGGAAGCAATACACTCAGGCCCAACTGCTGAAAGACATGTGCGTACATGCTCCCCAACTTGCCACCGCCGTATCTCCACGTATCAAACTCGGGCGATTTAGGCATGAGAGTGACCGTCCACACAGCTGTAACAAAGGGTCCTAGCACATTTGCTATCAAGACTTCGACTAACGCAGCGGCATCGTCTCCCCCAGCAGCTCGAGTCATGACCACATTGGAGGCGATGGTCGTCGGTATGCATGCTGTGAGAACATAACCTGCCAAGACGGCACGGTCGATGTGACCGGCCGGATCTGCTACAAGGATGATATGAACGACAGCCAGAACCAGAGCGGGGATGAAGAGAAAGGAGATGATTTGGACAAGCAGATGTAATCGCCAGTTGAGAAATTGCTTGACTAGCTTTTGTTGCGGGATACTCAGGCCGGAGATAAGAAAGATGAGGGCAATAACGCCGTACAGCACAGTGTATTCACTGCGAATGATCCCTCCATCGGTCTTGGCAACATTGGGAAACAGATACGCCAAAAGACAGGCAATTCCCATGCCGATGAGAAGCCACTGGCGAAGTATCATCATCGAGACCTGTTTCGACGCTGCCATCAAGCGGGTCGATGCTCGACGTTGCTGCGAGCTCACGGACGCGATAGACCTCTCCATCGCTGGTCGGTTCATGACTGGGGGACCATTCATGGACTCCAGGGGGTAGGCAGTCAAGCACGCAATAGACGAAGATTGGCCATGGACGCTGTCAGTCAGACATCTTTGGAGTGGTTGATAGTTAGTAGACAAGTAAGGGTCAAGACTGCGGTGCGGAATCAGTCCATCAGCCCTCGACGGGTATTATGGGCACGCAATCGCGCGATCGGATATACTCCGACCATTAGCGGAGATCGTTGCGATCATGCATGTTGACATGCGTCGAGAAGGGAGCCAAGTGATATAGTATTGGCAAGTATTGAACAATTATGAACATCAATTCGATGAACATTGATTTGAGACAAACATACTCGGCAATAGGGCTTCATTTCACGGTCTCTTTTCGTCTTTTAGGCTTGCAACTCAACTCCTTCAGCAAGCGTCCATCGGCCAATGGCGCATTGAAAATGTAGAGCCGGGAATAGTGGACTAAATTGAGACCAACCACAGGTCTTGTTATCAAGGGCCAGTAGGCCCAGTACTGTTTCAGTGTTTAGTGTGTTGTGTTTACTACAGAGTACAGCGTGACTACACTCTACAGGAACAGCCCAAGATACATCGGCAGTAACATTTCTTGCCCGGATGTCCTGCAATACATTGATGGGTACATGGATAATTCGTACCAGCGTCGAGGTCATTCGCAGACTCCTCAGCCGCCACGAGCATGTGAAACCGTGCAGCAGTTCCAAGCACATGCTAATGATGCAATCAATCCGCCACTGGGACCGTTCTAATTAGACTCTTGCCCTTGCAAAAGTTACTGCAGCGTCACGGGTGATCTCCCACACTACTAACCCGGTCTACTTTGGGAAAATAGCGCCCGCACAGCGAGGCGTCTAGCTTCCCCAGCTTTTTTCTTTTGTGTTTTCTCGAGGCCCTGTCGACTCGCCTGGATTTTTGTCTTGTTGGTGGACTCTTAAATGGCAGACTGCCGACCACAGATCCGATTCTCAGCGTTAACCGTCTGAACCGCCGATAATCGCTAGTATGCAAGTGCAGCAAGTCCTCTACTAAGCGACATCCCCATAGGTGGCCGTTAAGCTCATTTGGACACTCATGTACATGAAATCTGTACATACTACATACTAACATAGTATGATAGTACATAAGTTACTAGTAACTACATAGTCCCCGAGAATTGAAATTTGAGACAGCCAACATGATGACACACGCGACAGAGTCTCGGCGCGTCGACCATCAGTCTTCTGAGTCAGAGGCGGTCGGGCATGGCGGTCGCACGCGGGATCGTGGAGTCGATTGAAGCTGGGGAAAAGTTGAGCCTCGGCTGAGAGGAGCTCTGGGGAAGGTCCGAAAAGTTCCGGGGTAAAGATCGCGACAAACGACACGACGGGGCCCTTTGGCAAGGATCCTCATAGTTTCGAACTTGTCGAGATCAGCTGCGATATACGGAAACTACTGTCATTCGCCAGAAGGGTTTTGTCCACGTATGGACTCTATGGAGTGTCTCCGCCAGTCCGGAGTCTGAGGTGTTTAGGTCCGGAGTACTTCGTTTCGCACAACTAGATAGAAATCGCAGCTATGCTGAAATCTTGTCTTCGAGTGGAGGTTTACCTTGAAACAAAACGGTCACCGCGACTGTTCGGCCCTGGACGACTTGCAGCATATCTCAGTGTTCGAGATCCAGTGAGTGATGTGATCGTAAGCGGGATGTGCCAAGGACAATTCAATAACGAGCATGTGAAGTCCAGAAGCATGGGGGTCTTCTGGGGAAACGGGATCTGAGATCCAAGCCTGAGAGCCCACTGACACAATGCAGTGAATGGACCACTACCGCAACTAGGTATCTTCGCCTTGTATGGGGCTAGTATGTACAGCGCAGGTACTATTCAGAGCCACTTGCCGAGTCTATCAGGTGGGCGCCAGGAAACCAAAGCTACGGACGGAATGTCAGCTTGAATCTTGGTAGGAGTCATCCGCCCTTGTACCCGACCCGAAGGGCCTCGGGATTGAGGAACCTCGAGCCATTTCTGGCTCGACTGGAGAGTGCCAAAGGCGAGTGAACCCGTTCACGCTGTTGTGAGGATTGCCGAATGACCCTCGGCGGGTATTCGCGCGGAATCAGATTTATGGTCTCTCTTTTCCCTTCCAAATCTCATGACTCTTTCCACCTTTTTTTTTTTTGTTTTGTTTTCACTCTTTCCTTGAACTCTCCCTATTCTCCCTATTGTCAAGGATCTTCAAGTCTTATCCCAGCTAAGAAACAATCATCTGGCACGTCTTGGCTGTCTCTTCTTGTATCGCTGCCTGCTTCCGCTCGTCCAGCTATCCGTCCTCCGGTTCCCCGTCATAGTCCAGCAACCGTACCACGGATGTACTATTGGTTTCCCCCGCAAAGTTTAGAGACGCTGTTCAAACAAGTCATTTTGCGCCTCGGTTCAATTCGATCGTTCCAAACGAGCAAAACTGTCGATTGCTGAAAGAAATCAACTTGTCTTTGGAGAACTGATCATTTGTGCCATTGTCCACCACCATCTACTTCATATCACGGCAGCCCTATACCTCGGCTCTGATCGACAGTATTACCGCAATTGGCGACGCTCGATTTCCGTGGAACAATCCGCTGAAAAAGAAAAGAAAGCATACCTTTTGCTCCGAGATTGACTCTCATTTTCACGGTCGATTGCCGTACATAGCAGCGAAAGCACTATCTACAAGAAAATGGCGTCGAAAAGTGCCAACGGCAACAGTAACAGGAGGGCCTCTCCAGCAGTCAATTTGATCGGTACAGTTTCCCCTCCGCTCTGTTGAGTTCAACTCGGGCGCAAAGAGATTGAGACTAATTTGGCCTTAGCTGGCGGTGGTGCTGGTATGATGGAGGCTCTTGTGTGCCACCCATTGGACACAATCAAGGTTCGCATGCAGCTTTCACGGAGAGCCACGGCGCCGGGGGTCAGTATCCCTTCAGCTCGCTTGTACTTTATTTCTCTTTTTCCCCCAATTCAAGCGCTGACATGATGGTGTTTCACATGCCAACAGGCCAAACCTCGTGGTTTTGTAGCCACTGGTGCCGAGATTGTGCGTCGAGAGACCGCGCTCGGTCTATACAAAGGACTGGGTGCGGTGTTGGGAGGAATCATTCCCAAGATGGCGATTCGATTCACCTCGTACGAGTCATACAAGGGTGCACTGGCAGATAAGGAGACGGGCAACGTCACCAGCAAAGCTACTTTCCTGGGTAAGTTTCTTCCCCCGATCCTCGACAATTATGAGAAGTCTTTTCGAGAATGACAGTGAGCTAATTGCTTCTTTTTGTTTCATTCGCTGTAGCTGGTTTGGCTGCTGGTGTAACCGAAGCCGTCGCTGTGGTCAACCCAATGGAGGTTGTCAAGATTCGTCTACAAGCTCAACACCACAGTTTGGCTGATCCGCTCGACACACCCAAGTACCGCAGTGCACCCCACGCACTCTTCACCATCATCCGGGAGGAAGGCTTCAGTGTACTCTATCGCGGTGTCTCCCTCACAGCTCTGCGCCAGGGTACCAACCAAGCGGCCAACTTCACCGCATACACCGAGCTTAAAGCTGCTCTACAACGCTACCAGCCCGAGTACGCCAACGCTCAGCTCCCCTCCTACCAGACCACCTTGATCGGTTTGATCTCCGGTGCCGTCGGTCCCTTCTCCAATGCCCCCATCGACACCATCAAGACTCGTCTGCAAAAGACACGCGCAGAGCCGGGTCAGTCTGCTATCAATCGCATCATGGTCATTGCCAAGGACATGTTTAAGACGGAGGGTGCTCGCGCCTTCTACAAGGGAATCACCCCTCGTGTCATGCGTGTTGCTCCTGGTCAGGCGGTGACTTTCACTGTGTACGAGTATATCAAGGGCAAGTTGGAAGGGTCCAACTGGGCTTTTGTGGGAGGCAAATTCGAGGAGTAGAAGGAATAGACGTGAGTCTATCCATCGGTTTCCAGAGTCGAGCTTTCAAGAGATAAAATGACTGGAGAAGAAGAGCGTTGGATTTTAGCCTGCGGGAGAGGTTGGAGAAAGCATGTGATACCATTTCATAGTATGCTAGCGTTGCATGGCTGCTGCTGCTGCTGCTGCTGTCATTATTGTTGTCGTTGCCTGTTTGTTTTTCGGGGCACCCGCTACTTTGCGGAGACGGTTGCTCTGCTGCTTCGGTTTTGCCTAGCCGAATGGTAGATGATATATTTCCTTCTTTTTTTTTGTAAATAGCCCTGAATTTTCATATATTGTCAACAGATTACCGTCCTCGTTGCTTGGATTCTCATAGGCCAAGACTTGTATGTGCAAGAGAGCTAGTGCCGACTCGCGTCTGTGAATCTGATATACAGAGCTTAGTGGACACTGGAGAATGGCATCATGAAAACTTTCAATTGCGCGGAAAGGAGGTCGATGAAGACTATCGCAGCACAAGATGCCCAGCAAGATGGAGACCTGATGGGAAGAAGTTACCGTGATCTGTGTTTTCGAAGTAGCAGAATGGGTCCGAAAGAGAATGAAGCACGCTACAACTCAATGCCTCGCACTTGACAAGCAGGTCGATGCACGATGCATGAAACCCAACCCAAAAGCCGTCCGCGTCCGCCCCTCTCTGCCTCATTCACCGCTTCCCCTCCCTCCCCTCTTCGTGTAAACAACGGCTTGGACTACTATAGGTAGTTCTCACTTTCCCCTTTGGTCTGCACGCAATCATGCAGTCAGGAATCACTGGTTCGTCTATCATTGCTCACTTTTTCCGGCAATTCACATATACTACTCGGGGTTGAGGCTCCCATCCTCCCACTGCAACTGACCACCTCTCCCGTCTAGTCTCCTCGGAGCTGCATGATGCCTTCACTCGCTTCACCTCCGATACCTCCATTTTCTGTCTTCCTGTGACTATTCAAGGAGAGACCCTCACTCCCTTGACCCCGATCAATTTTTCCGGATCGTCCTCTAGTCCAGATTCATTCTACACCAGCCTGTCCCAGATCTCCTCGATCCTGCAGCCCAAAACCCCAATCTACCTGCTTCTCCGTCGCCCGCTCGCTTCCAAGACCACTCTGGTCGCATTGACCTACATCCCCTCCAATGCTCCCGTTCGACCCAAGATGCTGTTCGCATCGACCCGGTCCACGCTGGTCCGCGAGCTGGGAACTGAGAAATTCGACGACACCGTGTTCGCCACGGAAGAAGAGGAGATCGTCGGTCGGGAAGCCTGGGCCGAGCGCGACGGTGACAAGGCGGGCGTGGGTCGTGAGGCCCTCATGGGAGAAAAAGAGCGAGAGCTCGAGGCTGTCCGCCGAGCTGAGGCGGAGGCTCGAAGCGGGACCCCGCATCGAGATATCGGCATCGGAGGCACTTTCGGGCCCGGCACGGGCTCTGGAATGAGGGTTTCCATGCCTGTTGATGATGCGGCCAAGTCTGCGCTGAAGGAGCTTGCAGACGGTGGTCTGGTCCAGCTGGTAAGTTTCTTGTACTTGCACTTGAATTCCTACGTCTCTTTACTTGTCATGACTTTACGGTATTTGGGGTAAATCATGGGGAGAGTCAAGGCTGGCTCTATGGACTTGCGCTAACGAGAGATACATGTAGACTGTTTCACCCACAGAGACCATCACCTTGGCCGATAAGCAGACTGATGTTCAGCCAGGCTCTGTCGCTGGCCACATTTCTTCCTCCTCGCCTCGATATTCCTTCTACCATTTCCCTGGCTCCGACGTCGTCATCTTCATTTACACCTGTCCCACAGGCTCGTCGATCCGAGAGCGTATGCTGCACGCCAGCTCTCGCAGAAATGCCATTACCATCGCCGAAGCGGAGGGACACAAGATCACAAAGAAGGTAAGGCCGTACTGAAGACAAAGATCTTGCAGAGAAATGCTGACACGGTTGGCGAATCGACAGATTGAAGCTTCAGGACCCGACGAGATCACTGGTGATCGACTGAAGGAAGAGGTGCAGCCGGCGCAGGATTCAGGGCCAGCACGTGGCTTTGCCCGCCCAAGACGGCCAGGCCGGTAGATGATAGACCATGTCGGAATGGCGGACAAGTCTATTTGAGAACAGATGTTGAGCGTCGTTGAATAGGGCAAACATCTCTTTGTTGTTATGTATCAAAGCCGAACATGGCGCCCCAAACAGATAGTCCAGTTGGAACTCAATTCACTCGGAGAGAAGCGAATCAAGCCTTGCATGGCACACGGCGCGCCGTGCATGCCTCCCTCATTGTATCCGCACAGGTGGAGGAAGAAGCGACCAAGTGCACCACAAGAGAGTCGAAGAGGCACGGCTTAAGGTCATTGATTCCGAAAACTTTTCTTTTGGTAGAACAGATCTGTCCTCGAACTTCCCAAATTTATAATTTTGGGACACCCGTCTCGATCCTTCTCCAGTCGCGTACATTCGAAACAATAGAATGCGTCACTGATGCCCTCTCCGCCGCAGACAACACACTTATTCTGATAATTGCCGAAGGAGCATTCGTCGCAGATGCGCACAAGTGTGGTCGGACGGACGTAAGAATCACACACCGGGCATTTGCCGTCGCATTTGTCGCAAACACGGCCGATGGAAATGCCGGGCTGCTTGCGGCACATAACGAGATCGGGGTGATGGCGAGACATGGTTTGTACCGCGAATGATGGAGAAGAGAAGACAGGCTCGAGGAACGATGAGGTTTTTTGTCGGAAGCGATGCGTATATGTAGGGGTAGGACCTCGGAAGGAAAGTACGGGGATTACCAAGCTGTCGGACAAGGTGAAGGGACGGTAGGTGGTGAGAGGCGAAAAGAAGCTGGCAGAAGTTTGGGAAATGGTCTTCGTGCACGTGCCACCAGGTCCCAGCCTACGCCAATCTCCGAGTGGCCGAGCGATAGTCTGGCAAGCACCTTCTTTAGGCGGTGACTTGAAACCTATTTTGACTGGGACAGTCTTTGGAATGGAAGCCCTTTCTTGAGTTCTTGATCAGAAGATCAAAGCGTCATTTTCTAACGTGCGACAAATCTAATCAGATGTTCTGACACTGATACGCTCAACTTTTCAACATGTCTGAAGGGTGAGGCGGACCCCTCCTACCCCGATCATTGCTAGATGCGCCTGGCCATGTAAGCTGACATTTGTCGATTCTCATACCCAGAACACTCGCATCAGCCGTAGCTGTACCGGAGCAGGAAGCTCCAACTCAGTCGCCTGAGACATCAACAAAACGAAGACAGTCTTCCGCCTCTGTGCAAGACTCAAAGCGCCGCCGTCTAAGCTCGCAAGGCGATCTCTCTCCGAACGTGCGACGACCCCAGCATTCGCCTGGTTCGCCAGTACGAGAGCGCCCAGCAGAACGAAGGCCCATTCGTCAAGGCGGAGAAGAAGATCGCAAACGTGGTCAGCGGCTATTTGGCGGGCTGCTGGGCACTCTTTCGCAAAGCTCGAGCACGGCGGCGCAGAGGCGACGTGCTGATATAGAAAAGCGTCAGCAAGAGAAGCTGAAGTCGCAAGCAGACGAGTATGACGGCCTGAAGAAGCGTCGCAGGGAGCGACGGGACAAGATACGCCAAAGGAAACTCCGTTCTATGAACGGGAGGCGGTACGCGATTTCTTGATGTCTATGTTTGATGCCGAAGCCGCGTGTCTAGGCTGGTAGACGCGAGTTACTGACTGTCTCGCAATGACAGATGCAAACACGACACCAAACCCTTTACGCTATGGCGCACTCTCTGAAAACACGGACGGAACCAGTTCTGGTACGAACAGGCCTCAACCTCGCCTCGAATTGCCTCCGTTGGGTTGAAAGCTAACATACTGTACTTTCTGGTGTTTAGTACTATAAGCCCTGGCAACTACGGCCTGGTGACGACGCCATCATTCAAGAACAGATTCGTGACGCAGAATTCACAATTGCGGAAGAGGTGGCCCTTTTCGAAGCTCAATACCCACCGCATGTCTTCACATATGAGCAGATTGAGTCAATACCGACGGAGACAGCACCACTGGAGACGGAAGGAAGAGAAGAGCAAACACAGGAGCCACATGAGCAACCACCTGCGGGCCTGAGCTCTCAGACAGCGTCTACTCACCAGGCCGATGTTGACGCGAAGTCAGATGATCGTTCAACTACGGTTGAAGCGCAATCTCCGATCAAGGAGAAACCTGCGCCCACGGAGTCCGATATGGCTTCCCACCCTGAGCCTGCAGCTGGTGCTGCTGATGCGGAAGGCGGACCTCGCTCGCACCACGATGACGATGGCGATGAGATGTTGGAGGACAACGAGGATACGGTTATTTACTAGCGACTCAAGGCTCGAAACTGGCAACATCATTGTATAGGTGCGTTTAAGCATCGACATGACATCTTGCCTCTCGTAAAATAGTCTCGATTTTCAGATACAGCTTGCCAAGTCCGTTAAACAAGGTGTTGTACTACTGTACTGATTGTACTGATTGTACTCTAAATTTATGGGGCTCCCGAACAGCTCCACTGCCGAGGTATGACGAAGGGTACTCCTCGGCTTGCCAGGAAACAACCACATTCCCCTCTTCAATGCTTCGGTCCTGGAAAATCCCTGAGATAACAGGTTCAAGGCTCTTTCTATTGAATCAATTAGTCTGACCTAATACCTATTCTACCCCTAGCACTTCTCGATCGGTGTCTGGTAAGCTTCACGTGATGAATCCCACGCTGCTTATGCTCTCACTGCCAGGTCAAAATCTAGTCGGACTCGATCAGTACCTGGGCATCGGCCTTTGCCGGGATTTTCTATCTGTGCTGAGACTCAATTTTTCTTCATAGTACAAAGTGACAACTTGTAAAATATGGCCGTGGATAAGATTCGTGTTTCTGGTGACCCCCGCATCGAATACAAGTCAGCTACCGTGAATGGCCGTCAATATGGTGAGTACCAGCGAGATCCGCATCAACCAAACATTGGCCAACAACGCTCCTCTTTGAGCGAGAAAGTATACACGAGTCATACAGATTTACAGACTATTTGTGCTAATAAGCGATGTTCTGCCCGCAGGTTACCTGCTCAGTCAACCCGATTCTGGAAAATATCGGGCTACGATCTTCTTGGTGAGTTTCCTTCTGTTGGAGGTTCAGTGGTGCCTTGATGAATGCTGATTGAATTTACAGATCCATGGCTTCCCAGACATCTCGATGGGATGGCGGTATCAGATCCCGATGTTTGTCAAGATGGGATTGCGAGTAGTTGCACCCGATTGTCTCGGATACGGCCGAACGGTAAGTATCATACTCGTGAATTGGGCAATGAACCAAGAGTCTTCGTTACTAAGTGCAAGAGTGAAAATTAGGAAGCGCCCGAGGAGGTTGAGCTTTACTCTCACAAGCGATGCGCCGATGACATGAAAGCACTCGCATCACACTTGGGCGAGTCCAGGATCATTCTGGGTGGCCACGACTGGTAAGGTACCAATCAACACAAGTCTTTGACAGAGGCGGCGGCACTGACTATACACAGGGGCGCAGCGCTATCCTATCGAATTGCGCTTTGGCATCCAGACTTGATCAGTCATCTGTTCACTGTCTGCGTGCCCTACGCACGCCCCCAGCCAACCTATCTGTCGATTGAGGATCTCGTCAAGAACTCGGCTCCTCACTTCAGATATCAAATCCAATTTGCCAACGGCGATGTCGAGAAAGTCGTCCGTACCAAGAGCGAAATCAAACAGTTCCTGGCTGCGATGTATGGCGGGCGTGACGAGAAGGGCAAAGTGGGATTCGATGCTGAGAAGGGAGTTCTCTTGGAGAAATTGCCCTCATTGAAGCCGTCGCGCTTGCTGACTGAAGATGTGAGAGTAGCAGACTTCCTCCGTCCAATTTCCACACAGGTTTTGGCTGGGTGCTGACTTCTCTCGATCGCTGATAGGAACTGGATTACTATGCGACTGAGTTCTCACGAAATGGAATGCACGGTCCCCGTAAGTCTTCTCACCATGCTCAACACTACAACCTACCTGGAATACACTAAACGATAACAACTAGTAAACTGGTACCGAACCCGACGAGTGAACTACGAAGAGGAACTTGCCATCCTTGATCGCAAGATCACCATTCCCGTTCTGTTTATCCAGGCTCTTAAGGATCAGGCCTTGCCACCTCACCTTGGGAAGTCAATGGCCAACCACATTCCCAATCTGACCATCAAACAAGTCAATACCGCTCACTGGGCGCTTTGGGAGAAGCCTGAAGATGTGAATAGTATCATTTCTTCTTGGATGAATGAAGCTGTCTTTGCAAATGGGCGGCTGGGCAAGCTTTGAAATAAGATATGGGTTCGACTCGCGGTGGTAACGGAAGACATCTAGCCACGATGGTCACTTGATCGTGCTATAGCGACACAAGCTCTGTACTACCTCGGCAGACAACTTGAATGATGATCATTTCCAGCTTTCAAGGTCCACTCCTACGTAGCTCCTTCAACCCCTATGAAAAGCCTATTTGAGGACTAAATTGAGGCCTTCCTGAACAGGTGCACAGATAGTGTTGATACTGTGACAACCATTCGAACATACTGAGCTAGCAGCTCTTGAATAGAAACAGTCTGGTTCTAATGGCTTGTAGGCTTTGCGCTGAGTTAAAATGAAAGAGATACATCATTTAAACTTCGCATTGAAACCTATCAAAACAGGAACACCTTTGAATTTAATCAGTTACGACATGTTGCTGGACACTGTCGACCGGAATCTCGAGGTATCATGGAAATCCACTGACTCGGCCTCGAGAAGGATGGTCGGAGCCAAGTTCATCCTCAGACCTTCCCACTAGTGTTGGAATGTCTTCGTGTCAATACGGCATCCAACCTTCTCGAGGCGGTCAACAAAGTCTTGGCCCAAAGTTGCCGATGTGACGATGCCGCCACGTGAAGTCTTCTTCACTCGTTCTTCGTCATTGAGAATGACAATTGCCGCTTCAGCCAGGAGCAAACCGGTCAACAAGTACATGCCACCTTCGAAGCTGAATTTTCCAAAGACGCGCTTGGGCGCCGGGCCTTCCTGATCAGCGGTGGCAACCGCATGATACTCGAGGCGGTCATTCTTAGACGACTCGGCAGTAGGACCTTGTCCTGGAGCGAAGATAAATCTACGCACCAGCGCGCGGATGGGAGAGATCATTAGAAGCGAGACTCCGACGAGGAAGCCAAGGTGCACCGCAATGCCGATAAGAGAGTTGCGCACGTGCAAAAATTGGCGAAAGAAGAATCGCTTGCCGTAGAGCTCGGGCATCAAAGTGCTGCTGCGATGCACAATGGTCACATCGGCGATGCCAGAGGGCGACGTGGTCACTGTGCCGAGATCTCGAATCCAGCGAGCACCGACAAGCTTGGAAATAAGGGACTCGCTGGGGATATCCTTCGGCGGAGCAGACGCTGCAAGCGAGAAAGGATTCAGAGACTTCATCACCTCGGAGGGCGGCAGCCAATCGAAGATGCTGAGAATGGTGTTCAGCGTGCCACCGCTGGCACCCGATGTCCTAAGGGTCCAATATGAGAATACTGGTCATCAAGTCGCACATATGTTCGAGAGGTCAATCTCACTTCATCTCCTTGATACAGCAGTCAATCTGACGGGTTTCGGTTGCTAACTCCTCCCGCACGTGCTTGACCAGTGCCCAAGCGAGTACGTCTGCTGGAGCACTCTCGACACCAACGGAAGGGATAATCTGACGGCCAAGGTCAGCAGACAATTCTCGTCTCATTCATCGAGATTGAGTCACCCACAATCGCTCCATTGTTCTTGGCTGTCTCGTGGTACTTGTCGATGATCAGCTTCACCCATGGGGTCTCACCGGTCCTGTAGATATCCGTTAGTAGCCAACGGGCGCATGATCTTGCACTTCCACTCACGCGTCAACATAGTGGGTACCATGCGTAGCGCAGGCCTCGACCACCGGAGTTGAGTAAAGGTGATAGGGTCCCACGCAATTGATAATCAGTCTTGTCTTCTGCGCCAACTCATTCAACTCGCTTGAGTTGAGCTGCACGGCAAGAACATCTTGTAGTCACGCCAACCCTAATATCAGCAACTACAACACTTCAACTTGGGCCTATTGCGTGCTTATCATCGTACCTGGCTGGACACGGTCCGCGTTGAGTTTCTTGAGCTCCTCAGCAATTGGATGGATCTTCTGCGGCGAACGACCTGCAATTGCCCATTTTAGATCGGTGGGGAGGTTCTGGACGATATGCTCTGAGCAGAGACGGCCAGTATAGCCAGTTGGGCCCAAAAGAACCAGATCGTATTGTCTCTCCGTAGCCATTTTGTGGGTGGTGTTTGAAGCCTGGGGAGGGAGAGATGACGTCGGAATGCGAGCAGAGAACCCAACTTAAACACTAGTTATTTAGTCCGCTACTACACGTCGGCAATTGAGACGGAAAAAAAGAAGCTGAATCAAATTATTTCAGCGTGTGTTGGAATTTGATGGAATACTTGGCGCAATTCTTAAGTGTGCTGAGCAGCTGTACCAGGTAACACTAATTCCATACCGAGCTGGTTCGGTCATCCCAGAATGTCGTCAGGATGCCCTTTCGTCGCACCGAGATTCACTTTCACGTGATAACAAGAACGACTGGCAAAGCCGCCAAGCTTCGAATCTGGATTGCGGGGTGGTCTCTCTAGTTCGCCGTAGCATGACGAAAATCGATCACTGAGGCAAGATACCTTTGACTCGGAATTGTGCAAAATGATTGCAATCTGAAGGTTTGAGATTTTGGAAGCTTGGCTAATATTATTTTTTTCAAATTTGGGTATCTCTGCGCCGAAATGCTCTCTCTGAATTTGGTCATTGTCATTTGCGCAGTCAAGCAGAATCCTTTTCTTGTCAACAATGTTATGTGGCCCGTGCATTATAAGAACGTGATGGGTCTATGACATCGCAAATGAACACTGGGGGATCATGAACATCAATCTCCGAGAAACGCAGTCAATGAAAATGACCACACCAATCGCATACAAGGGATAAGCCAGACAGTTGTCCGGTCGATCATAGTAGAGGCGTTAATGATGGGAGAAATTCCAGTGACTAGGATCATGGCCTCACCGCCTACCGCTTTCTGGACGAGATCCTTGTGCCACCAGCAAGTCAGGCAGATCAGGTGACCACACTGTGCCAAGGCTTCGAGCCCTAAGCGAGCCCACCCACAACCGCTCTTTTACAGCCTGGCTTTGGACACTTCGCTATCCATCTTCACGCTCAACAGCCGCACACAGCCAAGATGACCAAGCGCACCAAGAGTATGTTCAAGCTGTCTAAACCTCTGACCCTCCCGATTATCTGTCGAACCTGTTGCTAATTCTTTATACAGAGGTCGGTATCACCGGCAAGTACGGTACCAGGTATGCTCAACTCCAATAAAATTCCCGTCCGCGCCACCATTATATCCATGCCGTGAAATTCTCGATTCCGCTCCCGGTTCTCAACTGCGAAATCGGATACGGCGAGTGCTTTTCACTGCGAAAACTACGATATTGACTCGGAATTTTTTTCTCTTCAACAGATACGGTGCCTCTCTGCGTAAGCAGGTCAAGAAGGCCGAAGTTTCGCAGCACGCCCGCTACATCTGCACCTTCTGCGGCAAGAACACCGTGAAGCGCAAGGCTGTTGGTATCTGGGAGTGCAAGGGCTGCAACAAGACCGTTGCCGGTGGTGCCTACACCGTCTCGTAAGTTGCGCCTTCTTTCGATACGGATAAATGTGTCGCCCTGGTCACACAGCTGGCACATCGTTCGCATATCCGCCTGTCGCCTTCATTCGTTGGTCTTGACGTGTTCTGACAAGTTCTCACAAATACAGTACCCCCGCCGCCGCTGCCACCCGCTCCACCATCCGTCGTCTTCGTGAGATCGTTGAGATCTAAGCGTGATACATGGGTTCCTTTCTCTTTACGGCTACGTCTTGAATACCAAAAATGAAAACTTCGGAATCATAAAACAATTCCTTATCCCTCCATCAGAAACATGCGTAATCTGGGTCCTCGTGATGGCTCAATTCTAGCAACGCCGAACTCGACAAGCTTCTTTCAACTCATTTTCCTATACATTGCCTCCCCGCTGATTCCATCAATCCTGAACTTTCGGAATGTCGGATATGGCACCGTTGATTTCCCGCGGGAAGAGGTCCGTCGAATCGGAGAGACCGTAGAAATTCTTTCTAGCGATCCTCTTCATGACTACGATTCTGTTTCCGCCTGTTCTGCTCGGGGTATAATACAATTTCCAAATCGAGAAGATTGCCAGACAACGTTATGATGCGGTCCAGCGTCCCTGTTCTCTCTCGCACATGAGATCCTTACCAATGTCGCAGTAAAGTTTGACAGACTGCTGCGCTAGTGGAGAAAGACTGCTGTTCTACGCAAAGCCCTTTTTTGGATGAATACCTCGACTCCAGATATGCAACCTGCAAATCAGGTGGGGATAGACAGAGTGTGATTTATAAATTTCTCTTTCATCTTATTGACTCACGTAGAATCAGGTTTCCCAGAAGCAGTGCATGCCGCCCTGGCGTCTTGCAGCGTTCTGTACGGGCTTGTTCATCCCTCTTGGTTTGGCAAAGAGCATCCCTCCAAGATGGGACAAGATGGGCATCTCCAGGCTCACACTTGGTCAAGGTCCCAAGTCTCAATTTACAGCTTTCATCTCAACACACGGATTTAGTTCAGAGTCAACATTCCCATTCTGATTGTTGCCTTGGTTCTCTTCAGCCCTTGGGTTCGCATGTGCCTCCCGGCAGGTGATTCGCCTCCGTCACGTTGGCGCCCTGTTTTGAGTTAGACCGGAAATCCTTGGCCCACCTTCAAAAGGCCCGACTCCCGTTTCTCCACTTTACACTCTACACACTCTTCCCTCATTACTTCTTTGTCTTCACTTCTTTCGTTTCGATGCTTCATGCCGTTTGCCAACCGATCGATCCCTATCTTCTACTTTTCCCATGTCTGACACGTGCATCGTCTGTCTAGGGGACCTTGGCGAAAGCGCTAGTGACCCTCTCGCGGTCGAGGCAGTGCCAAGACTCGATGCTGCTGACCCAGCGGCTAAGGCCCCGATGTCCAGTGATGACGAATGCTCTAGTGAGATAGCCCAATTGTTGCCCTGCGGACACATACTTCACCATATTTGCCTGAAGCCCTGGGTGGAAAGAGCAAATAGTTGCCCGATATGTCGCCGTAATTTCAACATGGTAGAGTTGAAGAACCAGCCTGGAGGTACGTATACTTCAACTCCCTTATACATATCTCGATGTCGAGGCCGAACATCGTCTTTTGCTGCATGGAGTAGGACTAACTGGTGGTGCGTGCTCTAGGTCCGATCATTTCATCATACGCTGTCCAAGACCGTGTCCAGGTCGCCGAGATCGACCCATCCATGGTAGCTGACTACGGCGATGAAGACTTCGGCGACTATCTACCTTGCACAATCTGCGGACAGTGCGGTGATGAAGATGTGCTGCTCCTTTGTGACGGCTGCGATGCTCCATCTCATGTCTTTTGCTTGGGACTGGAGGGTGTGCCTTCTGGGGACTGGTACTGCGACATGTGTGAGACGCTACGGGCGGTGGAGCCTGCTGCGGAGATAGTGAATTCCCAGCCTCGCACCACAGCACGTCGAGACGGTCGCACACGGGGTTCGCGCCGTCAGACACGAAGCAGTGACCAGGTAAACTCCTTCCACTGGGCACGCGTGTGGCAAGCTGTATGGGACAATCTCAACTTCGATTTAGATTTCCCATACGATGATGATCGTGCTGCTCAGCGTGTGCTACAGCAGCGACGGCGTGAGGAGGCAAATCAGCGCGAGTTTCGGGCCTGGCAACGCAGATTCGAGGTCGCTGAGCGACAGGGAGGTGGACATCGCTTTCGCGACAGTGCCCCCCTCTTCGACCTTGAATCTCCCCGGCCCTCGCGCCCTCGGGTGCCGAGGAACCCCACGCCTGAGCCGGAGTCTCTCGAGGAGATGCGGGCCTGGAACGCATTTGAACGAGCTCGCGAGATCGAAAATGATCCCAGTGCTGCTCGCAAACGCAAAGAACCGACCCTATCGCCTGAACCTGAATCCTCTGAGCCACAGCGTAAGCTCAAGCGTCCTCGCACAAGGCGACCCCAGGACCTCGCCGCGATAGCGCAACAGACTGGAGACACCTCGAGAACGGCGACTGCGGGCAGCGCCGGTGGCGTCGGCGGTAGTAGTAGCTCTACTGGTAGCGCTAGCTCTACTCGTGATTCGACTGGTGCCACTGGTCGGGTAAATGGTGCTGTTTCGGCTGAGCCTAGTTTTCTCTCCTGTCTGCTGCAAGAAGTCGAGCACGCATCTGCCAACGAGCGCACAACGCCTCTCATGCGACCTGCTCCGGCATCCGGCGCCCCGGCTGATCTCGCTTCCTCGGGTCCCTCTTCGCCAACAGCCTCTGCCCTGTCCTCCCACCGGTCCTCTCCGCGACTCTCATCCGCCACACCTCCGCCCTTCTCGCGTACTCGTGCACTCTCTCCCCTTCGACTATCGTCTCCAGTGCAGCCCTCATCACCACCATTCTCTCCTCAGGTTTCCACTTCCGGAAGCCCCCGTCCACCGGCTCCAGCCAAACCACAATCAGCGTCATCTGACGAATCATATCGTCCGCGTTCTCGAATCCCACGAGCGGCCACCGAGAAAACGCGCTCTCGGTCTGCAGAGACATCTTCCCGTGGCGGCGAGCCTTCCTCCGAAGTGAAATCGGACATTCGCAGCATGGTCAGCACCGCTCTGAAGCCACATTATCGCTCCAAGACCATCACGCGAGAGCAATTCACCGAAACCAATCGCACAATCTCACGTCTGCTCTACAAACGCGTGGGCAAAGCCCAGACTCTCGGCCCAGAGGTTCGTACGGATCTAGAGAACACTGCGAACTTTGAGGTACAGAAGACTGTCGGTGCCTTGCATAAGAAGAACAAGGAGGATCGCCAGGCGCAGAAGCAGAAATTGAAAATGAAGCAGACCGCGCAGCCAGCGGCGTCAGCGGGCGACGGTGCATGACAAGCTCCATCGGTTCGCTTTTTCTTCAACTAGCTCAAAGCATTTCCAACGGCGTTTATTTCGTGGGAACTCAGCGAAATCTGATTTTGCTACTTAAGGTTTGAAGGATCGGTGCATGTTATTGCGAGGGTGTTTCTTCTGTATTTTCAATGGCTCAGTGAACCGGCCATCAGCAAGATAATTTCTAGGGAAGCTCCAGGTGCCGCTTTTGCTTGACCACATGACTTGATGACTGAATGATAGCGACTTTGATTCTACTGTCTGAGTAATTTTCCACGTTGTGGATGATCCTCAACACTACACGTAGATTTGCCAGAGCCGGGTTCCTATGTGTTGTCTTCTGCCTCTGGTTTGGCTGGCTTTTTGAGATAGGAATTATTCGTGTCTGTCGGAGTGGAAGCGTTCTTTGTTAAGGTCTACATGAGACAAAGATATGGTGACCTGCCTTTCAGCCTTGTACCTCGTTGGTGCTTTGAGAACACTCCCGGCGTCCCTTGTCCCTCCAGCGCGCCTTCCACCTGGCGTCTTCAACAGCGCCATCGTTCTTACTCCAATCTGCAGGCTTCCCAAGTTTCAATACTACGACTTCAGGGTTTAGTCTACCTCCTCACAAAGTTTGTTCAACCTGCGGTCACTTAAGTCTTCTTCCTCTGTTCTGATAGATGTTTTGAAGCTTTTCAACACAGAACTGCGAGCCCTTACGACCCTTCACGCTTGTTTGTTTTAAACTTCGTGACGCTCGTCTCGCTCCACAAAATGGTGCGACAACATCCAGCAGACTGCGACTGTGAGCGCTGCGATCCGCTACCGGATACTTTGCAGCTACTTCTTTGCATAACGACAAAGAATAAACTTAGCAATGCAGAAATTCATATCCAACGTAAAAAACAAGAGCGTCGAGTGGCTGAAGAGCTCAGGAAATGGTCCGAGAACGCTCCGCGAGTCGACTCGTCTCAACCTCCAGAGTCGCAGCAACTCACTCGGTCCGGAAGTTCGTCGTTCTCAACACCATCAGTCGAGACTCTCCATGTCACACAAACCATTTTGGATCGTTTCAAAAACTCACGAGCGTTCTTCACGCACCTCGACATTCAGATCATGTTTTTCTGGCATACGTACCAAGCCATCGAAAGATTGACCTTGGACCCGGCCTTGTGTCTGCTGCTTGCAGGCGTAATGTTACCCTTTGCAACCAATGCAGAGGTCCGTGATCGGGCAACGGAGATTCTTCAAGGAGACCGACATGCGAGAGAAGAGTCTCGGGCTTTGGGGGCCAAGGAGGTGTCTCGTCTACTTGTCGCCGACGGCGCCGAGTTGCGTATGTGGGACAGTTTGAAGCAGGGCACACTATTCATCTTCGGTTCCTCGAACATTGCATCTTCACGAGTACCACCTCTTGCATCGTCCGAATCGCCATCATCTTCACCATGCAAGCCTCGGTCCGCTGAGCCGTGCATTCAAAGGTTGGAGAGCGTGGTCATCGTACAAGCTCCGTCTTCTCCTCCGGAGAATACAATTGATCGTCTTCAGTCATCCTCTCCTCCCATGGATCTGGTGGATCACCTACAGTCAACTTCTCCTCCTCCCGCGAATATGGTAGATTGCCTACAGTCACATGCACAACGTCTGCAACTTGAAGAGGACAACAGATATCTGGCCACCAGGGTCCATCAGATTGAAGCGGGACAAAATGAGCTTCTCGAAATTTTGCAGACGATGCAGCACAGAATGGCAGTTTTGGAGGAGGAAAATCGACGTCTAAAGAAAAGACTGCATGCAGCAGCATCGGTCTGCGCAGAACCTTGGAGTTGTTGACGGCTGTACGCATACCCTCATGTAAATTTATAATGGCGGCGATATCATTTGCCCTTGCTTCAGTCTTGAACAAGAGGACATGGACTCGTTCTGTCAGGTGCACTTTGTTCACTGGTTGTTATTCCGATAACATCTATCATTGCATGCTCAACGGCTCTACCTCACCAGCTCTGCAAACAGCTCTGTCACTGGAGACAAGAAGTATGTGATCACGGCTAGTTATACAAAATTACAATATCCACCATGACTTTCCACGGGTTGCTGCCATTAGAGAACTGATGCTCTCCTCGCAATTGTGTCAGATTACTCGACCTTGATTGTAAATGGCTGAACAGTTGGGTTACTCAAAGCCCAACTAATGCCACCACTCATGACGTCGTCCCACTTCTTTCCGGTGGCAGACTTGCCGAACCAACGCCGAAATCCGTGAGGAAGACCAGGGAAGACATGGACATCGGCGGGCACCCTGGCAGTAGAAATAAGATGAGCATTTGATCACCATTGATGGCTCTGAGAGGTCTGTTAGGGACTGGCAAAACTCACCCATTCTCGCAGAGCATTTTGGCGAAGAGAAGACCCTCATCTCGAAGGGGATCATTGCCTGCAACACCAAAGGTCGTCGGAGGCAAGCCCTTGACTTCCTCGGCAGTGACATTTCCCGGGTTCATGCGCAGATCCCGTGCTGCATTCGGATATCTGTCAATGTTGAGCAGCTTCATGAACAAGTCAATCCTGCTGACTGGCAAGATGGGGGCATTGGCACAAGTCACATAACTCGACACCTCGGGGCTGCGCAGCATCTCCTTCCGATTGCCATAGTACTTGGCCGAGACGAGGGCAGGAATCATCAGCACCTGGCCGCGAATCCTGGGACAGGACTTGACTCGCTCATTATCACCGTATAGTTGGGTGAGTGTCAGTGACGCGGTTAGGTGAGCACCGGCCGAGATACCACCCACGACGACTTGATCGGCGAGACCACCGATCTGGTCGATGTTGTCGTGAAGCCAGACAAAGGCATCTTCGACGTCGTACCAAGCTATGGGGAATTGATGTTCGGGGGTGTGCCGATAGTTGACGTTGAGCACGACCACGGGGGTGTTGTTTTGCATGCGAGAGACGACGATGCGAGAGCAGATGCCGTCTTCAGAGGCGAGGGTGCCGAAGAGATAGCCTCCGCCGTGAAGGTGGATATATACAGGGAGTTTCTCGGAATTGGCAATGGTCGAGGGTCGGTATGTGCGGACCTCGAGCGATGCGCCGTCTCGAGTTGTCACAATGTAATCTTGCATTTGGACTTGGGATGCTGGAGAGGGGAAAAGAAGGAAGAAGCCGACATGTAAGCGTATGCGAGAGTATCATATCAAATGGTGGTTATGAGGTTTTAGGGGGTGAATATCGCTCTCCTGGATTTCCTCGCGAGGAAGAGAACTATATCTCCCCACTTGCTCCCAGTTGCCTGTCTCGCTCACTGCTTGAACTTGACATACCTATTTCCTTGATCCCCTCAGCTGCAAGCTCCTCACGCCCCTTGTTGACCATGTCTCTCAACTCCAACGGCGGCATTTGAGGCATTGCAGGCAAGGTGGGCTCAATCGCAAGCCACTCCGCACTGGGACCGGTATACTCGGAGAAATCCATGATTGATATGATCGGTTCGGAAGTTACAAGAAGCACTTGATCTGGGACAAGAGATTTGAATATGGATATTTAGGTGCAGACGAGGACCAGAAGACAAGCTTTTTCTCAACCGGGACCAAGGAGGGGTTTAAATCTGTCGAGCGCCAGGCCACAGACACAGACAAAGACACAGACACAGACACAGGCACAGGCACAGGCCATAGGCACAGGCCACAGGCTGAATTGAACTCCCATCATTCGTAACCAGACCCCACTGTTTACCCCAATTTCTGAATTCAATCCCGCCTCGGCTCGGCTATCGAGCCGTGGGGGGTAACCCCGCAGTATTAGGTGGCCGACTTCACGATTGCTTGCATCTCATTTCTTTGCCGGTGGTAATCGGGTTACAGAAGGATTCGTCTGACTATGACCACTGTCAAGATTGGGTTGGACTGTGCTGGTGACTGGAAGCATTGATCTTCTTTCTACCATAGGAGCCAAGACAAAACAGTCGTCAATTCCAGGTGTCATAGGTGACACTCGGCAGGGTTTTCTTGAGCTGCGTCTTTGGTTTGACACGGATAGCTGCATATTGGTAGATCTGCATGCTTCTCGGTGCTTCGAGAGCAACGATGCATGGCCGAGTGTTTTTGCTTTTTTTTTTTTTTTTTATTTTTCTTTTTTTTTTTTTGGAAGAGGCGAATGTTGTTTCGGTGCTGACGTTGGGTACCGGGTTGATAAGCTATTTTGACAGTCTTGGCAGGCAATATGTCAAGCAGTGTACAAAAGTACACAATGGTGAGATACTATACAAGTACAGCATACATCAGTCCCTACAGGGACTAGGTCTAGTGGAGGAGGGCTGGGGGCCTTGATCATTGACAAGCTGATTCGAGGCAGAAAGTGGTAAGATCCCCTTGGTCCATGTTTTCGAATCTCTCTCGATACAGTTCAATAGTCCCCTGTTCACACATGCAGCCGATTAGGCACTGGGCACGGGGCATTAACTTACCTCAGCTGGCTCGCCTGAGTCGCCTTGTTACACAATTCCATCCTCTCAAAAGGCCAATGTGCGACTCTTACGAGCAATGTACCCTGTTTTCTTTTCTTTTCTTGCGCCCGTGCATTGAAGGCGATCACATGGAAGTGAAGTGGCACGCCTTAGCGGCATTCCATGTAGACAGATACCCGACTTTGTGAGTCTCACCCGAGCGGTATATATTCCCGTACATCTCGTAGCGAAAAACTACCATCCAGTTTTCTAAGCTTTAAAAACCATAATCGCTCAAGTATTATCAATCCAATTTAGTTCCAAAAGCGGCAAGAACTTAGAAATGGGGTAGTCCCCAAAATCAAGACCCACTTACAGAATCCTCAAGAAGCAAAAAGCAAAAAGCAATGGACTCGCGGGGAATCGAACCCCGGACCACTCCCATGCTAAGGGAGTATTATACCACTAAACCACAAGCCCAGTTGTATGAAACCACATCGCCCGTCTGGCATATTGAATGTTTCGGTCATCTCGATTTAGAAATCCTCGACCAAGTGGTCGTGAAGTCCAGTGATATCCCTCTTAGCTTGTTACTTGTCCGCCTGAGAAGTGAACGTGTGACCCTTTTTTTGTAGTGATATCCCCTTCTTCACATTCTTGAGCAACCGACTTTGTACTACCTATCTACTTCCAAAATCAATGGCAAAGCTCAATCGAGCCTACTGAAACCGCTGGGGTCCAACGCTTGTCACGAGTGACCAACGTTTTCTGAGGATTCGAGGTATCAAGCCTCACTGGCTTAACCAGAAGGAGCCTGACAAGTAGGAGAGCCTGACAAGTAGGGGTCTGACCGAGCCTTTCCCGACGAACCAAAGATCGGCCGACCAGGATATCCACGACGGCCATAGACCACGGAGCCCACGTCTCATGGGATACGTCCGTGAGAATGACGACTGATTGAGTTGTATTGAATGCATCCAAGACCTCTGGCTGCATGCTGGGAGGAAAGTGTCGCCAGGTCTCATTGAAGGTATCAAGGGCTTCATCACCCCTTCCGCCGATAGTCAGCCGAGCAAGGACATGAGATCCTGTGAGGCCCGGTTGCTTTGCCAGATAGGGGGGTAGTTACTCGGTTGAGGACGTCGAAAGACGCGGAGAAGTAGTGGTAGACGACGTTACTGACCATCTTCGCTTGTTGATAGGAAGCACAATCGGGCAATATCCGCAAATTGTATTGAAGCAAGGGCGAACACTGGTTTTTTTTTAAAACGACTTTGAAATATGATCGAAGATAGTGATGACCGAAATGGCGCGCTGGTTGGCCAAAGAAGACGGATTCTGGGCCAAAGCATGCGCTGACCTGTGTAAGAGTCGCGTAAATGAAATTTGATTCTTGGTCCGGACGTTGGATACCTCTGCCGAGGCAGCCAGGATCTGGATAGACTGGCTTCCCCAAGTCCTCGGGATCTGTCCACCATAGCCACAATCTACAACAGCGAGAACGTCGACCTTCTCCGTATCGTGATGACCTTGCGTTGTGAGGAGACGGTAATCAATCATGTTCCAGGAGAAGAATGTAGCCTGATCACCGAGGCAGAAGTTACCATCATTGACAAATCCATGACCGGCGTAGTAAAGGATAAATAGTCGCTGGGCCTCCAAATTGGTGGACTTGAGATAATCGGAGATTGTCTTATCCACTACCATTCCGGGTTAGCGTTCACTCGGGAAGATGCAAAGTCGTCAGCTTCGGATGTTGAATACATCTTGCAGTAATCGGGCAAAGGTCGTGACATCATCTTCTGCATTAGTATTGTCGGCTTCATAGTGGATAAGAAGAGCAACGACATGTACATAAGGGTTGCCCCTGGATTGGGCTACCTTGCGCAAGCTTTCCGTGAGGTCTGGGTATAAAATTGCCCTTCGGGCTGGAGGTTGTGAGCAGAGAATTGCTGGGTGGGCGTGGGGACCAGGAAGGGCATCTTTTCTTTTGAAGAATCCCGCAAAGGTTAGCCTTGACAAACTTGAACACTTGCGTATGTTTATCAAATTCATCAAATGGAGAAGATGTCCGAATATATGTGGGAGGAGGAGGTCGAAGATCGAGAGATGAGTTTAAATAAGGATGAAGTGGCGGTAGCCCTAAGTGCCGCCGCGGACCAAAAGGGAAACACTTTCCATAGGACAATGGGGTTGACGTGATCTCGTGGATCCCTGCGTGAGAGAGCCACAGCAGCCGTGGTAGTGTGATTTCCTACCGTATTGGACTTGATGATGTCTGAACACGTATACTATAGCGTTAGTACTACACTTATGACCAGGGTGTTAAGTAGGTAGTGGCCAGAGATATTTCAGTAAGTTGCTTAGTGCCTTGTCAATTTTGATGCCCAGACTGCCAGAGTTGACTTGAAATCGAAGTTGAGTGGTAGTTGGAAAATGAACGAGGTATCAAGGTGAGTGGCTGTTTCGGAGATGTTCATCTTGTCAGCTTTGCGTGTGATTTTCTCAGCACTAAGTGATTGAAGTCCAGTGAGGTTGCCTCAGGTCTTAAACCATGAAAGCTATAGTAGCTATCACCTAACGCTGAGGGAAATATCATTCGTGGAAACGAGGAGCACCCTGCAAGGCCTAAATTTGGGCCCAAATCCTTGCCTCACATGTAAACATAAGCTTGATCCGCTATTACGATCGTAACGGACGTGCTTGTAAACGAATGTTAGGCGTTGGTGTTGACAAATCTATGGATTGAGTGCATTCCATGTTCGCGTGATTTCATGACTTTGAGTTTGATTGGTATATAATTGAAATGCCAACTACCTTTGGTACATACGACCATAGGGTGTGGAGAACAGGGCTTCCCGTCCGCTCAGCCGCACTTAAGCCACACGCCGGCCATTTAGTAGTATGGTGGGTGACCACATGCGAATCCTGGCTGTTGTATGTTTTTGTGTGTGTTTTTCGATATAGAAAAGGTAGCCTGCAAGGGTTTCTGCCCGTCTATTGATGTACGAGTAAGAAATAATTGTTATTTGATAACACCTCTTCTCAGTTTCGGTTTTACGACTCGGGTATATAAGTACTCGGACACTGGTTACGATATACAAACTCCGAAATCTGACTACTAGTACCAGAATTAGAACGTAGTTCAATCTTAATCAGCGACTAGTCATTTGGGATGTCTACAGTCCACCGTTATAAAGAAGATTTCCTCCTTTTCTATTCTTAAGCTAATGAGTGTTAATCCTTCTCATCTATCAAGCAAGCACATACGACCATAGGGTGTGGAAAATAGGGCTTCCCGTCCGCTCAGCCGTACTCAAGCCACACGCCGGCCAGTCAGTAGTATGGTGGGTGACCACATGCGAATCCTGGCTGTTGTATGTTTTTGTTTTCCCTTTTCCACTCTCAATTGATTTCCAGAAAGCCTGCGAGATTGTCGGGGGATCGTAGCCCCTTACAATTGGACTTCAAGGTGTAGGACTAGGTGGGTCGCAGTCACTAAGATTACGTAAAGTAGGCCACAGAAGGATACAAATCCAAACTGGCAAAACAGCAACAAGTCATGAAAGTTGGGCGGCTTGGGGGGCCAAGTTCCAACTCGGCCGCTAGCACTAGAATCTCGATCGGATCGCGGTGGCTGGTGAGCACGCGAACTATCGAACTCTCTGACCCTCCACGCTAGTTGCAGACTGGCCACGAGATCTTCCCCAGAAGAAAAAGCAAATAGGGGAGAGAGGGGGAAAAAAAAGGGTTTCTGGACAATTGGAATTGAGGTCCGAATATCAGTGTGACCACTGACCGGAGACCACAATGGCTTCCGTTTGGTTGGGGATCAAATGCATCGCCTCTCACTGTTAGATCCAGGGGGTCTCGCCGACCCAGCCACATTGCGTGCCCCGCTCGGATGAACCAGATCTGTGATCAACATCCATTGATGGTCTGTATGGAGGATGAGGATGAGGATGAGGATGATAAGAATGTATAGGCGCTTGTTCCTCCATAGTCCATACACTCGAAGGTCATACATATAGTAGACCTGAGGAATCGCGCCATGGTCGATATTTCTCCGATGATGCACGGATGGATCAACTGAAGTCCGATCTGCTTGGCATGAACCGCCCATCATCTCTAAACTTGCTCCTTCCAAGGTGGCTGTTTCCCGAGGAGAGCCAAGGGTGTCCGTTGCCCATGACGAAAGAACCTCTTCACCTCTCGATCTCGACGCTTATTCACAGGCACAATAGTCCCCATCGTCCGTATTGCGTCAAGGTGTTTCCACGGGAGGGTCCATGGATCAGTGAATCGTCGTCAACACCAACCACCATTGGACGAAGCAGTAGATTCCGGTGGATCGGCTTGAACGTGTTCGGCTGCGCGAACACGGTTCAACTTAATCCACCATCGCGCCCACCAGGCACAGCAGCGGGGCGATTGGCGATTGGCGATTTGCATCGGGCAATGATCTGGTGCAGATGGCCATCTCGCAGGTGTGGTTCGGGGCAGAAGACTTTCTCGTCGAGAAGATCTGCCTCTTTTCGGTTGCGTGCCCGTGTCTATCATTACTACTACCGTGACTAGACCGTGGGTATCTTGCGAGCAGCATCGTGGACAACAAGCTTTTTCTGGCAAGGACGGAACCAAGTGACTTGTCCCAAGACGGACCCGCTCCTTCTCCTCTGCCTGTGATGATTGTGATCTCTCTCGTCAATTGAAGGGGAAGATGTGGATAGTGGACAGCGGATTCTGGACAGTGGACCTCTGGACTATGTAATGGAACAGGAACCTTTTGCCGGACTATTCGCATGGCTGGATGGCTGGTGGATCAGGTGAACGCAGAGGCGTGCGCCAAGTGAACCTTCATCTGAAAAAGTGCCTTAGCTTGAGTGATGAGGAGGAATACTTCTGCTCCGAGCTCCCACCCGGGCATGCGTGTTTGTTTGTTTGTGTGTGGGTATGTGTGTGCGAGAGAGATTCCTGTGACTCAATCCCCCGGTTTAATCCTGAAAGGCATCCGTTTCCGAAATGCGAGCTTCAAGTCCCCTGGTGCGGATCATAGGGTCCAGTCTTGTACTGGCTGTGCAATCCTTCGTCGTCGCTTTATCGCCGCGTACGGAGATCGCCGATGCGTATGACTTTGTAATTGTGGGAGGAGGACAGGCCGGTCTCGTGCTTGGTGCACGATTGTCGGAAGATGTCAATCATACAGTACTTGTTCTCGAGGCAGGAGGTGATGGAGACGAATATCGAACTCGGATAGGTGTGTTTGGAAAACTCAGCATCTCGGTCTTCAGCTTTCACCTTTGATCATGTCAAAATCACGGTCTCTTTGACTGACACGTGCCGAACAGATACGCCAGCTTATTCCTATTTCGATTCACTCTGGACAACGCCGTTGAACTGGGGGTACCACACCATCCCACAGCCTCACGCAAATGGACGTGAGATATACTGGCCCCGTGGCAAAGTGTTGGGAGGTGCGTGCTTTGAATTCCTCTCGAGTCAATATCCTGAGGTGTGCTTCCACTGACGCCTGTCAATTGCTTCCATCACAGGCAGCTCTGCCATCAATGGGCTGTACCTGACACGACCCGGAGAGATTGAGATCAACGCATGGAAAGACATGCTAGGAGACATGGATGGCGCCGAGAACTGGGGCTGGGAATCGTTCTACGCCGCAATGAAGAAGAGCGAAACATTCACTCCTCCATCCGATGAGATGGCCGGAAAAGCCCACATCACCTGGAATATTACCGATCACGGCACAAGCGGGCCCATTCATGCCTCGTATCCTGGATTGTACGGTCTTCATTCACCTCCAAGCCTTCTGCCTGCCTCAAGATGCTAATGCTGTGCTGGATATGTATAGCACCTTTGCGCAAGTTGGCCAGTGGGAGACGTCCCTAGTCAACATGGGCATTGCAAGCTCTGCCAACATGTATGGTGGTGAACCATGGGGTGCTGAGGTATCTACCTCGTGCATCAATCCTACCAACTGGACGCGCTCATACAGTCGGTCGGGATATCTCGACCCTCTACCCAACAGAAGCAACTACGACGTTCTCGCCAATGCGCATGTGATGCGGATCCTGTTTCAGAATTCTACCGGAACCTCGAAAGATCTCACAGCGAATGCGGTGGAGTATAGTATGGACGGCGGAGAGACGAAACGCAGAGTCCAAGTCAACAAGGAGGTGATTCTTGCAGCTGGCACTGTTGGCAGTCCAGCGGTCTTGCTTCACAGTGGCGTGGGCCCGACCGATGTTCTCTCTGACGCGGGAGTCGCCCTGGTTTCCGAACTTCCTGGCGTCGGTCAGCACCTTCAAGATCATATAGTGAGTTTCCTCCTGTCAATGTGAAACCGGCGGCGATTGGCTTTCTCTGGGGAAAATTCAGATATTAATAAACACCCAGAGTGCAACAGTGACCTGGACTACCAACGTGGAAACGGCCGGCTCTATCTTCTATGACAATGGAAGCGAGAGGGTGAGTCTATCATTCACAAGTCTCAAAGTGTGAAACATGTCATTATTGACCTTTCATCTTGTCGAAGAACAACCCTCTGTTTCTGACATACATCGATTCGGCCATTGCCTATGTGAACGCGACCGGCATCTATGAGTCCAGTGTCGATCAGCTGAAGACACGCATCCTCGACCAAATTGATCAGTATCAACCCGACACGACCTACGACAAGGGTGTCATTGATGGATACACGGCAATCTGCAACACCACCGCAACGACCATCCTCGATTCACCCATCGGACAGATTGAGCTTCTGTTCATGAACAGTGACGGCAATGGTGATGTTGGGATTACTGCAGCTTTACAACATCCATACAGTCATGGTCGGATTACAATCAACTCTTCAAATCCAATGGAGTACCCGGTCATTGATCCCAATTATCTAGTCAATCCAGCTGGTATGTAACGCAGTGCGCCCCCCACTCACCTCAGACTTGACCAGACCAGTGTCTGCGATACATCTGCTGCCTCTTTTGCTCTCTAAATCTCCCACCTTTTTTTTTTTTTTTTTTTTTTGAAAAAGAAAGCTCACATCATCTTCAACAGACTACGAGATCCTCCGCCAAGGCCTCAAACTCGCACGCAAACTCGGCCAAACCGTCCCCATCAGCAAAACCCTCACCAAAGAAACATCCCCAGGGCCCTCCGTCCAAACAGACGAAGAATGGCTCAATTGGATCCTCTCCGCCGCCGGAACCGAATACCACCCTTCATCCTCCTGTGCCATGTTACCCCGCGACAAGGGTGGCGTCGTCGACGCGAATCTCCGCGTGTACGGCCTATCCAACGTGCGCGTGGCCGACGCCAGCGTGCCCCCTATTGCTCTGTCAACTCACTTGATGTCGTCGACGTACGGGGTGGCCGAGCAAGCGAGTATGATTATTCGGAAGTATTATTCGGAGATGCGGGCGTCGATGGGGACGGAGACGACGACGAGTAATGCGACGGGGCCGGACACGGGGTCAGCGACGACGGGATCTTTAAAGGGGGGGTCGAGGGCCACGGGGGTTGCCATGTCGAGTGGTGTTGCGGCTTCGAGTCGTCAAGTTAGTGCCGGGTTGAAGGGGGGTTTGTGTGCTCCTGGACGTGTGATGATGATGTGTGCTGTTGCTCTTGCTCTTGCGGGGTCCGTTCTCCAGTGATTGTGATGGTGAAGATGATGTTGCCCGTTTCAGATGTCATTGGTGATCGATACTAATATTGGGGGTTTGAGCTGGGGTGGAAGTGACCATGCATTCTTGATATGATCCACGACGCCTGATAGATCTGTGTTGCTCAAGAGCCATGTCTATACAGCAGGTTATGCTAGAGGTGTGATGAAGTTAATGAACAACGTCAAAGAATGCTGTATCGCAGAGCAAGCATAGTATGTCCCCAGGTTTCTCGTATAGTTCCTTTCTCGACGAGCTCTATATTCGGCGCGAAGAAAATTCTGTCATTTGTTTCATGTTGGAATTCTACTCTTCTAGACTCGTCCCCAAAATTCTGTATCTCCGAACAATGGTTTGATCTATTGTGCTAAGCTCACTCAAACGGATCGCTCTCGCGATGGTCTCCCTCTTAAAATGTCTGTGGGTATTGTTTTCCCCAGGGACATGAAAGATTCCCAAAAGTAAAATATGCGCATATTCTCAAGACAAGGACCTGAGCAAAAGACATCAAATGGGCCTTCAATGCAATTAGCAACCCCATCCGAAAAGATCCAAAAAGAAGAAAGAAAAGAAAAATGGGGAAAGGGAATCGACTGTCCAAGGGACTCGCCACAATGACAATGCATCACTTCAACACTTTTCCAGAGTAAAGAACAAGGATACTCTGGTGCTGCCCGGTATTCATTTCTTCTTCTCCCCATTCGGCGTATTTTCATCCTCCAGATCAACCATCTCCCGAAGAATGTCCTTGAGACCGCGCACGCCTTCATCCACCACGGTCTCGGGAATGCGCACGTCCACTTCTTCAATGTACTTGAATGGATCGTAAGGTGCACTGGACTTGTTCGAATCCGAATGCGTCGAATTCTTGTCCTTGTCCTTGTCCTTGTCCTTGTCCTTTCTCGTTCCGTTGGTCCTGCCTTCCTTTGTCCCATTGGACGTCGGGCCACCATTCTTCTCAACGTGCTTTGATCCCAACGCCGGATGTGTTCGGCCCTCGGCTGACGCAACCACCGCCTCTAGTACATCGTCAAAGGTCTGGCATCGACCTGCGCGCAGCAGCTCCGTGGCCAAACTGGTGATCTTTTCGGTCCAACCTGCGCGATGCAGAGAGACGAGGAGGGTCTCTTGGAGATCCTCGAGGGCAGACGTCGCGGACAGTTTTGTGAGGAGGTCGGATTCAAGAGCATCTGGGGTGGCGGAGGCGCCGCCGGTGGGAGTGGAGGAAGGCATGTTGCAGGGCGGACGTGAGATTAAAAGAGAGGAGGAGGTGAGGGAGCGTGAGGAGTTCTTGGAGGCAGGAGTAGGTTTGGTGACTCGTGAGGGGTGAGGAGCAAGATGTCACAGGCGTGAGGCCCCGTCGGTTCTCGACTAAAGTAAGTGCAGGAGGATCTGTAGATTTCTCCTCGATGTGTTGAGGTTTGTCAGGGTCTCGATGGAAGGCGTGTCAGGATCGAGGGACTTTGTAGAAAAGCTCTGAATTGGCTGTGCAGTGCCGTGCTTCGCATGCGACTAAGCGCCTTCGAGATAATGAGCGGGAGTTGGTCGGATCCGAGAAAGGAGTGCGTCCGGTCACGGTCCCCGGTCCCAAATCCGTCAGTCTGTATAATGACAAGAGAGGACCAGCCCCTGAAGCGAGGAAGGAGAAGAGGATGAGTGGAATCTAGGACGAGAATGAAAATGGAGAAAGTTGAGATCAGAGTCTGGTGTAGGGCCGCGCCAGATCGAGAGTTGATGCGATTGTCAGCCCTCGCGCGCGGGAAAAAAAAGTGGATAAGGGCGCAATGACGCTGATCCCGCGGTTCGGCCTGTCACTGCGGCCAAACCTCCGGCTAGTGTCCGAGGTGGAAGGTAAACCTCCCAGTTCACGTCAATCGAGATTGCAGAATGAGGTACAATCCACGTAGGAGGCTGACTGAAAGTGAATCTGGATTCTGAATAATATCAATGGGGTTGGTGGGACTAGCCGATTGGCAGCTAATTCAGTACAGAAGCTTCAAGCTACTAATTCTCAAGACAGAGGTACTACTTACTCTCCATGTCTAATGTTAGAAACACTGACAGGTCTGCTCACAACTACATGGGTCTTTTTCTATTGCTGAGCTCTGGGTAGAGGGAGCATTATTCATAGATGGTTCAAACATAGACTATAGATGAGTATCTATCGTGCCTTCCATTGACTTTAGACCTCGAGGAACCGCAGTCGAATTTACACGTATGCCTGTCTATGTTCTAGACCTCGAATCGCCGCCCATTGCTAACCGTAAGTAACGAGTGGAGACTCATCTTGATGGTCATTGTGGACTCGTTAAAGGTGGCTTCTTGAATCCGCTTCAACATTTCAAAGACATCGGTGTTCCTCGACCTTGAAAGGCGGATGGGAAATAGTCACTGATCGTTCTCATGACAGAGTCACCTTTCAGACCCTCTGTCAAAATCTTCGTGGTCAAGCCTCATGAATTGAATGGTCCAATTCATCTCGTAGGACCAAATGCGGCGATCAGTCTCTTGGCTTGGAATTACTATTCATATACGCCAGAATGTGTGTATCGAACACCATGAGAATCATCCTGTCTGGCTATCATCCGAACTAACCAGGTAACAACCAGGGATGAGAGTGTGTTGATGAAAAGATGCGTATCGTTTAGTTCAATCTGAGACATGATCACATTCAAGTCTGTGATTGAAGCAATCTACAGTGACTTGACCCGTTCATGATCGATCACATTGAAGGACTCTGAGATGGAGATATCATGATTCAACACATATGATACATAGAGTTCCGCGAGAGTCCAAATAAAATTTAAATTAAACATGGAAAAGATCCCGAGGCCAGACCCAGTCACGTGCATCACTGGGATCTCGCGCGGAGCGGGTTGGTTGCTCTTTTGGGAAATGCGCAGACGGCCCCCCCCCCCCCCCCCCAGACGCTGCTATCATCCAAATTCTGCTTCTGGATCGCATTTCATCGGACGGTCTTGACTCTCTCTACATACTCAAAGCTCTCATCTGGTATTCGTCTCCCAAGACTTCAGACCCTTGCGACGGGTCTCCATACTTGCGTCCGACTCCGCAGCGATCAAAGAAGGCCCCCAGTACCTGAGCAAGCTTCCCCGCTCTGCTTCCCGCGCGTCAATACCCTTGGGCTTCAACCCACCTTGGCGCCAAACGGGCAAAGGGGCCACCCATCACGGAGAAGAAGGGAACCACAATAATCTCACTGAAACTCGGGTCCAGAGGGAGAGATCTGCTCCCCGCCAGACAAGGCAGCGCAGCTGACGGGTGCTTGGAGGAACTCATCGTCATCGAAAGATTCTGCCGCCTGCGCCGGTCTCGAGAGAGGAAGGCTCTCTGAGAGAACGTTGGTTGTGAAAAGTCCGTCATCTGGCCATCTGATCTGCCAAATCGGGTGTATTGATTTGCCAGACTTGCGCATCGCTTCGTCGATTTTTTTGGAACTTGGCGATCTTTGTCGACACTATGTCGCTCCAGACGTCTCTCTACCACGCGGATTCAGATGCGGATGATGAATACGAACGCAGTGTCATCACCTCGCCGCACCTTCAGACAGACTCGGAAGCGTCTCCGACCGACTCCAGCATCCCTTCGTCAGAACATACTCCCACACGGTTTGGAAGCGAAGGCCCACGCACACCGAAATCACTCATCTCGCAATGGACCGTTGACGAATGCGTGGACTTTCTCACGTCCCTGGGCTTGCTCCAATACTGTGGTACCTTTCGAGGTTGGTCGCCCACCTGAAATACAACGAGCAGACCGATGGCTGACGCTTTTATCAACAGAGAATGCGATCGTGGGCGAAGCACTCATCGCCTTGCGTCACGACGAACTGAAAGAGATGGGAATCAACAGCGTGGGCCACCGTCTCACCATCTTGAAGAGTGTCTACGAGATCAAGATTCGGCAATGTGTTCCTCTTGAGGTGGACCATTACATTCCATTATGTATGTTAGATCTAGGCCCTGTCTCGAACTTCCCACCTTATCGTCTGGTTCAGGGGGTCCCGCCTGTCTTGTTATGACCCCGAGTCGCTAACTTTCACTGCAGCTGCTGATCAGAGTATGAACGAGAATGCGTCACAAGAGGACATTGCGCGGTTGATTCAGTCAATCCAGCGCCGTGACGAAAGAATTGTTACGGTCGAGACGGAAATGCATCGACTAGCGGAAGATTACCGGCGCCTTCGAGAGGAGATCTTGCCGCTCATCAAGACCATCAAGGACCGATCCCAGCCTCTTCCCCCTCCATCAAGTCATGGTACATCGTCGGATACGTTTCGCGACAGCACGACTCTAACCTCGTCCTCAATTCTCACCCTGGGCGATAACTCCACTGGTTCAAAAATACACCGAGCCTTCTCCAAGCGCGCCTACGGCGGAGGCACCACCCCCAAGACGAGTTCACCCACCCACATCCCGCCCTCCGTCTACGAGGGCCGCAACTACCATGACCATCAAAATCTCGACCCTTCTGCCGCCGCTTCCTTAACGAGTGGCTTGCAGCACTCACCCGGCATCCCCTCGCCCACCTCTCCGCATACCCACATCTCTCAACAACAGACCCTCAACCCACGATCCTACACGCAGCCGGGCTCTGGCGGCCGCAACATTCACGACCAGTCCGAGGAGCTTCTGCAACGCTCTGCCTCTCGGGCTGATCGACATGGGCCAAGCCAGCAACCTTCTCGCACGGAGACACCGTCTGGGTCGCGTGATTCAGCAGCTCCTTCTGGGCATCCCACGAGCGGCGAGATCTTCAAGTCATTCCGCGTCTCCTGGGAGGATCCTTGCTACAAAGTGCTCCCGGCTGCATTGAAAAAGTACAACATTCATAGCGATCCCAAGTCCTACGCCCTCTACATCGTCTATGGGGACCAAGAAAGGTGCCTGGCATTAGACGAGAAGCCCTTGATGCTCTTCAAGCAACTTGAGAAGGAAAATCGCAAGCCCATGTTCATGTTGCGAAAAATTAACAACTCAGAAAACCTGCTCCCAGGTTCAGCACCGAACAGCGCAGGGTTCGAGAACGGACGCCTTCAAGCACAAATCAACCTTCCCGGTGGAGTCTTGTGATCAGCATCACGATCATACATTCATCATACCCCCGCTGCGCGTTGTGAGCAGCAGATGTTATAGCATATCATAGGTCATCACGTATTAATGTCATACCGGAAAGATATCAAGATCCTTTCTCCCCGAAAGATACTGTTCAACAGGGTCTAGCCTGGTATATGTGTAGAAGTTGATGTGTGTGTGCAGGCAATTGCATCTATGGAAGATATTGGAAGCGTACTTACTCATCCAGGACATATTGCAAAAGGTGTACAAACCCGGTGCATATAAGGAGATTGGCTCACCAGGGAAGTCCTTGCTCTATCTCCTAAAGAGTCTTCAACGGGCATCCTTTTCCATATTATCCTATCCAACCCAAGTCAACAATGCCCTTGAAAATACAAGCCTAAATCCTCATCGTCACGTGACTTCGTGTCTCGCTGAAACGCGCCGATAAGCCCGCCACTTTGCTGCTTTCATGCACTCGGCACCACCGCACTCATGGGCTGGGGTCACGTCATCCAAGACTCGGACGAGGACGAGCCTCTGGGCGAGGACATTGAGCTCGAGGCAGCGGCTCCAACTGACGCGGTCAAAGGAGGGTCGCATGCTCAAGATTATGCGCAGGGTGGCTCAAATGAAAGCACGACGGACCAGCAAGCTTATTACCCGATTGAGCGCACAGCAGGGCGGGATACCCACGTCGAACCCGAAATCAGTATCAACTTTGATCAATTCCTACAGTCGCAGGAGACTACACACTCTGCGCCGACTCTGTCGCAGCAGCGCCGCGAGGAACGTTGGATTCCATCTGCGACAGAGGGCGGAGGCGGATCAATTGGTGAGTGCGGGGAGGGGTGGAGGGAAATGCTTATCGTAGTGGTAATCTTTTGACCGAGTGTAGAACCAGCATCTGACCTCCTGAGACGTGGATGATCGAAAATTGTCAGCTAATCAATGCATATCTAGGCGCAATGCTCACCGAGATTGGACACGCGCAGCGTCGATTAGTCGAAGATGAGGCCTCCAATGGGGACCTTCTTCTACCGTCGACGATTTCTGGCGTGGCAAGCGAGATCTCGCAGCCTGGCTCGTATCCTATGATGGAGAGCTATGATGCTCAGCAGCAATGGAGGGAGAATGAGATTCACGAACAGACTCATTGTCAACCTCCGATGGATAATTCTTGTGTGCTCACCCAGCCATTGGAGCAACCGCCCGTACAGGGCTATGAATACCGCACACTCGTGGAGACTGGAAATGTGAATTCACCAAGCGCGGGACGCAACGGACAAGCGATGAACGCTGCCATCTCCATCCCGTTAGACAATGGCCATCTTCCAACCACCACAGTTCAACGATCTCGATCCTGGCAACCCCAGATCTGGTCTCCACACGATACGCAGCCGATATCGTCCGTTGCCTCCCCGGGCGTGGGCCGATCGAAGAGTGACAATTTCAAGTCCAGCCTCATGTCTCCGCAGTCGGACCACAGCGCACACGACGAATTGGCCTTGCCCCTAGCGACCCCAGTGATTGCCATTGACAATTCAGCCGTGAAGAGGAAGCGTGGTCGTCCCAAGAAGCAACCTGTACCCGATGAAGATGATGACGAGGAGGATGAGCTCGCTGCTGCTGCTGCGCCGCGGAATTTCTTTACGTCCAAAGTGAACATGAATGGCGATCGACGACGGCCCGAGACATCGCCATATGGAACGACAGTGGTCGCACAGCCGGACGTCGAGATCAATGACGAAGTCAAGGACCAGCCCGAACCGACATCCGGATTGATGGTTGTTCTACCCGTCACATTCGACGAGAATTCAAACGAACGTACCGCAGCCGGAATACCATCAGAGCCTACTTCTACAGACACGAGGCCTTCGAAACAGGAAAAATCCAAACAAAGCAGGACAGCCTCAGAACCCCTCAATAAGATTACAAATGCGAACGAGGACAATGATGATAATGGTGACGATGATGATAACGACGATGTCATCTGTGTGGACTCGAGACCTATCCCACTTGACCGGGACGCCATCAAAGAACAAACGCCCAATTCCTCCGTTCAGATCCATGCGAATGACACCCCCTCGATCACAGATGACCCATCAAGCCCTAAGAAACGCGGTCGCAAACGTAAGCAGACCGCGATAGAGTCCACTTCCACTCCGGCTTCGAAAAAGCAACAACAAGCTCACACCGCTCCTGCTCCCAATACCGCTACCTCCAGCGTGGAAATGCAAACATCAGACTCGGCGTCGCATCACGAAACCAAACCCCCAACGATCCCCAACCAGCCCTCGGACAACCCCAATCCCCAGCATCAAGATCTCAACCAATCAGCCCAGAAGAAGGAATCCGCTCCCACCAACGACATTGGTCCGAATACTCCGCAAAGAACCACGAGCAAAGAAAGCGATTCAAGCACAATTCGGACCCCAGCCATGGGGCTTGCCCGGCATAGCCCGATTCTGTCCACGACAAAGGTGCCATATCGAGTCGGACTAAGTAAACGGGCGAGAATTGCACCGCTTTTGAAAGTTGTGCGCAAATGACGAGGATAGATGCGTTCGTGCGTCTTCTTGATCTCCTTCGAAGGGGGAGGGAGTTTTTTATAATCATTGGATTTTTCGAATTTGGAAAGATTGCTGGTCTTTCCTTCCTTGTTCTGCTATTGTTCCTGTTATATCCATATACCCCGCCGTTTCAGTCGGCATGCTTGGTGCTAGTTTCCATTTTCATATCTGTTTCGGTCATCTAGATGGATGTCCTCGGCTGATTCGTGCGTGTTGCCCTGTCTGTCCCTTCCGATGTATGTCTACTCATTTCGAGTTAAGAGAATATTATCCACCTTGTAGTTTCAAGGTCTGGCTGTTGCACACTATGCCATTGCATGAATTTCCCCTCTATGTATAGACTTGTAAAAAACAATCGCCAAGCTTGCCACCGTTTGAGATGTGGATTGAAGACAATGAATCATACACAGAAGCGAAAGCACCTCCGAAAGAAGCAATGAGTGAAACGAATGGTCCAAAAACAAGCATGCATAAGTATAAATGAAAGCGGACTTCCGCCCCCAAGGTTCCAATGGTCAGACGCTCGTGGAGCCAAACCCTCTACATCCACATCGCAACGAACAACGCCAATGCGAACGAGGTCAAAGCCGCACTGCCCACAACCCGAAGACTCGAGTCAGCCTCAGAACGAACTCTCTTGGCTTCGGCAGAGTCGGAATCCAACGCGTCCAAGGCATCTCCATTGGCAGGGACCCCGACCGAGCAGTACCCTGCTTCTTTGTTGCAGCCATAACCGCAATGGGAAGTGGTGTTTCCGCAGACCTTGTTGCTGCCACAGCAAAGCCCAAAACGGGATCCGAAACAGGTATAATTCGCACCACAGGTGCCGTCGAGAGATACTTGGGGAACAGTGAAATTCTTCGGCTGAAGCAAGTGTTTGGGAGAGTGATCATGCTTCTTGGTCTTGTTTACCGCCCGGCGGTCATCAGCACGGTACCAATTCTCGCGCGGGTCATGAAGACACTCGCCGACAGTGACAGGCCGGTACCCGAGGTCCTTGCTGACTTTGAGCATGTGCTCGGTCAAATTGTGAACGGTCTGCTCATGAATGTCGTGTCCGATGACCAGCCAAGACGTATTCTTGGAATCTGCGGACTCCAATGCACGATCAATGATGTCTTTGGACCGTTGAATCAGATCTGGACTGTCGTTCTTGTAGTCCTCTGTGTCAATGTCGTAGAGGACAATGTGGTATCCCAAGTCGCCAAGGCGGTGCCCACACCCTGACTCTGGAAGACAGCTCGAGTAAGGTGGACGCATGTAGGTGGGGAGACTTCCAATGATGTTTCGAATGGCCGCCTCATTCTTGAACAATTGATCATCACGCTGCCCGGCGGTGATTTTGCCGAGGTCCTCGTGCGACCAAGTGTGACTTGCAACTTGGTGGCCACCACTAATCATCTGCTCAACCAGTTCAGCCCATGGTAGATTGGGGTCGTCGATTCGGCCTTTGCCGTTGTTGATGCCAGTAACGAAGAAGGTCGCCGAAGCATCGTAACGGTCAAGAAGTTCCAAGAGATCGCCCGTGAAGCGACTGGGACCGTCGTCGAATGTGAAAGCAATAGTTCCCGGAACCGAGCAGGAGCGGATTTCAGATGGGGCATATGGAACTTCACCAAGATGAGGGCGGGGGATGTCTTCGGTTGGAGGTCCGTCTGGAGACTCGTGAGCATCGCATCGTCCGTAGTCGATCATGCAGTCGGGGGATCGACAGTGAGCACTGCTTGTGCCGCAGAAGCCTGCTCCGAATCCATCATCAGCATTTCGTCCATTCAAGCATTCCAGGTTTCGCTTGGGAGGAGTAATGCCCTACCTGCACTGGAGCAACAAGTACCCCTGGGACAATGTCCATACTTCGGCCCGCATTTGTATTGGAGATTTGGCGGTGGCTCCCTGTATTGCAGACGCAACTGCGGACTTCCGGAGTAGCTTGTCAAGCCTTGCTCGTCCGACTTGTGGACCAGAACAGATTGATGATTGGGAACCAAGCTTCCATAAGCCAGACCCACAGAGACCCTGAGCAAGATCAGCAATTGACGCACATGCATCTTGCTTTCTGAGAAATATAGACTTGAATGAATCTAAGATGAATGGTAAGTGGAATTTGGGATAGACGAATGCGGGTGAATGTGGAATGATTGAGAGATGAGAAGCATTTGCGGAGTGGACGTGAGATGAGAAAGTCAAAAGGGAGAGTCAGACAGACGTGGGGATGGAAGGCGCGCCGCAGAACTGTATGAGGAAGTTGCAAGAGCGAGCGACAACAAGATCCGATATTGCGGAGTATCTGGACTAGGAAGCTACTGCTTGGGGATCCGACAGGAACGGGGAGAAAGGCCTGTGCCATGAAAATTGAATTTTTGTACCTGAACTGCAGGAGGAAGCCACAATGTATTCGAAGGGTCGTGCAAGGAAGAGAATGGGTATGGGTATCTTTAAGTATTTTGGCAATCGACATGAGTGTTGTTCTTTTGAGGCAGGAGCCTTGTGCCAATTGCCGGTGTGTAGCATTCGCAGGTCCATGCCACGCAGAAGACTTGAACGCCACACACGGCCGGTCTGATAAGGGTGTAGGTACATGCGAGTGCAAATGAACCATTATTGACTTCGACCCTGCCACAGGCCAAGGGCCGAAATCAGCGAGAGAAACAAGTTTGCGGAGCAAGGATATTTGGTGGGATCCCACTCATTTTCCTTGAACCAGCCCATCGTCGCCCAAAGCCGCAAAAACGTATGGAGCGAGTTGATCCAAGTGAGGGCCAATCTTGGCCGGGGCATTGCGAGCAATCACACCAATTGCCGCAATCAAGTGTCGGCGGTGCACGGTTGAAATATTGGGGGACGATAACGTGTCCGTCAGTCGCTTGATGTAGTTGTTGAGCTGGACGTCGGAGAAGTATAGGACAAGTGCCGAGATGGCGGCCAGGGCACGTTTTGTCACCACGGTTCCCGCAGTATCATTGTGAATGATGACCATGATAGGATCCTGTAGAGCAGCCAGTTCATATTCCGAGAGCAGAGGTCCAAAGCAAGTGACCACCTTGATCAGAACATCAATCGCATCGCTACTGAAGCCTCTCGAGGGGTCCTTCTCCAGCATGCCGCGTGCCACAGAGGCCCGTCTCCCGGATACTGGATTTGATGGTCCAATGAGCTTGGGGATCAGCACCTTGGACACGGCCTGATACGCAATGGACTCCGGTTGTGAAGGCGGCTGACCAGCCTGTGGGCGAGGAAGGGTGGCCACAATCGCGCGAATGGCGGTATGGGGAACTGACGTATCGATGGTTTGAGAATTCGTGAGCTCACACAGTTGCTCCAGGAGGGACACCAGTGCTTCGAAAGGGATGCGAACCGCCAACGGACCCATACTAGAGTGGACACGCGCACTTAGTTAGCTTTCCAGGATATCCCTCACGAACTGGGAAGCAATTGTGTACCATTTCAAGGCCTGGTTTTGAACATCACCGTGCTGGTCATCCAGAGCCTTCATCAGACCCTCGACCAGTTTGGCCGAGGTGCGATGATCGCTGGAGAGGAAAGAGGAGTTCGAATTTGTGAGGACTGTGTGGAGATCATTGAGGGACATGTATCGTAAATCCGCATCGGGATCGTTCATCTTTGAGACATGACCAAGAATGGTCTGTTGGACCAGTGAGCGGTCTGCCATGGCTGTGATTCTCTCCGATAAAGAAGAAATCTATTCTTGAATCAGTGAGATCCGGCGATTGGCGGAGGGGTGATGAGGACAGAGAAAGTGGGCGTGAGGAGAAAGCTATCGGCGGAGCGGCGCAGTGCTCAGTTGCTCAGTAGCTCAGTACTGATAGCAGCGAGAGATGTGGGGTTGATGAAGGCCTGGGAGGACAGGCATCAACAGGACGATCAGCGAGTGAAAGCAGGATGTTACGCCTCAGGCACCAAGCAAGCTCTCGGGAGGAGGAACTTTTTTCCGTAGATATGACGTCACTGGTATGACCGTACATCTGCGAGTCCGCACGGACCAGGCCGCGCTGTCAGGACGAGGTTGGGGAAGGCTACATTGTGAGGAAGCCAACTTACACTGAGTAACATACCTAGTAGTTGACTACCGCATAGTTACATGTAGTGTTTAGTTCAGTAGTATTTCAATGTAGAGTAGCAATGGGGTCGTCACGTAATTGAGGTGGCTTGCATCCTGCCAGGGAAGGGATTGCAGAAAGAACTAGAACGAGTGGGCAAAGCCGCTAATGCGGAGTAGTGCCTGCAAAGAGGCTGGGTCAACACGTCTAAGCCTGCACGAGGCCTCGGCCTGCCACCTCCGAGTCTCTCTACCTTTCCTCTTTACCAAATCCTCCACATCCTCCAATCCTCCCGGAACAGAGCGGTATACACTATACACTATACAGTCTCTCTCAATTGCCCCATTATCCAACTCCAAACGTTCATAATGTCATTCGTCCGTCGTTCAGTTTTAAGGCCATTGCTCGCTGCTCAGTCCACCTGTAGGGCCCCTGTGGCCCGGCGAACAGCTCAGCTGGTGAGTCGCCGGTTCTATGCCAGCGGCCATGGAAATGAGCATGGTGAGCATCGATCGAGTGACCTGCCATGGTATGTATTCCTTCGTCATCTTCTAGCTCTACAATTGTGTGCATTCATCTGACCTCCATGGTCTCGTCCATCAATAGGCTCATTGGATCGGTTGGATTCACCGTCCCAATGATCTGGTACCTGATGCCCTCAACATCGGAGAAGAAGGGCCACGGTGACGGTCATGGGGATGCCCACGGTGCGGAGCACGCCGATGAGAACGCGGAAGAGCAAAAGTCGGATAATGCCGAAGACGCCGATCAGCAGGAGACAACATCCGAGAAGAGCAAGCCCGCTGAGAAGACGGAGGAGCCCAAGGAGAAGGAGGAATCGAAGGACAAGGCAGAATCCAAGGACAAGGCAGAATCCAAGGACAAGGCAGAGTCCAAGGACAAGGCAGAGTCCAAGGACAAGGACGAGTCCAAGAGCAAGCAGGATGACAGCGAAAATGACAAGGAGGACAATGATCAGGACCAGAAGGAGGAAAAGTCCGACAAGTCCGAGGGTGACGAGTCTGGCAAGAAAGATGCTGACAAGGTGGGTGCGCCATCATTCCAACTGGTCGATGACTATACTAATGGAGTTAACTTTGCAGGAGTCATCCAACGACAAGCAAGCTAAGCCCGAGAAGAAGGAACAGACTGATCAGAAGAGTGACGATGCTGGTAACGACAAGTCCGATTCCAACTGAAGGCAAATAGCATGATAGCATCAGGCGTCTGCAACATTTACCATGTACTCATTAGCCTACCCAAAGCATGTACCGCGGTGTGTCATACTACTACTTTCACCCCCGATATTGACCTCGGTTCCTGCGCGTTTGATCCGGACACATCATTCATGTAGCGGTGACTATGTTTGACTCGTCATGGCAGAAAGCAAGGTCGCCGCTGCTGCATAGTCACATAGTCTTGAACACTTCATTCAACGGTTTCTAGTGTTAGACTATTCTTACGGCTGTGCATAAATCACACAAAGAAACGAAGACCGAGTTTTGAACCACAGGTTTCACCCCAAAAGGCCCTCATCATGAAGCGCCACGGACTCACTGTCTCTTTCACTTTGTCTCTCAACAGGAATAATACTACTTAAGCATGCGATATCATCCAGGGTACAGCGCCTGGCACATAAGTTGCAAAATCTTGTACCCGTGGACGAGACATCTACCTACCAGAGTTTTGACTCAACATTCTACCTGCCAAATAACACCTCAGGTCCACTCGTACTTATTTCTCATTTTACTTCCATGATGGCCTTCAGAAAGTCATTGAACCCTGAAGAAGCACGGCACATCTATCAGTGTGCGCTGCGATATGCTCAAGACCGACGCCAGACCCTACACCAAATCCAAGAATGCCGCCACAACCTCATGCGTGAGAACGTCGATCCCGGCACCCTCAGAAGGCAAATACGTACCATCGCTTTGACGGAAACGCAACTCAACTATCGACGAGACGCGCCGTCCGAGATACAAGAGCTATACGTCCCGATAGCCCGCGATGTCTTTCCCGATCCCGATATTCACATGGAAGCGAAAGAGATCTGGGAGAATAACGAGATTCACGAGTGTTACCTCCGAACATGGAGATGTGTGCAGAGGGTGCTGCTCGAGATAGACGATCGGCTGAAATGCTACGGATTCGCAAAGTTGGAGAAGTCGAAGATGGCTGCAATGTTGGAGATGCTCGTGACGCAAGTTGGGCGATTGCGCGAAGCACTGGTGGGTTTGGTGATTGTTGATCGTTTTGCGGATGAGATGGATCAGATTGCCTTGAGCAAAGATGGAAAATGGTCGGCGAGTTCTGAGCTCTGGATGGTTTGGAATCAGATGCAACAGGATATGAAATGTGGATGCACTGCTTGTACGCCTCTTGATCCGGTGACATCGAGTGAACCTGTGTTGGAAATTCCGTACTTACCGCACTATGAATGAGAAGAATAGTGGATGAGACGTCAAAGATCATCAACGAACAATATCACTGGAGTAAGACACGATTGCTTTCCGGCTATCTTGAGAACTGATGAGATACGGCTACAGTATGGGTAGCAGTATCGATGTGTGAGAGGGATGACAAGTGAGATTGCTATGGGGGAGAGATTCTGCCCAAGCTTTGGACTGTGGTGAGTGGCAGAATCACATGTCATACAAACAAGAACCCACGGAAAAAAGGGGGATCAAACAGTATTCAATTTCAAACTCGCAATATCCATTCGTGGAGCTTTGCCTTCTCTTGGATGCGCCGCGATCTCATGGGTTGTCATGGATTGTCTAGCTTTCGTCGCACCGAGCTTGGCATCAGATTGACGTCTGTTGTCCACCTCTGCCTGCCCGGCATACATAAAAGAACAGCACCAGAAACCACGTTCAAGTCCCCCGTTACTACCTGACCACAATGTCAAGTGCCTGTCATAATACCAGCGGGTGGTTGACTTGAGGCAGGATTTCTTGACTTCAAAATCCAAACTACTACCAGGCCTGATGTCATTTGCTGTCATGAACTTATCATATTCGAATATCACCGTGTCCACGACTACCCAGGACATGGGCCCAAAAGCAAACGATAGAGATTCCGGCCACAGAGAAGTGGCTGATGGCCAGCTATGTCGATGTTGGATCGATTTTGAACATCTTCTTGCCATGAGCAGAATCAGGCGACGACACGGCAACTGTCTTTTTTTATTAACATATAAATCCCGCCATCCCTCCCAACGCCCCTTCGATCGCCCCGAGCAGGTATTACTTTCAGGTAGTTGGATAACTTTTGATACCTCACTCTGTTGTACTTTCTTCATATTCCAAGTGTTGAGCTCGGCGATGTCGCGCAATCTCTACATTCCCGCCGTAGACGGCCACCCCAGCTTCACCATTGCCGAACTCATCCTCACCAACAATGACTTCAAAAAAGAAATCGGCTTGGTCATAGGCCTGACGCTTCATCCTCACTCCGAGTTGGCCAAGGAGTTGGCCGGTCTTGGAGCCAAGATCGTCCCCCCACAAGCCCGGACGAGTGAGGGACATGGCCCAAACCCTGAAAGATTCCGGTGCAGACACGTTGTGTCTGATCCCGCCCACTCACGAACACAAATACGACTTGACCACGGAGCTGATCGAGACTGCCAAGAAGGCCAATGCGCTGAATGTGTGCTTCATCAGCTCCGCGGGCTGTGGCCTGGCTGAACGGGATCGTCAGCCGGGACTGCGGGAGTTTATTGATCTCGAGACTCGCGTCGTGTCTTGTAAGGGGAATTCTATGACCTCTACGGGGCATTCGCCCGTTGTGATCAAGTGAGGCTACAATGTTCATGCTTTCCAAACGGATCCAGAATCTGACTCATTGGCCAGAGCTGGATTCCATGCCGAGAACCTTCTTTTGTATTCTCAGCAGGCGCAGACTGAGGGGATCCGTTCCGCTGCCAATCGGGCAAGACCATAAATTTGCACCGATTGCTCTAGGCGTAAGTTACTGCACAAATGCACGTCGGATCACTCAGTGACCTCATACTGTATAGGATGTATCGCAAGTTGCCGCTCATGTTCTGACCGGGAAGGGCAAGCACGGCTTCAATGATCAACACCGTGGCCAACATCATGATTGTCTTCACAGGTAAAAGAAGTCTTTCTTGTGCTAACTACGTAGACCGCCAGTCCCTAACATTTTCACAGGTCCGATGCTCGCAGCTGGCGCTGAACTCGCCACTGCCGCGAGTAAAGCCCTAGAACAAGAGATAAAGTTCGAAGACATATCCGAGGGAGTAGCCGTAGATGCTCAGTCGCAGCTCCATCTTTTCATGACTGGAATTACCCAGAGCCGAGGCCAAGAGGGTGCTACATGCGCAGTCGAAGAGTGACGAGTCCGAGCTGCAGTATTTGATCGAGTATTACTCATTGGTTCGAGAAGGCAAAACCAACTACATCTCGACGACCACGTTTCACGACATTACTGGGGGTCACCCGCAAGAACCAGATGAATTCTTCAAGGTCTATGCCCAGGAATTCAAGCTGAAGACTGGGAGCAAGCGACGTAGGACGAATGGAAAGTAGCAGCCGAAACATGGCCGGTTCTTCTCACTGAGATATCAAATTGAATTGGAATACAGTGCTTCATCGAGAGGATTCGAGTATTTAATCTACACAATAGCCCGGTCCCACAGCCGAAATGCGAGATGGCCTAAGCTCAGGTTCCACCAAGCAATAGCGATCTTGTATATGAATCATATGAATCGGATACACGGCAGTTGCAAGAGTCCGAGAAAGTCTCCCAGGCAGATCAAAAGGCCAAGGAAGAATTTTTCAGCCGAAGAGCACCTCATCAGTGGGGCTGTTGTATCACTCTTGAGTAAATCTCCGAGTCTTATGGAACAACAACAGTGGATTAATGGAGTCGACTGTGTGTTATGGATGTTTTGGAACCCTCACTTCCTGGCGATTGCGCTTGCCACCGCATTTGGTCTGTAGAGGACAAGCCTGTTTAAGGAAGATGATGATATCATCCGTGTACGCTACTTGGGGTGACAAGACTAAGATGTAAGACTTCATCGGCATTCATTGCATGATTCGGTGATGGACAAGCTAGGTCTACAGACAGGAAGCAAAGAGAGAAATCACAATGCAAGTGGTGATGTGCGAGGAGGCAAGACAGAGACACCGGCACACAGCAGACAAAGAGGAAGAAGAAGAAGAGAAATAGGAAACTCTGTAAGAAACAGCAGGAGGGGAAAAACACTCTTCTCTTTCACATGACTGCTCGGCCTACATGAAAGGAGGCAATCTCCGTCAATAGCTTAATGTAATCCTCACTGGCTTTGTGAGCTTCCAAGACAGCTCACCCTTTGTTGGTCGGTCAATGCTATTGTGTGCTCTTTGGCTCTTTGATAGAGAAGCTGGACAAAGACCCATTATTAGCACAAAGGAACCCACAGTCCACACTATCTTGACCAGCATGGTGTTCTGGCTATGCTTCAATACTTTGTGAATGTCCAACCATACAGGACTACTCGAGCATTCAAATATCCTCGATTCTTCCTCGAGAATGCAAGTAGGATCTTCTCTAATTCATCTCATCAGCAAATTCACTCTATCATCACAAGTCCCACACTATTCACCTTGTTTTATACAAGGTATTCCCAACCCGACAACTTCGAAAATGCACAAAAACATCATCGCATGCCCGGAGCTCTTGAACCAGATGGAGTCCTTTGAAAGCTTTTGCCAGGTTCGAAAATACCACGTCGATCTATTACTCTACTGGTCCAAGCTGATCGCCTACAGGGTCAACATTCGATCTGATGAAGGAGACTTTGACATTCTAGCCAAACTTTCCGATCTAGCGCTCTATCTCAATCAAGCCGCAGACACACAGCCGTCTACTGGTATCATACACCTCGAGCCCAGTCAAAGAATGACAGACCGAGTGCTCCGTGAAAGATCCAAATACATCTTTTTGGCAGACCAGATGTTGGAAATGGTTCGCTTCCTGACGGCAAATCCGGATATGATTCAGTTGTCGGATCTGCTCAAGATGTATGCTCTTCAGCTGGGACGATTGAGGTGTCTTGATGGGCACTTTTTGGACGATGAGTATGCAGCAGGTATGGACCGGATGGCGGAAGAGCTCTCTCCCCGGTGGACGGAGAATGTAGGTCATTGGCATTATGTGGCATGGACAAAGCTGCAATCGGGAATGAAACCATGATGAGGACATACAGAGCGGGTATACATCGGCTACTTCTTATCAGTGTTGCGGGGGTTTTTTTTATGCGCGACGCTTCTTCAGTCTGAGTTATGGAGAGAGTCAGCTTCAATTGTTGAACCTCGTGTTTTCAAGACTGACTAGGAATTGATTCTTTGTCTTGTTCTCCTTTGCAATGTTGGCGCCATTGAGCTTTCATCAATAAGTAGTAAAGGCAGCATGACTAGAGATCAAAGTGCTTGTTCCTTTGTCCGATACGCAGAGTGGACTCTGTAAAATGCGGAAGTACAACATCAAAATAGACGGAATCTACCAGAGATGACCGCGCCTTTAATGTAGGAGTATTTTCTCTCGCCCTCATCTGATCCTGTCCCTTTTTCCCATCTCCCACCGGACTCGCAATCCACAGAGGTCTCCAAGCGCAAGCACAGCCTCCTTCTCAAGTCTTCAAAACACCATGCCGTCTCAATCTGACGCAATCAAGGAGGCGTATAACGCCGGAATCTTCGAAGGGAACAGACATTCCCTCTACCGAGATATGTTCAGATGGTCTCAGGAACTGCGCAGAGGAGAGCAAGTCCACATGAACATCGCTTCCAAACTTGACGACTTTTCCAAGGGCTGGCGCACAGGTCAATTGAAGGAGATTGCGCAGCTGAATCTTCAGTCCGATACCGATGTTCAACGCTACATCTGTCGCAAGGTCGACCGCTTGTGTGATGCTATGGACTGGGTGGCCGATATTCTTCGCAGACGTCTGGCCTGTGAGGTGGATATTGCGGATATGCTGGTTGCACTGGCGGTTCATGTTGGGAGAAGTCGATATCTATGTATGCGGACACCGCTGCCGGATCTTTATGCCGATGGGTTGGATGCCTTTGCGGAAGAAGAGCATGCGTTCTGGTGGAAGGTTCATCGCAATGCCTTTGTGCGGGAAATCTCTTCTTGTCTGATGGAGTCGATGAAGTGCCAATGTTGCCGCTGCGTGGTGTAGTGCTTGAATTCGAGGTTTCTTTTTTCTCACTTGTCTGGTTGGCTGGGATTGTTCGAAAAGGTTCTACTGCGAAGTCAAGGCCAAAAAGTTTTCTCAGACGTCTCAATTTCACGCTGGGACCTTCACCACTCAATAGCAGTATTTCGAGCTTGTTTTTGATTCATCCGTAGACTTGAGCCCACAAGACAATCCGAGCAGGAGCTCTACTCCACATGACTTGAATTCATCAAGAACAAGTCTGATTGACTTGTCTCCCTCAACCAAGAAGACATTATGTTTGCCTGAAGAGGGATGCAGACGGCACCTCGTGTACGTCCAAGGGCCATCGAAGATTACATCGTATATTCGCTTCATGTCTAACACATGTGCTTTCGCCATATGAACCGTCGCAGCGCTCAAGGCGGCGGTCACCTTCCCCCTCCTCAATCATCACTGACTCCTTTGTCTTTTTCCGCCTTGATCTCTGAGTTTTGGTCTTGACTGTTTCTTTCCTCTCTCTGACTTGTAAAACGGGCAAACTTCATGAACTGACCTCAACCAGGTAGATTATCGACGACTCGGACGAAAACGATGCCGTCACTCGACGTGATCGCGCTAACTCCGCGGTGTTGAGCTTGTTTCGCACCAAGCTCACGCTATTGAACTTTGGACCCTCGTTTCGATAAGCGAATACTTCGGTTGTGTTGGGTCTGTTGGCCATCTTGGGTATAGTGTTGTGACGTATACTTCCTTGCGTGTCCTGATTCATCTCTGAGACTGTTCTTCGTCTTTTTTCCTGGATCTTGTCGGTCCTTTCAGCCCAGCCACCTGCTACTCTGGGAAATGAATGGCCAAGGCCGTATTCCAGACGGGCCACGCATCTCGTGGATGTGTGACGTTTGATTCCAGGACGCTGGGATTTTCTGGTCCAGTCTTTGACTGGAGATCATTGTCCCTTGTCTAGGCTTCTGTATGTGATGGTCTGGTCAAATTGTCATTGTGTTGGGTTACCACCTTCCTTCGATACCAAAGAATCGTGGACTGTCTCAGGTTATGACAGGGTTGTGGTTCTACAGTAGTGCTAGTCACCAGTCACTCGCAAAAGCAACGCCATTGACACGAGCTACCGGCAGTTTCGCTCCTTTTTCAGCATCCAAAGTATTCTCAGTCGCAGCCCTTCTGGCTTTCAATCAACAATGCTCCCGCAGGGTTTTTGTGGATAAGGAGTCGCCATGACTTCTTGTTGCATAGCTCTATGCGCCTTTGTCCATTCCCATCTTCTTTGTTATGGGATAGCATTTTGAGCCGGTCTACTGGCGAGAGTTTGCGAAAGATGAACCCTCCAAATAAGATCAGATACCAAGACTCGCCATCAAATTTCCCGATCTTGTATGGGAGACCGACCCACGAGCAACGGGGAAATTCAACCCCCGATACACATCTAGCGCAATGAAATCAAACCTCCTGCCCACCACAGACATACTCAGGAATTCATCTTCCAGAGTCTCTCAGCTTGACTCTTTCCTCCACAGGCGCAATGTCATCTTCACCGACATGATGCAATGGCGTCAACGCCTCATGGAAATCCCCCTTCCCACCACGAACACCGCAACTACGACCATCATCCAAACCACTCCCCTAACGACCTACTACATCGACCTAGCAACCAAGCTCGAGAATCTCCGCGCCGACTTTGACTCGCTATGCGCCCTTGTCCAGATCATGCCCGAGAAAGCACACCACGATCTCCCCCTCCCCATCCAGTCCCCAGAACCCTCGAAGCGCAAGTGCGCATGGGAAAAATGTTGGAATGACAAGGTCCATATCCTTCAAGCTCATCTTTCGCACTTACTCCACCTTGCCCTGCAGCATTGTCCAGAGTCGCAGCGGATTCCACCCTCGTCCTTAACAAACACATGTCCTGCCTCCCTTCCTCATCCCTCCAACAGCACCATCCAACAAAGTCTCGCCCACCTTCCCATCTCACCCTGGACACCGTGGTCCACAACCGACCTAGCAATCTACATTCTCATGATCGGCGTATGCATAGCCCGACTCCATCATGGACCCATCCATCCAGATGTAATGGGCCCCTGCGTTTCCCGGGTCAGTCGACTCTCTGAACGGATTGATTCGGAATCGGAGCAGGGGCTGTACAGGCCTGAGTTAAGGGGAATCTGGGAGAACATGGCCGATGTGGTATTTTGTGCGTGCAGTGCGTGCTTGGGGTGTTGACGAGAGGACGTGATCCTGGGATGCCCCATGTTCAGCGAAGTTGTACAAGTTATTGGAGTGAGCTCGGATGCAGGCGTATTGATGGCGAGCTGTGTTAGTAGAGCATCTAAATAGACATGCTGTACGGAGTAGGTAGTTACGGGGAGATTCTTAGGTTCGTCTCCAGTAAAAAAGAGACGGTATTCAATGGCGACTACCTGCAGGCGGACGTCATCTTGTATGCTGGGGGGTAGAATGCCGTCGACCATGTCCATCTTCAACAGGATCCGACACTCGCTGGCAACATTACCGCAGACACAGGCACAGACCTGAGAATCATTCAACGCTTCCACTTCCGATCTCAACTACATATCATGGTAGTCAAACTCCAGGCCAAAAAAATCATCGATATATTCATCTCGTCTGGTGCGCATGACACATCTTCTCCGGGTCAGAATCCCTATTATCGAAGTTCCAGATACCGTGAAGTGAAGAGATGGGGATTGAAAAGGGGGGAAATTGAAATAGGGTAAGGAAAAGGGAAGAAATAGGGTGATAAGTACAAGATGGAAGAACAAAAGGCCTCATCCCAGATATTAGAAATCACTTTGGGCATAAACCACAAGAATGTGGAATAGGAAATGCATCTATCATCTCGCAAAAAAAAAAAAAAAAAAAAAAAAAAAACAAGCCCTCTGCCATCATCTTCAGGACAAGTGTATATATGTAATCGACTCATCCCAACACATAAGAGGTTGAAGAAAAAGGCGAGTAATAGAAATCGAATCAAGAACATCGACACATGAAGGGCAGCGTACCAAATGTCGAAATAGAAAGTCCACATTAATCATATTGACACCATGCCGATCGAGGCTTGTCTCAAAGCCCTCGCTTTGCCCCGCGTACGCGCATGTCGAGGAGCATTAGGGCCTGTACATCAAGGATGCGCGGTGTTATCCTGAGCAATATCTGGCCCAAGGTTGTAAACGACGGAGTCGAGACCTTGTGATGGAAATACCGCAAAAGTCTAGACACCCCCCCCCCTTACTTTTCACACGTCAAGTTTGGTTTCGTTTCCCCCCCCCCCCCCCCTTCCTGTCGAAATGACTTTCCAAAAGGTGCAGAGGAAATGACGGTTCTCGAGACGTGAGGATTATTACGCCTTGCGACTCCTTGTACGAGGACCAGTCGATTCAATCACGGGCTCGCCATTGACTTGCACCTGCGGGGCGATGTTCTCCTTCTCGATGCCCGAGGCCAATGTTGCCTTGGACTCGGCTTCGTTCACCATCTCCTCTTCTGACTCCTCATCATCCGATCGCTCATCTTTGGCGACGCTGTTGAAGATGTAATTGGCCAGGATGCGCAGGATCAAAAACAGCCAGAACAAATTCACAGCTTGCAAACTGGCCAGCAGAGCGAAGGTGATGTATTGACTGATCCAGCACTTGTACTGTTGAGTCTCCCAATTGAGCTCAAACGGACCGACGGTGCGGAATTCGGTCAGAACAGCCCACAGAATCTTCAGGTTCAGGACATGACGCAAGTAGATCCACACACCCACAAACATGCCAAAGTAAGGTGCGACAATGATCGAGTCTAGGTAGTTGAGAGTCTTCGATGTCTGGTTTTGATATGAACGGGTCAGCTCAAATGAGTTCGTTGAATTGTGCATGGCCGTGATATCCTTCCTCGGTTGAGAGTGTCGTCACTTACCGCAAGGAAAAAGTCCGAGATATCATGGGTAATGTACACAGCCAAGCCCATGTAAGTAAAGTGGAAGCGATAACTTAGCGCGATCAACGCCAAGGTAATGATGTGGTGGCCGACCAATTCCTTGAAATCCTTACGAGGCTTCTCCAATTGCAACAAGAGCACAATGGCCTGCTGGGCCCAATAACTCGCCTCGAGCAGATAGTACGCCTTGAACACGCCCTCGTGTTCCCGGTGCGGGAACCCTTCGAACATGGCAGTTGTGTTGAAGTACCAGATGTTTGACCGACTCATCACGTACAGTCCAAGAGGGCCAAAGATTCCAAAGTAGATTGCCGTGTAGACCTGCTCCATGAAGCGAGCGGTCTTACCCTTGCCTCGAATCCCGCACCAGACTGCCAACGGACGGATCATTTGCTGCATGATGAATTCGCGCGTGAATGACAACACAATGGTGTAAAAGGCCACAAAGGCAATATCCTTCTTGCCCTTGCCGTACATGATCGGCCCGCCGGGGGTCTTGGGGGGTTGCGGATAGGACAGGAAGATGGCGCTATGCATGGGATTGGATGGCGTCGGGTTCACCGCGTACAGCGACAGCAGGAAAAGCGTCAGGATCAGGGGGAGTAGCCATGTATACCGGAGACAGGTGTCGGCAAATCGATGAAGGAGGGAGCGATTGCGACGTTTCTTCGATGGCGTCTTGCTGGAGGCTTTGTCCGCCGTGCGAGACTCCAATTGCTACACGCGACCATGCGACCATCTTAGTGACGTGTTCAAACTCGGGCGCAGGCTGGCGCTGGCGCCAGGCGCTTTTCCTCGGGAACATACTCCGCCCCTGTCTCGAGCGCCCTCTAAATGAAAGTCGAGAGAGAAACAGGCTGGGGAGGAGGAGGAGGAGGAGGGGCATTCATCGCTGAGACCAACCTTGCTCATATTTGGAAAAGTGGGTTCAATTGGGCTGATCTCGTTCATGGTGGACATTGCAGGCGCACTGGTGTCACCGCGAATGTCCACCCCCAATTGTGACCGACCTCGTGGGCGCACCATGGCAGGCCAAGATAGACACCGAATTGTCTCAGGGCGAGTCGAGTCGAAGCTTCTTTGAAAAGCGCGAGAGGCTTCAGAACGCAGCAGAGAGCGAAGCGGATCGCGGAATGTCGGACAATTTTTGACAGGAGGGAAAAAAAAGACGTCACCGCGTGGACTCGGGGAGGAAGAGTGCGGGTATCTTCTCACGTGCAGAGGCCGCAAAGGGATGATCAGATTAGGAAGAAGAAAAACAAAAAAGAACCTCGAAGGAGAATCCGAGGATGACAAAGATGCACAACCAAGCGGGAGTGACGCGGGGAGAACAATATATCGCCCAGTACTGAGTACAGTGAGTAATACGTCAACGAGATGATAGCAAATCGAACATGTGTCGAGGGGAGAGAAACGAAAGAGAGAAGGGTGGGAGAGAAACACAAAGTGTTCCCTCCTTTCTCGTGGAGAAATAAGTCCCAATTATGGGTTCTAACCTGGGTCTTTCTTGGCTTTGGTTGCATTGTCAATTTTCTTGGCCGCTCTCGCCTTCTCTCTTCTCGAGATTGAGAATGATCTTGCTCTTTTTCTTTGAAAACCACATCCCTCTGCCAGAACTCAGCCCGTTTCAACTGGCCTCAACAAGTTCTTCGTTGATTTTCAAAGAGCGGAGGAGACTTCGTTTTTACCAGGTGGAAAGTCCGCTGACTTGTTTGCTTCTTATCTTCACGCTTCCCTGAGGGCCAATTGTCCCATCGTTGATAACTTGACTTGGACAGTCTCACTCAAATCACGGGGAGATCGCATCAGTGAGCCATCAGAGGTTGATGGTTCTATGGTCGGCTTTCTGCCCGCTCCCGATAAATGAGACCTTGACAGAACGTTGATATATAGAAAAAGCTGTCAATTAAGAAATTATTCGAATAAAAAAGTAAGGACTACAGAAAAGGTACTCGTGAAAGCATTGAACGTGGTATCATTGTACATGGTTATCTTCATTATTTGAAGAGGAAAAGGAGGGTGCGATTGTCACGACCCAAGCGCAGACAGACCAGTGTCGGAAACGAAGATCTAGGAAATCACCTCGATTTAATGAATCTCAGCCCTTCTTTGAACAGGGGCGTCTGCATTCCCAGAACTTGCGAGTCCTGCTCTATGAGGAAGAGGCAGACTCGTCATGCGCCACAGTGGACTTCTTATCACCCAAAGCCTCAATGTCGGCCCGCTCTCCCGCCGCCGTGGACTTGCTGCCGACCCGGGTCTTCCAGGCCGGGGTACCAATGTAGGGAATGCCATGAGGATCCTCAAAGATCTGCGTCGTCTCTTCCAAGGTCTTGCCGGCAGTCTCGGGGAAGAGGAAGAAGACATGAAGCCACATGACGGTCAAGAAGACACCGAAGATGATGTAAGTCTGCCAGCGAATGTTGGCAAAGGCCACCGGCACGAACAGACCCAGAGCAGTGTTGAAGGCCCAGTTGGCAGAGGTGGCCAGAGCCACGGCCTTACCACGGACACGCAATGGGTACAGCTCAGGAGGGTAGACCCAGGAGACGGGACCCCAGGTGGGGGCATAAGAGGCGACGAAGAGGTACGTGCAAGCAATAAGAGCCTTGGCGGAGGAACCTGAGAGACGCATGGACTCCTCGGCAACACCGTTGATACCATTGGGCACGACTGTACCATAGGTGGCCATGATACCGGCGTTCGCATACATCCAGATCAACATCAGGGCAGCACCGATCAGGAGAGTCGGGCGACGGCCCCATCGGTCGACCCAGATCAGGGCGGGGATGGTCATGACGACGTTGATGATGTATTGAATCGAAGAGGCGAGGAGGTTGGCGTTGCCAGAGTATCCAGCCATGCTGAACACATAGGTGATGTAGTACATCATGACGTTCATGCCGGTCAGTTGAGACCAGATCTGAGTCCAGACGCCGATGGAAGTACGGTGGATCATCTTGGGGGAGAACAGCTCCAGGTAGGTCACATCCGCATTGCGACGCTCGAATTCACACATCTCACCAATCTCGTACATCTCGGTCTGGACCATGGGGCTGTCGGGATCACCCTTGCCGTGGACGAGGGTCAAGACCTGCTTGCATTCCTCCCAGCGATCCTTCCGAGCCAACCAGCGAGGAGACTCGGGAAGGAAGATCATACCGATGAAGAGGAGAATCGCGGGGACCATCTGCACACCCCAGGGGATGCGGAATACGGAGGTGCTGTAGTTGGAGGAGCTCTGGCCACCAATGTACGAGCAGCCGAAGGAAATATAGTACATGATCAGGATACCCCAGGTGATGGCCCACTGCTGGGATCCGACCAGACGACCACGCAGGTGGGGAGGCGAGAGCTCGGAGATATAGACGGGCACCTGGGCGGATTCCATACCGACAGAGAGACCGTTGATCACACGACCAGCGGCCAGCATGCCCACATTTTGAGAAGCACAGATAATGGCGGAACCGATCATCCTGCAAATGACAGAATGGACGCGGTCAGAATGAATTCGCAACTTCTCTCATTTGTCACGAGAAGGCAAGGATTTGGAAATGATATCTGCAACACTTACCAAATAATACATCCGACCATGATGGAATACTTTCGACCCAGACGGTCCGAGATGAAACCCGAGATCAACGCACCCAGCCACGAACCCGCAGGCATCGCTGCCGTGACACCTCCTTGGTGCAGGGAGCTCAGTCCCGAACAGTGATTATTGTTATTGAAAGGAGGTCCCTCCGGACCTTCATTGAAGTAGCACTTGTAGGCTTCGGTGCCGATGATGGCGGACATGGACGAAATGTCAAAGCCAAACAGACCGCCTCCAATAACGGAGACGGCCGCAATCACATAGATGTTACCCACGGCAAACATGATGGGCAACTAGACTCGGCTTCCCGAGGAACTGATGGACCGATCCCGGGGGCACAAGTGAAAGGGTAGAGGAAGTCAAGAAGAATGAGAAATGTAAAAGGAAAAACTTCCTTGATGTAAGTTGCATCGGGGGAGAACTTGGGGTACTTAAGTAGTTTCGATCGTGCGCGCCCCCGCGATGCCTCCAACTGATAAAGCTTTTTCTCTTTTTTTTTTCCCCTTGCTTTTCGCATGGCATTTTGTTGGCTCCAATGATTTTTTGTTCCCACTTCTCTCAATCGGGGCCCAGCAGGAGATGTCTTGCGGGGACTCCATTTTTCCATTCTTTTCCATTTGGGCCGGTCAGATCGGCTTCTCTTCTGGACGAGTCCTCCGCCTGTCGTTACCCCGTGGGTGGACCAGCAAAAGCCGGGGCCGAATCCACCGTCCGGTCAGACCGGAATCCACCAACTGCGCCAGTCAGCATTCTGGACAGGGACCTGCACGTCTCCGCAAGCGTCTGGGACACATCGTGCTGGAAAAGTCTTGATGTTCATTTCGGGTCATTCCTCCAGAGCAAGGTGGACTCGTGTCAACGATTGTCGCACGTCGCAACCCGTTGCCCCCGGTGGTTGATACGTAGCGTAAAGTGGATCGTTGTTGATCGCGCAGCACAACAATCTGCAGGGCTGGAGAGTGTGATCCCAGATCAGGTCCAGGGTGTCCGGTATACCATTCAGGTATAGTAATTTGCAAGATACTACTGTTGTCCAGTTGTTTGATTGAAATTATGTCATGCTCTGTCTGGGTTGAAGTTTTGACGGCCTGTTTCCTATTCCGTCCTTGTCCACATTTTTCCGTCTTCGAAACATCGGTGACGCGAGGGGACCTAGGGCACAGAAAGTACAGTACCAACGGTTCACCGAGCGCTGATCGCCCGTGGTTGCGCCCTGGAACCTTTTTTTTTCTTTACCATCGACCAAGCAAGAGGGGGCGACCATGTGGTGGGACCCATGGCTGCTGAATTGATTATTCGTTGCTCAGGTGGGAGTGCTCGTTTGTTGACCTGTGACCCACGCCCACGTCCACTCGACCTGCCAATTCTGTGAGACTTATGCCGTCCCTGGAGTAGTCGTATGAAGTTTGAATTGCGGGTTGTGTTCAGAGGCTCACCCACTACTGCTAGGTACAGTACAGCGCATTCGCAATGGTTCTTTTGGTCCACGAAGAGGCGAAAGAATCATTCGACTGGGGAGGCCAGTCTTCAGAATAGAGAAACTTTCGTCTCCGTGTCCCAAGCAGAGATTTTGGGACCGTGTCCAAATCGATGACACGCACGAAAGAGGAATAGTCGACTATGCAATTGCGTCAGTGTTTCTGCTCTTTGAGTCTCAAGTTTTAGGTTCTGTTTTGCTCCTGCGGCTCCCATATCCCGGGCTAAGCATGCAACAGAGTCTCACGCTTTGCGTCAGTGGCAGAACCCGAAGCATGCCAATGCGCGGGTGGCGCTCGGATGGCGCCCGCTCGTGCCCCTAACCAAGTCGGCATCCAGGACGATGCCGTGTTGCGCACGCGGCTGAAGACGGGAGAACGGGAGAGGTTTCACCACGTGTAGAGGCGGAGAGTGAGGAGCAGCTTACGAAGAGATTCGACCATGTAGTACTAGTACTATCGTATCTCAGCAGGAATCGGACGAGTGTATCAGAGTATCAGTAGGTGGTGGAGGGCCCAGAAGACCGCGTTGAATCTGACTCGTTCATTGTGCAGAGATAGAGTTTGTCGCTGTGTGGATGGAAAAAAAAACAGTAGGAGGTAATAGAGTTGTGGACGAGAGGATTGTGGGTGTCACACATGTACACTGTAAGTGTACACTGGTACAGTAGCACGTGCTGTACCGCACGCATCGAGGATGACTGGTTAAGTCCGAACTCCGTCGACTGCCTTGGAAGGTACATTCATGGCTTTTTGTTCAATGACCTTATTACTCTGGTATTCGTAGTTCTCGATGTCGACTCGTCAGAGCTGATATCTGAGGTCGCAACTTGCTTGTTGCCATGGGGATCTATTCTCTGTGCATGGGTAGGGAAGATTCTAGTTACCCATGAGTATTGTAGCTAGTAGCTAGTAGTCTGTATTGGTGAAAATGGAACTTGCTGGCGAGTATGGCTGCTCGAGTTCCATATCACTCGTTCACCTTGTCAGTCTGTCTTTCATTGCACCGGGTGACCCATCTCTCATTCATCGGTCTGCCGAGTGGTGTGCCGTCCCAAGCCATCCAGTTCCTCCACTTCCTCCAGTACCTCCACTTCCTCCCCGAAGAGAACCCCCAAAGAACGCAACTGGGTGACAAGAAACACTCTTGTTGCTCAAACTTGCCCACCGAAAATTCTGAACGATCCCACCATCGAACCGCAGCAGAAGCTGGAGAGTGGAGATTCAATCTCCCCCCGTCCGGGGCCCCGACAGGATTGGGTCCCACCTCTCCCAACCGTCCCAAGTCCGACTGCCCTCTTTTTTGCACGGAATGCCTTTCTTTCCCTCCGCCCCCTCTCGACCGGGGCCAATGAAGCCGAATATCTGGACTCTGACCCGAGACGGGCCGGCATGCCTTCCTGACTGGGTCGGCAACTGTATACGTCTTTCTGTTCCCCTTTCTCTCTGCGTCCTCGGCCTCGTTGCGAGAATTTTTCCTACTGGCTCGGACGGAGTGAGCAGCCGATTGTTGCCGATAATAGAGGTCCACTCTTCGGCCTGAAGCTGGAGATACGCCAGTTACACCGTAGGCTACTGGGTTGCTTTTCTTCTCTTTTTCTTGGTTCATCTGACGACTCTTGAAATTTCTCTTGGGGAGAGGGGGGTCTCTACAGTCTACAGTCTACACTCTACTTACTTATATAGTACATTGTCTTTCCCGTGGGTGACCAAAACAACCATTTTGAATGACAATAATTCAGAACAACAAAAGGTGGGGAAAGTATTGAACCCCCGAACATTGCGCGAAGGAGGGGGAAAGGGTTTTCGAAGTTTTCTCCATCCTCCACTCATGTACTGGATGTGTGTCACCCACAGGGCGCTGGTTCGCTTTTTCTTTGCACGCAGTCTTGTCTACGTGCGAGATATGTAGACAAAGCCACCTGGCACCCTGTAGTTACTCTCTAGTTCAAGCAACTTGCATGACTCCAAGGGCTTTTACCCAAGTAAGTTCACTTGTCGCTTAAGCGGTAAATTACACCTCCGGCTGACGCTTGTGGCGGATTCCGATCCGAGGGTTGGCGCCTTTCCGTCCCAGCGCCAACCCGGCTCCAGCCGCCTTGGGAGAGGCTTTTCTTTTTTGTTTTTCCTTTTTCTTCCCCCTCCATCTACATACGGTACCAGTGTACCTGTATATGTAGCTCGCCTCGTGGTTTCTGTTCCAGGTGTGACTGAGTAGGCTGGTGGAGAACATTACCTGGTGGCTCGCTACAAGTACAATATCCTTGGCTTCAGGACTTTTGGAACGAACTTTGAATATGGACCCAGTTTTTGGATAGACAGTATAGTTGTACACCACTGCTTCTTGTCTCTCCGCCTTCGGATTCTAGAAGGTTTGACACTGAGACGGACGAATTGGGAGCTTGTCAGTACTGCAATCAGCGGGTACTGTAGGGAAGTGCATACGGTGTACGGGATGACATCATTGGTATGCTAGGGTTTCGCCGGGATACCTACCGTATCCAGTTTGAACAGACCAGGCTCCGAGTCTGCTGGCTGTAGTGATTAGAGAGGCGTAGAGCGCTTGCCCGATGTGGGGACGCCTGTACCCTGTGTACTTCACAAGTTCACCCAAGCCCATGACATGACTATTTACCGGAGAAAACTCTCTCCCATCTGTGCAAGTGCTTGGGGATCGTTTATCAGTGCAGATCTGATAACGCGTGGTGGATGGGTTTTTGCCAGAGACTCGGTCATACTGAGGATGTTGAAGCTCTCGGTCACACTCTGAAGTACCCCTCCGAGTGAGTGTTTGACCGTGCACAGGTGTCGAGTCGGGGACCTCAGACCTCACTGCAGTCTACCCTTTACACTTTGCACAGTACGCAATACTGACATGGATGGTCTACAAGACAGCTCCGGGTTCCTTTCCCCGGAAATCTGAGGACTCGCGCGTGGAGCCGATGCGGGGAAATCTTTTCTAGAACATCGTGCACATGGGGGCGTCCATGTGCTAGCAGAGAGACAGATCTGAACCCGCTCTTTGACCTCATACTATGTCATTTCATGTGCGCTATGTATCCAACTCGACCTTTGCCAATCCTCTCGCTCACGCATCATCAAGACTAGACACGGCCATTTTTTTCTCAACCCTCTTTTCAAGGTTCGCCGTTCGTCAGTGATTTGGTGAGATGGGTTTCCTCTGATGTCATGGTGTCGGGAGTCGGTCCAGGACTCTGGAAAGTCTTCCAAGTGTACTCTCGTGTGTCCGAGAACCATGCCCGGGATGCTAGGTGAGAAGTGAATGAAAATTCGGTTGATTGTAGCTAGGTTTTCCCATGGGCTTCCAATTCATTGCCCTTGAGCAGGTCCTTTGTTCGCAGTAAACAACTTCGCCCGCCCCGTCTGATGGACTATGAGCTCTAGCACGGAGTATGCGGTAATGCCCGAGCAATTTCGATGCTATTGACTGGACACCCACTTGGACATTAGACGGTGACACTACCTAGGGCTGTCCTGCATTGGGTGGTGCTATTGACATTGATTGTTCAACCTGTCTCCATCAAGATAGGACGTAGCAGCTCGGCCGTGTTGATCTTCGACTACCTACCTAGCAGAACATACTGTATCTGAGATTCCTGTAGACATGATTCCTCTGGTAGGCTAGTTATTTCATGTCTTTCCCCCGGTGGTCATTCCGAATGGACTGGATCAGATGGGTGAGTGGCGAAAGAATAACGTTCTACCTAGTACGTCTTCCGGATCGACAGCGCGGTGGAGTCTGGGGTAATGCCTCTCTGGTGGGCGTTTAGGTTCCAGCGCATAGCATGGATGGATGTTGATTGGAAAACTTCCGGTGATGCGATCATCGAGGAGGGGTCAGATCACGGGCAGTTTGCGGGGAAGCTTACATGGAGAGTTGCGCATATCATTTATTCCCAGTGCCCACTTGAAAATGATGTCTGTTAGTGCAAAGCGTGCACGTGCCTCGCGGACGTGTTTTGGGCGGTGATGTCGCGTGTTTTCGTCATCAGACTTCCATGACGTGCACCGAATTGATCACAGTTCACCTAGCATCGATCTCGCTCGGACGGGAATGGCCAGGTCACAATGATGAGTTTCGAGAACCTACAATCTAAAAGATCATGCATTGTAGGGTTCGGGGGGTGGGGACGAGCTGCTCGACGTGGTTGAAAAGCGGTTTACATCCATGTTCTTGGAGGCTGGATTGATACCTCCTAGGGAATAGTTGAGAGATTTTGACCTGGGTGCCTCTTGCGGCTTTAGCTCTCTAATCTCACTGGTGGGTAGCTTGTAGGTAGTAGTGTAGGGCTGTTCCACTACAAACGAGCGAGACACATCTGGACGGGGCATCAATGTGTGTTACAATTTCACAAGACATATCCGTGCCGGAAACGGGATTTATCCATGGCATTTAGTTGGTAGGACGCCCGCAAAGAATCAATAGGCCACATCGACCAGGTTGAAGGTGGGAGATAGGAAAACCGAGTAATTCAGATGCATTTCCAATGCTCCTCGAAGTTGACTTGAACAGTCGAGATAGAACGTCGTGTTCCAAAAGTACTAACATAATCATCACATGGTACACTAATGCACCCTGAGTGGCGTTCCGTGCAAGTTGAGGCCCATTACCGGCTTTCTCTTTCTTGTTGATTGATAAAACAAAACTTGCTAATAAAACACATCAACTGGCAACTTGGCCGAGTGGTCTATGGCGCATGACTCAAGAGTTCCTCTTACCAGATGATCAACACCTGGGAGCATTCATGTCTTCGAAAGGGGGCGAGGGTTCGAATCCCTCAGTTGTCATTTTTGAACGTTTCACTTTTTGCATCCGCCACATACCTCATGTCGCAGTCCCTAGACTGATTCCACGATAAATCAATTCTTGTATTGTTGAAAAAATCGAGCCTTTTCAAAGACATGAAAAGTGTACAGACTTCTTTCTACAAAGGTCAAGCGGCTATTCACTCGGTCACTGGTATTGTAGTTACCTTGCAACCATTGAAGGGTCTTCCGTCCCGCCGGAATGAGTCAAGACTACCCAAGTGCGCCAGCATTTCTTTGAGGTGAGATTCGGAGCGCTTTTCATAGCAGCTTCTTTGGGATATAGCTCAAATGAAAATTACATAATACATCGAGAACAGGCAACTTGGCCGAGTGGTCTATGGCGCATGACTCAAGGATCGTCCTTACCCGGTGAACAACACCGGGGAGCATTCATGTCTTCGAAAGGGGGCGAGGGTTCGAATCCCTCAGTTGTCATTTTTTGGAACATATTCATCTTTTGCAACAACCATGTTTCCAGCCTGCCAGTCGAGCTGCTACCCACTACTACCTACCTACCCTTTAGCTATCTATATGCATGTCTTTGGATGAGTGTTTTTTCCCCCTCTGTTCCGAAGTCCCCTTGGAAATCTCAAGGTTTCGTACTACTACTTGGTCAACCATCAGCATCGTAAGCAGCGTTATTATAATCATGTCTTGGCCCCAATGCGTCGATGTATCTCACATGTCGACTATTAGCATTGTCTCCCTATTTGTTCCTCAATCTGTCTATTGCGACGTTCACAGCAAAGTTTATACGCCCTCTCCCAGCGAATCCTTTGACGCCGACGTCACCGATAATGCTCGAATTCCCAGAAAGAAAATACAAGAGTGCCACAGCTCATCAAACATCAAACATACCCTTAATGTGACTTAGCCAGTGGACGAAGTGACAGATAGTTCAAGTCATTGCGACACCTTGCATGAGAATTCATCACCTCTCGCGGGATGCAATAGCGGGGTATAAGACTATGAGCAGAACATAAAGAAAATCTCCATGGAAGGCCGCGCTAGTCAATGTACAACATGGTTGTACAATAACTCGATCCAAAATCCGCCCTGCACTTGGTCGGAGACAGCATCGACGTGATTATTGAAATCACACCCCCTCACCGCTCCAAAGTCCATTCTGCAAGCCCAGACCAGGACATTCCTACTCGACCGACCTGTGACTTGTACTCCTCCGCGGTCAGACCACGGCAGTCATGTCGATCACCAAGGGTGTTCAAGACTATTAAACTGATTTTCTGACCCGGGGCGCCGAGTTGTCGCGCGTCTCCGATATCAAGATACCACGCCTCACCACCCCCACCGGGACCATTGCCGGGGACATGGTTGAATACGAAGCGCTCATCTTTACGCCCATCCACTCCATGAACCTCGAGTAAGAACAGACCGGGTTTCTGTCGGTTATGCCGGGCTAAAGTCCAGTGCTCACACAGCAAACCGAATTGGAAGCGGATGGGACCAGGTGTATTCGATATTGAAATGGCTCCTTCAGCGGGTAAGATCGTCTTGCGGCCAATGCTATGTTCCGAGAGACCAGACCAAACTTTAAGCGGTTTCCCACCCTGCGGTGAATCTGGATTCGTGGTGATATATTCCTCCCAGCTGACCTGTCGACCGTCGCTCCGAAAAAAGTGGTCCCTGTTGCTCGGGAAATGCTTCAGGCCGAATTCCTCGTTGGAAATTGTGAACATATGCGGTTCGAAGCGTTTGATGTACGGCTGTCCAGGCCCTTGAACTACTCCCGCTCCCCAACACGCGTCAATAAGCTTCCATTGACCTCCGTCGATTTTGACTGCATTCCATGCATGACCCGATGGATTGTACGGAGGGACCGGTTGCCCGGGAGCTAGATCCTCGTGACCAAAGCCTTTGCCATGTCCACCCACGACAATGGCTTCGAGCCCCGCTTTGGTAGCCAACAAGGCAAAAAGCGTGGCGTAGCCCTCGCACACAGCCAAGCCACTGGAAAATGTGCTGGCCGGGGTCGAGGGCTGTAAATCGTTGTTGAAAAAGGCTACCACATCGTACTCAATATTATGGTGAAGCCATGTGAAGATCGCTCGCGCTTTGTCAGTGAGAGAAGGAAACGGGGCAGTCAGCTCATTTGCGAGCCAGCCAATATCCTGCGTGGGCAGCGATTGCCGCGGATATTGCGCAGCCCGAGCATCGGGCCCGGAAAAGTCATGACAGATCAGACATTCCGTGCTTGGGTTGCCCAGGGGAGCGGTTGCTCCAGGCAGAGAGCCGTGGAAGCGTGGCTTGGTGGCATTCAATTTCGCAAGATCTGGCCGTGATCCAGTGGGCACAGGAGGCGGAGGGCCGCCGGCGGACCCGTTCGCCGTGGGAGTGCTATTCAGCGGCGCAGGGACACTGGGACGCTTCGTCAATCCTCCGAAGCCGAGAGTGCGGGCATCGGCAAGATTGTTCACGTCGGAAGAGGGTGGCAATCGTCGGCTCGGTAGATTGGTTCTGGCGTCGTCAGCGTATTCCTCTGTGTCGGGGTGACCCTGTGAAGTCTCTGCCTCAGACGGCCGACGAGGTGGAAGTCGAGGGCCAGGAGGCTGTGATGTTGCCCTGGCTGAGGGTCGAGAGGGGATGGTGGGACGCGATGGCTTCGATGCGGACGATGAGGATGAAGACGAGGATCCAGGTATTTTTCCTCTCAGCGCCGAAAGTTTGCCAGTAAAGCCTCCTGTCAAGCCCCCACCACTACTTGACTTGGATTCCAGACGCGTGGATTGGGCGACTTCACCCGGGTCATCTCTCGGTCGTCTCGGAGGCAGTGAAGGCAACTCAGTTTCACCCCATGCAGGAGCTTTAATGCGACTCTGGCCAACTGAGTTTACAGATGTCGACGAAGCTCCGCGCACCACACTAGTCGCGGTGCTTGACCGTGATGTGTTGGACAAGACGGAATCCTGCGAAGGTTTGTGCGAGAGCTGTGTAGGTCGGCGGGGTGGTAGAGAAGGCCGAGATTCGCCTTGCGTTGAAGATTCCGTCGACCCAGACCTTACCGGCGGTAGAGGAGGGGCAGGAGGGCGACCTGAACGGCGCGTTGGCAGGGGCGGCGGAGGTTTTTTGGCCTTGATCTCCAGTCTCGGTGACGGAGTCGGTGGCACCGCTGGTCTCTGGGTCGCCAGGGAGGCGGGTTCATTCCCGATCGTCTGAGCATTTGTGACAGTGCCGGTGACCGCGTAGGAGGGGGGTATATTGGCCGATCTGCTACGTTCGGTGGCTGGGCGGATGAATGGATGCGGCGGCTCTGCGCCTGTCGAGGATTGCGCAGCTTGGGATAATTTGAGAGCGGCAATGCGCTCTGAGATCGAGCCTAGCTGCAGTTCTTCGGTCATTGTAAATGCGAAGCTCTGTCACCTTGTCTTCACATGGAGTCAGACGTTGAGCACAGGCATCGACAAGGCGACCGCCTCCTGAACCCGGGGCTCTTGTAGTACTTGCTACTTGGCAGCTTGGCGGGGGTCGAATGAGGGAACGGAGACCACCTGAGTAGATCGTGTGTATCGAAGAGTCTTTACCAAGGTTGGAAAGAGGTCTCAAGACAAAAGAGAGCGCGTGAGGGCAAAGGCAATGGTCAAGCGGGGACACATATGTGAACTTAGGAGTATCACATCCAAGTTACCGACTGAGTACTAGAATGATTAATCTACCCTTGTTGGTTCAGTGTTTGGAAAGTAATCAATCCACCCACGGATCGGCATTCGCCCTCCTGATCCAGCGGGGGCTGGGGAGACTTATCGGCTACGGCAGCCGATAAGCTTGACAAGCAGCATGCGTATGAACTGTAACAAGGCCACTACGCTATAGGATTATCGAGGAGACCATCATTCAGACTGGGGTTCGAAAAGAGACACAGAGTTGGTAGCCTACTAGGAGCGTCGTATATTCAGATGATCGGAGCGATCAGCTCACTAATGAAGATCGTTCCTGGAAGCTCTTATCGGCGTCTCTCCGGGCAGCTGCCCGCGTCGGGTCGATTCAGGCACATCAATGCATCATATAACCTATCTAGCCCCAGAATCAACGTGAACTTTGGATTGACGGAGACCTTCAGTACGGCGCCGTTGACCGGGAGAACTCCCCAGACACCTGAAGATGGCTGTCCAAAGCAAGCATGGCCTTCACTTCGAGTAAGAAAAGCCATGGCCAATATTTATCACATAGAGAAGACGAGAATGGCTCATCCAGACGAGGCATCATCTCATAAAAAAACCTCACAAGAGAAAAAAAAGGAACAAAAAATGAAAGTTTGTCAATGATTGCACACGAGGCTGGGAGGGAGCTGGAGCGAAGAAGCCAGGTGACCTGGTCCTGCTCTCCAACCCAAAGCATCAACACTAGCGGCAACAACAGATACAGGAGATACGAAGGAAAGTGAGGAAAAAGTCACCCTGGTGGGGCAGACCATCGTAAAAGCACAGTTTCAGAATTCAATCGTGGGGCAGCGTACCGTCATTCCAAATAACATCACAGGCGAGTCGATGCGAGACGCGGTCGGCTGTTTCTACACGTTCTTGTAAAGCAACAGCGGCTCGCCAATGTTCTCGATCTCTGGAATGGTACATTTGAGGTCAAAGGCCTTGGCCAGGACAATTTTGAAGATCTGAGAGCCGTTAGCCAAGTCTTTTGAGGAGATAACAAGAGGATCGATGTCAGACCTTTTGCACGTTGATGCTGTGACTAGTGCTGCTGAAGATCAAGCTGGCCTTCATGGCCTTCGCAAATCGTTTGGCCTGGAAAGATGTTCATTTAGCCCCTGAGACACCCCTCCACCCCCTTCCACAGTGACTGTGCATCATCTGAACATACCTGAAGAGATATCTCCTCTTGATCCTCCCGTGGGAAATTAACGAAATGGTCATACTTGGTACCGACCAGAAATGGAATGGCAGTCTTGTTGAAGCCTCGTCCTTGACGATACCATTCCTTGATTGAATTCAAGGTGCTTTTGCGGGTGAGATCAAACATGAACAGAATGGCCACAGCGTCATTGCAAACCAGCGGTAGCATGTTGACAAATTCGCGTTGGCCACCGAGATCCCAGATTGAAAAGGTGATTTCAGTGTTACGGATGGAGATGGTTTTCTCCATGAAATTGACACCTGGCACAAGTCAGTTGAACTGGATAATAAGTACGCCACTCAGTTAAGCTCTCACCAAGGGTCTGAATGTAATCCTCATCCCAGCTTCCCTCGACATATTTGACCATCAGACTCGTTTTCCCGATCTGAGCATCTCCCACCATGCCGACCTTGATAACAACGCTATTCTTTGATGACGATGCCGCCTGTCGCTGTGAAGAGTCCGCGGGTTGGGGTTGTTGGGCCACACTTTGTCGCTCAGGACCGCTGGAAAAGCCAGAACTGGGCCGATGGTGATGGTGAGACTGAGTATGGTGGCTGACCGAAGGGGAAGAGGTGAGGCGAGCGGACGCATCGGCATCTTCATGCGTGAATTCCGGAGCTGAGTGATGAAAGTCCGTTGACCGGGAGTGATAGTGTGCCTTGGAGTCACTGTTGTAACCATTGTCAATGCCCTCACGACCATCTGTTTGATCGATGGGGTTGGATTCCTCCACATTAACATGAACAGGCGCCGGCGCCGAGTCATCCATGGTCTGCTGCTCAGATTGAAGGGGCTCCTGTGGTACTGGCGCCTCGGTCACTGGGGCTTCCTCTGAAGCATGGGGGGGCTCCTGATCCGCAGGGAGCCCCGATGCAGAATCGTGCGGCTGATCCATGAGGAGTGATGAAGAAAGACGAGAGCGCGAATGAGGACTTGACGTCAAGTGACAGACAGTTCAGTGTCACTGCTGAGGCTGTGAACAAGGGTGCAAGCTCCCTCGATGGCAGAGAGCAGCCCGCTGTCAGTTCTTGCGGGGAAAGGAGATCGTTGCGGGAAAGTTTATCCACAAGCTTTGGCGTGTGGCCGCAACGCCTCAAGTCCTATCAGTCAAGCCGATCTAATCGCAACTTGTGTGTTGTGAATGCACTGTTTCCTTGGGAGACGGAATAAAAATCTGAGCGGCGAGGGATTGGCGCGATACGAGAGAATGACTGACGTGGTGGCTGAGTGTAAACAGCGCGATAGAACCGGGTCGGCGTACTTGCGACTGGAGAAGAGGTTGGAGGGGGAAGCCAAGGTGCGCGAGATCGCCAGCCCCAGGATCAACAGGGGAGCGATTAACAGCAGGGAAAGCGAAAGCCTGTTGCGCTGGGTTGGTGAAGTTGGACACGGAATTAGAGCAGAAGTTGAAAGGTCAATCTCAATCAGGTCCAGTCGTCAACACAGACGGAGTCTCCGAGTGGCCGCCCTCAGCCAGCTGTGGTTCAGCTTCTCCTCGTCGACGTGCGGAACTGCGGGATCTGCGCTATACCGCGATAGGCCTAGCGTTCTGGTCCCGCGCCGTGCCCAAAATTTACCGCCAAAAAAAAAGTTCTTATCGGCCATTTCCCCTCCACTTGGAAGATTGTCTCTGCCCAAGACAATCGTTCAATTGCAACAATCATACACAAGATGTCCAAGAGATCGGCGGATGCTGCGGACGAGCAGTCGGCTGCGCTGAAGGCCGGCGAGCGCCCAATGGTCGACGCGCCCGCGGACGAGGTGGGCGAGTTTGAGGATGAGTTCGAAGACGAATTCGAGAGCGAGGACGAGATACTCGAAGCGGGTGTCGATGGTCGCCCCGATGCTGAACGGGAGGAGGAAGAGCGAGGTGAGTCTGAGTTATTGCCGATTGAGCGAGGGGATTTGGATGCCCCGGCAAAAGACAGTACCTAATTTGCGGTTGGAACGTGATATAGAGGCTATGGATGTCGACAAACAGACCTTCATTCCTGGACGGACGAAATTGGCACCCGGAGAGACCCTCTCGCCCGACCCCTCCACGTACGATATGTTGCACACGCTGAGCGCGCCTTGGCCTTGTCTGTCTTTTGACATTGTGCGCGACTCGCTCGGTGATAACCGAAAGACTTTCCCCGCCACAGTCTATGCGGTTGCAGGTACACAGGCCGAGGGCTCTCGCGCCAAGGACAACGAATTGATGGTTCTCAAGATGAGCAGCCTGAGCAAGATGGAGCGGGAAGGAGAAGAGTCTGACGAGGAGTCCGACTCCGACGACGATATGGGCGAGCCCATTCTCGAGCACAAGTCGATCCCTCTGGGCTCAACGACCAACCGCATTCGCTGCCACCAGACTCCGTCACAGTCGGCCGATTACTCCAAACCTCCGCAGACCTTGACTGCGACCATGCTCGAAAATTCCCAGGTTCTCATTCACGACGTCACAGCCCATCTCGCCAGCTTCGATGTCCCCGGAACAGTCCTGCCTCCCTCAGCCTCCAAGCCTCTGTCTACGCTTCGCATGCACAAGGCCGAGGGCTATGCCCTGGACTGGTCACCACTGCAGCCCCTCGGTAAACTCCTGACTGGTGACAACGACGGACTGATCTATGTGACAACGCGGACTGAAGGTGGAGGCTGGGTGACGGACAACCGACCTTTCACCGGCCATCAATCGTCTGTGGAGGAGCTCCAGTGGTCACCAAACGAGAAAAACGTATTCGCGTCTGCCAGCAGTGATGGTAGTGTCAAGGTCTGGGATGTGCGTTCCAAGTCTCGGAAGCCGGCTGTAGACGTGCACATTTCGAATACCGATGTCAACGTCATGAGCTGGTCGAATCAGACCTTCCATCTGCTGGCAACCGGTGCAGACGATGGGCAATGGGCGGTCTGGGACTTGCGCCACTGGAAACCCAACAACGCCGGGCGAATCCGTGCCTCGCCGGTGGCCTCGTTCGACTTTCACAAGGAGCCGGTCACCAGTATCGAGTGGCACCCGACGGACGACAGTGTTGTGGCAGTTGGATCTGCTGACAATACCGTCACTCTGTGGGATCTGGCTGTCGAGCTGGATGATGAAGAGTCTCGACAGGCAGGAATGGCGGATATTCCCCCACAGCTTCTCTTCGTTCACTACATGGAGTCAGTCAAGGAGGTGCATTGGCAGAAGCAGATGCCGGGTACGCTTATGGCAACTGGTGGTAATGGCTTCAGGTATGGGTCACATTTTGTTCTGTCTTCTACGTTGACGCAATTGATACTGACATTGTTCTTTCTCTTTTCTTCGCAGTGTTTTCAAGACTATCAGTGTCTAGCCGGACTGGCTCGCCCTGATTGCGCCAGTTTTTTCCGTTTTCCACAAAACGAATTAGTCACCTTATTAAGGCCTTCATGTGTGATGTTATCTACATATACCACGTGCGTCGAGCGTTGTTTTGACTCGACTCCACATACCCCGGAGAGATTTAGCTCCATGACTGCTATCTGCATCGATGCCTGGGCAAATGAATGAAACGACTACTCTGTTGAGTCTTCTTGTCCATATATTCCTTTCGGCGGGCGCCCGGCAAATAGAAACCATCTGGGACAATGAGAAATATACCTTCGTCATACCAGATGTACAAAGGAGATAAGAGAGTATCATGTTTCCTTCCCTAGCCTTGATGTTTCAGTACTGGCAATGGAGAAGGATCTGATTGTAGGTCGAAAAGATTCAGCTCATCCTTTCCAGTCGACACTATCTTCTCTTCGAATGAAGTGCTGTTTGAATCCCCGCAAAGATGCCCAGTGACTTCTCGCTCCCTTCGTTCCCCCAGCCTAGACTTGGAAGGTGACAAGCCCTCCGTTTATCACGAGCTATACTTGGCGAGCAACTCATCTTCGACCTTGGGACTCAGCTCTCAACCTGTGCCCCATCCTCGCTGACGTGCCTGGAGATCGGACATCCTGCCATCCCGAGCATTTTCACGTGCAAGAAATAGATATCACCCCGGGTAGCTGAGTAGGCTGAGTAGGTGGCAAGGTGATCAGCTGAGAGAGGAACGTTACTACTGGCGCGATCTCATTTGGCCTTTTTGCACATCATTCCTATCCAGGGTACCCGTGTCTCTTGTCTCGCGCTCCTTTGCCATTGAGACGAATCGACCGGGCTCGTGAACTTTCTCCAATAGTGCTGTGCATGAGAGGATGTCTTTCCCACAGGGTCACAGTCAAGCGCCCGATGGCTCGTTACTTCATGGACCGGCAGATTAGTTATGAAGGGTGTACGCGCAATATCGAATTCGTGCGTTTTGAAGTTATACGCTTCTGGAATTGCGCTGTAGATTTATACGTACAGTTGAGTAGTATAACGCTCGGGCAACCACTCCAAAGGCCTAGGAGTCCTAGAATATCCACTTTTCACTCCCAGACTTATTCAGTCTACTGGACGAGAGGATACCTTGGTGATCTACTCGATGATAGGTAGCGGGAAAGGACGTGTTCACAGCTACCTCTGGAGTAGCAAGAGTTAAAAATGATTCCTTCCAGTTCTCGGGCTTCTCCAACGACATCAGCGTAGTCGTAAGATAGTCATCACCAAGAGCGGTTCACAGCCACCCAGGCCAGCCCAGTGGCGATTGAGCGATGATGACTGCCGGATCACGCGTGTCCATAACCTCCTTTGCCGGTGCAGTGGTGGTATTGCCCACGCACTCACGATCACGGAGCACGGGCCACCAACGTATTACCCTGATGGATACAGTTATACAGTATGATCCGGCGTACGCCCTCCGTAATGTACAGTTGTACATGAGCGCGGCCCTCGATACCACTAATGCAAGACGAGAAAAACCGGTCAACATACGGCAGGTCCGCCTCCTCAGATCGCGCTGCTCTCGCCGTCTCCAACGCCTGCACGTTCCGTGGCTGCTCATGCACTGCGACCGACTAGAGTTCATCGTCCTGCAGTGGTCTCAGAGCTAAGCCCAATTCGCCGGTCGGCCTTTCTCCGGGGCAAATCAACCCAGGCGATCACGGGGTTTGATTTCCTCTGACAGTCGCGGTGCACTGGAAGGTTGGGGCACGGATGAGATACAAAGTACTTGAGAGTTGATACACGAAGAGTGATCCTCCTCCGACCTCGACAGTCGGCTTCTAGAATCGAGTTCCAAACACGGCGTACCTGGAAGGTCCTCGATGGCACAGACCACTCTTATCGCTCCAGGGCCACCCGGACGGGGGAATTTCCGGCGCAGCGCTGGAGGTGCTTGCTGCAGGACATCGTAGCAGCACCACCGTCGTCGTGAGGTTCAAGCGCCGCAGGTGAGTAGTTAGTAGTTAGTAGGTATTAGGTACTAGGTACCAGTCAGCACTCTTACTACTAGGACTTGCTTAGACATCGTAGACACGGACAGTAGAGTCTTGGTCGAGACCATCAGAAGAGCAAACTGTTCGACAAGCCCATACGTGACGACCTGACGAAAAAGACGAGACGTCCCCCGGGCACACTGTCTCAGGGTCTCTCTTTGGGAACCGTCACGGACTCAAGATGGCTGGTATCCAGGTCGGGGTATTCGGGTGATGCCTCGAGGCCCAGAAACGCCGGTTGAGCTCAGCTATCTTGCGCCGGCGCGGTCCAGTCCGTCTGCACTTGGAGGCGGGCCCACTGGCTTCGATTTGTGGAGTCATTTTGGAGTCACCCATTGAGTCAGAGTATCCGTCCCGCGACGACTGTGGGTGATGTTACATTGGACGGAATTAGCGCTCGGTCGAGGACAGATGATTTGCATCGATTGCAATGGAGGCTCCTATGCCTGCCCGGGAGCGCGTAGACTGTATGCTGTATAGTGTTATAGTGTTGACTGTTGACTGTTGACTGTTGAGACCGATGGCAGAAGGGGCGAATAGGGAACTATATCCAATATATCCATCATCATCCCAAAGAGACCGGGCCTCTTACGGCGTAATCAACATATGAACAGGGCATATTTGACCGGCGCTGAGTTGAATCAGTCCTTCAGAGAGGATCCGTGGCAGAGTCCCCCCCCCCCTGGCAGACTCGTACTGGATCATTTCATGCATCGTGCATCCCACTAAGACGGAACTTGCCACCACCAAATCGTCTATAGGCACTGGTAGTCATTCCAACGCTGCGAGTAGATTTGCGCCCAAGATCATTCATCCGATCAACCAATGCGACAGTAGGACATGACATGCTGCCTCGCTAAGAGAAATGAAATTCAGATTGCATGTTCAGTACAATCTTATGACTCTGCCGGTTCAATGAATTACATACCGTAGGCTCTTCACATTTCCCTCGATCTATTTTTATCTATCGATCATCTTCGCAGGACCAAGATCTTTCATATCATCGCGCGGCGCGAATCCTATCATCCTTCGGCTGCCAGGTGTCCATTTCATCGGTTGCGACTCACTAGAGCCGGTCATGTGTGTAGCATCCGGCAGGGACCCTTCCAAAAGTATGTACTTTCAAGGGAAGATCCATGCGTGTCATGTCTTCTTCCAGAACCCTTTTTTTTCCCATTGCAGATCCCCCCGCCACGGTGAAGTGCTACCCACGATCATCCTCGTACCAGGGTGATCACGTCACATATGGTGAAGCCTCCACTGGTCATTGAGACAAGAAGCCACATCATCTGACGATCAAGCTGTGGAGGTCATCATTTTACCTGAACGAATAACACCCGGGGCCAGATACTTTTGGGCCCTCGGTGGAAAACTTCTCTAGTTGCTATTCAATCTGGAGGTAAGGTTGGACGGAAAGCTCCGTCAATATAACGGACTGGAAGGGTGCGGCTCCTGTACAGGACTTGGCATCGACGCCTGGAAGACGGGAGGCTACCTTACCACCGACCCTTAGGGTTGTGATGAAGTCTTTGAGTAGATTCCAAGATTGACCCACTGCACATCTTCAAGCTGAATGACCAACGTTGGAAGGATTCACAACAGACACACATACTGGCCAACAACGCGCGGAAGTCTGCGCATCACAAAGGGTGTCATCGAGCGATCGACTGCAGGAATGTCTCTAATTTGGATCGCATCTTGCCACCCGAGTCCCTTCCACGAAGCTCAAGGAATCTACTGATGCACATGCATGCTGCAAATATATCCACTCGAAATGTGGCTCTATGGGGAACACACCGAGAGCCCAGTGACATTGCCTCAACACCCCGTCGAGTAGGGGGACTCAACGCTACCAAATTGCCAGACATGGATCGAATATACCTGGGCGGCTGCCCCCGTTACAAAGGACCGTCGTTCTAGTTGGATGCTGGCCGGCTGTCACGCGTTCAACGCCCTCGGGCTGCATGATACATGGATGGATGTGCTGTCCATCGAATGGGCCGTAACCGTTCGAGTCATCCATTGGCGAGATGGCCTCTCCGACCTCTGTAGATCATCCTATCTAGCTCCGGTATGCGGTCCACGTGCATTCAGGTCTCTTCTTGAATACACAACCTCGGCGCGAACATGTTATTTACGTGATACTCAAGCAAGAGAGGGCCTTGCGTTCCAGACCTCTGTGCGATGAAGATAGGGATCATCTCTGCAAGCAAGCTGCAATGGGACCAGTCCAGGGGTCGATCAGACGAGAGGGCATGGAAATCAGGACAGGATAGTTGAAGCCTTCCGATTGGGGTTGAAACAGACACCAGCGTCTCTCATTGGGAGAAGGATAACTTTCTGTGCCACAATAGTATGTAGACCTCCAATAGCCACTGCTTCGCGAAAGCACTGTGCTGGTGTGCTCAGTGCTGTACTATGCGACTCCTTCCCAGGTTTTAATTTGGTGCCTTTTCAGCCGTCTGACATGAAACTCGCCTCGTAAGTTACTACCTAACAGGTAGAACCTGTTATGCGGAACAAGTCCGATTCTGTCGGTGCTCATGAACCATGCACAGACCACAGCGTGATCGCATCTTACAACTGACTTTCCTCACAAAGTATGGCATGTAGTAGCTACTAGCTAGTAGCTACTAGCTAGTAGCTACTAGCTACAGGGCACGGACTCGAATTGACGGCACTGCACCGGAGAATTGCTCAGACCCTGCTTGCTCATCATGCAGTTTCATCGCCTGACCAGATGAATCAGCCGCAGCAGACTTTCTTCGGTGATGCATCACAGCATCATAAGGTGAAATGGATGCAGCGAGATACATTGTACTCGGCTGCGGCGTCTAGGAGAATCTCCCTGCCGAAATTGCAGGCCTGCAAGCCCTATGGTTTGAAACAAGAGCTTGATACAGAACGGGTTCACAGTGACCACTTGGCAGCGGGCACCTGCATACTTCAAAGCTATCGGAGCTTACACAACAGGGGAGGCATTGATAGAAACCTCTTCCTACCTAGGCTTTGGATGGTGTATTTGGTACCGCGCTCTCGAAAGTGCAACCGAGTCGCAATGAAAGTCTTTGAGGGTCCGAAATAGCTTAAAGTTAGAATGCTCGGCCTCGATTGACTGTAAGAGAATATATGGGGCCGATTGATGGCTTTTGCGAATGAAGGCTGTCTACTTCGAAACTGTGATTATCACGTTGATGCAATTGAAGGAGGGCTGTCAATAGCGCTCAATGTATCGGGCGTAGTTCCCGCGCGCTCTCGGATCACAACATCTAGTTACCGGGGCGAGGCCTCGTTTCGTTGAAATTATTGCCGAGGATTTCTGACCACTTAAACCGTACTGTGCAAAGTCAATGTTCTTCAAGAAAGAAGTTCAAAGTTCAGAGTTGTACTGTTCTCGATCCACCATTGTCCAATAAGTAGACATACCGTTAACTGCTAGAAGAGCGGCTGAAATACCCAACTACCTAGACCACGGGATTTTATTGATGAGTCTCAATTTCATCACCTGGTGGTACATGATCAATTAAGAAGACTGATAATGCGTGCCTGTGTCAGGGGAGCATAAATTACCAAAGCGATGCAGAAGTATTATGGTGGGGAAAAAAAAACAACACATCGATCAAACGCTATGACCAGTCCATGGATATAACGAACAGATGGATAGATTTATGGATTCGTTCGAACAAGTTATGACTTCGCAGCAGACCAAGCCAGTGCCCCGAGGGGCCGCCAGTACATTGGTCATGTGAGGTCATGTGGTGAGACAACCATTTCAGCACCATCGCAGCGACTTGACAGCCTTTCACTGCGCCCGTTGTGGGCAGCACTGGTGAAACAGTTGTCTGAGCCGGCGTGGGACCTGTGCCTCAGCTGCAGGATCAGAGGTGGGACCCATCGTATTCTCGACTTTCCAGACCTCAGTCGAGTCATTCCACGCACTTTCCCTCTGTCGCAGCTTACCCTCATGCAGCTTCGGCTCACGCTTGTCCTTCCCTCATTCGCTCCTTGACCGTATATTCATGCATTTAAGGGGCTGGAGTCACTCCGGATTACCTGCAGCACAGGCCATAGCAACACACGGGCCTCGATCGGTCCCCAGTCCAAGCTCTTCTGAACAAAGTCTGAGGACAGAAGACCAAGGCGATGGAACCAATTTGCAGCTACTACTGATGCCATGTTGACGATGCCCACATCGTACTGCGGAAGTAGCTCGATCCATGTGAGAACTTGAATGATCATACCGCTGCCATTCTGCTCGCAAGATCGAACAGCATGACTGTGTGTATGAGGCGGCAGAGTGACCTCTCTGCATACTTCATCCAGCGTGATCATGGCCAATCCGCGAGGCTTACAGATGCTCGTACCACTCGCCAAGGGGCTGATGCGAGCGGCAATCACAGCTTGGTCCGCTTCATCGAAGTTTTCCTTCCCTTTCTTCACTGGGAGTCCCTATTACTGTGGCTGAGATCAAAGACCCGAGCCCAAGAGGCATTGGAAAGACCCGATGGGCCTCCGCTGTCGGCACACGCTTCCAGAAAATGTTGGGAAAGACCACAGAGTTCAGGGCCAAAGGGCGCTTGGGGGCCCACCGAGAGGAAGGTGGAAAGAAGAATACACAGGCGGCTGCGCAAAGGCCAGTTACAGTAGGACCCAAGCGCCCATACGACAAGGCAGATCGAACGGACCCAATCGTACGTGAATAGTGGCGAGTGTGACTGGTGACTCGGATGGCGAATCCTCTCGTATTGTTTTTCTCACCCGTGCCGCATGCATCGTCGTGGATTTCCTCGTGCCTGTTACCCATGGAACGGCCACCAGCTTACTGGTCTTGAGAGAGGCGAGCATCTACTCTCTAGTCCATACTCCATACAGCATCTTCCCTTCGCCACGTTAATGGTCTTCCCTTGGGTCGTCTTCCCGTTGCGACCGCTGAGCATTCCGCCTACCCCCCCCCCCCCCCCCCCCCCCCAAATTTATCAGGACCGTGGAAGAAGATCCGGCTGTGGGGAAAAGGAGCAAATCATTGTCGGCGACGCCCTTGGTGCGACATCCAGATTACCCCGGATTTGGGGACGAATGCCCTCGTTCTCCTGTCTCGCTCCCGCTTAAAGCCTGAGCCTTTTCCAGTATGGCCCCAGCGCCAGTGCCAGCGCCAGCGTCTGTGCCGTGCTTGATGGCTTGGTGGCTCGGCGATTCGGTTGTAGTCATGCTGACCAATTACCCACGGCCATCCTGAATTCATTCGAAGTCCCTCACCGGACCTTTAAACTTCCATGGCCTTGGGAGGCTGTAGACGTTCATTGGCGACGCACTTCTATTGCTTCCATTCCTCTCGTGGGCCTCCCAGGAAAATCCCCCACACCCGCCTTCTCTGGTCGTCGTCTTCCCCCACAAAAATGGCGCATGGTCCCTCCCCGATTCAAGATGGCCCAGGCACTTTTTGAGTGAAATCATCCGTCCATTGGATATTTTGCGTTGCTGGTGGAACTTGGTGGATCACGATGGGTGCCTGGCCACTTTGGCTGCTGGACGCGGACTGCTCGACCCGCTCCCCTGGTCGGGCTAGTGAATGACCGAAGGTCCTAGCGAAGGAAGTTGAGCCGGTCGCATTAGGATTATCAATATGGGACTTTCGATAACTCCATGCGAGTCTGCGCCCTTTTTCCCTTTTCTGGGTACCTGGTCAGGTTGAAATGATCGTGAGCCAGCTCAAAGTGTGATCGATGATGATCAAGATTGTTGACCTGTAATTAGGGCGGCACTACTACTGTAGTCCCTCGTTGCCGATCAGGACCGTGTTGCAGTCACGCGCAAACTTGATAATAAACCCCACAGGCTTGATCACCAATGCTGGCAGTCACGTCTCTTCAGACGTCAACTTGAGACGGACATTTCGACATGAGGCACAGAGCAATCGCAGACCTGTAGGGTGCAAAGTAGGTCCGACTGTCTGTGTAGAAGTTCGCTCAGGACCATGTAATATCGTGATCGTCCAAGGATTTCACAGTACGACCTCCGATGCCTCATATTCGTCAGGGACTCGAGTGAGCTGTGATGGTCGCAATCTCGCAGATGTCCAATATTGGTAGTCCTGGGCATGGCTGGAGGTCTAGAAGGGTTCCACTACTGCTTTAGTGACCCTCTGTGAGCTCGACACACGGGGCATTTTACTGTGCCAGAGCCACAATCGCAGCTTTCCAGTATGGCTCAGACACAGGCTGCATCAGCATGACATTTGATGCGCTAGATGATCCGCTTTACAGCCCGGGAGGTATTCAGAATTTCAGACGGATCTACGCAGAATAGACCCGTGGTGTTCTCTGGCAACGTCGTCTCAGGACATCCACATTCTCCTTCTGTCTTTTAATCTGATGTCAAAGGTGGATGTCCATCTGTTTCAGTCCAATGAGGTAGTGGGACCGAGATCGCAACGTCGGCACCCAGCCATTCCTTTCTGATTGTACAATCTGAATGGATCGGGTCAATCCAGTGACACATTATTTTCCAAGTTTGACCTATTCTTGTCATTGTTTGCCGCCCGTATCTTTCAGTAGTATGTCTTATCATGGCACTCCACTGAGTCCACTCTGGGACTCTCCATACTCCATAGAAGTTAGTACCGTAGTAGTAGTGGCTTGTTTCATTGATTCGGCGGGTCATCTACCGTTTAATTGATCGTCTTTGCCTCGGTACGGTTGCAGAGCATATTACGGCAGTACGCCAGTTGGCGGTTAGTACATAACTCGGTCGTACAGTAGTAAGTTGTAAGAAGGTGCAGGTTACATAGTGCGTCACTGCGTAGTCAGTAGTGTGTACCGTGCAATGTACATATGCTATATGTCGCAGTCGTCTAGTCAAGTATCATCGTGTCTACACAGCGCGGTAATATGATATTTCGACTAATATGAAGCAACGTGTATGGTGTAATAGGCAGTTATGCAGCTATGCACTATACAGTGATACACTATAAATATACAGTATGTATATCTGGAACCTAGAATATTGTACGATTGTAAATTACTACATACATTCCGCCGTACCTACTACTGTACATAAGTACTGTGTAATGTGTATAGAAGGAATGCAATTCTGTTCACCCGATATTCCCAAGCTCCTCTTCTCATGAATAGAATATACGTATATTGGAGTATTGCATGATGATGTCGGCTTCGACCTGTATATAATGAATGTCGTAGCTTCCTACGCCTGGCCAGAAGGTGCTACATCAGTATCGTGCTATATTATACAGCGGGCACCTAGGGACCAACCTCAGCTTGACCCGACAGGCCGAATATCATTGTATTTATTTAGGTTCCGGTTCACCTTTCTTTCTACCTTCCAAATAGAAGAACAATGCTTTTGTGGCCTCGTGCCTTATGGTACCGAAGAATATCTGGCGCCACTACCGCCTCATCACTTGATTATGCGACCGATGTTTCTTCAAACCAACACCCACTGGAACTCTATCGCCCGAGAGCTGGTGGATGGGGATGGAACTGCCTCTCAACTAGGAAGCCGGTGATTAGATTAGAACCGCCCGATACACCGATACAATACTGTACGACCTGTGCGAGGCGGCTGGGATGGCACTCTACGCCGAGTTCGGAAATCTGGGGGGCCCATCGCTCTGCATTGGCCATTCAGCGTTGTCCATCCAGGCGCACCTGAGAGGCACATTGATTGATCCTGAATGGCTCTGGCCAGGTCTGGGCTGGTTAAGTCGACAATCGACGCTCGTCAATTGGCTCGGTGTACCGTGAGTCCGTGGACTGGGTTCCACCTTGATGGGATCTACCGTAGAGTGATTGTATTTGACAGTGTAATACTGTCCCAGTGTATTAAGGTCTTACAGTGTAACAGGCTAACAGCACATGTGTCATGATGTGTGCATTCATTGTTCACTGTATAGAGGTTCAAATCATCTAATGCTCACCACTTCATACGCCAAATGCATCTGGTTAAATAAAAAAGCTGGAGATCTGCTTCATGCCATGGCGTCCATTGAACCAAAGTGTATAGACCATAGAGTATGACCAAATGTATATAAATACGAGGATGAACTGACGCTATGAGCTCCAAGTTCCTTCACCGGGCATCCATCAATCCGGTGTGTAATCGTGTATCATGCGGTTTTCTCTAGTCGAAATCAGGTTCTTTTATATGAGGCTGTCAATACTGAATAGTGAAAACAGTACCTGCGGTAGGCCTAGGGTCTTTACCCAGGTAAGGTATAGTCTGAGTATCATATCGGAAAAGTTTCCCGTCGATCTACTGCTAGCAACTGCCAACCATAAGGGATCCCCCGGAGGTGATACACAGCATGCAGAACATAGGTACTGATGTTGATCCTACTAAATTCAATCTCCAATGAAGGTCCGGTAGTCTTGTGTTTCAAGGCTGGAATGTGTGGATAGCCAAAGTCCCTCTGCTCTACAAGTGGACATAACTTTTTCCTGCAATGCGGCACCGTTGGTAGTGGTAGTAGTAGTATGCAAACTGCAAAGTGTGCATAGCTGCGTAGTCGTACTGCCACATCCCGCCTTCTCAGCGGTGGATCCCAAGCACAACGTCCAATAAGACCAGTGACCGGTCGATGAAGCCGGAAGAAGACTACTACCCGACCGTTCTTTCGTTACCAATCCATAAAACGGTATGAGCTATACGGTCCGGCCGGACAACACCACGTTCCCTACGCTAAACTCCGTCGGGAGGCCTTGGCTCGGTCAGCTCCCTTTGTACCAAGGAGAGAGAGGTACGTACCGCTGCCCCCCGTGGAAGAACCCCAACGGCGAATACGCCGAGTACTTAGGTACATGGACGGCCAGCCAAGTACTGCTCCTGTGATCGCTCTTCGGAGGCAACTGACAATTCGGACCACTTCGCTCACCTTTCACTTTCTTCATACATGTTTGCCCCCCGAACCATTCTCAATCTCAACCCTCTCTTCGACAGTTCTCTCCTTCTAGAGTTCTCATATCTTTCACTCCTTGCGCGGTCGATCTCGCTTCTCTGCAGTCACCCGCGTGTTCGGTTATCTCCGGCGTCTCCAATTGCCCCATGCTTCTGCTCCCCGTGGTGATCATACATCTTCAGTGGAACGAGGACGAGCGCACGCTATCGCGAAACTTGTAGATGGGCGCTGGTCAACCTTAGACATCGCAACCAAGCTCTTACCCTCCAGTCAATCTCACAGTGAGTCGCTTTCACATCATTGCTTGCGAATGACCATCACTCTTCCCATCCTCGCAGTAGGCAGAAGGGTTCCGCCCAGTTGCCTGCCGGATGGCCCCCGAGTCCACTGCTCCCCTGCCCCTCCTACACACTGCCTTTGCCTCGTCGGAAGTGGTATGCTCTGGATCCCCTTCGAGTCATGCGAGAATGGGAAGGGAAAGAAAAGAAAGCCGTTGGAAATTCATACCATCTCGACAGGCTAACTGCACCGTCTCCCTGAATTCACTTGCGTTCCATTGCCTCGTTCCGCTCGCAATCACTCGGTGGGTCCATGTATTGTGCACTACCCCCGGCACTGCCCATGATAAGCCTCGCTCTTTACCCTGGGCTGGCCCCAACGAACGACGCCGATATGAGCGCAATTCGTTGTCCTGTCCTTTCATATCTTGTGTTTTTCACGCGCTGGGGTTCCACAAGGAATGAAGATGCTAATCTGATGTCATTGCGACCGTGTGCAGGGCCTTCATGCGACCTTTTTCCCTTCTTCTGTAACCCGATTGATCGCTACCTCTTCCCAACGACCCGCCGTTCTGGTATCCATCCAGCCGAGTGGCAAGGACGTTGCGTTGAATTCTTGCAGCTCCAATAGTTGACAGCTTTATCCCTTTCGCTCGAATACTCTCTATCTGTACACACACGACCCCGGTGCTTTGATCCCAACTGTTCGGGATCATTCGATATAATCGCCTTAGAATGTTATTAGATGCGATGGTCGGCCACGAACGAGATCAAAGTCCACAACTGGCGGACCTGGCCAGTATCAACGAACTTTCGGGAACTATGCCTGGTAAGTCATCATTTGTGATCTTGTCGACTGATTCAGTATGAGGTATATTCTTTCCAGCAAATTCTGAACTCTCTTCTCTTTATTGCCGACAGCTCCATCGAAAGACTCGAAGAAACAGACCGAAGCCAATGGCCAGACTGGTGCCAATGGCAATATCCCCCCTCCCAAAACAGACAAGCCTCGTCCCCATGTCTGTACCACATGTGGTCGGTCCTTCGCTCGTCTGGAGCACCTGAAGCGCCACGAGCGGTCCCACACCAAGGAGAAGCCGTTCGAGTGTCCGGACTGCGCGCGATGCTTTGCTCGCCGTGATCTGCTGCTTCGGCATCAGCAAAAGTTGCATATGACCACGACCCCGTCCTCCCGACCTCGCAATGGCCGCCGTGAAAGCACCGGCGCCGCTGGAGCGGGTGCCAACCGGGTGCGCAAGAACTCCACCGCGAACAATGCTGCCTCCATGCGACCTCGCGCCAACACGATCAGCCACATCAACACGAGCGCTCTTGGGCTCGCAGAGGAGGGAATCCTACCTCTGTACCTGGTCATCCGGGACACGCATATCATGCTAGTCTCAGTACATCTCTGGGCTCAAACATAGACTACAGGGGATTCAGTTCTGGTCACCCGCCAGTAAATGGCCTGCCGAAATTGGAGACATCGGGTCTCCCGATGGATATGACGGGCGCCTTGCGAACCGCCCCCGTATATGGTAGCTTTGATCTGGGAATCGATGGCATGCTCATGGGCCATGGAAGTACCATCAATCCTGCTCAATTACACTTTGCAGGTTCTCCTCACGGCTTCGGTGACTCTCCTTCATCTCCGTTCGGCCACCCCCAAAACCAGGGACTGACCCACCCGGATTCGATGATGGACGATGACATCAACTTTGATTGGATGAACGGATTCGATGCTGCTGTCGCGCTAGGAAATGGGAACGAGTCGGTCATCGATGAATCGTCTCCGTCGGCGATGAGCACAGGCAGTCAAAGTGGTATCAGCGAGGCGATGCTGGACGGTCCCAACCGCATCCCGATTTCGAATGGCTGGCACAATCCATTTCCGGGACACTCTGCGGCATCCGCCAATCAGTTCGCCATTGATTTCTCGCCCACGACCTTGAACGAACTGGGAATTCCACCTGAGACTGTATCGCCCAAGTCGCTGATGACCCAGAACCCGTTCGCAGAGGCTTATGCCACACCTCCCTCTATGACTTCGGTCGGCCAGCCCATCGTGGGAGGACATTCGCAGAGTATGTTTTCATCCTCAATGGCAACAAACGGAGAAGCTCCTAATCCTCTCAACGTTCCTTTCCCGAATAGTGCCCTACGAAATCAACATTCCACACTCTCAACGGATACATTTACAGAATCCACACGACAGGCTCTATTAGCGAGCATGTCGCAACCCACTGGCTTCAGTCACCGCAAGTATTCACAGCCCGCCTCTAGTCTTCTCAACAGCCGTGAGCTCTTTTCCCGCTCGAATGGCTTCAGCACCTCGGGTCAGCTTCCCAGCACATCGGATATGCAACGCTACATTTCCGCCTACATCATTTATTTCCACCCTCACTTGCCATTTCTCCACATTCCTACCCTCAATTTCCAGGCTCCCGAGTATACGAGCAACTTACGCACTGCGAGCGGACACCTTAATCTCAGTTCAACCGGTATTGCAGGAGGCGGTGGCTGCTTGATTCTCTCCATGGCTGCTATCGGCGCTCTATACGAAGCTGAAACAGCCTCCTCCAAAGAGCTTTTTGAAGCCGCGAAGAAGATGATCCAGTTGTATTTGGAGGAGCGTCGAAAAGCGGACATGTCAGCAGCGCTGAGTCGTTCTCACTCAGCCCGCGATAACTCTGTGCATAACACTCCTCTGTGGCTTGTGCAAGCTATGCTGCTTAACGTGATATATGGTCACGCCTGTGGTGACAAGACATCCGCCGACATTGCCAGTACACACTGTGCCGCCCTCGTGAGCCTTGCTCGTGCCGCCGAACTCACGCATCACCTCGATACCAAGAATCTCCCCCAAGACCACCTCTTTTCAGCATCGACCGATTCAAACTGGTGGTCCTCGTCTGCGTCGGCTCAATCCAAAGAGCAGCGCGAATGGTTGAACTGGAAGATGATCGAGGAGCGCAAACGTACCCTTTACGCGATCTTCGTTCTGTCCAGCTTCCTCGTGTCAGCATACAACCACGCTCCAGCCCTCACCAACTCGGAGATCCGGCTTGACCTTCCCTGCGAAGAGGACCTTTGGGCTGCCGACTCGCCTCAGTCATGGAAACAGATGGGCGCTTCGTCTTCCATAAAGAGGGGCGTATCTTTCTCTGCTGCCTTGACTTCTCTCTTGACTGCGAGCCAGCGAGAACAACAAAATAAATCATCCAATCTCTTTTTCGGTGGTGGCAGCACTGATGACCCGACTAGTGCTGAGAACCGTCCCAGCACCTTTGGATGCCTTGTTCTGATCTATTCACTTCACAACTACATTTGGGAAACGAGACAAAGGCACATGGGCCGGCAATGGACCACTCAAGAAACGGAAGCTATGCAATCGCACATTGAACCGGCGTTGCGGGCTTGGCAGGCGGCATGGGCCAGCAATCCGGTGCATAGCCTTGAGCGACCTAATCCATTTGGGGCCGGTCCACTATCTGCCGATAGCATCCCGCTACTTGACCTGGCCTACGTGAGATTATTTGTTAATCTTGGTCGGTGCAAGGAGGCGTTTTGGCAACGTGATTGGAATGGCATGGCGGACGAGCTCGCTCGGGGTACAGATGTTTTCCACCAGACCGATGGGCCCCTTCATGATGTTTTGGATCCCTCGCTCATTGGACAAGGAGACATTCGGCGAGAATCGGTGACTGATCTAGGTGTTGGTGACCTCACGCTCTCGAATGCTTCGATGCACGATCAGCCTATGCAGCCTCTCTCTAACATGTACAAGGCTGGTCAGTCAAAGCGAGAGAAGCACCTTCGGAAAGCTGCGTTCTATGCGGCCGACTCCATCTCCATGTCGGACCGACTTGGGAACACTTTCGCCGAATTCTCTTCCCGTGAACTCCCGATTCAATGTGCTATGTGTGCTTTCGATTGCGCTCAGGTCTTGGCGGAATGGATCACCACCGTGCAGGAACGCGTTGGCCCTTACTTGGGCATGCTTGGTCGTGATGACATCGACCTGGCACATGTCCCGGGTGTGATGCTTCTAGAGGATGAGGATTGCAACCTCATTGACAAGATCAAGGAGATTCTTGGCAGTTTTGAAACGAAAATGCAGCGGACAGTGCAGAATAGCAACACCATGTCTGCACTGAGTGTGATGCAACGGTTACCCAGTGTGGTTGAGGGAGGATACGGGTGTAAATTATTGATTGCGACGGCCAGTCTGCTTGATCGAGCAGCAGTATGGCCTGTGACGAAGTTGATGGCACGCTCGCTAGAAGCGCAAGCGATGCGGATGAAGGAGCGTGCAGAGCAATCTTGCTCTCAAGCGATTATGATGACCTCTTAACGATGATTGTTGTTCACATCTACTACTGCTCACGAACTCTGTTAATCCCCATCCTGCCCATTCTTTCCTCATTTGTCGTACCTCTTTTGTCTTCCCTGCGATTTGTCTGGATTTAAGTCACTAGGTGTTTGGTTTCGATATGACTGCTTTCCTTCTTCAGGAGGAGGGCAGGAGCAGGAGCCGGAGCCGGAGCAGCAAGGCCTGTCTCGGCCTCTCCTGCTCTAACCCCCCAGTTTGTCTGATTGATGCGTGTCTGCATTCTGCGTTGTTTCTTTCTTATCATCTGCATGCCCGGTACGAACACAGTATGTGTGATCTCATGTCTTAACACCACGCCTCCGCTTCGATATTGATACGATACCCCGATCAATTACTTCCATAGACGAAATGCAATACATTACCTGAGAAATTTTCGTGCCCCTTGAAGCTCCAGAAGATATGCTGATACTAGAATATCGTAGTGTTTCCTTAGTACATAAATGATTTGTTTAGAAATTCAGACTATGTCCGTCCATACCCACTATTCGATCAATTGTGATGAGTGTTCACGCCCCCGAGTCAACTCGAGTCTTGATGACCTAGCATTTTCTTGATAATCTGGTTTCGTCGTCATTCAAGTTTCTTTGGTCAAATGGTCTTGTGCGTGTACATAGTGCACACCGTGAAGGAAAAACCCATTGTGTCTTCGTGCTTGAGTGCTTGCCACGATGTTGTAGAAGACTGCCTTCCCAGCCTGCAGTCCGATGTTGATCCGTCACAGTGGCCAGTTACATAATCACCCCGCTCGTCCTCACAGTGAGCTTCAGCTCAGTACTGAGTGAGCTGAGCTGGGATGCGGCCCGCAGTTACTTAGGGCGCTTCTCACGCGTAAAGTGCCTCGCGTATTATTAGGCGCCAAATTACTCCGCGCCATCAACGTCTTTCCAGATCCCGTTCAGAAATGACGACAACGCCAAAGAGAGCCTCGGACCTGTCAGCTTCCTCGCCGTATGTCTCTGCCACGGCTGATTACCCGCTTCGCATGACCTCGAAGCGCTTTGTTCGACAAACACAACCTCGATGCCATATCCGCGGCCTGTCTCGCCATGCAGCCTCGAGACGTGCGAACCCTCCGCGGACGATGTGATCGGCGGAGATTTGCCGGCGTCGGACGACGAGCTGAACCATTCTGAACGTGCTGCCAAATACCAACGAATTGAAAAGCTGGCAGAGTCATATCTCCATGGCCGGCCACTGTTTATATTATCCGCGTCCTTGAAAGGTCCCTTCGATCGAAGCTGGACGAATCCATGGAAAAAGGACAGACGCTCCATCGGTAATCGAAAGGCCGACAAGGGGGGGACCAGCTCCCGAGCAACGGCCGGCCCCGTGGTGCAAGAAACTGTTTCGCGCCAGGAAAAGCGCCGCGAAGAAACCGCAACAGCAGAGCCGATCACGAGTCCCCCAGCCAGTTCGCATACTGCGGTCCCTATACCTCTTCCAAGTACGTCAGATCACAAACACAAGCTCTCGGCCCGCAAACGATCCCGGCAAGTGCCCGCAGACGATGAAGCACCGCGAACCACGCTTCGTGCTAGCAAGAGACAGAAAGAGACGACCATGTCGCAAACGGCTGGACCGTCATCCAGTCTTGGTGACAGTAAGGACTGGCTGAAGAAAGATCGCAGGCGCATTAATTTTACACAGTTTGAGCCTCCCAGTTCCCCGACATCAAAAGTTGCATCTCGGCAGACAGAGGTTAAGGCTAGAGCGAACGTGTCGCGGACCATGAATGTGCGAGGCTCTGCGACCCCTTTGCGGAGTAGAGGAACAAGTATGCAACCAGCGAGTGATGCAACCGATCGAGAGGGATTGGTGATAAGTTCTGTCAATGTCCCCGACCCCACGGGCCTACAACAGGCCTCGGCCAGGCAGAGCCCGGCTCTGTTGACTACCGAAAGGGGATCACTCACAGAGCCCAGTTTAAGCAGCAATGCATTCTCCCCCGCCGACATGGCAGCATCGTTTCGCGTTGTTTCATCGACCTCTCAATTACCGCGCTTTGAGTATCGAAGATGGCCTCAAGAGGTCACGGATGCGAAGATGAAGAAAGACGATGCTGCTCATCACTCCTCTCAAGCTCCTCCGAACCCTGCTAGTAAGCAGCAGACAATCGCGGTCTCTACACTAGAAGATGATAGTAGAAGAAGAAGAAGGAGAAGCCTTCCTGTCGAGGATCCTGCCATGAGACCAAGCACAAATATGATGGGCACCTCGGACCGCGTTAGATCGCCCCAGAGAATCACCGACGAACCCGCCCAAATCCCCGAGGAATCCCCTGCTGCTGAGAGTCACGAAGGACACTCTGTTGGTCTAGGCACCGAAGCCAACGAGAAACCTGCCATTCGGCCGATCATTGTGGACCACCACGCACATCCTAAGCTGGCCGAGGACGCAGGCAGGACTTCCCGGACTGTCAATGAGCCGGAAACTTCGATGGCTCAGACGGAGCACAATACGCTTGACAACCTGCCTTTTGCTCAACATATACCGACTCACCCCGGAATATCCTACCGTATACCATCCTTGTGTTCTACAGCTTTGCCCAAACTTGATACGGCGGAAGCTCCACCAGAAAATACGGACACGCAGCTATCGACCCAGGCAGCGCTTCTGCAAGCCCAACGATCTTTTCAGGAAGACCTGGATAGCCCTGAGCCGGATTTCCCACCGCTAGCGGAACCAGAAGACACCATATTAGAGCCACACGAAGAGTCTCTTCTTGCGCGTGAGACTCCATACAACAACTCAGCCAGATTTGATCAAGCTCCTCAACGAAGTTCCGGGGTCCCTCTCAAAGAGAGGATGCAGGCCATGAGTACGCAGTATATCATAGATTCTGTGACTCCTTACACTTTCAGCACGGAGAAAAAGACAAGGCCTGCATCTGAGATCTGGTCAGGTCAACCAAAGCAACCGCCAGAGACCGAAGAGCCCCAAGGCATGCACCCTGTCCATCTTCCCCCTCATATAAACTCTTCACCTTTGAGAGACCGCAGTAACGTGGCTCCTGTCTCATCTTATACATCGGATCCTCAGGTACATCCTGTTCTCACTCACCGTTCGACCTCACAAGGAACGTTACTCCCTTTCGCTCTTAGTGGCTCGACACCAGCAACAGCTCAAGATGCGCAAGTTGCCTCGCAAGGGCCGGACAGCTTCGATCTAAGTCAGGCGATTGCCGACGCTGGTAGTTGGCTACAGCAAAGCTTCGATTTCATGAAGGAAATTGGACGTCCAAGTCAGCCTGCGAAACCATCATGACCGATCACGCAACTTTCTCTTTGAAGTATCATGGACAATTTGTATATATTTTCTTTCAATTCTTGCTACACGAGGTTTTCACAGGCATAGCGGTCTTGATCCTTCCACTGCGGTTTGACTTGCTTCAATTGAAGACTGCATTGCGTGACTTGGGCGTTTCGCATCCTATTAAATCATGTCACGATATTCATGAAATTGATTTGACGTTAGAACCTTCTTCAACAATAATGATAGACATGCACGTGCGACTGTAGGCTAGTATCAGGTATGCGAGAGGTTTTTATCTCGCGACAGTCATGACTTTCCTAATCGAACTATACGACTCTGGGGCTCTGCTCCGTCACCGCATTGCGACCCTCCACATCTTCGGCACGTGTGGCCCGAGCGCCCAGCGGGGGAAGCTCCGGTCTGGCTCGCGCAGCTCCAACTCTTAACATGAGGCGTGCCCTCTTCGCATGACCAGGATTTCCAAATGGCACTGACATCAGTATGCAAATGATGAATCCCCTCATGTGCGACCAGGGCATTGCTAACATGACGGCAGTGGAAAGCGTTCAACTTCGTCGATGTCTCCCCGGTGAAACTGTCGGAAGACAGCTCCGCACTGTTCGGGGTAAGTTTACAGTCGCTTTTCTCCAATTTCCCTCGTTTTTGATGTCCTTCTGGTTCTGACGTTCTTGACCAGAACGACTTGGCTAGTCTCTGTACTGGCTCTGCAAACCTGTTCGTCGGTACCGTGGATGGTTTCGTGCACATCGTGTCGTCGTCATTTCGAATACTGCGTTCATTCAAAGCGCATGATGTCGGGTCTATCACGCATATGAGACAGATCGCCGGGACGTCGCTGCTCGTCACAATTGCGGAAGATCTTTCAAACGAGCCGATTCTTAAAGTCTGGGCACTGGATACAGAGAGGAAGGATGGAAGCCCGAAGTGTCTGTCGACGACCTCGGTTCAGAATGCTAGGAGACAATTTCCGGTAAGATGAGACCACAGAGTGGGCGCGCGTTTATGGCGAGAATCGGTTCTAACGATCTATACCTTTCAAAGATATCCGCTGTTGGAGTTGTCGATGATCTTTCACAGGTAGCGGTCGGTTTCGCAAACGGCTCGGTAACCATAATTCGTGGCGATCTCATTCATGACCGTGGTGCGCGACAAAGAATCGTCTTTGAATCGGAGGAACCCATTACTGGACTCGAAACGCAAAATGGGGCGGTGACTGTACTCTACATTTCGACTACTAGTCGGATATTGACACTGGTGATTGCGGGTCGGGGACAAGGCCAGCCGGCTCGCGTTTTAGAGGACACTGGGTGCGCATTGGGCTGCATGACCCTTGACCGGGAAACAGGGCAGATCCTTATTGCGAGAGAAGATGCGATTTACAACTATGGGCCTCGTGGGAGGGGTCCAAGCTACGCCTTTGAGAGTCCCAAGACGTCGATCAATGCGTTCCGTGACTACGTTGCACTGGTTTGCCCGCCTAAAGCAACTTCTGCCAAAGGTGATCCGTTGCGCCGGTATGGTGTCGATCCAGCGGAGGAGATACTCGGGACTACGACGTTCACGCTTCTCGATACCGACCTCAAATTCATTGCGCATAGCGAGTCGCTTTTGTCACCAATGAAACGCATTTTTGTCGAATGGGGGGATCTATTTCTGCTGAATACTGAGGGCAAGGTTTGTCATCGCCAGTCTCCTACTCCTTGTATAGTGCTGAATGATTGGAACAGCTTTACCGGTATCGCGAGAAGAGCCTTCAGCAAAGACTTGAGATTCTCTATGAGCGCAACTTATATATCTTGGCTATCAATCTTGCGCAGAAGATCGGTATCGATCCTCTGCAGCAAAATGCCATCTATAGAAGATACGGCGACTTCTTATATCAGCGTGGCGATTATGATACGGCAATGCAGCAATACCTTCGGGCGATCGACAATACGGAGCCATCACAGGTCATTCGAAAGGTGAGAGTATCATGTCGCACCGGGGAAATCAACGTCACTAAATCAAAACTAGTATCTGGACACTCAACGAATTCACAATCTCATCGAGTACCTAGAAGAACTTCACGACCATGGTCGCGCAACTGTCGACCACACCACGCTTCTTCTGAACTGCTACGCAAAGCTCAAAGATACAACCAAGCTTGACTCGTTCATCAAGGCTCCCGGTGAGCTAAAGTTTGATCTGGAGACGGCTATTGCGATGTGTCGCCAAGGAGGCTACTTTGAGCAGGCCGCGTTTCTCGCGACGAAACATGGTGAGAACGACATGGTCGTTGACATTCTGATTGAGGATTCGAAAAAGTATGCTGAGGCTGTGGAGTATATTTGGCGACTGAATCCTGAAGCGGTAGGTGCAGGCATTTGCTGAGTCTTTTGAAGGCTTCTTGAGGTCTGGACGGAGGCTAAGCTTGAATAGGCTTATCACAACCTGATGAAATATGCGCGCGTCTTACTCAATCACTGCCCGGAGGAGACAACCGAGCTATTCAAGGCCTACTATACAGGCCAGTATCGACCTCGAACTACCGTGGAACCTCCACCCGCACCCCAGGCGCAGCCTACAAGTACAGTTCAGAGTCTTGCAGCACTTCTACCACTTCGTTATGTGACCGGGTCGCTGGTCTCACAAGCCCAGAGTTCGGGCCCTGAGGCGAGTGCGACGGAGGCGGAGCCAGCACCCAAGCTTCCTCCACGATACGAGATCCCGAAACCAAGGACGGCATTCTCTGCTTTCGTAGATCACCCACATAATTTCATTGACTTCTTGGAGACTCTAGCGCAGCAGCCGGACCTTACAAATGAGGCTCAAGTGGATCTGTTCACAACGTTATTTGAAATGTACCTTGATGCTGCAAAGTCAACCAAGGACTCCGCTCAAAGGCAGATCTGGGAGGACAAGGCCAAAAAGCTGATCGAAGACAAGGAGGTAATCAAATTACGGATTAACTCTGGTCTTCATGTACCGGTACTAATGATGGACAATAGACCCCGATATCCACTTCGAATGTCCTGCTGTTATCAGATCTCTCAAGCTTCAAAGAAGGATCCACGCTAGTTCGCGAACAGGAAGGGTTGCGTCTCGATATTTTCCGCTCATTCACATCTGCCAAAGACACCCAGGGCGCTATTCAAGCACTGCGTCGATACGGGCCTGATGAGCCCCAGCTCTATATCGATGCCCTAACGTACTTTGCCTCGAGTCCGCAAGTACTCGAAGAGGCCGGCGATGAACTGGACAAAGTCTTACAGCGCATTAACGACGACGGACTTCTTTCCCCCTTGCAAGTGATTCAAGCCGTCAGCAACAACGCCGTGATTACAATGGGTAGACTGAAAAAGTATCTGGGCGACAACATCGCCAGCGAGGACAAGCAAATCAAGACGGTAAGCACCACTTCCACAAATCCATACTACATGAAGGAATTCGTTTCCCCAACAGGAAAAAACAAATCACATTTTCACAGAAAAACTTCCCAATTGTCTAACCATTCTACTCCCCATACAGAACAAGCGCTTAATATCCAGCTACAAGGCCGAAACCGCCGCCAAGCAACAAGAACTCACCAACCTCGCCTCACAGCCCGTCGTCTTCCAATCCCGACGCTGCCAATCCTGCGGCGGTACCCTCGACCTACCAACCGTCCACTTCCTCTGCCGCCACTCCTTCCACGAGCGTTGTCTCAACCGCGTCGACGAAGATGCACAGTGTCCCGTGTGTGCGCCTACCAATTCCACATTGCGGGCCATTCGCCAGCGACAGATCGATTCTGCGGATCAGCATGACTTGTTCAAGGCCGAGCTGTCCAGATCGAAGGATCGGTTCGGTGTCGTGAGTGAGTTCTTTGGAAGAGGGGTGATGAAAGCTTCGAGTACGATGGATAATTAGGTAGTCCACCAGATGATGGATGGGTGGATGAATGGCTCGATGAGCCGGTTCATTCCAGTGAGTTTGTGATTGTGATTGCAATTGAATCGGAGATTGATAGCGAATATACCCAGATGGGGGTGCATTGATCGTTACAAACTTGTGCTTTTCATTCGATTGATAGATCCAAAGTCGCAAGTTAATCTCTGCTTTTGTTGCGTGATGTGTTCTGGGGGAGACCGGTTGTCAATACTTGGCTTCGTTTCAGTATTAAATTTCGCAGCTCAAGGCAAAGCGACTATGTGGTTTCCCATCGATAGCGGAGACTTGGTACTCACAAACAAACATACTGGATCTTACTATGAGCAAGAGATACCCGTATCGACCAAGCAAGTTAAAATGTATCTACCTAACGGGAATCATGGACAGTGAACTAGAGCGCCGCATATCACCACTAGCAGAAGCTATTCCAATGTCATCCTCCTTGTCAACAAGCCAGACCATATGAGAAGGGCCGATCGAGTAGAGAAGCAAGGCACCTAAGAAAAAGATGAAGAAAAAAAACAAAGGCACAGGAATGGTGGGAGCCAAGATTGAGCATGGAAGTAGATAGCTATGGATTATGTCCAGGGAAAAAAGGAAGCGTCGGACAAGAATGCAAAGTTGTGAAATCTATGGTTGGGGGATAGACATGCATGCGTTACGACCTGCCGAGACTCATGACTTTGTTGGACAGGCCACTTTTAGTGCTCTCGGCCCTTTTCCCCACCCCATGAGATACGAGGCCGATGACCACGAGTGAATTGATCTGATCCGAGACCAGGTGAAGATGACTGCTCGGCACCCTCAGTGGATGATGGTTCGGAGGGTCGATCGGTAGGAGCGAATTGAATCCTGCCGGGTGTTGTACGGGGCTTCTCTTCATCCTCGTCAGATTCTTCGACTACAGCCAAATCATCATCGCTTTCCGAGTCAGAAGTCTGCTCGTTGTCTGCTTCGCCAAGGGCAGCGAGACGACGTCGACGTTCAGCGGGTGTCTCGCCGGTCTCGTCGTCGGCTTGGCGTGGAGTGGGAGCTAGTCCGGCCTCACGACGCAGACGCGATGGTGGAATACGCTCCGTACCATCGTCGTCCGAGTCGCGGCGGCGGCGCTCACGAGTTGGGGCAGGGCTCAATTTGCTGCGGCGCTCTTGCGCCGAGCTTCCACGAGTATATTTGGCAAGGGAGGAAGCCACATTGGGGCCAGTTGCCTCTACTTCATTACCTTCTGAGAAATCTTCGTCGTCCTCGCTCTCGCTGTCTGTGGCAGACTCCGATACTAGATCGGCGCCCTCCTCTGGAGGCTTCACACCTGTCGAAGCAGCCATGGCAGCTGCAGACAGACGACGTTCCTTGTTCTCGGACTGTTTGACATCCTCCTGCGCAGCCTCTTTGATATGCTCAGGGGCATCGGTGTTTTGTACAATGTCACGACGAGCCTTAGCATCCAGACCCTTGATCTGCTGGAAGAACTCGTGTTTGTTCATGCGACGACCCTTGTGGCCGATACCCTTGGAATCAACGTCGGAGCTCTGTGCAAGCGTGAATCGAAGACCGTCATCGGTGGCCCAATCGTCAGTCTCGGTGCGAGGCGCGGGCTTCTTCTTTTGTGCAGCCTGTGAAGATTCACCCTTTTCCTGGTTGCCAAGCCAGGTACCCATGCGTTTAAGACCAGATCGAAGAGCCGGTCTTTCCTTTCCGGCTTGCTGTTCATCGGCATTGGCCTTGGATTTGCCAGGTTTATCAGTCGCCGGGATGGTGTATTTCTTGATCACCTCGCCATCCTCATCCTCCACAATAATGGTGTTACCGAATTGGTAAGCATGTGCAGAGCGGCCCTTCTTCTCACCATCAGCCGGCTTAGACTTGAGAGGTGTAGGTCTCGCCTTGGATGCTTCGGGTTTCTCCTTGACTTGATCTTTCCCATATCCAGTCCAATTTGTCCAGCGAGACCGCGCTTTCTGTACAGGATGGCCTGTATGTTTGCCGACGGCTTCTTCGAACTCTTCGCCTTCATTCTTGGCGTGAGGCTCGTTCTTGGATGGCGCAAGAACACCGGAAGTATCTTCCTGTAGACGCCGTCTTTGCTCTTCGATATGACGGGCTTGCTCCTCGGGAGTCATGTGACTAGTATCCTCGACCTTTAAGACGTTACCCTCCTCATCCTCGACGACCATTCTGTGACCCTCCTGGAAGACTTCCACTTCCGGTTCATGGCCAAAGCGATCCCGCTGGTCAAGTTCATCGGTTACCCCATCTTCAATTTCGCTCTCTGTTCGTCGCTGGGGCATGATCGCGGATTGACTGATCGGACCACCAGCACGGTCGTCGTTCTTTCGGCGCTTTCGGCGGGTAGCCTTCCGTGGAGCGGGCTGAGCAGACTGGGTTTCGCTGTCCTCCTCACGAACGCGACGTAGGAAATTGCCGGGCATGCCAATCGGTGGCAACTGACCGGGTGGGTACTCTGGCAGCTTCTCTTCGGAATCGGAATCATCTTGCTTCCGGAAGGACATTGATCCTTTGGCAATTGACTGGACACGGGGAAGACGGTTCATCCATGACGGTCCCTCCTCATTGGCTTGGGTATATGACAAAGTGATTGTCAGGGTGTTGATACGCTTGCCTAGTGTGAAGACGGCGATCGATGACCCGTGGACCAAGATAGAGGAGATGACCATAAAGGTGGTGATGGGCCAGATCAGTCTGGCGACGCTGTAGTTATTAGGATTTTCCAGGTCTTGTGGCCTTAGTTCGCCCTCGGGGAGTGGTTGTGTGCTGTCATGTTCCAATTCTGCCCGGGCGAGAATCGCGGCGAAGATAGCGCCCACACCAATGGGACCAAAATGACCAGCAAAGAGCGCCTCGCGCCAAGTTTTGACGTCTGGAATGAACGGTTTCATCGCGAGCATGATGGGGATTCGGCGGAAAAGGATGACCAGAATCGCAATGACGACTAATCGCCAAGGGGTCAAGCCGATGTCGGGAGCATTGTAATCTTCCCAGGGAATGATGGACCCAAAGTAGACAAAGTACGCCAGATTGAGCAATAGATCAATGACGTTGGAGACGTGAGACTCCTCCGTCTTTTCCGTGAACCAACCGTCATTACTGAAGCCGACTCCGCACGCGAATCCAATGAGAAGGTCGTCCATACCCAGGAGACTTCCTGCGCCGGCACAGAACACAGCCAGGACGAAGTAGAACACGAGAAAACTTTCTCGGTCAATCAGACTTTTGGATTCAGCATACCTGATTGAGTGACGGGCGGCGTAGCCAATTGTGAATCCAAAGATAGCTCCCAGAACGCACTCGTACAGGATCGTCACACAGAACCAGTTCAGAGAGACTTTGCCGGCATCGGGGCGGTACCGCAGGATGTAGAATCCCAGGTAAATAAAGGGAAAGGCCATGCCATCGTTGCAACCGGACTCGGCGGAGAGGAGGTCACGCAAATGCTTGGGCACACGCTTGGCGAATTTACCTTTACCAACGACGGATGATGCCAGGACAGGATCCGTCGCCGTTACACAGGCCGCGCATACAAGACTCTCGAGCCAGTTGAGTGGGGGGATCATCCACCAAATGAAGAGACTGGTGATGAGCCAGCCCCAGGTCATCACCGGCAGCAGCAACAACGAGACTGATCTCCAGTGTCGTTCCATGTAAGCCTTTGGCAATTCGACGCCGACAGCGAAACATTGCACGACCAGGACGATCCGCGAGGCTTCCAGAGTGATCTTGTCCACATTGCCCCAGGTGTGGGGATTGAATAAGTTTGCAGCATGCGGTCCGAAGATGATACCGCAGATGGTTGCCACGGTAGCTTCACCAATGTAAAGCTTTTCCTTCACAAAGAGCGAGCATAACATGAACAGGCCAGTAAAGCCGCCCAGGATCATGTAAGCCAAGTGAGGCTTGTCGATGTCAAGGTGGTCCCAAGCCATTATTGTGAGGATCGAGCGTGACTCGGGCCCGCGACAATGGTTCAGGGAAGCTGTGTACGGCGTTCAGCCGTCTTCGAAGGGTTTCTTTCTTCTTCCTTTCGCGATCAAATAGTTTGTATGTCCTGCCGGTTCCGTTTGGTAATCAATTTACCAGTCGAATTTCCTCCTCGAATGACGCTGATCCGAATCGCTCCCCATGCCTTGATTAAGACGGTCCGGGATGAAGCAAAGGCAAAAGGCCGGCGAGATGGAAGGGCCACTTGGGCTCGATGCGGTTGTCCAGATGAGTCAAAAGACGACGACCGTAGGAGGAAGTTGGGAGGCTGGCTGGCCGGCACTGTGTGGCCGCTCGTTCAAATGTGACCCGTATCTGCGACCTCGGATCTGTAGAGCTGGCAGGCTGTGGGTCGTCAGCGGTGTTGCAGATCGTGCGTGGCTAGGTGATCGATTTTCACCGTTCGCGCCGTGAACCACGAGGCGAGCTGTTGCAGGCACGAGGGTGGACGGAGAACAGAAAGGGAAGGAAACGAAGGAAGGTATCGGATGAATGGGCAGAATAAGAATCTTAGCTTCCTGGGCCAACCCGACACCACGCAGGCCGAGTAAGATTTGCCCAGCACTGCCAACTGTTGCGAGACTTTGCGGGATTCGTCAGCCGAGACTTTTCAGTTCCACCGACTGGGCGGAAGACGGTCTTGGCTGGGCGGAGTGCAGCCTTGGGAGGGTGGGTGGATGGGCCAGAAGTATTTCAGAGATACATTGCACGATCGAGAAGAGAGGCAGGGGAGATTACTCAGTAGTCAAGTTCAACTAAGTTGTGATGTTTGAATTGGACTGCAAACCCTCAAGTGTTTTCAAAGTTTTAAGAAAAGAAAAAGAGTTTGTGGAGGGGAAATAGAGTATAGTGACAAAAATAAACATGGTGACGAACGCGTCCCCCAATGTCGCTGATCGAACAGGGAAAGGCTATCTGCATCTGCGTGGCGATACATTCCGATCGGAGAGAAGACCATATGCAGCTGAAGCCCTCGCACCATCCTCGTGTCTCAGTCTGACCGAGCATCATAGCATCATATGCCATATGGAGACGCACAGGACAATACCGTAAATACCGTAAATACCTTACAGATGCGGTCAAGCGGCAGAGTACGGCAATAAGGCACTAGATTCTCAGCCCTGCCCGCCGCCAAGCCTAAAGCGGCACAGTGCTAGCATTGATTGGATCATCAGACGGAGAGACCCACTTGGCCATACTATCGAGACCTTGATTGTGGGCTGAGAGTCGTCGAAGGCGCTCACGGACGTCATTACTCGACCTTCCACATGCTGGTGTCCCCGAGGATGCACCCCATCCGGGGCCCATCTGATTCTGAATACAAGCGCCGAACACGCGGGAGTGCGGCACCCGGTTTATGTACATGTAATTGAGGTAGGTCCAAGTTGTTGGTGTGTTACTGAGTGTGTCACTGGCAGACACGTCGTCAAGTCGTGCCGGCTGGGCAGTCACTCCGCGAAGTGGACACTGTCCCTCATAATCTATAGGAGGACTTCGTTTCTTGTCCCTCGGCCTCGAATAGACAAATACATAGAATCAACTGCAAGAACTGGTCAAAGCAACGAAGAATCCTAGTTCAATGCCGGAGCAGGAAGGACATGTACGATCAACCAAGATAAAAACATAGGTACAGGAAACGCAGAGGGGAATTGCAATAGAGAAAATCCATTGTCGCAAACCGCGGCAAATTCGGATAGAACACGCATCAAGGAAAACAAAGCATCAAACAACCCCTCGCGACTGGCTCAAATTGCCTTTCGGTATGGTATCTTTCACGCACTTCGCATAAATCAAGTCCGGAAGCGCAGAATCAAGCGAGATCTATCTCGTACATATTTCGCACTCTCCACTTGTTCAAGGTCTCTCTCATTGGCAGAAGGATTTCTCGCGAACAAGAAGACACCGGTCATGTGGACATCACCTGGAACTAGAAGACGTGGAGATCAAGTCCCCATCAAAGACGCTCGAAGCAGAAGATTTTTCTCCCCTCCACGGTCTGGTCCAGAAATACTGCAAACAAAATGCGTGGCAATCCGTAGCACCCCACCACTGCACTGGACAGGTCGGACAAGTGCGAATCCTTCGCCAGGTCCCAATCTACTCTCCAGTTGGCATGCCCTCGATCTCGTCACTTAATTGCCGCCAGTTGTCAGCCTGGAGCTCGGCGTACTTGACGCGTTCTTGGCTCCAGTCCTGGTGCAGGTGGCTGATGTGGTACTGGCTCTGCTGGAATTGAACCAGCTCATCTCGGATGCACTCCTTGATGAAAACGCCCCGGGCGTGCTGTTGAACGATCGACTCCTTGTCCTGCATAACGTGTGGGGGTCAGCCAATGGCATCCTGAGACCGTCGAAGGGCGTAACAAGTATGGGGAAGCGTGATGATCTGACCTTCAGGATGGAGTCCTCTACCTTCTCTGCCTCGCCAGGCTTCACAGTGCCTGGCGGCCGTGCGCGCAAATCCTGCAGCTTGCGCTCATTGGTCTCGATGCGTCGCTCCAATTGAGGAATATTGTTTCGAGCCAGTCGATCACGTCGATCAAACATTTCGCGGACACTGACCAAACAGTCCCGCTGGGCTTTGAGGTCCTCCAGCACACCATCTGTCCAGGCACGCGCTTCATCCTCCAGTAAACTTTGACTGGCGGAGAGATGGCGGGCTGTAGCTGTGATCCCAGTGTTCAACCCAAAGATGTCACTAGTATCGATGGCATACGTGTCCTTGGTGACTTCGGTCAACGATTGCAGGGCGAGAGAGAAGCGAAGGTGATCTGCAGCAAGGCCGTCATTGCGCTTGGCCAATCTCTCGAGCAGAGTACATAAATTGATGTAGACTTCTGCAGAGCGTTTCACACCGCTGCGAACAGTCTCAAAGGTGTCCATAAGATCAGCAGGTAGAGAGTCCTCCAGGTCCGGAGGAAGGACTCGACCTTCAAATTCATCCTGGACCGAGACCGTCGCCTGCTTGCGCCACACGGACAGCTCCTATGGAAGAGGGAAAAAAATTCAGCGTCTCAAACCAAAGCCGACGAAAACTGGAACCGGAGGACCACCTACGGTTGGGACAGTCAAAAACATGATGACCAGCTGTTCTTGGCCGAGAATGGGATGTCGCACAAGGGAGTTGGTAAATCTAATGAGACCGCGGCGCCGTTTCTCCAGAAAGGAATTGGAATCGGCTGATAGGTGAGTACCATTCACTTAAAGTATAGGTGAGTAAGCATTTAGAAGGTGCTTCGACCATCGCTGCAACATACCTGATACTCGTTTGGGAGGAAGAAGCGGCAATTGTCTGAATGGATAGCGTTTTTGTAGACAATCCAATAGCCAGACAAAGTCACTGTATCGACGCACAACAGTGCTCCCTCGTCGTGCGGACTTAATCTCGTAATTCCGATGCTGAAACATGAACATGCCTTCCTTTTCGGGAAGGAGATTGATCGTCACCGTTTCCGCGACACGAGAGCTCGTATTGCGCGTGATGCCGACGGGTGGTCTCCTTGTCGTACCGGCGCCATGCTCATCGCCAGGAGGCGCAAATCCACCGAGGTCTGGCCGCGGAGCTCCAATAAAACCTCCGTCGTCGGGAGCGATAGCCATGTTGCTACCCCATCCAGATCCCGCACTGCTGGGTGGAGCCGGGGCAGAGGCAGCAGCAGTTTCGGTCGCCGCAATGCCTTGTTGGGAGAGATCGGTATTGGAGGTGTGATTCAAATCGTCGTGTGCCCGAGATGCCGACCAGGCATTTGCCGTCGAACGCATACTGCCGTACCCCAGTCCGTTTGGCTCATCATGAGTTACAGGCTGGTGATTGTGGCCGCGATGCATTTCTGGGCTGCCCCATGGATCAGAGTCTAAGCCTCCAATGGAGTTCCCTCGGGACCGACGAGACCGTGCAGAAGTTGGTTCTTGACTAGGAGATGGTTGCGCTTCGGGAGTCGCAGGCTGATCATGGGCACGACCTTTTTGGGTCTCGCTTGTTGCTCGTAGACGGTCCAGAAACCCGCTGCTTGGCTGTGGTAGTCCTGCACATGCCAGTACCCTTGTCAGCATCTCCGCAGTATACTATTTGGACACAACACGAGAACACAGATGCCCGCATCAAACACGTACGCTTGCGATGGTCATCCACAGAGTCAAAAGACAGATCCTCGCCTTGCTGTGCCAGTCCAATCAGGGCAAGCAGCACATTGAACTCGCCCCGACCAAGGCCAACCGAGCTCTCTTGTTCACCCGAGACGACCAGATCAAGGATCTTGGATTGATCTGATGCACTGACACCACTGCTGGAGAGGAGCTCTCTCACAGAGGTCAGGCCGATGCCGCTCCCCACTCTGTCTCCGCTATTCAAAATCAGGTCGTAAGCATTGACATAGCTCTCGGGCACATCGGAGACAGGCAGCAATGTGCGGGCAAGATCGCGCCGAGCCGTGCGCTTCACCGTGTTGCTTTGTGGGTTCCACGGTGAGGAGTCGTCGCCCGTGTCTTCGGCGAAGAGAGAGGAGGAGCCGCCGATCGGTTCATCTGCGAAGAGCGATGGCTTGAGCCTTTGGGTGGGAGTGGCCGCAGAGGGCTCTTCTGGAGATGTACCAAAGAGGGACATCGGAGGATTCGCCGCTGGGGAATGACAGCTCGGCGGAAGGGAATTGCGACGGGCTGTTTTGCAGGGGAGCTTGGAGAAGTGTCAGGGCGAGTGTGGAGGTTGCAAGCCGCAATGACGAAGGTACTCGACGATCAAGCGGAGCTACCAGGCGGGAGTCAGTCCAGTTGAATCTCGGGGCTGGGTGGCTGCCCCGCACGGACCATAGCCCAGAGAGGTCTCGGTCGAACAATATGCATTCCTAATTTCCTACGACTAGTAGGAACTTGGAAGTTAGTAGTACCTGTCAGTAATTAGGGTTACTACTGGAAGCAAAAAACTCTACGAGCTTGGAGTTTCAAGGGCTTACTGATGCACATGGGCTATGCACTAAAGACTAAAGCTACGGGATAATTGTACAAGTGACGTAGAATTGTAGACAGAATTGACATTGATGTTTACATACCCAGCTTGATACCTAATGTTCTTCTCCCAGTGTCTTGGCTCCATGATATTCGAGGTCAGGCCATTCAGTACTACCGTTAACACTTGGATTCGCTACCTAGTACGACTCTCTTCGTGTCGCTAGGTGTATCTGGCTAGGGGAACTCTCAAGACGGGCCTGTCTCGGCACAAACGAGAATCTTCGCACTGACTAGTGACTATTGTTATCATAGTTTGAACGACCTCAAATCTCAAGAACCATAAGCCTTGAGACGACGTTTATCAGGGAGGGTCCCAATTTAGGGTTGATAGGCTTCATACGCTGAGCAACCCCAGTTCCTGATCGATACCTCGCTTCTGCCCAAGAAAGATCTGGAAATACTGAAATACAAGTCACACTCAATAAATCTCTAAATCTTCATTACTTTCTGCTGAATAGCAATCCTCTTTGTTCATGTGATACCACGATATATAGACCCTGATTCATACCACATTGTCGCCAGTACCTAGTCGTGCGGGGGTGACCCCCTCCATGGACGGCCAATCTTATCAGATGGACCTGATCCATCACGACGTCCCCAGAAAATCCTCCGATAGACAACACGTCCCGTGACTGATTCTTCATAACCAGCCGGCGAGGGAGATAAACAGACAAGCTTCACTGGAAGCTTGTAATGGCTTGGTGAACAAGCATACGAGGCCCTTTCCGTGTAGGAACAATCTCAGTGGTTGTGAGGATCTGCTTCTTCCCCTCATCGGAGGCACCTGCCGACTCTCATCCGAGGATACCTGATAGACGCATCAAGGGACATCCGACTCGGCTGATACGGTAGCTTCTCAGGACGAAGTAAAGCTCGTAGTATACTGACATCCCGGGGGAAACGGTTGTTTGGAGGTATGGTCGTCCTCTTATCTTCCTTTGCCCACGGGCTTTATTACGGCGGGCAGAGACCCTGGCGATCGCAACTCTTTTCTTTCTCAGCATAATCTTTATCGCTCTTTTTGCAAGTTGAAGCGGCAGTCGAGCGCAGACTCCCTGAACAAGTCATTCAACTCCCATATTCATCCAAAAAAGGAAGGTTCCACCTCCATTGCTTTTGAGCAAAATGCTTTCCACTTCTTCAGTCACTTGCACCAGACTGAGAATGTCAATGAGATCGGTCACAATCCATCAGTCTAGATGTCGATCAGATTCGACCAAGCAAAAATTTCACAGCGTGACATTCAGCTCAGAGGCCACTCAGCTTGAGAGACCGGCAATGTCACGACTGCCCACTGCACGATTGATCAGGTCACTGATCCTTACTTCGCTCATGTCATCGAAGCTTTTCCTGAGGCCAGCACTCGGCCTCTTGAAGCTGGTCACTCATTCCAAGTCTGGTGTCTTTGATCCTGATCGAAATTGGATCCTCAATAAGTTCTTACGCTGGACTGTCTATGATCATTTCTGCGCAGGCACCAATCGGAATGAAGTCGCGAAGACGATTGCGCGCGTTAAATCCATGGGCTTCCAAGGCGTTATACTAGGATATTCAAAAGAGATCGTGATTGATCCTGATATTCCGACATCAACTCACGATATCAATCTTGCTCTTCACAGCAGCCAAGATGATCGTGCAATCGAAGAATGGAAGGACAAGACATTGGAGACCTTGCGAATGGTCGGCTCGGGTGACTTCTTGGCTATGAAGTATGAACCGTCTCGTTCAGACCAGCCCTCGGCGAAATTATGATGCTGATTGCGGTGTTCGCTATCTCAGGTTAACCGGAGCCGGTCCACTCGCCGTCAGATTGATGAAAGAGCGACAGCCGATGCCAACAATCATTGCAACAGCGGTCGATGTGATTTGCAAAGAAGCCCAGAAACAAGGGTCTCGACTTTGGCTCGACGCAGAGCAGCAAGTTCTCCAGCATGGGCTTGATGATTGGGCAATTGAAATGATGCGCAAGTATAATCGGTCACCTCATCCGTTGGTATACAATACAATCCAGGCATACCTGAAAGGCTCAACGGCCAATCTTGATCGTCACCTTTTGTCGGCAACGCAGGAAGGGTGGTCTGTGGGAATCAAGCTCGTTCGAGGTGCCTACATTGAGCATGAGACACGCTCGCTCATTCACGATTGCAAAGAAGACACTGATCGTTCATACGACTTTCTTGCCAATCGAATATTATGTCGAGTCATGCCTGACCACGGCAACCATCTTGCTTTTCCAGATGCTGCCCTCTTTTTGGCAACACATAATGCCGAAAGCGCTTCCAAGGCTATTTCTGTTCACCGAAACTGTCTCATGTCCGGCCAGCCTACTGTCTCACTCGATTGTGGTCAAATCCAGGGGATGGCCGATGAGCTTGGATGCGAGCTGGCGCAGAACTACGAGCGTGCGTGCAGACAGGACAGAGACGGCGATGTGACTTTCCCGAAGACTTTCAAATGTATGGCCTGGGGCTCGGTAGGTGAGTGCTTACAATATCTACACCGGCGAGCCATTGAGAACAAGGGCGCTGTCGAGAGGACGGAGCATATGCTCCAGGCATTACGAAAGGAGCTACGACGGAGATTGTTAGGCTTCTGAAGTAGCTACTGGAGATGAACTGTACATGCCTCGACAGAACAGTGTTTATATGACCAGTGGCAGTATTCTTGAGCTTACGTCCATTGTCTTATATGAGACTTCAACAAGTATGTCGGCAGTGACTTTTTGACTGTCCCGTCAGGCTCTTCGAGCCGAGCCATGGTAAATTTTGGAGATATACGCGGAGAGCTATCTCTCAGAAGACGGGAATACTTCTCTTCTGGGAACTTTTGGAGAGGCTAGGCGGAAAAATCAGTGAGCGATTGGTTTCCAATTGACAGACAATTCTGTACAATCCACCTCTCTTCATCCCATCGCAGAACAATCGCCGAGCATGGGAACGCTTCATGTTCTCCAGTTTTAGCCTCAATACAGATACAACGAGGAATTCACGCACGACGCTGTGCATGACGTAGTAATTCTGCAGATGTGACCGCAGACAGGTATGTTTACAGGGCACAAATTATGCCCCCAAACTCGACGACACCTTTGGATGGAATTGACGACTTGGTGTACGCGTGACCTGATCCAGCCAGGAGAGAGGAATTGATCTGCCATGCGGGGTTGTTGACCAGATAAGAAGCGTCGGAGCAGCGTCCCGACTGTGTTGAAGTATGAACCCCGCAGTCAGCATGCAACTCCGCTCAGTCATGGTTCTACTGACTCCTGCAGTTCTGAGCATCGGAAGCTGTGACCGGGCTATACAACAGGACTGCACTGTGAAATGGTGCTTTGTTGACTCAGCTCATGATGCCAGCATCATCGACCAAAGATAAAGTGAAGAAATGTCAGAAGGCGTGAGTGCTCATGGTCACTCCCTCCCTCCCTATAGTGATCCTAGCAGCTCAAAAAAATCATCTTAAAGCTGCACACGATGTCGAGGCATGAAAGTGAGGTGCTCTGGGTCTCATCCCTGCACAAGATGTGCCCGCAAAGAGCTACGGTGCCAGTTTCCGGCCGAGGAGACTCGAGTGACCGTGTCGGAGCGGTTAGTCTTGGTCTTTTTTAAGCCTTTGGTGTTGGAATCGTGAGGCTCAGTGGTGTGAATAGATACCTTCGTTTGTTGGAGGCTCAACTTTCGGGGCGAAAAACCGATCAGCGGACTCATGACCAGCTGAACGAGGATGCTCATACTGTCAGCTCCTCAGACAAATCAAATAATCAACCGGACTCGGGTCCCTTTAGATCGCACGCCCCCGTTGCTCAGCTGCATGTTACTCCAGAGAGTGCAATTATTTCTGGTAAGTTTGGACCGCCTCCTATGCCACCTTGATCTGTTCCATCCTGGCAGCGAGGAGTGGCAGTTCGCAGTACAGCGACATAGCGTCCATATGAGCACCAAGATGGCGAGCTAACCACATTAGATCTGGAACCTGTCCATGACGAAGATAGAATGCGGTTTCATCGGAATCCACTTGTTGACAAAGATCCTTCGTTTGCGCGGACTCCTGACGGTCGTTTTTGTATGTTCTGTTTTCAAACCGCCTTTGCATGGACGTCTTCGGCTGACCATTAGATGCAGGGTACATGGGACCAACATCGTCGTGGTCGTTCTGTCGCCGTGTCCTCCGTCTTATCGGCAGATGCATGCCCGAGTCAAATTGTCCGCCAGATCCATGGCATCTGGATGGAATGGCTTTCAAGCTCCAGTGGACGCCGTTACCCCCAGATGTCATCCCCGATGTAACGAACCTTCCACCCCTTGATTATGCGTTGTTTCTCTTCAACACTGTCAAATATCATTGTGGGTTCCTATCATTCATGATCGACGAAGACTCGTATCTGAAAGATCTCCACGAATTCTACCGGAACCCAAGCGCGAAAGCTACCTCGGCGAGATATTGGTACGTCGAATACCTGCTTGTGCTCGCTTTCGGAAAGGCCTTCCTAAGCCAAAAGAGTACTTCTGGAGCTCCTCCAGGTCACCAATATGCATCCAGAGCCATGGCACTGCTGCCTGATCTGTCAGGAATGGACCAGGACCCTTTGACGTGCATTCAGGCCCTCAGTCTGGGGGCAGTGTACTTGCAATCTATCGACATGAGACGAGCGGCCTTCCACCATGTAAGTAATATTTTCACTGCCACCTCTTCAAGGAGGGATCTGAAATTAGAGCCGGAGGCTTTGACGACGTGCTGAGAACGAATCGACACAGATCGGTCAGGCACTGCGCGGGTGCATCATTGAAGGAATACATCGGCACGTTCCCGAGGAATTCGGGGGACATGAGCTGTCCAGACGTTGTAGTACGATATTCTGGGTTGTCTATATGCTAGACCGAGAATTTTCTGCCCTCATCGGCGCACCGAGCTCGATTCGCGACGAGGATATTTCGGTCCGCTTGCCCGCTGAAGTTGGAAATTCAGTAGAGCATATCAACTTGACTTTGCATGTCAGATTATCTAGACTGATGGCTCGAATTCTGACGAGTAAGTCACATTTTCAACGTATCTGAAAAAGGGGTCATTGCTGACAGAGTGGATGGAAGCTGTGTATGGCGTGGGGGAAGAGTTTGACGGAGCCCTCATTCGCAATACGCAGTCAATTCTAAATGGCATGGCACAGCTGTCCCAGGATCTAACATCTTTTCTGACCACCCATTTCCACGGGTTGATCAGCAGAGCTTCCAAAATGGCAATCCGACTTGTACTAGCACATCATCATGTGGGTGTGCTTACCAGCGCTTTGAACTATACTGCCTGCCCGTCACTGACAGGACCGACTAGTGTATCGTTCTTACCACGAGGCCTTTGGTCATGTGTGCCTTGAACATGCATATCAAAAGCAACGGAAGTGCCGTAACATGTAGTATCGAACTCACACCAACAGTGGCATCGCTGCTCCAGTGCTGTGCAGATTCCGCTCAGACTATCTTGCAAACGCTTCAAACCCTCGCCGACGATGATTTGCTTGGTATGTAGCGATTTGGCCAGTGACTCGGAGAACGCGACTCTAACACTGCTCCTAATCGAGCTTAGACGCATTTCTACCATTCCAAATCGAAGACGCCTCCTCCTCCGCCTTTGTCCTATATTTGATTCAAGCCATCGCACCTTCACTCGTTCAACGTGACGCATGGCGGGATCACCTCAATTGCGTTCTGACTGCTCTCATCGCCAAAGGCAATCCGGCCGCACCGTTAAGAAGAAAGGAGTTGAAACAGTTGGAGCAGATTCTTGCGCCATTTACACCCACGACTACTTCTGAATCAACTTCGAGTGAAAGAGGGCACCGCGAGGCGGCAGGGCAAGGCTTGATTGATGGGTTTGAATTTGGGTCTTTTGATATGGATGATGCTTTCGAATGGGAATTGCTCGGAAACAATTCTTCGGTGAGCTTGCCGCCTCAGGAGCTGTCAGATCTCGCGGACCAATTAGCTGCTGAAGGTATCATGTACTCAGTTGGGACCTCGGTGGGCTGAGTGAAATGATATAATTATGTGAAATTCCCACTCAGGTGAGCCAACGAATGTTCAGCGACAACCTAAACTTGGCGACTGCGCGGGACTGTCCTGTTGAAGAAATGGACTTTCACCGAGGGACGTGATCCAAAGCTAGGATAACCGTCAACGATACGGATCTATTGTTTGTCAACCCGAGATGGAGCTAGAACTCGCTTGTTGAAAATAGAAATTGCAGTGTTACTCTATTTGCTATGATGTCTTGTCAACGTAAAGTCACAGTTATATCTCTTCGCTGGAAAGGGGCTCGCTACAAGACTCCGTCAACTCCGTGACGGGCTGTACATGAAAATAACCCATGTCAAACAATATTTGTTGCCATTCAGGACATCCAGTCCTCTGAATCGCAAGGTAGTTTGTATCGTTAGAAAACCAGCGTTCTTTGCGAGTAGAAGCCTTGTTTCCTCCTTCCAAAGCCGCTCGGCTCGCGCGAGTGGTTCTTTTGCGTTTTTCGGAGTGTACCACCTTATCTTGCACCAGTACTGAGTACAGACTGTCTCTATACTCCTGCAAGCGGCCGTCGTAGGACATGATTGCCCGGACATACGGCGCAATATCCTCGGTGATGGGTGCTAGGCCATTCTCGAACGAGGGCGCCATTCGAGGAGAAAGCGAGACCGTAGATGGACTAGCTCGCATGATGGGCTCAAAGGTCTTGCGCAGGATTCGAGGACTCGACACGTTGGTATGGAGTCGTTCAGCCGATTTTGCCCAACTCTTGAAAATCGTGTTGGCGCTGGCAATCTCGAGGTCTTCGACCGGTGGACGGAAGTGGAGCGAGATCATGGATCCAAAAGTCGTCGTTATTGACGAATTAAGTGACGAATAACTCGGTAGTAGATCGGCCTGCAAAAGAGGATGCGCTTCGATGTAGTTCAGGCGATGATTCTCACTAATAGGGGGAGCTGATGTGTCGAGTTTGTCCTGAGCAAGTCAGTCGGTGAGCCGCCTAGGGGGAAAAAGTTATAAAGCTTACCTCGCGCAGTTCAAGCGAGGACCCGTCGCACAGAATATCGAGAGCACTCCTCATATCCAGGTAGTCTGCCTCGCGTCTCAACATTTCAAGCTGATCAAACCTCGTCATTGAGCTATAGTCGTTGGGAAGCGTTGACTCCATTGTGCTCAACCCAGCCGCATCTTCGATGTCCTGAGCACTCAGACCCCACCATTGCATGGTATGCGCCCAAGTCTGAGTCGTTCTTTCGAGCTTGGAATCTTCCAAGAACATGTCACGGTTGAACCAGCCCATATGAGATTTGTACGTGTCAAAGCTGAGAACACGTAGTCGATCACCGAACTCGTCCACATGAGCCCCAGGAGGCCAGCCAGGAAGGATCCAGTCCAAGCCGCCTTTCTCACTACCAACGGCCATCTGACACCAGAAATTCAGGTCCATCAATGACCTGCGCAGGTCCATGCCACTCGCAGTATAAAGCCGATTGACGGTGTCCCTTTGCAAGACATGCCCCTCTTTGGCGGCAACGAGCAATAGATAGTCCAGCGCGGTTTCCAGAGAAGGACGTTGGTATCGCAAGATGGCATGAAGCGAGATCTCATCCACCGGAATGAGGCTTTCGTCAGTGCAGGTGATGATAATAGGCCTCTTGGACTGACTGATGATGGTCAGTACACCAGTCCAAAATTGCCTATCTTCCTCGAAAAGAATATCGGCTTCCTCAAGCAGGATCAATGACTGTTTTTGCTCTCGGCCAGCCTTCGCCGCTGTCTCAAGCGGCAAAGCTTTCGACAATTGATTGACAGGTTTTTTGGACGCCTTGTGTGACGATTGACTGTTGAAGAAGCTCATGAGTTTGTTCTGATTAGTGTTATCAACCTGTCCTTGAGTTTTCGCATTGGAGCAATGGTCATTCTTCTCGTTCAACAGCTGGACCAGGTGGTTCTGAGTCATATCGCCGACTCTCTCGAGCATATCTCTCGCACTCCTTCGAGAACCTGAGTTGATCTCAAAAACCTCAAAGTCAAGCTCCTTGGCCGCCGCGTAGACTGATGCTGTTTTGCCGCAACCTTGGGGGCCACTAATAAGGATCGCATTTGTAAAACGAGGCTTTTCCTGCCCATGCTGATTCTGGAAAGCAATGTCTCCAGAGCGTATGAGAGATCTAGGGCCCGAAACTGTGATGGCACCTGCCAGCTCATCATCTGAGCCAGAAAGTGGGTCCATTTCGGAGGCTTCTTCTCCACTTGAAACGATGAAATCATCGAGCTCATTCTCAATGCGACGCTTTTTTCGTCTCTTATCACGTCTAAGTTTGGGTTTCGCGCTTTGACGGGACGGGTTGCCGACGTCGACAGCACTGACTTTAAGTTGAAAAAGCCAGTCACGCAGCATTTGAACTTCCCTTCCAGGCTGAAGAACATCTTCAGCATTTTCGGGAGCATATTTGTGACACCAGAGGCGAGGTTCATATTTTCCACAATCGAAAGCAGATGTTGATGAAGATAGTGACTTGTACAGCTTTCGGATGGTCGGGATGGCCGTAGCCTGGTATTCTGACTGCGAGGCGAGAGACCAAGACAGTTGACGGTCGATGGCGCCTTGCAGGGCCCTTCCACTAGCAATACGTCGCTCCGGAAGACGTAGAGATTTCTTAGTATCCAGAGACTCCAATTCATGGGAAATGACTCTTAGAGCCCTCTCGGTGCTAGACAGGAGAACATTTTCAAAGTCTTTCACTGATATTTTTGGTGATTTGGACTTCTTGTGGTCGTCCCGAAGACATGACGAAGGGTCGCATGTCAGAGGAGATGACGGTAAGTCACGGATGTGAGTAAAGTCTTGAGGTGGCCAAAGGGCGTGAAGGAGATTCGGAAATTTCGTGCTCCGTTGAATGAATCCTGATGGAAAGACCTTGTTTGGTAATGATGTGGTCTTCGCCTCGACTGCTTTCAAACTCTCGGAATTGATATGGTTGAACGAAGTATCTGTGAGGGACGTCAAATTGTTCAAAGCTTCGTTTGGTGGCTTCAAAGTTGATTTCTTCATGAAAAAAGGATGAGTTGTAGCTCCGCTCTTCTTGATCGTTGGCGCTGATGATCTCAAACAGACGGAACTTGGGAAAGAAGTCGTCGGCTTATTCCTTTCTCGACCTGCGAGAATGCCATCAATCAATTTCGAAATTCTTCCATCATTAGCGAGTGAATATTTGATGACCACTCGCTTAGAGTCCGATGCACGCGACATGGCCCGTCGGCCTGGTGCTGTATTTGCAGCACGGACGGCCGTGGGACTGTGCGGAGGAGAACTTAGCAGCCGCCCATTGACGTTCAGCTTCACAATCCTTGTCGGTCTCTGGGAAACAAGGTTGAATTTCATGTTATCTGGAGAGGAGCTTGATTCGGTGGGATCGGAGACTCGCGGTGCCCGATCGTTTGCCATGGAAGCACCGGTAGCAGGTTGTATAGAGCTTTCTGATTCAGTTACTGCGCTTTTCGTAGCAAGCAGCCTGGGGTTCTCTGTCCCGAGCCAAGTGGATAGACCAGCTTGCACATGCTGTTCGGAGTTGGCCTTCATTGTGCGGTCTGTCTTTCGCCTCTTGCGTCTACTGGCATTCAAGTCTTCCTCTACACTTGAAACACCCGGGCTTGAAGATGCCGAGTTATCAAGTATATATGGCATCAAAGGTTGCGACAATTGGCCTTTTTTCAAGCCAGCTGACGCGGTTGACTGGTCCAGATGAAGTGTATTCGGCTCCACTGAGATGATGGAGGGATCTTGAAGCGGTGTCGAAGATTGACTGGGTCGGGTAATGTCTGGAGTTCACATGTGAATAAAAGGAAAGGCCAGATGAAACGAACTTGAATTCATACCTCTGCTGAAAAAAGGATGCACTACTGGCTGCTCGCCTCCGCCCATGACCACGACTGGATTGGATACAATCGTATCCATGTGAAGTCTGACCGTGAATTCATGAGAAGAATTGCAGACAATCGCTCCTGTGGAACTTCTTTGCACCTGGGACGGGTTTTACGCTAACATCAACGACGCAATACCCGGCCTGGCCTTTTGCTTCTGCGCCTAGAGCTCTATCGAAGGCATCACACGTCCGACGCGACGGGCATGATGACCGTGACCGCGTTTAATTAGCTTATGTCATCTCCCCTGCGACGGGCTCCCGCCATCCACCAGCCACTCGCAGATTTGGCTGCGCCCCTCGAAGACCCACATGCTTCTTGGCCAGTGGGCATGATATATCACGTGACTCTTATCACCTCTAGTCCGGATCACTTGATGTATCGCGGCGGGTCCGGGCCTTCGTTATCCCGAAAATTTTTCAGATTTCCCCGTTAGGTCATCTGTGCAAACGCTGCGGCCCAAGAATTGAAGCAAGTCGTTTGGATTGGGCTGTCTCGTTCAGTCATGGATTTGCAGACCCCATCAGTTCTTGCGCAACTGCCTCGGCCCCTTCATGCAGCTACGGGGCAGACTCGTATCGGTGAGGTCAACAGCCTCGCGGAGGGCAAGAAGCGCAAGCGTTATGAACTCGTGGTTGCAGTCGATGGCGAGGCCGTGAATATTTACAATGTATGTTCCCTCGAGCATGCGCGAAAATCTGGGTCTCATTTGCGGTGCTGACAACTGAGATTCCTTCAGGTCCAAACACCGAAATTGGTGACCTCCTACGCCGTGTCGCCGCAATCCACGTTTTCATGCCGACCTTGCTCTGTCCGTCGCAAGCTTCGAAACAAGTCAATTGTAAAAAGGCAGACCTACGCCGCTATAACCAAGCCAGAACATCAGATCAAATGCTTTGTCGAGGAGATCAGTACTGGCTCGAGCGCCCCTACAATATCCTCTTCGGGCGCCTCTATTACTGACTCTAAAAGTCCGGTCAATTTCGTGGGCATTGTGCCATCCAATACTGTCGATGAATCCGAAAATGGGTCCTTTGACATATTAGCAGTTCAGAATGATGGGCGCATCCGTCGTCTGTCGTCTGATCTCAAAACTCAATATTGGAGTATTCAACATAGTGAAATTGCGAAAACTGCTTCGACTCATGTTGTGCAGACTTGCTTTTTGATTGATCTTGAAGACGCAAAGAAAGGTCTGTTCAAACGCAGACAAGACTTGGCCAGTCTTGCCCTTGGTGACTTGCCTTCGACTGGCACCGACGAGCCCTCGATTTTGCTCCTGGTCTCCCACCCGAAGGATACGAAGACAGTCTCAATGGAAAGCGTGCACATTCAAATCTTCTCGGTGCCGGCAAAGACAACGACTAGTCCGGGTGGTATTGAGGAGAGTCAGCGTCTGAGACATCTACAGACAATTCAGCTTCCTGTCCCGGCTGGTCTCGAGAAAGTCAACACCAACAACTCTTTCCAGTGGAACTTCCACTCCGGCACAGCCGGGCTTCATTTTTCCTTCGAAAATGGATTCGTCAATTTCGATCTGTCACAGTATTCGCCTGCTGTGAGTGCGCAATTCGTGCTAGCGGATCAGTTCACGTCTGTCATGCGGATCTCTCCTCAGTGTGTCATTGGTTCGAGCGATTCTCTCATTGCAATCTATGACACCCAATTCAAATCCGTTCAGCGAAGCATTGCTCCAAAAGATATCGCTCTGGGCCCCGTGTCCAGTACAAACGGACCGACTGTCTTCATCAGCTATTTTGCGAAATTAGGTCTTGCGGTCGGTGTGAAAGCCAACACCTTGATCGCCTTCGACGTGACATCTCTGCACAGCCAGCCAGCACCCTCGCTCAAGCGCTCACGAGATGGTCTCTTGATTGATGCGATTGGTCGCGGCATTGGCTCATCTGCCTCGCAATGGGACATGTCTAAGAAGCACCGATCTGATGATATGGCCCCGCTACACTTGAAAAATGCGGAGGAAGCCGAAACCTGGCAAAAGTTCACTATGGCTATCGACCACGCAAGTCGTTCCCAAAAACCAGACCTCTTCGACATGGCTGTTCTCAGTTACTTCGGAGCATCAGAAAGCTCGAAGGATCTGCCTCACTCCCACATCAGTCCTGAGTCCACTCTCTTCCTCCTTTCAAGGATCTTTACCATGAAAGACGCAGCTGTTACGGACAAAGTCTCGGCCTCCTCTTCATCCCAATTGCGTGTGGCTCTATGGCCCGCGAAAACCTGCGAGTGGCTCATCCGCATCGGCCACCTCTCACCGGACAATGTCGAGATTGCTCTGCGGCGAGCTTGCAAGCCCCGTATCTTGCAATCCTTCCCAACTGGGTCCTTCATTCAAGCTTTGATTGACTCTGATACCTCACTGAGCCATGTGAATGCCGTTCTCGAAGGCCCCGCCGTTATCGCCTCTGACGAGCTTGCGTTTGCTCTCAAGTTTTTCCTGGGTCAGGCGCGGATGCATTCAGGCGTTTTGGAGGAGACAGCGCGTTTGATCACTGATGGAGAGATCGCCACGCCTACTCAAGAGCTGACTCGTCATCTTGAGGGCGGGGCAGCTAGCTTGAAACACATTTTCACCGGACTGAATTTATCCCTTCAGACAATCCACGCGCAGCCTTTGCCTTCAGTGGTGAAGTCACTTCGCTCACTTCTTTCGCGACCTGAGTTGATCTCAATGGTTCACCATCTTCGACTTTCGCTTGCTACTGGTGGCCACACATCCCGATTCACGGAGAACCCCCCCACTCCCATCACCCTTGATCAGATCACTCCTTCACTATCGCTCGATGTCATAGTGGATCTCATCACTGCTGCCGTCGATGCCGTTGGCCCCTCTGGCTGGATCTCTGCTCTTCCTACTGACAACGAGCTTGAGAACGGTTCTGACGCTGCGGTGGATTCCGCTAGTCGTGAGATGGAGCTCATTGCCGACATGAAGTCCGAAGTCTCTGCCGCTCTTGCTGGGGTTGAGGAAGCCACCTACTTGAAGGGTATTCTGCGGGAGTATCTTCGCTTTGCCCGTCAAGTAGTAGACTCATCAAGCACTACTGCCGATGCTGTTGCCAAGATTGAGGAGTCTGCGGCGTCTGCACCCTCCCACCTGGTCCGTTGCGAAAAGTTGAATGGAGCTGATTTGATGGTCTTTGCTCGCCCCGAGGAGGGCGAGGAGGGCGTTGACGGAGACGCAAGTGGCAAGATCTTGCCTCTGTCCTTGAAGCCCTGGTCCCTGGACGTTTCACGCAAGAAGGTGCTGAATTCTACTGGTGAAGTGAAGACCCGCACTAGTCGTGAGGTTGGATATCTCCGTCGTAAGGCGGCTGGCAAATACTCATTTGAGAGATTAGTGGTCTAAAAAGCGTCTGTGGGCTACTGACCCATTTCGTTTGTCATATTGTACGTACTCAAAACCGACGGACGATCATTTCCGCGGAGTTCCTTGGTAATAAATATCTTTGGATTTATTCTTCACGCCTCGGACCAGACCTGACCAGGCACACGATGCGTCCTGGTGCCGCAACTGTCTGCGGCACGTTCGTCTCTCAGCGGCTCAATACTGTTATATGCCAGCTGAACAAGTTTGCAGATCAGAATGAGATAGATGACCGGAGCGACGTGAATTTGATAAGCGCACACCTGGATGTATTGCCAAGACGAGCCTGTTTCTTGGAATCTATGTGTCTACTGTTTCGTAATCTACTATATGGATAACTGAGTATATAGTTGTCATGTACGTACTTGACCAGGTATAGAACAAAGGTATGTATGAACATAATAGAAGTATGTGGCTATGCAACCTGCCGCCACGGGCGGTGACCAGAAAGTCTGCAACTGGTACCCCTTCGGCGGCCTCTTCGGCCACGAGTCATGGAGGTAGCCAAGATCAACAGGATATACATTCCACACTTGTATCGACATTGCACATTTAGTACTGCAAGGTACAAACTCGACAGTCACTTCGGCATCCCACCCGAGTCGTGGTGGGTCAAAACGATACAGTCGGCCTTGCGGCCAATCAGACTACTCGTTGGCGGCTTGGGAGTTGGGGAGGACGGGGGCTGGACGGCCAGACACGACATCAAATGGTCTTCGCGAGTGAACAATAATCTCCAGTCGCAAGCAAGGCACCGTAAGGGGGAATCACGATGTATGACACAAACATTGACCAGCAGCAGCTCCTCACATCGACACAGTAGGCAAAGAGAGTCAGTCTTCATCGCAATCCCGTGTTATTGCTGCAGATGGGACGTGATCGGGATCTAAGTAGAGGTACCTCGCGCCCTATAATTAGTACGAGGTAGGGACTCGGGAGTCGGGACTGGGTCGTACTTGTACCTGGTCGCAATAAACAAGGAGGAGCTTAGGTGGAGCTGAATCTCCAGGCTCGGACCAGCGACTCCGCACTCGTTATCCCACTGTTCAAGTCTCAAACATCGCTGATGCGCAAGAACCTCCGTCTCGATCAATCCAACTCATGTTTTCAGACTGGATTAGATGCAAGATTGCCTCGGCCACCCGCCTAAATTCTGTGATCTCGAAGACGGAGTGTGCGCCGCTCTGCACGACGCGCGCCGCTCGGCCCGCATCATAACAAAAGTTGACCATCATAATAAACGAGGAAAATGGGCGATGAACCTTGGCTGGACAGTCTGTCGGACGACTGGCCTTCAGCGCCTGCAACACCCACTCCTGAAGGACCGGTTGTGAGCCTTCTCGCCTCCTCCCCGCGACGTCCACTAGATTCTCCAAGTCGCATTCCAGTGGCAGCCCGCCGATCCGTCGCACAACAGCCATCCCCGGTCGATCACTCGAAAAAAGTCACCCGGCCATGTCACTTCATCCGCCGCGAGCCTCCCAAACCAAAGTTTCCTCGCACGCCGACAATCAGGCCGCCGCCAAAACCGGTCTCAACGACGCCCACAAGGTCGCGGATAGATACCCCGAAGGCCTCGCCGAAACCATCTCCGAGGCCCTCTCAGAAGAACTCGCCGAAAACCACGCCGAAAACCACGCCGAAAGGCAGCCCCCGGCCAAGCTTGGGCACATTCGGCAGACAGCCGTCAAACATGGACACGCGCTCTCCTCTCCGGTCTGTATCCAATGTCTCCAGTTACTCGGCCACACAATCGAGCCATCATGGGACCGACACCGTACAAATCAAGCCAACTAAGGGTCAAAAGGATGGAGGTGACACGCCCGAATGGCGGAAACGCCTGGTTCGTGGCGAACTTGCCGCGGCTGATCAACGCGACTTGTTCGCGCCGATGGGCCTCGAGAGTGTCTTCAAGCCTCCGTCACCCGGCTCCGGATCCGGTCCGCCAGATTCCATGCCCTTCACGAAGCCAGATGAACAATTGTGGGAGTTCACCGAAGTAACATCCCTCAGAGGAAGCGCCCCGGTGGGGGACGAGAAGAACAAAAGCGAAACAGAGACTGCCAATGAAGACGAGTCTCTCGCTGGGACACAGTCGCAGAGTGGTACGGTTTGTCACCGACTGGAAGAAAATTCGCCAATTGGATCACCAAGTGACGCGCAATTCATTCTCGAGGAAGCGTCACAAACAGACGGCATGGGCGTTCGAACTGCTAGTGGCCTGGAAGATCTTCGCAACGAAGGGATCACGCCCATTACATTCACACGACCGGAGACCTTGAGTGGTGGAGCTGCATCCGAAGTGATCAAATCCGCGCTCAAACAAGTCACTAACAAGTTGGAGAGCTTGTCTCTGGATTCTGCGGAACGGCCGGATTCTCCAGCAAGTGACAGTTTCCTCCTTCACAATAATCGGGAGCCGCAACTGGATCATGAATCACGCGACGACAGCCTTCTGGACGCGACAAGTCACTCGCTACCCCAAGATTTATCAATGGGTACGGTCGATTTCAATCGCCGTGTGGCCAGTCGCGCTTTCCACCAGAGATTCTCCCCTTCCCCCTTCCCCTCCCACCGCAAGGCGCCAAACGGCCTTGCAAATACAAAGATCCGCACTTCTACTATTTTCGGGCGATCTCCGACTAATGTCTCACCTGTACTACCTCGCCCTTCCTCATCTCACGTTCGACCGTCCACATCTGGATCTGGGGATGCTGATTCCAAAGACGGAACCATGCCCTCGTCCGGCAGTCCCCTCAAGCTCTTCGGTGAATATGACACTTTCACAAACAACAGATTGATGCGACGAATGAGTCAATTCGAGGGTGCCTTTGGTGACGGTTCTGATGGAGATGAACCCCCTTCGCCTTCAGAAGAAGCCCGGCGCAAAGGTGAGAGTCGGAGTTTCCTGAACTCCCGCCATGAGCCACTTCCAGAAATACCATCAAGACTCAATGAGCGACTGGCATCACGGAATGCAAATCGTCCCAGGATAAATCGATTCGGAGATGGCGAGCTCGACAAGTTTGATTTCTCCGATGCCAGCCCCTACGAGAATAAGTTGGTGTATGATGAGATCCAAGGGTTTGGATCGCGACCTGTTTCGCGGAAGCGATCCTCGGATCGACAACAATACCTGCGATGGTCGTCTCAAAGACATGACTCACTTCGTTACGCAAGGTCGGCTAGCTCTGGTTTTACTCGCAAACCATCGGCCTGGACCCGACAAAGCTACTTTGGTCATCAACGTACACGTGTCATGTCGCGGAAGATCGAGAAGGAAAACATCGGCGTCTCTGAAACAAAGCGCGTACCTCGAGCGGCTCCAGCAGACCCTCGTCCAAAACGGCGTCGCACGATTCTGCGAGACGATAGTGCTGGACCAGAGGCCTCTTTTGCGCAGGATGACTCTCCGTCCCGACTCGGAGAAAGCTTGTCTCTCCTTCAGCGAAGTTTAATACAACATGGAGTTCAACCTGATAATGGCGATTTCCTTGCACCACCCGGTCTATCACAATCAATGCAGCGTCCTCGAACGCCAACGCCAAGTCAGATTCGGTCTTCCCATCAATCGAGAATCGCACCCAGCGGAGCATATTCTGAAGTCAATTTTGATGAGCGCGATTACTCGGACTCATTTTCGCTTGAAGGAGAAATTCCCCTCGTGAAGATCACCGGCACAAGTGACTCGTCACGAAAGGGCTCTATTACAACCCAGGACTATCTCAATGAGGCCACCAAGATAATGGACCTCATTCGATCAAAAGGCCGACCTACTGTTGGTCTCACGAGCGTGCAGGAGTCGAACCCAGAGAGTGAGGAAGAAGAGGAGGCAAACTCGTTGTATGACGACGAATCAACCCGAGAGGCATTCTCCCGCCCTCCGAGCCGGGAAGGAATCGACTTGCGCAAGCAGCGCGAACCGAAGGAGCTCAACCCGCAAATCCTGAGCTACTTGAAAATGTATCAGGAAAGGGAGGAGATCGATTTTGGTGCAACCGGGTCTACAGTGGCTTTGAGCACACAAGGTCGACCGAGAGCGGATCCGCAGGGGACACGAGGTTCAGGCCTCGAGCCTAGAAAGCGAAAACCAAGCGGATCGATCTACGATATGGCGGAAGACATTGCTCATGATCTGATGACCATCAATACTCAAATGTCAGGGTTCAGTGTTCGCTCTGTGCCAACCGGCTCTTCACAGAACTCGACAGCGAAGGGAATGCTGTCATCAGATCTGGTATCTCATCTCATTCCAGAACAGGTGAATGGATTTGTCTATGACAGGTCAAAGCACCAATGGGTGAAAGACGACCCGCACGCATCGGAGCGCAAGACCATCACTCATGAGGATTTAGAAGATCCATTCAAGGACATACCGGATTTGAGTGTAGATGAGATCCAAGAGATGATGAGAATCCAAAACTTGGGTTCACGTCGCAGATCCCAAGAGAGCGAAGACCCGCCCATGAGCGCGTCCCAACCAGCGGAAGCCACTCGGCCACCCACCGGACTGGATGAGCAAGAGGCAGTCACGGATGAGTCTGTACACGCCAGTTCCGTGCCATCTCGGAGTACACCACTCACAAACAACCCCCCGAACACAGGATCTCGAATAACGTCCTGGGGAACGCACAACGCAATCGAAACAAAACACGGCTCATATTTGACGACAGGAAACGATGCTCCTACCTTTGCCCCCGAGCAAGAACCCAAAAAGTCGCGAGTCGCAACGATCACCTTCTCGTCGCCAGTGGTATCACATGTTGCCTACCAAGACGACTCGCACGGCTCGGATACTAGCTCCCGAAACACTGAATCTGGAGCCGAATCAAGTGTGTCGAAAGAAGAAAAAGCCGGAGCCGCGTACTCCGTGAAGTCACGCGAGCCGTCCTCTCAAAGTCAGCCATTCATAAGGCGGCCTATTTCAAGGATCGACGAGCGAAATGAGGATACAACAAACGATCTTAGTCTGGTACGGATGAACAATGCGCTTAAATCGCCGACAGATGCCCATGTCAATAGCACAGAACAATCGCTTGTGCCGCTGACCTCTCCAGGTCAAGAAAACAGCTACAGCTTCCACCTCAGCCCTCTGGCTGACTTTTCAGTCAATCAACCAGACAGGCCTTTGAACTCAGAGATAAGCTACGTGGCCCAAAGAGACAATCCGACCTCTCTTCGACAAGTACACGGGACGTTTGCACTTGCCACGGAGGATCTGATAAAGCACATTACGGATGCGGAACCATATGAACCCTACTGGGAGCATGTACGTCGACTTGTGCTACGGCAGAAAGGATTGACTTCCCTGCAGAAATTGAGTCAGTTCTGTCCACGACTTGAAGATTTGGATGTGACCGAGAACAGCATCGGTCAACTGAGTGGCGTCCCGCCCAGCTTGCGAACTCTGAAGATTTCAAAGAATTGTCTTTCCAATCTGACTGCATGGAGCCACCTCACCAATTTACAATACTTGGACATCTCTGGAAACGACATTGAGACATTGAATGGATTTTCCAGTCTGATTCATCTAAGGGAACTGAAAGCAAATGATAACAAAATCCGCAACATTGACGGCGTTCTCGAATTGAATGGGTTGTTGAGTCTGAAGCTTAGTAACAACTTGCTGAAATCTGTGGATTTTGAAGGAACCGAGCTGTGAGTGAAGGGTTGGCTTTGACTTTTGAACTTGTACACTAATCCATGCTCATCCCAGAACTCGCCTCCGCGACCTTGATTTGAGCCACAACAGATTGGAATCTGTTCATAATATTGAATGGCTTCCCGCACTCACTAATCTCGACCTTAGCGCGAATCGCCTCCTATCCTTGGACGCGGCGACGGCTCTGATTAGTCTTCGCGCCCTGAAGCTCTCTGAAAATCGACTGGAACGCTTTGATATGCAAAGCTTCTTCTCTGTGCACCTTCTTTACCTCGACCAGAACAATCTTTCAAGCGTCGCCGGTCTAGAGCATTGTCATAACCTGCAGGTGCTCTCTGTTCGGGAGCAGAGCCCAGCTCCTTCACAAGACGACTCTATCTTGAATCTTGATCTGGGTCTGATCAAGGACGTCCGGAAAGTATTTCTTTCATCCAACAAACTGTCTGAGATGTGCCTAAGACCGTCCACTCCTCTCTTACGACTGCAACTACTTGATATCGCCGCGTGTGCAGTGAAAGCGCTTCCTGCCGAATTTTCAGCGACCTTTCCGAACTTGAAGGTGTTGAACTTAAATTTCAACTCCCTTGCTGATCTTGAGCCTTTGGTGGGCATGAAATGCCTTTCGAGGTTAACTGTTGCGGGCAATCGACTCAACAGAATGAGACGTGTCTGCCAGATTTTGAGTCGGCTTGGAAGGACGAGCAAAAGCACTCCATGCTCCCTGCGCAAACTTGATATCAGGGGCAACCCCCTCACGGTCGGATTTTACCCGCCTACGGTGACTGGCAACGGGTCCAAAGCAGATCGCAAAAAGAACAAAGATCCAGCCAGTGTGGCTGTCTCCGCGACTGCAGGTCATCGTGAACTGACTGATGCTCTGGCCGATTTGGATGGAGAAGGCCCTGTTGATAATATCGTCACTTGGGACGATTCGTCCCAGAGCGGTGAGGATATGGACGTGAACGATCCCTTCACCTTGCCGGCTGCAGACCCACAGGCGGATGAAAAGTATCTGCTTCGTCTGGATCGCGCTACTCGCATGCGCCGCAAAGTTCTGGAGTTGCTTTTGTACGCGGGAACAAATGGGTCCTTGTGCAGTCTCGATGGCTTGGACATGAAAGGTTTGCTTGTCGAAAACGCTGATATGAGTCAAGCATGGTCCAAATTGGAGGAACTGGGTGTCCTCCGCCGGAAGGCGATCACTGGAGGGAAGGGGTCGAAGAGCTAAGAATCGATTGGATTCGAGATGTTTCTTGGGCCAGACGGCCCGCGAGCAGCTATGGTTTGTTTTACGTTGGCCTTTGCGAGCATTGGGTCCGGTGTTGATTATTCCTGTGGTGTTTTTGATGCGTTTGTTTTTGCTGCTTTTTGGGGAGGTCCAGTTACGGCTGAATGCGATACGATCCTGGTGTCTGGTCAATTCTTCTCACGCAACACTTGGGTTGGCTTTGCATTGCGGGAGTTTGATTCTTGAATGTCTGGAGAACGGAGGCTTGAACACTAGCGCTATCACATATACTGTTTTTGACTAAGAAGATGAATTACTACTCTTTTTATGGCCTTTGTGGTCATTACCGGCAACGAGGCCAGGTGAAAAGTTATTGAAGTCTTACCTTTAGCGTTGATTTGTTGCTTCAAATCACATTGTACTGGAGGTTGGTTTAGTCACGATGGCGATTACCTTGTCGATGGTCACATTTCTAGTCATGAGAGAAATTCTCGGCCCTGCCTAGCTAGGTAGGTGCCCGGCTGCACCACAATCATTCCATGGCATTTCCTTGAAATGTTCCTGATTGTTGACGTTGAGCTTCCAAGGTTTCACCGATCGATTGCGAAACTCCTTTATTGGCCCTGTGCAGGTGGCGGTCGCGCCATTGGAAGCTATGATACATGTTTATGGTTTCTTTCCGGCTAAGAATACTTGACGAAGGTATAATGACTGTAGTTATGGCAACACATGTCTTTTTAATGACTATTCTATGCCTGACTACACTTCATCAATCGTCGTCTTGGCCGGTACTTTGGCAGGAGGCTTCGAACTTGAACCGGAAGCTTCCTCACCCTCCACGGAAATTGTGACGCTGTCTTTTCTACGAACGGCTGTGCCTTCCAGAGTTTCTTGGAACTCTTCACGCTTGGGCAAAAGATATCGCACGTCAATATACCGCAGAGCACAGGTCATGATAATGACGAGAACCAACAAAGCCAACGCGGATTGCCACCCGTATTTGTAATATGGCGCCTGCGAGGCCGGCCAGACGAGTACTTGTGACCATGCAGAGATGGAGTAGTACACGGCCACCGAGACGCCCACGACTAGCGTACGCGCCTCGGGATCTTGGGGAATCAGATCCGAGAGCCATGCAAAGATCAGCGGGGCGGTACCCAGACAGATGTACGAGATGAAGTATGAAGCGTAGGCAGCGGAGATTGGTACCGCAGTTGGATGAGACGTCCAGATACTCATGATGATGCATGGAACGATTCCGATGACTCCCTGGACCACGATGAGCGCCCAGCGGGTACGGAAGTAATCCGACAATAGTGCCCATATCCAGACAAAGACGACGTTGATGGCTGAGCCTCCGATGGGGATCGCGTTCACTTCTGATACAGTCCACCGTGGGGACCCATCAGGCTTCTGTAGCGCCTTCAGGAAGAGGGAGAAATACACATAGCCGTATGTGCCAAGCACGGTCGCAATGTAGAGTATAGCAATGAAGTACACCACCCAGCCGGAAAATGTCCGTTTTACACCGGCCCAGGTCATCTTCTTGGGCTCAGCTCGACCGTGGCGAGCAAGACGGTCCATGGAGAGCTCTGCATGAACTTTACGGAACCAAAATGCGCGTGGGTTGGGATTGTTGGGCAGGTCAGGTATCATGAAGAATCCGGCGAATCCCCAGATCACTGTAATGATAGCGTTGATCACAAACAGCCAACGCCAGCCTGCCAGTCCTCGATGACCATTGAGCGTCTCTGAAATGGCCGCTTGCATGGCTCCAGACATCATCTGGCCCACGGCCTGACAAGAGTGATAGAATCCCATGCGTTTGGCGAGCTCGGTCGGGGTATACCAGTACACTAGAGGTTACCAAAACTCAAGTCAGCATGTAAATCAGCAAGAATGAGGTGTCGATAGTTGCGGTGATCTTACTCAGTAGAGTCATCATACCAGGCCAAGCGCTACTCTCGCAAAGTCCCAAGAAGACGCGAAGAACGTAGACCTGCTTCGCATTGGTAGTCATGGCAATCAATCCAGTCAAGACACCCCACACGATTTCTAGGCCCGGAAGCCAGTAACTTGGTCGAACGTAGGTCAAAATGACTTGGGATGGAATGAGCATGACGCAGTATGCGACATTGAAATAGGTTGTGAAGCTGAAACCCGTCAGTAATCGCTCGATGAAACAACAAAAATGAGAGAGAGAGAGGACAGCCTACAGATTCAACTCATTGCCGCGAAGGTTCAGATCCTCTTTCATCCCCGAGACGTATGCATTGTTGATATTCTGCTGGTCCAAATATTTGATTACTAGAGACTGGGTCAGTGAAGCACTTGACAAGACACATCTAACATGATCACCAGCAAGAGGCTCTCTACCGACCTTGGGAGAGACAGCCGAACGTCAGCAGAAAGGTATCTAGGCGACGGACAAGAGCCCGCTCATCTGCCGTGCGCACATACTCGTCCACCGAATCGCCTCGTCGAAAGACTTTGGACAGGCCCAGCATGATGGGCGGCGCAAGTTCACGCGATCGATGACCTGCAGGACTGGATCTCAGTATCCAGCGCAAGGACGTCCTGTTGCTCTGTTCTTAAGGTCGACGATATGGAGAGCGGCCACTGACTCACTACTTTCTGGCTCAGCGTGATTTTACCCTTCCTGGTCGCATCTCCATGCGCCTCCGCATGCATATGGGGAGTGTACCCACATAGATTGCGGATCAGATCTCGAAGGAGGAGCGCCTCCAGAGGTCTGCGAGCTCTGGGCTGATGTCTGGTGATAAGGGCAGACACGGCTCCCCGCCAATGAAAGGTCTTAGAAAATTGGCTGGAATGCCGCCTCGGTAAAGATCCGAATTCTCAATGACAAAGCCTTCCTCTTTGAGGCATTGGGCCCTGCTTGGGTTGGCCTGTGGGAGGTCATGCAGCATGCAGTTACCCCAAATGATCTCCGAAATCGCACCTCGTGTTCTCTCGGCAGGGCTTCAGTAGTAGCCTCCACGTCCACTCGCAAATGGCGGAAGTTCTCCGATTGCCAAGAGTATAAACGAACGCGCTTGAAGCCGATCGGAGTCGAAGCTGGCGGCGTCTCCAAGGGTGACAAGCTTATCAGCGGGAGTTCACTCAATTAACATCATGTCAACTGGGAGGGGAATTCGGTGGCGGACGATAAAGTTGCGTGAGGGGGTTCAAAGACAAGACTGAGAGAGGGGCGAAGTCACATGAGAGTATCAACTCTGTGTGAACATTTCTGGTTTGTAGAGTTACAGTCTCCAAGCCAGCAATCTAGGTAGGTAGTTAGGTACTGCTCCTGATTCAGTTCTTGCTCGGGAATACGCCTGAAGATAAGAACTACATGATTCAAAGTACACAACCTATGAGATTAGGTAGACATCGCCGAACCACTTGAGATTATCGAGACTTCTTTCCTAATTTCACACAACTCAACCCGTTTTGTACCGATATCACTGCCAGACATCACACTCGTCATGATTCACCCCGACAACGGTTCTAGCAGGAATCTGCCAAACAAAACCCCTTGCATGAGTTACTGGCAGCGGACCACTCGCGCATTTCCGTATCTCGCTGCTCATCACAATGATCCCGTACCAACTCGCACACAATACGTGGTGATCGGCTCTGGGATCTCAGGAGGACTGACAGCCTTTGAGCTAATCGAGGCAGGGGTTGCGGGACAGGATATCGTGATTCTTGAGGCTCGAGAGGCAGCGAGTGGTGCCAGTTCACGAAATGCAGGCCACGTCCGACCGGGTATGTCTCTACTGATTCAAGATCGGCCCTGTCTGACTGAAATAAGTTGTGCTGTACCTGACTTCAACATACCACCCAGACGCATTTCGTGGATTCAGTGCCTATGCAAAAGTCCATGGTCCCGAACAGGCTCTCCGGATCATCTCGGACGAGCGTAGAGTGTTGGACAAAGTCAATGAATTTGTGGCCAAACATGGCGTTCAATGCGACTTCCATTTAACGTCTACTTTTGACGTCTGTATGACTCCGGAATTCGCGGTCTATGAAGCGGAAAGCTTCCAGCAATTCAAAGCAGCTGGTGGAGATGTATCGCACATTCGTCTCTACGAAGGTGCGGAAGCGCAGGCAAAGACAAGAATCCCGGACGCGATTGCAGCGTACGAGTGGCCGGCTGGTTCGAGTCACCCGGCCAAATTGGCTCAGTTCTTGCTTGAATCGGTCATTGAAAGAGGTGTGAGGCTTTTCACATTCTGTCCCGCCACTGAGATTGTCCAGTCCCAAGATGGGGTTTCATGGGACGTTCATACTCCGCGAGGAGCAATATGTGCGAAGAGAATTGTTCACTGCACCAACGCTCATGCAGCTCTTCTATTACCCCAGCTGGAGCTCTATCTTCGGCCCAATCGCGCCCAGGCCCACTCGCTTATCCCTACCGTAGCTTTCACGGCCAACAATGCCCTCCGGCAGACCTTTTCGCTGCGATACAGTCTTCATCATTTCTACTCATTGATTCAACGTCAAGAAGATGGCACGTTGATCTTGGGGGTCTCCCGCTCAAATCCGACGTTGAGTGCGGAGACATTGGCGAGTCGCTATAGCATCGACGACTCGCATTTCAACGACGAAATTGTCCAAGATGCCCTCAGTAGCTTCAAGAAGATATTTCCAAACTTTTCACAAAATACCCGAGACATTCGTGGGGAGGGGTTGGATCATGCATGGTCAGGAATCATTGCCATGACCACTGATTCAGTTCCGTTTGTCGGTGCCATCGACTCTCTGCCAGGCCAATACATTTGCGCCGGCTTCAATGGCCATGGTCAGTAATATTTGAGGCAATTCTGACGGCTCTCTCAATCGAGAACTAACCCGGAAGTCTCACAGGAATGGCACGAATCTTTACTTGTGCGCCTGGAGTGGTCAAGTTGATGCTCGGGGGACAATGGAGCGACACAGGACTACCCGAATGTTTCCAATTTACACCCAAACGACTCGCCCGATTATTAGGCGGAGACATCCCATCAATATGGTAGAAAGCAGAACTGAAAGAAGGCAAAGAATACCAAACGCTAAATCACCGACGAGTCTTCGGTCTGACTTCTTCCAGTGATCGTCTCGTGTATATCATTGTTAGAGCCGCCACGCTCTTGTATGCCACCCGTGATCTGTGTCTACCGAGGATGATGTCTTTACGACAATCTTCGGCTATCATGTGAAGTTTGCTGGCCAAGGTAGCCCTGGGCTTCATTCTGGGCAAATCTTTGTACATTGACCAGGCCCCCGAAAAAAGTCAGACATGGTACTTTGACATGATCGACAACAGGTTCAAGTGCATGTACCCACTTCATGGCTTTATATTCTGCATTCAGAAAAGAAAAAGAGGAGCCTCTGCCAACTTTTCGGAATATTTCAACACATTTTCCCAGCCTCCATTCATCTCCAGAAGAAAGAGTTACCCCTTCTCCAAACTTTAGCTTGATAAGTTTTGCAAAAGTTTGATCATAGTCTCGACACTATCACGCGCGTCCACTAAAATATATGAGAAGATCGCACGATTAATCACTACATGGAAGAGATTCCTAAACCAGACGTCTCCCTATTGAAGGTACAGTGATTGTAGCATTCATTATATTCCCCAAGCGGCATGTCAACCTTATCTTCCAATCCCACCTACATACTGATGAAACAACCTTACGCTGTTGTTCGCTCGCACCATGTTTTTAAGTTAAACTTTGCTGATTCCTTGAATTTGAGATATGATCGAAATTTCCCGAAAGTTTATCTTGGTCCATGTCCCGTGTTGGGGCTATTCATCCATCTTCCAGCATATCCCACCCACCCTCTGCCTGCATCCCCAGATCGAGTCAAAATGAAACGCCAGTCTTGCACGATTGCCATCTTCGACTCCTGGTATTTACGGTCAAGATCTCTAATGAGGTATCATGCTCTGGATCTTCCCAGTTAGAGTGGCTCCACAGGGCTGGTCACTCCGAGAAGATAATACTTCCACTTAACAACGCAAAACTTGGCCTCTCCTACCATTTCGCTCATTTATGCTTATAAAGCCAAGCTGCTCTGAGCCCAAGCCGCATGATTAAGGTTGCTCCACTTTGAATGCGGAAAGGTGAATACTCAACCCCAATGGAAGCCCACACGGGCACGGGCTCGACATTCAGCCCCTAGAAACAAATGAAAACACATGAACGCAAGTTCTCGCATGCTTTTGGAGCTGACATGATCCCCTCAAGCCACGATCAGCAACGTTGAATGACAGCAAGAAATGGAAATCTTCTCCCTCGGCGGCACATGCACTCCTCCGCTCTCGAACGATATTTGGTGAAGAAAATGGCTTGACCTTGAATCGGAGTAGACTAGAGACCTGTGACTGGCCGAAAGCGAGAGGAATGCTACAGGAGAAATGCTTGCTTGAGGAAGGGTCGGTCTCTCGAGAGGCCTGGTACGTTCTGTAAAAGCCCCTTGATAGGAACGCAACATGCGGAGGAATGAAAGATCGGCATGTCCGGTCCGAGATATCGTCAAATATGCACAGCGCCATGGAGTCCAGAAAGGCTCCGAATGGAAATATATGGGGTGTGTCTCCTTTTCGCTTGCGAGGAAAATGAATGAAAAAGACAAACATTCGCTGTAATTGATTGTGTCCTATCCCACGCTTCACTTTGACCGCTGCGAATAGCACCCGGTGTTTGCGCTGTCAGTTCAAGATTGTACAAGTATCAACTGCGTTTTGACTTCAACATTTCATCATGCTTTCCACTCGATATCGTCTTGTCCTTCTTTTGCCCATGCAATTGGCAACGGGGTTTTTGGTGTCTCCACCGAGAGGAACAGCCCATCCTGACACTGCCGCCGATTGTTCTGGCTGGGTGTCCTCCGCACCTGGGACAACTTGTGCCAATATTGAAGCTTCACAGTCGATCACAGCCGAACAATTTGCGACCTGGGTGCGTAATTTCGACCTCTTCGCTACGTCTCCGCGTAAATACAGATCTATTCACTAATTCCTTCACGCAGAACCCAGCGAGCACTCTATCAGACGGATCTTGCGCCATTGTCTCGGGATACGATTACTGCGTTCAAGTCAACTATGGCAGAGCGACCACCACTCCCACCAACGTCACGACGCCTCCAACTACAGATGTGTCTGGCGTCGCGAGTAGCTCCCTCTCTCCAACAGCAAATGCCTTGGCTCCCGACACCTCCAACTCCAATTCAGCTGCGGTCATATCAAGCGACAACAGTGGCAGTAGCGACAACAACAACAAAAACAATAAAAATACCCCCAGCCCCATTGAGCCCGGCGTGATCACCGGGTGCAATGCCTACCACTCTGTCGCCGCTGGAGACTCGTGCCAGAGCATCGTCGCAGAAGCTCACATCGACATGGCCGATTTCATGAAATGGAACCCTAACGTTGGACCCGGCTGCGCAAACCTCTGGCTCGGATACTACGTCTGTACCGGAGTCATCACGCAAGCCCCCAGTTCCGCCAGTCCAGTTCCCACTACTCTCTCCACGATTCCGACCCCGGTGGTAGCAGCTTCAGTAGCAGTAGCTACCCCGTCTACCGCTTCATCGTCAGAAATCCCCGAGTCGACCAATGCCCCGGCGGCTTCGGCATTGCCTCCGGCTCCAGCTTCGTCTGCGGCCGTGGTCCCGCCAAACCCGGTGCAGAAGGGCATTGCCTCGCAGTGCGATCACTACGAGATGGTCAAGGCAGGTGATACGTGTTATTCGATCTCCATGGCGGAGGGTGTCTCGCTCTCGGACTTTTATACCTGGAACCCATCGGTGGGCACTGACTGCTCCAACCTGTGGCAGGGTTATTACGTGTGCATTGGTGAGGGCAAGACTGTGCCTGTGGTGAACTCTGTGGCTGTGGCTGCGTCTGCGTCTACGTCTACATCGAGCACCATGAGGGTTGTAGCTCGAAAGGCTCGTCCAACCTCGTTTCAGCGTCGAAGGGTCTAGGCGGACCACGGATGTGTTTGTGGCAGGACTTCAATGTGTGTGTGTGTGTGTGTGTAGAGAGAGAAAGACGTCATGTTGTATGGATTTGTAGGAGACTTCCGACTCAGCGTTTGTTGGAACTGGCTTGTGGGCTTGATCAGTGTAGAGCAGTCTAATAATTTCTAGCATTACTAATTAACAGATCATACATGGTCCTTCTCAGTCGTTTCGTAGCTTGTAGCTCGAGACCTTGTCATTCAACCGAGGAATTTTGAGGGGATGTTCACGAGGAAAGGCATGGTTGGAGAAAGATGGAGAAAGTAGGGTGTGCAGCATTGAAGTTGAACCCGATCTACTCTTTGGCAACTATTGATATAACAACCCTCAATGTCTCTCATTTCGCCCATCTTCGCCACTGACCAGATATGGACTATTACCTTAGCCTTCATACTTATAATTAGAGTGCTTCTAGTACCTGCCGTGGTCTTGTCCCTGTCTCTGTCCAATATGCAGCTCAAGTTTGCGTACGTACGAACGGCTTCTGGTAGCAGAAGAATGGAAGGTCCCGACATCGGAACTGTTTGGTACCAGTAGATACTCAGGTACCTACCTACTACCCTAGTGACCAAGTGAAGACGAATAACGGCAAGCCCACCCCATCGTCTCAAGAGATCGTGCGCATTCCTTTAACATGTCGGAAGTAGGTATGATTCAAGAAGAGTGGCAAGTGCCAATGCGCTATAACCTGGCCGTCAGTAGTAACAGGTGACGTTTCAAGGCCAGTGCATAACTGCATACTGCATAAGTGCATAGCCATACATACACGATCCGATGTCGGCCCTCTCCTCAATCCGCAGCATAAGTACCTCCGGTCAATGGTGACCGAGTCGTGTCAACTCCAACCCATCCAGAGAAGCACTTATTATATATAAACCGCCTAACTGCACTTAGTGTACCATCTTTTTTCCATTCTCTGTGCAAGTAAAATACCAGACATAGAATCTCTTCGTCTTGACACACAAAACAATTAAAATTGCTTTTTTTATCCCTCGCAACTCCACGACGACAATCAAAGTGCCAAACACCCTCAAAGAATGGCATCCTCCAAATCAGAATCAGCCACCTACACCCACGGCCACCACGCCTCAGTAGTCCGCTCTCATAGCTGGCGCACCGCCCAAAACTCCCTCGCCTTCTTACTACCCCATCTCAAGCCCGCCATGAAAATCCTCGACGTCGGCTGCGGACCCGGCACCATCACCGTGGATCTCGCCTCCCGCATTCCCCAAGGCCACATCACGGGCCTCGAGCGAGCAGGAAGCGTCCTGGTGGAGGCGCGCGCCAACGCCGCAAGGCAAGGCGTCTCGAATGTCGACTTTGTCGAGGGCGATGCAAACGCACTGGACTTTGCGGATGAGAGCTTCGACCTGGTTTTTTGTCACCAGGTGCTTCAGCATGTGGGCGATCCCGTAGGCATGTTGGCGGAAATGAAGCGCGTGACGAAGAAGGGCGGCATCGTGGCGGCGAGAGAGTCGGATTATGGCGTGTTTGTCTGGTATCCGGAATTACCGGGGCTGAAGCGCTGGCAGGAGTTGTATGATCGAGTTGCGAGACGGAATGGCGGAGAGCCAAATGCGGGTCGGACGCTGCATGTGTGGGCGAGAAAGGCCGGTCTGACAAACGTCAAGTGTTCGTGTACCTCGTGGTGTTACGCGACGAGGGAGGAAGTCAAGTGGTGGAGTGAGACGTGGATTGAGCGGTCGTTGTCCTCGTCCTTTGCAACGACGGCGGTGGACCATGGAATGGCACGGAAAGAGGATCTGGAGGCCATTTCGCAGGCTTGGAGGGAATGGGGCCAAGACCAGGATGCATGGATTTCTATCCCCAGTGCCGAGATCTTATGTGTCAAGCAGTAGAAGAAGCACTCGATCATGGATGCGAGAGATGTGGGAAGATCTCGGAAATGAAGTAGATTGGTAATTGCCAGACTATAGCGAACTCGAATATAGAGATAGCCCTGTGTCCTTGGGGATAATAGCCCTCAGTAGGATAGCACCAGCACAAACCTCCAGATTGTGCGGCTCCCACCGTATCACTAGGACCTGCGTTTCAGCCGGACTCCGATAACGACAAAGTTCACATGAATGTGTCAAGCCTCCCAGTTACAAGAATAAGCCAAACAAACAAACAAACAAACAAAAAAGACTCCTAAATCAAGCCGATACATTTTCCTGTCATATCATGCCTCTGGCTGGAATTCATAACGTCGCCAGTTCTCACTGACCCACCATCGCGTGACATGCGCTGCTTCAATCACCCACTTGACGGCTGCCTCGCCGTGTACCTTTTCAACCTGCTTCAGAAGGGGGTCGAGGGTGAACGACTGAAGCGGTCGCTCCTCATACGGGTCCAGGTCGACGTCGGAGAATCGCCATTCCACATCAGACACAAGCGGAACGACGAGTCGGTATGCTTGATCAGCAGAGCGGACGGCCAACCATGTCGCACCTGTATTCATGACAGTAAATTGCCAGTCCACTTTGCCGTCTCTCTCAGCCACGAGTTCGCGGATCATGGATTGGCCTTCGTACAGTGGGAGAAGATCTCTGATGGCATGTGCAGCCTTTTCGTCAAGGGACCCAGATTCCACCAGGAGATCCATGATCGTCGGCACGATTTGGATCGAGGTAACACGCCCATCGATCTGGATGTGAGGCAGTTTCGGATGCGAGAAAACGAGTGGCACGTGGAAACTAGACACGTGGGGATTATCGTAGGGAGTGACCCCTCCATCCTCAATCAAGGAGATACCGCTATCACGCACACATAAAAGGTCAGCATGTTACTTCTCGGATGCCGGGTCATGCGACATGAGAACCTCAACGAAAGAGTAGAATAACTTACTGATCACCGACCAAGACAACCAAAGTCTCATCAGCAACTCCGGCTTCCTCAATAACGTCAAAGACCTCTCCAATCCAACGATCCGCAACACCCAATGTATTGAGGTACGAATTCATCCGCTCTCGACGGTTGAAGAAAGTATGATGCATGAATTCCTCAATCTCATCACCCACAGGCATATCCCAGGGGAAGTGAGTCTGACCCGTCAGGTGAGTCAGGAAGAGACGCTCATGGTTCTCTTCAGCATTCTTCAGTGCATTCACAAAGTACGGCCGCAGTTCATGTTCTGGATAGCCCCAAAAGTTGAACTTCTCAGGCGGATGGATGGACTGCTTCTCTTCCCAGTCCTTTTCTGCCCAATCTTTGTCAATTGTGGTGTCGATAACTTTGTCTTTGAAGCCCAGGGCAGGAATGAGGAGGTCTTGGTTGTCATAAGTATCAGTGATACTTTGCATGAAGACCGGGTGCCAGGGCCAAGATGTGAAATCGTCCGCCTCGACCTTGCTGTCGTCATCACCACCGGACACGGCATTGAGGGCTTCGAGGACATGCGGCATGCATGGCTCGTAGATGTGGTGCAGATATTCTTTATTAAAGTCGACGACCAAGGGGGCAATTCCGCACACACTTGCCAAGATACTCTTCAGCGTAAACGTATCGCCAGTATACGCGTTGGTCGCGTACATTCCGCCACGGGGCTGCCAAGAGTGGTCGCTATGACCCCAGCCAGCTGAGACACCAGTAAGTTTTTCAGCATTGCGAGAAAGGTTGGCAAGTCGTTCATCCACAATATCAGGTACCGTGCCACCGTAAGAATTGCGAATGATCTCACCAACACGCGAGTCGTTGCGAACGGGAAAGACATCGAATCGGGTACTCTCCAGCTTGAGCAGAAACACATGCTTGATCTTCACATCGCCGCTCTGGATTGCGTGACGCCATGGCCCCACAATATCACGATCCAGATTGGAAATTTTCAGAGGGTCCTGGGTCGGGTCGTAGTGTAGCGCAACTCCCTCCTTGCCATTCTCGTACCAATCTCGAAACCCGGCCAGCGCCTGCGGTGGCAGCCAGTCGAGGTGTTGAGGGGAGGCAAGAGCGGAGTGATTGTAAAGCCAGCTAAAGTCTCCCGGTAGATCCGGAGGAATCTCCACTGTAAAAGTTGACTCACGCTGAGGCGGCTGCTCAAATGGCGTGAGAATGACCGTCTGGGAGAGGAACGTGTACGCCACGTCGGATGGACGCATAGCTCTTAGCACTAGAGCTATTATGGTAATAGCGGCCACCACGACACGCAGGACGAGAGACACGGGTCTCCTGACGGACACCAGTGGCGCTGTCGTAGGGTCGTGCAGGCCCAGCATGGCCTCCGAGTCTGGATTTTCCTCGTCCCAGTCGTTAATTGCGACTTGGGCATAGCTTTTTGGGTCGTTCAAGGACTGCTGCCGCTTCCAGCAAAAGAAGAGTGGTCTCAGCGTCACAAATAGCACGTGTGTCCCCTTCTCAGCCCAATTGAAAATATATGGAGTCGAGATCCACGCCGCGACGCCGAAGATGACTTCCATCACAACAATGCCTGTCAGTCCGGCTAATAGAGTCTTGACAGAAGCGGGATCTCGGTGGAATGAGTGCGCTTGTCGCCAATGGATCTCGGCGCCCGTTTGTGTGTAGAAGGAGAAGTTCGCCGCCGCCAGTCCGGATGTCAAGATACTAGAATGATCGCAAAGAGCTAAAGTCAGTTATTTTTTCTTGTCATCATCCGCACGATCTAACTGCAACAGCCTCAGAAAAGGCGAGGATTCTTTTTTCTGTGTGTACCTGAGCAGCACGGCCACCGGCGCGCCAATAATGCGGAGCCATCTTTGCCAAAAATTTTGGCAGAGAGCTTGCGCGACGAGGATACAAGCGATATCCTGGAGGAAAAATGTCGGACCCCAGAGCATAAACTTGGTCGGTGACAGCGAGTTGAGGTGAGAGTAGATATGTAGCAGCTTCGCGCAAATGACACTGATGACGAGGAGAGAGAACCAGTACTGGCGCGAGGCGGGCCAGTAGACATCAAACCATAACGTCGGCGACAGAAGAATGCGGGTGATATTCTTCAGATGCTGTCGCGTGCTGACTTTCTTCATGGTGCGAACGGTTCTCCGAGCGCAGCGGAGTCCCTTTTCCCTTGCCAAACACAGAGAGTTTCGGTACGGCTTGCCGGCGATTCTCCATTCCAGAGTTTGAGGTTTTTCAATAGAGTTGTCGCTATTCCGACCGCGACAGGTCAGAATGTCGGACTGAATTGAAGATGAGGAAGGAAAAAGAGCCAAATCGGTTTGAAAAAGAGGATTAGAAAACTTGGAGAGTTTCGAAACGAGCAACGAAGCCCACTGCATAGCCAAGCAGTGGGCGGCGGAGACTCCGAATGGCGGTACATGTTACCCTGTCCATCGGACTGGTCCAGGACTCCAGTCCGTTTGGGGAGCAGTGGACACTCTGGACAGTGGACACGAGCAACACCAAGTCTCGAATCAGGCGTTCCAAATTCACTGCCAATGATCTGATTATTTTCACCTCTGACATTGGGGGCCGACACAGAACATGGGTCCACACTACTGGGGGCAAGCTCTCCACTGTCCGAAGGCTGTAGCTGTAGCATCGCGGCTGTGCATCTCTTGACATCACTGCAACGCTGTCCAAAGAGTCATGAGGCACCGGGCCCGGTGCCTGAGCGTACTGACAGTCCGGTTTCTGACTTGGGAAGAGCGAGTCGGTCAAGATGGTTGCTGTTGGGCCTTCTCCTCCTGGAGCACTCACTGGGACACAAATGCAGAACCACCACGTCAAGGTTGCAGTACCTTTCTACCTTGAACCTTGAACCCAGTGGCCCACATGTCCCAAATCGTAACCGCTCCCACGGCGGACCCGAATACGGGTCGTATCGTTCATTCGTCCTCCATGCAAGCAACTCTACAAGGAAAGGACGTTGGTCCGTCCTCCAAGTCGGTGAATCTCTCAGACCCTGAATCCACATGTTGATAAGAGAGTCTATGCTCTGGCGCATCACGACAGAAGCCCCGATCCCAGCGCAAGTTGTAACAGTACGGAGAAAAGGTACCTGATACATTCGTACATGACAACGGGAGAGCCCCTGGAAAGCTTGGCAGCCTTGGCATACGACACATCGAAACATTGGACTTCAAACCGGATTAGCCCCTTGTTCCCGACGGTGCATTCAAGGTTCGAGGGTGAAGAGGTTTCGCTACCTTCTTCGGTTTTTAATCAAGCAATTGTCATGATTGTCCTCGACTCAACTCAGGCAAAGATATAACCTGCGAGCTTAATCCTCTCAAAGGGGTGGTAGACCATTTGCTGGCCGTCTTGCACATCAAGCCATCGAAACCAAGATACTGTAACTTTCGAGAACCGAACGCTTTACGCTTGTATATACCTAGTAAGATACACTCGGGCAGTACAGTACTACTGTAATGACTAGTAGTAATTTACTAATTACTAAATCCTCGCCAATGCCAGGACGCGATCATCAGTACCGACCGTACCGTATTGTACACAGGCGCCTGGCCCTGCAGCAGTTACATGCCCAGGGCAGTGCAACTGCAGGCTGCTTCGGTTCCCATCTCCACAATCCCAATTCATACGAAGTTACGAACCACCAGCCTGTCAGGAGTCATGACATAAAGTATGTCATTCAGACACGGGCAGGGCTGAGACCAAGGGGGCCAAATGTCTGTCAGTCTACCTCGATGAGTTGATTGTGAGGGTTTCCAACAAGATCGGTCATCACCAGCGTGACAGCGTCTGGTATCTATATATGCCCGCGCCTTGACCATCGACTGAATTTGACCTGGCGTGAGTCTTGAAGATGTTTGACTACCAAAGTGTGATTGTTCTGTTGTTGTGTCAAATATGAAGTACAGGAGATGGTTGGTACTTATCTCACCATCATAATGCTGACCATACATTTCGTCAATCCGTGGACGCCCTGCTACAGTCGGTAGGTAGGTAGGTAGGCCTGGATGGATAAGGTATTCTCTAGATGGTCTTATCCATGAGCCGGTTTCAGTGGCGACCAAGTAGTGTGTTGCCGACCGGTCGATTCGAAGCTGGAGGCTATGCTGCTGCCAGCATGGGCATGAGGCTCAAACTTGACGGAGAAACCTTAAAGTTGTCAATTAATTTTAACTTTCATGTTGATGGATCATCAATGATCTGCCTTACTTACCGACCGGATTTCCTATGCCAGGTCTTGGCTATCCCTTTCCGTTTTCGTACTCAGACCCTCGCCGCTTTTGCTCACTGAGTAGAACTGAGCACGTCTCTGAGCGCTCTGATCCGATCAGTGAGCATTATGTAAGGCAGTAGTACGGATCTGCTCACTGAGTATGATCCACTCACTGAGCGCTCTGATTTGCTCACTGAGCACAACCTGAGCCTAAGGTATCTCAATAAAACGCAATACGCTAGCCCCATCCACGTGAAATCCTCGTTCTTTAGATTGCCCCCACTGTCCCATCGAAAAAGCATTGGCATCAATGGCCTGACGTTTCATTTTGGTACGCTTACTGATATTCATTGAGCCTCGATGGAGCCTAATAGTTAATCGCCCAACCTATCAATCAATTAGACTCTATGCTCCTGGGAACTCTTGCCTACTGGTTCCACGGTCTACTGGATAGGCATGAAGGGAGTACTAGTCTTCGAACAATTACAAGAATATACTAGGAGACCATAAGTCTCACTCTGGGCAAGGCCCCGCTAGGAAAAGACTGTTATGAATGTAATGGCGAAGCATGTTGAGATGAGGGATAGGGTCTAGGAGGAGCGATAGCATATGCCAGCCAATTGAGTAATATTGAAGATATCTAAGATAACCCCTGAGTGGGAGTGTGCTATACACACTTCCCGAAGATCCACGTTACCGTATAAGGCTAGTGTGCCTCAGGGAGGACTACCTACTATCTACTAAGGCCTCAGCGGCATTGAAGACTGCTGAAACCTCAACAAAGCACAGCTTCTCTCTGTTAAGCATGCGCACCGGAACGCCTGTTTGACTGACCTCTTTCTTCCCGGGCTGAGCAGCCGCCAAAAGAGATTGTTCCTGGGAAACCTGCTGGATATTCCTGGGAGCCTATCAGACTCCACGCCATTTTGTGGACGCGTGTTGTCTTCACTAATTCGCTTATAACCATTCTAGATTCCTAGGAACTCAAAACTTAGGTAGTACTCCTAAAGACGTTGACTGATTGATTGATTTATTCATAGACTGTCCCAGCCACCCTAAGGTAGCTATGCAGCGTCCATCTATAAGTACAGGTGTCCCCACCCTTGCTTTCAGACAACAAGCCGTCCCCGCCAGAACTGCTTCCTTCTTCCGCTCCGGCCGGTCGTACTCCTAAAGACGTGCTAGTGATAGATAGTGTTAATTCCAATCAGGATATATATTTAAACCCTCCCACCTTAAAGAAATCATTGTAACGGCTGATGCCCGCATATGGCCACGTGACCGCGGTCTTCAGCCCCATCCGGTTACGGAGATGGCCCACTTTTCTTTCCTTACTGTAAGATTATTGTAAAGAGCATGTTGGCCTAGTACAATTGAATCAATTCTGCTACAGCTCTTCACAATAATCGCCTTTATCGCTCTCAGTTAAGTATATCTTTCTAGGGAGATAAACCGCCCCTGCGTACTATAATAAGTTCACCCTTTGTCGTTCTGTTTAAGAGCTATCTGCTAACTTATTCTAGTTCCTCCTTTCATAATGACAGAATCAACGAGAAACAATAATTCCGCCATACAAGCCGCAGAGGCTACTCAGGATAGCATTCTTGACCGCCCGAATAATCTCAAAAACACCTTCCTTACAAGCTAAGTTTTAGGAAGAACATTATTACCGACTCTCCTCTGTCGAAAAGGCGATAGGAGGATTTGCATTAATACTTAGCCAGTCAATTTCTTGTAAACACAGTATTCAAGTCTTGTATTATCTTCGGGGTTACAATATTCCTTGATGAGGCTATTCGCATGTTCGTGCCTTGGGCCAAAGTCCTTTGGGGTCTCCGGGGACTTGACGTCTCGTCGGGGTTTCGAGAGCTTGTCGAGCCCGCATTACATTTGGATAGCGACTTTGAGCAACCAAGTTACCTGCACAAGACATCGAAACGTTTTCAAAGAGCGGGCTGATGATCCTAGTAACCCGGATTCTGGCATCTCTGGTGCCTTCGAGGACATGGAAATACGCGTCTTGACCGAGCGGCTGGAAGTATTGGAAAATACCTTAGAGATGGCTATGGAAATCTCCGCAACGTATTCTCACTTGAAATTCGCGTCCTCGATCAACCAGCTCACTAGATATCTACACCAGGTTCACTGCTTTTTCCAACTCGATGGCTATCTCTGATGCAGACTGGAATTCTATATTGACTAGAGAAAATGATTTACTATCCGCAGTTATCAAGGCGAACAAACGACAACGTGTGCACTGAAAGAGACGAGAGGTAGTCAATCGAATGGCGTCCGAAATTGAAGGGTGGAGCTTCGGAATAATTTTCCTTTTGCTGCGATTTGCTACTCGCACATATTTACTTGCATGTACTAGAATACCACTAAAAGTTCAAATTTCCTTAAGCCAGTTTCTCCTCGTTTCTACATAAATCTATAGAATGACTCTATGCAAGGACGCAGTGTTACGGGGCTCTCCTAGAGTCTACGTCGAACTTACTTGAAGTAGCCTTAAAGTAGGATTAATGTCCTAGGAGAAGTTAGACTATATGAAACTCGAAAACCGCCATCGAATATTTGGATATACCTCAGACTACTTATGAACGGGCTAGCCATTTAAGGCTCGCCTCTGAGAATACGCTATGCTAGTGATAGTGATATCATTCTCTAGAGATACCAGTTAATGATAATCCCGATCCGAATATGACGGCCGCCTCCTTCAAGCAGAATCCGGACATCGTCCTTGAGTCTTGACGTTGTTTCAAACCATCTAGCCTTGAAAGAAATTGAAGAAAGGAATTAGGTATTATTATTAATTATATAGGCTGGTGGCTGACCGTATTAAGGCAAAATTCTAACCATAAGAGCAACAAGCTGATAGGAGATGATATAAGGTCAAGCGGTTTTGAGTTTCAGCTCTTTAAAGACCTTGTCGGCTTCCTCACGCAATTGCCCGATATCGAAGTATACAATAGTTTTTGGGTCTTGATTGGCTCGTAGGGTGGTCAAGAATATGTCGTCAAGTGTGACTCCGAGACGTTGGCCTTGGCCTCGAAGCAGCCTTGGAACAGGGTAAATATCCTGGGAGATGTTAGACCATAAATACTTAGAAAAGGCCGGCCATCGAATGTTTGGACATACCTCGGACTGCTCGTGAATAGGATGGCCATCTAAGCCTCGCCTCCAAAGATCCACTTTGCCAGTAACAGTAAGACCATCCTTCTGTAAATACCAGTCGATCACAATCACGACCCGGATATGGCCGCCTCCTCCTTCAAGGAGAATGCGGACATCGTCCTTAAGCCTCGAGGCATTTTCTGACCATCCAATTTCGAAAGCAATTGGGGGAAGGAATTCTGAATCAGAGTCGTACGGCCGAATGTAGATATCAGGCTCCTTTTGAAATTTCGGGAATGGAGACATGGGTAGCTTCAAAGTAGTCCCAAAGCCGATTTTCAGACCTCTCCATTCTTCCTTGCTAATGATTCCATCGTCCTTCCAATCCACGACGGAATTGATGACCCATTTTTGAGCGATGTCGTGTCCTTGGGTCGGCATTTTGAGACTCAATGTTCGAGCTTGAGAGTCCCAGGTTTTCCTTAAAAAATCAGTCTTCAAAGAGCCAAATCTGCGATTAAAGAGGTAAACTCACCGTACCCGGAATCTTTCATCGATGGCTTGAAAAAGAGCGTTCCCCCACTCACGACGTACGTCTGTGAAGAGGTAGACCGTAATCCCGCGAAGAAAGTCCGACGTTTGTTGTTGCCACTTTTCCAGTTCTAGGGTGATAAAGCTCAGAGTCTCGGATATATCCTGGTACCGCTGCACCGAATTCACCCGAGTAGAGTCCCAATATAAGGGACGAGTTTGGGACTCGGTTGGGGAGAGAAAGCCAGTGTCAGAGTCTACGCGACTCGTCGAAAAAGGCTGGATGCCTGCAGAATCTTGGGATTCCGGGGGGAGGGGTGGCCGGTGCCAGAGTCTGCACGGCTCGCCAAAGAAGATGGGATATCGGACGACGAAGCTTGAGACTCGGTCGGGGAGACGACGCCGCCGAGTGAGTTCAAGCGACTCGCCGAAGCAAGTGGGATCCTGAATCTCGACATGATGAGGGGGAGAAAAGGGCTGGGAATGAATATAGAGAGAGGTAGAAAGTAGTCAGGTTGAGAGAAGGAGGCTGGCGGGAAAAGGGAAGGAAAGAGCGTAAGAGAATAGGAAATGGAAATCGCGTCGGTGATGTCAGCGATGACTTGGTAGGGCTTAGTCCAGTCCAGGTGAACTTGGATTGCTTGCGCCGTGGAATGTACCGACAGCTTACGTTATATATCTCACTCCGGTCGTCCATCACAAGTTTGATTTGCAGTTCTGCAATCCCACCAAACAGCCTTTCAGTACAATTGAGAACCGATGTCATCACTGGTCGCCATTTCTACTTTTTTGTCTCGTTGCAAATTGACTGTACCAGCGAACAAATTCTTTGAGGAGCATGTGGTCCTTTTATCTTTTTCTTGGGTAGAGTCCTCAGCTGCATGATCGCCAAAAACATAGCCGGTCTTTGCTACTTCCTTTCGGTGAGCAAAGAAAAACTTTCGACCCATGACTAAAAGAACCCTAAAACCACGCCGGAAGGACTCAATTGGAGGGGTGAGGGAAGTGAAGGACGAAGGAAATCTGTGCGAGACCTTGAAATAAGGGACATAGCTTCAATTTGTACTTCAGTACTTGGGCACAGACAGATCTTCGTAGACCGATGACCGAGGACAGCTTTATCTCTGCGCCGGTGCATGATAGATAGGACCCAAGCCCTCCATTTTTGCGTCATCGTGTTCCAGTGCGTTATTTTTTGAGAGGAAACCAGATTGGAAGATCGAGAACCTCAAAAAACAGGGGCACTGTGAAAGATGAGGTCCATCAAAAAGTAGGTCGTAAGATAAACAGTACTGTGGGGCAAAGCGCTCTTTTGGGTATGGACTGAGCATCGACTAAGTGCTTGAATAGATGCTTTTTGATCAACCTCCGCGTAATAAGTGATGGATCAGAGAGCAGCCAATCACAGTCACTGAGCACTCACTGGGCAGCTCAGTGAGTCTGAGCCCAGACGGAAATTTACTCAGTGAGCCTGACTCTGAGCGCCCTCATAAAAGCGGCGGCATCTATGTAAGATAGGAAAACCCCACCCGGCATAGGAAAAATGGTACGTATAGTGTACCTACCTTACCATTGGGATAGGGGAAACATTTCCGCGTCTATTGAAGGTTACTTTCAAGATCAACACCAGATCAATTCATGACTCTCATCTGCCACCTTCCATCATAAACCCAATCCACTCTAGATACCTATATGTATGCTCAATGATTTGACCTCGAGGTAAGTTCAAGCCGATAAGGCCTACATCCAGTGTATATCCATACATAAATCCTTCAATTATGGGAGAAACCCCGCCCGTGGCTTGTCAGTCATCCTCATGGAAGTCCTGTCATGGTATCTGGGCTTATTGCATGAAACTTCCATCTAAACTGAACTTACCTAGGCAAGGTTAGTCTTTTCCATTTCAATCAAGATTGCCCATCAAGTCGGGTTGCCCACTGATGGAACCTTAAGTCGACCCGACTACATTCCACTGGCTGGCCCCCCCAAAAAAGACAATACAATAACAACCTCCTTAAGAAAATGGGCTTCTCACTTCATCCGTACTCATATGAAGGCTGTGCATCAAATCAATGACTCAATCTAGTGACTTGTCTTTGCATGTGACTACATTTTATAATTCACCTCCTCCATACGCAATCCACTATTCTTGATGATGTTGAATATATTAGGAACGAGATGAAGACGCAGGATACATAGGGGAAATCTTGTTTTCGATTTTGGCTTCCAGGGCATTGATAGCCCCGCCTATGAGAAAAAAAGACACTTTATTATACACAAGAGACTAGAAACCAGGCGTCAACGCCGGTCTCGTCTCGATTTGCTCAGATCCATTTCCAGCGTTGAGGGGAGGTTGCACAGAGGCAAGAACCCATCTAGTGCTTGAGGGTGAGGACACCGGGGCGGTAAGGCAGAACGTTGTAGCCGGGGTTGGCGTTGGGGTCACGGCCCTGGTACAGGAACTGGAGGTTGCACATGTCGATGGTCATGGTCTGATCGGGGTTGGTGCGGACGAGGTCACCGTGGCTGATGTCGTTGGTCCAGCTGGCACCGCTGTTGGCCTTGCCGGCGAAGGGAGCGCTCTCAGTGGCAGCGTTGGGGGTCCACTGGCCGTTCAGGCTGGAGGCAGTGAAGGAGCGGAAGTAGCGGCCGTGAGCACCCATGGCCTCAACGATCATGAGGTACTTGTTGTCACCAGAGACCTTGTAGACCTGGACAGCCTCGAAGAGGTTGGCGGTGGAGTCGCTCATGACAACTTCGGAAGCACTGCCGAAGGAGCCGGGGAAGTTGTTCAGGGGCATGCTGGAGCGGTAGATCTTGCCATTATCGCCGGCGAAGAACAGGTACATATTCTGGTTGTCACCGATCAGGGTCTGGTCGATGGGACCGGTGCCGCTGTTGGAGATCGAGCCGGTGAACAGGGCCTGCTGAGGACCCCAGCCATTGGCATTGGAGGGGTCCGTGGAGGTACGGTAGGAAAAGGCGGTAGCACCCCACTGGTAGGCAAGAACCCAGATGTTCTTCGGAGCGAAGAAGAACAGAGTAGGGGCCACGGCATTGAAGTTCATGGCGTTCTGGCTGGCGGAGCCCATCTGGGACCAGTCGCTGAAAAGGCCAAAGTTCATGGAGTGGTAGTTGCCCTGGGCGTCGGCCACAGAGGCGTAGACAAGGTGCTTGCCATTGTAGACAACGTTGGTGAAGTCCTTGATAGAGGTCCAGCCGTGCTGAGGCTGGGCCAGAGCACCGGTGGAGGACCACTTGTACTGACCCTGAGAAGGAATAGGGCAAGCGGCAGACGCAAGGGTACCAGCCGATGCGAGAAGAACAGTGAAGGACGACCACAGGTCGAGGTTGGTAATAGGAGAACGCATGTTGATGAAAAAAGGTGGCAAAGACTGGTGAACAAAACAAAAGTATAAACAGGAATGAAAGGAAGCGAGGTTATGAGTGAAATAAAACCATCGAACAGGCGCGATGGTTGATCAGTTTATATAGCCCTTCGACTTCTTTCTCCCTCTCTCTCTCTTTCACTCTGTCTTTGTCCTGTCCTCCACTCTCCTCGTCCAATCTTGATTTTGCCCCCCTATCGTCTATCGTCAGATGAATCGACACAGGAGGTAATCTCTAGCACAAGACTGGAGTAGCTCCACAGTGGAGAGAGCCCGATGGAGAGAGAGAAGGGACGGTGAAGTAGCTTAGCCATCGATTCATTCCGACACGCGCACCCAATGTCTTAGTTGTCAATTCGAATCGGGGTGTTCCGATGTTTCAGCATCTTATTCAGGCGGCACTTCGGAGAGTGAAAACTGGATCCCTCCGGCAGCCGAGATTCTTCAGTCAGACTGCCGCACTCGTAGCATGATGGCACTAGCACCGAGATGGTGCGGCGCTGGTCGGGAATGGAGGCATGAATGGCCACCCTGGACCCTCTTTTAACCGGTGGAAATTGCGGGGAACAGAGACCAATCCATCTGGATTGCTGAAGAACCTGAGTGACGCGGCAAGGCCATCGGAATTTTACTATTCTCGACAAGCCTCTTTGCCGATGGAGACATGCCAAGCCGGTCGTCTGAGACGGAGCCCAACAGATGGTGGGAGTGGTGAGGCGGAGGATGAATTCTGGAGCTCGGCACTAAGGTCCATTTTCCTTGACCAGTGACGCAGGTCCTCTGAGACAAAAGAAGGACGACTTGTGACTGGTTCTGTTTGGCATCGCGACTTGTTCGCCGGTTAAAACAAAGGGTCAATCCAGGCTGTAGCGAAGGGGGGACTCCGAATATAGAAGGATCGTGATGATCTCGGAGAAAGACCCTGAACCCTGTCTGTTTTAGGTTGATCTCCGGGAGTCAAGTGTTAAGACATCTTGAAACGGCAGACAGGCTACCCTCCTATGTACATACCAGACCGGCAGACCCTGACTCGTGAGGTAAATTTTGTATCGTGTACTGCATATTCATTACACGAATGACACTCGTATCCATCACAATCACATGACCATAATAATAACACAGTCGAGGGGAACACAACAGTCTTTGATTACCGCCGAATGCTATGCAGCTCCCCAGAGGCCAATGATGGGTGCGGGTCGCATATTAAAGTTGTTTCAAATGGTAAATGAAAATGTCCCACAGCGTCCACATTTGTCCTCTGCTAAGATTTTCCCCCTTCGCGTCGTTTTAAGTGGTGACTAGGCTAGTGGCACATCTCGAACACGCTACGTGCCGGAGAGGGTTGGAACCGACGGCAGATTATGACAAGGGCCTAGGCCTGGAGACCACAGTCGGGACCGGTGTTTGAGATGCACCTATTTCGCAGAGAGGGAGACGATTAGCACGACTCAATAGCAACGTACACATAGCTACAGTCTTGACTTGTTAGTAGATGACAGCCAGAAATAAACAGTGATAATGATGGGCACGGCTTTTGACTGGCACACTTTCGTGAGAAAATGGACTGCGAATCATTCTTCTATGTACATATGTCGAAGCCAGATAATTAATGGAGCATACTGTAGATTGAGATACGGTCACACCATGGGATCAATAAACGAGTCGGTGTGCGGCATCCACAGCGAAGACGATCAAAGCCAAGCTGGGAGAATTGGAATTACTGCGGTGGATTCGAGCGGACATTGTCCTAACTTAAGGGTATGGAATCCAGCGCGCTCCACCCCGCCGGAGACCAGCTCGCCACAGAAAGCTCCGGAAGTCGTGGGTCTAGAAGTTGTCTGGACTGAGGCTTCCCCAATGGATGGTGGGATCATCCTCTGCCCTTAGTAATCCGAGTCCAAGGACTGCCATTGCGTGGCAAAGGTCTTTCGCGCCCATTCGACATATCCTTTCCACTTGTGCAATTCACTCGAGGTTTTGTGTGGTTCCGTCCCGGAGTATGCCTTATTGAGCTCCTTTGTGATCTTGAGGATCCCAAGCGAAGCTTCCTGTGCCTTTTCCAATTCCTGCTTGACCGCATTATCCTTGGGCTTGAAGGAGAGAACCAAGGTGTAGCGCTCCGACAGCGCGTCAAGGCGACGTCGAGTCTCTTCGGGGGCAATCACCGTCAACTTAGAGGTCATGAGGTTGCAGATGGCTCGAATGTCTTGCTCATCCTCAACTCCCACCACAACTCGGTCAAGGATCTCAGAAATATGACTACGCGCGAAAGCGGTGTCGAGCGATGCGTACAGCGTTTCGTAAGCGCTCTGTCCAGTGTGTCAGTCTCGGGGCTGTGGTAGGAACACGGGCGCGGTTGCTAGGGATGTTTCATACCTTGCGCAGATCAAGACCATCGTCAACCTTGTGTTTAAAGGGGCCCATTTGAACCTCGCGGATCAGCTCAGGCTTGATGGCGGTGTCTCCCAAGACAGATGGAAGTAAATCATTCAAGTGGGGCAGAAGCAGAGACATCTTGTTGTGAATAGCGGAGTTCAGGGTCGTCAATGCGAGGCGATGATTGCCGAGGTCATCGTCCTTGAGCATCTTGCTGAGCAAAGGCGCCATGAGAGGGCGTAGAACGTCGTTGTAAGCATCGCTGGAGTCGGTGAGGGTGAAACGGAACGCCGAAATTGCCACACTGCGTACAATAGCATTCGAATCATCAAGACAATCTTGGAAGTGTGGAATGTAGTTAACGGGATCGATCAACGCCAAGCGACCCACACATTCTGCTCCCACTGCGCGGTTATCTTCCTCTTCTGAAACGACGAGCAGCGCCTGCCAAAGCTTGTCTGCCGCAGGGGCCAGTTCGGGCCGAACAACCTCTGGATGTTGAAGCAGTTCTCGAACAGAGTGGAGCAGCAGGTAGCTTTGCGGATTGGATTTTTGGAGGCCGTTCATCACAACAGGTAGGTAGGTCTTCACACTACCGGCTGCCGCGTTTCCGAGGCCTGTCGCTGCAGCAAGGCGGACATGGTCTGAGCCGGAATCGAAATGTGCCATGAATGTGTCCGGCGTGAGCGCACAGTGAGCGCCCATACGCAATCCAATCTCGCCCAGGATTGCAAGAGCAAGGCACTTGCGACTGTCATCCTTGGCAGTTTGTAGTTCTTTAGAGAAGTCCTCCATTCCGACGCCTAGATTCGATCCGCCGTGAACCAGAAGGGTGCCCACAGCTCGCCCGACTACCGAAGGGTCACCCATGATGCCAACATTCTGCAGAAGACTCTGCATTAATTGGGCGCCCGCACCTTCGTCCCCAATAACCTTCACCAGAAGAAGGAGCGCTTTGAGAACGGTGCCAACAAGCGGTTGCTTGACGATTGAGCAAATAGAGGATATCAACTCGTCATTGACAAGTAACTGTGAGTTTCCAGGTATGATCTTGGCCATAATAATCAGGGCAGGCGTAAGAAGGTGGAAGTCAGGCGTCACCAATAAAGGAAGGAGTGCTCTCTCAAGCGTGACCATTGTATCCGAGCTCAACTGGGACCGAATGCTGGAATTCATGGCCACGCTGCGAAGTGCCTCCAAGCAAGATCCCCGCAGAGCTCTGTCGGACTTTCTCAGGTTAGACCCCAATTCGAGGGCAATCTCGTTCACCCAACCAGAGCTCGCATCTGTCGGACGGGTAGCAAGAACAACCACATCATCAATGGCGCGTACGGCAGCGAGGCGAGTGGTCTCATTTTTCAATCGATCGACCAGTACAGAGAGACCCTTGACGCGCTGTTCAGATTTGAGGAATTCGGAAGCTTGCTGACCCGAAGTCAGAGCCAAAATGACACCGAATACATGAATGGCCCGTTGACGTACTTCTAAATCCGCGCTCGTGTCAGCAATACGAGCCAAAACGACATCATAAAGCTGCGTCACTTGGTTCGCACTCTCGGGCGTAGCAGTGGAGGTGCGAGGGGGAGTCATGGCCTTGAATATCTGCTCAACAGTCCCAAGAGCCTCACTGCTCACTTTGTAATTACGATCGTTGACAGTACCGACGACACCAGGGACCAGAGCGCCCAGGAAGGGCAGAAGAGCCTCTGAGCGATGGGTCACTGAAATAGCAGCGATGAGACTCAGGGTCTCGATCTGGAGGGAGCCGGCGCTCACAGCAGCCCCAGAATGAGCGGTCGAGCTACCGACATGCGACGTGGATTTCAGAGCGTCCACAATGAGAGATTGAATATCTTGGAGATGATTCGCGAGTCCCCCATAGTGAACGAGGGTGAGACTTCTCAAAAGAGCGATGATAGCCTGACGTAGGGGCATAGAAGCTTGCTTCCAGGCCTTGACCAAGCTTTGAATAATCATCGGAACAGACCGCGCGAGATCAGCCTGGGGGCCGGATTTTGGCGAAGATGGCATGAAAGGTGAGTCCAAGGCAGATGATGTGCTCGTTCCAGGTTCGAAATCAACCATGTTGGCATCACTGTCTTGGCGTCTGCGTTTCCGTGTGTTCTTCGAACCACCCACAGCTTCCATGAAGTCGCTTGAAGCGAGGACCACGGAGCCCTCGCTTGTCTTCTGCACCAGCACAGTCAAAGTTGAAATCACTTCCATCTTCACACTCTCCTCGCGCTCGCGACTGATCCTGGCAATCAATGCCGGTGCAATTTGTTGGTAGAGAGTCTTATCGTCGAGGGTGCTACTGCGGCCATAGGAGGAAATCAAGGTGAACAGGAGCTTTGCCGCGCATCGGCGAACCTTCCAGCTCATGTCGTCAATGTCGCTGTAGCCATTTTCTTCTTCGAATTCCCCAAACTCGTCGTCGTCGTCCAAGTCAGATTCAACATTGCCTTCGTCGCCATCGTCCTGTGTGCCACCCATTTCCTCATCATCCTCCAATTCAGCAACGTTGGGATCGTATTTCAAGGATCGGAGGGCGGCCTGGCTAGCGTTGGTGACGTAAGGCTGCATTTGCTGGTTGCAAGCGCTCAGCAGGGCCTCGAGGGTGACGAGTGCCGTCTCGCGGAGCTCATCCGTCTGGGGGTCATGTTCCTCTGAGTCGGAAAAGCCCGACATGACAGGCGATCACAAGAGCGACAGTAAATTTGAGTACGTGGCTGGTAAATGTTGCGTGTGCGAGTTGAGGGATTGTGGGACTGGAAGAGATGAATTCTGATGATCGGAAAATGAAGCTAGATGAGCTGCCCCGCGGAGCTTCCCCAGCATCCGGTAAAAAGGTTTCGCCGACCCGAGAGTGCAGCGCTTTGAAGCAGTAGTGTCGTTCCGGTCTTATAGAAGAAAGTCAAAGAGATCCAAAGAAGGCTGGTTCGTTTTTTTAGCAGCCAGTAAAGCTTGCAAACCGCCCTGCTTTCGAGTCTTTGCCCTTTTCTTACTATTAGAATTGTCCAGGGTTTTGGGGGGAGCTGACTGAGCGCTAGAAGAAGAACCTAAGGCCACTTCTGAGGGTTCTGCCAATGAAGATTTGTTGTCCGCAGATGTAGAAGGAGCGGAATGTCCTGAAGTATGCGATAATTCCTTGGGATGAATTCTCGATGCAGATCGGTGCCTTGGGAGAACAGTCCGTTGATTGCAGCGCAGACACTTGTATACCAAAGCGCCGCCTCTGACGGCAGACGGATGTATCTGTTTAGAACTACCTCGGTTCTTGGGCTTTGCTTTGACGTGAGTCATCTGGGAGAATTGAGAGCGCCTGACATTACCGCAGCCCCCGCAGTGGTGCTTTCGCTGATGAGTATTCAGGGCTTTGCGTTCATCAAGCAAAATCTGCGTATGGACCGAGAGCAGGTGTGCCGCCGTAGTGGAGCTTTGAGATGCGAGCAAGTTGGCTGCATCGCTGAGAAAACGTAAATGTGGCGCCTCAATGGGTGCCATAATCGCACTCGCAAGACAAAGGCTTAGTGTGCAGGCTGTCTTACTCGTGTCCGAGGTACTTTGCTCAGGCAATCGCAGGTGGCAGCGCAGAACACGAAAATATGAAGACTTGGGGTGGTCTCGAATCAAAGAGCGGCAAGGCTAGGCCCGGGAAGGCTTTGTTGCCACGGACCAGACATCAATTTCCACGAACCTGATTGTTCAGGCCATCAATTTTGCTACCAACGTCCCCCGAATGGGTAATACCACTGTGAAGTATCTTGTTTACCTGCATCGGACAAACAATTCATCACAACAGGTATCCCGTGTAGCTACCTGGGCACTTATAGATGACACTGACAGATTGCTTGCTGGGACGCAACGTTTATCCCTCGGCGCAAGCACTAAAGTCTGATGCGTGACTCCCCTTCTTCAACTTCTATCTTTTTCTCCTCCCACATCTCTCACTCCTCAACGCTGCGTCTCACTTCAGTTCCAAACAAATCTGAGTCTTGTGACGCTCATTGATTAACTCAAGCACGTCCTCATCGACGCGCGTCTGTTGATCGTTGAATTATTCACACATCTTTTGGTTTCCTCGAGTGAAATATCGACAGTTTCACACTTCACTTAACTACCATCATGCTGTCTGAAATGGACGGCGTTCGTGTTGCTGCCGTGGGCTGCGTATGTTACGACTTGTTAATCACACAAATAGTGTCCCAAGAAAAGCAGACTAAACTGACATCAAATTTCAGGCTCATGGCAGTTTTGACGAAATTTACGAGCTCCTCAAGACTAAGGCTGAGGCCAAAGGCTGGGAGACTATCGATCTGGTCATCATTGGAGGCGACTTCCAGGTGAGTGTATATCATTTTTATGGCGAGGGACTTTGAAGAGCCAGCTTGTTTCTAACATGTTCTAGGCTTTGCGCAATGCAAGCGATGCGGCTTGTATCTCGGTTCCTGCCAAGTGGAAATCCATGGGTGACTTTCATAAGTATTACGGCGGCGAAAAGGTCGCCCCATACCTGACAATCTTTTGCGGAGGCAATCACGAAGCCAGCAACTACCTCTTCGAACTTTACTACGGAGGCTGGGTAGCTCCAAACATTTATTATCTTGGGGCCGCTAATCTCATTCGCTTCGGACCTCTGCGCATCTCCGCCATGTCGGGCATCTGGAAGGGCTATGACTATCGCAAGCCGCATTTTGAGCGACTCCCCTACGGTATGGATGACCTCCACAGCATTTATCATGTGCGTGAACTGGATGTCCGCAAGCTCCTGCAAGTGAACACGCAGGTTGATGTTGGTCTGTCGCACGATTGGCCTCGAGGTATTGAAAACTTTGGCAACTCCCGCGAGCTCTTCCGCAAGAAGCGTGGCTTCAAAGAGGACTCAGAACATGGCACTCTTGGCAGTGTTGCAGCTCGGGACGTATTGGATCACCTTCGCCCCGCATACTGGTTTGCAGCCCATCTTCACGTCAAATTTGCCGCCGTGGTCCCACATGATGGGGTGGGCATCAAGAAGACGGACGCTCAACAGGGTCAGCCTCCTGAATGGGCTGTTGAGGCCGACATTCCCGCAGGGATGATTGAGTCGAAGCCCAGGGACTCAGTGGCAGAAAGAATTCCTCGCGTCAAACCTCTATCGGAGGCCTGGAAGAGGGGCATAGCAGAATGGAATGCATTCGCCGCCGAAACCCACGAAAAAGAGCTCAAGGAGGCTAAAGAAAATCGAGAAAAACAGAGGGAGTTTCACCTCAAGCTCAAGGAGATGCGAGAACAGGGTCCAACTACCGTGGAGCAAGAAAAGGCAGCTTATCTTGCTTTCATGACCAAGAATTCCGACGAGATCTCCCTGGACTCTGCAAGTGAAAGTCATGACCCGCCGTCCGGAAATCCATCGCCCGTCGAGGAAATAAAGATGGATGTGGTCTCAGTTGGTGGGTCAAATGAACGGAAGCAATCTGTGATGAACTGTGATGTCCTCCAGGCGCCTGATCTGCTTTCTAGCCATGAGAATCCCGCTGGTGAGACGGAGAGGAGCCCTGAAAATCGCAAAAGTACAGCTGTCGCCAATTCTGTCGATGCTCCGAATGACGAGCAGCCACAACGTAACCTTTCGCCTGCATGGAATGTGCCTGGTCTCGACTATCAATCAGAGGAGTTCAAGAAGAACGTGGCAGCATGGCAGCAGTACGCCGCCGATGCCAATAAAGCCTATGAAGTCGAACTTGAAGCGGGTAGAGCCTCTCAAGAGAAGAGAAGACAGTTTCATACCAAGCTCATGGAGATGCGGAAACAGGGCCCTACTACTATGGAAGAGGAAAAGGCAGCTTACCTTGCATTTATGAATAAGAACTCCGACGAGATTTCTTTGGGTTCTGCAAGTGAAACTGATGACCATCCATCCGCGAACCCATCTCCTGTTAAGGTCGCTAAGGTTAAGGTCGCATCAGGTGACGGCTCAAATGACTGGGACGAATCCTCTCCAAATTGGGATGTCCTTCGAATGCCTGCTCTTCCTACTGGCCAAGCGAGTTCCGCTGATCACAATGACAGCGAAATTGATGCTTTGAATGAAGAACTGCGCAGCAAATTACCTGCCAGTTTTGCTCGACCTGCCCCGCAAACTGTGAAGTCAGCTCGCTCAAAGAGTGTCCCTGAAGCCGTGAATAATAAAGTTACGCGATTCCTCGCTCTTGACAAACCTCATAATCGTGATGAGGTCGTCGATCTCATGAAACTCAAACCCGTTTCTGAAAAGTCGTCCGGCGGCTTGAGACTGCAATATGACAGGGAGTGGCTTGCTATCACCCGGGTGTTTGCCGGAGAGCTCATTCTTGGCGATCGAAACGCCCAGACTCCTGTCCCAAAGAGTGATGACTACTACAGGGCATGCATCGCATTTGAAGAAGCGTGGGTTGAGGAAAACATTGAGAAGCGTGGCCTCATGGATATTCCCTTGAACTTCCAGCTCAGCGCACCCAAGTACGACCCTAGCGAGTCTCTCCTCGATTCTCCCCAGCCGAGAGAGTATCCAAATAACCAGACTGCCGAGTTCTGTGCACTCCTTCAGATCCCAAACAAGTTTGCGCTTACTGAAGAGGAGATCGAGGCACGAATTCGCGCCGGCCCCCCTCAAAGCTCTGGCGGCTCGTCCCATGGTGGTTCAAATCATCGCGGCCGTGGCCAAGCCCGTGGACGTGGTCGGGGCGGTGGTCGAGGCAATGGTCGCGGGTTTGGTCGGGGACGTGGCCATGGACGAGGTCAGGCTTTCTGATTTTGATGATGGCCATTCGGAGTTGGAAGGGATTCGCGTCTTCGTTTCATTTTCATTTCGCCGATTGTTTCTTATTCCAAATCGCATTCTTAACAACCCATGCTGCAAGTGCAATGACGACTAACGGGTGATAGTGACGTGGCCCGGAACAGTGAATCTTATTCTTCAGAGATTTTATGTAAGGATGCGTTCAGGAGAAGGTTCTGATGACTAGAAGTTGCTTTTTGGATTCACTGGTCATACTTGTTAGAGTAGAAATCAAAACACTGCGATCGAGCCTTACTATTTCTCTAATGGGGGTTGTAATGCTATCACGGACTTTCATTTTGTTAGAGGCTGGCCTACTCAATCTCCTCTATACGAGGCCGCCCAGAACCTCTTCCAGCTAGTGGATCGATGCTCAGGCCCGCGATGCGATCTCCCAGCTCCAAGCGCGGTTCACCACCGTCTCGAGCACCAATACCCCACATGATAGACTTCTCCATCCAAGCTTCGAGACTCTCTATCAACACACGTAGATGGCCGCGTACAATGGCATCCGTCTCAACGCTCTCAACGAAACCAAGAGTGCGCAAGAGTCTTGGAATACTTGCGACTGTCGAGGGTCCCTGGTGGTCGCCACTATGGGAAGACGGCGTCGCCTCTTGATCCACAAGTGAGAATCCGAATCCAACACCCTGTCCCTTTCGAGCTTCCCGTGCCGAGTCGAGAGCCTTTAGCACGTCCAGTATGAGAACGACGCTTGCTCGTCGTAAGACCGCGCTCTCGATGGTGGACTCGAGTGTAAGCGTTGTCATCGCAAGATCGATCAGAGAGGAGACGATCATTGGCCCAAGACCGAGGATATTTGTTTGCACTGCGGAAGCCAGGACAGAAAGCGCAGAGGCGCGGATACGCAAGTCTTCGGGTTCATCATCAGCAGATGCGCCGGCACCCCATGCGGCGACGATTGACGCGGCGTAGGCGTGTTGTTCCGGAGACTCGGGTTCCGAATCGTCGATGAGCTGCGAGAGTTCTGACAGCCCAGGCTGTCTGTTTCGCTCTTGGCGCTCTCTCTCTCGCCTCTCCTTTTCTTCCAGCTGCCGACGTGCTCTTTGGGTCTCCGGCTTGTGGCCACGGCGACCAGCTACGGCAACGAGACCCTCTGCAAGACTTTGGGCAGTTTCGCCGGCCAATGCTTCGCCAAGATCTTGGACCGTCCTGAGGAGAGATTCACCGATCTTCAAACGCTGATCTAGGGTCCGTCGTTCACTGGGATCAGCATAGTTTTCGACCAAAGTCTTCACAACTGTGCGCGGGTGACGAGCGGCAAGTGTACCGATGAGCTTAATGGCGTTTAGATAGATGAACTCATCATTTGCATGGGTCTCAGAGCTGTCCGTGATTATTGATAGCAGAAGAGTCAGCGTTGATGGGATGTCGAGTACAGGTGATGATTTTAAAACTAGCTTTGACAGAAGAGAGAAGCCCTCCGCCTGAACTGGAGGTAGGTCTGAGCTGAGATCTGCCAATGCCTGGCGGTGGGTCTCCAGATCCACGACATGCGAAGGGGCCGCTTGAACCTCCGTGTTTTCAGGGGAGGTGAGCTGTATCTCCAATAGCATTGAGGAGGTAGTCGCTGGTTTGGCCAGAGTGCTTGGGAGAAGCGGAATCAGTTGATCGAGGTGCTCTTTGAGCGCTTCCAGAAGGATTTTGATGTCTTGGGAGAGCGCAAACTCGGGTGATGCAAGCACGGTTGAGAGCAAACTGAATGCTGTTGTCAACGAATCAGAGATGTCTTGATCAAGTTCATTCTCCTCACTCTCGCTGCGCTCCGGTACAATATTGGCAAGAGATGACAACGAGACGTTTTCAGCATTGCGAGATGACCTAGACATTTGTTGACTGCGCAGTTTGCATAACTCCCCGTCAACAACCTGCTTGATAAGTTCTAGGACGCGTAGAGGCCGGCGAGATAGGGTGTCCTTGAATTTGTCAAGCAATCTTTCGGCCACCTTGGCACACATCAACTTTTGCAGGATGGCTGTGGTATCTTCGAGTTGCTCCCTTCGGCCGCGCTCGGCGGCGCCATCCAGACTTGGGGACTGGACGAGCCAGGATTGGCTGACATGTAGGAAAATGTCTGCGATACGCTCCTCGGTGCTTGGATCAGAGCCCAAAAGGCCGATGAAGAGGTCAACCCGGGTTTGCAGGGAGTCCATATGCTTGACAAGGTCAACCGGGCTGCTTTTTGATAGCGGACGTGGTTTGAAGGCAATTTGACCGTGGAAGTCCGTAGTGAATGTCCAAGTAGGACCCCCATCCCACATGAGATGGTCAACTAGTTTCTTCAGAGGCAGAACACCAACTGAAATGCTGAAATAAGTCTGCAGCAGAGTCATTGTACTAGCGTGAATTTCAGTGAGTTGCTCTTGCTGGGAGTAGCAGGTCAGACCCCATAATGGGAGTAAGATCGGGTATACAATTCTTTTCACAAGCCCAGGATTTGGATGCTGTAAAGCCAGAAGCTTCAATCTGTTCAAAGCAAGGATGATCTGGTGGCTCTGAACGGGAATGCTTGGACCTTGCTGATGTGTTGATTGAGGGGCACTGGTGTCCGCATAGGGAGGTACTGAAAGCCAGCGTGCCGTTTTGCTATTGAGCTTGGCAGTCAGCGTCGCAAAAATTGGTTCGATAAAAATTGAGTGGCCGATGCTTCCAGGTGCACCGTAAGGGCGCTTGCCTAAAATACCGTTTCCGATCGTATATGATGCGATCCTCCTCATGTCTATGTCGTCACCGTCAAGCAGCTCTAGAAGTTGAGGTGCAATCGCTTCGAAGTAGATCGATGGTTCAGTATCCTGCGGAACTGCACTCAGAAGTCTTGATATCTGCATCATTCCTTGCACTGTGAATTGGGGCCCATTCGTGGGCTGCGCTTGAGCTTCTTGTCCAAGTGATGGAGCCACCTGCGACATGACAAACAAGATTGTATGCAAAACCCCGCCGTCTCGCATTGGAATACGAGCGATTTGATGTGAGATGACTGACTTGAACCAGGCTGTGGTCTCAGTCTGGAGGAATGCAGATAAAGTCGGCAGGAGCGCCGCACTTGGAGAGCTGTAATCAATTAGCAAGTGATCTCAGCACATGGCATATATACGTACGTATCTATGATGGCTTGAAATGCGTTTCGAGAGGACCTCTTTTTGTCGGAGTCAATCAGATTCGGATTGAAGGCGAGGTCCGAGAGGCCACTTATGAGGTCACTGAGGATGCGACTGCGAATGATAGGCTGTATACTGCTTCTGTGATCTTGCACGATGCTAAGTAGGACATGCATTGTCCTGTTCAGAAGCGACTCATCATGTGGCGTGGTGCTCGGTGGCATGGTGGGCTGCTTTGCAATGATTCCAGCTGGTAGCACCGATATGACTCTTTGCTGAAGGGGAATCCCGACGCCTGAGGACAAGGATGGGTAGATGCCTTCCAAGGAGATCAAATCCAGGAGCGCGTGAATGATCTGGCGGTATCTCGCATCTTCGAGATCTGTAGTACCAATCTCAACCCTTGGCCTTGAATAGGATTCTTCTTGAACCACGGAGGTCACAAAGGCTCTATGAATTGCAAGCAGAAGATCAAGTGCCCTGTCGATGACGGCTCTTCGAGCAGCCGTTTCACCATATTGACCATTATCTCCAGATTCACTGAGTGACTCCACAAGAGACTTTCCTTGTGCTCGTTGAATCTCATCTTCAAGGCTATGATTAGCTATAAAAACTTGAGCTCAAAACGCGTTCAAAGGAGCTGCGTGCCTCTATTGATGACTGGCTTCAAGAAATGACTCGCAGCGTCAAATGCATGGTGGACCTGGTCATCGCCCATCATTTTTGCATCATACTCGAGAGCTTCACTCATTCATGAAAGATTGTTTAAGGTAAAATGAGATGATCGACCAGTCACGACGACTTCATGGACTCTTGCAGGCTCCACACCTGCTATGCGGCCCGAATCAATTGACTAGTCCTAATCACTCGTCCACCGCCTTGCACGGGCCGGAAAGCTGTCCGCCTGCCAAAGCTGCAATTGCAAGTGCGCCTACGGCGGGCGGTCTCTATCAACGTGGCAGGTGCAAGGGCGGGCGTGCTCGCGCGTAGTGGACCTTAGTTAAGTACCTTAGGTAATGCTGAGCTTATGTAATACGCGTTTGTCACCCCACCGTGACAGTGACGCTTGGCTAGCACGCGGTGTCAAGGCGCGCCTGGGAGACAGGGAGCTTCTTCCTCCTGATTCTTCAGCAGTCTTGCCCGAATCGAATCTCTTGAAGGCAGTGCTCAATGTTGGCTGGCTTGGTGGTCATTTCGAAGCTCTTACCCGTGAAAGCCAACCTTTCTTTTGTCATTTTTCTTGTCCGCTTGAAGACACTGTCACAGGGCGTTCGGCTCTCATCTCGCGTTTCCCATGATGGTGGATCCAACATGTCTCTCGCCCTTTGAGGCACTCTCGCTCGGCTTGTCTCTTCTGGTTCCAGCTTTGCAACAGCTTTTGAACCGAACCTAACCCTAAAGCCCTATTCCTACCGGCGATGTAACGCAATCAAAGCTTCAAGGGGTAGACATGACGAATACTACGATTAGTTGTGCAGATCTGTGATGGATTGCCAATGAAAGTTGTTCGATTTGTCCAGAGCCTCCGTTGGCGCAAAAGACGGTTGACTATGCACGTGTCTCTAATTGACACAGCGTCGGTTTTCCTATGCTGGATATTCATGTTGGTCGAAAACTGGATGGCTGCTCTATGCTTCGTCGACAGGATTTCTCAGAAGGCCCAAAGTGGGTGGAGCACGCCGGATGCCCCGTCCTTGTGGCTATCCATGGGAGCATCAAAGACAGTGCGGCAAAGTGGAGGCCAAGCGTGACGTTCAATATCGGATTCCTGGGGCAGCTTCATGGTCCGGTGCAGGGTATCGGCGCCTAGAACACAGCAGATGCCATTACACACATCCATATTGTCATTCCTCAATTTGATCCACTCGTCAGAACCAGTCTTGAGGTCTCGATTCTGCCCAGGCAGTTTCAAGAACCCAAGCTGCCGCGAGGTCCTTTTGTATTGAATGACTTTATGGTTCCTTGACTCCTGTCGAGGCAATTGGCCTGTTGTCTTGGTCCGGCTGGCAATGATATCCTCCTGCCAAGTTGATGTTATTCGGCGTTGTTCGGTTGTGCTGGTCTTTGACTACGCCGCATGCAGCTGTCTGCTACCCCGTGCGTACTCCTACGATGGAGATACCTGGGTATCTTGCCCCCACTTTCAGCCTCTGTGTCCTGTTGTGTGCTTTACAGCAGGCTAGACACCTCAATTCGCGGCAGCCGCCCCAGAATTTGACTTCCTCGGAAGGTCCTGATCACCCTTGTTAACCATCTCTCTGCAATGGAGTTTGCAGATTGATTGATGGGCGCTGGTAACCCCAATGATGACTTATTTGTCTTTGGTCTTCTTTCGAGAAGATGGAAGCGGTTTTTCTGGACGTTCTTTGTCCGCTTCAACTCTGCCCTCCTGGTTGGCTATCAAGCTGAACAGGGGAGGAAACAAAAACCTATCCCGGAGAACACCGTGCTACACGTGAGAGATTGGCACCCATCCGACTGAACAAATGCGATGAGACAGTACCGAGCTCTGAAACAAAGAATGTGTGACGAGGAAAGTGTTGGGGCGGGGAATTGAGCATCCACGATGCTACTCCAGGCGCGTCGGGCATTGTTTCGAGATTTCAATTTTGGCAAGCTCCGTTTATCGGACATTGTGAGACCTCGACGTCACTGCTCAATGTCTCCCTTGTGGCTACTCGTTTATTCTCAACGTCCAAAGAGCGCCGACATTCTGGCGGGAAAGTACTTTGCTCGGCTGTCTTCATTTTTCAGTCCACAGGTTGGACCGAGGCAGGCGGTGATTGGGAGGCCAAATTGGATCCAGCACATGACAATGGCAGCACGTGGTTCAGGACCTCTCTCGAGTGAGGATCAAAGCTTTGGCTTGTCTAAGCTGCGGCCTGCTGTCTTGTGTTTCCAGTGAGACTTCCTTGGTCACGCTTGGTCAAGTCCATTCTGGGAAACATGGAGCTCGGGCAAACTGTACACCCACAGTCATTGTAAAGAAAGTCTCACGCTCTTTGCATGTTGGGGTTGTGACGAAGTCATGAGAGTGATACAGAGTGACGAAAACTCGCAACGAACGTGGACGACCACTTCTCCGACTTTGGTCGGGGAAGTGGCTCCCAATTTTTTTATAAGTGACCCTCGTCAAATATTTGAATAGCCGAAGATAGCTAACTACCCATTCCAGCTACTTTGTCTTTGCAACGAAAAGCAAGGGATTGCAACCGACAACCGAGAAAGCCGCTTCGAGAAGAATTGTCGATGTTTAACGCTGTGGAGCTCCGCTTATGTCTTACCAGGAGCTCAGATTCCATCTATAAAAAGTTCAATTCGCGGAATCCCGATCGAAGTTGCCCAGCGATATCACCTGAACTTCCTCATTTATCAGCACGGGGACATGTTCACCGGCTGCGAACTGAATCTTGCTGTGATATTAGTTGCAAATACCGTCTAGGTTCTGCATATTCTAATGCGCAAAGACTGCGTTTTCTACACTTTGCGCTGGTAGCCGCTTACAAGCTCTCCTACGAACTAAGCCTGCTGACCAAACTGAGCTACTGCTCGGTCGAGGTGAAAGGTGGCAAAGGATGGTACTAAAGACCTGAAGTGAGTATCTTGATATACTTTGACCGTCTGCCGACGCTTATTGAAATAGGCACATGATGCAGTCACGTACACTCTTGGAACTTCCATCTTTACATAGAACCTACTCAACCTAGGTAGTACTCATAATGAATTATGCACAGCAACTGGATACCAACTGCCCGATTGGGGCCACTGGCGGGCATCTCGGGCGGGCTGCACAGAAGCTTAGTCATCTGCAATCGCGGGCCGCCCCCGAGGCCAGGTCGACCCCTCCACTGCACAAGCCCCGCGGCGCAGAACGAAAAGGAATGTTCCGGCGGGCGCTGGACGATTTTTTTTTCAAAACGATAAGAGATCAGACACTCCGCATCTGATCGCGACAGCTGATTTTGTGCGCTCTCATAAATCCAGCAAGACCCATTTATTTCCGATTCAATTAAATTATTGAAAAGATCGCAAAGATGTCGACCGACGCCGACAGCAACCCTCAAGAGTCGCAGTTCCAGAACATTGGCGATCTCGTCGAGCGCAATGACGAGACCGGTGTGATGAGCGTGGAGTCGCTCTGCATGAACTGCCATGAGAATGTATGTGAAGGCCTTTTTGTGCAGCCCCAGCAGCGCCATCGTCTGGAACTTCGCTAAACAAATGTTTTCTCGTTCCAGGGAACTACTCGTATCCTCCTCCTGCGCGTGCCTTTCTTCAAGGACATCGTGGTCGATTCGTTCTACTGCGAACACTGCAACTTCGCCAACAACACTGTCAAGCCCGCTGGCCCCATCTCCCCGTTGGGATTGAAATACACATTAGACGTCCAGAATCCCAACGACCTGCAACGCCAAGTCATCCGATCCGATGCCGCCACCTTCAAGCTTGATACTCTGGGTATTGAGATGCCCAAGGGCGGAGAGATCAGCAACGTGGAGGGCATGATCCAGCGTATGCACGAGTCGCTCTCCAGCGAGCAGCCTCTCCGCAAGGAGCAGGCTCCCGAGCTCCACGATGCCCTTGAGCCCATTATCGCGAAGCTCAAGGCTATCCTCGACCGCGAATTCTTCCCCTTCACCATTACCCTCGACGACCCGACCGGTAACTCTTGGATCGCTCCCAACCCCAGCGACAAGACCAACTACCGCCGTGTGGAATACCCCCGCACACACGAACAGAATGAAGAGCTCGGCATTACTGCCGACCACACTGAACAAGCTGTCGCCAATGCGGTCGATACCGAGAACCCCATGGATTCCGACATCGTCGATGGACAGGTTTACACCCTGCCCGCAGAGTGCCCGAGCTGCACTCGCCCGGTGGCTCTTCACATCAAGAAGGTCTCGATTCCCTACTTCAAGGACGTTCTGATCATGGCTAGCTCCTGCGCCCCGGAAGATGGTGGCTGTTCCTACAAGCAAAACGAGGTGAAGGTGGGCGGTGAAATCCCAGAGAAGGGTCGCCGTATCACCTTGCGCGTGGAGAACGAAGTCGATCTCAACCGTGACGTTCTGAAGTCGGGTACTTGCGCTCTGCACAGCGAAGAGCTCGAGCTGTACCTGGGCGCATCCTCTATTTCCAGTCGCTTCACCACCGTCGAAGGTCTTTTGACCGATATGCGTAAGCAATTGCACGGTAACCTCTATGATCTCGGCTCCGGTGGTGGTGACAGCATGGAGAAGTCCGATAAGGAGAAGTGGGACCGTTTCTTCGATCGCCTCGACCAGGCTATCAACGGCGAACTGAAGTTCACTATCACCCTGGAAGACCCGCTTGCGAACAGCTACGTTCAGGATCTTTGCTCGCCTGCTAAGGATCCTCAGCTGAACATCGAAGATTACGAGCGTACCGACGAGGAGAATGAGGAGCTCGGTCTTAACGACATGAAGACTGAAGGCTACGAGGAGGATGCCAAGGCTGAGAACGAGGAGAAAGCATAGACTTCTGGATTTCGTTATCTTGGGTGTTCGATGTTCATGGCCTTGTTTGTTTCTTTCCTGATGATGATGCATGATGGCGTCTACTGGCGGGTCTTTTTTGTTATTTTGTGGTTCATAAGGTTCTTTGATGACATATCCGTACCAAAAGCTTCACTCCGTAATGTGCTGAGTTCGCGAATTTCATGTTGACTGGTCTCAACCCAAGACTCCTCAGGCGCTATGATTCGTCATGTGTATAGTGAAGACCATGCTTCAGTACACGAAATATAGATTATTGATCTCTTGCTAACAGGGCGTGGACGCAAAGATGAGGGCCGCCAATGCCGGATCAGCTTTGAAACACAGAACGCCATCAACGGCTTCGATCCAGACGCGGCAGGTTATCGAGGGTTGTAGCAGAGTAACTCGTGGTTCGCATCCGCAGCAAAATCTCCCATTGCCGGATGGATGCTCTTTCTCGGCACGAGGCCACTTATCCGCCAGAAGGCTTTTGGTCATTTTGGGAGCAGCAACATTTCACTGTGCTGGCTCACGTGGCAAACGGATTCGCATGTATCGTAACGCGCTGTATCTTGAGCGGTTCGAAACCATCCCCTTCCCTGGGCTGCGAGACTTTGCCCTTCTTGTCAACCTTGACGTTGGCCTTTTCCAACTTGGACAGGACATCCCCGCCCTCATCCTGGGCGCTAAGATTCAGCACCTTTCCGAAGACAGTACTCGCTCCGTCAAGATGTGGCGCAGGCGCAAACGTAATGAAAAACTGACTGCCATTGATTGTTGCTCCCGTTGCGTTTTGGGAACCGGGGGCCGTGGAGTCCTTCACTGGCCGTGAGGCCATGGATAGCACACCACGCGCATTGTGTCTTAGTGTAGGAAGGTGGATTTCTTGGTTCAATGCCGAAGGGTGGTAGATGGAGGTGCCGCCTTTGGGGATTTCGTATGGGAGAATTGGCTTCGTGGATGTTGATTGTTGCGCAGCTGGGCCGAGCGATATATCGCCGCCTTGGATCATAAAGCCCGGAATAAGGCGATGGAAGGGAGTATCATTATAGGCGCCGCATGCGCAGAGGGCAAGGAAGTTCTCTGCTGTCCTTGGAACCGATTCGCAGAACAATTCGACCTTGACATCGCCTTGGGTAGTGTGGAGCTAGGTTCAATCGGAAATGTTAGTCCACTGCGCGGCATCGAGGGCTAGGCTAGAAAGGCATGCTTGCACTAAGAGAGCTTTACTTACCGTGACAGACATGCTGGTGACACCCTGCTCGGTTTCCGGGGTTGTAGAAGCTTCCGGAGGAAGGATGTTTGAGCTTCGAGGCGTGAGCGCTCCAAGAATAATTGCTTGATCTTTGAAGTCCTTATCGCCATCAAATGGCGGCACGATGAATGTGCCCGCCCGGGCGCCCCTACCAGCTTAGTCATGGGTTGCCGCGGTCAGGTACGGGCATCCAGCCCTGTGCCCAGCAATCTGATGCTTTTCTAGGTCATGCAAACATCATATTCAATATTCAATTGGTCCGCATTTTGTTTTGTCAAAAGAAAGGGGTCGTGACAGTAATCGAAACTCATCAAGAAGTGAGCGTCGCACAGAAGATTTCGGAATCAAGAGCAGCATCCCAATCGCGAGCTGTCATTCGCCCTACATATCGAAAATCGAAAACTACAGGAATCCCCGAATCGCGAATCGTAAACAATGAACAGCAGGCCAGTTGAGCAGGCATTAGCCACCCTGGTCCCTACACATGCGGGCGATCTGCCTCAGGAGCTTTTAAGCCTTGCAACGAATCTTGTCGCGCAATCTCGTTCTTTGTCCGCAAGCCTCAAACCCGAAGAGGAAATCGCGCGACCCTATGCCTGCGCGGAGATCGCATGCAGGAGGTATAGGCAACCCTATAATTCCACGTTGTGTTGAGTCCGAAGTATTTTCAATTGCTAATGCTGTGTCATTGATAGATTGACTCGCGCTTTGAAGCTTCCTCCACCACTCGGTCACCCGCCCTGTCCGCCGCGACTTTACAAGAAACTCTACACGTTCCTTGATAAGAGTCTGTCCGCTAGCTCAGTGGGAGCTAAACGATCCGGCAGTGCATCAGTTCCTGGGACACCCTCACGAGCTGGGCCCGGCTCCACGCGAACAACCCCATCGAGGACAGGTGCGACGCCCTCTAAAATCGCGCCTACACCTCGCGGCCTTTACAATACACCTTCCAAAGCCTCCCCATTGAAGAGAAGCCTGAGCGTCGCCGACAAGCTTGAATCGCCGTCAAAATCAGCGCGACGGGTCGCTCCAGAACGGAAAAAGGGACCTTCGGGGTCCACGATCATTCCAGATGCCCCGGCGTGGGTAATGCCTGCGATTCGCACAGTTTGCAAAACGCTGTCGACACCCGCACCTCGCACGACTAGTCTATCACGACCTCCTATCTCGAGAACATTGCCTCCTCATATATTCGCTGGTGTCTCGTCTATCCTCTACCTGACGGCAGGCATGTCCAATGACGAGGAAGGCATGGATCAAGAAACTCTTGATTTTTTGGAGCCAATTGTTTCCATCCAAGGAAACGAAGATGATTTCAAGGAGCTGGTCTACGCCATGATTGTTGCGGTGTATTTCATCGTCCTCGCCCGCCGACGTAGTCCTGCTCCTGACGCCGACGATGAGACGTTGAATAACGACAGCCAAAAGATGGATAAGAAGACATTCACAGAAATGCGACAAACAGCTCTGACCAGTCTCGGCCTACCCAACGCAAAACAGCATCGTGATGATGTAGATCAATGGATTGCCTTGATCATGGAACAAGGCTGGGCATCTGGCAAAGAGTGGTTTGAGAACATTCCGCTCGCAGGCGAACTTCACGGGGAAGACGAAGATGGTACCTCGTATCGCCGCCTCGATGAAGAGGATGCCGCATTTCGTGGTGTCAACTTATCCAAGCGTGGCGACAGCTCCGCCCGTGTTCAGAGGGGATATACCAGTAAAGTTACACATGGCGGGCTTTTGCCAGGTCTAGGAACAATGATGCAGGATCGAGTAGACTATTTGAGCGAGGATCGTCGAGAAGAGTATGTGGAGTGGAAGGCGGAAATTTTGGCCCGCATTGAGGGTGCAACTCCACGAGCTGGACGGGTCTTTGCGTAGGAGCAAGTTGGGTCGTTCTATTGCTTTCAATTCAGGCAAGTGGTGTGAATCTGCATTTTGATACCCTCATAGTGCCATTGAGCGCTATTCTATACATTAATAGAAATCCTCTTTTTGTCTTCTCCGAATGTAATGAATATCCGCGAATTTGCCAGTCTTCCTTTATTTATCCAGCAGTGTCTGAACAAACCCTCAATACCAGATGCTCCGAGTTCGGTGGTGAGGAATGCTCTCGTTGTTCTCCCTCTCCAAGACCTTCATCGTATCGTACAAGAAGAAATCGATCAAGATCGCGTTGATACCATGAATGTTGGCTGCTTGATCGATGTTGTCGCTGGGAAGGGACCCGCCCTTCGTGCTAGCCGCTCTGACCTCTGGATGGCGTTTCTCAATTTCTCGTCTGATAAGCTCCACGCACCAAATACTGGTGCCGCGGAGTTCGACTTCCCAGTTTGAACCGGACACGATGGGCTTTAAGCTGCGAATGTGAGACTCCAAGGAAGGCGAGTAACGCATGCAACCTAATTGGTGGAGCATTTGAGGGATGCGGTAGTCTATCGCGAGATTGTCAAAAGACGCTCGGTAAGAATGACAAGAATGAGGAATTCAAGTCTTACCTGCGAACATGGTGATCTTATCGATGTCGTGGAACTCGCCAAAGCTCTCGCCATTGAAGCAAGCCCACAGATCGGCTACCAGGATCTGGGCGCGCTTGTAGAGACGCACTCTCTTGCCGTTGAAGATGGTCTCGTCGCGGAAGCATTCAAAGTGCTCAGTTACCAGGTTCACCAGCCCAGCGGCAGACTGGTTGGCATCATCGATGCAGTTTGCAAAGCTACCACCAAACTCCTAATGGTATCGGGTTTAGTGATTGACAGAGGGTGCCCCGGCCGATGAGGTTGACACTCACATTGCAGAGGACTTCGCCTGCCTCGCGCATGCATTGGACTCGCTCCTTGAACATTGGAATATCTTCGTCCGTCGCCGAGCGGAACACATGTCGCAATACTTCATCTGTGCAGTTTTCTTCATCGACCCAGAAGTCGGGCGAAGTGATTGGGATGTCTGGATGAACAGCGTCAACACCAACATTCAAAAAGAACATCTTCCAGAGAAAATTTGTCCTCACCCTCATCCAGAGCTCTCTGAATCGCGGCGACCAAACTCCAATATCCGGTCCACCGCCTCCCTCTATACTCGATGCAGAACCGTCTCGACTCCTCCGACTCGCCCGACCAGAAACTGAAATTGAGCAGATCCATCAAAAAGATGAAATCCACCGTCCCCTCATCCTTGGTCTGTGGATGAAGTTCGTGGTCTGACCATGTTTGGGTCGAGTATGATTTCTTTTGCATCATCTGCCATATCGTCTCGGCCGCCTCCTTGGTCTGGGCTGGGTTCAGGGCCACGTCAATGGCATTGTCAAAGATGTATTGAGCGTTCTCCAGGACTTTGGTCTCTGGGGGGACATCTTTGCTCTTCTTGCCACTTAAGCCGAGGTGCTGACGAAGCAGCTCAACCAGCTCTGGGTCTGCTTCATCATCGGAATTGGCATCCACCAGAGGGTTTCTGGTGGGCGTGGCTGGATCCAAGAGAGGCATTATTGGTGAACAATCGACTTTCAGACCAGAATACTATGTTTGTGAAGGGATTGACTTTGAGAGCAATTGAGGTTGAACTGCTCCTTCTGTTTATCCCTTGATCTGTTGGTCTATCTCTTGTGCTGGCGGACCACTTCTGAACTGTTGGAGACGGAGGCCTTTGGGCCAGGAGTTGGTGGATCGATCAGAGCAGGGGTCACTGCAGTTTGCACGCAATGATGAGTCGTCAATTTCACCCACAGGAAGAGATTTGTCTCGTCAATTCTGGTCTCCTGTTTCCAATCCCCTGAAGACACAATGATATCTTTTGTTCCGTTGCCACATGGAAATTTCATCGCAACCCAGACTCTTTGTTTATTACCTAAGCACTGTGTCGCCGTCGCTCGGTCCGTCGGTCGCAGTTGACATGTCCAGTCCAACTTGGAATAAACTCAGTGAATCTCGAGAAGAATGGAAGACTGGGGTTCTGCTAGGCAAACCGGAGCAAGTGAATTGGGATGTCGCTGATCGTGTTTCATCAAGTTCGAGCCATATGTCTCATTCCACAACTCAACCGCTCGAGTCTGTCGAGGACTGTGTGACTGTGTCAAGTGTCAAGTGTAAACCACCTTAAGCACAACCGTCTCAATACTGAGGGTCAAGCCGAGTGAGCAAAACAAATAATTAATCCTCGAGAGAAACAATGAGACATGATGTCAATAACAGACACATAAGACAACTAGATCTTCCTCCTGTAGCCCGACCTGCATAGATCCATTGTAGCCTACCACATACCAGTCTCTAAGCTTATTGTCCATGAACCACGACTCTCCGACTAGTTCACTAAGATCCAATAAGAGCCGCACCACGGATGCACTCGACAACTGCCGGAGCCAATCTGTAGTTCTGTACCACCGATGCCACGGACCTACCACGACAAGCGCACAGAGTCCGTGTCAGAGGCAGAAGCACAACAGCTGTGCCGTCGAAGGACCTTCCATGTGTTGGATGAGAGTTCCAATTGACCATCAACCTTGGACATGTACGAAGTAATAACTAAGCAATAAGCACCGTCGCACAATATTTACGCTGGTCGGCCAATATACCTCTCTGCGGCACTGTACACTTACAGCCAAAGGAACAAGAATGTGACTGCCCAGGGTCTAGCTAGGGTCATAGGATGCCCAGGCCGAACACATTGTGCACGGGAGAGGGCGGGTCGCAGTGGCTCTTACAGAATGCTGGACTGATGCAGATGCGAGATCAACGAGAAATGCACCTGTACATGTGCCGGCAAACGAAGCAGTAAGACTAAGAATGCGATAACCGCAAGTTGTATCGATCTGAACCTCTCGCGCCGGCTTCCTTTCATTCTCATTCAGCTGGCCTGATCTCGGATCTTTCCGCTTATTGGCACCTCCCGCTCAAGGGACAAGCGCACCCTTTCAAATTGGAAGCTCTGCCGTCATCGCATCTACACACCTCACTAGACACCTCGGTCGCCGCGCCTCCGCTTCTCTCACCCTTCCCTTTTCAACTCTTTGTGCTCCAGCGTCACGATCGGCTTTGACAATTCTCCTGGTCTGAAGGCAACCTCTAATGGCTCCTGGAGCCGACCTTTGATCATCCACGAAATCGCCTCCGTCATTGCGCTCCGACGACTCCGGAGCATCTCCAACCATGCGAGCCAGTACAATCAAGCGCTCTTTGGGAGCCGAATTGACCCATAAGATCAAGGAGGTTCGTCGATTGGGAGAATTGGAAGACCTGTGGACAACCACATCTTCGGGAAACACTGCAATCCAGTCGCTAACGGCTTGTCTCTACTAATAGTCCCGGGTGCTCTTGGTCGGTGCTGGCGGCATCGGCTGTGAGTTATTGAAAAACCTCGTCCTCACTGGTTTCGGCGAAGTCCATGTTATCGATCTCGATACCATCGACCTCAGTAACTTGAATCGACAATTCCTCTTTCGACATGAGCATATCAAGAAACCCAAGGCTTTGGTGCGTACCGCCGCTGGCGAGAGATCGCTTGACAGCGCTCATTCCACCGTCTCTTTTGCGCGCGCGGGCACCGACAACTCGATCGGCTCTTCATGTTGCCAAATCAGTCCCATTGAACACACTGACGGATTCTGTGCGGCTTCTAGGTTGCGAAAGAGGTGGCCCATAATTTCCAACCAACCGCGAAATTGGAAGCCTACCATGCGAACATAATGGACAGTCAATTCAGTGTCGGTTGGTTCAAGTCATTCGATATGGTGTTCAACGCCTTGGACAACCTTGCGGCTCGGCGACACGTGAACAGCATGTGCCTGTCAGCCGGGGTACCGTTGATCGAGAGTGGGACTACCGGATTCAACGGCCAGGTGCAGGTTATCAAAGGGGTGGGTCACATCTACGAAGACAGCGACTTCGCACATGGAAAGACACTGATGAGGTCAAGCAGGGGGAAACCGAATGTTATGACTGCAATCCAAAAGCGACGCCCAAGACTTTCGCCATCTGCACAATTCGCACAACACCAACACAGCCCATCCACTGTATCGTGTGGGCGAAGAGCTACCTTCTACCGTGAGACTCACGCCGCTAGGAGCCGGTCCAGAAAAGCATACTGACGCTTCTGAATTAGACATCTCTTCGGCGCGAGCGAGGAGGAAGCGGCTGAGCTGGACACCACAGAGAGCTCCGAGAATGGTAAGTTCATGTTGCAAGGCTTGGAAACTAGGCGCAACACACTCCGATTGCATGCAATGCAAACTGACAAATGCTCTTCCAGCCGATGAAATCGCAAATTTGCGCAAGGAGGCACAGACCTTGAAAGAGGTTCGCAAAGCCATGGGAACGGATCAATTCTTTGAAACTGTGTTTAAAATGGTGTTCGAGGCGGATATAGAACGACTACGGGCCATGGCGGATGCTTGGAGGAATCGTGAGCCTCCAAAGGTGCTCGCCTTCAAGGACCTCCTGGAACGTTCCCAATCGACCGTGGCTCCCAGTTCAAGCGCAGACCAAAGATCATGGTCGGTGGAAGAGAACTTTATGATGTTCAAAGACAGGTAGGTATTCGTCTATATGTAGCTTGGGCGACAAGTACTGACCTTTCCATAGCCTGACTCGGCTGAGTAAAAGATATAAGGAAATCCAGAACAGGGCATCTCCAGAAGATCCCGAGCCAATCTTGACATTCGACAAGGACGATGAGGATACGCTGGACTTTGTTACCGCCACCGCAAATCTTCGGGCTGAAGCTTTCCATATGGGCTTGACTTCGAAGTTTGACACGAAACGTGAGGCTAACTCTGAACATCGAGCGGTGACCATACCTTACTGACACACTGATAGAAATGGCGGGCAACATCATCCCGGCTATTGCAACAACGAACGCGATGACTGCTAGTCTTTGTGTGTTGCAGTCTTTCAAGGTTCTCCGAAACGATCTGTCGAGTGCGAAGACTGTAAGCACACTTTTCCGGTCTGCTGCTCTTCCAGTAATTACTAATTCAATTTGCATCGAAAGGTATTCCTTGAACGGTCTGGCCAGAGAGCGATCAACTCCGAAGCTCTTCGCCCTCCTAATAAGAAGTGCGAAGTGTGCAACGTTGCGCGTGGTATTCTCACGATCGCTCCCAATGCGACGGTCGAGAATCTGGTGCAAGGGGTCCTTCAACCGGACTTTGGCTACACAGATGAGCTCTCCATTCGAGTAGGTCAGGAGATCATCTATGGACCTGACATGGAAGAAAATATCTCCATGAAGCTATCAGAATTTGGGATCAAGCACGACACTACCTTGACTGTCGTTGACGAGGATGACAGAGAGCAAGATCCTCGCGTCAACTTAGAGTGCTGGGTCACGGAAAGGTCAGTTTGGCAGCAAGATGCTTTCCTCCGAGGGTATAGCGTGGCTAACACAAGCTTCAGAAACGAATCGGAGCCACCTTCAAAGCCCATTACATTGGAGGTTAAAGGCGAGATCCCAAGGATGCCTGCACTGGCCAAGGCAGACGCACCCCTTGCAGACTCTGTGGATCTTCCAACGGCTGCAGAATTGACCTTGCCCGATGAAGAAGCCCCCTTAATCGTCACGGATGGCGCTAATGGCCTCGGAAAACGTAAACGCGAAGGGGAGGAGGAACCTGTCACAAACGGGCACGTTGATAAAAAGGTTGCGGGCGAGTCATTGCAGACGACGAATGACGCCGTGGTCGTCGTTGACGATGACCAGAACGGTGCCATTGTGATCGATGATTAGATCACTATATAATGGCACGGCGTAGCGACCATCAGGCGTCTGCCTACTTATCGTCTACCGCAGCCCCCATGGCCGAGAATGGAGGGCACAGCAGCCTTCTCCCGCTGTAGCCAAATGATGTACCACAACAACTACTTATTATCAAAACCCACAACGCGCAATCAGACATGACGGGATGTAGTCAATTGCACCAGCTTTAGACATCTAGCTTGTTGCTCGAAGAGTGGGTCATAGGATTAAGGAATCCTGCTCATCTCCCGATTTACGAGACGTACACTGTCCCTCCATTCATGCCAACGGGCAGCTAAACTGCACTTAGACCCCCGTCGAGATTTAATACACAATTATTGGCATATTCGTTCTGGGCCAGAAAGACCGCCGCATCGGCGATTTCCTTTGGATCCCCAAAACGTTGAAGAGGGATCAAGCTTGTTAGCCTCTCGACCTCGCCAGGAGAAAAGCCCTCGATCATGGGAGTCGCAATATACCCCGGGACAATCGCATTACACCGAATCGCCATATTCCTGGAAGACGTAGCATTCTCTGCGGCTAACGCTCGTGTCAGACCTAAAAGCCCCGCCTTGGATGCAGCGTATGGCACTGCGCCAGTCCCAGCCTTGAGTGCCAAGAGTGACGATATGTTGATAATGCACTTTGAGGCTGGTGTTCCTTCAGACGGGGAAGCTTTGCGATTGCGAACTCTGCTTCTGATAGCAGCGCGTAAGAATGCGCGCGAGGTAAGTATGGCGCCTTCCAAGTTCGTGCGAAGAATGCTGGAGATGTCGGACAAGTCTAGTTTCGTCAGAAGATTGGACACTGATATGCCTGCTGCATTGACGAGCACGTCTACATTGGCCTAGACATATGGACGAAAGTAAGTATTGTGAATCCTATCAATCTTGAACCTGTCTAAGTCGTGAACTTGACACAATCATTTCCATGGATAAACGAACCATATTTTGTTCCAGTTCCCGCATCCATCCCCCAGCCTCTCCCACATCCCCAACAAGCAATTGAACTTTCTGTGATGTGGTGCTGAGTTTCGTGGATGGCGTGAGCTTCTCAGCGGCCCTTCGTAGCCTTTCCTCTGATCTGCCAACTAGAATGATAGTCGAGGCGCCTTCTAGCAAGAAGCGTTCAGCGATGGCATAGCCAATGCCGGACGTCCCTCCAGTGACCATGCATGTGCGCCCTGATAGCCGGCCTGCTGACTCATGTCTGGCAATTTGATCGGACTGCTGCGATAAGGTAGGTGTAGGCGACATCGCATGCGATAATATTGGTGACGATGATGAGAGTCGGAGCTGTCTACTCGTAACAGCTTTCCAGCTGATGTCATATGTTTGGCGATGCGCGATCGCGGAGAGGGGTGAGACCTGTGCCCGAAAGAATGACCGCATCTTCAAGGGAGCTGCCATTGAGGATGACTACTACCTTCACCACTCTAGCCGTGCGCAATACATTCAGACAAGCTAAGTATCGCAAGTTCGGACGATTCGCGATTCACGTGCTTTGGAAAGGAGTGGAAGCCGCATAGAGAGGGCTGAGCCGCTTATCGATAAAAAGAGCAATACGTGCCTTATCGGTTCTTGGTTATCGCTTATCGGTTATCGTAGTGGGTGTTCTTGACAAGCTTGATTTGAGCCTCAAGGTCCTCGACTTGGATTTGACATCAGCCGCCTTAGGCCATCTTACAACTGTGTCAAAATGGCAAGCCAGACTCAATCTGTCTACGTGACGCTTGTCTCTAGCGATGGATTCGAATTTATCATTCCTCGCAGCGCTGCCTGCATATCTGGCACAATTCGGCGTATGCTCGACCCAGCAAGTAAGTCCAAACCGAATCGCCACAGCTGAAATCGAGAATTCAGTGAGGGACAGTCACGCTAATTCTGCAAAATCATCGTGGCAGGTAAATTCTCGGAGGCTCTGACAGGTCGGTGTGTACTCGAAACACTAAAGTACGTCACGGCCGAATCACTCCTCTCTTCCCTGAGATTGCGTGACATAGCAACATGAGCAAGTGCTAACCGTTTCACCTTGTCCACTGTAGTGGTGTTGTTTTGGAGAAAGTCTGCGAGTACTTTTTGTATAATGAGAAGCACAAGGATCAGGCCAATGTCCCAGATATGGAAATTCCAGCTGAACTGTGTCTGGAGCTTCTGATGGCTGCTGACTACCTGGACACCTGATCTTGGACTGTCTGGAATACTGTGAGAGCTCTTTCTCTAATTGCTCTCTCAACTTTGTTCCTGGCTAACAATCAAATTTTCTTTGTCCGGATATGCTTTACAGACGATTTATGGCGTGACGATCAACCTATACTTTCATATTTTTCATTTCACTTTTGGGCTTGGCGAAAGTTCACTCTCGATCATTGGAGTCCATATGTCCATAAACACCCTCCAGCCACCTTCAGATGGATCTTCACGGATACCCACACCGTCAGACCAGGGGTTCCTGAAATTTGAACCTCTTTATCAAGGCCATCCAAGCATCATACATTCGATCTGATATGCACCGTGAACGAATGAGTCTAAAATGAATGGCAGATCAAAACAATAGCTCTTCCTTTGTTGGGCTTTTCTTAAAGTCGCTCGGTCGTCCATATTGAGTCGATTGACAGACCAGCCTTCACTTGAGCTACATGAAAATGATCGAAGTACTCATTTACAAAGTACCACGTCGCATAATGCTTTAAATCGAAACGTGGCTTTTGTATTTTCTTTGGCATTGGCATGTAAAACCACCTATGATCAACTGATGACTGAGACCATAGCAGGTAGTGTCGGCAGCGCTTTACTCAATTGCCCCTTACTTCAACAATAGGCAAACTCGTAGTAATGGTTCAAACGTCACAGGCATGCACTTTACTCGAAGACTTCCAGGTCTCGTACTCTGCAAACACGTCTACGGCATTGAGCCCCGGCCCCGCCGCCCGCTCATGTCAAGCTGACTCAGCCGGGCTTATCACCCGCCCCATCCCCCCATATGCTTCATCAACTTCTCCTCGACAGTAAGAAACAGTGTCTGTTAGCCTTTTCTTCTTCTCTTGATTCTCCTGCCTTATATTCATGCACCTGCTGTACTGAGCTACACTTCTTTTTTGGCAGCAGAAAAGAACACGCCAACCCGGGGGGGTTCACCCCCTACTGCGTCCCACCTCGGTCCTCGACGGGCTATCGATAACTAATTACAGATACCCCATGAATTGCCCTTCGCCATGTCAGGAATCCTCGAGTCAGTTCCCGTGACTGGCAGTACCGCTACTGCTGCAGCCTTCAATGGAATCAATGATAGTGCCTCCTTAACCTCAGTCCCTGCTGTTCTCTCTTATTCCCTCGACCTCTTGGCCCTCCCGTTTCGCGCGCTCAGCCACGCGGAAACATTCGCATTCAATACAGTCCCTCGGCACATCGCGCAACTTACAGGCCTCAACAACATCAATCTCAATCTGTGGGGGAGAGCGGCCCCAACAGCAGGGCAACATGGCTTAGAAGGCAACGCCGTAGCTGCTGCTGCGGGCGCAGCAGGTGAAGCGGCCGCTGGATACGGTGATAGCTGGTTTGTGACCGAGTCAATGCAGACAATGCGGAAAGTCTGGGGATTTTTCGGCTATTTGACCAGCATCTGGTCTTTCGCTTGTCTCATCGAGGTCAGTTGTGTTCAGGAACTTCGGAGCAGCATATCCAGTACTGACTATTACTTAGGCCCTGGTCCTAAATCGGATAACCATCTACGCTTCTACTCGACGCCATCTGCGATTGGGCTGGGAAAGGCGCCTCGCACTGCGCATTATTCCGATCGTCTTGTTCATGATGCAGATCATGTCGCTACTCCGAGGCATTCGATGTCAGTCGTCGCCGAGTTTCCCTGAACTGCGTTACGGCAACCCCCGCAAACCCCTGTCCTTTGACTACGCAACCCAAGGGGGAGCGCTCTACACAATAAGCTCGCGCTTGATGTTTTGGGAATCCGACTCCCAGGCGTGCAGTGCCGTGAACATGGAGCGCGTTCCTGGTAGTCCGGACATCCCAAACGGATCTTACTCTCTACTGTGGCCGGTCTTCCTGGTATTATGTCTGAGTCATTTCATCGAGACCCTGGTCTGCGCTTTGCAAGGGCGACCCGTGATGACCGAGACGGGAATGTCGATCTTCGAGCATTCGCTTGCTTTTGCCGAAGCTGAATCTATGATCAGCAAGTCGATAGGACTGGGTCTCTTTGGCCTGGCCAAGAGAAGTCCCTTGGCAGAGAGCACATCAGCAGCAGGGGAGTCTGCGACCCCTCTGCAGCTCTTGAGTAGAGCACAGATTTTGGAGCGAATGAATGTCACACCAGAGCTTCTGCTTATCGTTCTGATCTCCTGCTGCAACAGTTTATCTTCGCACCTCCTGGATGTCTTTGGCAAACAGAGCCGATATCGCTTGGTCAATACTACTTTTTGGGGTATCTGTTTCATGGTTGCCATGCTCTGGGGCCTCGAAAACGGGCCTCCCATCAGCACTGAAACTGGAGTGCTCAAATTTCCGACTGTCTGCATTGTCGGTTTCATTCCGCATTTGCTTGTCCTGTTCGGTATCACTTCCTGCTTCGTGATCTATGGCTTGGCCCTTGTCATCACCGCATTCTCTTTGCCTTTGGAAGAAGGCCAATCTGTGACTTTTCGAGAGCGGCTTGCGCTGGCGCACGACAATATGCAGGGCTCGAATCAAATACGCGGCATTCGTGTCAATAGGCATGAGGATTTTTACACAACTTTGCTTCGCGTTGGCTATGTCTCCCTTACAGCCGCCAGCGAGGCGGTCTTTTTGAATGAAGGCAAAGCGGTCGTTGCCAAACAGATGACCTGGCTGGAGAGAGAGCGACTGGCAGAGATTGAAGAGTCTCGGAGAGAAAGAGAGTCTCATCGAACACCGCAAAACCATTTCGAAGGACCATTGTTCGATGCTGTGGGATTTGGTGGGTTCGACTTGCCCGAGCGAAGGAGAGAATGGCAAAGTGGATACAAACAGGAAAAGAAAATCGAGATGCCGAAGAGCGGATCGCGACAGGTTCGACCACAGGCCGAACTAGGAGGAGTAGGCGCAGTTCGAGCATCTGTACGACTGCGGCATTGCATCTCATTCTTCCGCGCTATCGGATTGCTCATACTTCGCTGGGTCGTGTACGGCTTTGGTCGTTTACTTGAACGGCTCGGTGTTCATGCCCGTCCGCTTTGGCTTAAACGTTTGTCTGGCACACACAGAAATGATGCAGTCCCGAAAAGGTCGTCTCCATCGGGGCCCGTGGATTTTTGGGTCCTCACGGATGATGGAGAGCTCGAGCTTCCCGATGACCATGAATTTGACGTGGAATTAGAGATGCAGAAACAAGATCGATCCCGACCAGGCATGTGGGACGCAGCCGACGAGCGTCGGCTGGACGAGAGACTTTACAGCTGGTGGAAAACAGGAGGATCGTGGGGCAACCAGGATCATACGCCTGATTACAACCCACCCATGGACGACGACGATGACACAACAAGTGTGGTATCCATGTCAACTTGTGGTACCGAATCAGAGTGGGAAGACGAGGACGGACTCTCTGACGGACGCCGAACTCCTACGCAATCGAACCCATACCCCCAGTATTCTCGCGAAAGCACCCCTGCCCCGGAGCCATTGTTGGACATGAGCACATTCGCTCGTCTCCTTGACCCTCGAGACCGAGAGAGTAGGGAAGAAGCTCGCATTCTGGCCGCACATCTCAATACCGGCCGAGAGCCCAATCGAATCATGACCCGCAGTCAATACAAAAAACAGCTGGAAAAGGAAAACTCGCGAGTCCTTTTGTCATCCCGCCTACATGCCCGTGCACCCAATGTTGCAGCGCAGGGTCAACGCCGAAAGCCATCGAGCGAGGAAGAGATGGAGATACTTGAGCAGCTTATTCTATCCCGCCGCGCCGAAATGGCTTCAAGCTCAGACCCTAGCACATGGGAATCTGGCGCGACGGGACTAGGTCCCAACGGGCCTCCGTGTGTTGTGTGCCAAACCAACCCTCGGTCCATCATCACCTGGCCCTGTCGTTGCCTCTGTATCTGCGAGGACTGTCGCGTGAGTCTTGCGATGAACAATTTTGGCAGCTGTGTGACTTGTCGACAGGATGTTGGTGGATTCATGCGACTCTGGGTACCTTAAGTGGGTGGTGGTGGTGGTTGATGAATCCGCTTGCGTCTGTTCGAGGGGAAATTTTCTTTTCGTTTTTCTCGCTTGGACATTTTATTGAATGGACAGGGCGCCCTGCCGAATATTCTAACAACTTTCGTCTATTAGCTTCGCAGACTTTCTTATAAAGACGACACTGTCGACATTTTGTATTATAGGTAATTTATAGTTTTAGCCAAAGTGTTCGTAACGTTGGCGACTTCCCAGTGTTCCACAGCTTGCATGGGTTCATTTTATCTTTTTGATGATCCTTTCTCTTCGCCTCATCTGCGTGTCCACACACCTAGATACAATGTTAGTAAAAAATCAAGGGATATTCATATCCATTGTCACAATCAGGAAGGGCTTCCTTTTTCCTGTTGCCATGACCTGCAGCCTCTCAAGGCTCGCACAGAGACTGTTAACATGATGCTGTACCCTCACAAGGCTCGCATAGGAGACTGTTAACATGATGCTGTGCCTTGTACTCCCAAAAATGACTTGATATAATTTTCTCTTAGTACATCAAGGTCGATGCCATCCCCCCCCAACCCCTTCTCTTGGAAAGACCTGTATACCAAGCACAACGCCCTCATTATTCCCCCTTCTCCAACGCCCTATAAACCGGCTCCCACATCTGCGCCCGAATCCACTCCCTCAACTCATCATCGTCGGCCGGAATCCCTTCCTGGCCCGCGAGTCCTTCTTTCTCCGCGCATCGGATCACCCCAGCCGCAATGTTGACGCTTATCTCACGCACGTCTTCGACGTCCGGAAGGAGAGGTCGAGAGGGATCCTCGAGAGCGGGAGATTTGGCTTGGAGGGCTTCGGTGGCTGCCACGAGCATCTTTTTGGAGACGAGGCGGCTGCGTGAGAGCACGGCGCCGAGTCCGATGCCGGGGAAGCAGGTGGAGTTGTTGCATTCCGCTGTGAGGGGAAGAAGAGTGTTAGAAGTGGACTGTGTTGAGGTGTGTGTGGTTGGAGAATGGCATGCTTGAAAGGTAGAGAGAAAGGGAAATGATGATGAAGTGCAAAGCGGGGTGAGGAATTACCAATCTCGTATTTCTGACCCTTATATTCCACGGGAGCGAAGGGACTCCCAGTGGCGGTCAAGACCTTTCCATCAGTCCAATTATACAGATCCTGTGGTTTGGCTTCATGCAGACGAGTAGGATTACTCAGGGGGAAGATGATGGGACGCTCGACGTGCTTTGCCATCTCGCGGACAATTTCTTCGCTGAAAGCCCCTGGCTTGGTGGATGTCCCGATCAGGACATGAGGTTTGACTTGACGGACCACGGCGAGAAGATCCAGATTGGTGTCGTTTGGCCACTCATTGTCGTCTCTGGCAAATGTGGCTTGGGCGGGAGTGAGCTTGTCACCGTGAGATTTGAGGAGAAGGCCAGGTTTGTCGATGCACCTGTGTTGGAAAAGGTGTGACGAACTTGTCAGCGATGCAGTTTTACAGGGTGTTGGGCAGTGTTATATTCAGCAAGCATGAAGGGCATTGGTGGATCTTGGCTCGCTGGTGTATGTCCTGTCTAGTCAAGAGGCCTCAGACTCACCATATTTGTTGACAAGCGTCGTCCTTGGACTTATGAGATTGAGCGACCATTGCTTCCACTATTTGCTCCGCAATACCAGTTCCGGCAGTTCCGGCGCCAAAGATGACCACACGAGCATTCTCAAGAGGAAGTTTGCTAACACTCAGAGCTGCAAGCATGGCCGCCAAAGTGACGCAGCCTGTGCCTTGGATGTCGTCGTTGAAGCATGGAATCTGTGGCTGATATTTGTCCAGGATTCTCTTTGCATTCGAGAGACCAAAGTCCTCGCTGATCAACATCACGTTAGACAGAATCCTGATGGCAGATGGACGATAAAACGCAAGGCAAGGTGGTCTCACAAGTGAATATAAGCGTTGGGGAAGCGTTTTCTGGCCGTTTGCACAAACTTGTCCACAAATTGGTCGTATTCCTCGCCTCGAACCCGTCGCTCTTTGAGGCCGAGGTAGAGTTCATCGTTGAGCAGCTCTTCGTTCTGAATTGGCAGAGTCAACGACACTTGATCCATTGGGGAATTTGATTTTCTAGGCTCACATTTGTCCCACAGTCCAGCACGACGGGCAATTGACGTGACGGATGAATTCCGGCACAGAGAGTCGTGATCACCAGTTTGGCAACTGAGATTAGAACGGCACCGATACCCTGATCTCCGATGCCTAGAATCTGACCAACTCCCAAAAGAATGAGAAATTGCTCGACTGATCGCTCGACTGATCGCTCGACGTCCAGTCCGAATGGAAAAGTCATTTGGTGCAACCTTACCTCTTCTCCATCGCTGACCACAATGTAATCAATATCCTCGGGCTCGCCACCAAATGCCGCGAAGCTTTCCTCGATTGCGTCTTGGTCTCGAATGCTCAGAAAGCAGCCCTCGGGCTTGCGGAATAGACGAGAGTAATTCTGAATTGCGTCTCCTTCCGTTGGTGTGTAGATCACACTGAACATTTCTTTGAGGTGGTTTTGTAACAGCTGCGAAGAGTCTCAGTCAAGGTCGTTGCCCCAGCTGAAGAAGCAGAATTGTAGGGGCGAAGACTGAGGAACAGTCTGTGTCTAGCCTTACCTTGTAATACAAAACCTCGTTCTGCGCTTTCATGCTCGCCATAAACGTGTTCTTGGCCAGGTCACTTTCACAGTTGGTATATTGCTGGTAGGCTCGGTCGACTTGCTCGTCCAGTGTCTGGACATTTGGAGGCAGCAACCCAGTGAGTTTGAATGCCGTGCGCTCATCCTTGGGATGGGCCGAGCCCTTGTTGAAATGGGACGATGTCAGCAACGAAGTGCCCTGGAGAGGACATTTCATGGGACCCGTGGCTGCGCGAGGCAAATGACTGAACTTGGAATTGTTTGTCATCTTCACGCTTGATTTGATCTTGCCTTGGGAGATGAGAATGGTAGTTCCTTTGGTCTTCTGAGATTGGCTTGGTACTGCTGGGCAGTACGACAAGCTCAAGTGGGGGGAAAGGGACAAGCCGAGGCCTTGCAAGTCACGATCAGGCAGTTGTGTGAGTGCTTGAAGTCGATTGTGGCTCGCAAATCTATCTGCTGGTTCTAATATAAGAGATGGATGGAAATATTTTCGGTCCAAACAAACGCAAAGTCAATCAGCTTGTGGCGTGGATACAAAAACAAAGTTGAAGTATCGAATGCCTCGTGGCAGCTGCGTAGAGGTAAACACATGGTCAACCTGAACCCCGCGGCCCGCATAACTGATGTCATGCCACTGACCCGCCAGTTCGCGGAACGTTCCGGATTGGTCTGTGATTTCCCTGCACGTGCAGCGCAGTCTTCGTGGTGTGCAGCACTAGACCTCATAGTAGTAGGCGACTGATAGCTTACCGCAGGATATTGATGTCCAAACAAGCCAAAAGACTAGAATATACCAACACGCATGTTCTGGTATGCCCGGGAACAGTATATTGGAAGTAATTAAGTATCGCACCGTTACGGCTTACGGCTGGTTACGACTCTGCGTAGCCACCAAGCCCACAATCCCGCCGTAACAAAAGATGCATTCGATTAGAGATTGATTCCAAAATAAACCGTAGTAAGATAATCCTCCGCAAAATACCCTCAGGCGACCATATCAACACCGGTGGAGATATTTCTTGTCGTCGGAAAACGGTTCTCGGGGTTATAGTCTGTCCCCTTATGGTACGTTTGAACGTCAGTCTACTACGGTTCCATCAGATGCGTCGATTCATGTCTTGGGTCCACCTGAACCACTCCCGAAGATTGCCCACTGCGAGGTCGTCAGACAGATGAAGACGATACAGTCTCAAGTCCGAATGTCACTCATCGGAGTATAAATTTCCAGCTCTTGGCTAGGTATGAACAACTTGACATTCTCTTGAAAAACCGATCCCTGGGTGCGTACACCCAGTGAGCGGGTGGTAGGTACAACCCCGAGGAACAGTGCATGATTGAACAAGGGAATGTCATTGATAGATACTTCGATGGATAAAGTAGAGACTCGAAACTCGAGAATAGAAACTTACTAGACTAGAGTAGTAGAGTGTAATGTGATACATTCACTCGCGAGCTAAAGCCGTGGCAGACGAAACCAGGTCATTAATCATACGTCAAGATTTAATCTCCCATCATCATATCACAACGCAGTGGAAGCAGATAGAGTAATGGAGAAATTGAGGCATTCAATGATAAGACACCCACAGCCTGCAAGAGTAAGACCCATTCCGACACTTGACAGAGATCGCCCCGAGAGATCCCGTCGTCAATCGAAGCAATACAACATCTGATTATCGAGACAAATCAGGCATGAATTTGGGATTTGTCCCGACCCAAGTCCGTTCCTTGATCTACGATCGATACTTTGCGCCGCAAAATCGGGTTGTGTCCCGTGGCCCCACTACTATACCCAGTGTCCCCACTGCTTCATGATTATCCGTGCGAGGCCCACTACTGTTTCGTCGGAAAATGCAGGAAAAAAAACTTGAAACCTCGCATTACTCTACTTTGCGACTACTACTTTTTTCATTTGGAAAAAAAATGCTAGTATTCAATGGATAACTTTTCTCAAAGGTCAAAAAGTCTGCAGCAAGGATGGATTGGTTGCTTGTGAACAGGTAGAGGTCAGAATATATAGTGTCGTTACTATCGTATACTGTATGTAGTAGCTTTCGGGTGCCCGTTCTAGATGGCTCCGCGGAGCCTCATACCTCAGGTCATCCATTGTTCTGAATACAGCAGGAACTACAAAGCGGACAGCATTAGACACACATCTCATAAATACGACGATAAGTTGCAAGTGACCACACTGCTGAAGCAGGGATACTTACCTCTGGTGAGGTGGTACCTGACTACCTGTGAATTGAGTTCGATGTTTGTGCGACAAGAGTCTCGTTCATTGAGGTTGTGAAACAATCATGCTACCAGCGTCGCCGGGATTTTCGTGTCACTCTCTCATCAAGGGCAATGAGTCGTCAGGGGTATGGATACAAAGTCCCGATTGATACGACCCTCAGCTGAAATTCGAGGTCTAGTCGAAGATTACTGAATATGATGGTGGAACATTTTCGCAGTAGAATAAAAAATGGAGCAACTCTGAGAAAAACTTTCTAATAATCGAGACGTCCGTCGGGCCAACTATCGGAAGTGAATTTACATACATCGATACATCAGATCAAGTGCTCGGGAGCCACACGAGAGGAAGAAGAAGAAGAAGAAAAAAAAAAAAGAAGAAAAAGAAAAAGAAGAAGAAGAAGAAGAAGAAGAAGAAGAAGAAGAAGAAGAAGAAGACAAATGAAAAATGGTCATGGTAGAGATGTGTGTATATTAAAAGACTTCGAGATCACATTCACCATTAAGAATCAAACCCCAATTCGTACCCAGGTAATTAAGACGTATCACGACTGTACAAGACCTGCACAAGGCCGTCCTCCCGAGCTCTGACGGGAATTTCGATTCCAGAAAAGAGATGGAGGAGCAGCCAGAGATGAGGAGAGAGATCGAAAGATCCACCACTCATCACAGATGGTTTACTCCTCGCTTCCTTTTTCCTTCCCCTTTCCTTCCCCTCACCAGAACACTCAAGAGGCCTGGCCAAGGCAAACCACATTCTCTTGCTCTCCAAGAAATTAGGATTAGCTATATTTACAGAATGTAGGCAGCGGCGGCGGCAACGACGGCGACACCGGCCATGTTGCCCTTGATGCTGCCAGCGGCGTTGTAGGCAGGGGAGGTGGTGGCGGCGGCAGCACCGCTGCTGGTGGGAGTGGGCTTGGAGGAGCCAGCGGGGTGGGAGGAAGAGGCCATGGCAGTGGAGCTCTTGACGGGGGTGGAAACGGCCCAGCCAGTGGTGGTGACGGCGGTCATGACCACGGAGCTGGTGGAGCTGGAGGAAGCCATGGGGACGGTGGTCTGCTCGGCGGCAGAGGTGGTAGTCTCCTGGGCGACGGCAGAGGTGGTGGCAGCGGCGGTGGAGGCAGCGGAAGAGGCAGCGGAAGAGGCAGTCTCAATGGGAGGAACGACAATGGGGTGACCGGCCGAGGAGCACTGAGCCACGACAGCGTTGGAGACGGAGATCTGGTCGGGGACCTTGCAAGCCTTCTGGACACAAGGGGTGATGGTGGAGACCAGCTGGGGCTTGGAACAGTGGCAGGCAAAGTCGGTCAAGCTGCTGCAGCCATCAGTGGTGAGGGCAGTGACGAAGCAGTTGAGCTGGGTGAAAGGAAGGCTGATGTTAGTCGATGGTTCCATGTTCGACCCACGCATACATCTGCCGTATAACGAGGGAATGGGGGAGTATCACAAACCGAGCAGGCAGGCACATTGGGCAGCTGGGCGTGGGCAACACCGGCAGCGACGAGAGCAATCAGAGTGGCAGAGAACTTCATTTTGACGAGTGGGTGATTTTGCTGCGTAAAAGCGAGAATTGAATCAGGAGTCGATGAAAGAAGAGAAGTTGGCTTCGAAAACGACAGTCGAAGATGTGATAACGAGTGAGCGATGTGATTGACTGAGGAAAAGAAGGAATGGGTAGGACGGGGTCAGGACGATGCCTTTTATAAGCTTTGGAGGACCATCAGATACGATTTTCCGGTGGCACCGAGACCAGGCCCTGGTCTGGTCCTCGATCGTGAGACGCTCCCCTGTGCAGTCGTCCAAGGTCCCTGGCAAGACTGCACTAACCACCGGCACCCCAAGAGTCATCGAATCCGAGTCTGGCCATGCACGAGCTCTCCGGGCGGAGGATCAGGAGGGGGTTCACACTGGAGAGAGATTGACCACTGAGGTCAGCCACAGCGGGAATTTCCCAATTCCCTCATGTCCTCCGTGCAACTTGGATGCTCCACTTTGCTCGGGGAGGGTGCATCAATGCAGTACCCGCGTCTCCCGGCAAGACAGAAAGACCGAAAGACAGAAAGAGGGAGAGGGAGGGTCCTCCGAGTATCACATGTCGTCTCATCTGATGGCCGACACAGCTCCAGAATAGCAACAATGGGTCACCGATGGCACGGTCCCTCTCAGAACGCCTCTCCCCATTCCCACCGTTGATTGATATCCACCTCACTTGTCCGGATCGTGGTGTGAGTTTGATTAAGAGAGACTGGGGTCCCCGGACCCCTCCGCTGAAGGTGGCCAATCCTGCCATGGACACGCACCGGATCAAGGTGCGGATGGCGGATGCGGGTCGCCAATGGCTCCAACGCACGAGCTCGACCTTCATCATGCAGGTGTCTGCTATGGTGGATTTGATGCCGAGTGGAGATATATGGTGATTGCGTCTGTAGTCTGTAGTCTGGACCGAACAGTGCACTGTAAAGCCAAGTCGTTGTGTGTGGGCCCCAAGTTCATGAGGTTCCATCCGCACGAAACGAATGGCATTGCGAGGAGACGAGATGAGATCCGAAGGTCTCTCCTGAACAAGGGGGCTGAGATACACCGTTCCAGCTCACTTGGAGGCAGAGCACTAGGGGTTGGTCGGATATCTAGTGACATCTCGTCCTGTTCGGTCCAGTCGCAGAGTCGTAGAGGCGGTTGCCAGTTAGCCGGCACCCATGTAGGCCTGTACTCTCCACCTGTACAGTGGAGACTCCAATGGAGCGAACAAAGTGGAAATGCCTCTTTTTGCTCCACCTCTTCGGAGACTGCCGTAATCGGGCTAGAGGCATCGACCCCCAAGGGTCATCCTTATGGTACTCCATGCGGTGCTTCTACAGTATGTGGTGAAGGAGTGGAACCTTTCCAGTGCGGGTCCAGGTGACGGTCAGCCCAGCCCAGAATTCTGAAAGAGATCCACGAGATTTTCCCATGCAAAACACACGAGACGAGAGCCCAGGATTCCAGGAGGGTGCCGACTGACTCGGGGTGGCAGAAGGACCAGGCACCATCTGGACAATCCCGATCAGGCCCTGCACCTTCAGGTTAAAAAAAAAAATCAAAAATCAAAACGGAAAACGGAAGAAAAAAAAAAAAAAAAAAACTTTGATACGTCGAGGCCGACGAGAATCTGGAATGGAGGGCAAATGAGTCTCGGTGCATGAACGCCCGTTTGATGGGCCGGGGGGATGAGATCCTCTTTCCCAATCGCTAATGCGCCAGGTCAAAACGGGGCCTGCACCCATTCACAGGCCGATCAGCCGTCCAGCAGGACCCCAAGGCCCAGGAGGAAGACCTCTCGCAGCCAGACCATCATCATGAGCAAATTGGATGGTTCAACCTTGAGTGGCTGCGAGGGCAGAGGCGATTCGGCCGTCCCTCTTGGAAAAAGGCGGGGACGGGACGAGGAGTGGAAAGGGAGAGTGAGCGGGCGTGGAAGAGGTCACACTGGGGAAGTGGAGCACGGAGCAGAGAGAGAGAAAACGCCCGGTACGTAATGACACATCGGGACTGTACTGAGTACTCGGTCACGCACTCTCTTACCGGAGTCCCTGACTGTTCGGTGTTGAGCGTTCAGTCTGCCTGTCACTGTGGTACTAGTGACTGTAGCAGACTAGCGAGCAGGGACTTGGTTGACGTGTCTCTGCCTGGCTCAGGTGACAGCCATATCTTACATGTGCCCTGCCAGTCTAACTATAGTACCACTGCACCACTTTTACGGATAGTAGGGCATATGCAAATGCGTGGTGATGTCCGCCTAGGTAATTCTTCAGCTCTTCCTGTTTCGAGACACGGACTCGATGCACTACGAATTCTCTATTAGTATGATGTATAATGTAGTTATAGTATGTAGTATGTAGTACATAGTACATACTATGTACTATGTAGTTTAGCTTGCCTAGCGAAGAGATGTCATTGTTGATTGTTCCACCCTTGATGTATGTCACTTGGTTCTGCCTCTTCGGGTTCTTGATGCGTCGATCACTATGGCCACTCGGGATGGTATTTACCAGCTCTGTTCCGAGGCTGCTCCTTGAACTCGTTCTGACTATTTAGTAGCTTCAGTAGTTGGTACAGTAAATTTGTCCATGGCACTCAAAGTGTACTACCGTATCCCTTGAAGAGTCAATACACTCAATACGCAATGAGTCAATAGCAATACTAACTTACTAAGAGACTAAGAGTATTGGAGTAGTAATTTTGTATTCTCAATTCAATAGCAATACTAACTTACTAAGAGACTAAGAGTATTCGAGTACTAATTTTGTCTTCTCAATCTCATACCATTCCGTTCCAGAAACCGGTTCAAACTTCACGGACCAATCGGCCCAACCACGAACCCAGAACTGAAATTGGAACAGGAACAGGAACCGGAACCACGGACTCGACTTGAAAATCCGGGGAAAAAAAGGACGAACAATGGAAATAGGGAAAATCAAAGATTAAACAACGGCCAAAACGAGATGACTGCACAGTGCACACTGCACACTGCACTCTCTCAGCCGAGGGATCATGATCCCGGAGAATCAATAGGAAACACAAATCCAGTCTGACAAGAAACACTGCAATTCAGTCACTACTGTGAGATAATCAATGACCTCTTCCCTACTCGGCATTAGGCAACACCACTAAGATAAATACCGACTATCTCTTTCCCAAAGAGGAGAAAAAGCCAAGCCGCTTGCATGCGCTTAAGTCTCTAGACTCTGACAACACAGTGCAATCACCTGCACCGGCTGTGCCCCCCCCACCACGGACGAGGTTGAGGTAGCATCCGCCCTTGACCCAAAACAGGTCATGCCCCGACCACGTACAGCCGCCAAGAAAGAGTCGGAGCCAAATGGCACGCAGAAATACATCATCAAGTAATTACCAGACCAGGAAAAGTGAGCCTAAGCAAAACAGACGGTCTTCTCGCCAGTCCGCAGGCGGGGGATTAAGTGGTTGGCAGCAAACAATTGATTTGTAGATTCCAACCTCTTTTGAATGATGACTAGATGATGATTGATGGGCCATTTCTCGTACTCAACATGATGATATGACCCGGTCATCTTAGCTTTGGCAGAAGCCTGTTGAGCCTGCCAACTTTTCGAACATCCTTGCAAGGAGAGATGCATGCAAGGTGCCGATCCTCGCCTCATACCTCGATCATCTTGTACTGCGGGCTCTATCTGATCAATTGGAGGTACGTACGTAGTACGTCCGACGTCGCTGGCGGCTGTAAGGCAGAACAATACTCGGAGGACGAACTCATCTCATCATTCTCATGTCGGTCCAATACAACACAATACACATACCACTCATCTACTGTATTGTTACCAAATTGTACCATATCAAAAAGTGTCGTGAAGACTAGAGACTCTCCCACGTTGCCCTGTCCACAAACATCCATGATCTAGATCCTCCCAATCATCTCTCTCGCATGTGGATTTTCCACTTTCCAGCATGGTTCGACCCATCTCGGTCTCTGGTAAATCCCCATGGATGGGTCGAGATGTCTGGTCTGCAATTCGCCCATCCTACTCCATTTGAACGCTTTTCGATGCCAAGCTTGTAACCGTTGGCTGCTCGCACGATTATAGCGAACAGTGGACCACTGGATGCAGCTATATTCAAGGCACAGGTCGTAGATCCGAACCTACACAGGGCCTCCTAAGTACTAACAATGTGCGCTCCATCCCATTGGAACACAAAATGCTCGTACCTGCAGATCGTGATTCCTCTCAGGGTCCAATGGGACCTCCGAAGCGGGTTCGTCGTCGTCAGTGCCTCCAGGGGATTGATGGATCCATGTCCGCGGACAGAACTAGTCTGTAACTCTGTATATTCCTGGATTTGGCATCTTCTAGCAAGGAACCAAAGCAGCGCCGTGTGATGTCTCGATTTGGCTTTTTGATCTCTGATGTGAGCATCCCTTTGTAGAAATGGATGGGCTGGAATCTCGTTTTCATAACCTCGGTTATCTTAACATGTGACAAAAAAATCGTCGGTGGAATCAGTGCAGCTTACACTCATTTACTTGTCCAGAATTCGGAGCGTAACCATTATCCGCATTCATGCTACAGCTCCGATTCAACACCTCTTAAGGTTCTGTACTGGACAAAAGCCGGGGTGAGCAGAACAGAACTGATCTTGGGACTCTGTAAGTACGGTATGACAGTCTGGTCCCGCTGTCCCAGTGTCCCACGGTCTGATATCAAGTTTCATCAAGCCAACCAAGGTTCGGCCCACTATTGAGAGTAGTACCTGTGAGTTGGACCGCTCGACCTTTCCATTTTCCTTTCTTGGTATTTACCCTCCACCGTCACTTGGGCGTTCATCCAAGCGAGGTCCCAGTCTCGATCGGAGAAATTGAGGCTCTCCATCTGGTATATAGATCAAGTGATACTATTTCCTCCTTTCCAGAAACCATCCCATCCCATCCTATCTATTACCTATTACCTATCGGGCGGGACTACAGCAAAATCTAGTCTTTTTGCAAGTTGCAACAATAAAGTATCACCTACAATCATCTGGGCAACACGAGCCCAGCCACCACTAGAGGCATCGAGAATTGACTTTACGAGCAGGGGTCAATTTCAACTTTACAACTTCTTTCTCTTCGTGCAAACGACGCACGGACTTCAGTCGCGACGATCACATGGGAAAACCCCGTCTCGATGGAAATAATCAAAAGGACTGAATGTGTTGCCGAGCGCCACCCGAGTTTCCGAGGGAGACTTAACGGGGAAGGCCAGTGCGGGGAAGAATCGCGTAGTGTACTGTAGTTATGTAGTAACGTGCAATCTTGTACACGTAGTCAAGTTCAATTTGGACATTAAGAAAGATTGCAATGGAAAGTACCTACTGACCCTACTACCTGATCTGTGAAAAGAAACCTAATGATTGGCCTCGTTTCCAATCTGTCGTAATTGTATAATTGGTAGAAAAAACAAGCAGCTCCAGAATGGAATAGGTAGAACTAGACGGTAGTACCCGACTCCGGAAATTAAAATCGCAACACTGAATGATCTATTCCCGCTTCTCGATCCGGTTCCACCTGGCTTATGGTCTGAATCGTCAATACTGGAGTTTCGTGGATTATTTCACCCCGAGAGTGCTGACTAAGTTACTACTATGTAACTACTACTAGTATTCACCCAGTCTGGTACCGCATCACGTCAACTTTGGGCCCGGGGCAACCTGCTTTGGAAAGGTCGAGGATTCGCTCGGGGAAGGCACAGTCGACCCAACGGCTTTCGGCACGAAAACGGGTAGTGCGTGATGTATTTAGTACTTTACGACTTGAAAAGAGACACTTGAACAACGCGGGTATGGACTTATGTAGTCAAGTTCGTGCCACCTACAATAATGAGCAAAAGGACCTCTATCCAGAGGCGCAAGTGGGACTCGGAGGGCCAGAGGGGCAGAGGGGCAACGGCAGAAGCGGGCGAGCAGCGATCCGGGGTCGACAGCAGAATGTCTCACTTTGACCCTGCAAGTCAATGAATGGTGTGTGCACAGCAGACTGTAGGCAGACGGAAATGCGCGTGCCGGCCGAGACTGTGTATGTCCCATGGATTAAACGCTACACGGTTCCAGCAGTACGACGTGGAATTCAAGATCTCTCACCTCATGGGCACAGCCAAGAATCTAAATTTTTTACATTCTCAAGCACGTCGATCACCGGCAAGCATATAGTATTCCAAGACATCCAGAATCTAGCAGTCTCACTCAGCTGCACGACTCAGGAGAACTTCAGCCGGGGCTTACTTCCAGTCCTGGTTCGGCCGGCAGACGCACAATAAGGATGCCTCTCCGCGACCCGCTTGGGGCTTAGACCATCGCCACTAGCGCATCGATGCAAACCCACGGCGACAAAGTATTCTCCGAGACGGAGAATAACGTCGAAGAACAGGTCGATCGCAATTCAATTCGGACAGGGATCTCCTGTACCCTGGAATTAGGGCCGGGGCACATGGAAGACCAACATCGCCGGTCAATGATCGCCATGGACGAGGTCCGTCCGGAGTATAAGCGTACGTACTGCTGCCGTTACACTGATCTCGCCCCTCGGCTCAAAGCGAGGACTAATCTCCGCTTCGGATCCAATCTGGACATATGTAAGAACCCCGCAATGAAAAGATGCTTCGTGGGATTGCCATATGACTCGGTGAGGACCGTGGCGGGAATGGGACAGTCGTTCCACAGAGATGTGCTCTGATTCCAGCTAAGCAACGAACACGTGACGATACATCTGTCACATGTTCTGACCCTGCTCCGATTGCTTTGGCATCCCTTGAACGGCTTTCAAGGCCCTGTTTCGCATCAGCCGCCGCGCTTGACCCGATGTGCAAGGAGCTTCAAAAAGTGAGTGGGTGTATTGAATGCCACTGCATTGAGAGAAGAACCGGAACGCCCGCTGTGCAATCTGAATCCATCATCTCAGCCGAAGAGTTCAGTCGAGAAATCAGAAATAAATAAAACAAAACGCTTCACGATCGTCGCTTTTCCGCCTGTCATACACCATGGACAGTGATATCATGACAGCAGCTCATCCATGCGTGCTCGCTGTTTGGCGTTCTCGTCCTGCAACAGTACCGCGAGGACTTCAAGAGGCGGGTTCAAGTTCAGCATATTGGCCCGACGCCAGCGCTTCACCCGCGCGATACCAATACACGGCTAGAAACAGGATGATCAGCATTTTATCCCCGCTGAATGATGCGATGGGACTGTATAGTTCGCAGGACGCGCAGTCCTAGATGCGATGACATGGATCACGTACCCCGTACTGACTGGATAGATCAAAGTGGCGTAAGATCTTCTCCTCGATATCGAGGTCACCTTGGTGCACTGGAGATCATGGACGGCTGGTCAGCAAAATGGCCATGGTCTTCTTCTCCTCTCCGAAAGGGAAGCTTCTCCGCCTTTGCTAACTCACCCCTTGGCGCCTTTCGCTTTTGCTCTTCCGTTCTCCAGTAGGAAACCAGATCTTTTTTGCCCAGCTTCAACGCTGCTTCATCCTCCACAGATCGGGGTTCCTTCAATTCTGCAGCCGCCTGTTGTCGGACTGCCAACTCGGCGACATGGCGCTTTGATGGATGCGCCTCCGCAAGCACCTCCTGTGGCTCGGGTGTGCTGACCGGCGAGACTGATTGCACTGCGTCGAGACTCTTGCCCTTGTGGAGTGAGGCTGGGGTGCTGGACGGCTTGGTGACTCTCGACTGATTGCCGAAGGAGAGGGTGGACTGGGCGCCGCGAGGAGCGGCAGTGCGACGACGAGGTGGCATGGTGATTTGAATCCAGGGAGACGATGAGATGGGTCGGTTGAAGATGGATTCTTCTTGTGTCGTACTTGCGATGTTCTTTCAAAGAAAGCTAGGACCACGGATAAAGGCGTAAGGAGCTGTGACTCGGTGTGGTAGGTGGTTCAGACGGGGATCGAAGGACCAGGCAGAAGGAGGGTGCAGGTGGAGACGGGGCGAGTGGAGCTGATGATGTCGTTGGGTGCGGTTGCGCCTGGCAACCGTCCCGAAAGCGAACGAGGTGCCCGACTGCCCGCACGCGGCTCAAAATAACCCAGTCCAGGACGAAGCGGAAGGGAAGGTGGAAGGTTTGAACAGACCTCATCGATCTCTATGTTTGGAGATATCGTTGACTTACTCTGGGAAGCAATGGGTTCAGTATCGTAAACGTGCGAGACTATGCAGGTTGAGTCAGTGATCCGTCCGCCACATAGGACCCTCGTACCTCGACCACACAAATGGGTGATTCATGAGTGGGTATATACGAAGAAGTAAGTATGCACACAACCTTATTTATGTTTGGACATTGGAAAAGCAAAGTCTAGAACAACAAGATGACCGATCTTCCTGGTCATGTGCTTCCCTCGATTTGCTGAAGTCCACCGAGCAAGAGAGAAGCGCTCGAAAGATCGGGCTCTTTTAGAGTAGCGAGCGAGCTATTCATTCCTGTCGCCCGATCTGTACCCTCGATTGCACTTGAGTTTACATGGCAACCGCATGGTAGCCCATGACCTCGAGTATGTATGTATACTCTATAGTACTAGATACTAAGTTATTTACTAGGTAGACCGTACTAGATACTATATAGTTTGTACTATGTGGTACATTATGTACCATGTACATATACTGTCGGAGCAGTAAATGCCTTCTCCAAGCATCAGGTCCAGTGCAGAAAGTACCTTGAGCGCCCACAGCTTCTACCAATGACCGAAATGAGATCTCGAGCTTGAATCCTCTTGGGCGATCGGGTCCACCGTGGCCCCGTTATGCAATCAGAATGAATCCCGCTCTGGTTTGGTCAAGTTTAATCACACACACACACATCATCATCATCACCGCCAACTGGATCATTGATGCTCCGACAGGTCGAGATGATGCAATCACCCACATAAAGTTAAGCACCGGACTTGGCCCCGGGCGGAGATGAACCAGCCCCAAAGGTAGGCGCAGAGATGATCGGACCGGAAGAAGACAAGCAGAAGCAGAAGCGGAAAAAGAGCAAGAAGAGACAGAAGAAGAAGAAGAGGAGGAGGAGGGGGGCTGGAACGGCTGGAACTACAGGAACCCTCCAGTTGTTGTTCCCCACCGCATCAAACGCCCCTCTCAAGCTGGAAGTGATTGATCCACGCTTCAACCGAGCTGTGATACACCATTGCTCTCTGTGCCCAACCAGTTCTCCGCCCCCATTGCACTAACTCAACTCTGGAACCAACAAAGCATACCAAGATCGCTACGCCGGCGCTGCACACTCGACCACCTCAGCACCCGTTTACACTGCTCCCCATTTGACTTGCCTCCTGCGTCTATCGACGGTCGCAGAGGGAATACACAGCTTGACTCGTACGGTTCTCCCGATTGGGGCGCTCCACCCCCTCCCGGATGAGCTCTCTCTCTGTGCAACGGACCATTGCTCGACCTCATCCACCCGCCACGTCGTCACAGCTCCTCCGCCGCATGTCCATGGTGCGGCGGGAACAGCGCGATCGAAATGGCCGCCTTTGTGCGCGTATCCGGCCCTGCAAATGGCAATTTCCTCATCGGATACCCGGGCATCTCTGCAACCATGGTGAGCGCCGATCCTCCATCGTGACCTTCTATCCTGTTCTCACCCGTCTCCTTCAAACGGATATCCCGCCGAGCTTGGGAGGCAGGCGCCAACACGCCACGCGAAAACGCCATGTCCAGGATGATATGTCTGACTCGTGTTTGCACAAATAGCCTCGCATCGAAGGTAAGGTTGAGATCCGGCCCAGCGTCGGTATCTCCGCCCCGGTCAATGTCTCCCTCGTGACGATATCACTCCTGCGCCGGGAAACCATCCATCCATCCGCCGATTCGGTCACCAAAAAACGGCTTGCGCCCCCGCGCAAGGAAATCTCAGATATCGTGGGCAAGGAGATGCTTCTGTTTCGGTGTCCCGCCGGGAAAGAATTTGAAGAAGTCATAGCCATGGATCTTCCCTTTGTCCTCTTCATTCCATTCGGACGCGGCGGTCGAGATGCGTCTCGGCGAGTTCCCCCGGCGAGCTTGCAACTGCCCAGTCGCACCGCCGAGACATATTATGAGATGGTGGTCATGGTTCAACAGGGACATTCGGACCAACGGAAATATACCTTTCCGGTGCCCATTGCTCGCTACGACACGCTTTCCACATTTGGCATGTACAATCGGCCCGAGTCTGCCGAGCGAGTTTCCGACCACCTGGTCACCCTGGCGATTTCTTTGCCGCGCTGGTCCTACGGACCGCTCGATCCGGTCAGCGTGTACATCAAACTGTCACCCAACCAAGAATGGATCAGCAAAGCCCGCAAAGTCACTATCAGTAAGATCACCATTGGCATTGATGAAGAGATCGTCTACAACCACGAAGGTGACGAACCGCAGCGCAAAGTGAAGACCCTCGTGAAGAAGACAGAGACGGTGGGCATCAAGTTGCCCCAGTCGGGATATCTGACCAATCTCGGCTTGGTCTTTCCGGCCAAGGACCTGCGCGATTCTGAAGGAATTCTACCTCGGAGTCGGGCAGCTTTTCCCATGTACAGTGTGAGTGGCTTCACCACCACGGCAAGTTTGTATAAGATTGAGTATTATCTTACAGTGAGGGTGAGTCTCAGGATTTTCAACAGAGGGTCGCGCAGAAAGGTTTTTGAAATGGTGTTCAATTCCGAGCTGACAATGAGCAACTTTAGGCGCATCTCACCTCGGCAAGAGACATTACAATCCGCCAGCCGATAGTAGTATGTCCACTGGATCATGCGGGCTGCAAGGAGGAAATGGAAGCCATCGAGCTGGCTGCCCGTGATGCCGCCTATGTGAACCCCGATAATCCTACACTACAGCGGCCATCAATTATCCGGCCCAGCGATCCTCATGCTCTCGACTATTTGGGAGTGGCCATTGTTGAAAATCAAAAGAAGCCACTCATTGACTGAGGAGGCATGAGATCTTTGACGATGGGTCTTTTGAGATCATCGAAGGCCTCTCGCAAACTCTTACATTCATCGTCACATGTGCAATCATGGTTGAATATGACTGCATTACTTTTCTACCCTCCTGAGCTGTGAGCTCACATCGAACGCAGTGGAGGCCCTGCCTCGCCGGATCCTACGGCTCTCTGTGGCACGGCCTGTTCTAACCACTCTGTTTTACGATTGCATTGACTTGGTGTTTGTTGCATAGCAGTTCCGAGAAAGCGGGCTTAGCTTTCTATGGGGGTTTTCTGGAAGCCCGGTTGTTTTGGGAGGTGTCCGTCTCCTGGTGAAATTTTCTGGAGAACCGTGGGACTATCAAGGCCGCGCCGGTCATGTGACATACATTCGAAGCAGCTCAGCTGAGGCTCTCCGGTCACTTTGGCCTTGTTTGACATCATCCGCTCTTCAAGCCAGCCACTTTCTTGATTGATACGTGAACCAATCTAATGTCAATATGATGAGACCACAGTAATGATTTGCTCCCATGCTCTCCTTCTTCAAAAGCGGTTGAGGATATCGTCAGTTCATCTGTTGCTCGACCTTCAATCAAAAGTCATCACTCTGGGGAGTAACATGCGAGGGGGTAATCAAAGTAAATCAGCGACGCTATCTCAACACTGGATAGAATAGGTCACTCCCTGAGTTTGAGGAGTCCCATTGCAGAGTTCAAGAGTTCAGCATCGACTTCCGCCGCCGTTTTTAGTTTTTGGTTGTTCAGCCTGTGCAAGCAGTCCTTCAGCATGTTTAGGATCGCATGGGCTTGAATTGAAGAGGGTCCGAATGTGTCGAGAGCATTCTCAAGACTGTTGGATATCTGGTAACGGTGTTAGTTGATAGTGCTTCAAAATTGTCCCTGTCAGGGGCCAATTTACCTTGCGGAGCTCCTCGGAGAAATTAGTTCCATCATCGGCCATCTTTGCGTCAACCCTTCTCACTATGTGGGAATGGTTTATTTTCATCTCCAATGCAGATGAAAGTGTTCGTCCAGGAGACAACCCAAAAAGCGGAACCCCCCACCGCCTCAAAGTGGGTCGAAAGCATCGTTTATCGATAAGCTCCCAATTTCTCTTTACGCGACAATCTCCGCGCGAACCCACGTGCATTGCGGAGGACAAAGACTGAGAAAGCAATGCTTCGTTGAGCATCATACGATCTCCCACTTTGCAACAATCCATTCCTCGTGATTGCAATGGCGGACGCAGATGAGGATGCGGTCCGGGGTACCGCGGTGGAAGCGACGCAGATCGAAACCGATCTCTCGGATGAAACGCAGGACTTTCGCCTTTTGAACCACCTCAACTTGTACGTGCGCCGTAGAGGCTGATCTTCCTGGGCGTGCGATGCGCATTGACTCGGCATGGCCGTCTTGTTCAGTGCCCGAGACCAGGATGTCTGTGATTCTTGACTACATCATCCTCTTCTTGTGTGACTCTTTGCTTGTCTTACGGTGGAACTAATTCCTCCTCTAAGTAGTCTTACAGATACATCCTCATCCAGTCTACCCCGTCGCGGAGAAAAAGACTTTGAACCCAACCCGACTCTCTTCCAAGCCGATGTTCTCTCCTCGTCTCGACAGGCAATGCACAATGCGCTTGCGCATCCCCGTCTACATAATCCCAAGAATCTAGTGATTGCCATTTACGCGCCCGATGGGCCTGGAACTTCTGCGTCTCCTCCACACGCATCGTCCCAGATTTCCCTGAATTCTTCTCCTCCTTCTACTACGCAAGAACAAAATCCCGTCAAGCCACCGGGCCGAGGCGCCATGGTCTCACCCGATGCTTGCGTCTACGTGCCGAACCCCAAGGGCCAGTATTTTAAAAGCATGGGTCAAGCAGACCGAAAGGGTGTCGTGTGGTTATTGCCCGAGGAAGCCTTGTATCTCCTTGAAAGAGGCAGTCTGGATATCCGCTGGCCTGCTTCGATCACGGGCGGTTCAACATCAAGCGGACCGGGCGAGCCAGGCGCGCAGAGCAGCGAGGACGATGACGACTTATCCATCCCGATGAGTCTTCAGGCTGCTTATACGTGTCTCATTGGAAGAGGCGGATTGACGCTGGAGCGGTTCTCGGTGTTTTCCAGCTTAAAGAGAATTGGATATGCGATCGTTCGTGCTCCGGGATGGGATGACTCGAGGACGGCCGAAGATTCCTCGGATACGCACGACTCTTCCAACGCATATACGCAGCCTCTTCTGCGTGGAGCGGGTCTTGCTGGGATCTTTGGACGGATCTTCAAGTGGATCAATGATCCACGCTGTACTTCTTCTCTGGCGGCTGGTCCCGTCATTGGATATGGAATTCACCGAAGCTACGGTAAGTGGTGTCGTTTCCTATCTCCAAAGTGATCTTGATCGCGAAGACTTTCTCCTTCACCTCGCTTTATCACCATGTCCTACTTTTTCTCAAAAGAAAAATGGAACTTTTCCCATCAAATCTAACCTTTTTGATCCAGCCGACATCTACCAAAGACTCGCCCTAATCCCCTGGTACGACCCGACCCTCACGCCCCAGCGCGATCCGCTCGACACAACCGTCCCCTTCCGCATAATCTTCCACGTCTACAAACCCTCCACCCCGATCAAAAAGACCGCTCTCCCCGCCCCCGACTTCCGCATCGCCGTCATCAACACCCGCGAACACGACTCCATCCCCACGCTCGACCAGCTCGGCGCCCTGCTCGAAAGCACCCCGCTTGATGTCCCCAGGGGTGAGAAGATGGAGCGTCATTTGTATATGCGTCTGCGACACGGGTATCGGAATGTTATTATGGCGGTGGTGGATCAAGGAGTCACGAGTTTCTTGAGGGTCGCGGATGCGGCGTTTGGTAAGGAGAGGATCTATGAGGCGGCTAATGCGCCGATGGGGGCGAAAAAGGGGGGCAATTATAGGAAGAAGAAGAGGTGAATCTCGGAATTGTCGATGTATGCTTCCAAGTCACGAACAACCGAGATACTGAGTCATTCAATTGGAGATGTCCCTTGGCCTACAGGCTTTCAGAAAAAGAGAGGTCACAATTGCACGAAAAAGAGGATCTTTGGCAGACTTTTTTTTCATTCAATCATAATGCAATAAATGGGATCTTGACCACCCAAAAGCAGCCATTGAACGCACGGATACTTCTATGGAGGAGGCCATCCCCCGAATCTAGGCTCCCTTTCCGAATATACCATCTGCTCAAAGTCGGTACATCTCGCTACGACTTTGTGCCCCATCAAAAACACAGGTGTTGTCCAGAGGCACATATTGTCTGGTAATTACCTTCAACGCCTCCTGCGCAACCAAGCCCCCAGTCAACGAAGAGATGTTGTGTAACTCTCCACCTTCAGCCCGACGAAGTTCCTGAACAGCCTGCAAAATGCTGCGGCGTGCATCGTCCTGAAGAGGGACGTGTTGCTCATCGCTTACAAGTGCCATGATACGCTCTGTATGATGAGCCCAAAGACCGTCGTCGTCGATTGAAAGTTGGGCCTTTTGCGGATCCCCACCTTGATTTCATCCACGACCGCATCGAGAATCTGAGCGGCGAGGAAGATGGGGATGAGAGAGTCCGGAGTGTTGAGCTGGTTGCGAATGGCTTTGAGGGTGACGGGGTCGGTGGCATGAGTTAACCGGGCCACTGGGCGTCCGTGAACGACTTTGATGTGCGCGGCGTTCTTGCAAAAGACTTCAATCTCGCGGTCGAGAATGGGTGACTTTGACCGGCCGAGACGAGATTCCAGCTGACGAACTCTGGCGGTGACATCGTCAATGTCGCATCGGGCTTTGGCCTTGTAGATATTCTGCAGAGCGACGTAGTCGGCTGATTGGGCTTTCATATCCGGCAGAGAGCCAGGCAGAGGCAGGACATGGTGTTCCTGGTAGAAACCACGAATGGCCGAGGCAATGACCCAAAAGTCTGAAGATTGACGGGTCAAATTCTGACACTCGTCCATTTCGAAAATCTCGCGGGTGGAGCTGCGAAGGCTGAACGGGGTGACGGTCTTGAGGACGGCGGCCACGGCCTCGTCAAAGTTCTCTTCGCCTCCTTCGGCATTGCTCGTGCGTGCATGGGAGCGTACGAATTCGCGGAATTCGGTCTTCTCCCTGTAGTTGCCGGGAGGATTACCGCCATGACCTTGCTTCCACTGCTCGACTAGATGGAGCAGGATCATGATATACGGGATATGGCCATGGCGGTGGTCATCTAAGGCATTCAGGTCTCCCAGGCTGGCCGCCGCTGCAGACAGCTCAGGCCATGGGGTGAGAAGGCGGAGATCCTGGGAGCTTTCGGGGTCAGGATGTGTTTCCACAATAGGAAAGTCTGCATCCAATTGCAAGCTGAATGTTGAGTAAAACCCGACTGAGTGGACATAGAGCACAGGAATACCCAGCCGCTGAGCTGCCTGTGTCAAAGAGGTGAGGGTTGATTGCCGAGTCGGTCCGGTGATGATGACCAACTTGTGTCGAGGTAGAAAGAACGGATCATTGAGCAGGTCCGTGACAGGCTACTCTTTCGCAGTCAGTGATGATCGTTCGGCAAAAATAGGGGGAAAAAATGAAAAAAAAAGGCATTGAACAACTGGGACCAGAATGGACCAAGTCTGATTGCATCCGAACCAACGAACCTTGGAATACGAGTAACCCTGAACATCGGGGTTCAACTCTCGCAGTAAACGACAAGTCTCATCGGCTCGTGACTTGCCCAGGGACTCTTCTTGGAGGAAAAAGTTCACTCCGAGATCTGCTTCTGTGACCGTTGCCGGATCTACAATGGTGAAACCACCAATTCCTGGTAGGACGAGGTTCTTCAGAGCTTCGACGCCCACTACGCCCGACACCCCGGTATTGTCACCGCCGAGTGGGCCATCCGAGTTCACCAACAGGACTCGAGAGTCTTCCAGTGCTTGCTGGCCTGTGGCTGCCCATAATCGCAACTGACGATCATACTTGCGTTCTTTAGAGGTTGGTCCCGCCACTGCCGCTGGGAAAGATTCCGTCATGGTCGGTAGGCCTCAGGTCGATAAGCTGATATTCAGATGAGACTGAAGGCGGGAACGGAGAAGTGAGGATGCCGAGATCGCGTTCAGCGGGCACCATGCGAGAGATCTGATCAGAACAACCGTGCGATGAGAGCCCTGCCAGTGACTATCACTTTTTGTCTTCTCTGGGCTTGATTGTATGTTTTTTGAGGTCCCCAATTCTAGCTGGTCACAGAGTATGAACTGGAGTAGATCGTTTGATGGGATGAAGAAGCACGGCATTGTGACTAAGCCATGTGGGGCGGGTGGAAAGGACCCGCCTTGCAGGAGGAGTAACCCGCTCTGGTGTTGTACTGCTACACACAAGTCAGAGCACTTGAGCAGTGAGTAGGTAGGTACCTACTACTTAGTACTCACGGTAGTGTCCGTACTCTCTACAGGACTCCAGAACAGTGACCAGAATTAACGACTACTCATTCTCAAGTTGCTGTCGCAGTATCTGAATGCATTATAATGAGCTTGGAGCGGACTTGGCTGGCATTTCCTTCGCATAATCCACCTGGAGAAGCAGGCGGTTGGGAGATCACAATGAGGTCGAAACTGATTATCAGATCCGTCGGTGATATCAGATTACGATGGATGACAAGTGTCGAGTCGTCGACGATACATGGTTGTATGGAAGTGCAAGATTGGTCTTTGAGCAAGGACTCTGACGGTCGGTGAGTACCTACGGACGTAGTAGAGAGAGAGAAAGGGAAAAACAAGAAGAAATCGGAGGGAATCGTCAAAAGAGACGCACAAAAAGACGTGAGAAGGTGTATATAAAATTGGGATCTCAACGGGATGCCTTCCCGCCTACGAAGCAGACTTCCAGCTTCCAAGCGCCTGTATGACGACGAGTCTCTCATCAACTAAACCTTTCCATGGGCCGGTAATGACTGACTGACCGTGAGCTTCATGGGGAGTTTTAAAGAAATCATGGCTACAAGTACCTTTGCGTGCAGGTCCCACCGTCCAAGACGGGTAATATAGAGTGAGGTTAATTGCGGCTACTCTTTCGTCTTTATTCGAGGGAATCTCAGCCAATGTTTTGTCTTCTCACAGGATCCCGCTGAATATCAATATAGCAAAACGCCAGAATCTCTAGCTTTTATACTCTCTTGTCCCATGATGTCGAATAAAATAATCTTGCTTCATCACTGTTTTCAATGATCCTTTGATGTTAGACCTATTCCAAGGTCAGACGAGGGGAAACATGATTCTCTATCATTCCAGTATTTACACCCGATGTGCATGGTATACCTTTGCGTTATCCCTAGATTCTCCATCGATCAGTCATCGTGACAATTGTCGAGACATCCATCTCTGCATGGATGCCACGGTCAATCATACTCACTGTTCATGCTGTCTCAAACTGAGTATCCCCACATCCTCCATCCTCAATTTAACCGGACCGACTGGATTCGTCACAACTTCGTCAAACAACCTCCGCGGAGCAGCTCACATCCCGAGACCGGCCAACCAACTCACATAGAAGGTCGAGCCAAAAGAGAGACCAAAAGAGAAAAGAAGAGGCCGCGGGCTCCATCATAGCCTCGTATTGTCCGTTGAAACATCAATTGATACCTCCTGTGTCTCAGAAGCATATAAAAGCCGTCGACCTCCCCATGAAGTCTCGACTGCTGGTCCTGCACCGACCGTCTTCCAGCGCCGCTCTCCGCCTCGCCCCTCCTCGCCCTCTTTCCGTTCCGCAGTCGCCCCGCCTTCGGCATCAGCTTCATTTGCAATCCTCAATTGCTCGACCGCGTCATATCCCCTCACCGTCGGTGCCCTCTCAACGACCTCGCCACCTCTCCAGCATGAATCAAGCCGTTGAAGAAGCCAAGCGCGCGGCTGCCAAGATTGCCGTCGCCAACCACTACCCCGAAAACGCTCGCTGGGTGGGCATCGGTAGCGGTACGACGATTGTCTACGTCGTCGAGGCGATCACGGCCCTCGGTGTAAATACCGCCAATACTCGCTATGTCCCCACCGGTTATCAGTCGCGTCAGGTTATCTTGAGCGCGGGCTTGACTCCGGTCGAGTTTGATGCGTTGCCGACGGGTACCGTGCTGGATGTCGCATTCGATGGCGCGGATGAGGTGGATGAGGATCTGAATTGCATCAAGGGTGGTGGTGCCTGTCTCTTCCAGGAGAAGCTTGTGGCAATGCAAGCCAAGGAATTCATTTGCGTTGCTGGTCAGTTTTTTCTTTTCTTTTCTTTTTTTTGCCTTTGTTGCCATCGAAGATGTTCATTTACCCTCTGAGTCACCCATGACGCTGCTTTGTCCGCATGATCCTCCATACATCCACCCAGTTGATTGTGCCATTGACAGTCCTACCTTGTGGTGGTCCACCACATGACTGAATTCCTCTCTCTCTCTCTACTGACAACTTCGGTTCCAGATTCCCGCAAACTCCAGACTCGTCTGCTTTCCAACTGGAAATATATCCCGATTGAAGTGGCCCCCATCGCAGCCTTCCGCGTCCAACGGCGACTCATCGAGCTTGGATCCATCAACCCCGCCATCCGCATGAACACGGATCTCAAGCAAGGTCCTCTCAAGACTGACCAGGCCTTCCTCCTCATCGATGCCCCCTTCAAGCCGCTCCTGACCAAAGCCGACGTCGACAATGGCCAAGATGGCTCCGGGAAAGATGGCGTGTGGGAGGTGAGCGCATTGTCGGAGAAGATCAAGGAGATCACCGGTGTCCTCGAAGTGGGCATCTTCTCCGGTATGACGGGTCCAGAGGCCGCGGTGGCTGGTGGTCTTGGTGGTCAACGGCCTGTTGCCGCGTACTTTGGTATGCCTGACGGGTCCGTTTCCGTGCGCAAGGCGCCTTGAGTCGAGGGTTAGGCGAGAGGGAGAGGGCTTTCTTGTACAGCACTGCCGCGTGAGCAGCATTAGCGAGACGACGATACGATGTGGGTGGTTTGTACATGATCAAAACGCACCATTAAAAGCAAAAAGAATCTAGACGGTAAGAAGTTGCTTAATATAGAGAAAACAAAAAAAATTAAAAAAAAAAACAACATATAGACAGTACCAAATGACTTAGTATGAAATGTCGAGTCAATCGTCTGTTCATTGACGAAAACCGGGACCTTTAGGGACTACTACTAGTCATAACATAGTCTACGGTGCATTCGCTAGATCTGTTCGTACACAAGCTGGGTGCTCGAAGGAAACAAACTCAAGTGGGAGAAAGCGTGTGAAGAACTCCCCTCATGGATCTATTTAGCGGTTGTATCGAGATGCGTTATAGTAGAAGAAGTCCGTCGCCGAGTCTATTTCGCTCCCTTGGCCTTGGCCTCGGTCTCACCCAATTCCTTGACCATGATCCGGACCACACCGTCCGAAATATCTTCCTTGCCATCTTCAAAGCCAGGGCTAATGGCAATGGCCAGATACTTGCCATTACCGCTGAACCCAAGTGCGGCCACACTCGAGGGATATTTCTGGTATTGACGGATCCGACGCTTGGAGATGCCATCCCACAGGGCCACCACACCATCACCTCCCCCCGAGGCAAATGTACCAAAGACCGGGTGGAAAGCCAGCGCATTCACAGGGTACACCACATCCACACCATCTTCAGCCGTTTGACGATGGCACTTGAAAGCGTATTTGCGGGCCTGCGATTCAGGGGAAGGGTCGAACCATTCAACCGCCACACGACCTTCAATGCTGGAAGAGGCGTACCCAGCGTCGTCAGGCATACAGGCCACACAGCGAGTCATAAATTTCAAGCTACTCTCCCGCCGTTGCCAGGGTTCCAGTTCCACTCTGTTACCTTCCACAGTGTCGCCATCTGCTTGCGCCGTGAGAAGCGCCAATCCCTTGAGATCGTAAATGTGTAGGGCGCGAGAGGCCATTGCGACGACCAGCTTGGTAGCCGTGAGAGAGAGGGAGAAGGGCTTGGAGGGGAGAGGGATCGTCGCCGGGACGGATTGTGTGTTTGCGCCAGCATCAGGTCGATGTACATGGAGGGTTGAGTCCCATGATCCAGAGATGACCAGATTGTGTTCGCGACTGTAGACCACGCTACGCACTCCGGCTTCGTGGCTGCTGAGCACGGTCTGCTCCGAAGTGTTCAGATCGATCCTGACAAAGTTCTGTTAGTCTGTAATCATCCGCAATGAAGTCAACAGCCAATCTTCGGGGTCTCAGCAACAGCCCAAACAAAGTTGAACCTACTTTCGCACGTCCCAGTCCAAGCCCGCCGTGTAGATCTCATTCTCGTTTTCACCGAAACAGACATCCAGCACAGGCGCGCGATGTTCAAATTTTTGAAGCAGCTTCCCTTCGCCGACAGCACCGTTCTCATCTCTCAGATCGTAAAGATAGACATTCTTATCCCATGACGACACAACCAATCGTGTCGAGTTTGGGTCGGGCGAGAATTTGAGGGCAGAGATCGCATCCGTGGGCGGTGACGCCAGGGTGAATTGGTCTATATCGAATCAGCAGAGCTCGAGACGGACAGAATTATTTATTTCCTGGTAGTGCAACAGTAATATTACGTACTTGAGGACATCTCGGCGGAGGTATAAAGTGTGATGGGTAAGAGAAGCTGTCTCTCGGAGCTAGCTCAATGACCGCATTTTCTGCCACGCGATGCCGCCATCCATATGATTCCCCGCAGCGCCCTCCAAAAAAAAAAAGTGTCGGCGGTTGAAATCAATACTTGCGCCTTTCGAAATTTTAGTAGCAAGGCCTGGACGAGGTGAACCTTACTGTTTTGGACGGCAAATCTCTGTCAAAGAACTTGTGCGTGATCGTGATTCCTCGTTAAAGTCTTCCGGAAGCTTCCACTGCCCGAGCTTTGCGTACATCACTCGACGCAGGTCCAGAGGTCCAAGGCCTGCCGCGGCCCCCTCCGGCCTTTCTCTGATGAGATTCGAGTCACACTCTTGACCTTTTGACATATACACACGACCACTTGGCCTCACGATGCCCTTCGCACAGCTCGTCATCGGTCCTCCCGGAGCCGGCAAATCCACCTACTGCAATGGAATGCATCAGTTCCTCGGCGCAATCGGCCGAAAGTGCTCGATCGTGAATCTGGACCCCGCCAACGACAGAACCTCATATCCGTGTGCGCTGGACGTGCGCGACCTTGTGACGTTAGAGGAGATTATGGATGAACACAAATTGGGACCAAATGGAGCGACGCTGTATGCGTTGGAGGACCTTGAGGAGAATTTTGAATGGTTGGAGACGGGACTGAAGGAGCTTGGCGGTACGTTGAAAGGCTGGAGAATGCGACGCTCTAAGCCATCAAACTCGTGCTGACTAGTTGGCAAATTCAGAGGATTATGTGATCTTCGACTGTCCCGGCCAGGTCGAGCTATTTACGCATCACGACTCACTACGGAACATCTTTTTCAAGATCTCCAAGATGGGCTATCGGGTATGTATCTATGAAGATCTCGACTGCCCATGCGCTCTGCGACATGCTGACGTGCGAGTGACCACTTAGCTGATAGTGATCCACCTGATTGACTCATACGCGCTCACCCTGCCATCGATGTACATTTCCGCTCTTCTTCTCTCCCTTCGTGCCATGTTGCAACTCGATCTCCCTCACCTGAATGTCTTGACGAAAATCGACAACTTATCCAACTATACCAATCTTCCCTTCAACCTCGACTACTATACCGAGGTCCAAGACCTCAACTACCTCATCCCTCATCTCGAGGCCGAGTCCTCTCGCCTCACGAATTCCAAATTCGGAGCCCTGAATAATGCGATCATCGACCTGGTCGAAGAGTTCGGCCTCGTGGCGTTTGAAACGCTAGCCGTCGAAGACAAGAAGAGCATGATGAACTTGCTCAAGGCGATTGACCGCGCGAGCGGATATGCGTTCGGACCGGCCGAAGGTGCGAATGACACTGTCTGGTCGGTGGCGGTGCGAGAGGGACTCGGTGGGATGGACGTGCGAGATGTGCAGGAACGCTGGTTGGACGCCAAGGACGAGTTCGACGCTCAGGAACGGGCTGAATTGGAGGAGACTGCTCGGCTGGAAGAGGAGGCGCGCAAGATGGCAATGAATGCCGAATTGGCCAGTCGGGAAGGTGACGAAGCGGATGACTTTGATGATGAATTGGCGAGCTGGAAGGCGTCTGCGCCGGACAGTGGGATTACCGTGCGGCGCAAACCAACGTAGAGCTGTCACTCGACAAAGAAATACGAAATGAAATGAACTCATAGCATATCATGAAACAACGAAAAAAAAATTTGACATGGATCTACCTTCTCGGTCTGAGTGGAGTCGCTGACTTTTTTTTGCCCTTACACTCATCCATCCATGCTTGAAGGTAGACACGCGAAACAAACAATTGGGGGGTATCATAACATGTAAGTAAACTTCTCCAAAACCTAAACCTCTCGCACCGTGGGAGAACGAACCCCACCATTCAAATCCGAAGACCTTCAATCATAATCCCCGTCATCGTACATCCTCTCATCCTCCTCCTCATCCATAACCGTCATAACCGGCAACACATCCGTCCCCCTCTCCGCCCCAACAATCAAATCCCCCAGAACACTCTTCTCCTCCAGCCCTCTCACACGCACAATCTCCCTTCTCGCCCGTCGAATTGCCTCCTCCTCCGCCTTGCGCATCGTCCCCGATACCCTGAGCACTCGAAACACACAGGGTCTCTCCCGCCCTCCGTTGGGCCGTTTATGTCCCGCGGTGTTTGTTCCGGGCTCGGTCACGGCGGGCACGTGAGACATGTATGTGAGTGCGGACCAGACGAGGCGGAATGAGACTCGGGGACAGCGGACGATGGCGGTTGACGTAGCGGGGGACAGATATTTGACTGGATGATCGCGAGCAAAGTCATTAGCTTTTGGAATATACTCACATTTAGTGCGCAGTCCAGCATATTGAAAACCCTAGAAGACAATCATCTGGTCGCGCTTCCCACTTCCAAGTCCACTTCCACTTCTACTTCCATTCCAGAAAGTGAATCCTCCAAATGATCCACCGAGCCAAAAAGATAAGAAAAGGAAAAGACACCAACTCAACCTCCAAAAAAGAGGAAAACACGGACCAAAGAACCACCAAAAAAAAAATACTCACCTTGAACACCCGTCGCAGAAGCACCCCCAAGTTTACCCACACCCCAATCCCCATACATTTCCCCAACTTCCTCCCGGATCATCTTGGCGAGTAATCCCGGCGTGAGCGCATTCGAGGTCGGCGCGTGAATAGCGACCTGGGCCGCGTGCGGAGTGCCAGACACGTTCTTGGTGGACGGCCATGTGGCTGGGTCGGGATATAGAATGTCCAGGAGGAGGTATCGGTTTTTCAAACGGACCATTGTGAAGAGGGGAAGGCTTGGTGGATCGGTCGGGGAAGGTGAGGAGTATTGGGTTGAGTTGAGTTGGAGCTTGGATCTCCATGGACGGAGGGAAAAAGATTGGCGGATGCGAACTGCTGATGAGCGATAAGAGATAAGGTGGGGTGGAGCTCGTGAAAGTTAAAGAGACGTACTACTGAGTCCTTTCGAGAGATTTGTTGACGCGCCGAACCAGAGCAAAGATTTTGGACAAATGCAGGTCCATTCAGGCAGTAAGAAGAGATCCATCAGCTCGTTTTCGAATATACTGAGGATGATTTCTACCTGCGGCGCATACGTCATGTACAACTTAATACTAGGTTACTGAAAATGATCATCAAGGGTACGTTCATTAGATTACCCTCAGAACAGGTCTAGTCATCTAATCGGGAATTAAGCAAAGATCCAACATCCGCTGCAGAAATCGCCCGGAAGAAGCTTCATCATCGCCATTTTCCCACCACCGGGGGCCGCAGTTTTGTGTGCCAACCTCAAGGAATGGAAGGCGAGAGCAACATGGCATACACGCAAAGACGGCTGCAAAAAAAAAGAACAAAAGCACAACATGAAAATTCAATAACACAAGGACACCCCCCGGAAAGAGGGGGAATTTGTTCAATCCATCCAAACTCCACCGTTGGAACCGATACCAGATTAATATGCCAAGGGAGGACGGGTTCAAACAACGGACTGTATGCCACCAGCGAACGGGCGCTGTTGTAATGTGTATCGTGTGAAGAGGGGGCCCAAAGAAGATATATGAGGCGGCGAATGGGAAAAAAAGGTAGGAAGAGGGGGAAAAAAAAGGGGGGGTGGAGGTATCAGAATCACAGGTTGACCTCAACACGGCCCTCAGCACCACCCTTCTGCAGGGTGGGGAGGAGGTAGGTGATGTCGTCCCAGGGGTGACGGTACAGACCGGTGCGGAGACGCTTCTGGTCGAGGTAGTGGGCAATCAGACCGATGGAACGACCCAGCACGAAGAGACCGTTCAGGACACCCATGCGCATGTAATCCTCAACCTCCTCGGCGGAGAAGGCACCACAGTTGCGGAGCAGGTCAACGAAGCAGACAGCAACACAGCCGTCGACGTTGAGGATAAGGTTATCCTTCTTGGAGGTGGTGACGGTCTCAACAGCAATGGCGTAGTCGAGCAGCTTGGTGCTGGGGAAGTGCTTCTTGACAAACTCCTTGACAAGCTCGACACGCAGATCGGGGTTGTTGCGGGACTTGACCTTGTGGCCGATACCGGGGATAAGCTTGTTCTCCTTACGCATGATGTCCACAAAGTCACGGGGGCTCAGGCCCTTGTCGAAGGCCTTGGTGAATTCCTCGGCAGCACCATCGAGGGCACCACCGAAACGGGAACCGATGGTGAGGAGGCCAGAGACGAGAGCACTGATCAGATCCTTGCCAGCACGGGTGGTGATGATGGTGTTCATGGCACCAGACACGGCGGGACCGTGGTCAGCGGTGAGCATGAGAACCATCTCCAGGAACTTGCTGGCGTAGGGGGGCAGACGGCGGCGGAACCACAGAAGGGACATAACACCACCGATACCGATGTCCTCTCTGAAGACGTCGGAGATGGGCATACCGGCGTAAAGCAGCTCCTGGCCACGGTCGTCGGAGATGGTGGAGATGAAGGCAGCGGGCTTACGGACGAGACCCAGCTCCTGGGCCCAGGAGTAATCAATGGGAATCTTGGGGACCATAGGCTCGGGGGCCGGGACAATGCTGCCCTTCTGGACCTCGGCGTCGTAGACCTGCTTGAGGAGCTGGGGAAGGTCCTCGAAGGTCTCGGGCACGTGGATGCCGGCTTCGCGCATAGCCTTGTTCTTGTAGACGGCAGTCTCGAGCTGAGAGTTGGCGGAGGCACCGGCGTGACCGAACTGGACCTCGGTCTTGAACATGCTAGCGCAAGTTCCGATGGCCCAAGCAACGATGGGCTTGGTGATGACGCCCTTCTTGACAGCCTCAATCACGCGGTACTCCTCAACACCACCGACCTCACCGAGCAGAACAAGAATCTTGCACTCAGGCTCCGCTTGGTAGCGAAGCAAGTGGTCGATGAAAGTGGTACCGGGGTAACGGTCACCGCCAATGGCGACACCCTCGTAGACACCATCGGTGTTTTGAGAGATGATGTTGTTCAGCTCGTTGGACATACCGCCGGACTTGGAGACGTAACCGACAGAACCCTTGCGGTAAAGCTTGGAGGCAACAATGTTGTCCATCATACCACCGGTGTTACCGATCTTGAAGGAACCGGGCTTGATACCACCAACAGTGGCGGGTCCGATGATGGTGATACCCTTCTCCTTGGCAGCAACCAGAATCTCACGGGCACGCTGGATGAAGAGATCCACAGTCAGTCCGGGGTTCTCAAAACTGTCACGCATGCACGACGAAAACATGTCATTGAATCACTTACACGCTCGGGCACACCCTCGGCAATGATGGCGATGGAGCGAATCTGGGGGAAGTTCATGAGCTCCATAGTGGAGGTGTAAACGGAGCGGGAGGAGGCGAAGTTGACGACAGTGTCAACATCCGGGTGCTTGGCCATGGCCTTCTCGACGTCCTGGTAGACGGGCAGAAGGGTCTCGCTGGTGCCCCAGTACATCTTGCTGACGAACTGGCCACCGAAAGTGTAGATGATACCGGCCACGGAGGGGGTGGAACGCTTGCAAATGAAGTCAAAGTCGAGCATGCCCTGCACGGCTCGAGGCTGCATACCACTGTGGAAAGGAAAAGAGACCGGGTTAGTACAACGGGTGGTCTTCACATGGGGAAGATCGGATCCGGCAAAGACAGGACTTACTATACGAAGCATCGTGTCTTGTTGTGGAAGAGAGCGTTCTGGAGAGGAGAGAGCACACGGCTGGGAGGGTTGAAGCGAGTGATGTTGTCATTGGCGTTTTGCACACCATTGCTGGCGGCGGAGAGAGAAGTGGAGGGCATGATGATTATCTGCAGCAATGGAGGACGATTAGATGTTGAAGTTCGGAAAACAAGCCTGTCTAGGGCGAGTGCAAGAGATCGATGATGTTTGAGGTGGTGATGTGAGGTTTTGCGAAATCACACGAGCCTGTGACCGAGGGCGAGTTGGTGAGAATGAGGGGGAGGGTGAGGAGAAGGATGAAGATGGAGATGGAGATGGAGATTGCGAGATGGAAAAAAACCCGTCCAGGAGGAGCACTCACGTATGTATGTTGAACAGCCCAAGAAAGAAGGAAAGATGGATGGAGAGAAGGAGGAGATTGGGATTCGACGAAAGGTCACAGATGATTCAACAGGAGAGCTCAGCGTTGAGAGAAAACTGCGCGGGGCCAAGTACTCGCAGATACGGTGTAGAGCTCCTCCTGCGGTAATTTTGGGTTTTGAGGGTGAACTGTGAAGATGCGGCAACGGGGGGAGGCATTGGGGTGGGACTGGGACTTTGGGTACGAGACCGTATGGCGTATACCGTGGGTGTCCTGGCATTACCACCGGAGTGGTATCTTACAGGGTTGACCGGAACAGGAGAACGAGGACTGGTGGGGGTGGATCAGCCCTCAACAACTCCATCCAAATCGACGTGTCCCCCCTGATTGAACCAAGTTAGGTAGCTACGGGAATTGCAATCGCGGATGCTCTTGGAACCTGTACATCTTCTACAGACGCTCACTGGGTCTTTCTAGAAGGAGTACCAGGTAGTCTCCGTGAGTTTGTACAGGTAAGATAAGCACTGTGAAACTGTGTTTGGCCTCAGCGACGAGGCTTTAGAGAAAGTGTAAATGTGAGCTTGCGGCTTGTGCAGCCCATTACTGTAGTAGATTCCGCACTAACTAGTAACTAGTAGCAGTGCTCTTCAGTCTTTAGTCTTTACTACAGTAGTACTAATAGTCTATTCCATAGTACCAGGGGTTCAGTAGTGCTTCTATGAGTAGGCTTCTACTACTACTACTACTACTACTACTACTACTACTACTACTACTACTACTACTACTACTACTACTACAGTATTGCTAGTCCTGATTTCGCAGTCCCCAAAGTACCGGGTACCATCGAGAATGCCATCCCGCCGCCCCACTGTGGGTAGATCTCTTTACTCCGAGCCCCTCGAGGTATACGCAGTGACGCACAGGTACAAACTACAAACATCCAGATGTGACATTTCTATGGTGGTAAGATCATCAAAGATAGAACTGATCCATATGTCAAATAGTTCCATGTCTCGATACTCGATATTGTGGAAATTGTCACTATCCAAGAGCATTACTGTAGTATTCACCCTCTTAAGAAACATAATCTATGATCATTGGACCTTTAATCAAATAGTACAAATCCCAACTACTTTGTTATGTAATATGTATACGGCAGCTTGAAGATACCCTTGAGTTCGTCTTGTCTCGTCTGACCTGTAATCGAGGCTACTCATGGCTGGAAATTTCCCACTGAAGCCCATGCGAGGTCATCATTCCCATGCACAGGTTGTATGTATATATGTACTGACTCCCTAGGTACCTATCGTATTCGGGCTATATGTAATTTTCTATATCGTATTATGTGATCTCGTCTGACAGGTAGGTAGGTAGGATCGCTAGAGTAAGCAAGTGAGCACATGTTTCCATTTCCCTTCAAAAATTGCGCCCACTCGAGACCGTCAATTGACGCCTGGTCATCTACACTTACAGGACCGCTTTTCAGGCAATTGTTCAATCCAGCTATTGCAATTAGTACATCCTCAGTCATAATACTACTACCACTTTCAGTAGTTTGGAGTTTGTAGTTTGCAAAGTACCTTATGTATCCCGCCACAAAGAGACACATGCTATCTCACCGCCTAATGCTGCTAGATAAGACGAGTACGACCAGCGCAACCTGCATTTGGGACCGTACATGAAGCACATGTGAGCGTGTCACACTGTGAGATGACCAGACTGACAGACTCGCCCCTCGGAGCAGTGTTCCGAGACTTGGATACATTCTCAATAGCTTCTGTCTAGCATGGATGCGGTACATGAACTGCGGTGTAGTACTGTAGTACTAAACTTATACTACTAAGTACTTGGTAGAGGTACCTAGGTACAGTAGACTCAATCAGTAGTAGACTCACCAACTAGACTGTATCACTGTAATACTACTGGAGACTCAGTAGACTACTAGTTAGTACAACCGAAAGGTATCTTCCTCATAGTATCTGACTGGTACTAGATCTATCTTCGACGATCGAGGTGCACTGTCCAGGCGGAGGACTCCGTACACCGTCGATTTCCCCGACAAGCTCAAAGCAACCCAACAGACCATTGATTTTGGGCCACGAAAGGGAGCAAAGGGCCTAAGAGGCGGTATGGATAATGAATGAATCCAGCTAGCTCCTCGCGTGCGCCAACGGAGAGTACATAGATGGATCATGAACCTAGCATGGATTACTTCGCTACCGTGGTATGGAGGAGAGTACTTTCGTAGTACCTTATGCACCTTGTTCAACCAGCTCCAAAGCCGAGATTCGAAAAGCTACGGTGTAGCTTTGAGTATAGTGGGACTATGTGCCGGATGAGGGTCGGCTTGCTGGTTTGGTTCCAGACTAAGGTACTTCCATGTACACACACGATTCAGGATCAGCAGCGCTGCAGCAGTACCTCGTTTCAGCAGTGCGATGCTCCGTCGGGGGTCGGCGCCCCGTCCATCCCAAACTTCTCAGAGACGAGGGTATCGGTAATGACGGTAAAGACGATACGGCAGATCTCCCCAACGCCCTGGTCCAAGCAACTCAATTGGGGATCCAGTCTGCAGAGTGATCCACTCAGAGCTCCCACTCAGCGGCGGTGCCTGGACTCGGTCACTGGGTCATTGGGTCCTGGCTCTGCCCCACCATTTGGACTCAACATCAGGTGGATCCCCCCAATTCTCCATCTCCACCCCACCCCTCCCACTTCCAGTTGACCTCTCAGTTGTACGCTGTAATCTCCAGCACTTGCGGTATCATTCACCTTTTTTTGGGGGGCTCCAGCTGTCGCGGTGAGCTTCGTCCTCGTACGAACTACGCTGTACCTTCCAGTCCATCGTCCACAGCCCACTCCCCCCATCCCACCAGATCTTAATCACTCGAGGCAAAGATTCTCGGTGTCAATTGAAACCCTTCTCCTTCATTGATCTTCGGTCATTCTTCCATACCTCTCTCATCCTCTCTCGCTCTCCGCTTCATCTCCTGTCATCCTCCCCCCCCCCCCTCTCCTCCCTGTCCGACTCTCCCACTTGCATCTTGATACCATCACACATACACCCACACACATACACATCTCACCATGTCCGCCAAATCCATCCTCGAGGCCGACGGCAAGGCCATCCTCAACTACCACCTCACTCGCGCTCCCGTCATCAAGCCCACCCCTCTCCCTCCTTCTTCCACACACAATGCGCCTCCTCGTCTGGCCTCCCTCCACTTCCCCGAGGACAAGACCGTCAAGGAGGTCCTCGACCAGGCCGAGGTCCTCTACCCGTGGCTGCTCGTCCCCGGCTCCAAGTTCGTCGCCAAACCCGATCAATTGATCAAGCGTCGCGGCAAGTCCGGTCTTCTCGCTCTGAACAAGACCTGGGCGGAGGCCCGCGAGTGGATTGAGGCTCGTGCCACCAAGGAGGTCCAGGTCGAGCACGTCACTGGTGTGCTGCGTCAGTTCCTCGTCGAGCCCATGGTTCCTCACGCCCAGGAGACTGAGAGGTAAGGGACCACCATCCACCCAGGAATCAATTGGCAGATTGCAGATGTACTGACTTTCGTGTGTCTACAGCTACGTTTGCATCAACTCCGTCCGCGAGGTAAGATGATACCAAAACCACTCCAAAGCTCCGAAGCCCCCAAAGCTGCCATCTCGAGACAAATCCGTGGATGGGCCGGTTGATGTGCTCTTATGAGCCTCGCCGCAGATCAATTGCGTGGCAATGAAGCCGTCAAAAGGTGACCGGAATCACTAACAACAACTGTAGGGTGATTGGATCCTCTTCTACCACGAGGGTGGTGTCGATGTCGGTGATGTCGATGCCAAGGCTGAGAAGCTGTTGATCCCCGTCGACCTCAAGAAGTTCCCCTCCAACGAGGAGATCGCCTCTGCTCTGCTGAGCAAGGTGCCCAAGGGGATTCACAACGTCCTCGTCGACTTCATCTGCCGTCTGTACGCTGTCTACGTCGACTGCCAGTTCACCTACCTCGAGATCAACCCTCTCGTCGTCATCCCCAACGCCGATGCCACCTCCGCCGATGTCTACTTCCTGGACTTGGCCGCCAAGCTCGACCAAACCGCCGAGTTCGAGTGTGGTACCAAGTGGGCTGTTGCTCGTAGCCCCGCCGCTCTCGGTCTCCCTACCCTCCCTTCCACCGACAGCAAGGTCAACATCGATGCCGGCCCCCCCATGGAGTTCCCCGCTCCCTTCGGCCGTGAGCTGAGCAAGGAGGAGAAGTTCATCTCCGACATGGATGCCAAGACCGGTGCCTCCCTCAAGTTGACTGTCCTGAACGCCAACGGCCGTATCTGGACCCTGGTCGCTGGTGGCGGTGCTTCCGTCGTCTACGCCGATGCCATTGCCTCTGCCGGTTTCGTCAGCGAGCTCGCCAACTACGGCGAATACTCTGGTGCTCCTTCTGAGGGTATGGTCACTTTGCCCTTGCTTCTAAGTATTTTTTTTGGGCATCTTCATGATCGGTTCACTGACCTCAACTTGTTCTCTAGGCCAAACATACTCCTACGCCAAGACCGTCCTGGACCTGATGCTCCGCGCCCCCACCCACCCCGATGGCAAGGTTCTCTTCATCGGTGGTGGTATTGCCAACTTCACCAACGTTGCGTCCACTTTCAAGGGTGTGATCCGGGCTCTCCGCGAGTTCGCCCCGATCCTGCTCGAGCACAAGGTCCAGATCTGGGTTCGCCGTGCCGGTCCCAACTACCAGGAGGGTCTGAAGAACATCAAGGCCGTTGGTGTGGAGCTTGGCCTGGATATGCACGTCTATGGTCCTGAGATGCACGTCTCTGGAATCGTGCCTCTGGCCCTGCTCGGCAAGAAGACCGATGTCAAGGAATTCAGCGCTTAAATGACTACCCTCCCCTTTTCTTGCTTTCTTGCTTGTTCAAATTTCCCTCCCATTTCTTGACGGGTTGCTTCTTTTTTCTCTATTTAATTGCTTTGGTTTTCTGCAGCGTCAACTCCGTTGCATGGGTTCTGTGATAATGCATGGCATGATATGAAATTTGCGGAGCGCGGATCTGGGGGAGCCGGCCGAACGGGCAGGTCGTGGACGAGATGAAAACCTGACCCGATCAGGGTGCAGCGTCCCCCTCTCCCATCTCCCAGTCCGCTCTGTTTTTGTTGGTCGTGGGTATGGCGTTTCTTCCCCCACCCGGAGTCCCCAAAAGAAGCGGAGGTTTGGTGCCCGACGTATATGATTAGATCTCTTTTGTGTTGGATCGATACCGCGAGGGAAATAGATCGGGATTCTCTCTCTCTGGATAATATCAAATGACGAAACACCTCCCCAACATTGAACGTGATGCGCGCCACCCACCGCAAAGTCGTCGTCACGAGTGACTTCATGACCATGTTCCCATAATCCGACCACAAAGTAAGATCCCTAGCAACTTCCAATGCAGGCTGTCATCCATTGGCGTCAATATATGTATCTTTAGACTAGGCACACCAGTCGGCATGCCGACCTAACCGGAGGTTGGTCTTCGACATGGAATGACCACGGTAACGGTTCAATGTCGGGACGGGTTGAGAAGCTTTTCACTTCGCCCACAATATAATTACCGAGGACATGTGGACATAACAACCTATTCACACTTGACAGAGACGGAACACCCTTGAGTATTGACAGGAAAGGATCATGTCTACAGACGACGCAAATTTCTCCATTCGGCCTCATATGGTTTCTCTCCGATGCGTGATGCACTCTAATTACCCTCAGAGAATGAGTTTCCAATTGACGCTCTCGAAGAAATAACATAAGCTAGATATGGTTCAATCTTAGAACCAGACCATTCTATCATGCCTCCGAACTGGTGAATTGTGGACACTGGACACTACTGACAGTAACACTGAACAGCGTGCCCGACTGCACATCCTCCCGGATTGTACGTAACCTCAGTCTTTTCCATGACAGCAACATTCGACCTGCTGGCGGGCCTGACAAGTGGATGTCTCCACGGGAAAATTTCCATACTCCATCGAGTCTTTCTCTGCGAATGAGCAGGGCTTCTAGAAGGACTCAAAAACTTTTCTGCCATGATTTGGTGGAGTTGACCCGCTAACGTGGACAGTCCATTGGCCTGGCCTCATCTGAGAAGCACACCGCCCATCATTGAAAAGAGGGTCACGCAACCAAACCTGTCAAACATTTGATACATCGCTTAGCGACTAGCGCGTCGACGGGCCCCACCGCCCTCAACTATAAGAAGCCGGCTTCCCCTCGATCTAGTTTCTTTTCTTCAAGCGACTCTACGTATGTGATTCCCACCCTATACAGTGACAACCCTTTCTCAGTGAGAAGGCATTGTGTCAACTGTTCATTCCCTCTTGAAACATCTGCTAACATTTCCCTTTTCTCTCTGCTACAGTTCAAAGAATCACTTTAGAGTAGACGTCCCACTTCTAAGCTCTTTAAACGAGCCACAGAATCTTCACCCTTGCTGATGACTGCTATGTCCTCGATGCCCTAAAGTGAAACCGTTTTGACTTCCGACTCGACTGGCACGCGTGCTCCGGCGTCTGTGTGCTGGTTCAGGGAGTGGTGATGATCTTGACCTGGTCTCGGTGTCTGACTTCGGTCGGCTGGTCCTGGTGGGTGTCGAGGAGGTCTGAAAGGTGTCTTTGATCTTCGATCTTTTTTGATTGTTCCTTTGATGTTGGGAATGAGATGGATTGTTTTGACGTTGCAGACATGAAGAATCCTCATCTAGTTATTAAAAATATCATATCCATTGATCACTCAAATACCTTTGAAGTATCTACTCAACGTATTCTTCACTCCTAAAACGTGCGAGTCAAGTGTTTCCACGTATTGTGGCATCTTGCTGGATTGCTTTTCGCTTGTAGCAGGCTGCGCTTGCCTCCCAAGTGCTCCAGTAGCTATCGGTCCCAGACCATACTGACATGACTGTATCATTGTGAACTTTCTCTTGTAGTAATGGGGGTATCATAAATGCATAGTTCGTGACTAAGATCTCAACCTTTCTGATCATGAATGATAAAAGTCAATCGATCCCACCTCCCATCACTTTGAATTTGAGCTCCCAGCCTTGCCGCCCGATACAGACGCAGTCGCATTCCCGGCCGTATCGCCATTGGAGCCGGCTTTTGCATTCTCACCTCCACCACCGCCCTTCTTTCTCGATCCTCGTCCGCCTCGAGATCCACGCGAAGATCCTCCACCCCCGGCATTGGCGCCGGCTGTACCGTTCGTAGTAGTCGCACCAGCAGCTGCTTCACTAGCCTTGGCCTTTTCAACCTTGCCTTGTTGAGCTGCTTCTCCTCGACCACCTCCACCACCACCACCGCCACCGCCGCCCTTGCGCGATTTCTCACTGCTGGGGTTGGCTTTGCGCTCAAGTACAACAATCTGGCTTTGTGCCACAGTGACCGGACTGGCTGATATGGCTCTGCGTAGAGCACTGGGTTCTGAGAAATCCACGTAGCCAAAGCCCTTCTTTTTGTCGATTTCCACCTTGCTCACAGTACCGAAAGCTGCAAATGCCGTCTCCAAGAGAGCCTCAGTCACACCTTGAGAGGCATTGGCGTGCTTGAGGAAGGCTTGAGTCGCAGTAGAGGTTGAACCAGCATTGCCCTTTGATTTGCTGGCTTTGGCCCCCTTTGCTGCTGCTGCAGGCGCACTTGCTTGGGGAGTAGATGGAGCTCCAGGAACCTGTGGGAGTGAGTCCTGGGCTTCACGGGCTTTCCCCTTGGATGCGCTGCCCCCGGCGTTCTTCCCCGGGTTGACAAGAATCTCCTTTTTGCCGCCCTCTGTAGCTTGAGCTGAAGACTCCTGTGAGGCTTCAGTCTTAGCAGGGCCGGTCTCATTTGAACCACCCTTTCCCCGTCGTCGCGATGATGGTTGGGTAAGGCCTAGATCCCTTTGTAGAATCTTGGCCGCCGCTGCAGCACTTCCACGCTCTCTCTTGCGTTCATGTCCCGCAGCAGGTGTGCTTTCCCTGGTAGTATTGGCAGAAGCTGATTTGCCTCCCTTGGCAGAGGGTCCGCTCGCCGTAGCTTTAGCTGCCTTGCCATGTTCCTTTCCGGCCTTCTCGCTCTTCGGCTTCTCTTCAGGCGTGGGGCCAGGCGCCGACTTTTTCTCTGGACGTTGAAGAAGTTTCTTGGCGAGCACCTTCTCTGGCTTCGACTCTTTCTCGGAGCGCTTCGAGGACTTGTTGGCTGCGTTCTCCTTGGCTTTGTTCGCTTTCTTTTCCTTGATGTATTGCACTAGAGGCGTCGTGGTCACCGTCGACTTTTTCTCCTCGGGCTCGAGAGCGTCAACGGGAGTCGGCTTGGTGATTGGCTGTGTCAAGCTCTCAAGGAAGGCAATGAATTCTGGATCCTGATCGATAGTGCCCTGTCGCGCATCCTTCCGCACTCGACTTCCCGGAGTCTTTGCGTAAGGCGCAAATTCCAGTGCGGGCGGACCGAGAAGCACTGGATCACTCGCAGTGTGAGCAGCATCTTGGAAAGAAGCTTGTCGTACACGATCTGACAGTAGACCAACATGCTCATTATTCACCACGTGGATGTACGCTCTGGAGGGGCGAGATGGCTTTGCGGGGCTAATCAACACCGTGAAAGTGTTAGCAATCAGCCGAGACCTGAATGTGGCAAGATATCCTTCAACTCAAGAAAAGAGATATGCAAGGCTGAGTGACTCACTCCTTCGAAACCTTGCCCGGCTTGTACTGCAGCCAGTCGACCTTGCCAGCACCCACTTTCCACTCCTCGCCCAGCGCAACTTCGAGCTCATTTTGGGTGAGCCCAGGCGGCAGTCGGCGAATCAGAAGCTTGAGACGAGGAGTCGGAGGTTTCGACGCTTTCTTTGCCGTCGTTGAGGCAGACTTTTGGGTGGCCGTTGCAGGAATTTGAAGCACGCCGGCAGTCGCCTTGCTGGCCGCGGCGGGTTGTGCCATGTCGCGGCCGGGAAGACAGCGCGGAATCAAGGTTGACGGAGATAGTTGCTCGCGTCCGTTGTACCAGTCAATCAGAAGCGTAGGCTTAGAATGACAGAAAGGTTCCCTGACGGCGGTGAAGCTTCCAAACGTCTGGTGAGAGCGAGTGGTTGGTAAGACCAAGCTCGCTTGAAAGTGACCGCAGTCTTGAAGAGTAACCTTGAGGGTCCACCACGCCGGTGGGGGGGGGGGGGCAGCTTCTAGGCCTTGGTTTTGAGGCATCCACAAAAGCCATCGACGACTGACCCCCTAGTTGTTTTGGTCGGGGCAAAACAGAAAATGTGTGCCCTGACCTTTCCCGGTATCAACTGTTTTTTTTTTTTACTTTTTTGACGTAAAGGTGCTGTGTGTCTGTAGTCTGTCCTCAATTACTGTGTCATCAAAACTTGAATGGGGCGAAGTAGATCTTACATTCCTCAAACATAAAGTGTCATGGCTGCTAGTGCCAGACAGCCGACATGCAGTGATAGCATTCGGTATAGTATCACGCCTTGTTTATAACAGATTTTGGCCCAGCTAAGCATATCCCGATTGACTAATGGCTCTGCGTATCTAATATATCTCATGTTGTCTATGATTTCTTCGAAAATGGAGTTGTGCGTTGTGTTTGGCTGAAAAGAATCGGTCAGGTATTGAGTACATGGATTTTCAAGGCAGGCGATACCAGAAATCTAAGAACTGCATCTACTGCACGAGAGTTCTGAAGAAATACGTCCAGCTAGCATGCTATGACAAGATCCATCAAATTATCCTTGCTCAAGAACATTCCCTCACCAAAGTCTACGACTTGTTTGTTCATCTTTACAGAAGCCTCCCCACTCAATCCTCCTCGGGCAACACTCCTTCGGCCTGCATCTCCAGCGCCACCTGATCCACCTGCTTCCACACACGAAGTAAGTTACCTCCTGCGATCTTAGCAGCTTGCTCGTCAGTCACACCCCGACGAAGCAATTCGGCGATGAGATCGGGGAACTTGGAAACATCTTCCAGTCCCTTGGGCACAGTCGGAATACCATCGAAATCACTTCCTAGGCCAACGTGGTCGAAGCCAGCGACTTCGCCAATATACATGATGTGATCAGCCACACGCTCAAGGGTTGCGTGAGAGTCGTCGTCTTCCGGCATCCCATCTTCACGATCAGATGCGCGGCAGGAAATAAAGCCCGGTGAGAAATTCACCATCACGATAGAATCCCGCTCACGGACCAATTTCAGCACGTCGTCGGGGACGTTGCGCGGATGTGGACACAGAGCATAGGCGCTGCTATGACTGAAAATGATAGGCGCTCGACTGCCTGCCCAGTGGGTCTTGCCGGCACCGAGCACATCACGCATGGTGTCCGCACTCACGTGGGCCAGGTCGACGATCATACCGAGGCGATTCATCTCCGAGATCAGCTTTTGGCCAGCGGGGCTCACCCCGTGCCAGAGAGGGGTGGCAACCTTCACAGTGTGATCTGGTTGCTCAACGAGAGCGGCATCTGCGTACTTATTGTGGCAGTTATGGGTCAAAGTGGCATACGACACTCCAAGGTCATGGAACATGCGCAGATGCGCCATAGAGTTGCCAATGGAATGCAACCCCTCGATGCCGTAGGGCGAGATGAGCTTGCCTTGTCGGAAAGCTTCCATTGCTGTGGTACCATTAGGCGGGGGAGACAAGATGTCTGGGAAAGCTTGTTGAATGCGGGAAATCAAGTCGACTTGCTCTACAGTCATTCGAATGCCTTCACTCGCGGATCACATAGTATTAGTCCTGCTGGGAAATCACAATGTTCGGGTTGAAAACGCGGATGATCTCCCTTACTGCTAGCATAGTTCTCATCTGACAAGTCCTCCCAATTGGCAGGACAGGGAACAAAGACGCTCCAGAAAGTGCCGCCTACCTGGCCTTGTCTCAGTCGAGGCACATCCACATGCCCCGGGAGGGTCCCCTCCATAAAACCTTTTGTGAAGTTAGGTGTATTGATGTGGTTGTGGAAAAGAGATCGAACATGGATAGGAAGATCATTGTGACCATCTGAGACATGAGTTATCAATTGCTGCAGCACCCCAGAATACAAGGCGAAGACCATCATACTGTTCAGAAGGTCAAGTCTCGAGGGTCTGAGTCCATACCGATAAGAGGTGTCTGAGACAGGATGTGCTGCACTCGTTCCTCGACCGTGCGTTTATGGGAGTCATGGCAATGGTGAGATCGAAGAAGCCAGTTTCCAATGATCAGGGCGCCGAGGAATATGGACAAGCCTCGAATGAACGTGGATCGAGGGACTGCGGTGGAAGCTGTACGTGTTGTCGGTGCATCTCGGGTGGTTTGTGGGAGTTCCCAATGGGACTCCTGGTACGAGATTTTCTCACTCATACTGATAGACGCCTCTATCGGTAGCTTGATGTGATACGCAGAAGCTGACACCAAGAATGATCTATTGACTTTTGGGTAGTAGTTGCGGTCATTCAGTCAGACACGGCCGATGGATGGCTGACAAAGCTCCTCCGAGCTCCACTTCAGATAATCATCTCGGCGATAAGATAGATGGGCGGTTAGCCCCGGTCGCCTGTCAGGCACATCAAGCAACACAGCCAGTTGGCAGTGGATAAGGTAGAGCAAGTTCACGGAGTGATAAGTTACAAGGAGTCTGTTATAATTTCTCCAATATCAGATCCCCTCAAAGCTCTATACCCCAGATCATAACGCATTCATACTTGGATTGACTTGTATCGTCCGAAATGCCAAGGAGAGTGCCGGTGCCTGTGCGCGCCGCCCTCGCTCATACAGTCAAACAGGGAGGCACTTCCAGGCTCATGTACCGATTACGGAAGAGAGCATGTATGAAGCTGGGTGTAATCACTTGCTCCAAGTAATGGAGAACGATGCAAGTCTAAATAGGTAATTTCGACAATGGAAAAGGTTCGTTTCCTCACTCTGACTCGACAGGATGATTGAGATGTACGAGGTGTTTCGTGACGACCCCCGCAGCACAAAGTCCTGTGTTAAAAGAAGTTAGAGGTGCTAGTATCCGACCTAATCATCCTGAATCTCTGAGAACCGTCGAAGGCTTTGAACAGCGTTTCAGAAGGGTCTCTCTTGAGACTTCGCAGGCAGCCATCCACGGGGCATACTGTGGTCCTGGTACAGAATTGTACTGGCGAGGTGAATCTCAGTCTCAACCAATTATTAGTGGTCTTTCCGCCTGGCTTTTGTCATTTCGACAGATGTTGAGGCACAATCAATACTATCAGACAAGGCCACCAGTTCTTCTATATCCCTGATTGTCCGATACCCGCAGCGATGTATGGCATACAGCAGAGTCCTGCCTTTTCCCCATTTCCCCGCTAGGGAAACGTCGGTCGACCCGTGAAAAGCAGAGTCCCACTTAGTCTCCACCGGCCCAATTTCTCCAGCGTACTGGAGACTGCCTTTTTCACACTGCTCTGGCTCTTCACAGGACCAGAAAGTGGCATTGATCCAGAGCTCCAAGGTTTTATTATCCAGTGGAGCCGTCGAGTGACTCGGTTCACAAGTGCTGGAACTCTAGTCGCCATGGACGGTACGATGTTCGATCCGAGGCTGATGTTCGCTCAGCTAAGCCCCGCTGTGCTTCGGACGACGTATACTGAACAGTTCTTACTCAGGTCTCCTCGCCATTTGGCATACCTGGCGCTTACCACTTGTTGTGGTCTTCGCTGTCTTACTCGTGAGCCTTCGATTGTATCGCCGCGGAAAATCTCGATCCCACACGCTCACAACCACCTCCATCCCGACCCCGCCCCGCATCGAATCTCACGAGAAATCAATCTCTCGCGTGCCGCCCGTTGCCACCCCTCGCCAAAACTATACCAATGACAAGGAAAACTCCAACACGAGTCAGACAGGGGCAACGGCCAAGTTGGCCGCTGGTCCTAAGCGCGTTCAGAGTAAACGCCCTGCCAAAACCGTCACCGGCCGTCGAGCTATTAGCGAGGAGCAAACACATCCGCTCTTCATTCAGCCTGTGATCTTCTTTGCATCTCTGACGACGACAACGGAGCGTTATGCCAACCTACTACTAGAGGAACTACGCGTAGTGGCACAGGAGTATACCAAGCTTGGAATTCCCAATGGTGGTCTGCTACTTCCACAGATTCATGATATCTCTTATATCGACTTTGAGGATTACTTTGCCTCCGCTCCACAGCCTCCATCCACAGCCCCTGGGACCCGTTACCTCTACTGCATCTTGGTTCCAACTTACAACATTGACACGGTGCTCAACACTCTTCTCGCCCATCTCGACGAAATCCACAATGATTTCCGCATCGATACTGCACCTTTGTCCCAACTAGCGGGATACTCCGTGTTTGGATTTGGTGACAAAGAAGAGTGGCCGACCGAAGAGGAGGGATTTTGCTCTCAAGCAAAGGAAGTTGATCGCTGGATGGCCAAGCTGACAGGTCGCAAGCGGGCATATCCATTGGGAATGGGCGATGTGAAGAATGATGCTGAGGGCTCGCTGAGGAAATGGTCGGAGGGACTTCAGGAGACGATCGTGGACATTCTACGAAATGGAGGCCTTGGAGAGGGCGTGCCCGGTAGTGGAGATGCCGTGGAAAGTGACGAGGAAGATTTGGAAGATATGGAGTACCTGGACGATGAATCTTATGCGGCTAAGCAGAAAAAGATGGGCGGGGCGACTATGGTGGACTTGGAGGACATCAAGATGAACGGGCAGTCGGGAGCCCCTATTCCCATTGACTTCACTACGGCCGGTCCAACCATCCTTGCGGAGCCGCAGGCCAAAGAAATGGTACCGAAAACGTCTCCGACTTATAGTGCTCTCACCAAACAAGGATACACGATTGTTGGCTCGCATTCGGGCGTCAAAATCTGCCGATGGACAAAGTCCGCGCTTCGGGGGCGAGGTTCTTGCTACAAGTACTCATTCTATGGGATCAGATCTCATCTCTGCATGGAAGCCACCCCATCTCTGTCATGCAGCAACAAGTGCATCTTCTGTTGGCGGCACGGCACGAACCCAGTTGGTACCACGTGGCGATGGAAAGTGGACTCGCCCGAGCTGATCTTCAATGGAGTGAAAGAAGGCCACTACAAGAAGATCAAAATGTTGAAGGGAGTGCCTGGAGTTCGTGCGGAACGGTTCGCTGAAGCGATGCAGATCAGACACTGCGCCCTGAGTCTGGTCGGCGAACCGATCTTCTACCCCCGCATCAATCGATTCCTGGATATGCTGCACCAGGAGCGGATTTCCAGTTTTTTGGTTTGCAATGCCCAACATCCTGATCAGCTTGAGGCCCTGAACCGGGTGACACAGTTGTATGTCTCGATCGATGCGAGCAACCGAGAGAGTCTTCGCAAGATTGATCGCCCTCTGCACCGAGATTTCTGGGAGCGGTTCCAGCGCTGTCTGGACATTCTGCGCGAAAAGCGTCACATTCAAAGAACCGTTTTCCGGCTTACCCTTGTCAAAGGGTTCAACGTGGAGGATGAAGTGATGGGATATGCCAACCTAGTTGAGAAAGCTTTGCCAGGCTTGATCGAGGTCAAGGGAGTCACATTCTGTGGGACAAGCACGAGTGCCGGCGCCGGTTTGACAATGAAGAATGTGCCCTTCTACGAAGAGGTCTCGGCCTTTGTTGTCGCTCTCAACAATGAGCTCCAGCGTCGTGGCCTGGAGTATGGCATTGCTGCCGAGCACGCGCACAGTTGCTGCGTGCTTCTAGCCTCGGAGCGATTCCGAGTGAATGGCAAATGGCATACGCGGATTGACTATGATCGCTTCTTTGAACTCCTGGAGAAGGAGAAAGCTGACGGCACCTCCTTCGCCCCCGAGGATTATATGCGTGAAACAGAGGAATGGGCACTATGGGGTCGTGGTGGCTTCAACCCCGAAGACGAACGTGTCTTCCGAAAGGGCCGTGATGCTGATTCGCGGGCTCGGAAAGCTCGTGAGATTCTGGGCGCGGAGATGGTGCCAGAGGCTGTCTGATCATACTTGAGTGTGCCTTTCAATCGATGATGAAATGTTGAATTTTGTGGATGAATGTGTGCCTCTGATGTCAATGTGATAGAAAGCGCTCAATATACCCGCTGCGTAGAATCTGAAGTTGCCAAAAAAGTCAGGCTGGGATTTTCATGGTACTTGATCCAGTCACAGGTAAACCAGTATTACTTTAGCATAAATGTCTGGAGACAACTAAATCTAGGTTCTCGATGACACTTCGCTTTCAAACAGCACCGAAACATGCGTCAATCCATTCGAATTCAAGAATTTCATATTCGCCTATGTACGGTTGACCGTTTCCATGGCAGTCACAATTACGCATATTTCTTCACCACTTCAGTGAGTTCGGCCTCCGACAAGGACTTCACCCCGAGCAGCTCGTTATCAGTCTTGGTAAAGTGATTACCAAACTTTCCAGCAAAGATGGCATACAGAATCTGACTGACAAAGGCAGTCTTGAAATCCGGCGAAGACTGTTTCAGCGCCTCGTCGGCTCGCTTCAAAAGATCTTCCGCCTTGACATCCACTCGCTTGACCTTGTCCGCGTTACCCGACAGCTCCAGGAGTTTGTTCTGAGAGAAGGTGGTGTTCGAGGCGAAGACGCAGCGGTTCTTCGTCTCTTCGAGATGTTTCAACACGCCCACGACTGCTTGGCCCACGCCGGCGACGTTGGTGGAACTGACGGGTACGTCGCCCCCGTTATAGATCTCGGTAGAAGGGCCCTTGAGATTGATGAAGAAGTTCATTTCAATACCCCAGTCAAAAAAGGGACCAGTGTACACTCTGGTCCAGGTGAAGGATGGATCCTGCTGGGATGTCTCGCTCAACTTGTCACCAATTGTCGCCTTGTCGGCGAAGACAGGCAGCGATGCAATCTCCTTGTCCGACAAATCACATCCAAACTCGGATGGAAGATATCGCTTGATTCCAGCGGCTCGGGCAGCGTCAAGGATCCGCAAGTGAACATCGAGGGGGATGACGTTCATGGGGAGGGTGTTCACAAGAGCATCTTGGTCCTTGAGGGCCGCCACGAGCGACTCCTTGGAATCATAATCGACTTGTTGAACACGAGCACGCGAGTCAGTCTTGGCAGATGAAGAGCGGCTGAACACAGTCACTTCGAAACCTGCCTCGACAAGTTCCGTGACGATAGCAGGTCCAATGTTGCCGGTAGCCTGTTAGGTTATTGTGAGATTGTGATACATTGCTTTCTCTTTTTTTTTCATGTTCGAGTCGATTGGGAGGAGGGGGATATGGAAAGCTTCTGGCGGTGATTACTTACACCGGCGACTGCGACGCGCTTGATCTCAGGCATGATGTGCAGTGGGGTTTTGGAGTGGTGTATATACTATGTAGTATGTAGTGGCTCGTGCGGGGTGAGATGTGAGGAGCGGAAGGAGTAAATGTTGGTCTGAAATTGCAAAAGATACTTCTTGTAGATCGATGAGACGAGAAGGCTTGAATCGATGGATGATAAAAGAATGTACGGATAGTGGGAGGACGAAGGTAGTTATATACCAATGCTTCACGACACAAGACCTTGAGGTGGATGATGAGGAAGCAGATGGATCGATAAGATCGAGAAAGTGGGGCCTTTCGATCTGGATCAGTGGATCCATTCTGGTTACTAACGTAGTCAGGTATTGAAGTTTACTCTTTCTTCGGGTTCCGAACTGACAAATTTGCATGCTTACCGAGCACGACGGAAATCTCGCGCGAGAGCTCGGGGTTTATAGACCTGGCTGTCGTAATCCGAACTATGCTGGTTACATGGTACATGTCATAAACTTTAACTGCTTCGCTGATCCTCTGGTCTACGACATTCAGTTCCATTCTTCTAGCTTCCCTCTGTTGTTGTCGTAATCAGCCACTTCCCTACCGACATGAGTTGGACATAACATTCAGTTAGGGAGATTACAAATCGAACAAGGCGCGCAACATGACGTGGTTGACGCCGGCCATTATTGGAATGATTCGACATCTCAACATAGGTACTACTGTATATGGGCTATCACGGACTCTGAATTGCTGCGGAATACACAGATCTCACAGACTGTAGCACGGTATCTGCTAGTTTCACCGACCTCTGTAGATAATTACAGTAGATTGTGCTAAGCGCAGGGAGTCGGCTTGATCAACTTGCTTCGTGGAAGTGCAAATAAACAGTGGCATCTTTATCGTGTCATTCAGGACCGGTCGGTCCATTTCCGTCCGTCATGATTCATTTTCATGAGAGTGACCACGGATATTAGGCCTCCAACTGTACCGTAGATCAGGCTATGAATCTCGACTTTGTCGACATAGAGCCAGTCAGATGCGCAATGCCCACCATTGACCCAGATTTTATCAGATCCTACATAATGTCCTTAGCATAGTACGAGCACGTGTGTCAAATCTTCAGCTTACCCGGTCCTCTGCATCGAGCTTGTCCGTGGCTGATGAACTAGCAGGCCTCGCGCTTTATCAGGACCCGAAAATCCGACTCGTCTGTCAAAAGGTCCATTGGTGAGGATTCGCGGGGAGTTCGAGGAGGAGGACTTTGGACCTCGTATCTTCGGCATTAAGCCGGAGTTGTCGCTTATCCCGAGGACGTGCTTGCTTAGCGTCCAACACCCTGATTAAAGCCGGACCAGGTATGTGAGCTTGGATCGGGCATTTACTGCTGCATGAAAGATTGAGCCTACTGAGCCATCATTCCTTGACGTTCTTCGTCGTCTATCATGAGACGAAAGGCTGGGAAGCGATTTCGGTTCAACACTGATGAAGATCAATTCATGTATTGCATCTCAAGAGCCCATGGAGAGCTCTTCAACAAAGGTACAGCATTCTCTCCACATAAAGTGTTCAGTTTCAGAGCGAAGGCCCAACAAATTGATCATGAATAATCATGTACGAACCATGAGGCTCATACTTTGGAATTTCGTCTCTCTAAGATCAGTCATTATATAATGCTCATGATTCTCCTGCCTCCTCAACCAAAAGGAAGTGTGATGTGGAATTAACCCACCCCAAGGAAAAAGAAAAAGAATATCTAACGCCGGCGCCCGTGCAAAAGCTCGCATATCATCTTACAAGAAGTACTCGCTGCGGCCCGGCCGCGAGGTGGGCACGTGTCGTTGATCGTCGCTGACGGCGCTGAACAGTTTGAAAGACGGTTTCAGGTCCTCTCCAATCTCACAGACCGAGGCCAAATTGCCACAGCGATAGCAGTAGTTGGGAGCACTCCAGACAGTCACCACGTTCTGATTGTTAAAGTGGTACTTGTAACCTTCGTTCACAAGTTGATGGGCACGAGCGATCAGGGTGAGATCGTTGACGTGGCAGAATTCGTCTGCCACGCGATCACCAAATAGCCAGCCTGAAACAAATACTCCAGTCAGTCATATGCGCACAGTGTCAACCTACTGGGAAACAATTTATTCTCACCTGCACCACGGGGGCTCACTGCCCACGTTTCAACGTCGTCCGGATCGGACCACACCAAGTCACAAAAGGCACCCTCGTGAGGAATTTCCTGCGCACGCGCAACAACTCGCACTTGATCCAATGTTCGAATCTCCGGACTAAGTCCACCGTGAACACAAAGCACCTTGCCGTCGATAATGGCGCCCAGCGTCATGAAATCGAAAACCTGACAGCAAGCTTTCCACACGGAGGCGCTGCCGTACTTTTGGAAACACTCCTCGTAGAAACCGTAAACTTGTGTGATTTGGCGCGACTCGTGATTACCTCGAACTAGTGTCACTCGGTCTGGATATCTGTATTGAAGGTTGTCCATCGATTAGCCAAAATGTCTTCCTCGTGGTTTCTTTTTTTCCTTTCCAGGTAGGAATGGGGATGTATCTGATCCGAATCACAACTCACTTGGCTTTGAGACACAATAGTAGCGTTAATGTCTCCAAGCTAAAGTATCCACGATCGACGTAATCACCCAGGAAGACGAAGTTGCTCTTTAGTTGGAGGTCTTCTGACGTCTGACTGTTTGATCGGCTATGCGAAGTAGCGTTCTCTTCTGTTTCCTCCGCGGTCTCCTCGTCCCCATCTGTCTTGACCTTGGCGCTGGGCCCACGCAACTTCTTACGGAGTTTTGGGTCGGTGATAGTCGAGGGAGGCTCAATATCGGCCGATGTGATGATAGCAGATGAGCTTTTGGGGGCGTCCAGCGCAGAACCATCAGGCATACCGCCTGACACGCGGAAGAGTTCGAGCAGGTCGTAAAACTGGCCGTGGATATCACCACAGATCGTGACTGGGGTGGAGACGGGTTGTATGTTGGATTCTTTCAACGCAAAAGACGCTGTTGTCAGTCACGCAGTCTCGGTGTATTCCTCGAGTTGTTGTTCCAAATCTCGCTTACCTTCCATCATATACTCCTTGACCATTTCACACAGTTGTTTCATGTGGGCCTCAGAGAGATATTTGCAGTCCTTGGCGGCTTCCAGCCACTCGTCAGGACCAGCATTGCGCTTCAACTTGGCTGGTCCCGGTTGAGGGACCTTACTGTCGGTCATGGCGAGACAAGTTGACAGGAAGTACAGGAAATATGGTGGAGAGGATCGCGGGGGGTCCAGGAAGGGAAGAGGAACTGCGCGGGTGGCGGTCTTCGAATGCCGCAGCGGGCCTGGACTGACCTCACCAGATGACCTAAAAAGGCCCAAACTGGAGGGCCGTTTGACAGCCGACCCTTCGAGCGGTGACTCGCAGTCACCAGTCCACAGTGAATTTGGCATTACGACCAAACAAACCACAGACGGAATGATGATGGGCACAGACGTCTACATGTTCTACTTTACAGAAGATGAAAGCCCATCCTCTATTAAATTGTCTCTATATCACAAATTTGACTTTCTTTTGACGACTAATATGGTCTGTATCATCCATCGATCTTGCCCAGAAACTCGGTCACCACGTCAGCAAAGGCTTCAGGCTGTTCGACCATTGGCAAATGGCCTGCCTTTTCAATGATCTTGAGGTCAGCACCTCCCTTCAGATCAGCTGCCATCTTCTGCATGGTCTGAGGAAGCACTCCGTCGTTGGCCCCGGCGACAAACAATCCGGGCACAGTCGCAGAGCCCATGCGATCGCGAATATCATACGCGCACAGTGCATTGACGCTATGGGCGAAGCCTTTCAGACTGTTGGTGCGAACTGCCTCCTTGACTGGGGCAAGCACCTCCGGTTGAGTCTCGTACGATTCCGGTACGAACCAGCGTCGGGTCGTGATCTCGGCAAGCTGCTCCCCGACGATGGGCTCGTTGGTCTCGGGATCCGTTGAGCCCTCTTGTTCAGACATGGCCACACGGTCGCCCCAGGCTTTACGGTTGGACTCGGGCGCAGAGGAGTTGGTGTCACATGCTATGAAAGCAGCAACGCACTCGGGGTAAAGCAAAGACGTGTTGAGCACGGTGACACCGCCGAGGCTGACGCCGATCAATCGAGCAGCCTTGGGTGGCACGCGTAGAGCCTCAAGTAGATCGGCAACATCAGAGGCCAGAAGATCCACCGTGACGGGTTGCTGGCCGCTGGCCGCACGACGGCCGCGGGTCAAGTAGCGTAACACGCGATAGCGCTGGTTTTGTTGCCGCGCGAAGAAGGCGTCCACAAAGCGGTCCCAGATGTTCCAGTCCACTAAGATGGAATTGCTCAGGACCACGACGGGAGCATCGGGATCCGTACTTCCCTCCAATCGATACGGGAGCTCAACACCGTCCTTTGTGGTGATGAAGGATTCCACCGCCGGGCGAGCTGCGGAGGGGAATGTGCGAGTCTTGCCATCGTTGGACGACCACGGACCCTTGCAATCCGGAGATGCCAGAGATGAGAGTTCTCGCGGGGCAGGGCCAAAGGTGTAGTACCATTGATACACGCGACGCTGCTTGGATTTGACGGCAGTCTGCTGGAGCTTCTCCCGCCAGGGAGTGTTCATGGCGGCCTTGTGCACATCCCCACCCAGTCCATTCTGAGGATCATACTCATGGAGAGCCAGCGAGTGACGAGGGGCTTGAGGATCGATCGAGGAAGTCACAAACAAGCGGCTGCGACGCCAGCCGGGCACACGAGAGAGCATGTCGATGTGTTCTTCACGATACCAGCGATCATGCTCCGCCTGCTTTTCGGGATCAGCGTCGATGGTGGTTGTAACAGCGACGAGAACGCTCCCGCGAGTCTCGGCGTCGGTATCGGCTTGGTTCTCGAGCGGGCGGAAGTTCGGCGACTTCTGCTCATAGACCAGATCATACAACAAACGACCCACGTCAATCTGGGCCATTGTGGCCTTCTCTCGCTCCGTCTTGATCAGATCGGTGCGCAGATCCAGATAGGTCTTGCGGGTCAACTCGGCCATGTCGGTGATGTCGTACAGCGCGACATACTCGGGTTTTTCGCCGTCGGTCGCACGGAAGCGGAATCCATTTGTAATGAAGGGTAGACGTAGACGCAAAGGGCCGTGTTCGGTGTTATACCAATCGTGGAATTGCGCCTCGGGCAGGGAGCCCTGCGGCTGCATTGTCACATAGAGCAACCCGGGAGTTGACATGGTGGGAGCGGCGATCGTCGAAGTAATGTTTTCGAACGGGATGTGCCGAGGGATAGCTGTACGAGGACACAAATCGGAGGGCGTACGTTAATCAAGAGGGTAGATGTATATGTCCCGATGAGAGGACAATCCACGTTGCAAGCTTTGTCCTGTCTCCAAGTCTAAATCCTGGGCCTATCGTCATCGTTGCTTTTGACTTGGACTCAACCCGGGGTGATTCGCATGGAGGTCCATCTCGGCACTGCCCCTCAGCCGGGAGAAAGCAAATCCCCCCGAGGGGAACTGCCGAAGTGGAGGGGCGGAACCTTTTCCCCGCGTTGCTCACCAGTTGGCGTTCCAGCAGGATTGGTAAGAGTGCGCGCTACATGGTAGAAATCTTAGTAGACTCGTGCTTGTCAACTGTCCATAAAATCGGGGTTGAAGATTGTGCTTGAATAGCATCCCATCCCCGTATTCGGGAGCTCGAAGAGTCTGAGAGCGCTGCCTGCTTTACCTACCCATATGGACGATCAGGCAGGTATTTACTCAGTAAGGGATGTCAGCTTTTACGAATGCTTTCTTCCTTTACCAGAAGTTCACTTTGCTGTCTAAAGTTTAGGAGCTCCATGGAATGATCCAAGAATCGTCATTTCAAGTCTGTAGATCGTCGGACATGCATCCTATATTGCTCGTCCAAGCATCTGTCTATTTTCGTGTTCATCGTCCCAAGACATTAATCATACCAAATGGCATTCATACCGAATCCCTGCTCGGGAATATCGACACGAGCCACGCGAGCAAGCTTCTCATCCTGCCAGCGATACATCTCCACAAAGCCCAACTGGTCATCACAGAGGGCCAACCATTCGTCACTGAAATCGCAGGGACTCACGGCGTTGGAATGGCCACCGCTGGTAGAAGTGGGATTGATGAAGAGTTGTTGCAGAATCTCACCCGAGGGCCCCAGCTTAAACGCCGTGATGTATCCGGTCACATCAAAGTGGTTTGATCGAGTAGTTGCAAAGAGGTAGTTGCCGCTCTTCGTGGTGAAAGTCACATCGCCGCGATACTTGTTACGTGGAGGCAGACCCGGCGGCAGAAGCGGATAGGTAATGTGGGTGAAGACGGGCTTGTGAGTGCGCTCGTCAATCACGTAGACAGCCAGACGGTTTCCGGCTTCCATGAGAGCGTATAGGTACTTCCCGCTGGGGTGCATTTCGACCCAGCGAGGGTGGTCGCCCGGTGCAGGCGCCTCGAGACAATCGAGGAGTGTGAGTTGACCCGTCGTGGCATCCTTGATGTGTGTCCAGATCTTGTTGGCCTGCAGGTCGGCCGAGTAGAGATAGGTCTCGGTGGGATCAAAGACCATGCCGTGAATGCCCGTGTTGGGATCGTACTCGTAGTTCTGGACATTGGTGTCAAGGGCGCCGTCGGCGGTCACGGAGAAGACGTTACCATATCCTGCGTGTTTGTAGAAAGGGTTACCGTAGACATTATACGGTGGTTGATGGGCGGCAAGTACAAAGATGGCTCGGGTGTTTGTATCGGCGCTGGCAGCGAGAGCTGGAGGTTGCAGAGGATGAGGTTAGCCGACTGCTTTCACTCGACCATTGTAAACCCCCAATCAGATCATGGTCATTCAAAGGCCTGCAAATGGCCTCTTTCATGAGGCACGGATACGAATCATAGAGAGCTGGTACGTACGGTGTCCCGCGACTGGATGCGACACTTGATGTTCGATGTCCGTCGGGCCTTTGACCGCAAAGCTATTCCATTTCTTCATGGCAGCGCCATAGATCGTTTTCTTGTCGTGAGAAAAGGTCATCCAGGAAATAGGCTCGGCCTCGGGGATGTTGGTCTTCTTGACCAGGTCGAGAGTGAGCGCCTCATCATCGAATTGTACGGTATAGATGCGCCCGGGGGCGGTCCACGTGCCGATCATCAAATGGTGCTTCATGGTGAATTTGGACGAGGTGCGAAAGGATCGTGTCAATGGGGAACAGACAACACGGGCGGGAGTCGAGATGATCGGAACCCACGAGGGCACTGAACGGATCATATGATCAAAGCAACAGCACGCTTAGTATTGGCAGAGGGAAGCGTTTCCTCGCGACCACTCCTCGACTCCCGTGCGGAGGAAACAGAATATGTCCGGAGCTGCAAGCTCGAGCCCGCCACGGAGACAACATGCGGGATGGGGGGAAACAGAGTGCGGGGGTACATTCTTTATTTCGGTTGGTTGTCTTGCATTGGTCCCAGCCAAAGTGGGGCCCTTTCCTCCCGCCTTCGGGAACCGGCAGCGAGAGGCGGCAGAGGACGCAGAGCCGCCGGTGTCATTGATGGTTCCAGTCTCCAAAAGTGTCGAGAATCGATGCTCGGGTGCATCCTACGATTGTTCCATCAAGTTGAGCAGGATCATCAACTTGTAGTGTATGGAATCAGGAGCTTTGGTTTTCCAGCCACGAGATACCAAAAAGAGTCCAGATTCGAAGCATTCCAAATCGGGATGTTTGAGTGGAACATCGTCTCCTCCTTTTTATTGGATTCCAGATGATCGTCAGCCAGCACTATAAACATTAAAGATCGATAAAACCGTCAAGTCTTGTATACTGCGTAATCAAAAGCCATGTCATGATACATTGAACACAGTCCGACGTCTGTAGTTCCATCTACTTCCAGAAAGTAGTGATCTGTCCATTCTGACCATGTTGGTGACCATGTTGTTGCTGTCTGCAGTTCTGCACCGGCTATCCCATCGCCGCGCCTGACCCTGGCTAGACCCACGGTCATGTCACGTGGACCCTATTCGGCTGTTGCGTGGGGGTGCGGCTGCCGAAGTGGCCGCGCTCTCCGGGCAGACTCGCCAGTTGCTACCTCCCCGGCAGAGTTAGACTTGCCGCCGCACGACTCCGATCGTTCGGGAATTGGAGATGGGAGGAACCATACTTTGGAGGAGATGCCGGGCAAAACTGGGGTAAAATGGAACCCACAAGGATAACGTCCTCGAGGATGTGCCGGGCTGGGATCACTCGGGTCAAACCAGACTTTTGCTGAGCCGGCGATCCGACTATAAAAGTCCCTGCTTCGCCATCACTGGAGAGAACCTTCGACCTTAATCCTGCCACTTTTTCGATTGTTCTTCCCCCCCATCCAAGTTCTCCGTCAGCCTCTTTCCCCGCATTTGGAGAATCGCCTCGGTATCTACATCCCAATTTCGCAACGCTCTCAGGGATCTTGAAGATTGTTCCATACCACTTCGAGTCAACAGCAACTGAAAAACAAGTGCACAAACCGTCAACCATGTCTTCCTCTACCAACCACCGTTTCGACCCTACCTTCACGGACCAAGTGGTCAATGCCATGGGTCCCAAGACCCCCGAGCGCGCGCGTGTCATTCTGGGCTCGCTCATCCGCCACATTCACGACTTTGCCCGTGAGGTCGAATTGACCCCCGCTGAGTGGATGACCGGTGTTGAATTCATCAACTCCATCGGTGCCATCAGCACCCCAATCCGCAACGAGGGCCACCGTATCTGCGACGTGATCGGTCTCGAGTCGCTCGTTGATGAGATTGCCAACAAGATCGTCACCGAGCAGGGACTGTCCCCGACTTCCAACGTTATCCTCGGCCCCTTCTGGTCTCCCAATGCTCCCTTCCGCGCCCTGGGCGACAGCATCATCCAAGACCCGCTCCCCAACGGTCGGGTCACCTATATGCACGGTCGTCTGACCGACATGGAGACCGGCAAGCCCATTGTCGGCGCGGTGCTCGACATCTGGCAAGCATCTGCCAACGCCAAGTACGACTTCCAGGACCCCGAGCAGAGCGAGAACAACCTCCGCGGCAAATTCCGCTCCAACGAGAACGGTGAATTCTACTGGTACTGCTATCACCCCACGGCGTACTCGTTGCCCACCGACGGTCCCGCCGGTGTCCTGCTGAACTTGATGGACCGTTCGCCTATGCGTCCCGCGCACATTCACCTGATGATCACTCATCCGGACTACGCCACCGTCATCAACCAGATCTATCCCAGCACCGACCCTCACTTGGAGATCGACTCCGTCTTTGCCGTCAAGGATGACTTGGTGGTCGACTTCAAGCCCAAGACCGACGATCCCAAGGCCGAGCTGGACTTGGAGTACAATGTCCGCATGGCTCTGAAGAAGCACCACCCTCACCCCAACTCGGAACCGCCCAAGTCTTCCTTTGAGCGCTCCATGGGTGGTGGTAAGCTTTAAGCGGAATGTGACGAATGCCGTGTTGAGCGCGGCCCTTGGGAGACGATATCTCTATACACTCATACCACCTTTGACATGTGCGCCTTGCATTGTGGTCGGATGACTGACGTCACCTATCGATTGCATTATACCGTTTTTGGGCTTTCTTTTTCGCAGTGGATTTAGCGAGTTATCTTTCTTTTTCTTTGCCTTCGTGCCCACGAGATCGTGTTTTCTACCTCTTGCGCCTGTGATCATTTAGATGCGTGATTTCCTACCGCAATGTATATAGCTTGAGATGAATCATCATGGACATAGATATGATCATGTACACGTTGCTTAGTTTGAACAAATTGCGCTTTTCCTGCTCCTTCATAGACTGAACGCCGCAACGTCGAAGGGTAATGCTTCAGCAGAACAACAAGAAATCAACACACCAAATCCACCCCACTCGCCCGTGGACCCTATTCCCCTCCCCCCCCCCCCCTACTCGGCACCTTCACGGATAAACTCATAGCCGGTCCACACTCGGGGTGCTCTCCCGTCGCTGTGCCGATTCTCATCCGGATGGGGATAACTGATGGTTGATCTCAGGCCCGTCTCCGTGCTGTATCTGAGTGATATTCTGGTCCAACCTTGGAAGTGTGGGAAGGAGTCTATTTGGCGAGGCAGATTGTCCCTGGTTGCGGTCCTTTAGGAATTGCTTGGTGTTCTTGCAGATGGTTGGACTGTGCTATTGTTAGTGGTACTTTATTTATGATATCACCGAATGCCATGGAGCCGGCTTTTGAGAGTTTCTTTCCAAGATGGCGAATATAATACCAACACTCAATCATCAGAAAATCTTGCACAACATAGGTGAACTGGAAGACCTGATGGAACGAGGGTATGTATCATCGTATGGTGAGCGTGAATACACCTCTCGAATTGATGTGTGTAGAAGATTAGGAACAACTTGAACAATGTGAACAGGAACCTTTCTCAACTCAACTACCTTGTGCGTTACACTATAGGCATGCGCAAAGATAACCTCCAAGCCCATACAAAACGGACAGACTGAGAAACGAGAGAATTGAGAATCATAAGCTAGGAGATTGCTTGTCTAGGCTCTAGAAACATGCGTAACGCATTCTTGCTTCCGGACCTTTTTTTTTTTTTTTTTTTTTTTTTTTTCTCACGTGTCCTCAAGCCTTGACACTAGCTATGAGCATGACAGGGCTATATTCTTTTCACAGCACTGGCTACTGTTGCCTGTGAGTTGTGGATGTGGATAGATGGAGAATTGGAGTCTACTGTAGCCCAGGTCACACTCTGATTCTATGGACGAGACGATCAAAATTGAGTGTGAGATTCATTTCTGGAAGAATTCGGTCAACACGTCGATTGATTGTGCACAGGGGACAGCCTTGAAAACCGGATGATCTTGAGAGAACAACATCAGTGAGGTTACGAGGTATATAGTGTAAACTTGTCAACAATTACAATTGATTTGTTCTTGGGGTAAATGGAGGGACCGGGTGCGGCTAAAGTGTACGAGTACCAGGAACGGGTACTCACTAACTACCAGTAGTCAATACTAAATAAGAGAACAGGACTAAATCGGTAAATAGTAGTAAATACAAGTACATCCATAGAGCAGTCGTATCCTGCATGCACAAAAATGAGCGGCTTTCTGAGCAAATAAAAAACACTGGTATTGCGTCTTTCTGCTCAACAGCTATATCTTCAATCTTGTATTCGATTACTAAATTCGTAAATACTAGTAAAATCTACTTTAAGTAACTATGAGACTAGTAGACGCTGTATCATGATTGATCAGCAACGAAACACCCGACAGGCAGACCTCTACAATTACATTTACACCCGGAAACTCCGACACGGTCCATAATCCATATAGGCACGTGCCGGATCTCCATTTGCCAAGGGTGCGCTCATTTCTTGTCAGGGAAATCTGAAACATGGAACATGAAACACAAAGCGCACAGTCCAGGAGATTGAGTCGACGGAAGGGAGTTTTACCGTCGGAAATTGAAGGCAATATGGGTAGGAAAGCTTGTTCCGGGGGATGAAACACTGAGTGCTTCACCTTCTGATGTTAATTAGACGGAAGGAAAAGGAATTGTCTAACAGACCTGGGAATTGCGCGTCAGCGTGTCGTGTGTAATTGTACAAATGTACAGTGTAAGTGTATGAATCAGACCTGCAGGATTCAATTTGCAACAGGAAAAATGCCTCAAGACAAGGCCGCATTTGGCAAAGTTGCCATTCTTGCAGACCCGGTGACCTTTGGTCCTCAGTGACAGGGGTTTCTCACTTTGCCGGGTCAGGATTGGCGGGAAAGGTCGTTAGTGTCCTGCACTTGCATCTGAATCCATGCGACCCCCGAGGTCAGCAGATCAAAAGTGCCGAATAGTGCCTAAACGGGAAATGATTGTTCTCGGCTATAGCAGAGTAGTAAGGGACCTTGTAGATTAATATGGTTAGGCTTTGGAGAAAGATGATGACTCTGCCGATTTCTGTCAGCTGTGATGTCGGGATAGCAAAGTTGGCCCTGGTAAGATCCATCTCTAATAGGATTCAAGATCACAGACACAAAGCTTCTCTCGTGCTAGAGCTATGACGAGGAGACTCAGTGTCCATCCATCTATGAGAGCAAACGTATATGTGGTACGTTGAAACAACAATGTGGGAATTTCTTTTTTTAAAAAAAAGGTCCTCCTTTTGTTGCTTAGTCTGTCTCTTAGAGAGATCTCCAGCTGTGAATCTCATCACACAGAATTAATACTAGACCAATATACATCGATATGCTATACAATTCTAATGATAAGCCAGCCGTCAAGTTAGTGTTAAAAATTTATTCACCTTCTACCATCAACCCGGCTAGCGGAGTACATGGCGAGTGCATATGGTTGTGACCATGAAGCCCTAGCAATACCCAGGCTGAGAAGTAATCTAATCCAGCTGATAGCCGCCCAAACCACGCGTCTCGTCAGGACTTTCCACAGACTTGACTCTCGCATACATGATACACCAATACGTTGGTTCGCAGCACTCGAATTGGCCCGTGGCCCCGGAAGATTTCTGCAACCCCGAATAAGACTTCCATACGGATGCCGTTCCTTCACGGAATGCCGAAGATGGTCAAGCCGCAGGTCCTGGGGTACTACTATATTCAGTGATTCACTATGCAGTGTGTTGTGTTTGGATGGCGATAATGAATGATCAGGGGGAGCGTCTAAACACGGAACAATATGCAGAAGAATCCATTCACGTCCACATGCTCCCTTGATCAAGATCCTCACGCTTGACTCGGACAGAAATCTGAGTTTGCGCAAGAATTGATCCAACCCACTCCAGGTATGTACCTACTACCTACAGAGTGAAAGGAGTGAAACACGCGAATGACTCGCAACATGAACGGAGTTTCTTGCCCATTCTCATCGTCATGATTCATGTATGGAAATACTGTAACTACCAGTTCCACTCTTACCGAGTCCTTCCATAACGTACCTACTTTTTATCTTGGAAAATTGCTACGTCAAGAGCCTCGGACGGCTCTATCCCACTTCACGTAGCAAGTTTTGTCCAGCGCAATCATCTGCAACAATATTCAAAGCACTCAGGGAATCTCATCTTCGTCAGTGACGGCCATTCCCGGCGGAGCTTTCTCCGTATCGTGAAGGGTCTGCATGATCCCCCCTCTCGTGGAAACTCTTGCAGGAACGGCCGCCATTTCAGGGGTCCACCAGGTAAGTACCGTTATGACTGTAGACGGATGGCCACCGTGCACCGGCGGGGAAGTAGTACCTTGGTCTAGCCCCGGGTTGATCCACATTCCATCAGCCACGAATTCAAAATGGGGGCAATGTTTCGAGAGGTTGGAAAGGTGGAGAATCAGTTGAAGTGTGCATTGAACTTGACACACCAAAGGTACGAAATGGATGCAAAAGGGGATTGCGAGAGAAGACCTGAAACGAAGACCAGCAACGTGCCATGGAGGAAAAGAGCCAGCGCATGGATACACAAAGTCGCGGCCACAAGCCTGGCGCGATCCTGGGTACTCAACCTGCAGATTGGACATGATTCTGTCACTTGGCATGATCTTCGTCGCTAAGTTAAGAGAGGCCGTGAAAAAGCGCAGAACCCATTAATTGAGAGGCTATGATGCAGAAGCGACGAAGGCTTCTAGGTCGAGATAAAAATGCGGTCAATTGTATTCTTCGTATCCTCTAATGATGGACTCGACCACAAAGTGATGAAACCAAAATAAGAAATACATGCGAAAAGATGAAAGAAGCTTACAAAAACGAGAGAGAGGTGAATGCAATAATAGAAAATAAAGGTCAAAAAGGAAAGATACCATTCAACATGCGGATGGCCCCTACTATGATCCCAGATCACTTTCCAGCATAGGCGCGATCATGACTAGGTACCATGCCCTGCCACGACCGCGAGACCTTCCTCGTCTGGTCCTTTTTTGTTCAAGTTTTTGTTGAATTTTTCTCCCAATTCACAATGAGGTGGTCCCTTCCTGCAACCTCTCCAGTCCGGTGTCAAGACTTACAGGCACTGGGAGTAGTAGTCGTTCTGCTTGGTGCAAGTGTAAGGGCTGACACAGGTGGTGGGACCGGAGTAGCCAATACCACCGCACTGAGCGTAGTGAGCAGCACCGCTGCCACCGGAGCCAGAGCCAGCAGTGGTGGTAGGCTGGCTAGTGGTGGTGGTACGGGTGGTGGTGGTGACGGGAGCCTTGGTGGTGGTGGTGGTGCTAGAGCCGCCGTTGCCACCAGTGGAGCCGCTGTTGAAGGTGGAGCCAATGGGACCAGTTTTGATGTTGGAGAAGACAACATAGGAGTTGGCATCCTGGCTCTCGACAACGTCGGGAGAACCGGAGGAGATGTCGCATGTTCCACGCTTGGCACCGAGGGCAGTGGAGTCGGTAGGATAGGTGCTGTCGAGCCACAGCATGTTGGAGTTGTGGTCATCCCAGAGACTCATGACCAGAACCATACCCTCCTCGAAAGCGGCACCCATACCGGCCAAGGCACCGTGCTTGGTGAATTCATCAGTGTCACCAAAGGCGGCCTTCTGAGCCTTGCAGTAGGAGTCGGTGATGGTGTTGCCGGTGACACCAGCCACGGTGGACTGGGGCTGACCGATCACCTTGCCGTTCTGAACGTAGAAACGCTTGATCTCGTTCAGGGTACCGGATGAGGTACCGTCGCTGGTGAGGAACTGAGTGACCACGGTGAAGGGAGCGGTGGTGTCAACGGTCTTGCCAGCACCATAGAAGCCAGTCGCACCCTGGCGGTAAGGGTTGAAATCACATCCATCAGGATCGCAAGTGCCACCATAGCGATCAGTGCTGTAGGTACCACCGCAGGAGTTGCCCGAGCACATGGTCTGTCCGGGAGTGTCGCAAGGGTGAGGAGTGAGAGCCTCGGAGATAGAGTTGGCCTCCCAGATGTCCATCTCAGCACAGCAAGTACCGTGGTCACCAATACCCGAGTTGGGGTCGTTGGTGGAGGGAGTCCAGCCCTCAACGTTGGCCTCACCGTTGATGAACTTGAGATCACGGGGGCACTGAGAGTCACAGTATCCAGTACCATACTTGGCACCAGCCTTGTTGGTAGGGTACTTGGCCATACCACCGTCAGCGTCCATGTCGACGAAGTAGAGGGCACCGTTCAGGCCGCAAGGCAAGTGGGAGACATCGACGTCGAAGGTGAACTCCTGATTGAGGAGGTTGAACTTCTCGTAGGTGGTGTCGTTTTCCAGCAGGTACAGACGGGAACCAATGTTCTTCTGGCCGCCGTTGGTGACAAAGTTGATGCGCAGAGAGTCACCGCTGGTGGTCACACCGTAGGTGCTAGCGTAGTTGGCACCATCGACAGCACAGTTGGCGGCACAGGTCTTGTCATCGGGGCACAGAGTGGCATCCCAGGTGTTACCGGTGTAGCAGTTCGTGCCGCTCTTGTCGTGAACCCAACGCCAGTTGGCGTCAATGACCACGCTACCGCTGACAGCAGAGCAGCTTCCACCGGCAGAGCACTTGGACCAGCTCAAGGAAGGGTGGTTCTCGGGAGTGAGAGTACCGGCTCCCTGGGCTGATACTGAGCTCAGCAGAGACGAGAGCAGGAGAGCTCCCTTGTAGATCTGGTACGAGATTGATCCCTTCATGATGAAGATTATGTGGAAGATCAAAAATGAAGATGATCGTTTTGTGTGTTAGGGAAGGAGAGTGTGGGAGGAATGGATGAAGAACAACAACAGATTCGAGGTGGTTTCACATCTTCTTATATAGCTGATTCGAACGGTGGATCCTGAAGCCATTCGCCTCTTGGATGATTCTTTTTGGAAGCACATCCTCCACGGCGTGGCGGTCCGCACCACCGTGCATGACCGTGGCGATGTTCATCTCGATCCCCTGCACGGAAATGGACTGCTTCTCAAAAGAGCACTCCGCGGACACGGAGAAACCTCCCCAGATTTTGTGGGCAGTGGATCCCTTCTCCTATTCCCTTCTCCAGGGGAAGGGGCAGGCGAAATTGAAGGCCCGGGTCTGCAGTGGGGGAGGCTTCCGTCTTGCCCCAGGTCTCGGGAGGTGCTCCGTGAAGAAGGCTTTCTGCAGGCTTGTCCGTGTGGCAGAGAAACAGCACTCACACCGGTAGACCACTCGGGCAGCGAGGTAGCGCTCATGTCATGGCAGTGTGCCTTGATTTGGCATCGCAGGCTACCCACTTTGGGCGAGGGGAGATGGCGGCTGAACGATCCGTTTCGAAATGTGACACGCCCGCCGAGCAGAGGCGAAGAAACATAGTAGTGATACGACCAGGTAAAGTCAAATTGAAAGGGTTGAGCTGCCGCTCTTGCTCTCTGCCTTCTGCAGTCTCCACCAGTTTCTCAAACTAAGCGAGGTTAGGAAGGATGAGGTCGATGATCCGTGACGAGACGGTCATGTAATTCGAGGACTACGAACCCCTCCCCCCCCCCTTTCTCACGAAGTCTGGGGTTTCCCCACTTCTTCATCTTCGGCTTAGTATTGACAGTTATTGTGTGTTTCTGATATTTCCGTTTTGGACAATCGGGGTGGAGCCATTTCATTTGATTGTTCATTCCTGGGACAAAAGTAATTTCCTGTTTGGGAAGTTTCCACTGCCTTCTTTACTTTTTCCCGGCGCCGTGGTTCTGCAGGCTAAAGTCGGCAATTCATCGCACCCCTCACTCTTCAAGGGGAGTCATTTTTCTGGGGAAAAGGCTAGTCGGTGACTGTGCAGGGATAAGACTCTGCAGGCGCATGAGAGGGAGTGGCTCATGCGATGAGACTAGCCTGATCCGGGAAATTTCAGGGCTGCCGAAGGCGCCCAGAGTAGCGCCTTGATCAAATTGCAAATGCTGCACACGATGGATCTGAAGAAATATCAAAGCTGTGCTCTCATGTCATGAGCTATCGACATTCAGCACAACATCAGCAAGATGCCCCATGGAGTAGTCGAGAAACTCGTTCGGGTAGGTACGCAAAGCCATGGTGAAGTGGAGACGAGCCGACGGACAGGGACGGGACCCATGGGGATGACAATCTCAGAGGACTGAAACTTGCGGCGTGGATCGAATCCAGGTCCGGTGCCTGAATGGACCTTGTTGGGTAAGAGTGGGTGAAGGGTTGTGAAAAGAACGTTGCGGCCCAGTGAAAGTGGCCAGTGATGAGCGGTGACTGGTGAGAGACAGAGACAGAGAGAGAGAGAGTGGGTGGGGTCACGGGAGGAGCTGGAAATCTGGGGGATCCGGAGGGGGGGTCAGACCGTACGGAGTGACCACGCTGGTACTTCTCCACATGAGGACTCTGCACTGGGAGATAATGTACCGAGAAGTATCAGGTTTAAAGGTATATACCGAGCCTGTGACCAGATAGGCCAAGCGCAAAGCGAACTGCCACCTTGGCTGGTACCGGGAGTGAGCAGTAAGCACCAAGTTTACGAGTCCTCCCGTTCAACAGCGTGTAGAGTCAAGAGTATTCAGTGTACACACCAGATTCTATGATGCTCTTGGACTGTCGATGGTCACCATAGTGACCATACGCCAGCATTACTGAGACTGAACCCACTTTGTATTATCGCATGCCATCGTAGGCGCTGTGCTCAACTGGTCCGCTCTTTTCCGAGTCTAGTCTGACTCGAGCGGCGCCTTGCTGCATCGTCACTTGAACGCTGATGAGTTGGTAAAAGGGAAACCTTTCCCGATTGAGAAGAAGAGGGGATGATACTCCCTGACCCTCGTGACTGACAGATCAGCCAACCGACACGGACCTCTTCTACATTCAGTCTCATCGTGCCCATTTTTAATTTCGGATGATTTTGTGATTGGCAACCCCACATGTTGCAGCCTGCAGACAATCTCGTGGCAGGAATTCTTCCAGATGAAGTACGGTGCTGGACATCTCAACGCGTCCACTGACATTGCATCCAGTGGGACCTCTCATTTGGATGTTGATTCCGCGCACCCGTGTGCTAACGGGCGAAGCGCTCGGTCAAGTAGCGCAGGACTGCGGACTGCAGACCGCAGAGAATGGATGTTCCATCGGCTGTAGCAGTGGTAAGCAAATAAGCACAGTCGTACGTACTACGAGATGAGCAGCAAGAACCTCCTGCTCTGATGAGGCGTGATGCCTGATTAGATGAGGATCAACAACATCCATGCCTCATTTCCACCGAGAATCGTCACCTGCATCAGAAAGCCTTGAAAACAGGTCTAGCAGACGGAGACGATCCTCCGTTTCCGATCAGATTGATAATTCTCTAAGCGACGAGCAGAGTTCCAGAGGATAGGGAGAACTCTTGCTGCTCTCACATTCTCATGAGGAACAACAATCGTCAACCTCAGAGGGCAGTGAAGTCGAGATGCCGTAACGCATCTTCTGCCCGAGGAAGGGCTTTCGGCCTTTTGACCTTGCCCATTCCGTGTTTCTATCCTCGGCTCGAATGCTGTTCGCTGATAACGACTATCACCTCGTGACTCGTCGACGTGCCATAGCTCCATGCATATACTTACGTGAGGGGCTGCGTCACTCAAAAGCTTCCGCGTGCCCGCAGGTCTGACGAAAGACAACAGACAACGATGATAGCCCGAGGCCATGAGGTGTTGCCTTGTCGCCTTGTTGCCTGAATCTTCGAAAGGCTTGCAGGTGAATGCCTGATGGACTGTGGATCCCGCCCGGTCTGGATTATTCTATCTCGAGTCCTCGACGATTCATCATCATGGAAGATGGATGGTACGACTCGACTACATTCCTGAACGGAAACTTCTCCTGAGGGGGGGGTGCCCGATGATGGATGACTCATCGCCGCGATCGGCCATGTTCCGGTTCAAGTGGTGGGGTGAACCTTGAAACGGATCGCCAGGGCAGAGTCACGGATGATGGTGGGACCCAAAATTTTTTGTGATGGCCTTGCTTTGGGTTTCGCCCGTGATTCCACCCATCTTGAGACTCTCCTCTCTCTTTGTCGTCCTATATTGGCAGCCTTCTTTTCCCTGTGACCTGTCAAGCGGATTCAACACCAGCTTCACGATCACCACTCAAGACCGATCACCATGGCTCCCTCCAGCTTCATCCTGACTCTGTCGGGCCCCGATCGCCCCGGTATCGTCCACGCCGTGACGGCCTTCCTGGTCCAACACAACCTGAACATTGTCGATTCCTCCCAGTTTGGGGACTTGACTTCCAAGCGCTTCTTCATGCGCGTGCAATTCGTCCCCGCAGTCGCGACCGACGAGGTGCCTGAACTGGAGAAGCTTTGCGCGGCCTTTGAACCCACCGCTCAGTCCTTCTCGATGGAGTTTGAGATTCACCCCACCGCCCAGAAGCCTCGCGTGATGATTATGGTCTCCAAGATTGGCCACTGCCTGAACGACCTGCTCTTCCGCCAGTCCACCGGCCAGCTCAACATTGAGGTCCCCCTCATTGTTTCCAACCACCCCGACTTTGCCGCTCTGGCCGCCACCTACAACATTCCCTTCCTTCACCTGCCCGTCACGGCCGACACCAAGGCCCAGCAGGAGACCCGGGTCCTGGAGCTTGTCCAGGAATATAAGATCGATCTGATCGTCCTGGCCCGCTACATGCAGGTCCTGTCGCCTAAGCTCTGCGAGGCTATGTCCGGACGCATCATCAACATCCACCACAGTTTCTTGCCCTCCTTCAAGGGAGCCAAGCCCTACCACCAGGCCTATGACCGTGGTGTGAAGATCATCGGTGCCACCGCCCACTTTGTCACCAGTGACTTGGACGAGGGTCCCATTATCGAACAGAACGTGGTGCGCGTGAACCACAGCATGAGCCCCAAGGAGCTCACCCACGCCGGTAGCAACGTCGAGAGCAACGTGCTTGCGACCGCCGTCAAATATGTGACGGAGCGCCGTGTGTTGCTGAACGGCCACAAGACCGTTGTGTTCAATTAGACGGGGACAATTTCGCGAGACCATGGCAAATCCAAAGGACCGTGTGCTTTGGTGTCATGAAGAAGTTTGTCTCGTCGCCGAATGGACCGTTACTCTTTATTTATTTATTTTTATTTTTTTTTTCATATTTCCGTTGCTTGGATTTATGACTGCATATAGACACGATTTCTAGACCATGTTGCAATGGAAAAAAAAAATCGAATCTCTACAAGCATACATTGGAATTGATGTAATCTTCGTTGCAGGAGTTGATGGTCCCGTGACCATGACATAATCCTCCATTCATGCATCCCGGCTGGTCCTGCAGCAGACGTGCAGACTGCAGAGGGCTGACACATGCGTCCATGCAGGATGCATACTCCTGTAATACCACGCAACCTCCAGCAGATTCGAGCTTTTGTTCCTGAAAAAGAGAATAGGAATCAAAAAATTGAGAATGAAAGTTGGCTGGAAAAGTTCGAGGAGTAACCTTATGAGCGGGAAGAGACTGGTTTTGAAAACAACGTTTATTTGCAACTGATCTACACCCGTGGTGTATAGTGACAGAATCCCCTGCCTGATACAGAGTAGAATGTACAAAAGCTCAGCATTTCCAATGAGAAGATAGATCCGGCCCGGTATCACGATATAAAGATAGACAATTGTGTATTGAGCCCGGGGTCATCCCACTCAAGTCAAGACAAGACTACTGTCCCAGTCATGTGTGTATATATTCCTGGAGATGCAGGCATGTCCTCTCTTCCATCGGAAGGTCTGGACCTAGCAAACGGCGACAATTGGCACGCCGAAAGAATATCTCCGCCCAAGCACATGTTCGAACAAGTCGACTACCTATTAGAGTGACTCTCTACCGGGCCACAGAACCAAGCCCTCTTTCAACACATTTTCATGCCCCAGGCAAAGTTCTCTCCTCTCGGTCTATGACGGTGTACGAAACATCACGGGCGCGTCGGGAAGGGCCCACATCACATCATCCGCCCGCCGGTGGAACCCGAACCCGCCCTTGAAAGTTACCTACTCGACGGACGCTCGACAACATGCCCGCAGCGCAAGCTATGCACGTCATCCATTCGGCCAAGTACTTCATGTCTGGTGTGCGCGTCTTTGAACCGAGGATCATCCGGTTCATTGAGAGGGGGTCGGGTCGGATGCTGCTACGGCAAATATAGCTGTCATATATACCGTCGAGATTCCCAATTAGGGGACGCCAGGCCAGAATTGTTTCTTCCGATCGCTTCTCCTACCACTGGATCCATCGTGTCTTGCTACTCCCGACCGGCTGTCCACCTGTACACAATAAACATACTTCCGTCTACGCCTGATTTCGGAGTCATTAAAACTCGCAACTACTGCAACCCTGAATATTAGGTCCATATACTGTCCATATATCCACCCGACCTCTATACCGAAATGGAAACCCTCGTGCCCCCACCCAAATTGAACCACCTCTTCACGCTGCGATGCGCAGTCGATCCCCCCGTGGAAATCGGCACGGGCCCCTACGGTCGAAGACGCTGTGTGCCTATCAAATCCGGGTCTGTGCATGGGCCGCATTTCGAAGGCGAGGTTGTGCCCGCGGGAGGTGCGGATTTCATGTATGTTGGGGACATGATGGACCCTCGACCCTCGACCCTCGACCCTCGCGATTCATTTTGGGGGAGGGTTGCGGCTAATTCTGCGGGCTTGCATCTGTCCTCAGGCTTGTGGAAGATGACCAGACAACGCATGTGAACACCAACTATGTGGTGAAAAGCAATGACGGGGCATACCTGTACATCCGGTGAGTCACTGGCACCTGCGATGGACGGAGCGGAGCACAAGTTGCTCTACGTCTGCCTCTCGATTGACCATGGACCACCGTGGTAACTGGATCACTAACCATCTCTCGATTGGATATAGGACGGAGGGCACTCGAGCTGGACCCCCCGAGGTCCTGAAGGCATTGATGGAAGGTGGACCCGTTGATCCGAGTCAGTACTGGTTTCACCTTCACATCAAGATTGAGACCGGACATGAAAAGTACAAATGGATGAACAACCGGGTCATTGTGGGGCGAGCTACTCGAGCAAAGGGCGAAGTTGCCTATGATGCATACTATTTGACCAACGATGATTGAAAAGGGGAGGATCAGCCTGTACGTTCATTTGAGCATGGTTTGGTCTGTGTAGTGTTTTGAGATTCGGACTCGTGGCAAAGCGAGATGCACATCAATCAATAATGTACCAACGAGCCTGACATTGGCCTGTATATTGCCATGAGATTATAGTGGGGTTGTGTCAAAAATCCCCCATATCACGCGCCTCTATGTGCATTGCAATCTTTCAAATCACAGTTTCTTTACTATACAAAATCGGTGGTATTGGCAAATTCGTCATTAGTCGTCAAACTTTCCACACCTGTGCACGCAGAAGACCTTGTCGCGCTTTTTTGCTCACATGTCTCCCTCCCCCGTCGAGCTGCCTTCCTGTTTTATTGCGACTCGAGTCGTGACCGCAGCAGTTCCGCAAGATTCGCATAATACCCTGGCCTTGCTTCTTGCTGTGCCAGAATTTGATCGGCAACATCGTTAGTCCAAACGTACTCAGAGTGGCCATTGTTCAGCTCCACTAGTCGTTGCCGGAGCCATTCCCGTTGGCCGGGATCGGTCGTTTCAATCACGGCCATCAACAAGGGCCACTGCATGCGGCGCAAAAGTCGAGCATCAGATGTATACTGCTTGCGGGTGATGTCCAATATGCCGGCCAAAGCTTGTTTGTGAACCAGTCCCGGCAGACTACTGGGACAAAGCAGGCGGCGGTGGAAGATGACTTGCGCGTAAAAGGTGCAAACGCCCATGTGTATGGTATGCAGCGTTCGTCGAGCCGAAATGCCTCGCGAGATTTTGGCAGTGATAAACAGGTCGGAATACCGCTGGAAAGAAGAATGTCAGGAGAAGGAGTCTCAAATTTCGCAAAATATAAATCCACGAGCTCAGACAAGGGGGTATGGTGACATACCTCACGAACAGAGAGCATGTCTCGCGCTAGCGAGTCCACCGTTTCAAGACCGGTCCCTGCGTCGACAAGGACCTTCCAAGTACGATGACGGAAACAAAATCCATTGTGAATCAATTCTAATGCCCGATAATTCTCATTATCATCGAGAACCTCTTGATCAGGATACTGCTCGCCCCAGAAACATCTGCCCCACAGTCGCGCACAGCGATAGAGATGGTCAGGGTGTAAAGCCGGGTTCTGTGATTGGATCACAAAGTCATTCAAGGATTCTGTGATCCCCATCGGCCCGCAGCTTGCGTCCACGTACCTGCGATCGTGTATTAGCATAAAGCATATCACGAGGATATTGTACCTGAGCATCCTTTGGGTACTCTGCACTCACAGTGTCCACAGCAACAGTTGTTCAGAAATGAATGAAATCTTGGAAGGGGATTGAGATGGGCTGTCCTTCTCCTCGGAAAGCATGAGCATCTCGTCCACATTCTTGAGTTGAAAGAGTTGGGGATGTGACCCCAAAAGTGACCGAATCCCATGCAGGTGTAGCTGTAAATGGCGGATGGAGTGTCCGAACTGCCATTCATAGGTGACCATCAAAAACATGGTGGCAAAAATAACCTCAAGCTCAGCTATCGAGACACTCTCACGAGGGGTTTCGAGCAGCTGTCGAAATTCCTTGACGGCCAAACTATAGTGATACCGGCCATGATCATCCGCGGTGGGACGACCGGGCGACCTCCCCACGAGACCATGTCGATGCATATCGCTGGCAGCCATAGCGAGCAGCATGCGCATAATCACTTTGTTAGTCGCGGCGGGTCCAGAATACAGATAGCAGAAGCTGCTCCAACGCCATCCTTTCATATAGTAGTAAACGATCGATGACGAGGGAAAATAATCGAAATATTTTCGATCAGTCTCAGTCAGAGTCAAGGAATTTGCGCATGTCATTTCGCGCATCGTCAAGGGTGTATTCAAGGACGGGCGAAAGAGAAATGGCCCGCCAGACGAGCCAAACAGTGAGCTCAATTGAGGCGACTTTGCATAGGGAAGATCCCCCAACCACGACAGTGGTGAACCGTCCCGTAGGCGGACATCGGTATTGCAGGAGAGTTCGTCGCCGGCGTGAGATATCAGTCGATTATTCTGATCGAGATCATTGTTCGCCGGAGCAGGTTGGAGGGGACGCGCCTGCGTGCCACGTGCACGCTTGACAGGGATTCCCCATTCGCAATAAAGATTGAGATTAAGACAGCGGGAGCAAACAGGGCGCTCTTCACCACACTTTACTTTGCGGCGACGGCAGGTGCTGCAGCCTGATGGATGACGGGGCAAAGGTAAGCTTTCAATCGGCCTGGCGCAAGGAAAGGGCAAGAGAAATCAGACGACGACGACTCAGTAAGAGTTCGTTCGAGCGAGAGTTCCTTTGCTTAAGCTTGAAGAACTCGGACTTGTTTGGCGAAAAGAAACCGACACATCCACGACATGACTAACCATTCTTTGAGCGCGGAGCGTTCCGTCCGGACATAGAGGGTCAGAACAGCCCGCTCGTATCTTAGCAGATCCCGAAAGACCACAAAAAAGGCATCGGGGGAGTTCTCGAGAAGGCAATCTGACTGCGACAGCACCGAGCGCACGAGTGGGGAAGATGGCTGGTGGTGGAGATTTGTCGGAGAAATTGAGACACTCTGACGAAGAAGGCGAACGGTTTCTGCGTGTTTGCGGGGATGGCAGGCACTGTAGATTGATAGCTTCTGCACGGACGACTGGCACGATCAAAGTGGTGCGACAATGAGCATCAGACCTCGAGACAAGATCCGAGGAGAAATGAAGTTATGAAAAATCTTGACGAGATGAGGAATTTCGTCAGAGGAAAAGAAGCAACAAGAATTTTTTGTTTTTCTGAAAAAGAAAAAGAGAAAAATGGGCTTTGCCGGGTTCCTTGCCGGGTTATCAGCCTCAGGCATCTAAGTCGATCTATGTGTTCCACCTGCTCAACCCAGAGAAAACGTTTCCAGTCAAAAGAAGGCTGAAACCAAGAGCTTTGCTTTCAACAAAATCGGCCCTTTCTATCTCATTTGATCTGTTGCCCCTTTTCAACTTTTGTCTGGATTGATTCAATCATCACGTGCGATCTCGTCCTTCCACTGCCGATGTGCCGTCTCAAACAGAGTATCGTCCGTGAGCATGTCCCATCCAATGAGTGCAAGAGATTTTCCGACCACCACAGCCTCCGTATGCGCCTCGTCAGTGCCAGCTGAGGCAGCAAAGTCGGGATGGTGAGGGAAGACTTTGTCGGGCGTGGGGATTCCGAACATAGTGTGCAGGGTGGGAGTGACGTAGCTCACGTTGCCTGGAGAGAATCGAAGTGTCAACAGTCGAGCGAAAGGGCTGCACAGCTTCCTAAGACCCTTTGGAAGGCAGAAAAACGTATGCCATGGGGGAGACTCTTCAGAACTCACCGATATCAGACGAGGCAGTCAGCACTTTGTCATGCCGTTTCAGCACCTTTCGTCCGTACTCTCCCATATGGATCTGATACCGCTCGCACAGGATATCATTCAGACGGACATCCGTGTAAAGCTCGTTTCTAGACCCGTGAAATCCATCGTCAGCAATGATCTTCATGATGCAAAAAACCGCTTATACAGCCACGGAGATGGTGACGGGGAAAGTCAAGCTCACTCGGTGATTTTCACAGTACACCCCGTTGCCAACGCGCCCGCCTCGATACAGTTTCGCACCTTCGTCACGAGATGATTCAGCGTGGTGAGCGAGGGACTTCGAACCTGCCAAAACGCCTTGGTATGAGATGGGATAACATTGGCGATTTTCGGGGTATCCATAAAGGCGCAATGTACGCGGTCATCAGGGAGGAGCTGCTGACGGAGGACCGCCACATTATTGTATGATGTGACCAATGCATCGAGGGCATTGATCCCGTCCCATGGATTGCCTCCGGCATGGGCACCTTTGCCTGTGAACTCGCAGTGGATATTTTTGCGCGCATTCATCAATGCTCCGGCAATGCCGTCGGCGTCCCCTTGATTTGGGAATAGCTTCTTGGGCCCAGAGTGACTATGACCGGCAGTCGAGGTTAGGGGGTCATGACAACATGAGTCGAGAGGAGATGACCACTCACGCCATGAGACAGATATCGACATCTTTGAAGGCCCCCGCGTCAATGAGAAGCGCCTTGCCTCCTCCATTCTCTTCTGCTGGTGTGCCCAGCAATCGAGCCCGCCCGGGGATGCCAAACTTCTTCAGCGCGGCAGAGAGAGCCAAAAACGCCGTGATGCTGCTGGTCGCGATCAAATTATGCCCACAAGCATGTCCAATTCCTAAGGTATTGGAAAACCAACATTGGTCATTAGCCAACGATGGTGAACTTCGACACCGGGCCAACCATACCAGGTAAAGCGTCGTATTCTGCATTGAAATTCACCAGTCGGCCACCGGATCCGCTGAAAGCTTCGAAAGAAGTCTTTAGACCAAAAGCGTGGCGATTTACCGTGAAGCCTTGCTTCTCCAGGAACGAGCAAATGGTATCGTGAGCATGGTGCTCTTCAAACGCCAATTCCGGATTGGAGTAGATCTGTCAGTGACGCGTTGTCAGAGCACTGATTTGACCTTCGCTTCACCATGCGACTATGCACCAGTAACTTCCATGCAAGATCAATGACTCCCAACTGACCTCATGATTGATCTTTCGGAGTGATTCATGTAATTCATCAATTGCCGCGTCTACAGCTACCCGAACGTCCTCGATCTGAGCAGGTGAGGCTGACATGACGGCAAAGCGGATCTGCTGAAGGACTGAAGGTATAGTGTGGAGAGCACTGCTTCTCTTGGCTATTCCCGGTGGACGAGCAAGGCGCGTATATATAAGATGTTACGAATGAAGGGAAATCCAAACATAGCTTGGGCAAGAAGAGACGTTCGCGTCTTTGTCACATCCGAGGCACCCGGCGCCTTCGTGCAGTGTCTTACGCGTGGAAATGTAAGGTCGGAGATCTAAGTTTATGGTAGCGTGTTGCATTGGATGCATTGCCGAGATGTCAATCGCCAGGCTTCCTGCGTGAGCCGGAAAGGGTCTCTCTACCCGCTCATGACGGCCGCTCAGATCTCGCGGGACTTCGTCGGCAAAATCATGGTAGCTCGAGCCTGTTATCAGTGGTGAGGTCCAGGATTCTCGAAGCCGTCCTCAACTCAAAGACGACAGCAATTGATCTTAAGCTGTGGACAAGAAAAGTCAGTGGTGGACCACCAATAGTCCTCGAATTCCTATCGAGTATCGAGCGTACTTTGACCAAGGATAAAAACAGTCCGGTTCCATACGGCCTCCTATACTCCCTCCATCTACGACCCGCTCCATTCACACAGCTCAAGGCCTCCTCCAACCAAGTGCATATCGTCAATGAGCCGACGAGGAATTAAAATGAACTCCTATCTCGACTTATCGGATAATGACCGTGAACAAGAACAAACACAACAGCCGACCATCAACCCACATTGGCTGAATAGCCGACCTGATTTTCCTATCGTCATCTCAAGACCCTCTTACCCCAACATCCCCCCGCATTCAGGATCCCACTGACAACAATGACGATCACGATCATCAACTGCGCTTATCAATCCCCCCCCCCCCCCCCCCCCCCCGCGAAATGCTCACATCGCCACGAGATCATCTTGATTGCGTCGGCTTCTTCTGCGTGAGGACTGCCGAAATCTCTATCCGCCCGTGGTGGCCCCGCTCCAATCAATATGGTGGCGCGCTCAGTTTCGCCCAGACTCTGCAGCCGACGGAAAGTCAATTTCAGTTGAGTATCTTGAAAGTGTACTTGTCTCTCTCTCCGCCAGTCGGAGTGGCAGTTGATGGGATGAGATATTGCCAATTCCCGCGCTGTGAGGAGAAGAAGAGGTGAAATAGCCTTTGCTGGAAGAGTCAACGACTTGCCCATCGCAACTATGAGCTGGGCAGCATTTAAGTACGATACCGCAGACTATCAAGTCTGAAGAAAAATCCATTTAATATCACAATTCTTCCAGGGACTTGCTTACTATTCCGAGAAAAAGGTTACTGCCTGGCTTGTGCTCATACCTTTCTCATTGTCAAGTTTCTGTACTCCGTTCACAGGAGCAGGTGAATCGAGATGGAGAAGCAAGATACACCGCGCCTACGAGGCGCTACGGAGCTCAATGAAACCAAAATCGACTCAACACTGGTAGCTCGTGATGTGGACATTGGGCAGATACTCGACGCAAATGTTACGCCTGAGATGGAACGAAAGGTGTTGGCAAAGCTGGACCTCTAGTAAGTGGTGCATCCCTGCAGAGCTTTACGGGAATCGAGTGACTGATCGATGAAACCTGTGGGTAGTCTCATTCCTTTGATGGGATTTTGCTACATGTTACAATACATGGATAAGCTTGCTCTAAGCCAGGCAACGTTGTTCAACTTGACTGAAGATCTGGTATGTCTCTTACTCCTGACATTGACGGAGCATTGAGAGCTTTGGGACTAACTTGACGATCGTGTCCCTGTAGAACCTCCGAGGAAAAGAATATAATTGGGCCTCTGCCATCTTCTACTTTGGCTACTTCGCCTGGAGCTGGCCGAGCTCATATCTCATCGTTCGTCTCCCTCTGGGAAAATACCTCGGCGTCGCAGTATTCGTCTGGGGAGGCATTCTTATGTGCCATGCGGCATGCACGTCATTCAGTACTCTCATGGTAGCACGCTTTTTCCTCGGCGTAGGAGAAGCCTCAATTGCCCCTGGATTTGCCCTGATCACGGGCATGTTCTACAGACGCGAAGAACAACCCGCCCGACAGGCAGCTTGGTTTGTCGGCAACTCCATCGCGACTGTGATCGGCGGCGTGGTGGCATATGGAATCGGCATGATTCACAACTCCACCGTGTATAGTTGGCAGTTGTTGTTCCTTGTGCTGGGAGCAATAACCTCTGGTTATGGCATCATTCTCGTTTTTTTGCTACCCGATTCCCCCGCCAAGGCCGTCTTTCTAACCAAGCCCGAGCGATCGATTGCAATCCAGCGCACCTTGCAAAACAAGACTGGTGTTTTGGACACAGGCAAATTCCACTGGAATCAGGTCCGTCTGGCCATTCTCGATCCCCAGACATGGTTCCTCGTTCTGTACACCTTCTGTGTGAACCTCTGCAATGGCGGAATCACCAGTTTCGCCTCCATCATCATCGCGGGATTCGGCTTCTCCAACCTCAAGGCCCTATTGATCCAGATGCCTCTTGGTGCGGCCCAGCTCGTGTTTCTCATTTTGACCTCGGGAATCGCGACTTTCTTCCGAAACACACGAATCCTCATGATGATCGTCAACACACTTGCCTCTATGATCGGGATGGTGCTCATCTGGAAATTAGAGAGTAATGACCGTGCAGGCCGCATGACAGGGCTGTGCCTCAGTGCTATCTTCGCGGCGAATATCCCTCTCTCCCTGAGTCTGATTAGTTCCAATGTCGCTGGATTCACCAAGAAAAGTACAGTCAGCGCTCTGATGTTTGTGGCGTACTGCGTGGGCAATATCGTCGGTCCACAGTTCTTTGTCCCCACGGAGAAACCATCGTACCCGGTAAGCGTGTGCTCGTCCCTCTTGCAAGTGTTGAGCTCTGGCTCTGCCCAGGTGGACAGTCGCTGACCTCAACCTCTAGACTGGCATCAAGGCTTCGATGGCGGGTTTGATCCTGGGCGTCTTCTTCCTGATGTGCCTCTATGTCTTTTATGTGTGGGAGAATCGTCGACGGGACCGGGTCTACGGGACTCCGGAACAATTCACCGAGACGGAGGAGCTTCAGGATGAGTTGTCCAACAGGACCGATCAAGAAATTGAGAGTTTCAGATATGTGCTCTAGGTCAAGAGGGATTAATGGAATTAAATTGTACCTTATTACAGTGTACACTGTGCACCAGGAAAGGAATAACTGCTCTCGGGCCCCTAATTCTGCTTGTTCTTCCCTCTCTTGTAACGGGTACCATGGCAGACAAGCAAGTATTTTGAAAAGAAGTCCTCGGCAAAGTCGTCGAATGGCTCGTAGGCCGCACCCAGTTGATATGCTGCTGCGATACCGGAGATGCATGCGATTTCGTGCATGTTCTGGGAGAGAAGAAAAAAAGGAAAGAAAAAGAAACCATTAGCTCGTGCACAAGGCGGGAAACATGTATGCGATACGAAGGATGATCTGAAACTCACCACCATGGTCCAACTACCAGCATACAACGTGTGATTCTGATTGTTGATAAACATCATGCCCGGCACAACCCGGAGATAATGCTGCCATCTGTGTCCAAACTGGTGCCACCATTTGCGGGCAATGATCTTGGACGGATCGATATCGTTCCACGTCCAGAGATGTTTTTGCTGATCGTTCAAGAAAATGGTCTGGAAAACGTGCTCATCCATCGGACGAGCTTCTTTGTTCGTGCCCAGATTCTCTCGGAACTGGTGCTGATAATGTGTACAGTCGAATCCCATCTCAATCTTATCCGGATCCGACTTGTACCCGTGAATGAAGTACATGGGACTGAAACCCTCCCAGCCGTCGGGCTTGCATCGCTGCGGCTGCTCGGCGAAATTGATCTGCTCTTTTCGATCGCGCGTGGACGCCTCTGCCGTCAGGGAAGGACTGTATTTCGCCTCGAAGATATTTTGGAAGTAGTCCGCGTCCGAGTGGGTGATGGTAATGTCGTTGAAGAATTTGACGCCACCCAGAACGTACTTTTCACGCCAGGTTGCGTGGCGGTCCAGCATCTTTTTGGCTTCGTCGGCGGGGCAGCAGATGACCATCTCATCGAACTTTTCAGGGGTACCCTTGGGTCTGGTCTCGTCATTGTCCCCGGTCTTTTCATGTACTTGCAGGACAAGGCCGTTCTTGCCTCGCTCCAGGATCGACACCGTGGAACCTAAGCGGATGTCGACACCTTTCTGGCGAAGGTCCTTGCTCCAGTCGCGGTAGAAGTTGGCCAAGTTGGGGAATGTATACATGTCGGGCAGATTGGGTAGGAGAGTGTCGGGGTCGTACTCCCACAGTCGCATCTGGGGATCATCAAACAGACGCTCCAGCAGCACACTCGAGACATTCGGCGTTTGATTGCCCGTCCCCAAGAACAGCGCAAGCAGCGGCAACACCATCTTGTTGTTGAAATCATCGCTGAAGCGGAACAATTTCAGGATCACCTTCACCGGCATGACACCCAAGATGGGCATGAGATACTTGATCGACTTCAACACGCTCCCCAACCTCTTGATCTCTTTGGAGTGCTTATCTACCAGCGGACTCGGAAACACGTTGGTCCAGAAGTTGTCTCGCCCTTTCCCAAAAGCCACCTGGAGCTTGACTTTCTGCGGCTCATGGCCGTACTGACGAAAGAAGCGGAAAGTGTGGCGGAAGATGGCAGAGCCGCCTTGGACTCCGTCGTTGAGCCAGCTGGCGCCGTATTTCTTTTCGTCGATGGAGATTGAGGTTGCTTGGCCACCGGTCTGGGATTCCGGGTCGAACACGGTCACCTCGAATCTCTCGGGGTGGTTTGCCAGGGTCGCTGCACAGGACTGATCAAGGATGGGAGAACAGAATATCTTGTTAGCTTGGAACTTCTCCCCTCGGTCGCGACATGATCAGCTCCGGAGGATGTGTCTTCATCTGAACACCTACCATTCCAGCTGCGCCGGCACCAATAATGGCGATTCTCTTCTTTCGACCGTCGACCATAGTGAGTGACGTGCGACGTGTGCCTGAAATAGTCGTTTCACTTTTTTGGGGGGGGGGGGGAGGAGGTAGCGAGACTCGAAAGAAATCTCCGAATGCCAGCAACTTCCACACGCCTTGGACTGCAGGTACCTTATATGAAAGAAAGAATACTCTCTGACCAGACGCGCTAGTCACTCGAACCCAGATGATGGCAGAATGGAGTCATGGATGAACTCCCTTCCCCCTTCCCGTCCCCGACCGGAATGGCATTATCCTATTATGAAGCACGAATTCTCGATGCGACGCGAATGCGCTCATTCTTCACTTTCCGCTCGGTCCACGCGGCCCCGGAAGGGTGATGTCACACTCGAGCCATCCCCGATGAACCAATCGCACGGGCATTGCACTGCTATCCACTCGGCGTCCCGAGGGAGCGTGTGCAGTGCAGCATGCAGCATGCGTCGAGGGTTCGAGTGGGAAAGAAAGCAGGCTTTGTGGGGGGATGCTCGATCGATCGGGACAGAGTTCCATGGGACGACGGGGGGGGGGTGTTGGCGATCTCATTTTCATCTGGAGATCTGGTCGATAGAGTTTGACTGCTTATCTGACGGGGGTCCGCCCGCCCGGGATTACGGGCGGTCTCGGTTGCGAGTAGTCACATGATAATTGCTACTACCGAACAGGAGATGGAGATGGAGATGGAGATGGATGGAGCTGGAGCTAGCTTGGATGAATAATGTGGAGGACGTTCAACCAACAATCCCCTGTTGGAACTTCGCAATATTGACCGTGAAAGTTACGGTCGATATTCCAGTTCTAAACAAATCCATTAATCTTGAATGACATGGCCAAGATGAGCAATTACAGCACAGGCAGTGACAGCTGAGAAATGAAGAGAAACAAAGCAAGACCAGACCCAAAAGACCCTCTGTCATCATGGAAGTGGTTAAAACTGAGCGTGAATAAACGAGATCGGGTCAACTTGTCGATCTGACACCTGACCTGAATAATGATTATGACCGAGCCGAAGAACGCGACTCAATTCTCAGTCGTACATGAGTACAAGAGTGGTCATCGAGCAGTGACTATAACCCCCAACTCGTTTATGCACGGTGCATGATCACTTCCCCGTATTTCGTAGTCGAATCCAATGGCTCAAGCGTCAAGTAGCAAGAGGCACCGGTAGGCACGTTCTTGCAGTTGGTGCTCGACTTTCCACCAGTAATCTTTACCTCGCTCCAGGTCCACTTGCGGCAGCTCCCACTGTCCCACCCGTGGAATCACTAATGTCGAATTCATCGGTGTCATCGCCTCCGTTGCTATCACCGGCGGGGTTATCAATGTGGATGCCGCTGAGCACCAAGTTGTCCGACTGAATGCCGAACGCCTGCACCGGAGTGTCGAGGATCTGCTGCCCCGTGATGCTCGAATCATCCAGCGAGTGGGCAAAGAAGAACTTGGGCTTGGTCTTGCCGCCATTGCTACGCTTACCATCCCACCAACGGGTACCGTTAGCGTTCATAAGTGCGCCCAAGGTAGCTTGAAGGGTGATCGGAGATCCAGACATCTTGATCAGAGAGGTCCGGTCCACTCTTTGTAGCCAAAGGTGGTGGTTCCCTCAAAGGTGACCTAGAAGCGTGGTCCAAGATCAAATTAGTATCCGACAAGACGCTATGCTTTGGACTCGACGGAAAAGTGAGAGTTGTATGATTCGTTACCTTGGTGCCAGCCGTCAGCCCGGTTAGATCCAGATTTTCACCGGCAGGCACAGCAATGTTATCAAGCACGATGCTGGGGCAAGAAGCCTTGCCCGCGATCGTGCTCGCAGCTGAAGGGAAAGTGCAGCTCGAAGAAGAAGAAGACCTCCTAATTCAGGCCACGGACTGCGAGCAATCGGGCGTGGGTGCTGCCGAGACCAGCCCAGCAGCCAAGAGAGCCTCAGTCAGTGGTTGGAGATAGGAAGGTATGATGGCAGTGTTTCAAAAATCACTCTGATGCAATCGGATTGGAAGAGAGGAAGAGATATATCATGAAGGAAGAAATACCCAATGAAGCGGTTGGAAATGAACGAGTGAGAGCAAAATAAAGAGCGGATCCTGATTCGAATACATGTGAAGAATTGAAGATACTGTGGAGAGTGGACCGAGGAGAGAAGAGACCAACAAGTGGTACCCTAGAGTAGCTTTATAGACCGACCAGTTCGTGAGACCATTCACCCCTCTTTTGGCAAGTATCTATTGACTAGATATTTTGAGTGTTTCTTCAGGCTATGACAACCGTGGTATCCCAGCGAAGGCATGTTTTATAGCCCATTTTAGATTGATTTGGACTCGCCCAAGATCTAAGCAAGTGAAGCGACTCCAAACACGAATAAGCTCACTTAAGCTTTGGGTGGACCCTCTTAGTGGTACACGACATCCCATCTGGACTGAATGGCTGGTCTTAACATGTAGTAGGAGTGGTAGTAGTACTACTAAGTTACCTAGCAGTTAAAAACTGCATTTGTCATTTGGTCATTTCGAGGTTACTGTAGACACGGGGTAAACTTCGGGGAAAACAGGAAATCACGTGCCTTTCTATCCTGAGGCGTCCAGGCCATCCAGGTAGTCACCTAAAGTCCTATAGATATCTGAATCCCCATCATCGAATCAGATAGTCCATCCGGACTGATAAACATCACCTGACTAGCAACCAATCACCAGCCCCTCGGGAACGCAAAGCGTGCAGAAACGCCAAAAAGAACCTTTAACCCGTGAGCCCGTGGCCCGATTCGGTCGATATCCTCCATCGCTTCCGTTGAATGCGCCGGATGTCAAGCCACCGAACACATACCAAAATCCCCGGCGCCCCCGACTACGACAGTCCGCAATTTTGGGATGCGCGCTTTGCGAGTGGGCAGGATGTGGGCGAGTGGTTGAACCCGGGTGAACCCTTGATTGATGCCTTTGTGAAAGATCTGGATGGTCGATTTGCGGAGACAGTAACACCGCGGAGTTTACATCTGGGCCCGGGTGTTTCGACCCTAGGGTACAAGATACAAGATGTTTATCAACAGAGAGGTTGGAAGAGCTGGAACATTGTGGTATGTCATGTCCTGTAGTGAACAGCGCTTCGGTCGCAGATGTTCATGGGCGATGTTCCCCTCATCAACATGTATTGATCATATGAATCCCGTCCTTCATTCCATGGCCTATATCGAGAGAGCTCTCCACTGCTGTCGTACTACCTTAACCACCCCATACTAACTCATCTCTCACCCTAAGAACGTCGACTTCTCTGCCGAGGCTGTACGTCGGGGCCTAGAGTCTGAAAGTCAAAAGCCCCGTGACCAAGCCATGGCATGGCACCAGGCAGACCTCCTCTCATGGAACGATGTCTCCAAGCTCTGCCCCCTCGGTCCATTCGACCTGATCATGGACAAAAGCACCAGCGACGCAATTGCCACCTCTGCCGATCGCCGTCTTCGTCTCGATACAAACGACGCAGACGATTCATCTTTGTCCCCCGTCGTCAGGGAAGTCATTTGTCAGATTGGCGAGATTGATATCTCGCCTGTGGATCTGCTGGCATTGCATCTTGTTTCCTTGACTCGGAAGGGTACAAGCTGGATGGTGCTCTCTTATTCGAGTTTACGGTTTGAGAAGCGCAGTCTTCTGAACCAGTTTTGGTCGTTGCGATCTCGGATCCCCATCAAGGCACCTTCGGGAAATACGTGCTCTTCAGCGTATACACCTGACGTCTACCACTGGCTCTATATATTGGACCGCAAATAAGTGGAAATGAAAAGGATGATCATCACCGATCAACAAGGGGAAGAGGAGCGACCACCTCGGTGGAAACCGGAAGATCTACCCGAGCCGAAAGAACAAAGGTCCCGGCCGAGGTTTCAGCCCTACGCAACCTGGTTTATCCCGTCAGATACTGAGCTACATCGACGTCCACAAGAAAGGAATTTCCATGTCAACCGTCTCAAGAGTCACGAGTGGTTCTTAATCCTACAGGACCATCAAGTTCCCAAGAACATCGCAAAAAAGTTCATTGTCATCTCTCGTCATAAATCAGCAAAACAAATATGGGGTCCATGGAGCGTATATACACTTTCGAATCCAGTCAAGCACCGCAAAGAGTCGACAAGTTAATCCCTCGTAAATTCAAACCAGTTGACTTTGGCAGTCGCGTTTCGAATTTACATCCATGTCATTGTTCTCTCTCTCTCTCTCCCTCTCTCTCTTCGGGCTGTACTCGATTCGCTCATTCTCGTGCGAACGATTTAGCAGCCGAGGTAAATGGCTATTCAGAGCATGTCAGTATATCGGAGAGATCATGTATGAAGGAGGAACGACGTTCGATGGACTAACCGTTGGCGTACAGAGCGTAGCTGTCAGCGTTGTTGACGGCACCGCTGCTGCTCAGAGAAGTGGCAGCAGCATAGCCGTAGCCGTTGTCCTGGGTGCCGGGGCTGTAGACACCGGGAGCGTGGGTGAACTCGTGCAGGGTGGTGGTGGCCTGGTCCTGAGCGTGGCACGTGTTGGCCAGAGCCGGCAGGTAAGAGTAGTAGATGTCGCAGTTGGCGACAATGTTCTGGGAAGGCAGAGTGTAGGCCAGAACGTTGGTCTCACAGTAACCCAGGGTGTCGGTGCAGTAGTAGGTGGTGGCACCGGAGGAAGCGGAGGAGGCCTCACGGGCAACGGCGCGCAGACGAGCAGCGACGGTGGAGCGGACCGAGCTGGAAGTGGTCTTGAAGTACTCCTGGAACTTGGAGGCGGAGCCGGACTGGGCCGCGTTGGCTGCAGCAGTGGCCAACTGGGCGGCGTTGCTCAAAGCCCGGTTGAGAGCACTCCGGCGGCTGGAGTTGCTGCAAGTCTCACGGGTGCGCTTGGAGAGGGTCTTGACGGCCTTCTCGACCTGGGCAGCCTTGCCACCGTCGACCTCAATCTTGAGCTCGTTGGAGTTGTAGGGGATGTAGCCGGAGACGGTTCCCTCGTGGACGAGGGGAACGGAACCGCTGGAGCGCAGGTGACAGCACCACCGGTGGACAGATCGGCGGTGGAGGCAATGTCGAACTCATCCTCGAGGGTCTGACCAGCAGCGAGGGTGGTCAGAGACTCGGAGGTGAGATCGTGAGTCTTGAAGCGACGGAGGATACCCTCGAAAGTGACCTCCTGGTCTGGATAGAAATAATCGAGAGGTTAGCTACCCATTCAGCAAGTGATGCCGTGCACTCTGATATTCGCTCAGAGGTCACAGTCGACGGAGAGTCTTTTAGCAACTTACTGTCCTTGTAGACGGCGACCTTCTTGACGGGAGCACTGTCGCGGAAGAAGTTGAGGTGGACAAAGGTAATGTCTTCCTTGCCAGTGTTCTTGACCACGGCCTTGATGCGGGTGTCACTAACGTGGCTCAGAGTAACGTCCAAAGCATCAGCCTTGGCAGCCTCGACGGGGACCGCGTAGGTGTACTGGGCCAGAGCCAGGAGAGTGGTGGAGAGGACGGTGAATCGCATTCTGAAGAATTGGTCTGCTCGGTTTGAAGTGGAGAGATTGAAGAACAACTGAAGAGTCTTTGTCTCTTGGCTTGTCGGTGCTTGGCTGGATGAGGTCCTGAAGAGTCAATCTGGACGGGCAAAATGCTCGACTTTATAGTTTTCGTGTTGATTGATGCTTTCCCATGTCTCTTCAACAGGGAGTCTATCGCTCACGATCTGATCTCGGTCACGCTCTTGCCTTGTGGCCCTGGACCTCCGTCTGTCGGACGAGGGTATGATCGTCACTGATACTGTCTCGACAGAGGAGGTGGCATTCCCCGCACCGTTGATAGCACAAGAGGTCCCGCGGAGACATTGCGACGATAGTCCCTCCGATGAGACCGTCTCGTTCACTGGTCCAGATGTCCAGATTCCGTTATCTCTGATGAAGATCACTCCGTGAAGAATGACCGTTGCAGAGTCTTGGCCCGGCGGAGGCCCGTTGTCTCTTGTGGTCTGGGAATGGGGAGGACTAGCTATGGCAGACCCTCTCCTTCGAGAGGAAGTTGTTTCACCTTCCATGCCGAATAGCCCGAAAGAGGCAATGTTTTGCCTTGATTGGTGTGGTGTCGACGCTCTTCTGCTGGTTCTCCTTCATTTTTGGACCCCTCTGCTAAGCCGACTACAAATCAGCCAGCAATTTTGGTGTATCTGGCTCCGGTACAGGCAGGAGACCCTTTCTGGATACTCGATTTTGTCTGGTAGTCATTTTCACCTCTGGACCCTCTGGAGTCCAAGGCTTTGTCTTTCAATTTTCAGATGATCGACAGAGAGGGGGGCTGACTGTGCACTAAATTTCAGGGACTGCGGACCCGTCCCGTGAGCTGGACCGCATATACTGTGGTTTGGTCCCTTTTTGGTCACCCTTGGTGGTACTGTATGGACTGTGGACTGTGGATCGTGGACCAACCCAACAAAATCTTTGATTGAAACAATGGGTCGTTGACGAAAGTCATTTGTTGCCCCGAGCAAAGGCTCGTCTCCCATCTCCGAATCTTGCTCTGAACCCAATCACATAGAGTGAAGATTCCATCATCACTTCGGCATCGTGCCAAGAGGACCGGCGTCAGGGCCTCAGTTCGGACTCCGGTGCCAAGATGTGACCCAAGACTTTTAGTCGGTCGGGAGACTTCTTGGTTCTGGAGACTTGCAGGATGCAATCCAGCCAGTCCGCAGCCTCGAGTCATGCCCGAGAACTCGATCTCTGCCGAACGTATGCACATTGCACTATACGCAGCATGCACGTCTGCGACTCTGCATACTTTGCGGTATCTGGATCATTCGGTTTAACCCCAATCTGACATTATCTCCGGTAGTTATTGCTCCTGACTCCTGCAGCTAGGGTTTGATTCATCGCTTCGCGGGCGTCCGTCATCATGAAGACCGTCCTTTCTCGTCAGCTTGGGCGCCCCGAGCGGCGAGGAGCGGCGCGGACCGAACGAGTCCATCGCGATCAAAATAGCGTGGAATGTGTTGATATGGTTCCCTGTGGAAGACCGACGGCGGAGCTGCCGATCGCGGGGAAGAAAGACGATTCTGGAAATCCTCCGAGAAGATGAAGTGCAGTGTTGCCCTTCAATCAGAGATAACGGGATTGTCCAGGGCCGGTTTGATCACGGGTCTCAGACCACAAGGCCTCTGACGATCAAGTCCATCTTGGGCTTGTGATGAGGGGCGAACCAGGGAGGGGTGGCAGAAGTTGAAAGAAAGGACTGCACGGTTGCACTTCCAAGTGGCACTCGGTGCCACCCGCAAGCCTTGTGTCAAATTCTCTTGAAAGGTACCAAGGGACGACTCCTTGTGTATTTCTTCTGCTTGTCAAATCATCTCCCAACTTTATATCCATTCTTCCCCTCTCCCCTACTTTCATACACTTGCACTTCCGATCTCTCCAATCTACAAACACTTTTCACCTCGATAGTTCATTCCACTACACTCTCAAACATTTAACACTTGGACTACCCTTCTCATCTGAATCACAGCCAAGATGCAACCCAGCTTAGGACTCCAAGTGAGTCTGGCCAGCCAGTTACCCACCCTGCAGGCTCACTCAGCATCGACGCTCCCCGTCAAAGTGTCCGTTCACAACACGGGAAATGATCCAGTGACCTTCCTGCGATGGGGGACCCCGTTTGATCCCCGCGCGGCCGTCTCCGGTGTTTTCGAAGTCCGCGACACCACCGATGGCAAAGTGCTGCCCCTGGATGACCTCAAAATGGCCCGGAAAATGCCCCCCTCCCACGAGGATCTCATGGAGATCCCCGGTGGAGAAAGTCTCGACAAGATCGTTGAGATCCCCGGACTAGATCTGCAAGAGGGTCATGATTATTCCATTGTCTCCAAGGGTGTCTGGCATGCCTTGTGGACGACGTCCATGGTCAGCGTGACGGAGGATCACCTTGCGGATCTGTCGAGTGCGACTCGCGGTGAGTTCCGGTCGAATGAAGCCCATGTGAAGGCGGAATAGACGCAGCCAGCATGGACATTCAACCTTGACCGACAATCTCGTGCCACTGTCGCTTGCTCTTCTCAAAGCCGTTTGGCTCAAGACGAGAGAGATATTTTTGCTGAACCGTTGACTATCTGTGCTCTATGTACGAAGATGTGCTATGAGTGGGACATGTAGCAATTACCTTCTGTGTAAGTTATATGATTGAATGCTGTGAATGCTTAAACCCCCGCCTGGCTTGTCTTGCCTGTGTATATCCAATATATTGAAGTAGAGTGTAATGCACTCTAGTTCTCACATTCGTTAAATCATCACTCGCTCAGACACCCTCAAGTCAACCACGCCCAACCCACAAAAATATGGAGAATCCGATCGGTACCCTTCATTCCAAGTCCCCGACTGAAATTGGAATCTCCCCCGTAGACTACACTTCCATAGTCCTTCGACGTTATCGCAAGAGGACCTGGACCATACTTTGCCGCACGCACGAGCTGAAATATGTGTTACGTAGTTACGTACTTCCTAGTCTCCCCTTGAAACATTCTCCCGACCCTTGAAACCGACAAGGATCTACCTCCAGTTCCAGGATGAAATTACGGGACAGACTCGATTCCGCCGCGTTTCCGATTCATGAGGCGTCCGACCCGGAGATTTAGAAGGACAACACGCCGATCCACGGAGAATGATACGTATAACCCGACCCGACACCAAGTCCGAAACGTCAATTCTGGGCGTCCTCCATCCAGGCCTTGATATCGGTCGATCTAGATCGAATCTACTATACTTGAAGGGTCAAACTTGGCCTGAATCACGAGAGCTGAGTCATGGCACTCCAAAAGAGAAGGTCGATTTAACCGGTCTGCTATTCACTACAACCTTTACCTTTCAACTCTGCTATCTCTGCAACTGAAAAGCATTGACTTTTCAATTCGGTGAGAGTGCGCAAGGCCAGGCCGGCGATATTCATCAATAACTTACTATCTGTGTTTCTTCTTGCATCACTTGCATAAGCGACCTTGACCAGCTGGGCCACAAGACAATTTCGACTCAGACACGAGAAGCCAGGTCAACCAGGCGGGGGTATGCCCAAAAATAGAGAGAGAGAGAGAGAGAGAGAGAGAGAGAGAGAGAGAGAGAAACACCTTCAGTAGAGCCCCATCCCGATGAAAACTCACCAGCTAACTCCAATCCCGCTGCATACGCGAAAGAATCCCCTCCGTGAAGTTCCAAAGCAACCCACTATCATGCGCGTGCCATGCGGCGCCCGTCCAATAAGACCGTCTTAGGCCCTGCAATCCATTCAACTCCTGATAGAATCCGTCCCGAATCAAGTCGGAAGAAACGCGAAGCTCATACGGTTTATGGCTGGCATACGCGACGAGCTCCAGGTCCGGATTCCCCGGTAGAGCCCTGGAACTGTCAGAGATAATGCGCTCTCTGACCTGTTGTTCGGTCATGGATGAGGTGTTGCTGCCGAATTTGACGTCGGTGAGGAAGGACGGCTGGTGGGTTGGCCCTAACGTGTAGACGGTTGGTAGTCGTGGGAGGAAGTATACGTGCGGGTCGGGGATTTTGTTGCACATGGTCGTCCCGCGGGGGATCGGTGCACCTCGAATGAGGCCGGTCGAATAGTCCATGTATTGGAAAGCAGAGAATAAGTTCTTCTCGTACCTATCCAGGTCGAATCCCGTCAGGGTCTCCAGCGTTGGCGGAATAGTGAAGAGGAACTGTTTAGCGCGGACAACCTTTCTACCAAAGGGTGTGGACACGACCATCTTTCCATACCGGCCAGGGATGTCCCGGTTCATAGACTCAACGACACTATTCACATGCACACTGTTGGTGGTTTTCAACCGCTGAAACGCCCGCTCATAAAGCTCGTGATTGTTCCGTCTTTTAGTCGTCCAAAAGCCGGAGGACAAGCTGCGCAACATCTCTGGGCCGAAGCTTTTCAACACGTAAAGTGTAGGCAGCTGCAGCAAATCTCCAACTCCTTGGTCGATCGTCCATATCCGAGGAATCAGGGCCGTGAGATTGTGAATACGTGCAAAGTGTTCAAACGGGCGGACAAGGTCTTCCGGGACCGACGCAGGAAACACATACCCTTCCTCCAGGCTCTTGAATCGCTGCAGTTGCTCCGAGTAATCTGCGAACATGCCAAGAGTAGACTTGTGAGATTCTAGCTCCCCGACAGGGTGCCCGTTTCGAAAATTGACATTCTTCAAAGTGTAATTGAAGAAGAACTTGACCAAGGGTATATCGAAACGCGCAAAGAACTTTGTAACAACCGGCAAGTCGTGGAAGGCGACGACTCCCAGTTCGACGGTGGTCTTGCTGATGGGATCATGATACGTGTTCGTGTGGCCTCCCAAATCCCTTTCTTTCTCAATCACCACCACGCTCTTGTTGAAGTCTTCCTGCAGACGAATGGCGGCGTAGGTGCCTGTTGCGCCGCCTCCGATAATGGCGACGTCTCGAACAATAGCATGTGCTGCGGCAGCTTGGTGCTTGGCACTGTGGGGAAGAGTGACAGTAGCGCTGCAAATCTGCCACAAGAGGCAGAAGCGGGAAATTGAAAACATTGAATGAAGCCTCGTGGGTCGGAGGTGTTAAATATACAGGGCTCCGGCAGACGTAGCTAATCTATGGTCTTGTCTGTCGCTTTCCGCATTCGAAGGGAAGCAGGCTTTGGTATCAATGAAGCGAGACTTCTTACCAAGATATAGTGTGATCCACAAGCCCATACATACCCTAACTGAGGGGTATGGTCCCAGTGAAGATCCACGCACGTTATTGACCGTGAGGATGAAAGCATCCTTCGCTCTGTACGACGTTAAGTCTTAACGTTGTTGAAGTGGGGAAAGAACCGAAGGATAGATATCTCAAAGGGTTACTCAAGCTAATACAACCCGAAGGATGCACATACCCCCCTTTAGAGCGAGTGGCAAGCTAATCTCGGGCTTGAGAGTATTCCTACGTGTGTAACGACCAAAGCAAGTTGACCGAATAACCTTACCTGAATACTTACCCCCGGGAGACGAAGACACAAGAATACAACCAAACTGGCACTGCTCTGTGAATAAAAGAGGTATTTGCGTTTCATGTTCGAGGGAAAATCTCGAATCTCATATTCGGTGGGACAGAGAAATCGCCCGCAAAATGCACATCAACAAGAACGACAAACTCATCAGTGATGCAACATGGATTCAGCGAAGAATATGTACATGATCGCTTCGTATCCACATCTCAGCAGCCGCGCAGGGACTACGGGAAGGCATGATTCTGGAGAAAGGACTGATGACGATTCATACCTATTCCCCTCACCAAGTTCCGTCCAGGGATCCACGGCCGAAAATCCACGTCAATTGTCTCATATCTCCCATAACCTTAGACGTAGCTGACCTTCACGCTGTTAGAGCCGATGGAGCTGGAAGTGAGAACGCTGTTGCCTTGCTCGATATCAATGAGAGTAGCACCGGAAGGGCCAACATTGACGCCGTTGTCGGTTGCGTAGGCATTGGAGAAGGTGACAGTTCCAAAGTTGGCAAATGGAACGAGGGAGTTGCCGGACTCAAAGTCCTCAACGATCCACTCGGCGTTGGTCTCGCAAAGAGTGCCGTCAACTCCACCGTTGAAGGTGTGCGTGACGGACTCGCCAGTGGACAGATTCTCGATGGTGGCAGTACCGGTGGTAGTGGAGGAGGCATCCACGGTCAACTTGATCACATCCCCGGCAGCGATACTGAAGCCGTTGAAGTTGTAGGCATAGTCGGGGTACCACTCATACCACGCGTCGTAGGAGACCGAGCCACCCTGGATGCAAAAGTCGATTCCAGTCTGCAAGATAGCCGAGCCGCAGGTATCACCATCGATACCCACCCAAGCGGAGGCGCAGTACTGGGTGCTCGAGGAGGCCCCATAGGGAGCCTTGGGAGTCGGGACAGTGAACTGGCCAGTGACGACATTGTAGCCAGATCCAATGAGCACGGCTCCTGCCCAGTTCGAGCTGTACTGTTCGTGGAGGCTCTGGTTCAGGGAGAGGACCTCCTTGGTGCCGGGCTTGTATGGTGGGTGACTGGATCGACCATTCTCGCGCGCAACACGACGAGCTTCATTGCGAGCCTGTCGCTCAGCCGTCAGGGGAGCAGCGAGAACTGTGGTAGCAACCAGGGAGGTGGCCAGGATACTTGTCAGGAACTTCATCTTGAATTGGTGTCTTGAATAAAGAAAGACCGAAGTGTAGCTGATTTCAACGGATGCAAATTGCTGGCTGAAGCTGCAAAAAGGTTGATGGATGCTGGAGATGTGCAAAGACGAGGAGAGATTCCCATCTTTATATAGTTTCTCATATCGTGATATGAATCCAGAGTGAGCCAAGCGTCGAGAGTTGCCAGACCCATGAAAATCCCGCGTGCTTCCAGTCTGGAGAGTAGATTACCAACGAGGAAAGCAAAGTCGGTCCGATGCAACATCGTGATCCTTCTGGAAACTATCAATCGACCCTTTGACTGGAAAATGGCTTGAGACCTGAGCCCATCAGAGCACGGTCACACCGTCGGAGACCGGTATACCGTCATATAGCTGGACTGGTTTCCATGCAGTGTGAAGCGACGTGCAGATATTGCGCCGACTAGTTAACGTTATCTCAAAGTCCACCACTAGCGCACTGCGGGAGTTTTTGGCAAGAGCGGGAATTCCGTGCAAGAATAGACTGTTCACGCCATCCCAGTAGTCACAAATTCTTCGAAGCGCGTGGCTGACTCCATTGCAGCCCAATGAAGAAGACGGATGGATGGACGGGCTGCCGGGTATTAGATGCAACCTGCCTAGCAAGCACAGGCATTTGTATCTCTTGACAATCAGCAGAATATCATCACCCAGTCTCAGATCTTTAGATCTGCAAACATTTGGCCAACAGTCCGGTTTGATCAGGCTCATGAACCTGGGTTCTATTACAACCCATCGCCCACTCCAAGATACAATTCTTACTTCATTGTGCCTTATCACGGAGAATCTGTCCACGACGGGGCCGCTACAAAGCTTGGGCAAGGCTTATTTGCGTGGGCTTGCGCCGTGCCAGCCGGGATATCACGCAATCTTCAAGCGAAGCTTTGTCCAGCACAACGGCAATGGTTCTTCTCCTCACGATTGGGAGTATCTAGACCAGGGACAAGACACGGATCTCCGACGGCGATATCCTCTGCAAACCCAGTTTGCCGAGGGCCGTGTGTTTCCTCCTCCACGGTCTACCCAGATAGCCCTCCATTGAAGAAGGTGTAATCTCTGCAAAAGGAGTGCAATTCGCGGCGAATGACCTCTGCCAACGAGGCAAGGATCGACGCGCATCCACATTACAGAGGATACGCGCGAGTGGTGGTCGATAAGCGGGCGGGGGGAAGGCCTTCGATGTTGGAGACATACCAAAGCCAGTCAAATGCCCGAGAGTGGATTCATCCTGCTCGTCACGTCGTCAAGCCACAGAGAAACCGTACCGTAGTAGCACAGAAGCTAGTAGCTACTAAGCTTCGACAAGCAACGGGAGGCCCGTAAGCGAGAAAGGTCGGAGGTGAAGAGGATTCGGACATGTTTTGACAGGTGCGTGGGGTTGAGGGGGATTGGAGAAGGGATGGATTCTGGTTTGTGGGTATCTCGGACTCTTCTTGCGGTCTCGTGCTCAAAGCGACCGGGTGCGGCACGACATCGGTAGTAGTGGTGTACTCACTACTCACTACTCTCTACTCACTACTGTACATCCTGCCATGCTCGATGATCACGATCTCACGAGGATTAATGATTGATCTTTCTCAGTAGCAGTTTCTGAGCAAGCTCTGCATCACAGGATGTCGCCAAATGCTGATACGTTTTAGGTCAAGGGATTTCAAGACATACACGTTTACACTTACTTTACTTTTTGAGTGATAGGAGTACTATATTTCAGGGTTGACTTCCATCTCCCATGTTGTCTACCAGTACTATTCGCAATTTGGTAGGAATATGAAGAAGCCCAGGACCAGCTCCTGCGAGAAAATTAGTTGTATCGTTAAGTTCTAGTCAACTTGTAGAAAGACAGTACGATCTAGGTCCCCGTGCACAGAAAGTGAATTATCCTCTGCTATTCAGCAACCCGGTCACGGATTGCGTGTTGCAAACGTACTAACCACCTGGACAACAAGCAAGGCCCAGTTCGAGTGCATGGGTACTGTTCACTCCACCTGGCGACCTATGAGACATGGTCTCTTCCTAGTAGATAGGTCAGTATCGAAGCAGCTCGAGCACTGGCTCACCACAAATCGAACTATTGATCTCTGAACATGCACTTTTTGGGATAGATGAGACCAGTTGTACTGTGCAACTTTCAATAGTAGCCTGTGGGTTTCATAGCCTCTGTTAGTCACATGGAATTCATGATTCAGGACGGATGTGCAGTTGCAATGTTCCATTTTGTAGTCTGTAGGCCGCGGTCAGGGTGAATCATCGGCGTATAACAGGTACTACAGTGAGTACTCTTGGTATTAGGCAACGTTCAAAACAAACCAGCAGAATAGGCATGTACCTTACTGGGCTTCGGAGATTCTTGGAGCATCTATGCTCCGAAGAACTAAATAAAGCCAGTGCCGCTTATACACACTTGAATCTGATAATACAGCATTTCAGTCAAGCTTCTGTGCCCATTTCCGGATTCTCAGAGGGTCGCTATTTACAGGCGGCCGCGATTTCCTCGATACTCACTTTACACATCACCTCCCCGATATGACTCGGACTTGGCGAAGACTTTGCGGTCGGACACTCCAATTCTAGCGTGGGCCGGTGGCAACACAAGCCGGGTAAGGTGAACTGATCCTCTCTGTTGATCGATCGGCCAAAATTCGTCAATGGCATTTTCCGAATGAACTTGATGATGCCCTGAAAGGATTGCCCGATAGGATCTGGGCTGAGTGTTTCCATGTGCCGGTGGCTGATGGCTCGTGGGAGTGGCTCACTGCCTTATCTTCATATGCAACACCACGAGAGCCACATGCGGGGATTGTGCATGCAGTATGCATGACACGGCCACCGAGCAAAGGTCCGAACAACTGTCTGATTCGTGATGCGCAAACCGTGCGGCCGAGCTGGTCCCGGGTTGGGTTACAATCAGGAGGACGCGGCCCCCCCTCTCTCTCTCTCTCTCACTCTTTCTCTCCCCAACCTTTACCCCTCGAACTTTTCTCGTCGGGCTTTGATAGCCATGATGACCGATCAACATGACACTCCGGTCGCTTTCATCGGGACCATCACAAGCAAAGGGCTTAGTCAGTCCTGACACACAGACATCTGCCAATGTGAGTCGGCCAGTCATCGCGATTGCGGGTCTATCTTGCGAGACATCAACATTTTCGCCGGCCCGAACCGATGCCGCCGCGTTTCATCCACGTCGCGGACCGGAAATCATCCAAGAGTATCCCTTTTTGAACCAAGACACGCAGCTCGGACGAGCAGCGTCATGGCAAGGCGCACTAATTGGCCATGCTTTGCCCGGAGGCATTGTCACCCGTCGAGCGTTTGAAGAGTTGGCCGGTGAACTGTTGACCCGACTCACCAAGATCCATGCTGCGGATCCGCTGGATGGACTGTGGTTCGACATTCACGGAGCAATGTGCGTGGAGGGTCTAGAAGATGTCGAAGCAGAATTACTCCGTCGCATTCGCCGAATTACCGGATCAAAAGCCATCGTCTCGACGTCAATGGACCTGCATGGGAATGTCTCCCCCGAGCTGGCCCATCAAGTTGATCTCATTACGTGTTTTCGCACTGCTCCTCACGAGGATGAGACGGAGACGAAGCAGCGCGCATGCCGTAATCTGGTAGACTTGTTGTCGTCGTCGTCGTCAACAACAAACATCACGCCTCTCCGGCCGCTGAAAGCGTGGTGTGAAATTCCGATTCTATTGCCTGGCGAGCAAACTTCAACTCGAGCAGATCCCGCCAAGAGTCTGTATGAGCTACTACCTGTGATCGAGGCGTTACCCTCGGTCATTGACGCTGCTGTCTGGGTGGGTTATGCCTGGGCGGACGAGCCGCGCAATCATGCTGTCGTGATGGTGACTGGATGGGACACGCAGACACTTCTAGAGCAAACAGGGCGCGTGGCTCGTCAATTCTGGGACGCTCGCGAGAGATTTCACTTTGCAGCCCCCACGGGCTCCCTAGCACAATGTCTCGATGCTGCTATAGAGTCGCAGAAACGTCCGTTCTTCATCTCGGATTCTGGTGACAATCCAACCGCGGGTGGCGCCGGTGACGTGACTTGGTCACTGTCTCGGATTCTGGCACGTCCAGAGTTTCAACAGAAAGATGGGCCCACCCTCATCTATGCCAGTCTTCCGGCGCATCATGCAGCCGAGAGTGTTGCTCGTGCTGGCGTCGGTGCCACTGTAACTGTAGTCGCAGGCGCTGAAGTCGACCATATCCACGAGGGTCCGATCACCCTGACAGGTCTAGTTCACGCCGTACGACACGGGGATCGAGACGGGCTGATTGAATGTGTACTCCAAATCGGAAGTGTATTCGTCATTCTCACCAAGCTACGAAAACCGTATCATCACGAGTCCGACTTTAGCGAGTTGAACCTAGATGCCCGCTCTGCCGACATAGTGGTGGTCAAGATCGGATACCTTGAGCCTGAGTTATATAAGATGGCAGCAGATTGGAGACTGGCTCTCACACCTGGTGGTGTCGATCAAGACCTACAGCGCCTCGGACATCGTCACATCCATCGTCCTATGTGGCCGTTGGATCGCAATTTCTCTCGCCATCCTGATCTCAAACCTAGACTAATTCCGGCTTCTGACCATCCTTTCTCGGAATAGTATGCGCTGTGGGCAGTTATTCGAGAATTGAGACGAAAGCTAGTTATGTTTCTCGGTCTGAGATACGGCGAATCTCAAAAGGGGAGAATCGGTCGGTTGTCTCTTGAAGAAGGCCACGCTGCGAGTAGATCGTGTGAATTTCTTGATCTGACGTCGATGATAGCTTCATTGATTCGAGTGGTCAATGTATGTGATTATGACGAATATGCAGTATTTTCAACAAAGTCCCACCCAGAGAAAATAACATCAAGAGGTTTTCAAGTTTGCAACTAGACAATTGAATCGTGCGCTACAATTACTGGTATTTGCTATATGGTCTTGAAATATAGCCAGCCTGAGGGTTACGCATTATGGACATAGACGGTGTGAGCATGAATTAATTGATTAGTTGGTATCAGCGTTGACACAAAAGTGAATGTACAAGCGGACAAAGACTGATAGTGGAACTTCACTGCAACTCCGACCTCCACAAAAAACATTTCATATCGTGAGCGCTCACAGCGCCAAAAGCAATCCAGCACCAAGTGCTCCCTGCAACAAAAATTGCGATCTGGCGGTGGGTAGGTCTGCGAGACCTGACGAGGTACTTGACGCTGGCGAGTTGTTGCCCGTGGAAGATCCTCCGGTCGCGGCAGTTTGAGTCACGGTCCCAGTGGAAGAACCCGTCTCGGTGGACTGAGTCATTGTGGAAATGCCTCCAGTCGCTCCAGGTGTCACCGGCATGTTTGTAGGATCGACACCATTCCCAGTGGCAGAGGAGACCGCGGAAGCAACGTGTTTAGCTCCCGGGACCGCATCCTTCCCAGTGCCGATCTCGTAGATATCGTCTTTGCCTGGGTTGTATCGGGCCTGGGCCAGTGAGATTTGATTGTTATCGAGATCGTACACGACATAGGCGCTTCGCAGGAACGTATCGCCCAGCAGGCTAACTCCTGGCTCGCCGTAAGAGATGCCAAAGATACAGTGATTTGCGGGAACTCCCTTGTAATTGCTGGCAGAGAAAACTAGGTCGCTCACCGGGATTGAGATCTTGACGCCAGAAAGACTGAAAGTCACGTTGAAGTCGGTAACGGCCTTCTCGCAAGGAACGTGAGCTGCATTGGCCAGGGAAGAGTAGGCACCGTCCAGGGACTTGAGAATTGGGTCAACCATTTCCTTGGGCAGCCAGATCAGAGTACTGCCGGAGTCGAGGCTCGCAGTGAGGGGCAACCCCTGCGAGATGCTTTTCGTGTCTTTGGAGTTTCCATAAGTGATTCCAGTTATAGCCAGAGCAAGTGACGTATATTTCCCTCGATTTGGAACAATGGGCAGAGTCTGCAATTCACCCTCATACTGCGCCTTGTTGACGCCGCCAAAGAGTAGGTTTCCAACGTTGTTGACTTTGTTCAACCACACACTGTAAGCTGCGGACTTGATCGCGCCACTATCCACAAGAGCCTGAGGAAGATTCGCGTATTCGCGCTGGAGCGCGTAGGACGCGTAGGTAGAAGCTTTATACCCAATTCCGAGAATACCATCTGAAGTATTATGTCAGTCCTTGCTCACCCAAATGATTGTGCCGCATCGGTCTCTGGGGCCAGGATGGATGAAACTTACAATCATTGTGACTCTCATCCGCAACAGCAAATTCTGCCTTCTTCACTGTCACGCCTCCTATCTCGACCTTGTCCGTACCATAAGGGCCTTTAGCCAACATGCCCGCAACATACGTGGCTTTGATGTCGTAGTCGAACTTCTTGTAAGTTGACGACTTTTTGGGGTCAAATACGCCTCCCTCAGCGCACGGAGCACCATCTCCCTCACAGTACTTGGAATTGGGCACGTTCACCCACATATCACTACTGCCAGTGTCGATGCTCAACATCACAGATTGACCCGGAGAGCCGACTGTGATATTCACCAAGTATTGGATATTGTGCTGACAAGGGTGTTAGTACACAAGCTTTGCGGACCAACGCCATACGCCCACGCGAAATGAGATTTGGACCCCATGGTGCCAAGAGGGACAAAGAGGTTCAAATTGGCCTCTTACCTGATTGATCAATTCGGTGCTAACAACATCAGAGCTTCGCTTGCGCAATGACTCGTCGTTGGATCGTTTGGTGATTGGCAGAGCCAGGACCGCAGGGTTCTCTCGTTTGTGCAATGTCAAGGCCGCGATCGTGCCGGGTACACTGGGAAGATAGACCAGTGCGGCCAGCGACAAAGCCTTGAAGGTCCTCATGATGGATCGTGTTCCTGACGATAGCTGGGACGCGTCACGCTTCGATCACGCGCGATTAAGGCTATCAATGCAACGGAAGACCACTGGAATTGAAGGAAAGGAGGAGCTCACGCTCTTCTCCCTAGGGGGGATGAGCTGTCATTATATGAACTCCATAAAATCCCCCGAAGTTGGGCGAATTAGGCTGACAAGGCCTTTTCTTGTCTGCCGTCATTTCTTGAGTCATGAGGGATTCGTCTGTGCGCCAAGCAGTGACTATCGATCTCAATCCTGGCCCCATTCGCCGCAACCAGTCGTCTATCCGGTTCCTGGTGGCCGTGCGGGACTTTGGCCATCAAATCACACAGTGGTGCGTCAGCGCTAGGAGCAGACCCAAGGCCCTAGTACAATTAGTTGCGCCGTGCCTGGCCAGCGAACCGAGGTCGGATCGATTAGACCGTTCAGGCGGCGTCTAAGGACTGCCATGTCCATTGATCGTAAGTCTCTCAGATCCACCAAGCTGTACGACCCGCGGTCCGTGCCACGAGGCCCCCATCGGATATTTCGAGCCGAGCGCCCGTTCGTTGACAGCCCCTGTGTTGCTCGATGGCAGTGTCCAGTTCAAGGGACGAACCGCTGGAGATCTGTCAGCACTCAGCACATGATGTCTGAGCAGTACGACGTGTGAAAACGAGCCGAGCAACTCTTCCACTCGAGAATCATAAAAGCCAGTGGGCAGTGTAGCTTACGGGAGTGTTTTGTACTGTTGGTGGTGGCTGGAGCAAAATGATGGAGGCTCGGGAGTGGGGTAAGCCTGCTTTTCAAGCAAACCCCAGTCCACCGGAGCTCGAGTCGAAAGAGGTGCCGCTGACTCACGTGACCATTGGGTCGTGATAGAGAGCGGGAGAGTCTCGGCGCGGATGGCTTGTCACTTCGACATAGATGATCATCGTTCTGCTGCGGAGTACAAAAGCAAATGAAGGCTTGGAAAAAGACTCCGCCAAACCTCCGCCGAGCCCTTGAGATATAGCGCCTGCTCATGCTCGCTTATGCTCGCTTATGCTCGCTTATGCTCGCTTATGCTCGCTTATGCTCGCTTATGCTCGCTTATGCTCGCTTATGCTCGCTTGCCGGTGAAATTGATTATGACTTTTGCAGCCCGGTCGACCTTTTCTTCCCACGATATCTGATAACCTCGTTGAGGTCGCCCCAAGCGAGACAATTTCCTGTGAGGATGGTTGTCGTCAGCTCAAATGTGTGGATGCATACATGGGTCCCCCGACTTCTAAGAATTACGATCTTGAGTTGGCCAGGCTGCTGTACAGTGTACAACTGTACACTATAGTGAACAACGCCCCATCCTAACTTACAAGAGTTGCAGCCTGATCTTCCTTGACAACCAACCGCTAGGTCCAGACTCATTCGATATCTCATGAACAGATGTATATTTTCTAAAAGATGCTGTTCTAGAAAGACAAGATTTCCCCTCCATCGAGATTAAAATCACAGGCACTGGGAGTAGTAAGGGTTCTGCACCTTGCAGGTGGTGCCGGCGACACAAGCCGTGGGGCCAGTCCAGCTTTGTCCTCCACATTGACCCCACTGCGTCTGAGTTGCGCCACCCGCCGTGGTGGTGGTGGATGAAGTCTTGGTGGTGGTGGTGGCTTTGGTGGTGGTGGTGATGGCGGCGGTGGTAGTAGTGGTAGATCCAGACCCACCGGGAGCATTGAAAGTTGAGCCAATATCACCCCAGCGAATGTTGGAGAAGACAACGTGGGTGTCGGGGTCCTGGGAAATGATGTTGGATGGGTTACCCTCGGTGCTGCTGCAGGGGCCATTGCTGCCGCTGTCAAGCCAGTTCATGTAGCCGCTGGCATCGTTCCAGATGCTGAAGATGAGAACCATTCCACGACCAAGGGCCTTGCCCATGGTGGTGAGGCCACCGAAGGTGGTGGCGGCACTGTCGACACTCTCACACCACGGCTCGGTGATGGAGTCAATACCGGCGGAGGACTTGGCGTTGGCAATCACCTGGCCGTTCTGGATGTATTGGCGACGAATCTCCTTGAGGGTGCCGGTCTGGGTGCCATCGTCGGTGATGAACTGAGTGGTGATGGTGAAGGGCTTGGAGGTATCGACGGTACCACCGGGTCCCCAGTAGTTGGTCTTGCCCTGGGCGTAAGGGTTGAAGCCACATCCACCCTTGTCACAGTTGTCGGCGCTGCAAGGGTGGGGTGTGTATGCGTTGGCCCTCGAGTTACCCTCGAGGATGTCCATCTCATTGCAGCAGTAGGGCGAGCCGCCGGGCACAAGCGTACCATTCTTCCACAACTCGCTGGGGCATTGGGCATCACAGTATCCCGAGCCGTACGCGGCACCACCCTTGTTGTACTCATTGCGTCCACCGCTTCCGCTCATTTCGGAGAGGTAGAGAGCACCGTTCTCACCACATGGCAAGGTGGACATGTCAACATCAAAGGTCAGTTCCTGGCCGAGAAGCTGCATGAGAACGTAGTCGCCGTCGGATCCGAGAAGATACACGCGAGGGGATGCGTTGCCGTAGACACCGTTGCTCTTCACATACTGGTGCATGGTGAGGGCATCTCCGCTCGTCGAGACACCGGAAGAAGTGTAATTGGCTGGCTCAATGACACAGTTCTTGGAACAGGTCGCTGCATCAGGGCAGAGGGTTGTGTTCACCCCGGAGGAGGTGGTGCAGGATTCATAGCCATTGACAGTGTGAATCCAGTGGTAGTTCCAATCCAAAGCAATGGCAGTGTCTTGAGCAACACATCCCCCGGACTTGGAACACTTGTATGTCTTCAAGGACGGGTTACCGGGATCGGTAGTTGCTGGCTGCTGGGCCTGGGCGAGGGGCAAAAGAGCCAATGCCGCAGCGACGAATTGTCTCTTGGTGAAAGACATGACGATCAACGCGAGGAGAATCAGAGCACGTTGAACACTGAATCCAGTTTGGTCTGAAAATGTCAAGGAAAAACCTCCCTGGGTGAATCGACGGAGGAATTCATATTTATGTTGGAATCGATAGAGGGGTCTTCAAGCAACATCTGTCGGCCTTGGTCACTTTGAGGAAGTTGAGACGCCACCCCCGAAGGATCACGGAGAAACAGCTAGGCCAAAGCTGATTTCTTTCAGAACATCCGGTGCAAATTGCCAGATTTTTCTCGCCCGTTGCAGTACGGTGGAGAACATCCTATTGTGCAGGCTGTATGGGTGACGCGGCGTCGGAATCATAATTGCCGGCTGCAGATGAAGAAATCCGGGGAAGGGAGAATTTCCTTCTTCGGGAATTGTTCCATATTGACCCATCGTCAGCTGTAATCATTCATCCGTACGACTGCCGTCCCACATGTCGAATTTTTCTCGTTTCTGCATTCAAATTTCCGCCAGGAGGGGTGAAGAGAACGCGCGTGTGGGGAAAATTCCCTCGCAACGTGAGAGACCTGCACAACTGAATCAGGGTTAGCTTCAGCCACCGAGACCCCTGAAATTTCCAGTCGAAATTGTGGGCGCCAGTGAGATACACTCGCAAGACTGAAAATGTCGAGGGCCCAGAAATTCCCAAGTGCAACAAGTCTAGACGAACGTCAATTTAACCGGCTGCAGAATGCAGGATGCCGGGATACCCCGCATCTTCACAGACTTCTGCCCAGTCGGACTGATTCTGCAACCACGAAAAGGGAAACCCGTTGAAGGTCATTGCGGCAGGTTCTCCGTGTTGAGAAGAACAAGGTATAGTGTCTTGAAGAGGGACGGAGGCAAAATTTCAAAGGTCCGGTGATCCCCTGGCTCGGACACCATGGGCTGTTTATACCACACCCTTCTTCCTCTAGGGCGCCGATCGAGCACGTTGTGAAAGAGACAAGGGTCATTACCCGAAGACTTGTCGGCAATGCATCGAAGCCTAGCACTCGCATGGGGTCTTCCATGAATCAGAGATGCATGCAAGTGAATGCGAATCGTCCTTCAATTCCTAGACGGGAAACATCCTCGGGCAGTCGCTCCGTCGGTTTCACCAGGTATGAATCGGGGAGAAAATATTTCTATTTCTTCTGAGACCGCATAGGTTACAAACTTACTACCTCGCTTGTTCGAGACAGTAGTCCATACTCCACCGTGATGTTTGATCCGCCTCCACTTCCATGCTTAATTCTGTCCCAAGTCACGTTAAACGCATTTGACATCATTTGTTTTGGCTGAAATGACCAAGTACCAAGGTTCAAGTAGCGGGCCGCAGCCCGTTCCAAAAGTGGCCAACTGGAGACCCAAGCGGGAAAACAGACCGACAACATGGTCGAATGGGTGTAAATTGAATCGAATGTGGTTGGAAAAAGTGAATCCAAAAGATCACAGGATTGACAAACTTTCTGACTTGGTGAGGGTTATGGCAGCAAGGTGACCAGCATTCGTCCACTTGGGTGGGTGAATGTCCCGGATGTTCATTTCCACATGCGCAATGAAACAACAGCATCCGGACTGCCTGGATATCTGCGTCAAGGGGGAAAGTGTTTATGATTTATACCATTGAGTACCAGCCAGATCTCAGTAACAGACCGTCAAACAATCTTCTGTTTTTTTTTCTCTCAGCCTCGCTTTATTCAAGTGTGACGTTTTCCAATCATGAAGGGCGGTGTTGCAGTGCTCCTGCTAGAGCTCTTCACCTCGGCGGCGGCATACAAAGCCACCACCACCGTGAGTTCATCTTCTGGCTGCAATACATTCCTCTCAGCTTCACCTCACCTTGCTCGTAGCCACGACTCACTAGTGACTGAAGAACACCAGCTGACGAAACAAATGAATGAATAGAGGTATTACGATGGCCAAAAGGGCGCTTGTGGCTGTGGATCCGGCTCGGGATTGTTCTCTTGGCAGGTAAATTAATTCTCCGATGTGCCTGATCTTGGCCCCTGAAGCCGATATCGAATCTCGCTGAGACTAAACCCTCCCTCACTTGCAGCTTGGCATTGGCAACGGTGTATACACCGCCGCAGGTTCTCAGGCGCTTTACGACACCGCAGGTGCCAACTGGTGCGGTGCCGGCTGTGGCAAGTGCTACAAGCTCACATCCACTGGCGCACCCCCTTGCACGGACTGCGGTACCGGCGGCGTAGCCGGTAAAAGCATCATCGTGATGGTCACCAACCTCTGCCCTTACAACGGCAATCAGCAATGGTGTCCTAACCCCGGCGCAACCAACCAATACGGGTACAGCTACCACTTTGACATTATGGCCCAGAACGAAATCTTTGGCGATAACGTGGTGGTGGACTTTGAACCGATCGCCTGTCCGGGTCAAGCGACGACCGACTGGCAGTCTTGTGGCTGTTATGGCCAGACGGAGACGGATACCACTCCCGTAGGGTTGGAGTCTGGAGGCGGCGGTAGCGGTGGCTCTTCTCAATCGTCGACCACCACTTTGCAGCAGAGCACCACTACTCGGACGACTTTGACGCCCACGACAACTTCGGGCTCGGGTTCGGGCTCTTCTGGTGGAGCTCAGTCGGTCTATGGACAGTGTGGAGGTAGTGGATGGACTGGTCCAACAAACTGTGCCTCGGGCTCCACGTGCAAGGCTCAGAACCAGTGGTACTCGCAGTGTCTTCCTTGAAGAAGGATGGTAGGGGTGAGGAATCTGCATGAGAGTATTGTCATCGCTCGGATACTACTCAGATCGAAAGTTGGTGCTCCTGAGGACCGTCCTCGGCCCTTTGCGGTTGAGCATGGTTGTCTCTTTTTAGCAATCCATTCATTTATATTTCCAGATTTGGGAGCCGTTCAGTGTACTATGACAAGCACATTAAAATGTGCGTCTGCAAAGCCTTGAACATCAATCGCTGTCAACGTGTCGATTTGCAACTGGCGGCTGTCCCTGTAGCGATTCAATCTTAACAATACCGCTAATATGCCAACAGAAGTCATCCGTAACTCGCATTCATTGGAGAGGGCTCAGTCGACAGGCAGGAGTGGAGCATGATCGCCAGTGGTGTAATCGAGATTCTTGCAACTTGCGCGACACAGTCTTGTCTGACCCGTCGAAGTGTTCCATAAAAATATTGGAGAATTCAACTTGAGCCTCGACGAAGACAGCGACCGGTCAAGGGTCCTTGAAAAATCCAGTGACTTCATGCTGGCCTTGACCAGTAATCATTCCTTCAGCGATGGAAGGACGTTGGCAAGAACGCGGTGCGAAAGAATCCAGCTTAGGATCTCGACTTGATTCTTGCGGTGGACCGTGGCAGCGAGTGACTCTGCTGGATGGGCAGAAGTGGATAACGTAATCCACGGCCGACCGAGCCACACGGCCGACCGAGCCACCCACCCCCATTACACTACTTTGAAATCGAATATCTCCACTAACGCCTATTGAATTTGCTAAATAATACGATTTTTACATGAAGTAATCCTATGGCCAACTTGGCCACATCCACTGCAGGTAGGCGGAGCCCTCCTGACCGGTTACATTAGCTGATTAGGCAAATCGGGCCCTTCATGCGATACTACCTTATTAGCTTCTACTGGCTGAATTAGCTGCTAGACTAGCTATAGGCCCTCTTCGATCGTTAGGCCTCCTTCGTGTATAATCTACCTAGTCGATCGAGTACGCTTTTGCCGTTTCTTTTTATTCGATTAGCGTAGATCGGCGTTCTCCTACGCTAGTAATACACCGCTATATAATAAGAGATAGGCGCCCTTAATAATCTAATTAAGTATAAGTTTTAATAGCGTAGGCGGGCTATACGATCGCTTTTTAAGAAGCTCTTTAAGTATAGAAGCTTACTTCTCTAGCTATATTACTATCTTAGGCGTTTTTAGGGTAAACTAGCTAGATCTACTACTTAGTCGGCTTAATAGTAGTAAAGGCGTATAAAGTGATATATTAAGCTTAGAAAGCACTCTTTTAGTACTAACTAGTATAATACTAGTAGCTACGAAGCTACTTTGAATAATCTTTAGCTAAAAAGCTTCTATCCTCGCGCGAGGATAATCTACAAGAAAATCAAGCTTATCGATATAATTATAGCCTATTCGGGCTAAGTCGCTCACGAAGCGACCGTACGTATGCTTTAGTACTATAAAGTACCTAATATTAAGCGGCTATAGTAAATAAGATAAATATAAAGGTATATAAAGTAGTATAATATTATTTTCGGTATAGATTCGATCGAATTAAGGTATAAGATAGCTACCGTACCCGTTAAGGATTAATAGCCGAAATCGCCCTCGTACACACGAAGTAGTGTATAGAATAAAGAGCTTTTGAAGCTAGCGAAGGCCGATCTTATCGGTAGTCTAGCCGTTAATCGACACTTTAATTCGCTAGTCGCTAGGGAGATTTAATTCAAACCAACTAGCGATATAAACCTAGCCTTTAAATATAATATAGGGCGGTAGCGAGTAGCCGTTAGCGTATATTACTTCGATCGTAGTAACCTATTCGCGATTACTAGGCTATAGAATCGATCGCCGACTGTAGTATTCTGCCCGCGTAATAACCTTCTGTAATAATATAAGGCCTATCGCAAAGCCTATCTTATTAAAGTTATAGATATCCTCCGGTTATATCCTATTCTCCTTAATAACGCGTTATACTATTAAAAACTACTCTTTTATAGACTTTAGATCCTTATTAAGAGTATACTAATAGTTATATCGCTTTAAGTAGCGAGATTAAAGCTTATCGCGCTATTTAACGAATATTAATACCTAATTAACACTAACCGTTAATAGGGGGGTTATTCTACGCGCTACAAGAAGAATATTAGCTATTTCTCGTATAGTAGAGGGCCGGGGGGCTACTCCACACGAATCTATAGATAGTATCTACTCAGTAAGCGAATCCTCTTCGTATTATATTAATTTATAGCTAGATAGGCGTATATTAACGCGTCTAATTCGGCCGGCTACGCGGTGTTGTAGGGTAGAACGAGATAAGTCGTATAGCTTCGCTGCTACGCGAATAGATTTAATGCAGCCATTTTTGATATCTTTAAGGGCCAACAGGACCTTGCCCTCCTGACTAGCCGATCTCTGCGAAGATTCAGTACGAATTGGTGGCATAGTAGGTTGTTGAAGTTGGTATGTAGGTAGAAAGACGCGATTTTCGATGGGGTGGCTCGGTCGGCCGTGTGGCTCGGTCGGCCGTGGATTACGTTAGTTGCCGAGGCTCAGTACCTTAGTCAGCGTGAGTGGAGTGGATGCGTCCCTGAGCCGAGCCCACGGAACAATAAACTTTGACTGCGGCACAAATGCTTGGCCATTGGCTGACCGTTGGCTGGGCCGCTCAGGGGAACTCCTCGGATCCATGGAACGCCGACAGGTCGATTATTCGGGAAATTTGTGTGCGAGCGTTCTTTTTGGAGACACGATCCGGCCCCCTCCAACGGATGATTTACAGGTTCGAGATTTTGAATATGTTGTTGTAAAAGTATGTTCATTATCATGTGCGTGTCACAATCAAGGGAGACAGGTTGGTCAGGCCCAGCCTGCTATGTACATAGGGATAATTTGCATCGGAGAACTTGTGATCCCGTTCAAATCACTCCCTTCTTGCCTCGCTGTCCCCCGCAAGTCGTGCTCTACTCTGGACGGCCCCAAGTAATTCCATCTAAGCCTGGGCAGCGAAGCCAAGACGGGGACCGGTAGAGTCGAAGACGACATACTGGCTCTTCAGGAAGATGTCACCGAAGATAGAGAAACCGATGCCAGAGTTGGACTGGATCCCACCCAAGCAGGTGGAGCCAACCCCAGAGGGTCCGTAGTTGATCAAGGAGCCGGGAACAGTAGCCGTGTATCCGTTGATGACCACGCTGAAATCGGGAAGAGTGGCGGAGCAAGGGAAGATGTATCCACCAGCATACTGGCTGTTCTGAGCGCCGCTGACTTGAGAGTAGTACTGGCTAACGACAGAGCTGGGCAGCAGCAGCAGAGTGGTACCGGTGTCAGCAATACCGCTGAAGCCAGACCCGGTACGGGAACCGGCCTTGTAGCTGGAGACCCTGAAGCTCCAGAAGCCCTGAGAGCTGTCAACGTTGGTGTAGGTCAGAGAGCCCTTGTACTTGGAGGAATCGATAAAACCAAAGTCATAGACACCAGGCTGCTGGTGCTTCAGCGCGACAGCAAAGACGGGCTGAGCAAGGGTGCTCTTGACGGTGTCGAAGAAGGTGGTCTGAGCACGGGGGGAGACAGTGTTGATGCTGCTGAAAGCGAGACCGAGGAGACCGTCGTTGTTGACGTCCTGCTGGAACTGAGAACTGATGGACTTGGCAGCCTCGACAGCCTGGCCGGTGGCCTTGACGCCACCAACGGTGACAGTGTCGCGGTAGACATCACCACTGGCGCTGCTGCCATCGCCATAGGAGATAGACCAGGTGTAGCCGTTCAGCTTGGTGCCGCTGGTGCTTGGGTTGTAGACGGAGTGTCCAGTACGCTCAGAGGATGGCAGCTCGGTAGAGAAGACCCAACTAGAGATGGGTTAGCGAGAGAACGTTCTTGATAACCATCACGTCGCAAATCTCCAGCCAAAATAATGAGAAAAAAAAAGAAGAAGAACGGTTGACTTACAGGTCGGCAGAACCGGTATCAAAGTCCAGATTCAGGGTGCTCTGGCCGATGGTGACGGGAGTCAGGTACTCCTCATCGTACTGAGTGGGCGTGGTGACAGCAGCACCACTCTGCACAGCAGCAGCCGCAACGTGAGATGGCACAGTGGCCCCAAACTTGGACAGGGCACGACCATAGGAGGCAGCAAAGTTGCTGGCCTTGGTAGCCGGGCGAGGGACCTGGTTCACGGAGAACTTGCCGTTCACCGCACCGGGAGCCGGAGCAGCTGAGGCAATAGAGGCCAAGCCAGCCAGGCCGATGGTGATCTTGCTGAACGCAACCATGGTGTCAGATCACGAAATTCGTGGAAGTGAATTGAGAGAAGATTGACCGCGATGCTGAGCAGGATGAGGAGAGCAAAGGAGATGGGGACATCTTGTCACCTTTATATTTCCAGTGGGATGCCAAGTCGGTTGCGAGATTGTTCACCTGCGATTGCGATTTGGAGTCGATGGGGTGGCATCATTCAGGAGATTCACTGAAGCGACATGACCGTTTGGGTTAGATTGACCAGCGATCTGCGAGTCCCGAAGCGTGCCCCGTCGGAGGTCCACGAAGGAGCTTCTGCGGTGGATTTCCAATCATCGGACCGCACGAGCTCGCACCCTATTGCCTTACAGGGATACCACAGCACGAAGAGCCAGACCAGACGATCATCTCGTCTCTGCCGTTCCGAGTCGAGACAACTGGTTGTATACAACCAGGTGCCCCATCGAAAAAGGGTTGCCAATGCGCGATCTTGGCTGTTTTCGAGTTGTATCTCAGGTAACAACCGCGCGGAATAGCCGAGCCTTGATGTTGGACATCAGATTCCTCACTCGGTGGTGGTTACCCATCACCACACATTGTACGCATCTTTTGCGAACTGGCTGCTGGGGCTTCAGTTGAAATCAACCGCGGCGGCGGCGATAAGCCTTGGCCGAATTCTCCAAGCTTTGGCATCTCTTGAGTTGATCTGACTGGGCAAAGCTTAGCGCTTTTTGTCTCTTCTTCAGTCTCCCGAAGGAAGGTCGCATCGCCCGCTCAGGGCTACCGGAGTCAGGGCCAATAAGGGAGTTTGACCCAGCAAAGCCAATCTATCTCAGTCTTGGCTACCCCGCCGTCTTCGTCGCGAGATCCAAAGAGAAACGTAGAATCGGCCTGTTGGTCACCCCCGCGTGTGGGGCCTGAGCAGCGCCCATCACGGGATGAGCGGCCCTGATTCACGTGCCTGGCTTGGATATCTCTTTCCTAAGATCTTCATCGCGAATCTCCTTATCAAGAGGGCGTACCAAGATCGATGACTTGTCGAGTCCTCTGAAGTTTTCGTTGATTTGAGACTTGCTACAATGCTCGGTCACCACTTAGTCTCCGGGTGACGATAATAATTCTTATCAGTTTCATCATTTTTATCATTTTTATCTTCAGGGAGACCAAGAACTGGAAAAGTGGCAAGCCACCCCCCACTCGTTTGGATTACTCCTGATGGCGGGAGGAGGGCAGTCGGAACGACAGCACCGACTGGCGCGCTTTTCCAGCATGCCTCCGATCAACTCTGATGAGATTTTAGAGTCCCTTCCGGACCACCGGCGTGGCGCATACTTGGTGGCTGTTGTCGAAACCGTGAAGAATCGATTGTACCGGCGGGCCTCCGGCACTGCTGGCACCGGTCATCGGGGAGTGTGCTCGAAGGGAGTTAGCGCTTGACGATCTCCGTGGAGAAGCCCAAGTGATTGGGCATGAGGCCACCGATAAGATAGCCTCCACTGCGGGTGTGACCATTGACGGGCACAATGCCCCTCCAGGACCGACCTTCTGATTCAACAATTCATTCGACAAATGCTCGAAATGAGCTGGCAGGGGCTGACAGAAGCCGACGTCTTGGCGTGAGGATCTTGACAATGCCATGCATCCAACGAGGACCGAGGTGCGCGAATAGTAACCACCTGACCGTGAAGGTCGGCCACTTCGAGGCCCCCAGCGACGTATGCGAACGAGGTGGGAAGTGTCGCAATTACTGTTTCGTGCATGGCGAACAACAAGTCTGTCGTCCATGCAAAGCGCCACGCCTTTGGGGGTCCATACGGATCCGTCCCCAGTCTATCTTCCGAGGCGAAGGCATCCGGTCTTGGCATCAAGGTTACGATGGCGTGATACGAAGAAGCACACTCGCGCGATCGTTATCGGGAATATGCATCAGATCGAACAGTGATGGTGACGAGGACTCACTAAATCACGTATTATTGAGAACAGGGATCTTATCACACTATCGCGTGCCATTGACTGCACATGGAGCATGCATTTGTTCTACGGCGTGCCAATGCGAATTGCTAATGGAATAATTGTACTCATGTGACGTGATGAAGGACAGCAACTGTTCTCTACCTGCTGGTTTTAGTCAGGTTATGGGTTGATGGAACGCGGATATCAAGATTGAGGGACCTTGTATCATCCGCCATGCGGGTTCATCCTGTTGAAAGGTCAAGGGAAAAAACTGGAGCCTTTGAGAACGAGCCTGGCCATTAAGAGATGTGCGATGTTCCCTCCCTCATTCAGCGCCCTCAAGGTCCGAGCCCGAGTCTTGATCTTCCCAATCTTCCGGGTCGTCTTCCAGAAGACTGACCAGCTGGAATAGATCGGCTTGCGATTGAGCCATCTGTTCTGTGGGCTGGCCTGGACCGGCCCTGGCTCTGAACTTCTCGGTATTGGGCCGGTCAATCGATCCCCCGGGTCTTTTGCGTGACGCGTTGAAAATATCCGGGGCCATACTGAGAATGCGAATCGCTTTGGTTGGGAAGATTCGCGATGTGTTTTCATCTCTTCGTCCGTGATGGTCACCTGGGATATTCGCGAGGGGTCTTCTCCAACCAATAGTCTGTCAAGAAATCTGTTAATTTCACTTTTACAAAGCAATTCGAAGAACCTGCAACTTGGGACTCAATGAGGGTACAACGAACAGTAAATGTAGTCAAGATGGCATCTTCACATAGGGTCATATAGCTAACGGGAACCACAAGCTGGGGTGCTGAGCTGGTCCATATAGAAAACGATGCATTTTCTGCTCGACTTGCGTCTCTCACGTGGTTGTCGTGGCCTAAAGAGACGACATAGATGCGGTCTTGTATCTCAAAGAGTATTCGGTGATGACGCACCGCAAGCCAGCCTCCGAGGTCGAAATTAGATCCGTTTGATGCACACTCAATGACAGACCCATGACAGGCGGAGGCGGAGGCGGACTGGTCGCGCAGCGAGCTACGCCAATTGGGGCACACAAAGACTCGGCCCGCTCGAGAGAATCCCACGAAAAGCTCGCCGTCTAACATACCAGCACCCCACTCGTCATCATCAAGGGCTACGGTATCGTCGGAGAGTGGCAGCGCACCCTTTGTGACTTGGACCGGTGTGATCACTTCACGCCGAGGGCGGTTGGGTCGCTGAGCTTGATTCGAATGCCCCGTTTCCGCATCCGCCACCACATGAGGAGCGCAGATGTGAAATCTCTCGGATCCATTTGTGGGCCGCAGGATACCCAAGAATGCGCCGGACTTCTTGTGATATGCGTAGTATCCCTTTGTTCCCATCGAGTAAATGACTGAATCTTCACTCTGATCCAGATGGCCCACCGCTCCATGTTCAATGTCTATACAGGTTGTCAACCTTGGAGGTTGCTGGGTCATGTCATATACAAAGCCTTTCCCTGCGTTCGAAACGACACACAGGGTCCGATAGGAGAGTTGAAATCCACGCGTCTGGACCTCGTGGTCCAGAACGGCGATACGACGAAACTCCCCCCTGGCTGCGCCCTCAAGATCGGTTTTCCAGACCTCTACGGCGTTTCCCTCGCGATCAAAAACAGCCACTCCGTCTTCGTACTCGAGGTGCGCGTATGGACGCACAGCGTCTTCGTCGCGATCATACGTGGAGGGCAGGCGCCAGATCATTTGGCCCGAATCCATATCAGTGACGTTGAATCCACCCTCGTGGGCGGTGGAAAGAATCAACCGGCGTTTGAAGTCTGCCCGGAAGCGCCAGACGGAGTCGTTGCCGACCTGCAACACGGACTCTTGATGGACCGGTCGTTTCGCCGCCCAGTTGTGGGCCAGTAGAGTCTGACGCTTGCATAATTCCTTCCATGACGAAGTACCGCGATAGTAATTCGTAACACTGGATGACTGGTTGAGGAATTTCAGATCACGAGAAGCGTTCTCTGGTTGCGCAGTTTTCGATCCAGCGCTGTAGATGGCATCTTGATGGGTGACGTCAATAAACTGATGCCAAGCCTTTGAGACGGCTAAAAGCGACCCGAGCGTCGACACGGGCGAGAAATCGAGAATGCGAAGGATAATTTCTGGCGGCAAGATTGCCAACGGATCATGAAGGTTGAGATTTCGGACCATAGTCTTCTAATGAATGAACTTCCAGCATCAATGCCCAGTAATCAACAGTTTACAGTAAATTCAAGCGCAGCGAACCAAGGAGAGAGGAATTCTGGACTGTGTCGACTGTCGAGGATGTAGAGGCATTGGACTCGGAACATGACAGCGACATTCTGACAATCAGGTACCCGAGCCCACCGCCTACTCATGGAAGTAGGACGACAGAGTCACGTGGTGCTGCTACTTTCATTCGGGCTTCGCGTTCACACTTCACAGAATGCTTGCGCTGCAACCCCAGTGGCTGTCACCCTCAGTACGGCGGTATCTGATCACGAGCAGTTAATGTGAAAGACTTGTCCTTGGACGAGTTCAGGGCTACACTATTATTCGAGATTGGGTCACAGGTAGAAGACATTTTGCTAATGAGACGATTGAGTCGTGACATCCATGGCGCACTTTAGGTCCCTCGTGCCTAAGGTAAGTGGTCCACCGGACAGGTTTCGTGTGTACACCCTCAGTCCTTTTATTCGGTGGTAGTGGAAGTATATAGGGCCATTAGCAAAATACCTATATCACCCGAAGCACTGACGCACAGCGCGTTCCGGCAGGTCGATTTCAGATGAACAACTGTAATATTCTAAATCAACGCATCAATTACTCTGAGCCTTACTCCGTATCAGATAGAGGGTTTATGATTCATTAATCGGTGGCTGAGTAGGTCATTAGACGATTCTCTTCAGGACCTTTGATGGTCAGGTAAATCGTCTCGGGGTGTGTTGGCGACGTTTCACTCCACATGCGTGGTACTTACCCACGTGACGTGGTTGAACTTAGACCAACTTACCAACTCGAAGCTCTGGGCTTTGCTTACCATTCCGAGGGCATCGGACCGAACACCGCCTCTTGTACTCTGAGTGTACTGACTCAATGAGTACTCGGCTCAATTCTAGTTGAAACCTATCTACCTCCTGACAAGGCCTTGAATTCGCAAGTCTGGGGTTTGGGGTCTCAATCAATAATGTTTCCCATCTCAGACGCATTAGCATCCGATTATTCAAGACCTGTTGTAGTCGAGCATCTTCCAGACACATCGAAGTGTACCGAATTAGTAGATTGTCCTCAAGCATACTACTAGGACGCTCTGTGGTGACGCAGCTTCGGCACGCGATGGCCCCCCGCATTTTCCCCATTGCCGCCTTCTTATCTCGCCATCGTCTCACATCCGCCCATACCTGTCAGTATGGGACGCCCAAAGGTCCTTCCAGCAAATCGTTTGCGGGCCAATACAGCCTGTACTACATGCCGTGCGTCCAAGAAAAGATGCAGTGGCTCCTTCCCATGCACCAATTGTATTCATAAGGGTCGCGCGCAGACTTGCATCCCCTTTAAATCAGCCTCATCATTCAGATCCCCCACCCTAACGCGTGCTCGTCGGGAACCAGCCGCATCTCGACAACCCGTCGGAACAAGTCCCGCTTCACCATGTCGAGAGTCAAGATTCAACAACATGCAAACGCGCCCTTCGAGGCTTCGAGAGGGAAGCCCATCTGACCAGCAGCTTGAACGGTCCTTCGAGAATGGCTCGCGATCACCCGAGGCAACCCATCGAACACATCCTCGTATGCTCCGAAATCTTCAGGGTGAAAGAGGTCAGTCATTCTTCACAAGCAAATGACTATGCCGAAGGCCTGGAGAGAGATTCTAAATAATTATCGCCGTAAACCCACAGTCTACGTCGGCAAAGCCGCCTCTTTGTCCTTTCTTCAGCTTCTGCGAGAGACAGTGACCCAGCACATCGGCCCGTCCCAATTTTCTCATAATTACAGAAGTGAAGACATGCTGGAGACAGAAGCCCAGCATGATTTACTTGATTTTTCAGAAAATTCTTGCAGTCTTGAAGCCAGAAGAACCTTCATCCAGAAGTTTTCAATTGCAGTATGGCGATGAACATCCGACCCGACAACTATGCGGCTAAAGCACTACTAACATTGACTCCTAGACTAGCGGACTCATCTACCTGGGTCAAGATACCACCAAACTGCTCACAGAACCACAAATATTGAATTCAAGTCAAGGACTGATTCATGCTGCCGTCGGAGATCTTATGATCGCCATTGGAGCGCAATCATGTCCGAATGATGCGGATAATGTGAGAGCAATGCGGTTCTTTGCTGAACGGGGTCAACGTCGCGCATTTACCAATATGCTCGAGGACCCAAGCTTGGATTTAGTGCGCGTATTCCTGCTTTTGTCGTACTATATGTTCGGGGCCTGTCGTCGGAATGCAGCTTTCATGTATCTTGGTGTGGCCACCCGGGCGGCAGTCGCATTGGGACTCCATGTTGACTCTTCTGGGACGTCTAGCCCTGCGAGCCAGACGAGCAGGTGAGAATTTGGCGCACCACGTGGTCCTGACCCTTTTTTCTTTGGGATAAGCACTCACCCATCTCACCAGATCTCAAATTTGGATGAGTCTTTGCACGGTCGATCTCTTGACGAGTTCGATTCTGGGGCGACCGGCGGCTACGGCAGGACTGCTTTCATGGAGTCGGGTTGACCTTGTGCTTGGCTCATCCCCGGTCGCATCGGGATTGCTCGCTTCATATCAAGTTGCCTTGGTAGTTGACGAGATTACTACTCGGCTATATAGCAAACGTGCTGCTTCAACCGAGACGGCGGATTCACTGCTAGCGAAACTGAACAGCTGGAGCAGTTTGCTACCAGAATCTTTGCGGACTCCTCTTCTGAAGGACGATGACCCTGATGCGTGCCAGGAACGAATTATTGGAAATATGCACGTTGCCTGCTTTTACCACTTTGCTGTGATTCTGGTGACACGACCATTTTTGATAACCACTCTGAGTGTTCGCTTGGCTCGGCTTCACCAGACATTGACCGCGGCGACATCTCCAGAACCGCTTGAAGAGGATCCGGCACATTCCAGACTAGCAGCAGCATGTATTGACTCGGCCGTTTATATGCTTCAGACGTGCAGAGAGGTCCATCAATCAGAGATGCTCCTTAAACAAATGACCATTCTCAAGTAAGACTGACCCCTCCCCTTGATTTCAAGGGACTTACCTTGAGAATCTCCCCCAAATACTGCTTAGCATAGGCTAACTTGGATCAAATTTCTAACATAATGCAGAGCCCTTATCTTTGCTGCCGCCCTTGTCCTGGGGTTCTCCATGTTCTCTCACCGTAGCGTTGATACCGAAGTCGACAATGCATTCAGTGGAGCCTTGCAAATTCTGCAAATGCTGTCACATCAATCCGCACAAGCAGCCCACTACTTGGACATACTCACTTTGCTTGAGAGCGCGATCAAGCAGCAGCGGCAACGCTTGTCAGCCCAGGCACGACATCGTCGGAGTCAATACGTGAATCGGATCTTCAGTCTGAGCGAAACTCCCTCACTGGCCCGGGATCAAGACCAGGGAACCGAGACCTGTCAAGGCAGTAGTATAACTTCCGTACAGACTCAAGGTGGTTTTTCCTTTCCCTGGACTTCAGACGACATTGAGGGAGTTCCATTTACTCCTCCAATTGTGGACGGGGGATTCTTAGACTGGGAAGGGATGGAACTTCCATTGTGGGATAGTTTCCCATTTACCGAGCCAGGCTCATCAATTCTGCCTGGAGCAGTCATGGAATGAGCACGCAGTTCCGTGACGCTATGCATACAATGAACGTGTCGGCATTTTGAAATTACCCCTCGCATTCCGTCAGCAGTCCATAGTAGTACAACTTATCCGGCAATGTACGTCAGACCTTGCTGGGGGGAGCATATTCACCTATCTATAATGTTTGTTTAACGTGACTTTTGATTCGCCTCAGTGCCCTGCATCGACTTCTCCTGAGCGGCGGACTTGACCATCTCCAGGGGCTAATTCGCCGCGACGATATCTCGGTATGCAGTGGCCAGCGCACGTCTATACGCCAAAGTATACACAATTTGAAGCTGTAAGTTATTCAAATATGTAATGATCAAGGTTGTCTTACTTCCACGGAGTACCTAGGAATGTAGTTCTAATGGTAATTTATCGATTTCAAGACGAGGAAACAGCCAGCTCGAGGTTGGTCGGGAGGTACTTGATGTCTCGTCGGTTTGCTGCTGCTTGTAAGTCGGATCAACGAATTTTCGGAGGCATTTCATCCTCTCTTTCAAGGCAAAAAACACTTCCTTCAGTTGTTCAATCGACACAACTCAAAGCTTGTCAAAGCCTGTCCTTACACAAGTATGCCGGAGCTGGGCCTTGATCCAAGGCCTAAGCGTTAGGTGTGGTTCATCTCCTTCATCAGATTGCCGAGCTTTTTGCTATCAAGGATGTACATGTAGATGAGCTTATCTCCGAACTCAACCCTCAGCGCAGTCATGAATTTATGAATTTGAGCGGCAGCCCCCGACTCAACATACCACCTCACGTATCGCCGCACAATGGAGAGCAAGCCTGACATGGACAATCCGGCGATAAGCGGTGCGCGGCCCGCTACTCGGACGGCCCGCCTCAGGCGGGTGCACTTTCCGCCTCGATAGCCTTTGGGGACCAAAGCAGATATATGATCATGTGCGTGTCTAGAGTCGTGACGATAATGATAAGACAGAGATATAATGAGATCAAATCGGGACTCTTCTCAACGGAAATTTCTCCTCTAAACAACCTGACCCAGCTTTTCTCTTTGTCTCTTGCAACCTACAACAGAACAACGTTATCGAAAGACGGTGTTCCCTCAACGACACACAAAAGACAGAACTAAGTTACTTCATCAACCGTTTTTTTTTTTTCCCACCCGTCTCGCGTTCCATTTTCTTTCCTCTTTGTTTTTTGACAACATCCCATCACCATGTCCGGCTGGAGAGAGTTAAGCGTCGGCGTCATCGGCGGCGGTATTGGCGGCATGTCCGTTGCCATCGCCCTGCGTCGTGCCGGCCACGTGGTGACCATCTACGAGAAATCTGATTTCGCCGGTGAGGTCGGTGCCTCTGTGTCTTGTGCTGCAAATGGAACCCGATGGCTGTACGAGTGGGGAGTGGATGTGGCCAAGGGTGATCCTGTCGTGTTGAAGAAGTTGATCAACCGCGACTGGAAGACCGGAGAGCCTGTGAGCGTGTACGACCTGAATGATTACGAACAACGTTGGGGATATGCATACAACATGTTTCATCGCCAGTACATGCATTCCATGCTCAAGGATACGGCCCTGGGGGAAGATGGAGAGGGGATACCGGCAAAGTTGATGGTGAACCATCGTGTGAGTTATACTTGAATCCTTTTTCTTCTTTCCATTATGTTTCCTTTACTTCCTTTTCATGATCATTTTTCCTTCTTCTTTCGGGGGAACCAAGCTGCAAGTTCAAAAGCTAATGGACCCTTTTCCAAACGACCCAGTGCTGCGACATCGACATGGAAAGCCACACCATCACCTTTGAGAATGGAGACCAAGTCAAACATGATCTCATCGTTGGCGCTGATGGAATCGGATCCGCTGTGCGACGTATCCTGGGCATCAAGCCCGAGAAACGCCCCTCCGAGCAGAGCTGTCTGCACGCCAACGTCGACACCGAAGAAGCCGTTCGCCTTGGACTCGTCGACTATTCCAAAAACAGCGCCCTTGAATACTGGGGCGGCCAGGAAGGTAAATGGGACAAGATTGTGCTCTCTCCTTGCAACGGCGGAAAGCTCTTGTCTTATTATTGCTTCTTCCCACGCGCAGTCGGTGACTACACCTCTCAGGCCTGGGGTGTAGAGAGTCGACCCGTGGAAGAACTTCTCAGTCCCTATCCCGAGCTGGACTCACAGGTTCTCAAGCACCTGTCCATTGGTAAGGAGATCCAGCCATGGCGCCTGTGGGTGCACGATCCATACCCCTACCTTCAAAAGGGGAGTGTCTGCCTTCTGGGCGATGCGGGACACCCGATGATGCCTCACCAGAGTCAAGGAGCGTGCATGGCGATTGAGGATGCGGCCGCATTGGGGATTTTGTTCAACAGGAAGTATTTCAACGGTGATATTCGACAGTCTCTTGAGGCTTATGAGAAAGTCCGTCTGCCTCGCGTGACTCGTGTCCAAGCCTCGGCTGCAAAGGCGGCATACAACATCAACGAGCGAATCGGTGAGTATCTGACGAGAGACATGCGAAAGCCGTAGCGAGTCAACTGGCTGACGGTCTTTCGTCCTCACAGGTTTCTCCGTGAACAAGAACATTCCCACCTACAAAGTTGAAGATCCCAAGAAGGTTCTCACAATCGAGGAGATGAATGCGTAAGTGATCACAATGCAACGATAAAGAATCGACAGTGTACAAGTGGATGAGGACATATCATACTGACGCAGGTCTCAGCTACGACATGTACCACGACATTGACGAAAAACTAGCCCACATCCGAGGCGTCAAGTACGAGGATCCTTACATCTGCGGTCTACCCTATGGCTTGGAGCTTCCGAGCGGGGTGGTTATCGGGGCTGCAGCATAAGCAAGTTGGTCATCGAGCGTTCAATAACCAGGCGTTTTATGGTTCTGTATGGGGATGATCATGAGCCGGAGTTTTCTATTTGATATGTTTCATTTCTTGACAGACTACCTCTTAGTGCGATAGGGAATTTCGGGAGACCAGATGAACACCTTCCTAGCGGTGTTTTTCCCCTTCCATTACTTGTTTTTTTTTTTTCGAATGATTAACAGGTCAACTATGACTGTCATTATGTCATATGTGTCGTATTATTGACAAAGTATTCCTTCGCGGCCATAGCAAAAGTCAGTAGCCCTAAGCAAATCAAGTACCAATGCATCTGTACCTCCGTATTCCAACCTCCACTGACAATCCTGCACGAACCACTCGTCAGAGCTCACGCATACACATTCTAGTTATACAGTAGGTCCTCCGCCTCAAAAACACAGTCTCAATTTCCATCCAAATGTACTGAACCCTTGCCCAATCCCACAAAAGAATACTCATCATGTCCTCCCTTTCCCTCTCCAGACAAGAAATACGCCTCGAGAAAGCGTGAACGGTCACAGTAACACCAACACTGCACCTCATAGGCCCATACACGTACCTGACGTCTGGTGCTGTGGATTCGAGATTCGGACGTCTTCGTGGTCTCGGGGTATTTCTATCCGAACACGTCGAGCGGGCCATTATTGACCCGATCGAATACGTATCTGACTTACGCCCTAACTGGCTGATCCGCTCGTGTTGTCATGACCCACGAGCTATGGACCGGATGCGATGCCGAGGAAAGTGTTTGGGAAGACAGATGTCGGCTACTGCTTATATTTTTCCTGATCTAGGCTTTGTGTTCCTGTATGATTATCAACCTTGTGGAATGTACCTCTTGGCATGTCCTGACGATCCCCAAGAAGACTCTTCGATCGGTTGGCGACTAATGCGTGGAGCATTATCTTCTCCCTTGATGAACGTTACAGAAACCAAGACATGTGCTCCAGAGTCCACGGCTGTCAATTTGATAGAGCTATATACACATTTGGAAGATATCTGATAGCATACTTGGGTGGGGGAAGTGGATCATGTAGAAAATGTAGAACGGGGAATGGTTGTAAAATCGTTGCCTCATAATATTATTTGCACACAGGATGATTGGTATGATTTAACCGAAGAGAGCATCGCCCAGGCGGTAGTGAACGGTCTTGACCTGGGTGTAGTTGTCCAGAGCGTAGGATCCGAGCTCACGGCCCAGGCCGGACTGCTTGAAGCCACCGAACGGAGCCTGGTAGGAGATCATGTTGTAGTTGTTGATCCAGACGGTACCGGCCTTGAGCGCGTTGGAGACACGGATGGCAGTGTTGACGTTCTTGGTGTGGACGGCGGCAGCGAGACCATAGCTGGTGCTGTTGCCGATCTTGATGGCCTCGGCCTCATCCTTGAACTTGGTGATGGCAATGACGGGACCGAAGATCTCCTCCTGGGCAATCTTCATGTCGGGCTTGACGTCGGTGAAGACGGTGGGCTGAATGAAGTAACCCTCGGTACCGTGGCGCTCACCACCGACAGCAACGGTGGCACCCTCGTTCTTACCGTGCTTGATGTACTCCATGATGCGGTCGAACTGGAGCTGGGAGACCTGAGGACCCTGGAAGGTGTCCTCGGCGAAGGGGTTACCCAGCTGGTTCTTGGCGGCACGCTCCTTGAAGCGCTCAACGAACTTGTCATAGATACCCTCCTGGACCAGCAGGCGGGAACCGGCACAGCAGCACTGGCCGTGGTTGAAGAAGATACCAAAGTTGGACCAGGAGATGGCGTTGTCGATATCGGCATCGTCGAAGACGATGTTGGGAGACTTGCCGCCGAGTTCCAGGGTGACCTTCTTCAAGTTACTCTTGGCGGCGGCCTGCAGGATGGTACGACCAACAAGGGTGGAACCGGTGAAGGCAACCTTGTCAATGTCCATGTGGCTGGAGATGGCAGCACCGGCGGTGCGGCCGAAACCGGAGATGACGTTGATGACACCGGGAGGGAAGCCAGCCTCGACGATGAGCTTGCAAGCGTACAGACCAGACAGAGGAGTCTGCTCGGCGGTCTTGATGATGACGGTGTTACCGGTAGCGATGGCAGGGCCGATCTTCCAGGCCCACATCAGAATGGGGAAGTTCCAGGGAATGATCTGACCGCATACACCGACGGGCTCGTGGCGGGTGTAGGAGAGGGTCTCGGTGTTGGTGTCGATGGTCTGACCGGTGATCTTGTCAGCCCAGCCACCGTAGTAGCGAAGGCAGCCGGAGGCGGCGGCGATATCACCCTTGGCCATGGTGATGGCCTTGCCGTTGTCCAGAGCCTCGATGGCGGCGAGGGTCTCGATGTCACGCTCGAACAGGTCGGCCAACTTGGTCAACATGCGGCCACGGTCTGAGGGAGTCACATGGTGCCAGGCACCCTCGAAGGCCTCACGGGCAGCCTTGACGGCGACGTCGACATCCTTCTCGGTGGCTTCGTGAACGGAGGTGATGACCTTTTCGGTTGTGGGGTTGATGGTCTCGAAGGTCTTACCCTCGACACCCTTGACGAACTCGTTGTTGATGAACCTGGAAGGAGGCACAAGAGACGCTGTGTTAGCCCAGAAGAAGAAGCAGCGAGATCAGCACAGGTCACACTTACAGGCCAAGGGGCTGCTCATAGGTGAGGTTGGGGGTCTCAATGGTCGTGGAGAGCGACATGATTGCGAGAAGAGATGAGACGAGAGAAGACAAAAAAAAGGGTATCACTGGGGAAGAGACAAGTCAAAGGAGGACGTTGATCAATTCGCCGAGAGCAGCCGGTTTATATACTTTGTAGGGATCTGGTCGAGACGGCGATTGTATGCCCAGAATGAGGGGAGGGGCAAAGAGCTCCTCCTTCTCCTCCTCCTCCTCATCTCAACGCAGTCATGACTTTCGCCTTTCCCCCTCTTTCGTCCCATTGCCCCCTCCAACACGCTTTCCCCCAAATTGCAATAATTGCCAGGTTGCTACTGAAGGAGTTCCGAGACCCGCGCGACGGGAATTGCGGGGTTGCTTCTACCGAGGGTGGATGCCAGGCGGAACCGCCCCATGCACAACCGAAACAACCCAAGACCCAAAGGACGCAGAGGTCTCCGCCCGTAACCACTGAACAGTAACACCGCTCGGCCGAGGACCCCTTCACGTAGGCGGTAGACAGCACCTCTCCCCAAGCCTGGTTGGGGAATGGGTAGTCCGGTAGTGGAATACACATTACGGTATATTACTGTAATAGTGTATACTACTGTACTGTGCCATACCATACTGTACTTATATGGGTACCCTCGGCTTCCACAGCAGATCCCCCAACTGCATCCCCACTTGGAGCTCCTCCGTGGCTCCACAATCACCTTGTCAAGAGGAGAGGTTGGATTCAGACGAACCAAGGGGTCCAAGACTCCAAGTCAGCAGCTCGTACAATAAAAACCTGTATTACATTGATGTTTCGTCCTGGTCTTGCTCGTACATACTGTTCTGACCTTCTTAAGTTCTTACTGTTCCGCTGTAGCTCAGCGAGAACGTACCTCATGAAAGGTACAGTCGTTGAGTCTATGCATCATGCATACTACAGCACAATGCAGCGCACTTGATGCCTACTGAGCTGCGACACACCTATCATCTTTACCGAATGTCCAAGGCTGACATGGTGAGATGACCGAATTTGGTAGATCCTTGCATGAGTTCGTCGAGCCTCGACACGGTCGACGCAAGCCGGTCTGCTTCTCTAGTCCCCTACTGCGTTGGATTTGAATGGCGGATGTGGTTGCAGCCTCTTTGGATGATCTCATGCACGCGGTTAATCATTTTCGGACCGAGCATTTCCTGGCTCAATTTATGACTCAGCGCATAATTCTCGGTGTTACACAAAGACATCGAATTTGGAACCAACCTGGTAGGCTGGTAGTGACTTGAGCTGTGGTAACTTGTTAGTCCAGTATCGACATGGCTGACATGGCTGTGTGCGTAAGTGCGTAAGACTTACAGTACTACTACTATGTCCAAATGCACATGTTCGATTGCTTATGAGTTACTTCCTAGTTCATAGCTTCATGCCCATGTCAAGATGATGGAATCATCGACATGCAGTACTTCTGGACGATCAGGCAGCGAGACATGATACCGTGGTATTGAACCGGGACCCGACTTCATCACTTCACTCCCTCAGATCTATACCTCGAGGTTCCAACTGCTGCCCGGTCCGTGGGCACGCAGCCGTTGAGGCTCCCCTTTATCAAGCGGAACTCTCCTATCCCGGTCTCGCGTTTAACTGTTCGTTTCATAGAAATTTGAGGTCATCAGGTGGGCAGTGAGCTGAGTCTAATAATCCAAGCTTGTCATTCAATGAATAATTGCCACGACGCATGGCCATCATTGAGACGATAGTTGTACTATGTTCATCTGAGAATTGGAACAATAGTCTCCTAATCTTAAAGCATGTCCTGATAAGCTCCCCAGAACTGGAGAGTACTAAGGAATCCTTAGTAAGGCCTAACTTATCGTCGAGTGAGCTGGAGGGTGACATGCTCCTGCCAAGAAAGCCATACCGTTCATACTTTTCTATACTTGAAGTTTGCATCACTCGGTCATAGATCTTCCCGATCCTCCCACGTGTCTGGGCCATCATTGAATCTCAAGCAAGGATCGCTGCCCAATGATAAAAGATCTATACCAGTACAGTGGCGTGACTGCGACCTGTTCAGATGGGTACAGATCGTCGCGGTTTATGGACCTTTGTCAGATCAAAGTTCATTTGAGGTCCTGTTTGAGTGAATTGACACGGCACCCAGGCACTGAGTGGCGAGAGTGCCTTCTGCCACTCACGTGCGTCCATACAAAGGTACATGCTCGATTACACCCGTCTTGTTGTTGTCTCCAAATATCAAACACAATATCATCTCCGGAGTCTGCGTGCTATGACCTACAAGCCTGGCGCTTCTCGCGAAGGGTTTGGTAGGTGGGATTCCACGCGGCCAGGCTCTGCTTCGCTATCTGAAAACATATTGGCTGTATCCTGGTCTTTCATCTCCACCGTTTGAATACTGCACAAGTACACCTTGCGGCGTGCGGTGGTGATCTTACACAACACTTTGAACACACCACCGGGACAGATGATCGTTGCCTCGAAACTCAAGTTGACGGCCGCTGGCGGGGTAAAAGACGGTGGGATATGGGCCACCGAGTCAGGAGCTTTCCCCCCCCCCCCCCCCACCTAATTGTGGAGTAAAAGCACCACTTACGCACGTTCGCAGTACACTACTAACTGCGTAACTACTGTGCCCTGTGGAGATTGTTTTGTGTGACAGCGATTCGATTTCATCTATCGCGGGGTCCTAGAGTGAAACCCTAATACATACTTAGTACCTACCTAGTACCTCAATGGACAGGGATACAAGTCCACACGGCCATTCATTAGCCCTTGGCTGGCAACGCTAATTCAAGGTCACGTAGGTATGAGCACCTCGATCATTCAACGATAGCCCATCACGTCGACCGCCGTCTCTACCATCATCATTTATTGTGTCTCGTCACGATAATATCGCCCATCAAGACGGGCGCAAGTCCTACCGGATCTAGACAAACCTCAATTGCCCCCCGAAGACCGAAGTTACCTTAGTGCCAGTGTTGCATGGAGTCAAAATGGGTCTCGAGCTCCCTGACTGGTGGCCCGGGAGACTTGGCACAGGTGGTCCGCGCCACGACTCACACCAAAGGTGCATGTCGCGGCTTTGTGGCCAAAAGAGGTTTTAGCTTCATGGGACCCATTCTGGCCATCCCTGAGAGAGAGAGAGAGAAAAAATATGAAGGGGGTGGAAACACGCGCGCGCTCTCTCTCTCTTTCGATGTGGCCGCTCTACGGAACTCTCGCGAGTTGGATACTAAAGCGAGAGATGGAAAGAGTGTGGAAAAGAGGGAATTCAAATTCCGGGATGTAGAAGAATACTTCACTGTAGATACTTTCTGGTAACCTACCTAGGTAGTGGGTACCATAATACCTAGTACGTATGTACATATATAGTTTCTTGTAGTTAACTATTAGCAATGAGAACTACTAGAGTAATAGTACCGCTCCATTCGATCAACTAAGGTTCCTCGCATTTAACTCATGCATGCCAAGTAACTTCGGTGGCTAACGGCAGGCTAGCGTCGCCTTTGCTCGAGACCAGATCGTCGATCAGAAACTCGCCGAAACGGACGAATGTCGCCCCGGGGATTTGGAGTTTGGAGGAGCTTTTTGGCAAGAGATGGTCCATGCAGGATTGCATCCAGGAGACATTTTGATACAGATGACAAATTGGACCGGGTGAAAGTTGAACCTCAACGGTCGACTTTGTCGATCCCGTCTATCTGAGCTTGACATCCCCGGAGTCTTGATGGACACATTGGTGATTGGACAATGAACACGATGACAACTTGCTATATAAAGATCCTTGGGGTGTTACAAACGGTATGTGACGATGTAAAATACAATACATCGAAACATCTAACATTGGATGGCGAAGTATTTGTACAGTACTACAGTATTGAGTATATACCTGTCCACAACTCCACATTATTTACATGACTAAATGCCAAACGTTACTATGATCTAGTAAGTTGTGTACTATGCCCACTGCCCACTGCCCACTGTGCCCAGTATGTACTATGCGAGGTAGTATCGTACTACAATCTAGTAAATCTACTAATCTATAGGTACTAAGGTAGTGAATCTACATACTCATAGTACATACCTTACTAGTATGTGCCTCAACCATCACGTGATCTCGTGGCTAAGAAAATTGGAGCCAAAGACCCTTGCTACCGCGGATGAAAGGAGCAATGCTTGCATCAACTCAAGACTTGCTCTACTTCCAGGGTCCGAAGTAGTCGGACCATACTTTGTGCCACGAAATCAGTGGCCGGTTTGTCGAAGTTGTGTACATCAAAGGATCATCGTCCAAAATGGGGCGGGGGGCCGATTTCACTCCGAAGAGACTAAAGACAGCCTAAGCGACAGCTCTTGGACCGCCAGATAGCAAGAAAGACGTTGGAGTGGGTTGCGAGCCCATACGGCACTGGGCAGAGATGGGACTATTATTTCCACTGCTCATGACTCGTGCACAGGTAAGGTGCGGTCAAGGTGTTTCATAATCAGACCCTGAGCCAAAGATTTGCGGCCCGGGTGATAAAGTTGTCTCAATTGCAGAGCTGGAAATTAGGACGCATGTCAATGGTGGTCTTTTGCTTTGGGTCTAGAGCACGACTGATAAATCCATATTCTAACTGCATTGTTGACCAGTTGACGGTCGTCCCTTTTCTCTCAGGCATAGGCTTGGTAAATGATCCTCTTCCTGGCAACGACAATTGAGAGTCGATTGACTCGATTGAATTCATCCTTCAGTGGAATATACGGATCTGCGCGATTCACCACTCCATAGATTCCTCCGTTCCAAGCTCTTGCCGACGCTGTTGCATTGTCGAAATTCTATCACTTACAGCGATCAGTTCAGCAATTATTTTTCAGGGGTTTGTTTATTTCAGCTGAGATGCTCGCTGGAACTTATCCACTCTGTATAAGCCACTGTACTTGGAGTAAAGGAAACGGCATGAGTGGAGCCTGGCGATGCCTCCAAGGCAAAAACGTCCAGGTACAGCCCTGTAGTAGAGTAGTCCTGAATTAGGGTGCAAGTGTGTCTCCATTCGTGATTCTCGGAACTCAAGGAGGTCTGCGAAAGAGGGACCAAACTCCAGCCATTCATGCACTTTGATGCCCGGAAACGAGGTAGACAGAGGGAGGTATTATACGGAGCTGAGTGTAGCAGAGATTCATCGCATATGATACAGAACTGCTTCAAGCGGAACTAGATCCGCGAACGTCTTTCACCCTTTGCGAAAAGACTGTGTGAAGTTCTCCAGGAAATAATCCACGTCTTGCAAGCAGATCTGGTTATTCCCGAATGCCTACGCATGCCTACGTGCCCGTTTACGCTATACTCTTCTCTCGGAAAACGAACATGTGAAAGCGAGCAATCTCTCTATTTGGAATTGTGGATCTGTCTGGGTCTGCGATTTGCGTGTGCTCTCTTGATCCTCGCCCGAGAGCTCCACCCAGCATCCACACGTCCCGAAAAGCGGAAAGACTCCGTTGCAGCAAGTGAAATTGTTAGGGAAAGGCCAGACTCCGCGGACATTGCCCAGGTCCCATCGTGGAGATGCTGCCCTGGGTCCGGTGAGGGGTGCGGCTTTGCCGAACTCGACAATTTCATCCTAGTCCTACTATAGACCCCCCCCGTACGAGGTAGAGCAAGCGAGACAAGAGTACCTGACCGTTGCCGGATCGACTCAAGATACAACAGCACCTTGTTCCATATCAAGCGATTCATGAGCCGATTGCGACTGCCTACCAAACGCAGCAAGTGATCATACGTTACAACTTGCCCCGGTTCAAGAATCGTGAGGGAAGATCCACGTGCCGACTGCGTAAATACTCTGCGACATTCTTTCCAAGGAAGTCTACCGTCGTGGTAGCACCGACCCCACGGTCAAGGAAGTCTTTGAATAGGAAGTGCACAGCACGAAGACCCGGCAACTCGAACCGATCAATCTTGATGCTAGCCGGCTGACCGTCGGGCGACCCTAAGAGCTCGCGCATCGTATCGACGGAAAGCAATGACCGCAGCCAGAGATACTCGTCTTTATGTCGAACCCAGAACCCACAATTTGCATCGGAGCCTTTGTCGCCAGAGCGAGCATGGACGATCCATCCCAAAGGACCGTGCACGGTTGGCCCAAATCCGGTCGCCAGATCAATCGGCTCGTCGAGGTCCGTAGTTTCCTGCGTGGGCTGTTGAACCGGATATGCCTCAGTGATTGGCGGTGGTGGAATATCGAGTACTTGTCTCTGAACTGTGGGCTTCCACGGAAGATGCACGCGATGCTGAACGACGGTCTGAGGCAACAAGGTCACATAGTATTCAAAGATTGGACGAGGGTATCCTTGGCGTAAATCCAGGTGGAAAGTGGCTCCCGGATATCCTTGCATGATGTTGTCAGTGACAGGCTTGAGGAATCTCGTAGGTGCAAGATCTTCAGCCTCTCTGGCTTGTGCCACGATGCGAAGGGGAACCGTGGCCCGGTTCTGGTCTGCTGCATCAGGCAAAGGGGAGCCCATCAGATGAAATTGCAGAGAGGTGAGCCTCTTCATGCTCGGGGCCAACAGATGGCGAATCTGGGCCTCAAGCATGCGTGCTTTTGCCTCGACGTCCAACCCCGTCAAGAACCACCATGCCTCAGCCTGGTAGCCGCCGCGGGCGGTAATGCCCACCTTCGTCGTTGGAGGTGGAGGGCCCGACTGAACTCCGTGGACGGCAACTCGATTGACACCTCGCTGCTCGAAAAAGACTCCATCCAATATGGCGGTCACATCGGAGTTGAAATACCATGGGCCTTGGATCTCGTATAGGAGCTGCGAAGTGCAGGTTTCAATTGTCACTGCACCTCCGGTTGCATGGGCCTGCTTGGTGATGACAACATCGCCCTCTGCAGAGATCTCAGCAATTGGATATCCGATGTCGGTCCAGCTAGCATTGCTGTGCTCCAACTCTTTGAATCCTGTAAAGTTTCCTCCACAGACATAGTTGCTGCATTCAATCAGATGCCCGGCAACGAACGCGTTCGCCAATCTATCGAACTCATGGCGTTGCCAGCCATGGTACCAATAAGCAGCACCAATGACAGGGGATGCATCAGAAACTCGACCGCAAAGCACAATGTCTGCACCTTCAGCTAGGGCTGCCGCAATTCCCAGTCCACCCAAATAGCATTGTGCGTAAATCGGCTCAAATGGCCAGTCGATGAGTCGTTCTCCTGTGTGGACATTACGAAAGTCGGACTTTCCCTGTACTAATGAGTTTCGCACTGCTGGCAAGACCTCATCACCACAAATCAAAGCAATCTAACAGCCGTTCACAGTCAGGGGTGTTTTCTTGATATTAACACTGCATGGCGAACGTCAAAAGCGCCTGCTTACCTTCAAATCCAATCTTCTTGCCTCCACCATCTTCAACACAACGTTATGAAGGCCTTTGGTGTCTGCGACGCCCGCATTTACAACCAATTTGATGCCATACTTTGCCAAATTGTCCAATGCAGGCTCCAATGCCTGCAAGAAGGAGACTTCGTACGCTGGGGCGATCCTGGCAGATGTAGCACTAGTTTGACCGTCCACCCGCCGTCCAGCGGCAGTGGCCATGTTGAATTCGCTCATGAAATCAGCAGAGATCACATCTACAGGATCTGTTGGATATCGTCGTGCAAATTCGGCAATGGCATGGCGACGATCTGAGGCAGAGCCCGATGCGCCTATATCGAGTTAGGTCTCTCGAGGCAGTAAACACATTGCTCTCGATTCAGGGAACTTACCTACCTGCAATGCGAATGGGCCGACCTGACTGATGCATTTTAAAAGTTCGTGAAAGTCAGTCAAGTGAGAAGTTTCACAGAGGTGAAACTCTTAAGTCGAGATCAACAACTCTGACCATTTTTGTGTGCTTATACGCGTTCACGCGTGCGTGCCCGAAGAACAGAAGAGGAAAGACGGTGAAGGCCGAGGCAGCTCGGTTGGGCAACTCACAAATTGCGGGGTTGGATCATATGTACTACATCACGCCAGTACTTTTGCTCGAGGGTGGCACTTGGACGAGGGCTGTGAGAATAGAAAATAGTGCACAATGGGACTTGAAGATATCAGGAATCCGAATTGGGCGGGTGTGACTTCTGAGGTAGTCATTCGGTTCCATATTACCTTATACAAAAGTGCATCATCAGTGGCTGGCCAAAAAGTTTCTAATTGAGTCATTCACAGAGCCTGTTGACGACGGACTCGCAAGAGATTCATGCACAGCCAGGTACCTGGTGCACAGACATCGCATCCAGGAACCGAATCCGTTAAAAGCCCAGGTAGGTACGTCCATACGAAATGCGTGGCGACTTCCGCACGGTGGGTAGTGGCATTTTGGAGTAGGATCTTTTCATGACCCAAGTAACCCCGGGCAGCATTCGTTCAAGATTTGTTCAAGGTGAAATGTACGATAGCAGGGCGGGCCTACGTCAGGCTATAGATGGGAATGTTGAATACGTCTATCGCCGGCGCCTTTTCCACTTTGCCAGCCAGTGATTTGACAGCTTGCTCGAGTTAATAGAGATATCGAGCTGAGAACTGGATTACATGGTCATTCTTTGTCAGAATGTACATCGGTGTTTTTAAGAAACGTATTGATATTGATGAACGCTTGAAGAATGTCAAATGCAAAAGTGCTTAAGCGAGGCGATCGAACATCATCGCCGCTTCCGCGATGTTGAAGTAGACATAGGTTCGAATGCATCGTCATCGTCGTCGTCGTCGTCCACGCCGTCACTGATGATACTCAAATTTCGAGTTGAGCGAGCAGCCCGCGATGAACGCTCAGAAGGGGCTTGTGAGCCGACAAAGTCCAGAGTCGTCTGAGTCGATTTTCCCCCTCTAGTTGCACCTCGCCGTGTCATTGTTGCCCCAAAAGTGGTGGACGATGGAGCCGGCGAGGCAGCCACTCGGCCCTTGCGGCCAGTCGCCGTAGAGGCAGTCGCTCTCCGTCCGCGTTGCGCTGCAGCTGGTGCGGAAGATTGCTTAACAAACAAGGACTGTGAGTCGTCATCCTCCTCGGAAAGACCGTGAGCATTGGGCTCGTGCGCTTCTTCGTCGTCGTCATCGTCGAGCATGATAACATCGTCTTCAGGTTCAGATGGAACTTTTTTAGCCCGACCTCTTCCCTTGGCAGTAACTGTTTTGCCAGCTGTGGTTCGCGACGTGCTAGCAGCGCCTCTGCCTCCTCTTCCCCGACCACGACCCCGGGTTGATACGGTCGCAGTAGTGCTCGCGTTCCTCCGTGCAGGCGCGGAGCCATCTTCGGCTGCTTCCTCCTGTGCCGGGTCTCCGCCCTCATTGTCAGAATGGATGAGCGCACCAGGCTGATCTTCCCACTCGCCATCAAATTCCGTATCCCATCCATCTGGCTTTGGCTTGAAACGTTTTTTGCCCCTTGAGCGTTTTTTGACTCCTTTATTAAACATGTCTTCCATCTGGGTGCGATACTTTTCCATCGCAGAGACAAGTGACTCATGAGCTCTTTCCTCATCGTCAACCACATCTTCATCGCGACCCAAGCTCATTAAGTGCTTGACTTGGCCCTCCAGAGATTCGTTGACAAACATCTCCATCGCGTGTTTGTCATCCTTGTCGATGAATTGAGCCACAGCGTCTCCGAAGGAATTCTGCGGAAGGATACTGAGTGATTGCGATGCGAGATATTCTCGGACCAACTGGTCCACTTTCACTGTATCCAGAGCAGTCAGGCGCGATACAGCAGCGTCCTCGAGTAAATTATCAGTCTTGCGCGATGTCGAAGCAGTTTTCTTCTTGCGATGGAACTGCACCACGTCATTGACATTGGCGACCTTGCCCACAAACCGGTTGGAAAACCGTTGGGGGTTTTCACACTCGAAACTTCCGCCATCCGGAGTAGAAATCTCGACACGGAGACGTACTAAGGGAAGCGGCGGCTGGACAGGGTCGTCATCGTCATGATCCTCCGCCTCATCGTCAATCTCATGAGTCGCTCGCCACTCTGCATTGGCTTCTTCGATCAATTCCTCGACCTGCGACATGAGATAACGGGTCACATCTGTTCGATTTCCCTCCTTTCTGGCCAGTCTTCGCCCCTCTTTCTCTTCCGACAGAACTATCTCTCGCATCACAAACGGACGTACTGATTTTAAGCGAATCGGTTCACACTTGAAGTCTCGGCCAGTGATGCTAACAATCGCCACTTGTTTGGTCACCGCCTCTCCCGGAACCAGGGACGTTGCGACTGAAGATCCCGGTTGCATGACATGGAACTTAGTCTCGGGATTAAGGGTCGGATTAATGAGACACTCATGTTCATGGCCCCAAACAACCAGGTCCAAGAAATCCGGCAAAAAGTTCTCTGGCAAGTACCCCGTTTCAGTGTACGCGTGATGATTTTGGTGAACGGACATCAAGTTGAACCAATCGCTCTTCTGTACCGACGGCTGGAAAAATTTGACTTTTCCATCTCTAAACGTGCGGAATAATCGTTCATCTCGCACATTGCTCATACCGTAAAGAGCTAGTTTCGTTCGTCCCTTCTGGAGCAGGACGGGTTTGATCTCGATATTGTCTGACTCGGGTGTCCGCCCATAGTAGTTCAGAAGACCAGAAACTTGGAGAAGATCCAACGCAGCTAGATGACCCTCTCCAGAAGGATCGTCGTGATTACCGTGTATGGAGAAGATGGGAATAGCGACGTTCATATCGAGATCTTCATAGTTGACATGGTTGAAAGCACCTTGAAAAGTCTCACTTGCATCACTGAGCATCTCCAACTCGCAAGGTTTGTCGCCAAAGCAATTCATCCTGATTGAACGCATCACCTGATACATCGACTTGCGGGAGGGCTTGTTCTCATGAAACAAGTCTCCTGCGAGCAGGACCATGTCGACGTCACGTTCCTTGGCCAGACACATCACCTCGTGGAAGCTTTTCCAGCTATCATCTCCACGGATAGGATCTCGCTCATTGTATCCGACATGGTTGTCAGTGGACACGAGTATGCGAATAGTTTCCGCTACGATCCAATATGAGTAATTGATCACCTTGAGTAGAGAAATAAACCGAGTCAGAGAGCGCACGGAAAGAAAGACATACCGCTCGTCGACATGATGCTAGATCCCCGTGTTTCGCTGTCCTATCTAGCATCCCCGTCCACCTGCTTCTCCCTATCTGGCTGGTAACTTCCAAGATATAGTGCTCCCCTGTCCTACCTTACTACCTTTTAGGCAGCTGTCTGCTGACTCATCCAGGAACGGTAGGTACAGTACGAGATTGGAAAGAGACTGAAAGATGATTCGGTCGGACGACTGAAGAGAACTTGATGCACGCGTCGCCTAATTACTCCTGTTCGAGACAAACAACGCTTCGGTTTGGAGACAAGGTATACATGTATCTGGGGGGCAGACCATGCTTGCCAGCAAATGACACTGAGCGTTGGAAACACGCGCGACCTCGCGGTATCACGTGATTAGAGACACGCGAAAAGCGGACAGACCAAATTACTACTTTAGGAAGGCGGTATTCATGATTGTCGAGACATGCCGCATTATGTCATCTTCCGCCCGTACCTACTAACTTCTAGTTAAGTAAATCTGGAGCCCGTCCACTCATGACTAAGATCGGGCTGACTCAAAAAGCTGCGATTAAATCAGGAGGTAACGATGAAGATTGGAAGGACTTTCTCGCGAGAAGCTTCGTACACGAGGTGGAAAAAGGTTTTCGTAGGCTTATTATTCTATGATGGAAAATCAATCTTTTCAGAATTGTAGAAACTTGCTCGAACACCATGCTAGACGAGTAACCTCTGTAACACCACCATAAACTTGTGAAGCAATCATGTCAGGATCGCTCAAACGTCCGATCAGTAAAGACTAAAGAGTCATCGATAAAACCTTTCACGGCGGTTGGCCACTGCGCGTCACCGTCTGAGGTCCGCCCTCTCCACCTTTCTCCCGCAATCGCGCCGCCACGCCCTTCTTTCTTTCCTCAACTTATCCCTCTTCTCCGATCATCGAATTCATTCGTCACAGCTCTTCTGCCTTGACTGATCCAGGTCCATCGCTGGCTCGGTCGCTCTGTATCATCTCATTCTCGTTCCAGATCTTTATATGCACTCAGAGTCTTCTGCCGTGTCCCAACATTCACCATCTATAGACTCGTCGCAAGCCAGTACACAACCTATCCAACATGGAAATGATCTTGACGATGCTGTCGCAGACCCCCATGATCTCCAACCTGGAGAGACTGGGGACTGCCTCGCAGTGGACTTTGTTGGACAAGAGTTTGGCGGCGAGCTTCTGAAAGACGCAATGTTCACCCCGCTTTCACCTGCTCAGCATGCGAGCGACTACGAAACTCCGGGGACACCGAGCAAGAACAGAGATGGCCTAGTCCCTCACGCTTCACCTTTGGGCGGCACTTCAAAAGTACCGCTCGAGACTCTGCCAAATGGTGAGAACGATGTCAATTATGGACTTGGCGATCGTTGTGAAGTACCTGCTAATCGATTCTACGCTGTTGCAGAGGTGCTCACGCATATTCTCTCGCATCTGCCCCCACAGTCCCTTTCGGCGATAACGCTGGTTTCGCGACGTTTCCATGCCTTGGTGACCACTCCTCATGCTTGGAGAATAGCCTTTTCGCGATTCTTCCCAGGCCCCCAGGCTATTGAGACTGGGCGCTCAAAAACGACCAACTCGGAGGACTTAATTTCCGACAGACGGTATTTTGCCCGTTTGACCGCGCTTGCGTCATGGCGGAGCGAATACATACTTCGAACACGTTTGATGAGATCCCTATCCCGTGGCAAGCCAGCACAATTCCAACCTGCAAAGAGGCAAGCTGCGGTTCGCTCCGCGAGTTCTCGTAACGGTAGTGCTGTCGCAACGTATCCTTCTCAGCTCATATTCCCAGTGAGCCACATGCATGGAACCTTCAACGGCCCTTCCAAAGAGCCCAATTTCATCCATGGTGCTTCTGAGCAAGGAATTGCCTCCGCCAGTGATCCATCAGCTGTGAAAGTCACCACATGGGGCATCTCTGATCACCAAATGTTCCGTCACTTCGCAGACAGCTTCCCGGGTGATGCGCCGTACGGTCTTGGTACTGGAGACATGATTGGTGTCCCTAATCCAATGGATGTTAGCCAGCCGTTCGGCATGATTTATGGCGAAGGTTGTCCTCAGGGCCGCAGCTATTTTATTTCAAGCGCCGAGCAACGTGGCCGTTTCCTCAATCCTTCAGAGTTGATCCCGCAACCAAGGTTGGGTATTCCTACTACGAACAATATCACTCAAGCTATCTGCTCCGTCTGGATTGCAAAGTCGGCGTCCATCCTGAAGGCGACGAATGGTCTAATTGCTATGATGACTGGTTCCTCTTCTGGTATTCTGACAGCCTACGCCATGGGCCCTCATCCGGTCTATGACAAGCGATACGAGAGAGGCCAAGTGACTGCCAAATGGGTCATCAGCCCCGGCGTGCCCATCATTGGCATAGCCGTCGACGATGAGTTCTCGAGTAAGCGGCACGCTCAGCGACGAATGTGGGCGGTGGTTCTCAACGCTCTTGGAGAGTTGTACTATTTGACGGATCTTCCAACAGATCCAGACGTTCCTGCTACCGTGAAATTGAGTGCTGAGCAGTATGAGGAGCTCGCGTGGAAAACGGGACGAAGTGTGCACTGGGAATTAGTGGAGATGAGTCGCCGTGTGGCTCGTCCAGATCCGTTCAGCCGCGATCTAGTTAATGGGAGCTACAGTCCACGGTCCTCGTCGGATTCTATGCAGCTTGACGAGAGTCAAATAGCCGCAGAAACCAAGGAGATAGAAAAATTCCTCACCTACAGACCAAAGCACTTCCGCAAAGTTTGTGAGAGCTGGAACATGCGCTGCGATCTTCATGTGGACTTCTCGGGGGACGATGGGGGAGGCCATGGCGAGTCTGCCATAGTGATCGCTAGGGGTGATGGCGACAGCGAAAGGGCATCTGTTCGGCGATATACTCGAGTTGTCCCAAAAGGCGATTCCGTTTTTGTTTCCTCGCAATCTTCGCGCGGCCCTTCTTCAAGAACTGCGAGTCAGCCACCGAGATCAATCTTTGGTGGACCTGCAACCCCCTCGGAGCCCACGCCCACGCCCACGCCTAGCATTCCGCCATCACGCTCATCGAGTCGATTCACCGAGCGACAGCGTGAAGTGAGCACAGAATGGCGAGTCTCAGAATTTACCTTCGGTGATCGAAAAGGCGTTGAAGTCACGACTACATCCATCGACAATTCCTCGTTTGCAGTACTCACCGCGCAAGAAGACCCACTGCTGGCCATGTCTGGGAGTACATTCTCATCGGCACTATCTTCGCCCATGCTTCCGCATCTGGACCAGCCACGCTCCGGTCATGAAGTGCCTGGCCAACGCGCACGCTACCTGGCGGCTGGTACTACTACTGGTGGAGTATTCGTGTGGGACGTTCGTGCGTCGCCGGCGCAAAGCCCCGAGGTGATCAATTCTATCTCCCCCTTGCGCATCATTCAAACGGAATCACCGCAGGTGTCGTGCGTTGCACTCACTTCCCTATATCTCGTACACGGTGGCAACGATGGCTTGGTGCAGGCCTGGGACCCTCTAGCCTCATCGACTCGGCCGATTCGGACCTTCAATTCTCGATTCTCTTCTCGGGCGCGACGGCGACTGGTGCAGGCCGAGGCTTCTGTGCTAGGAGTGGGAAACAATTACTTCGCCGCTGGCGCAATCTGCCTAGATCCAGATCCGACCGTCCTGCGCGGCATGGTCTCACTTGGTACCCATTTACGCTACTGGTCTTACAGCTCTACGGGTGCAGATCAATACAAATCTAGCAAGCGTCGACTTCGTCGCTCGCTCCGTGGTAGCAACGGCGCCGCGGACGGGCAGCGTTTCACGAACAGTGGACGCGGTGCCATTCGTGACTTTATAGAAGACGAACGATCCGAGTTGAAGCGCCAGGAAGTGGAGAGTGCAAAGGAACGCGCGCACCTGAGCGCTCGATTTGGAGTCGATCTCCTCGGCCCTGATGTGGACGAAGAGCAGCTTCTGCTTTATGCCAAACTTCTCAGCGAGGAAGCTCACGCAGCCAAGCAGGATGCAGCGCGTCAGGAGCAGGAGCTTCAAACTGCTATTGCGAGCTCCGCGACGAGCGCCTCCATAAGTGATGTTGCCGGGGGACACTCTTTCAGCCAGGCTGAGATATCGTCTTCCTCCTCTCCGTACCAGAATGCGGTGGACGAGAACGTAGATGAGGACCTCGCCGAGGCCATTCGATTAAGTTTACTCGATGAGTCAACCAAGCAAGACGTCACCGCCTCCATCCCAATCAAATATGCGAAGAACAGGGGCAGATCACGCAACTCATCATCCGGCTCAGGTGGAGAAGCGGGAGGTCCCGAAGGAAGCCGGAGACAAGAGATGGACGATCTTGAGTTTGCCATTCAACTCAGTCTGGCCGAGGATCGAAGTCGCACTGGAGTGACGGGAGAACCCCTCCGCGATGAATTCGAGGAATTTCCAGACCTATCTTCGGCAGCGCTATCGTCTTCTCAATCTTCGGGTAAGGGCAAGGGCAGAGCGCCAGCGTGGTAGATTAGCTTTCATTTCTTTGCCTTTTCTTTGCCTTTTCTTTCTTTTTCCCCTTTTTTTTCTTTTTCCTTTTCCGAGCAGTATTCATCAGCTGGCATCGATTCAGTGTTAATATCTCTTATCATAAATCTTGCATTCTGTGTTCGCTCATCATCTCTTTCGACGCTGGTAATACTGCTTTCCTTTCTCAGTTTCTTCACGCCGATATAGACTCGAAACACTATTTCCGAGTTCCCGGCCACGCACCGAGGAAGATATGAAAGGTGGATAAGTAATGAGATGACTCTGAGCCTAATTCGACCTCAGCGGAGTGCGATGGACATTCCTTGACGGACAGATCGAATTCCTCCATGAGGGCCCTATATGGATTACTCAGGTTCGTGCAGCACACTTAGTTCTGAAAAGCATTACATTATGGCAACAAGGGCCATTGTCGAATTGTCTTCGGCAACCATCGTTAAAAGAAGTATAGAAAAGTCCTGTCTGCCAAGAGAACAAAAGGCGGAGGGCACAAGCATAGACAAAGAATTATACCACATGATCACCGGGGGTCCATGGGGCAGGAAAGAAGAATGTATCAAGGTCTGTACAAACAAAACAAAGAGAAACGCATCGGGCTCACAGATTCGATCTGATTATCCCGATATACACTGTGGATATGGTTGCACACAGCGCAATACCGTAGCAGCGGCAACCGGTCAATGACTCTTTTTAGTGGCGATCTATCTACAGAAGAGAAGCGAGCAGCATGAAGAAGCCGCTCAACCCGCCAAGAGTCACAGCGGGGAAGCCGTTCAGCAAGGAGGCAGCATTAGTCTTGGTGGCGGTGCCGGAGGCAGACGACGCGGTATTGGTGCCCGAGGCGGATCCAGTCGCGGAAGAGGTAGACGACGAGTTCGAGGATGTGTCAGCGTTGAGGGCGGAAGGGGTGTTGACCGCATCGTTGGCGAGGACCTTGAGCTCCACGTTCTTGATCTCGTTACCGTTGTGGTCCACTACCTTCTGCGAGATCTTTCCGCCGGTGACGGGAACCAAGGAGCCGACTGGCTTGTTGGGCAGACCGTTCTTGATGTAGTCGGACACCTTCGACGGGGCCTCGGGCAGATTCCAGGCGTTGTAGAAGGTGGAGTTGGTGATCAGCGAGGGATCACAGGTGGGCGGGGTGACACTCGTCTGGGTGTCGTTGCTGGCAGAGATACGGCTGATGTCGAGCTTGTTGAATTGCTTCTGCAGATTGTCGTAGTCAACCAAGGTCTCCACACTGCCATCGTTTTCGATCTTGACCAGACCGAACTCGTTCTCTTCCTGGGTCCATTCGTACACCAGACCGCCCGAGAAGGCCTGAGTCATTTCCTCGCCGTACAGGGCCTGGACCTCGGTGAAAATACGAGGCTTGACTGCGTTGCAACCATACTCGGAGAAGAAGACGGGCAGGGAGGCGTTGGAGAAGTCCTGGGTGAGTACATCATAGCCGCTGGACTTGTAGGAGGCATCACCGCACCAGGAGTAGGAGTTCAGACCGAAGAAGTCGGCGCGCGAGCTGGTGGAGTTCTTCATGTCGCATTCGAAGTAATTGGAAGTGTCCATCAGGATATCGCGGACGTCAGCTGCAGAGTAGCCAACGGGGATGGCACGGTCGGCCTGCTTGGCGATGTAGTCTTTCATATCCCGGATGACAGCGCGCACATAAGCGGGAGCCAAACGAGTGGCATCCTCATTGATCACTTCGTTTCCGGCGAAGAAGCCGAGGACGTTATCGAAGGTCTTGAAGGCCTCGACGACACCGAACACCTGTTTGTAGTAGGCGTTGGTGTAGGTGGTCCAGGGGGCGGTCCGATCCAGATAACCATTGGTGAGAGGCGAGTTCACGTCGAGGATCATGTAGATACCGGCCGCATTGAAGATCGAGGCACACTTGTTGTGATCGAGGGAGGGCTCGAGATTGTACACACGAATGGTATTGACCTGCATGCCGAGGAGGAGAGGGAGGCGGCGCGGTTAGTGGATTCGTTCCTTCTCATTGAAGCGGTCGCTGCTTCTTTGCACTTACACCCAGACGCTGCATGAGGGCGGCATCGCGCATGCAGATGTCGCCATTGCTCAATGGATCACTGTCCTTGGAGAACCCCGAGGAGCCACCAGGCTGGTAACTATGGCGAGTGAGTTAGTCTTGCCATGCGGTTTCTGAGTTCGGCCATGTCTCATGGACCCAAAGCACGGGCGCAAAGGCGAAGAGCGGAACGGAGCCGTGATGGGCGCGCTCCTGGGGGCGACTGCGCAGCCGCGGCCCAATTGAAGAGACGGCAAGAAATAGAGCAAGATCTTACTCGACACCCAGGATCTGGAAACGGTCACCCGTCTTGGAGTTCACAAAGTCCTTGCCTTGGACCTTGAGGGGGGTCACTGCAGCGGCAGAGCCGGCGAGAGCACAGATGGCTGTCAAAAGACCGGAGTATGACTAAAACACAATTGAATCGTTGCAGTCTGTTAGCGACTGTGGCTATGTGCTTCAGAGAGTGCGATCTGGGATCACGACCGTGTAGTTATGGATTGCGAGGTGAAGGGAATTGGCTTACGGCAACCATTTTGAAAGAAGTCCGAAAGAATCGATGCGATTAAAATGCAAGTCAACGTGGGATCAATGAAGCCGAAGAAGGTGTCGGGGCAATGCAATTCAAGGCTGTAGAGACGATGGATGCCTACGACTGGAGTAATGAACGAGAGACAAGACACCGCAGACGAGGATGAGCGAGTGACAGGCGATGTAGGAATCGACCAAATGGAAAGAACGCAGCACAGCAGGAAGCAATGCGGAAGGAGGAGGAGCAGAACGAAAGAAACTCCTACCGTCACACTACCTGACCGTACTATTATCCAGCGGGGGGACGAAATGAAAGTGGGCACTCTTTCTAGAAAAAAACAGGCACGAGGGTGAGGCAGTGGAGATCAGGCCGAGTCAACCGCAGATTAGGCGGAGAAGCAGTTCTATTTCAACGGAGGAATCCTGAGTACTATACCACCTGTGGTTCCTGAGGAGGTACCTCAGGTGAGACTACGTAGCGAGTACTAAAGGTAAGTGCTGAGTACAGCCAGGTTGGTACTTGGCAAGTATGGTAGTAATACTCTCTGCGTCCGCCGGGTTAGTACTAGACTCAGCACTGACATCCGACTTAAAAGGAGGTTTTGCCCCAGCGTCGGTTTCACATTGAGCCGTGGGTACCAGCCAGATATTTCAAGGTACCTCTACCGTAGCCTCCTGGTTCTTCGACAAAGCTACTTACACTCTACCACAGTATGACTACAAAGTACATACTGTATAGTGTATACTACATAGTCATACTACATCTTACATAGTATTCATCTATAAATGCTGGTGCCAATTGAGATATGATTGTAAATAGCACCACATCACGACCAGGCCGAATCTGTTGTGGCGGCTTGAAGGCTCTCTTTCATGCACAAGACTAAGGAGACCATGGAAGATGACCGACTTGAGTCAATGGAGAGACCTGACCAATAAGTGGAGCTGATGGAGTCATGAACCGGTCCGCAATATCAGACATCGGCAGGTTAGCGCCATCAATGCCGATAATGCCATCCCAGGGTTTCCCATCAAGCATGAAAGATAGCCCCAGAGTGGTGGGGCCGATGCCATGGAAGGAAGTGGACATCAGAGCATTTACAGATATCGATCCCAGTCATGATTTGTAGGTCAAGACTCAAGAGTCCACAACTGCACACACCAAACGGACTCAACGCCACCCAGCTCTCGCCGAACGACTTGCTACACCCTACTTGGAACGTGGGACCTTCCTGGCTGAAGCAAACTGGAAAAACCTGGTCTATCACCTCACCAGATTCTGATACCTGGTCAGGTGTAGGTCTCGAAAAATCACATAGTCTTCATTTCGATCTAAAAATACATGCCGTATATCCATTGCGCTCTTCGCTTTTTGGCCCCTGGCGAAGTTCAAATGGTGGGGAGAAGGGAGAAGGTTACCTGACAAAGAAAAGAGAACCATGCAGAAGTAGCCACAAATCCCAGGGAGAAGAATCAACAACAAGACCGAGTCCGGAGCCTCATGGGAATATTCCTTCACATACAAAACCCCGGAGTGCACGGAAAATCCAAGGCGCCGAGAACCTCCTGATCCCACGGCCGCTGGGTCAGGCCCGCAACACGAATAGATGTACAGAAGACAGAAGCCCAGGCAATGGAGAGGAAGAGAGAAAGAGAGAGTTGGAAGGCTGAGAAGTGGAGAAAAGAAGCAGAGCAGAGTCCTGAATCCCATAGTCCCCGGGCAGGCGGCATGGGATAAATGAGAGAGGAGGAGGAGAAGGAGGGCGAAGGGAGGGAGACGGAGAAATTAATGCAAGCGGATGGAGCCACCAACGGTCAGGATCGTCATCAATGTGCCCCGTTGCATGGCACTGGGTCAATTCATATGAATTCACCAAGGCGAAGGGCCTCTGCAGGATCTTGGCTCACGGGACCACTGCGACAAAATGGACGTGAACAGCTGTCTTACTCAACACCGTGGTTGTCAGAGCCGCCAACAGACTCCTCGCCGCCAGTGAATGAGCCACCCAGGTTGAGGCTCGTGTCCATCGCGACCATCTCAGCCAGGATCTCCAGGCACTCCTTGGGCACGGTCTTGTCGTAGATAGAGATCAGGTCCTTGGGCTGGGGATACACCTTGAGAGCCTTGTAAAAGGCAAGGGCAGCCTCAATGTTTTGGGAGCCTGTCGAAAGAATCACAAGACACCAGTCAGTTCTGTTTTTTTTTTCTCTGGTCCAGCGTTTATCGCTCATCGATAGAATTTCAGTTCACGTACCCTCGGCACACAGACCCTCGCCCTTGGCAACCTGGTTCATAAAGTAGGATTCCTTCTCCTCCAAATCAGTGGGGAAACCTTCCTCCTTGGCTTGCTGGACAGCCCGCTTGATCGCATCACGGCGCGCAGCGCCGTGGGCGGCCTGCTCCTCCTGGACCGCCTTGGCCAACTTGCGGTTATTGCGCTTCAAGGACTTGCGGAACTCAGGATCGGTCTGTCGCTTATGATCGAAGTAGGCGGCATAGGCTGTGAAATAGGACAAGATTAGCCAAAAAAAAACTGATTCAAGCAAGGATACTTCTGCTCGCGTCGATGCCTCCCGAGTGACAGTATTGATGAGGAGGTAGATGAAGGTCCTTACCAAGTAAGCCGGTGACGATGGCACCGGCGGAAGCCGCGATCAGAACTGATGTGCGCATATCGCCGAGATTATGGAAATCTGTGGAGGTTCGCGAAGGATTCACTGATCAGATCAAGAGAAGATTGTATCAAGGCAAGGATACGACGGTGAGGTGCGAGCCGTGACGTGAACGAGAGTCCGACTGGAGGAAGCTGGTTCGGCAGTGTTTGGGCACGACAAATTTGAGGGAGGATTTACGTTCTTCCGTCGGGTTCATCCAACCGGCAACGCCGTCATCACAGATAATGGTCACATCGCTGCTAAGATGGGATATACGTTTTCCAAGCCACGCCTTTGACTAAGATAGGCAGACAGTCCAAGTGACTTAAAAGGGCCTCAAAACAAAGTAATTTGATTCAGAAGAGTGAGGTCAAGCGGAATCAGTCGCTCCCTTAGGCGACTACTTTCACGTCATATGAATCTTCTCAGGGTCGGTTCGAAGAACCTAGCGTGCATGAATAAGTACTTAAGACTTGCAGGGAAGCAGTGTCAATTCAGAGCGAGTCAGTCTCGACATTTCAGTCTAGATCACTTCGCTCCAGTACAATGAATTGGTAGCCCTTGTAACAGCGTAAAGCTCTGGACATCAATGCTGTTCAGGGTTTCTCGGAATGGCTGTTCCCTACAATCACGATTCACTACATACTTTGTCGCAAGTTGAAACTACCTCCGGCCTCGCCCGTCGACGCGCTATACCCCTTTCGGGCCGGAACCTCTTGGAGCTCTCTCCAATACATGGAATGGAACTCCGGAACTGACTGAAACCTCGAAAGATAACACCTCTTCCGCCCTGGCGATCGTGAACAACTCTCGAGTCCCCACGCCCGGTTGATCTCGAAGGGTATTGATCACTCTCGATCATCTATGATGGAAGGCCGCGGGTTGACTCTTCGAAGTAAAAATCGCCGACCACGACCACAAATCAGTGCTCCTCAGCCCATCGCGGGTCCCTTGCCCCCCAATACACGAGCGCCCGATGCTCCCCAAGACTCCGTGCCGGTCGGTCGCGAGCGTGCCCCCCAGAGCGAGGCCACCTCAGACTTAGTCAAGCGTCGTTACTCAACTCGGTTCAATGCCGCTCCTGAGTTTGACCTGGGCGCTCCTCCTGTCCCAGCTCTACCGTCCAAGCCCAACGGTGGCTATGGTGGGCTGGGACCTTCAGCGGGCGATTCAAGCCAGCCTGCCCCCGCAGATGGCGTCTCAGTGCCTCTCAAGGTGGACATGAATGCGCTTCTGGATCCCAGTCTACCGGCTGATCGATGTATGTCATGAACCTTAGCTAAACCGTATCCATGCAGTGCAGTGTGCCCCCGGCTGATCAACGCTCGTCGCAGATGTGGCCAGTCTTCTAGCAAATGTCTCCGAGGAGGAGATCCAGAAGTACCAGGAGAATCTCCGCAAAGTTAAAAACCGGACGTCCACCGATCTGCAACAGAACGTTTACCAGAACCGGACCCAATTCATCAAGATTAGTAAAGAGGCTGAGAAGCTCAAGGACGAAATGCGAACGCTGCGCACCCTCATGTCCGAGTTGACCACGGCCCTCGGACAGACCTCAGTGGGCAATACGCCCAACCCCATGTCCCCTGCCGATGAAGCCTTTCCCAAACGTAAAACGAATCGCAGCTCGGTTGCCAATTTGGAAAGCATGTGGAGTGTGCAATTGCAAACTCTATGGAAAACGGTGGAAGGTTCACAAAAGTTCTTGCCCGCGGTGCCTGGGCGACATATTGTGCTGGAAACGGGCAACTGGGCCGAGCTGGACTCGGCGACGTGGAAACCTAAGCGGCCGGTACATATTGTGCTCCTCAATGACCACTTGCTGGTGGCCGCAAAGAAGCGGAAACGCGTCGATCAGAGCCAGTCCAACCACCGAGGCCCGATCCCGACTAAGCTCGTGGCGGAAGAGTGTTGGCCGCTGCAAGACATTGACATGATCGACCTGGCCGCAAACCTTGGAACAGGAGCCGCTCGAGAGGAAGCCCTGGATCGTGGTATTGGCAATGCAATTAGTATACGAGTGGGCTCTAAGCCCTATACGTACCGTCAAGATAAGCGGGATACGTCGACAAAGCACGAGTTGCTTACGACTTTTCGCAAGACGGTGGAGGATTTACGCCGAAACTTGCGCAGTGAGACGGAGGCCGCAAGCAAACCTCACGAGGCTTACGGGCATCTGACTGGGCGTCATCTATCATACGCACAGAAGCTGGAGGGGGATGAACTAGTGGACGGTCCGCGCGATAAGCCGGACCTGCGCATCGATGTTGATGGCAAGCAGCAGAATCTCCGCTGGGTAGAAGGACAGGTGGATGAACTGGACATTGACATTGCCCTTCAGAACTTCGAAGCGGCAGTGTCCAGTATCGAGCGGTTACGGAAGCTTGCCAAAGGCTTGAAGGGGAACACGATCGCTCAAGAAGTGATCAACGTCAAGATTGATGCACGAGCGACACGGCTCGCTGGCATTCTTTCTCGGTCCTTGGTTGACACGCACTCGTTTTTGAGTGCCACCAAGACCAAAATCAGTTGGCTCAGCCGTCTCGGATTTGAAGACCCAGCGCGTGAGACCTATTTGAAGGCGCGCACTGATGTGGTTTCTCAGCGGATTCGGTATGTGCTCACGGTTACTCCATCTTGGTTGGGGGGTGTTTTTTCTGCCTCTCCATTGCTAACTCATTGGCCTTGTAGAGCTTGCGTTTTCGAGGGTGATCTTCCCCTCTACATTTTCCAAATCTCATTCGTTTATTTCACATTGATTAAGAACACCATCGGTATCTACCAGCAGTGTTTTCCCAGCGTGATGACCAGTTCCTGTATCCGCTGGGCAAAGTCACACTTGGATGGGTTCAACGCATTGCTTAGCCGTCAGCTGAGTAGCGTACAGCGCGGCACTTCTGTGTGGGACAAGTGCATCGGCATTGTTCATGAGCATGCGGCTCTTTTGACGGAGGTAGGTGTCGATTTCACCGATCTTGTTGCTCATGGATTGGATGAACACCATGACGATGGACCGCGGGCTGTTCAACCAAGTCAAGTAGCTCAAGTTCAGGGATCGGCAAGTTAATGCATGAGCCGTCCGCCCATATCTTATACAATGCTTAACTCGAAACGCAATGAGATCTCCAATTTGAGCGTTCCATTCGACCCGATGGGTAGGCACTACATGTAGGCAGTAGATCATTGACGCTGAGATACAAAGCACCTAGCACGAGAAGATTTAGACGCAGGGGCCAGAAAAAAAAGGACAGCTCTCTCTGTCCATGTCAGGGACAGTCTTTATTCACACTCTATATCTACAGGTCTATATCCAGACTCCTTGGTCTATTTCTCTCGCGACATTAGAAGCATCCTTGACGCACAGCTTATATCGTACAGTATCTGAACCTTTCAAAGTCATCGTGATCAGCGGGTCTTGTTCCCCCAAGCACACTCGACTTGTCACTTTCCGCTGGGAACTCGCCCGCAGGAGACCAAACCAGATCCCAGATCTTAGGGTCGCTCAACACGCTACTTTCCTTTAGCATTCCTGTGCGGAAATCGCCCGACTCTGGCCCCGTGATTGATTCAGAGGGTAAACGCATGAAGTATCGGACGCTATCGGGAATCTCCTCTTTCACATGACTGATCAGGACCAGTGCCTGCTCTTCTGACAGGCCGTGGAGACGCGTGGGAATGCCGCGCGGCATTGGATGACCTAGCCCTGTTTCACCCTTTTCAAGGAAGTGCAGACACTTGTCTCTCTGAGACGCCGTGAGGCCTGAAAAGGGTTCATCGAGGATGACAATGTCCGCTTTGTGAATGAGTGCACGCAGAAATAGCACGATTCGCTGCTGTGCGACGGTCAGCTGGCCGAAGGTGATGTTATCGGCGTAGTCCACTTGGTATTCGAGAGGATTGTAAAAGTCCGAGGTGGGTTTTCTCAGCCTTCGACTGCCTTCCGGCTCAAGTCTGGGCAGTAATGAATTGTCCACAACCACGGGTGCCGCTTCCTCGAAGGCTGCGTTGGGATCGAGCTCTTCCTTAAAGGCCCGGAGGGCTGCGCTTACGTCCAGATCTTTCTCATAGTCTAGCTTGGGCTTCGAGAGAAACGTCTCGGCAAACGCCGACTCGAGAGCCTCACGTACAGTCAACTGGCGTGGGAAGAATGCTTGAATCTCGGGTGATGAATGGCCGAGTCGGGCTTGCAACTCGAAGATTGATATGCCGGGCTGACCCGCTTCAGGAAGACGAGATCGGCCAAACATCTTTATCGGCTGGGAGTAAGTCTGAGGGTGATCCGAGGTGATCAAGGAGAGCAGGGTGGTCTTTCCTGAACCATTAGCCCCGAGAATGGCCCATCTTTGGCCTCGGCGTAACCGCCAGTGCAGGCCTGGGCAGGTTTCATTATGAATTTTCTGCTGCCAGTCACCAAGGACGACCTTGTCACCGTACCGGACACGAACCCCATCCATTTCGATGAGAGCTTCTCCGCCCGCTGATGCCGGGCCTTGACTGGAAGCCTTGCGAGACTGATCTAACGTGAAGTCATAGAGCAGCTGCTCATCGAGGTTGCCGGACTCAAAATGTGCCCGAAATTCGAAGAGCTTGTCTCTTTTCTCCGCATCCTTGGGTGTTCTGTGGCCCTTCACGGGCATTTTCTGCCATGCTTTGAGAGTGGCCACGATATCCGATTTGGGCCCTTGCTGCAGGATCCGCTGTCTCTTGCCAACTAACACAATGTGAGAAATCCAGTCCGGCACATGGTCCTGCGGTCGAAGTGCTAGCACCAAGCGAGGTGATTGTTTTTCCGCCAGCCGATGGAGCAGGCTTGAGATGCTGCGGGTTGTGGCAGGGTCCAATCCCACTGAAATAGCAAGTCGTCAGCTTTCCGGTTGTTGTTTTCTCCTCGTCCCAGCGAGGTGCACTTACTGAAAGGCTCATCGAGAAGCAAAAGTTCTGGCTTCTCGAGCAGAGCTCTGGCAATGCGTGCCCGTCGCGTTTGTCCGTTACTGAGATTGGCAACTGGCATCGAAAGCAAGTTTTCCAGGTGCAACTCTGCAAGTACTTCTTGCAGCAACTGTTCATCCTTCAATGTACCATGTTCTTCTCCTTCGGGGGGTTCAAATCTGTTTGACCGCGAAGATATTGTTCCACCGACCAATCGGTCTCCTCCCGGAAGCTCTCATACCGAGCACTCAGGTATGCGCCGCGCGTTCCCCCAATCGCACCTGAACCCTCTCCGCTGAATCCAATGTACTGAATCGCATTCCCAACTATGCGCAGTCGAGGATCTTTGGCAGCGATCTCGTCAGAAAGCAAGTAAGGATATGATCGTGCGGTTGGCGGTATCGCGATGTGCTTGCCGCGGAGAATGTCGAGCAGATCTGTTCGCCCGGAGGGCCCAACCACTGCCCAATGCTGAAGAGATGGCTTCTTATCGTTTGAGGAGAGGATTGCACCAGCGGGTAGATTGAAATTGAGATTGGGGTATAAGGGGTGGTTTGTTGCAGCGTTGTCTTCAGTCGGATATTGCTTGTAAAACGTCCCGTTTTCGATGCGAATCAGCGGCTGTGGCGCCGACGATTTGAACCGCACAGTACGAAACCCAGCGGGTCGTAGCAAGCGCGATCGCAGGCACGTCCGTTGCAGCATAGCGTGGTGATGGAGGCGGAGAGAAGCAAGGCGATTTTTAACGCCTGGGGAGCTTCAGAGGCTCCAAAGGGCCATCCGTCATCATCGGATATTCGGCGTTAAGCAGCGTCACGTGCCAGGTTTGCTTCTCTTTCCTCCGGAAGACGGAGCAAGCTGACATCTCGGCGACAGGAATTGTTAGAAATGCGCGGACTGTGAGTGGAGTTTCAGTCTCTAATTAAACCTTTCGGAAGCAAGAGCCCTCAAAGACGAGATCTCCAGATTCGCGTGGTGTTCAAAGGTATTCCATTTCCTGTCCGGAGCCAATAGATGGGTATATTTTCAAGTTGTCTACCTCATCTTGAAACGACTCCGACTCCGTCAGATGCAGGTGGATGGACGCATTTCTCCGTGGTGGTTCTGGCTCTGTTAATTTAAGTCGAGTATTAAACTATACGAAGCTACCTATTAGGTTTACCCTGAATGCCATCCACGAAACAGCCCAATGCAAGCTACATTGGATCGACGGGATGTCACAGCACGCGACAGTAAGACTTGAATGGATGGATCGTCCTCGGATCTACTCTGTGACCGATCGGCATCTACAAGTATGGCCGATCAACTCCACCTCGGCCCGCCAACGCCTCTCCTTGGCCGGTTAAGTCATGCGAGGCCAAGTCAATCTGGCCGTTCACAGTGCTCTGTTCTTTGAATGCCAGATACATCCGCGCCAGATTACAATTCTTGTGGGCAAATTTCAAGCATTGGCAAACTCGATTCCATCATTATTGTGCGCATTCGGGACCTCCAGTTCTCCAAATCACTTTGCTCCATACTTCCACCTGGATATATTCGAAGAGCTCCACGCTCCGTCTCGCAATGCCTATCCCCTCATTACCAGTATTCGTCGCTGCGCGGCAAATTGCCATAGACAATCCTGAGCACATTGCAATCATTGATGTGTCGAAGGGCCAATCATTCACCTACACTCAACTCCTCGAAAATGCTGCGGCTCTGAGCAAGCTTATCATTGAAACTCTTGGCTCGGCGTCAACAGGCGACCTCAACGAGCAGCGGGTTGCATTTCTATGTCCCGCCGGGTATGACTACGTTGCTACGAGCTGGGCTGTTTGGTCAGCTGGGGGAGTTTGTGTACCACTCTGTAAGATCTTGACGGTGTCTTCGACCTTATCAGGTTTAGATCTCCGTCTCTCACAATGCTCACTATGTGCTTGACTTAGGTACATCTCATCCGGTTAAGGAGCTCTTGTACACAATCCACGATTCAGATCCATCATTGGTCATTATTCACCCGACCTTTGAAAAAATTGCACCCGAATTACGAAAGGCAGTCTCTCTACATGTTCCATTCATGGGACTCGACCCGTTCACACGAAACGACAACCCCTCATTGCCATCCTTCTGCGCATCTTTCCCGCTGGACCGGCGAGCCCTGATGATCTATACAAGTGGAACGACTTCCAACCCCAAGGGCTGCGTCACCACCCACGAAAACATAACATTCCAGGCTAGCTGTCTTGTTAAAGCCTGGGATTATCGACGCAGTGATCACCTCATTCATGTACTGCCACTGCATCATGTTCACGGTATCATCAACGGACTTGCAGCCTGTCTGCTCAGTGGAGCTAGTGTGGAAATGCATCCAAAGTTCGATCCAAAGGTGATCTGGCAACGCTGGCAGCATTGCGAGACTTCGACCATGTTCATGGCAGTGCCCACCATCTACTCCCGGCTGAACGATTACTTCGACGCCCATATTCGAGGCACTGACGACGAGCAAGGCGCGCGCGCGGGGGCACAGACTTTGAGACTCGTCGTCAGCGGATCAGCTGCCCTGCCAACGCCGATCAAGGCCAAATTTGCCGAAATCACCGGCCAGATACTGCTGGAACGCTACGGTATGACTGAAATTGGGATGGCTCTTAGCTGCGGACTGAAGCCCGAAGAACGAATCGACGGCAGTGTTGGCTGGCCATTACCAGGGGTGCAGGTTCGCCTCACGGAGAAAGACACGGGTCGAATCATCGATGGGCCCAACGAAGACGGCATGATTGAAGTTCGAGGGAGGAACGTCTTTCGGGAGTACTGGAGGAGACCGGATGCCACGGCCAATGAATTCACGGGAGATGGCTGGTTCAAGACGGGCGATTGCGCTTTACGCGACTCGAACGGGGCCTACTACATCCAGGGCCGTGCGAGTGTGGATATCATCAAGTCTGGAGGGTACAAGATCTCTGCCTTGCAGGTTGAGCGAGCCATGCTCGCTCTAGCTCAAGTCCAAGAAGTAGCTGTAGTAGGTTTGAAAGATGAAGAATGGGGAGAGCGAGTAGCTGCAATCGTTCGATTTCGTGAGGTAAGTCCAGCAACTTGGGCGTGATCTTGCCCTTCAACCTCCTTTGGGGGTCTGTCCGTTTCTTAATCTTTCTCGTTGGAAGTCTTCTCTTTCATCATGATCGCTGACGCTGTGCCAGGGAGCTGAGTTGGACCTGCCATCATTGCGCACGGAACTTAAGAAGGAACTTGCCGCTTACAAAGTGCCCACGGTCATGAAAAGGGTGGATACGATAGCTCGCAACGCCATGGGCAAAGTCAACAAGAAGCTTCTCGTTCAGGAATATTGGCCAACTCACGCTTGAGACGGATTGGGGGCCAGGGAATGGCCCGTGTAATTCTCTATGAATGTATGGACGACACGTCGAGTACGTTGAATCACGCCCCTTCGCTAGACCAATACAGATATAGATCGTGAATCTATTTTGGAGGTCGATTTCCAGAGCCAAGACTTGTACTGGGACCACCATGATGAGTGTATGATGGTTGGCCTCAAGCCTTCTTTTTGCAAGACCTTTTAGCACCCATGTCAAGATTTGATAAGCATACTTGATACCGAAGATTGACGGGAATGGCATAGTGAAAGCGTCGGTAGCGGTGTTGCGCAACCGCAAAAGGCATTTCACTGTATAAGTGAGCAATGATTGCTCACGGGATATCCTAATGAAGCGTTTTACACCCTGGAACTCGGCCAACGTCGAATCTACTCACTTTAGAAGACTACAGAAAAGAAAGATATGATGGGTGATCAAAAACGGACCGAAGTCCTGGTGACTTGATTGGGTCAATGTCTCGCTCCGCGCCCGCGCTTGGAAAAGACAGTCGACTCCGCAAAAAAAAAAAAGAAAAGAAAAGAAGAGAAAAAGTAAAAAAAAAGAACCCGACGACACAACGTGTCGTGCAGGTGAGCACCAGTATCCAGCTGGTCTTGATGCAAATGATCTTCCCCCGATCAAAAGACCAGATCACTTCAAATAAAGTCTCACTTCCATCTATGCATCCCCAAGCACACAGAGCGCCATAGGAAGATCCCCCGGTCCCCCCAAACCCGAGCAAAACCCAATCCAGCCGAGAACCGCCCAAATAGGAAAAAGAAAAAAAAAACACGCCAAAAACAAACCGAACGCAACGCACGCCACGCAAAAAACACGAGACACAGACAGAAAACATCACACACATGACACATAACACATAACACATAACGTGAATCTCTGAAAGTCACATAAATACAGAGATATACATACGGCACAGAGCCATAGAATTCATAAAACCAAGATTCTCTAATCTTTACATCTCAAAACGTTCTATCGACGTAGCTGCACCTACGGGAAGACAGAACGAGCACAGAAAACTTTTGAACAAACACGCAGCGGAAAAGCAGACGCAGGTGATCCGGGAAAAATCATCGAGAGATAACGCGCTCGGAGGGTCGTCAGACTCAGGAAGGTGTAAGAGAGGGGATCGGGTAGGTATAATTAGTGAGCCAGGACCAGGGCGAGCAACGCCATTCGGCAGTAGAGGCCATATCGCATCTGCGGGCGAGAAGTTAGTTGATACTCATAAAGACGTCAAGGGGGGAATGACAGAGATCTTACCTGGCGGAAGTAGGCAGCCCGTTGGTCGAAATCGACCTCCTCGGCAATCTCGGCGTTGCGAGGCAAGGGGTGCAGAACAACCATGTGACTCTTAGCGTGCTTCAGCAGAGCGTTGTCAATGATGAAGCTGTTCTTCAGACGGTCATACTGCGCAAGATCGGCGAAGCGTTCCTTCTGCACACGAGTGGAGTATAGGACGTCAGAGCGAGCGACGATCTCAGGAGTCAACTCCTCGGACTCGCCGACAAGCTGGCCAGAGGCGACGATCTGCTGACGGACCTCCTCAGGCAGGGCCAACTCCTTTGGAGAAACAAGCTGGATGCGGACATCATAGAACTGAAGCAGCTTGATTAAGGAGTGGACAGGGCGACCATATTTGAGATCGCCTGTGAAGGTGATGGTCAAGCCGGTAACGGTACCAAGCTCCTCGCGGATAGTGAACAAATCCAGGAAAGCCTGGGTGGGGTGCTCAAGAGAACCATTACCACCGTTGATCACGGGCACTTGGGCGAACTTGGCCGCCACGCTGGTGCTAGAGGGCTCAGGGTGGCGAAGGACCACCGCATCGGCATAGCAACCGAGAGTGCGCAGAGTGTCCTGAAGAGTCTCGCCTTTCTGGGTAGAAGAGTGCTCGGTGGAGATGGGGATGGTGCGACCACCAAGACGCTGCATCGCTGCATCAAAGGAAGCGGAGGTGCGGGTGGAGGGCTCGTAGAAAAGGGTGGCGAGAACGCGACCCTTGAGAATGTCAAGAACACCGTGGCGCTGGACACCAAGACGCATTTCCTGGGCAACGGTGAACAGCAGGTGCAGGTCAGAGCGAGTGAACTGGTTCACAGACAAAACATGCTTGCCGCGGAACGTGGACCGTGACAGCATATCGGAAAGCGCGGAAGACACCTGGGAAGATGCCGCGTACAAGGGAGGTCCAAGCTCGCCAACAGTAGGGACAGCCGCATCCAGGGCGCGGGCACGAGCATGGCGGCTAGGGGTGGTGTGTCGATCAAGAGCACTCTCCGGACGAACCATTGGGGTGGTGGGCTTGTGCACAGGCGAGGAAGGAACGATGCGGTGGGTGGACATGTCAGAGCCCTTGATAGCATCCTTGGCGAGGAGGCCGTCGAGACAGGAGGTCTTGCCTTGGAAGACGACACGCTGGACGGAGCCACGCATCATCTTGCCGTTGAATGGGGACCATGTGCCATTGGGGCTCTGGAACACGTAAGGGCGATCGATCTCAATCTCGAGAGATGAGTCGGCCTGATCGTGCAGCTCAAAGATCTTCTTTGGGTTGTCATGGAGGCGAGCGGTGACATCGTCAACAGTCAAGCGGCCCTCGGCAACGGCGCTGAAGAGTAAGGGCAAAGACTCGGCGATACCAACTTCGGGGGTTGCGTCCTTACCAGCAAGCTGGTAGGGAATGCTACCGATGGAGAAGACATCAATGGTGCTCATGTGGTCCCACAGAGCCTTCTGATCCTCAGCGGACGGCAGGGAGCTGCAGGCAGGGTGGTCGTCCTGGGATAGGAAGAGGGAGAAGATGGAGACATCGCAAGTCACCTTAAGACCCTTCTCTTTGCTGAGAGCAATCAGGTTGATGTCCTCCTTGGAGGTGACACTCATGACGTGGATGTTGCGGCTGTGGAGACTGGCCAGCAGAAGGATCGATGCCAGATCGGTACCCTTGGCGTCGGTGATCAGAGGCTTGCTCGAGGGCCAGACGCCAAAGTGCTTAGTCACAGTAGCGACCTTGTTGATGTTGCCAGACAGGTGATTGAAGGGAATGAAGAGGGAGCCCACCTCTCCAGTCACTTGAACAATCTGGTCGGAGTTGTCAGCAGTGGCAGCCACAGACAAGTTGAAGTCACAGTATGACTGGTCCTGGGCGTTCTGCTGGACAATCTTCAGGTCACTAGCTTCAGTGATTGATCCCTCAACACCAACGGGCATGACTCGGACCATGCTGAAACCAGCGGCAACGGAGGCCTTGGTGACCTGCTCGAAGTCCTTGGAACCGAGAGTGGTCAGACCAGGAACAAAAGCGGCAATGTTGATCAGACCAGGGAGCACAACAGTGCGGTGGCTAGTCTGGAAGTCACCAGTCTGAATGTTCAGAGGGTAGTGCCGAGCAATAGCTTCAATCAGGATCTTAGCGTTCTTGACGTTGGTTACCAGCGGTGTCTGGTAATCAACAGCCATACGACGAGTGCGGTAACCCTTCGACATGTAGTTGGCAGGGCGGCGGAACCGGTTGCTGGAAGGCAAGTTGATGTAGAGATCGATCAGGTTGTTAGACAAGTGCTGGGTCAGAGAATACTCTGACTTGATGTCGTCGTCCTCACCGGGCAGAATCTCGAGGTACTTGACCGGGACACCGTGCTCCTTCAGGAAGTCGGCGGTACCGGCAGTGGCGAACAGATTGTAGTCAAGCTGGTGCAACTTCTGGATAGAAGGCAACATCTCCAGCTTCTCCTTGTAGGATCCAATGGAGAACAGAATGTTGCGCTTGGGCAACTTGAATCCCGTAGAAAGAAGCGCCTTGAGGTAGGCCTCGTACTTGTCACGACCGAATGAGGCGACTTCACCAGTGGAGGCCATCTCGACACCAAGAACGGGATCAGCACCAGACAAACGCGAGAAAGAAAACTGCGGAACCTTGACGCCGACGTAGTCCTTGGGCACATTGGTGGGAGGATATTCCTGGAATGGAATATTGATCATAGCCTTGGTGGCCATCTCGATCAAGTCGACACCCATGACCTTGGAGACGAAGGGGAACGACCGCGAGGCCCGGACGTTGCATTCGATGACCTTGATATCATTGTCCTTGGCAATGAACTGGATGTTGTAGGGACCAGTCACATTGAGGGCGTTACCGATCTTGCGAGTTGCCTCCTCGATACGACGAACGGTCTCAGGGCTCAAATCCTGGGGAGGCAGGATCAGAGTAGCGTCGCCGGAGTGAACACCAGCATTCTCAACGTGTTCCGAGATGAAGTGACCAACCATGACACCGTTGCGAGCGACAGCATCCATCTCGATCTCCTTGGCATTTTCGATGTACTTGGTAATGACAACGGGGTGCTCGCGAGAGACATCTGCGGCCTGGTTCAGGTAGTTGGCCAGGTCGTGCTCAGAGTAGACCGTGTTCATGGCCGCACCTGAGAGCACGTACGAGGGCCGCACAAGCACGGGGTAACCGACCTTGTCACAGAAGGTGCGCGCCTCTTCAATGCTGGTCAACTCCTTCCAGGCAGGCTGGTCGACACCGATGCGGTCAAGCATGCGTGAGAACTTGTAACGGTTCTCGGCACTATCAATCATCTCAGGTGAAGTACCGAGGATGTTGACATTCAGGCGGTGCAGGGGCAAAGCGATGTTGTTGGGAGTTTGACCACCCATCGAGATGACAACACCACTAGAAGTCTCCAGCTGGTAGATATCGAGAACAGTCTCGAGATTGATGTTCTCGAAGTAGAGGCGATCGGCCTCGTCATAGTCAGTACTGACGGTCTCCGGGTTGTAATTGACCATGATAGTCTTGTGGCCCTGCTGGCGAAGGGTACGAATAGTGCGCACGGAGCACCAGTCGAACTCGACAGAGGAACCGATACGGTAAACACCAGATCCCAGGACCATGATTCCGTGATCGTTGAAGGTCAAGTCATGCTCCGACGCGTTATAGGTGAGATAGAGATAGTTCGTCACGGCAGGGAACTCAGCGGCGACGGTATCGATCTGCTTCACAATAGGCGTGATGCCAGCCTCAACACGCTTACGTCGCACAGCAAGCTCGTTTGAGCTGAGGAACTTGGCCAGTTGTCGGTCAGAGAACCCAAGTTGCTTAGCCTGACGAATCATGGCGATAGGCACACTTGAAGCGTTGAAGGTAGACATTGACTTGCCAAAGTTGCTTAGACCCTTGAGACGGGTCAAGAACCACTTGTCGATCTTAGTCAACTTCCAGATGTCGTCGACGCTGTAACCGGCAGCCATGGCATTAGCGATGGCGAAGAGACGCTGGTCGGAGGGCGTCTGGAGCTCTTCATCGAGTGACATCAGCGCCTCGGTCTCATTGAAACCGAGATTGTTGTAGTCAACGGAGCGGATAGCCTTCTGAATAGCTTCTTCGAAGGTTCGACCAATGCTCATGACCTCTCCGACCGACTTCATAGACGAACCAAGTTGGGTTGAGACACGAGTGAACTTCTTCAGATCCCAACGAGGAATCTTCACCACGCAGTAATCGAGGGAAGGTTCGAAACAGGCGCAAGTAGACTTGGTGACGGAGTTCTTGATCTCGTTCAGGGGGATTCCCAGTCCAAGCTTAGCCGCAATGAAGGCGAGGGGGTAGCCGGTAGCCTTGGAGGCCAAGGCAGAGGAACGGGAGAGACGAGCGTTGACCTCGATGATACAGTATTCCTTGGAGAAGGGGTTCAAGGCATACTGAATGTTACACTCCCCGACCACACCGAGATGGCGAATCACATTAACAGCAGTTGTGCGGAGCATGTTGTAGTCCTCATCAGATAGTGTCTGAGAAGGAGCCACGACGATCGAGTCACCGGTGTGGATACCGAGGGGGTCGAAGTTCTCCATGTTGCAGACAGTGATGCAGTTGTCTTGGGCATCACGAACAACTTCGTACTCAATCTCCTTCCATCCCTTCATACTTCGCTCAATGAGAACCTGAGGGCTGACAGCAAGTGCCTTGGTGCAGAGCTCCTTCAACTCGTGCATGTTCTCTGCGAAGCCACTGCCAAGACCACCAAGAGCGTAGGCAGCCCGCACGATGACAGGGAAACCAATATCCTTCACAACTCGCAGAGACTCTTCCAGGGTAGAGGCGGAGGCCGACTTGGCACACTTTTCGTTGATTGAGTCCATGCTTCGGGCAAACAGCTCACGATCCTCAGTGGTAATGATGGTGTCGATGGGGGTACCGAGCACCTTGACACCAAGACCCTCGAATTCGTCCTTGAGCTGGATACCAACCTGGAGGGCAGTCTGACCGCCGAAAGTGACGTAAATTGCATCAGGGCGTTCATGCTTGATGACCTTTCGAACAAAGTCGGCGTTGACAGGCAGGAAGTAGACCTTGTCGGCAAGACCTTTTGACGTCTGGATGGTGGCAATGTTGGGATTGATGAGGATAGTGTAGATGCCTTCTTCCTTCAAGGCCTTGATGGCCTGACTACCGGAGTAGTCGAACTCTCCAGCCTGACCGATGCTGAGACCACCACTGCCGAGCACCAAGACCTTCTTCACGTGGACACGAGGAGCAGCCTTGACATTGTCAGCCTTGAGACCACCAGGGAACTCCACCGGCTTGGACAATGTCCCGGGCGAAGCGATGGTATTCATGATGGTCTTAATGAAGACATCGAAAAGATATTCGGTGTCGCGAGGGCCGGGTGTGCTCTCGGGGTGGAACTGAACACTGAAGAAGGGACGAGAGGTATGGCGGATACCCTCGTTACTGGCATCGTTGGCGTTCACGAAGAGCTCCTCCCAGCCCTCTGGAAGGCTGGAAGCGTCCACGGCGTAGCCGTGGTTTTGAGACGTGATATGACACTTGCCCGAGATCATGCTCGTGCAGGGAATGTTGTGACCACGGTTACCGAACTTCATCTTGGAGGTGGTGGCACCGACAGAGCGAGCGATCAACTGGTGGCCCAAGCAGATACCGAAGACGGGCGTGCGGGCGTCCTTGAGTGTGCGCGCCAAGTTTTCGATTGTTGTGCTCAGAGTTGCCGGGTCACCGGGACCGTTGGAGACAAAGAGACCATCGTAGTCCTTGCCGGCCAGAGTTGGGAAGTCGTAATCCCAGGGCACCACCATCACCTCGACGCCACGGTTGAGCAGGCAGCGCAGCTGGTTGTATTTCATACCAACATCCAAGCACAGCACACGCACGGGACGACCAGAGGGATGCTTTAGAGCCACATCGGCGGGGGGCTCCAAAGCTTGGGCTCACGAATGGAGACTACACAGATCAGACCGTTAGTTTATGTGTTCCATGTATACTTAAGCAAACATTGGCTTTCCATATCCAACGGCGGGGCGAATGCAAGAGAGCTAACTTACCCTCAGCCACAAGGTTCTTCTTATTGGGGTCGACCCACTCGACCTGCTCGAAGTGGGATTTCCAGTTTTCTCCAACGATAGCCCCGGCGACGGCATTGGCCTCGCCGGCCTTTTGCAGCAGCATGCGACCAAGCATGCTACCCTTTTGACGAATGCGCTTCGTCAAAGCACGGGTGTCCACACCGTGCATGGCAGGGACGCCCTGCTCCTTGAGCCACTGACCCAGCGAAGACTCGGCCAGGAAGTGCGAGAAGTCCTCGCCGGCGTAAGTTGCCACCACCAACGCAGCGACGTGGATTTCGCTTGACTCAAAGTATGTGGGCAATTGCAGCAGCTCGTCGATCTGCTCCCGCGAGGGCACACCGTAGTTACCCACCAGAGGGAAGGTGATCACCAGAATCTGACCGCGGTAGGAGGGGTCAGTGATGGACTCGGGGTAGCCCACCATACCGGTCTGGAAGACCAATTCACCCGACACACTCTTCTCCGCACCAAAGTTGTAGCCTTGGTAGACGGTGCCATCCTCGAGCTCCAGAGCAACCAGGCGGTCCGTACCACCGCGGACGGGAATGGAGGCTGGGGCAATCATGGTGCCGGTGGCAGCATCCATGGTGGAAGCAATGTCCGTTGTGGAAGGGTAGCCCACAACACCACCAGATGTTGGGCTGGTGGGCAGTGCAGAATCTTGGATGGAAGCTGGCTGAGACATTGCAATTGGTGAGAAAGAAGAGAATGTGAGATGGTTGAGGGACAAGTCCTCTCGCGGACAATTGACGACGAGTTTGCAGTTACTCGATCACAGCATGCACCAGTACAACAAGAAATTGGAAAAGGTTCTTGGAAATGGAGCCGTTGATGTCTTTTGAGAGGAACAAGTGCTACTCTCAACCAATTGAGGAATTGAGAGCGTGGGGTATATGGAAAGGGAAGGGAATGGGAAAAAGATCTCAGCTGCAAGAGCTGGGGAATAAAAGAAAGAAAAAGAAAGTGAACGAGTTCGCTGGCAGAATAAAATTTTCGTAGCCGTGCGCGGCCGGGGTCCACTCCACATGCCTCGAGGCCATTGGCCTCTCGCCTTGACCGCCCTAGAAATTTTCACAAACCGACGTTCGTTACGCTTGCGGGGCGCCGATTCGGCGCGGGCCATGACGCGAGAGAGATAAGAGGAGTGTATCTGCATTTGAGGACTCGATGATCGAATGCCTCCTACTTTGAGGCTTCTAGCCGAGCATATGTGTTTAGCCTAGTCGGTGACTCCCATGAATACGCAATTTTGAAGATTGGTTATATGCTTCCTTGAATGTGGTGCAGACATCCAATCAGTAGAGTGGACTGCACTCATGTCTAACATGTATGCCAGTACTACTGCCATACGACTATCACAGAGCCTCGACTTCCGTCCCGATTCGTCTGCCCAGTCTATTGGGGAGTGTTGGGGCTTTTTTTTGGGGGGGGGGGGGGGGTCCGGACAAATTCCCGGTGAAGGAGGTCCCGACTTTCGGACTGCCGGTGGTGAGAGAAGATGTCATTGACGCCTCAAGGTGCTGTAGGTGTCTCGGTCTGAGTCACAAGCATCACTAAGGTAGCTGATGGGCTTAGGTTTGAAGGAAGTGGAGATCATTGACGGTCAAGACCTTCTCTAGCCGATAGTTGCCCAGTTTAGGGCAGTTCCGTCCAAGAACAGGTGATAGTGAGGGGGGTCACAAGTGCAGTGGTGCAGGTCGCCATCCACTGGATGCCGACCGACCAAAGGGTCCAGAAATTGACCAGAAATTGACCCTGTCATGGAAACGACAAGAAGATCGACAAGGTCATGATATATAAGGTATGTACCTGACCTCCGCTTCGCAGAAAAATGCGGTGCCCTTAGTACTTAAACCTCATGACGACTTCCACGTTTACAGTCTCGAGTCTACTATATAGTATATAGATTAAAGGTAGTCTAAGGTATGACTCTATACTCTATACTCTACACATGCCACTACTTGGAAGTCTTGCAGATAAAGCACGGGCGACCATTCTTGTACCCAGTCATGACTCACAACTCATGACTCCACTAGGAGTTCACATATCTCAAACCCCAACGACTACATGTTATACTTTGTGCCACGATCCTTTGGCTTGGAACCCTGTTGTAAACATGTCCAGCAAAGTACCGATGCACGCTGCCCGGTAGCTTAGCGCACAGCTCTCGATCGAGATTCGTCAAACTCCAGTGGCGTGCAACCCTGAACTGCACTCCTCGCCCCGTTGCAAAGTCCCGAGGCGTGCTATGACGACAGGGCACACTAGCACAGTCTTCCGAGGAGCTGGGTGAGTGATCCACTGGACACTTCCTGCGGTCTCCAGCTGGTCGGGGCGATCCTGCTTGACTGATTCTAGGCGACACACTCAATTTCCACCCGTTTCAGGTGGGTCGACATCGGCTCCAGCACGAGGTCAATATCAATGACCGATCGTCACAATATATAATTATACCAGGCTAGTGAGGCACTGAGGCAGTACGGGTAAAGTACAGACGAAAAAGGTGTGATCATGACCAAATTGATGTAGTCCCAAGTTCCTAACAATGTTCTGTTAGCGACACAGTATCATCCGCATGGCCCTAAAATCCGGTACGGGTAAAGCTTATAAGGTCGGTGAGCACTGCAGGTCAACTTCCCGCCTCGGCAGAAGTCACCTGAACGTCGCTTTAATTTCCAAGGTGAGTACTACCTCCTTGAGAATGAGTACTTAGTAGTACTACTACTAAGTTACCAACAATTCAATGTTACGACAATAGCTAATATGTGCTACCGACGTCGTAGTATGTAGTGGCCGGTTAGACATCAGACATGAGTAACAGTACTTTCTACTTAGTAAGTTAGTACAGTAACTAGTTACCTGCTCTACCTAGTTGTCAGACACTTGAAAGTTGATAGGAATCTACCAAGGCACCTACCATGTACTGAGATTTTACCACTCTTAGTAGTCGGTGCTAAAATAGTATGCCGTCAGAAAGTACATCGAGCCCTAGTAATAGCTGGCTTCGTTTGAGCTACCCTGGCATCGAGTATTCTTTAACCCTGCATTCGGATGGATATCCCACGATTGACGTATCGTTGACGACCGATTTGCACCGTATGTCTGATGGAATGGTTGATGATGATAGCGCCACATGATCACTTAACAGATACCTGCGAAGGGCATCGACAAGAATAAGCGCAAGACTTGCTTTCGCTCCTCCAACTCTATTACGAGTGCAGTTGATCCATAATCAATCGGAATCCCTACCCACAGAAAGAATCATTGATGTGTCGAAAGAGTGCGAGTACATATTCTGCAGCCTACATGTACGAGTAGTCATACACTAACTACTGATAAGTACTGTGCCCCTAATCTCCGGCTCGCCAGGTGCCAACCGCGAGTGAAAGACATTGAATAGTCCTCGGGCGGATTGATAAGATTCTGGCTAGACCAAGGGCATTGCACGGGCGCATGAGCGCGTGATTGATCGCGGCATCTTCGGTCGCGGGCAGCCTTTTAATACATTGACTAATCCTATGCTCCCCGACTTTGATCTAGGTCTTTCCTTTCTTTTCCTCCCTCGTAATCTCATCATCTAAGACTCGAGAGTCACAGCGGTCCGATGCCGTCCCACGATATCACACCCTACCTGTGAGCGCTCTTCTGGTGTTTGCGCCCAGGCTGTTCCAAAACAGAGGCACCCCACTTCCGAAACTAGCGGACCAAACAAACAGAGTCCAGCGACTGGGAACGGGCACAATAGTAGGCTAAAGGTCGAGCAAAAGTACTCTTGCCGCGCCGAGGTCATGCAGATGCTCAGATCTGACGATCTGCGACCATGCTAGCTTCCTTGTTGCGTCCCAAAGTACGACGCTCACCATTTGAAGAGAATCCCTCGACTCATTCTCCGACGGCAGTTCCCAGCGACAATTCCCCGTGGATCCGCTCAGCCGCTCATCGAAACGGACCGCACGCGCGACGAGCCCGGAAGCACAAAGACAATTCGGCACCGGGACTGGGTAATATTGACGAGGAAATGGTCCACGATTGGGAGGACCAAGATGACGAGGATGAGGATGAGCACGATGTCGAGGAAAATGGACTGCTCGAGTCTGCGCCACTCTTGCCCAGATTCTCAACCTCTGACTTGGGTAAGTGGTCGAGTCCGAGCGGTCACGGGAACGGCTCATCGAGAATGACGAGGATAATGAGGATGATGACGCCCAATGCTGAATAAAAACGTCTCTCTGATTCTAGATTCCGTACCCGTCTACGACCTCACTCATGCAATTCGACCATTGATCGTTTCTCGCTGCGAGACAACTTTGACCTGGGAGCAGCTGCGGTCCCCCCAGGTATCCCAGTTCCTGGTGAAGCCTATCCAGCAAAAGATCATGTCCGCTCACTTCTCTCGAGCTACACTTTATGCATTGATGGCAAATTGCCTGCAATTTGGGAAGGAGATCCAGCTCAACCTGGGGAACAGCGGCGCCAGCCAAACCCGTGCCATGGTCAGCGAGCTACTGGCGATCAAGCTACTGAAGGAATACGACACGAGAGAATTGATCGACGCTTTGTCCTATGAATTCTACCCTCTGCAAGGACAGGATCCCACAAGAAATTGGGCGACTGGAACCCAAGGGAAAAGAGAAGCATCGACAAGTCGGGTTTCATGCCTTGAGGTGGCGATTCGAGCACAAGCAAAACGCTTCCTGTCTCATCCAGTCGTTGTGCAGCAATTGGAGGCGATCTGGGCTGGTACCATTGTATTCCACTCCGCGTCAGATAGTTTACATCGACGAAATCACCAGAGAGGCATGCACCATCATGGTAGGTATTACGGAACTGCGACAGATCGCCAGGATGACCAGGCGACCTCTTCTGGGACGCAGACTTTTCGTCGCTCCGTTACACTCTACAATCCGCGAGACGCATCGCTGTTCAAGCTCTCTCGTCTTCGAGTTCCGCGTTATCGCCAATTCCTGTCCACCTTGTCTTTCGCGGTCCTATTGGGCCTCTTCTTAGCTGTGCTACAGCAACGAAGCCGCCAAATCACGTCCCTAGAGGTGGTGTTTTGGTTCTGGAGTGCAGGCTTCCTGCTCGATGAGATTGTTGGGTTTAACGAACAAGGGTTCAGTCTTTACCTGATGAGTTTCTGGAATGTCTTCGATCTCGGGATTTTGCTCTTGCTCGTGTGCTATTATTGCCTGCGAATATACGGAGCCTTCTTGACATACCCACGAAATCGGCAATTCGCCAACCAGGCATATGACGTACTGGCTGCCAACGCGGTGCTGCTGTTTCCCCGACTCTTCTCGATTCTCGACCACTACCGCTATTTCTCGCAACTGCTCATTGCCTTCCGCATCATGGCATCTGACTTGATCGCTGTGTTCGTTTTGATTGTGGTTGCCTGCAGTGGTTTCTTCGTCGCTTTCCTATCTTTCGGCTCAGAAAACTCGCCCAACACTGTAGCCTATGCATTATTCCAGATGTTGATGGGATTCACGCCAACCGCTTGGGCAATGTGGACTGAGTACAATGCCCTGGGGAAGACCATCCTGACCATCTTCCTGTTCATCTGTCACTTTGTGGTGGTCACGATTCTGATCACCGTTCTCACGAACTCCTTCATGCGAATAGTGCAGAACGCTGACCAGGAGCATCAATTCCTGTTTGCCGTAAACACCATCTCCATGGTCAAATCAGACGCACTATTCTCCTATGTCGCCCCAACCAACATCATTGGGTGGCTGCTCACACCCCTCAGGTATCTGATGCCATTCACTCAATTCATCCGCCTGAATCGAACGATCATCAAGATCACACATCTTCCAGTGCTGTTTACGATATGCTTCTACGAGAAACTTATCTTGAGCCCGCGAGTGATTGAACCGATCGATCTGATTGACGTACCTGCCAACTCGGAGGCAGAGCATATGCAGAGATGGCGCCCCAACAGATTACGTGCTTTCAGCAACCGCCCGCGTCTCGTACGCGAGCCTTCGTTCACGACACACAATAAGGACCAGACGCTGGATGAGGTCTTCCGGCAACCATACGGTGATAGCGGCTCGCGTGACCGTCCGCAGAATGTTCGCGATCATCAGAAGAGCACCGTTATCAAGGATTGGATGCAAGATATTGGATCTGGTGCAGCGCAAACGCCAGATGAACAGGATTCGACGGCGGGTGACATGCTTGAGATGCCGGTTCGTCGGCTAAGGTTTCCCTTCCGGGGCGCTCTGGCCCATCCTGGGCGCAACTTTACTGAAACGACTCGGTCTGTGGCCTCTAACCCGGAAGATCGAATGAGCCGCATCGAGAGCCCTGTCTTCAATCGTCGAGGGAGAAACTCGGCATCACCCAGCCGTCTCAGGCAGCCTTCCCATCACACCGACATGGAGGGCGATGACGAACTCACAAGCGACGATGACAATGAATCGCAGACGAAAAATTCTGCCAACGGCTCGGCCAGTGGAAGCGAGGATGCCTCAAAGCGAGTCGACAACAGCGAAAAAACTACACCACAATTTTTCAGCTCACGTCCGTCCACAGCGCGCGTGTCTCGGCGCAGTAGCCCCATGCGCCGGCCACGACACAGTCGAACAGTATCGGGAGCCACCATGCTTTACAATCCCATTCAATCGCCTCGTATGGGCAGTGAGAAAAATATGAATCAACATCGAAACGAAAGCGCCTTCTCAGACGAGACTGATCGACTGCAATTTATGTCTACTTCTGTAGATCAGGGTCTTGTTGAGAGGTCGGCAATTTCTCGCAATACGAGTTTCGCTGCAATGTCGGTCCCCGAGACAGAAGGCTTGTACTCGATGGATCAGCCCGCCTCAAAGGGTCGTCAGCCACCTCTTCTCTTCGATCTGGGTTCCGATCTTGGCGATAACAAAGCAGTTGTGGGAGCATTTGCCGGCCCGGTTCCATCCAGTTTCAACACCCAACTGGCCTTTGCCACAGGAGGACTTCGTCGGGAAGGATCCAGTCAGTCCCAGACTCAAGACATGCTCAGCAAGCTCGTGTTAGCCCGAATGAACAACATAGAGGAAGGCTTCCGAGAAGTGATCAAGGAAGTAAAGGACCTTCGTCTGGCTGGATCCAGTCGTAGTCGCAGTCACAGTGGAACCCGTGTCAAGGAGTCTCGTCCTCTGAACCGGGAGAGAAAGAAGACCGGGGAAAGGCGAGATTTCAAAAAGCGCAGACCTACCTCTTCCGGAAATAACTCAGCTGGACGTGAAGGAGAGGTGGAAGAAAAGGACTCTGCTGGGAAATGATTACGATATTCGATGACCAAACCGGGGCCTCTTCTCAGCGGGTGTTCTGTAGAAATGTAGATATTCCACTTGAGGAAGATCGCATGCAATCATTGTCCTGCAGACTTGAAAGTGCACACATGATGCCGAATACCCTACTTGTTACAGCGTTTCCATGAAATGTCCTATTTTGTGTTCTTTGTCGAGGTGGTTCTGTAGCTAGATACCTGTTCATTGTAACAAATCTCAAGTAAAGAATTTTCTCACGTTCACAATCCACTTCAATTACAAATTCAGCGAACAATTCTCCCTCTCACGTTCAATTTGACGTAACAACCCGCACTCCTGAATTGACGAAACGAAAGGGCTTGTGTCACTTTTGGGGTCCACCAGGAATCAGGGCTGTTCCATACTATCACGCTAGAATCACCAGAACTCAGGCAGGGTAGGTGTGTTCTTGTAGCCCGTTGCAGGTGTTAGGTAGTATGTAGTGCTAATGCGAGGTTGTTTGTGAAAGATCAACACCTCCAGGCGGGGATCGCCCAGTCTAAGGTGTAGATTAATCGAGATCATGATTCATAATTACTCATTAAAGGGAGTTAACGGACCAGGCTCATACCTGGTAATGACCGAGAGAGGTGCAGCTTGGTGAGCTAGCGGCACAGAGAGATAATGATGACCCTGAGACGAACAATGCATGGTTCAGCACATACTCGAACTCTCAGCTCGGCGAGCCTATGCCACAAGCAGACGATAACAACCCTGGGACGAGCGACGTGTGGTTCAGCACATATTCGAATCCCAGCTCGGCGAGCCAGCGGCACAGGGAGCGGTCCTTGCGACGAGCGATTCGTGGTCCAGAGCAAATCCGACTTCCCAGTCAATTGCACGGATTGACACCTGCTCGAACCGAACCGACTGTGTGGTTCCTGAATTGAATATTCCTCCTCAGTCACCCCTGACCTTATCTTCATTACACTGAAGCTAGGCCGTATTCCACCTGGTGAGGTCTACAAAAGTGATCTTGCGCATTTTCTCCATAAGGGAGGAGCTGAAACACGAAGTAATGCGAAGTAAAACATGGCTTATGCATTATATGATTGCTCGACGCTTGCAGTGCAAAGGCAAAAAATGTACAAAGAATAGGAATCTAAGTAACCATCACGTCCTTTCACATCAACCTAGGGTAAAAGGACAATAAGACAATCTAATTGCGCCTCTAGCTCCAAAGTCTCCATAAGTTGAATATAAGTACCAGGCTTAAGGGCTTCGCCTGTGACCTGCATATTTCCAGAACCTATGCTTTCAGGTCCTAATCCAATCGATAGGGGGGAAAACAATAGGCATCGATCGTCATCAGGCTTATCAATCGAGGTCTTCCCGCATACTCTTTTTAGCGAAGCTAGATGACCCTAGATCCCGTTTAGAAACCAGAGCACTTTCAACTCAGAACAACGTTTTTACCGGTATGTTGGCGTATCCCAGTTTCTCCAATAATAACCGCACTTTCGTTTCGCGAGCCTTATCTACGCAAACCAAAAGGTTCTTCTTCCCTTTCTCGGGTTCCAGTTTTGCACTCATGTGGACACATGATGCCAGATTGGTGAAAACTTCCCGAAACTGAAATAAGGGTGGTGTCTACAAGAAGTATCACCCAGCGGCGGGGTCAGATCGTTTAATGCCTAATCTCAGCTCCGGCTACCAAACAACTAATCTCCGAAACAAGAATTCAATAAGGGACGGCCTCCAGCTTGGTCAGATATATCTACGCGGTGCTGGCATCAGTGTTCTTGCAGGAACCTCTCTCCAATATGAAGCTAGGCTTGTCCACAGGACTGGATGAAAGATGTCGTTGTGGTGGTGCAACGTGTGCGATCCGTAGGAGGGTGCAGGATTTCAACATCATCAGTACGGCTATATCTGGACGAGGAGGCTTTTGTTTCTATACTTCCCGAAGACTGACCCTACCTACAGACCGTCAAAAAATCACATTCTTCGATAAACTCCCCCATGACTCGATTAAAATAACGCTTACAGTTCGACCCTTAAGTAACTACATATCATTGTTGATCTTGCTATATTCAGGTAAAGCCCATTTTACCATCCATTCTGACTCGAGGATCTGCTGGGTAGTTGGACGACTCTCGGGTCTAAATGAGAGCATCGGCCGTAGCATATCGAAGATAGCGTCCCTATCCCTTGCGTCAAATAACGGCATCCCATTATCTCGCCTAGGCTGTTGCATACTATCCTCAAATCGATCATCCCAAGATCGGAAAGGGTTAAGGTTCATTGGCATGCTATCCTCAGAAAAACTATATCGTCGAGCCTCCCACTTCCTCTACTACTCAGGTGGCAGAACGCTAAGAGTATCGACTTACTTATAGGTGATATCGTCCTGGGTTGCGAGAAAACCTTCGAATAATGGCTGCTAAGCGACGATAGAACATATAGTGTAGGCGAGAGTCCAGATATCCGATGAGAAAGACAAAGGCTTATCTGATTTAAACCGAGCCTCGGGCGGACGGATAATAGGGGGGTACGAGATTCGTATTTCTGTTTATTTAAGTATAAAAAAGCTTTACCAAAATCTGAAAGCAAGATTCTGGCTTCTGTAAGTGTGATTTTCTCACTTGCTTGCCCCAGCCATATAGATGCAACGCTGTGGGATAGGACACCAGGAGGAAGCGGATTACCATTTAGCTAAACCACTGGGTCAAGCTCCGGGGCTCCATACTTCTTATATAATTACTCGAGGGTCAGTGCCTACATAATTCTCGATGATAAACCTAGGACTTTACCTAGCCCCAATAGACCGCTATCCTTGTTTAGAATAAAAAGGATAGATATACCTATAGGGCTTTTAGATAGTCATGTTCTTCTATTTTTAAGATTGATTCGAATAATCTGATCAAAAGTGGGCGGAACTTTGAGGAGAATATTGCCTAGATGCAAGTCTCCGTGGACAATACCTTGGGCATGTACATAATTCACAACAAGGACGAGTTGCGCAGCCAATGACCGGGCCACATCAAGCTGGAATAAGCGGATCCACGAACCGTCCTTCACCTGGGAGAGGCTAGCCCTCGCTGGTGCACATTATGCATGCCGTGTGTCCTCCAGGAGATAGCCTGGACAAGCCTATCTGGTTGTGACTTAGATGTCGAAGTCGATATTCGACCGAATTTACGCGCTCTTGGTGCTGTTGCCCATGCAGAGGCTTGGCGATTGCAGGTAGCGATATGGTGGCAGGAGACAAACCGTGGCAATTCCACCAGCAAAGCTATAAGGGCAGACAGAGCCTAGGAAGAAATGCAACTCAGTTGTATCCTACAATCGCTCCTCTTGACGTCAACGCTGAAAACATTGCCTTCATAGCAAGAAAGCTCGATACCACTCAAGTAGACATATCGACGGTCAATATTGTGAATTATTATTTTTACAAGGGCATGATCCCAAAAGATCAAGGCCGACTGCGCCAACTTGTGGCTTTAGCGTATCAGACAGCAAGAGACAGAAAGCTTTACCCAAAGGCCGTCCTTATTAGGTGTGTGCAAAATCTGGATTCACGCCTCGATACTTAGATGGCGTTCTTGTTTCCCTTACCACATGGTAGCTGATGCCTCACAATCTGCAGGTCCGAGGTTCATGATACGACCAGTATCAATGGCATACACCAGAAAGATCCTTTGGGCCCGCACGTGACTCTTTGCTATAAAGATGAGGATCAGCTCCTCCGCGGGACTCACATCGCAAGTCATGAATACGTTTGTGGGAAAGACAACATTCAATTCGTGCGCGCAACTCATGCTGGAGAGAAGGCGGATTCAGCCAGAAGGCAGCAAGGCAAGAAGACACTGTGGCCGGGCTCAGGCCTTACGAAGACGCGCTCAGGCCTAAAATCCAGCCCGTAGGCCGGGCTTAGGCTATGATCGGCGGCCCGTCACGGGCTTTTGTAATATCTAACCTCATAGATCCTAATATCTAGTACCATTATTTAGAAAACTCACAAGAGAGACGACTCTTTTATCCAGTACCTAAATAGGACCATGTCTGTACTCACTTAAGTCGGGTTTCCCCACTTCTAAATAGATTGCCACCCTGATCGAGGGGACATACTGAGTTTAGTAGACTACCACTGATGCCAAGCATTCAATTTCGACATGTCAAAGTGGGTCTCTTGCAAGATTGAGGTATTCTCATCCTCGCTTGAACACTAGCCAGACTGTCAAGCTACCACGTTCCAGGTCATGCATATTACATAGTACCTATCGGCCTGCCTGGTCCTGGTCCCTGTTGCGAGCGGGGCAAAGGTTTAAGGTTAAAGGCGTCGCGATGTCTTGATTGCAATACGGAGTCTATGCCTGAGGCACTCATGTGAGCGTGATCCACTGCCCGGCAGAGGTGGATTTGCCTAACTCCGCAAGTGCTCGAGGCTTCCGTCATCCCCTCATCGATACCTCCGACACCCGTCAATATTGAGGTGGCTTGTAATACATCAACCACGACTCACACGACCGTGCTTTAAAGACTTCACGATGGCATCATCTTCGAAATCTCCAAGCTCTCTTCTCTAGTAGGTTTTCACTGGACTGTGCACTCGACTGCGAACAGAATCAATCCACGATCATTCAAAGCTAATTGACGTATGACTGATGGTAGCTCGTGCATTGCGCATCGCACGACAATTTTGGCTGAGCACTCCTCCCCTGGAAGCTCTTCAACAGCCGCTTCATCTCTTGCCTCAATCATCCTCCCGAAAATCTCACATGACAAGCCTCAAAAATTGACCTACACCCACGAAAGACTCTTTGTCCACTACATTGCCGACTCACCTTCCAGTCGTGCAGCAGATGATCAAAATGGCCAAGCTGAGCCAAACTCATCTGCCCCGCTGAGTTTTGTAGTGGTTGCGTCTACCGAACAAGGCCGACGGGTGCCCTTCGCCTACCTACTGGAAATGAAACGGAAGTTCTTGAGTTCTTACCCTCCATCCAGCACCGACTTCTCCGCCCTTCCCGCATACGGCTGCGCCGCTTTCAACTCCGAGCTTCGTGCTCTTCTCAACACCTACAATACCTCACCGCCTGCAGACTCACTCGCCTCAGCTCGTCGGGAAATTGACAGCGTTCGCGACATCATGACGGAAAACATTGAGCGGGTCCTTGAGCGAGGAGAGCGCATCGATCTGTTGGTCGACAAGACTGATCGTCTAGGTGGCAGTGCACATGATTTCCGAATTCGCAGCCGCGGCTTACGACGGCGTATGTGGTGGAAGAACGTCAAGTTGATGGTGCTGCTCGGCTTTGTTGTGGTCTTCCTGCTCTACCTGTTCGTTGGTATTGGGTGTGGTCTGCCAGGCTGGTCGAAGTGTGTCAGCCACTAAGTTTGAGCTCACAGGTGATGGATATCTCCATGCCTGAAGCCAAGTGTATTCTCTGCAAGCTTGCCACTGTATAATTCCTGCGCATCGTTTTCCTTCTGTCCACTCCAAGGGTCCCCTGATGACTCCCGCTTATTCCATTGTCCCATGCCCTACCTACAACCTTTCCATCCCTGGCTGTGATGGAGAGGTGTGCAGGTAGTTTACAATAGGTTCAGCAACTGATTTTCAATTACCTCAACCTTTGCATTCCATTCACAAGCATGTATATATCCCCACATTTTCTTTTTTTTTCTTGGCCTGCTAATAGTATTAGTGGGTGCTGAATCTGATATACAAGTACCCAACGGGTCTCGGTACCTAGTAGCTTACCCTTCTCATCGCCAATCCGCCTTAGCGCTTGCAATAAACCGTCCGTCTCTACTTCCAGATATCTTACTAGACATCATTTTCTACGGACTGGACCTGGGGGGGGAATGCCTGGGGAACAATGGTCCACAGCATGAGGGCAACCTCCACAGGACCATAAGTCCAAATGTACATATTCAAATAAGAAATTGATCTGAGAATTTTCAGGGTTGAGGCCCCGAAGTTCTCAATCATCGCGTCTCAGCCAAGCTGGTCGAACGAATACCAGCTTGAAAGATCTACTGGTGTGACGAATGAACACCATCGTTGTGCATGGACAAAGAGACTAGCTTGCATCTGACTGAAAGTGATGCCCATGTGGTATTCGCCATTTTCTTAGCGCGTTAATGAGCTACGAAAAGGGCATGAATGAATCAAAAGGTTCCAAGACAAGGTTTTTTTTTCTAGCATTACTGAGTATGTGCCTCACTATCAAACTAACATCGTCCTTGCCCGTAAGCATCAGTGCCAGTCTGCAAGCGAGACAGGATCAACTGGTCTGAGACCAGTGAATCTGATCCTGTATCTGCTCTGCGCCACTCGTTTACCTCTTCAACCATTTAGTCCGCAAAACGGGATTGACGAGGAGATAATTAGGCGGTAATATAGGGGGAAGGGGAAGGGGTCAAGTCGCGTCATGGCGAGATTCATCATGTCTCCAAAAACGTCGGATCAAATTATTAATCATGGTCGAGGTCAGAGGCCGAGACAATCATTGAGCCTTGGCATGACTTTCTCTGACTGTGTGGACGATGGTGAGAGCTGGGAAAAGGAAAGGAAAATCTGTCAAGGATAATATCTTTTTGCCACGTGACTCTGCTTCAACAATTGGCCAGCTTATTCGTGAGACCCACTGCATATGGACGCGATAGCGCGTGGGTCACCAACCTTAAGGTCGAGGGTACGAATACCATATTCTGGCATTGCAATGCAGATCAAACGGACTTGACTCAAAGTCCAGTGCTGGGAAAGCTTGCGACAGCTCTGTGCTGCGTCTATTTACTCTTCTGATCCCTCGCTCGTCATGCGTCCAGAATTCAGCCTGTCCTGCCCCTGCGAATCTCCGCCCTCTTCTCCGCCACCGGCTGTGGTGTCTTAGCCGCCGAACCCGACTATTCAGGATGTCCAACAGTCAAAGCGACTACGACTGGCTGCAGACCATTTTCCCGGGCTGGAGAGATGAGACTCCAGTTAATGAGATCCGAGAAAATGGTAGTTCCGGTGAAAATCGAGTGCAAAGTCCGCATCTCGTGTACGCTGATGCCGCACGAATGGACCAGACTGCCAATGCCGCATTTGCGCGTTATCCAAGCTCCAGAACACCGCATGCTGAACTTGCACAGGGGCTACAAAGACCTTCGAGCTCAATTTCGTACTCTCAGGGCATGGATCAAACCTTATTCGAGTCTCAATTACACCATCCATCTTCTCACCAGCCGTTGCAGCATCAGCAGCAGCCACAGCCGCAGCCGCAGCGAAATCTGGCACAGGATCAGCCGCCGTCGAATGGTACGCATCGACTCTACCAGGAGCAAGGCCTTACAAATCTGCAGCACCCACGCCAACTGCATCGACAGTCCCATCAGTCTCAACCCATAATCAATGGCCGAGGAACGCAGTATGCAGAGGGCAGCGCCCATGGAGAGGTCGCGCCGGTGCCTCAGCACACCCCGCAGCATTATCAAGCGCACCATGCATTGTCGCGGGAGCCTTCGCAAAACACACAACTGCAGATCTCACACCAATATATATCTCAACAACAGGCTGCGCAAGCACAGGCTCCGCAACAGCATGGTTCACAACAGCCTGAGCCGAAACAACAAGCACGGCTACAGCCACCACCAGCAGCACCACCACCCCAACAGCAACAGATCCGACAGTACGAACAGCCTCAGCAAACACAACCGCAATCTTCGCAAGTCGCTCCTCCACCTCTCAACCAGCATATGCCACTCCAACAATATCACTCTGCTCAGGGTCAACGCCAGCAAGAGACTCGGCAACCTCGACTACATCAACGGAGCCTCGAGCGCATCTCCTCGCCGCAAGATCAGTACCGGGGTCCAGATCAGCAGCAATACGTGAGACCTTCAGATATCAGTCCCTCCGTGAACTACTGGTTGCCCAATCCTATAAGGCGTCCCGACCATCGAGCGCCAATGAAACACTTACCTGTACCTCATCAGCGAGCAGCCTCGAGGCCGGCGCTCGCTTCCTCCGATGCTCCATCTGTATCTAATCAAGTCGCAGCGCAATCTCGTTCGCCAGATAGGTCGCCTCTGCTCCAAGCAAATGCCAAGCACGAAAGTCGTTATACGTATCAGAATAGTCCTGTGATGGCAAGTTCACCGCTTCAGCTTTCTTCAGAAGCATCGACGTCACAGATGGACCCAGGCTTGATGCATCAACCGATAAGAACGCCAGTTCCGCAATCTCGATCATCGGCTCGAGTGCCCGACCAGCCGCCGCAGGCGTCTGGCGAGCTTGACAGCTCTAGACGAGGCTCCGTCCTCGAAGATAAAGAGCTTTACAATACGAGCTCGCCACGAATTGATCCTTATACTTCTTCGTCGCGTAGTACCCTTGGACCTCAATCTCACACGCCCCGAAAAACCTCATCAACCAAGAACGGCGCGACGAGTGCAAGAAAGCCATCGTTGTCTTCCGCAACCTCTCGCCCTAAGGATGCAAACCAAGACATGGGACACGGTCATCAAATTAGTGCTGATTCCCATCGTGCATCTCTACAAAGACCTGTTCTACACCAAAATCACTCTTCGGAATCCAGTACGCCCTATTCAATTAAACCAGTGTCTGCACCGATAGCGGCGTCTCAACCCTCCCCGGCAGTATCCCAACCCCCGATAGGGGCAAAACCGTCGCCTTCACATCCAATATCCCCTAAAATCCCACAGGCCATTCGGCCCTACATGAAACCCCACATGATCAAGGAATGCAAACAGAGGCTTAATCAAATTGCTGGTCTATCCGGTACTGCTGCTGGTAGACTCTCTCAAAACATCTCGTTATCATCAGAGAGGCCAGATACTGTCCCCTCCGTGTCAAAGCCAATTGCAGCTCCTCAGGCGCGTGGCTTTGATGGACATCAAATGATCGAAGCACATTCCCGTTCTGGCACACCAACGGGGAGAAAACTCTCTACTTCGAACGTGGCACCTGCACAGCCACCTCGTGATCAATCGTCAATTGTCCCCCAGCAAAAACCTGACAGGATGTCTGATCCGTCTGCGCCTACGGCAACAAATACAGCCGATGTCTCGGCGATGGCACCGGCTTCGAGGGCTGCTGCCTTACCCAAAGCCCCTGCGGTGATGAATCGGAGCCTGTCAATTGACAACCATCATGCTCAGACCTCATCTACTAGAACTCAGTCTATAACTCCCTCGGCTTCATCGGGTCAGGTTGCTGAGGAACCTTCTCGAATTGATCTACGAAAATCCGCCAGCACGTCTGCCAACCCCGGGCTGCCGGGCAACTTTTCGCCCTCTATGACGACGTCCAGCAACCCGCCTGTACCTCTAGCATCCAATACGCGACCCATTATGGCTGCCCCCGTTCCTGCCACGGAAAGAACAAACTCTCCTTTCCCTGCTCACGTTGACTTGACGAGAGGGCCACGACGAGGCCGACCTCGCAAGTACTCCGCTCCTGGCATGGAAAGACCCGGTTCAAGGCTAGCTATCCACTCGCAATCCAACACTGCAGAAGCCTTACCTCCCAGCCAAAACGAGCGAGCGACTTCAGGTGCACTTTTGCCTTCTCAAGCAAATCACAGCCAGGCTCATCCACGCACCGAGCTCGTGGCTCCAGGCCAACGACTGGCCACAACTTCAAGACCTCCGCAGTCTGGCTCACTGCCCGTGTATCATAGTGTACCGTCCACGCCCAACCCTGCATCGCTGGCTCTAGCACAGTCTCATGAGAGCCGAGATTCACAGCCAATTGCGCGACCATTGCCCGCATCTGCCGCCCAGATCCGCCCGCAAGCATTAGCCCGAGCCGCAGAATTGCCGACATCCGAGCCTGCCCAGCAGCGCCATACACACTCTCTCCAGCTACCAGCTGCCAAGTCTCGCAAACTGAACGATGGCTCACGCCACCTGGGTCCTCTTGCCTCCCCTGGTCTCGCTCAGCCAGCCTCATCAATTTCCAGCGAGCTCCCAGTAGCTGGGGAAGCTTACTCTTCGCCCTATAGCTCGCAGAATATGACAAGGCCACAGATCCCAGCCCGGCCAAACCATCAACGCTTCAAAGATCTTCCCAATCGAAAACACCTTCTCAATCGGCTCGACATCGTCGAGCCTATGAACGTCACAGATGTACTCGTCAAGGACGCCTATGATCCAAAGACCATTGCCCGCGATATACTTATTGCCGCAGGCAGGCATCCCCAAGAAAAGTCATTGAATCATCACCTCGAACCCCTACGTCGCAGGTTCAAGGCCGTTGACGGCAACTCGGATTTGACAACATTCCGATGGGATCTGGTTGATCCGCATGTTGATTATCCACCTTCGGTGATCCAGATTGTGGACGCTGCATACAAAGCGGCCTCGATGGTGAGCGCCACAAGCACAGAAAGACCACTGGATGCTACCCCACAACAGATTCATCCAAGCTCCAACCCGACCGGTTCAGGGCTGATAGAACAACGGCAACACGTCCCTGGGTCGGCACGTGACTTACCCACTGCCCCGCTGACGAGTCCCGCGGACAATCGCCCCGTTTTCAATACTTCTAATCCACGTTCTGTTGTCGCCCGCACCGATAAATCTGAAGCAAACGGAAGCGCGGATATCGTTCACCACATTCCGGCCCCGAGTGCTGCAACATCGAAGGGAAAACCTTCCACGCCTACTGTCCCCCCCTCACTGAAGTTAAGTGCAGCTCACCCCACGAGAAGAGAGTCACATCAGGGCGTAAACACAGTCAAGAGCCCCCATAAATCCAGCTCTTTACATCCCCCAACTGCCTCGTCCACCACCTTGCATTCAACTACATCCAAATACCCAAACAACCCAGTTCCAGCACCGCCCACGGCAGTCAATTTGAACGTATTTGGTGCATTGCCATTCAAACCCTCGTCATATTACTCTCCCCTTCGCCCCACTGCACAACCACACCCTTATTCCCTTCCATTTCTCCCAGTCACCTCACCAGCCCCCAAGTCTCCAGACCCTGCCTCGCATCCGCCTCCAACCCCCCTCGTGATCAAGAGCAGGGAGCTTCTGCACCAGTACCTCGGTCATATACTCCAGCAGCTGCCGCAAAACCAAAATCGAAAGGACAATCAGCCTCGCAACAAGCTGCCCCTCCCCGCACGCCATCACAATCTGCCTCGCGTGGGCCACAACCTCCCAGAGGCACCATCGCTCGGCAGCCATCCCTTCCCAAGGAGCTTCCGGAGCCGTTGGTTATCATTCCGACCTCTCCCCAAGCCATGGCTCCCCCTAAAAGAGGACCTGGTCGACCTCCAAAGAGTGATAGGAAGATTGAAGTGGCTATCGATAATCGCCTGACTCCTCAGTATCAGGTTTTCCCGTGCCAGTGGACCGGATGTGAGGCTAAGCTCCACAATCTGCAAGCCATTCAGACACATATGTTGGGGGTTCACATCCCTCGACACATTGTCTGTGCATGGGAGAACTGCGCAGACAAGACCCCGCGAGCTGCCGCGGATATGTGGGAACACGTGGATGGGAAGCACATTACACCCATGGCCTGGAAACAGGGCGATGGGCCCTCGGTGCCTATAAACGGTGAGAAATTTGATCTGCTTGCATCTCGTATCGTTACGTGAAGTGGTGCTTTGGCAACTTTTGGTGTTTTCTTTCCAGTTGCTGTTCTTTTTGATTTCCATTTTTCCGGTTCAAACAAGGAAAGAAATGCCATTTGATGTGCACACAATGTCTGATGGATTTGAAACAGAGGTGGAGACCTATGATGCTCTTCAACCGACTTTCCAAGGCCGCCAGGACACGATGACGCTGCCTGCTGACCGGGATTCGGTCAAAATCTTCAGCCGTATTCATGGCACGCAGACCAGCAAGCAAAGAGCTCGACTGATGGAGGAAGGTGGTCGACAATGGAAGGAACAAGCAGGTCCACAGGCAGATTTAAGTGATCGGCCTTTATCCACGCCGCCACGGTTACGGGCCAGTCGCCACGGGGAGACAGCTTACACGCTATCCGATGTGAGTGTGGTCATCTGAGTGAGAACTCAAGAGGCAGTAGCGTGACGGACAGATGGTCATTATGATGATGACAGACTTATGATAAGGGCGTATGTCTTTGGATTCCATGTGAAGACTTCAAAGCGTGAGTCCGCATGAGCTTCGCAGTCACAAACTCTACTTGATCTTTTTTTCACGAGCAAAAATAATGGCACAGTTTTGAATGACGCATTTCGAAATCAAAAGGACAAAAAAGATGGACGCAATCAGATGTTGATTGTATAGCATATTAAGGACGTAGCATGTCGTACGTAGCACTCTACTTGACGCTATGTCCCATGACATGTAAATGATGCTCCCATAGTGTACATGTAACACTTCATCCGAAGCGCCTCACGCAACCACCAGTTGAAAGCTCATCACACGTCGAAGCTCATGTGTCTGCCCAGTCCTGACCTTTTTTTTCTCAAGTTTGTTGTACACTGATGACCGCGCCCGTGCTTGCCCCCTTCATTGTGCTCCTAGGTGTGCCTTTCTCATGACGACGACGTTGTTGTCCCCGTGGTTGCTGTCGACAGCGGAGCAGCCTCTGATGGTGTGGTTGCAGTAGTCTTGAGGGTTGCGCGTGCCGACTTTCCAGAAGGATTCTCCAATTGCTCGTTCTCGTCACGGGCATTGACGTCCAGGAAGTGATACAGGACAATCATCATCATGGCACAGGAGCCTAGGAAGATGGCCAGTCGGTAGAGGTCGCCGTCAGAGATCATTGTGAATCGGGGGATGGAATTTTTTCTCCGAGCAGAGTGTAGATGAGGAGCGTGGATACGGAGTGCCGATGTTGAGTAAGACCAGAAGACTTTGTGTGTCGGGGGAGAGAGAGAGAGAGCTATGGTCACTCGGCGTGCGGTGTGACGGGCAGATTGTCCTTTTGATCGGGCTGGCGCTGGACGAGGGCGATAAGGACTTGGGAGGACGTGACCGCTCTCAGGCTTGACAGGAGGGAGAAGGGACCCGATTTGGGTGTGTAGGCTCACGGGCACAATCAATTGCGGAGAATGGCGTGGGGGTGATGAGGAGGATGGAGAGATGGTCAAAGTGGTCGAGTGAGGTATACGGATGCTTCAAATGGAATCACGGCCGAGAAAGGGAAACCACTCTGGTGGAGCTCTGGTGGTGGAGGGAACGTGTCATTTCAGTATGGAGTGGACTGTTATGTACTGCTCAGTGGAAATACATGGTATTAATATGGGGGATTCATATATAAGACAAGTACCTGTGTCCAAACGTCACTAGTGGGGGTATCCCTGCTAACTTCGTAACTGGTACTGAGTCTTCAGTCTCTGAGTCCACTGCCAGCCTGTACTCACTGTACACAGTATATACAGTAGTAGATTAGTAGTAGATGAGTAGTAGATTAGTAGTAGATGAGTAGTAAATTATTATTAGTAGTAGTAGTAGTAGTAGTAGTAGTAGTAGTAGTAGTAGTAGTAGTAGTAAATTAGTAGTAGTACTGTAGAAATAATCTTGTCTGAAGTAAAAGGTCCCGTCGCTCGCTCTCCCCCTGCAGGAAAACGTTGTCTTGTGATGGCCCCGGGACAGCCGTACTCCATATCCTTGCTTTGTCGAGATTTGGGGAAACCGAAGAGTGCAGAGAAGATACTGGCTTTACATAATTGACAGGGTCAAGTTAGCTAATCGCCAGAGCAATTGCGACTTGAGATCTATACCCCGACCAAGGCAACAAAGGTACCTTTAGTAACCGCTGAAAGAGCCAAGTCAGGATCGTCCAAGGAAGCGTACCCGTGTCTGGCAGTCTGTACTCTGCACTCTGCAGCATGCACGGTACTCGCACAAAACGTCTCGGCTGATTCGGATTACCCGGCTTTGTAGATGAGGAAATGTCAAGGGAGAAAGCTACTGTAAGTGTACAGTGTACAGTCCACACTCCACAGTACTAACAAGAGTGGCAGCAGCAGTACTACAGTGTCAGACTCGCAGAGTGCAGTCTTGAGTCATCAGTCTACCTTACTACTCCTTAGGTACTTCCTCGTACTTGAACTTAATACTAAGGTACGTACCAACTTACTACTACCCTTGTACTGACTTACCTAAATAGTAGGTACTTTACTGTACTTTAGTCGTAGTCAGTAGTCACTAGTTGCAGACCAGTAGACGTACGGAACGTAGTACCACGGGAGTGTCACTGTCAATCCACTTTTCCACCTTCGCAGAAGCTCCAGGCCCTTTTCTCGTCTCTTCCAACTCAGCTTTCCCCTCTCCTCCAACCTTTTTCTCTCTCGATCTTTGACTACCTAATCCCCATCCACCCGATCATCCCCGTCTCTCCTCACAACGGGATTTGCACCCGGCTTTGGCCTCAATCTCTCTTCCATCCTTTCCCCCCCCCCCCCCCCCCCCCCCCCCTCCCCTCCCCTGCTCTTCCATACCCCCCCTCCCATCGCGTCTCGCGCTGGTGCCATCATTCGCCTTCCATCTGAATAATCATCCTCATTGACATTACTGACGCGCTTCTCTCTCTCTCCCCCTCTGCTCGACTCTCTCCCCCTCTACTTTTCCTCATCATTCATCCTCTTTGACCGGTGCGCTCTCTCTCCTCTTCTTTGATCCCCTTCCCCCCATGTGTACAATTGATCGGCATCATGAACGACCCGCAGACCCAAATGATGGTCCCAGGATCCGCGAAGCCCGCCGGCCCATCGCTGCTGGCCTGTCTCCTCTGTCGCCATAAACATCTCAAATGCGACGGCAAGACGCCAGTCTGTGGTCGCTGCCAGCTGACCGGATCCGAATGCCAATACACCAAATCGCGCCGAGGCTACAAGGGCCCGTCGAAAAAGCGTCGCGCCGAACCTCACACCCCCGACCAGCTTTTCACGGATCCCGTTCCAGGCGTGGTTGATCTGCCCGTCGACTGGTCGGGGTATGGTAGTTATTCATATGCGCCGGTCGCTGTGCCTCAATCGTCATCCAACTCCAGCAGCTCGTCGCCCAACGGGATGCCCTTGTTCGGGGCGATGAATTCCCCCATCTCAACGACGGCCTCCGCTCGTCCGGTCACCGGGCCAATGACGCCAGAATCGTCTTCATCCTTCTGCGGCGACGGCTACCTCCTCGATATCTATTACACCTACTTCCACTCTGCCCACCCTATCTTGCCCCCCTTGCGTTTCTTGTCACGGGCCGCCCCATGCCCCACCTATCTGGAGCAAGTGATGAAGTTCATCGCGGCGCACTTCACGCCCGCGGCCTCGCCGGACACCTATCGCTCCACCGTGGTCACGCACGTGCGCGAGCAATTCTCGTCGGTCGAGAAAGTGCAGTCGATGCTTCTACTGGCGATTGTGCTCCACTCGCGAAACGAGCGCGACGAGGCCCGTGACTGTCTCAATACTGCGATCGACATGTCGCTCGAGCTGGGCCTCAACCAAGCCTCCTTCGCCGAGACCGCCAGTCACGGGGATCCCATCCGCGCCGAGTCCCTGCGGCGGACCTGGTGGGAGCTCTTTGTGATTGAGGGCCTATTGACCGCACTGGGTCTTCAGCAGGTGTATCGCACCAATCTGGTGCCATTTGAGGTGCCCCTCCCGTGTGAGGAGCGCATCTACCAGGACGGACTAGCTCCGCCAACTCCAGTGACGATCACCCAATTCGATGCGCGAGTGTTTGCAGACGACGAGCGCGATTTCTCCTCGTACGCATACCGGATCGAAGCGGTTCGCATCCTCGCTCGTGTGGTCGCGACCCAGGACATGGTGGAGGGGCAGCAGGATCAAGTGGAGGCAATCGACGCGCGAATCGCTAGCTGGTTCCACCATCTCCCCGAGTCCAAGTCCGAGTTGATGCGACCCGACGGGTCGGTAGATGAGATAATGTTCCAGGCGACGATGATCGTGAACGGAGCCTCCATCTATCTGAACTTCCCCCGATCCGACCTTTTGTCGTCTCCTGCGGTCGCCTCACAGGTGATCTGTGGCCACCACGGACCGATCAGTGTCCCGGCTTTCTCTCATCAGGCCCACGCAATGAAAGCAGTCAAGGCAGCCAGTGGCCTATCTACCTTGGCTGCGCTTCGCCTGCCGGTGGAACGACACACCCCCTTCTTCATTTGTGCGCTGACCCTGAGCTCCATCGTGCAATTAGCCGCGTGCTCCGTCAAGGCAGGTCAGATGCCAGACCCGAGCCGGGACCGCATCGGTCTCACCATTGGCGTGTTTAAATCATTGGGCCGCACCTGGGCCATCTCCCAGTCGATCATGCGACAGATCAAGGCTGTCTCTCGGGACGTGATGGAGGTAGGAGTCCGTCCGAGCATGGACACAATAGACTTCCCTTCCATTCTCGATGTCAGTGATCGGTTCTGGGTCCAGGATGGTCCTAGCTGAGACACGTATCGAGCCCGCATGAACCAATCCGAAGACAAACTCGATATCTCATTCGGATGATAAATTGAAACGTACAACGCAAAGCAATTGCAAAAGGACCGCGAAAGGTCCGACTGCCAGTCAAAGGCAACAACGTTGTCATTTGCACACCCGAAAATGAGCAGATTACTGTGAACTCCTCGATTTCGGTGTTAAGCCAACTTACCCATCGAGCGTCTGGCCATATACGTGAGTTTCAGATCTGCAAAGATCTCTTCTCTGCCCGACTCTTTCAAAAGCCCGAAGCACTGGCAAAGAGCCCAGTCGACATCGATTAAGGAGAGGGCCTAATCATGATCTTGATGAAACCTTGTTTTATGAATACTGAAGCGTTCTGCTAATACCAAATGAAATTGTTTAATCATCGTGAAAGTCGCACATTACTCCAGTTTTCCTTGATCATGGTGTCCTAACGTGTCACAATACTTTGCTTGTTCTGGAAGACCTCACAGTTTGAGTAGTGCTCCTGCCCTTTGTTACTGAACCAATGCCACTTGATCAGCAAAGTATTAATCTATATGATGAGATCGCTGTACGAGAACCATGCTAGTCAGGTATCCAGACCATCAACGCATGATAACCGGCTGAACTGGATGGTGCACCCACCCATGTACTATTCATGGTTTCACATGGTGTATGTGTGTTGGAGGTCTCGATATGGATCTCGCATGTCATTGAAGGGTTATAGATCCAAAGTAAGCTTGGAGTTGCCCGGTTGTTGGCCTTCCAATGCTGAAAACACGTGCAGGATGAACGCTCATCAAGGTCTAGCAGCCGGAAAAAGAAAACAGGGAACACAAAACAGACCAGAGAATGGAGAAAGAAATAGATATGAGAAGGGACCTAGCGCCGAAAAAAAATGCAAGAATGGCAGGATATCATTGGATGGGACAAAGGTTGATAAAACTCCGAAAGACATAATGCTCGCCCCTGGTATCAGTGAAACTTGAACAAATTCTACATATGCATGAGAGTCTGGGACCCAAGGAGAAGAAACAGAAGGAAGAGTGACACGAACGGAAGGACAGAAAGAGAGCTAAGCTAGGAGGTGTTGTAAGTGATCAAATAATGCGGAATTTCAAACTCAACAAGCAGAAAATCTGTGCCTCCCGATTTAGGACGGAGCACCGCCGAAGCTCTGCATTTCTTGCAAGGCAATTGCGCGGCGAGCAACTACGTCCTCGCGACGGACAACATTTCGAAGCGCTTCACTGGCTTGAATCAGACCATCAATACTGATGGCATGATTGGTCATCTGGTGATTGATGTACGTGTAGAGTGCGGCTGGAGTAGTGCAACTCGTCAGTAGCTGTGGCTCATTGAGCTTGAGAAGTGCCAAAGCCACTTGGAAGAGGAATGTACTTCCTCCACCACTGCCAGAGGCTGAATCGTCAGAAGCTGGTCCGGACTTATCAGTCCCTTCTTTCGCACCCGAGGTTGACGAAGTTGGCGCTGCTGCTGAGGCAGAGCTCGCAGAGACGGCGCTCGTTACGTTGAGACACAGAACAACGTCCCAGACGCGATACAAGGCTTCTGCTGAGAGACAGTCGGTGAATAGCGAAAGGAACCATTGGAAAGTGAGTGCCTCCAACTCAATTCCCAAATCTTCCAGGTGTGCCGACAACTTGGGTAGAAGCTCTGAGATATACTGCCGAAGGACGACCTGATCCGCGCGCGACGCGAGAAGACCATGGTCGTAGTAATGTCCAGGTAGAATCACTTCAATCATCGATGTCAGTATCCAAAAGGCGTCTTCGGCTGTCGGCAGGATCAGAAGCAGAGATGCCGCAATAAGATTCATGCCTTGACAGTAGCCGACTTCGGGGTTCCGACGCGAGTATGCGAGGAGGACCTCCTTCAACTTGTCCACACCGGGCCCTTTCCTGAAGAAGACATTGTCCGTCAATGTGCGGCGGATATCCATGTCGATTTGGGCAACAATCGAAGAGTCCGGCTCGCTACCACCGATGCCACGAACCAGCTCGTCGTAATAGCCCGGAATCCGCATCGCAGACGCACCGCTACACTCGGACCAGACTTTGGCGCGCAAAGCAACGGGGACACCTCCAAGGACCAGCACACGAAATTCCCGCCATTTGGCACGACCGACCTTGCCTTTATTACCGAGACCAGCAATTCCAATCACCTCGCCGTCTGCCAGAGACGTCTCAGGCATGTCTACGGCCGCAAATGAACGATCAGTGGCCGCTGACGACGCAGCCGCAGCTTCTCCTTCCTTCCTTCGCTCCGCACGAACTTTGCGGAGGAACTCGTTCCATCGGATGGTTCGATCACGCTGCAATGAGTCGTGAAGCTCAGTCAGTTGCTCCAACAATATCTTCACAGGCTCAACCTCGGCGTTGTTAGCTCTGTTGGCAGCAGACATGCCCAGCTCATCCGAATTAGCCCCGGAAAACTCAGGGCGATCGGCTACGACAGTAGAGGTCGATGCTGAGGGCTTGGCGATTGTTATCACAGGGGCAGCGCTTTCCTTGTCCACAGACACCGATGACCCGGATGAGCGGCTGTCTGCACCTGTCGTTAAAGAAATGATGGGACCAGCTGAAGGGGTGTGAGACAAGAGCTCCGTCGGCCGTGTTGGCATTTTCAGATAATCTTGCCATTTCTTAGAGCCCGTCGCACCACTTTCATTGTCCTCGTCTGGGGAAGCCGGAGGGGAGCTTACGCTCTCTCCAGTCATCCAGGTACCCGGACCGAGTTGAGGAAGACCATCGACCTCTAACGCCTCCGGAGAGTCTGCGCGATGATTGCCCAGAGTCTCTCCCATGCTGCGACGTGATTTGAGGTTCTTGGCTGTATTTGCTTCTCGCTGACGCCTCTTCCGCTGTTGATCATAAATGAAGCCAAATCGATCTGTCAGATACTCGCCGATTTGACGATTGTTGTAGATCGGAGTCAAAGACGGAGGTCTCGACTCAAGTGGTAGAATGGCGTCCATTTCCACGGGCCCAAGGGTAGTCGAACTTCTATCGGTAGTCTCAGCCGGTAGCCCTTGGGACGGAGAACCGACAGGAGCTTTGCGCAATTGGTTGGTCCGCACTGTACCGTTGAGAGGTGTGTTGCGCCCACCTGAAGTGGTGGGGACGTTAGAATTACTGTTAATTCTCTTGAGTGCCGCAATCGCAGACAATCCACCCCTGGCTGCGGCAGCAGATGAGCTAGTCCCTGCTGCCTTGTCTCTATCAAGAGAATCAGATTGCGCTCGATGGCGGTTGCTTTCGGAATCACTTGTGTCCTTGGGTTGCGTGTTGCCTGCAAATAACTTGATCGTCCAAGAGCCAAATGAACGTGAAGATTTTCGCGAATGAATGCTCGCGTCATCGGCCGCATTCGAACCACTCGTTGCTCGCCGATTCAAAATTTCATTTGCCATTGAACCGGGTGGTTGGAACAGCTGCTCGTCAAGAGCCTTGCGCCGAATAGAGGGATTGCTGGGCACGCGCATGCGCTCCGAGGATACTTCCTCGCCGGGCTCGTGCATGTCACTCATAATGCTACTCGCACGGCTTGTCTTTCGACTAGTGTTTGTGGAGCCGAAGAAGTATCCCTGCCAGCCGCGTATGGAGCCTTGTGACCTTCGGTTGTTGTCAAGGTCGACATTAAAATGGCGACCGGCTCGAGAGTCACTATTCTCCGACCTTTGCCCCGCTCGAATGGTAGCTTGCAGATCCAAAGAATCATCGCCGGCTTCGGTTTCAAGCTGAGAGCCAACCGCATCCGCCATGGCCTGTGACATCAATCCGTTCAGCCCAGCATTATCACCATGAGCGCCGCCCTCGGCGTCTGAGGTACGGTCCTCACCAGAATTTTCCAGCTGGTAGAGGCGACGTTCGATGTCCTGGTTGGAAACTGAAACTTCTCGCAGCATGCGCTTGAGTTCGCGCTCCCTAGCATCAGCGCGCTGGCGAAGAGAGGAAATTTCCGCGTCTCTTTGCGCCAAATCCCTGGCGAACTGGCGGACAAGTGTGACCGCTCCGGTCGTAGCAATCAAGCGCTCAATATGCGCGTCATCCGCCAAATGCAATGCGCCGGGTATATCACGCATGGGAACCGAGTCTGCGAACAGTGCCCCCCTCCCTCCCGATTCGACGGCCTTGACGTCAAACTTGCGATAGTAGCTTTGCGACCCCGTAAATTATCATTTATGCTTTCTGATGCTTCATCACCACCCATGAGCATAGTATTTGTCAAGCCCCGTGTCAGTGTGGGAGAGTGATCCGGTGGCGAGAGGGAAGGGAACGAGGTCAGATCGGTGGGCGCATTAGAGGAAGCCGAGTGACGCTTTTGTACTTTGTATCGCAGTGATCGCGCTTTTTGACTCCTGCTCGAGGCCGAAGACGCTTGAGAGGAGGACCGGCGTTGAGGTGAAATATCGGGCTCCGCCATGGCTCGATAAGGAGTGACAGGCGTACAGGTCCGGAACACGTTCTGGGGATCTTCATGAATTCTCCCTATGAGATTCGACACCAGTTGGCCAAAATGGGTCAGAGAAAGAGGACAAAAAGGAAGTCCGAGAAGCGTTGTTCTTCAGCTTTCTTTGCCTCGCTACTGCGGGTTCGTTAAACTTTTTTCCCTTCTCTCACCCGCTCGTTTTTGGGCATTAAAGTATTGCCAGGAGATCTGCGTGGAGCTGGGGAATGAAGGGAGATCTCCCGCGCTATCAATGCAAGGAACTCAACTATGCTGATGATAGAAGCTCCAATTCGTGATCGTACACCAACGGCGACTTCTGCAAAGAGATGTCAAAGAAATTCAACATGTCGATGCCCAAGCACAAGAGCTATTTTCGCCTGAAACAAGCAGCAACACATGACGTGATAATCACGTGTGGCTTTAGGGAAGGGCGATAGGAGCCGCGTGATCACGTGAGAGTAAGGGACTCAAAAATTATAGTCTGATCGAAAGGGGCATGTTTGCACTGTTTTGTAGTGAGCGCTATGGCCGAGGCCTCGGCTCTCTGCATAACCGAGTGGAGAAGAGATAGCCATGCGGGCTGAGAGCAGCTCGGCTCAGCTTCTTCCTCAGCAGAGCCTTGTATTTAATGACAATTTTCCCCAGAATCTACCCCTCCAGTAAAAGGACACTCGGTCAAAACCAGAATCCTGAGTCATCCTAATTCAACAATACCTAAAGCAAGGCACATTCTCATATCTTTACCGTGGCAATCCGTCAAAACAATATTAGAACAACATGTCGTCGGGTTTAGCAGCTCGCCAACGACTCCAGGCTCTCAGCAAGCAATTAGTCGAGGGGATTCCAGAGGAAGGCTCCTTCGAGGGAATTCCTAAGATCCGTCATATTGCAGGAAACTCGGCTGGACCGTGAGTGACAATATGACCAATGCCCCACTGCAAGACCTGCAAGCTGCGAGGCTCCCGAACATCTACGCCGACGCTGTTGTCAGGCCCGCTGATTGAAACCCAATTAGTCGTACTCAAGACAAAGTTGTGATCGTCACTGGTAAGTCTCACTTGGAATCTCAGAGCGATACATGTGTCTTTCGCAGTACTGATGGTGTTGTAAGGTGCAAATTCTCCCAATGGAATCGGGCGTGCGAGTGCCCATCAGTATGCCAATAATGGCGCGAAGGCAGTCTACATTTGCGACTATGCCGACTCGCATCTAGCCACACACAAGCGAGAAATGGAATCGCTCTATCCTGGCGTGGATGTCCACGTGCGACAGTTTGATGCAGGCGACGAAAAAGCCGTTATTGCCGTCGTGGACGATGCGATCTCGAAGTATGGCCGACTAGATATCTTCTTTGCCAATGCTGGCATCGTCGGCCAACCTAAGATCTTCACTGAAATTGACGCCGATGGATTCATGCAGACAATGAAGACGAATGCTCTAGGGTGAGGCCTTCCTGATTCTGAGGCGACAAGTCCTCCTTCGGAATGGAAACGCACTGCCTGGCCTGGTCCCTGCGTTCGATAACTCTTGCACTCGTGAACTGACTATTTTCCACAGTGTCTTCCTGGCTGCCAAACATGCCGCACCAGCCATGAAAGTGACTTCCGACAGCAAGCCATATCCCGGCGGATCCATTATCCTTACAGCCTCAGTGGCCGGTCTCCGCTCCAATGCCGGCTCAACCGACTACTCTGCCTCCAAAGCTGCCGTGGTCTCCATTGCCCAGACCTGCGCCTATCAACTCACCGGCACAGGCATTCGCGTCAACGCCATTTGTCCCGGTCTCATTGAGACAGGCATGACACAGTCGGTCTTTGACCATGCCCGCAAGCGTGGCACTGAACGCAAAATCGGCCAGCTGAACCCGATGCAGCGCGGCGCTGTGGCTGACGAGGTTGCGCGGGTGGCGTTGTTCCTGGGAAGTGACGAGAGTAGCTATGTGAATGGGCAGGCTTGGGCTGTTTGCGGTGGTTTGAGCGCGGGCCATCCAGTGGTGCCTGGAAAGCTTGCCTAGTGATGGGCAATTTTTCTGTAAAGGCAGACAGTGTTGTGTGTTGCATGAAGTATGAAAGAAATCCAACCTACAATTCGAAAAAGTGCTTGACTTCCGCTTGTGAAGGACGGTCTCCTCTACGTATAGGTACTTCTCAGCTTGCACTTACCGATTATGGATGGACTCAGTGTCTGTTTGTTAGGTACTAAGTAGGTAGTGTAGTAGGGAATCCGGTTGCATGTACATAGAGCAGATAGTCTGCTGAGGTGCGTGTGCCTGATGGTGGCCTTGCAGTCGGGAGAGGCTGTTTGGACATGACGGGAGGGAGTCAATCAACTTGACAACCCAAGGGAGACAACAAGCAACCAAGGGATTGAACGGCTTCATGGGATCCGGGAGACCCATCGGAGAAGGGAATTGAGAGTTCAGCACAGTCTTTACAGTCGGGCTCTTTTGCATTGCAATAATACACTCCTTTTGATCTTCACCTGTGCCTCTTGACATCCTACGGATAGGTGTTGTACGGTCGGGCTGGGAGATCTCTGGACGTGCGTGCTGGTGGTTATGGTTTGATTCCTCTATGACTCGACCTGTCTGGTGAGATCAGACTGCCTTGAGCATTCCCCTCTATAGTAGGCAAAAGGAGTGGTCACCAACTTCGAAAAAATACTGACAAGTTTATGCAGGCAAGCTTTCATTCAACAGCTAGGATATATAGAATAATGTTATGAACTCGATAAATCTGGGTCGACCAATTCGTCCACAGATCAGAAATAAAGAAAAAGGTGCGTAGCACACGGTGGTTGTTTGGGGGGAATGGGGATCTTGTGAGGTAAATAAGAAATTCACAAGGTGCAGAGTGAAACGATCACGCACGCCGCAAGATACTGGCTGCGAGCGGGTAAATACACTCATAGGTGGGATGAACGGGGTTGATAGAAAGGAAAGAGAATCAAGAAGGCCAAAGCCGGCAAGCCGGTCCGGCTCCAAAGGGAACAACCATCAAGGAGTAGATCACACAAGACCTTCCAGGGTCGAGCCAACGGACAAGAGCGCAAGACTGCTGCGATATGCTTGCCAGATGATGTGGAAGCGGGCGGAAAGGGATAAGGAAAGATAGTCAGAACAATCAAAGGACGGGAAATAGAAGTATCGAGGTCGAACCCACAAACAAGAATCTCGAAGAAGAGGGTAGTAGAGAGGAAAATGGCATCATATCGCCACAGAATCAAGATCGGGGTGCCAGTGCAAGTTGAAGATTAACGAAGAGGAGAGACAAAGAGAAGACACCGATTTGAACAAAGAACACGCCAATATAAGGTAGGATTGAGCCGACAAACTTCCAACAAAATGTTGTTCCTGATCAAGCATTGCCAAGTGGTCATCAAAAACAAAGGGCTTTTAGAATCAATGGCCAGGATATCATGAGACCACCCTTGTGCTTTGGGGCCGCATAAGATCCTCACTAGCTTGTTTGGAAAGGGTACCGGTCTCGGTCGCCTGATCGTCCATGTTCTCGGTTTCATGGGCATGCTCATCGTCATCTTCCACGATTCTGGTGGGGATCTCACTAGGACCATTGTACTGCATGCTCGCTCGCTCGGGGAATGTGGAGCTGCTGATCATGGACATGGACGTGCTTGACCGGTTGTGAACCAGATCCGGGGTCGGGGGAATACTCGAGTGACGATTGTCCGGGTGGAGAGAATTGTTGTCCAGGTCACTCACTTCACTCGTGGCCCGGGTAGTGAGTCCATCATATTCCGAGCCGAGCCGATCACCGCCATCCTTGACGGAGTAATGCACGTCGTCGTCCTCATCTTCAGCATCCTGGGCGAGGTGCAATCCCTCGACGGCGGCGGCGCACTGGTCGCTAATGTTACGAATAATGTCTGCGATGGCGTCGGTCTTGTCGCGGAGATAGCGATCCGCCACGTCGGTAACGCTAAGGCGAGCAAGTGACTTGTGGTCCTTGCCAATATTCAGCAAATGCTGCTCGAGCTCGGGTCTCATGTTATTTACCGATGTAGACTTTCTCAGCGTGCTCTGCTTGCTGCTCGACTCCACCAATGTATCCTCACGCGGCTCCCGCTCGCGCTCGCTCATCTCTTCGGGTGCATCATCGTAACCCTGCTCGACCATTTCAGTAATCTCCGAGTTGCTTCCGATGGAACGAACAATGTGCTCCATGTGGTGGCTCTGGCCATTTATCAGGCTGCGCAGGTGGAGGACCACCCGCTGGGCGTCGTCGCGCTGGCGAGACAAGGTCGAATTGGTGTGGGTGAGAGCCGAGATCTCTTTCTGATTGCGCTTGCGCTCACGTTCCAGCTCCTCGGCGATTTCTTGCTGAAGGACCAGTGCCTCCAGGGCGTCATCACGCTGCTTCTCGGTGCCGGAAAGGCGCAGCGTCAATCGAGCCACGTCGTCCTTCTGCTGATCAATCAGTCCAGTGAGGCGGCGGGTTTCACGCTTGTGGTTCTCAATCTTGACCTTGAGCTCCGAAGTCTCCTTCGTTAGCTGCTCCGCAAAGGCCTGGAATTTGAGGAATTGCTGCTTCCAAGTCTCGAGCTCTTCGACCAAGAAGTTGTTGCGCTTCGTGACCTTGCTAAGCTCAGTATCCATACGGCCCTTCAAATTGATGAAGTCTTGCCAGGCCTCCATAGCATCGCGTGAGTATTGGTTGCGCTCGCGAACAATCTCATTGAGATGGCGCATGGAAACCTTGGTCATCAGGGGCTTCTTGACCGACCCGCCAAAGATGGCCTTGACACCGGTGTTACGGCCCAGCTTCTCGCAAACATGATCCATCACTCCCATCACTGCGTCCTGGTTCCACCACTCCGGGTCTTGAACACTCTCGACCTCACCACGCATGACGATGATTTGACCGGCAGGAATCAGCTTGCCACCAGCGTAAGCTGACCGCAAGTGATTGGGTACCCCGGAGGGGGAAACGTCTCCGTTGAGGGCTTGAGTGAGGCGAGTGATAAATTTGGTGCGCTGCCCTTGATTCAATACATTGGGTGGACTCGACGTCAGGACAAAGTTGCGATCCAGATCCACGACCAGAGCGTCTGATGGAGCATTGAAGAGAGTGCGACATTCGGCAGTGATACCCAAGATATATGGACCGGGCTCCTGCACGAGTTCTTTCACATGGCGGGCGTGCACCACAGGAACGTACAGGCCACTCCACTCGTAGACGCGGACACAGTATCGGATGGTCTCGGCGGCGACCGTCAGCATGGCGGGATAGTGTGAGACGAAAATGATACGACGTGTAGGCGAGACAGCTGCCTCGATGACGCCGACGATGTTGGGGATGGACAGGCAGTTGAAGAGCGGCCACATTGAGAAGTTCTGAAATCCGGTCGGGGAGGAGGGGAATTGGTAGCAGAGGGCGTAGTCCTTCATGTCGATGCGGACCAGATCGTTCAATCGGGGTGCCGGGAAGCTGAGGATCCGAGACACCTCTTCTGCGTGAAAGAGGTTCGTGGCCTTGTTCCAGTGAATCCACATCCCCCTCAGGTAGTCGCCCAGTAGATCGTACAGCGGGTAGCGGGACAAGAAGCTCAGGCAGTAGGGGATCCAGTAGGTCTCGTCCGGGTTGTCGTAAAAGTCTGGTTCGGTCTTCTTGCGCAACTCGCGAATGGTTTCCGCCCGCTTCTCATCCGCTCGAGACCACACGCGCAACGCGATGCCGTATAGAGTATGGGAGGAATCTTGTTGCAAGACAAAGGCATGATGACCACAATGGGGTTGGCTCTTGCCTGTACAGATTTCGACATCGTGAGGGAAGCATGCCTGCAAGAGTGGGAGGTCAGTTTTTCCAGCTCTACGTTTGGGTCTGATGCACCTCAATCCTGCGTAAGATGCAGGGCCATTAAAACATCAGATTTGGATGAATTGACGTTCCTGACTGAAGAGGGGGGGAGGGGATCAGAAGGAATCGTGTTCTCCAATGATAGTTCACGGAGAGCATAGCTCAAGCGAGAGTCGGAGAGCAAAGCAAGCGCAAGAGTCAAGAACACACAACAAAACAAAGGGGGGGGAGGTCATACCCTCATAGCCGAGTGCAGCGATCGCGCAATTTCATTGTCTTGCTCCAGACGAGGGCTGCTGCCGAGGATTTCGGGCAACCAGAATTGCCCCACGGCACCTTTCATGTGGCCAATCTTGCCCTGGTCGGGCGTGGGTGCTTTCACCCATTGCGAGGGCTCACGACCGACACCACACACCATGTAGGCATGGGTGAGGGTCTTGGGCGTCCGCTGCGTGGGCTTCATGCTGAGGGTAGAAGGAATGGGTTGAGTAATGCGCGAGTGCAGCGAGGAAGTGCGACTGGGGACTACCAATGAGTTCTCCCCTTCGCCGCGGGTTGTTGGGCGATCGCGCGTCGATGGGCGGACGAAGGATCCATGGTCCCTTAATGATGGACCCATCGTGGCGGTAAGAAGTGGGTGGTGAGCCTGGACGAAAGCTTCACTTGCCGTGCTCGAGAGAACCCCGGATCACGATACCTAAAAGTGGGGAGGGGAGTGAGGTGTGACGGGAGAAGCGATTGACGAGTATCAAGAACACCAAAATATAGTACTTGAGACAATGCGACGGTCGGTCGAGTTCAAAAGAAGGTTATCAAGAATTGGTGTGACTGGGGGCCCGGTCGTTGGGTCGACTCCGAATGTGGAAGAGGTGAAAGAGGTTCAGGAGAGAGAGAGATGGAGCAAATGATAACGAGAGTCGAAAGGAGCGAGGCGGACCGGGGGGAGGGCCAGCGAGTCGAAGTGGTAAAAAAAAAATTTAACACGACGAATATCACCCGATGTGGAAAGGATCCAGCACGAGGTCGGGGAGGGGGCGTTGTCTCCAATCTGAAATCACAACTGGTCGAGGGTCATGCAGGCCATCAATGGGAGCGGCGCAAAAATGGGTATACAGGCGGACCGTATACTACGGAGGCGAGAAAAAGAGCCCGACCACACCGTTTTCCACAGAGATGTTCGACTAGTTCCGGCCGAATGCCATGGAGCGCGAGCAATGAGACAGAGAGAAAGAGGGAGCCAGGAGGGACACAAGAAGAGAGGGAGATGGAGAGAAGGAGAGAATGGGAGAAAGAGAGAATGAAGAGGAGAAAGGAGGAGATCACGAAGCACGATGCAATTAGGGGCTGGCGACTGGGACTGGGACTGGGACTGGGACTGGGACTGGGAGTCTGGGAGTCTGGCAGACTTGGGAGCGTCAGGAACCGGCGGAGCCAGAGGACGAGAGGCACCGCTTGTGGGGAAAGGAGGCAGTGGACGGGACGGCAAGACCGCTGCAAAAGCTCGCAGTCTGGGATCCCGAATCGAGCACGAATGTCCATTTAATCTCGACTGACTGGGGAACTCCTGAAACTTTGAAACACGAGGCACACCGATCAGGTTTAGCCCGACCAGCAGAATCAGGAACCTCGGGAACTACGTGGGTACCTGCTCCCGGATGAACCTCCAAGGAGTGAAGTACGGTCGGTACTTTTCACTAGCGAGGAGTTCGTGCAGAGCTTCCCAGTCTGGTCGGCGGCCGCTTTCCAAGCTGCTGTGGTAATTGGTAGCTGGCATTCGCTTCGCACCTCGAGGGCTTCAGCCGTGGTGGTCAGCGAGGGGGGCAAGCGGACAAGAGATTCAGGCCGATCCATGGAGTAGGGGATGCCAACAAAACTGCAGGCCTGGTCCACTGACTGTGGGTGCGGGGTGTATTACTGCATTGTGCAAAGGACACGACTACCTATCGTCGCTGTCACTGTCACAACTGTCGGACCAGGATCACTCAACAAGAACGCCAGCCCGTCTTTTGAGGTGGGCGCACTGATCATAGCTTGGGCAATTTAGGGGTGCAGATGTCCAGTATCGTGCTCAAATCGCATTCAGCATATCGGCATATCAGCATATCCACTGTCCATCTGCACCGAGGCGGCACTTACAGACGTTGAACCGTGAATGATAAGCACAAATCATCATGCCAGCTCGAGCCACCAGCTGTGCAGGCGTCGCCAGGCGAAGCTTACAGAGCTTACTAGAGCTTGCGGAGCCGTTAGGGGCAACAAAGTGGGGGGTCGCGCTAGGACAGATGGTTCTGCTCGTCGTGGTTCGAGTGGAGCTGGGATAGGAACCACAATCGAACCGCAAGAGGTCAACCTCGTTGGGAGCTTCTCTGGCAGCCGGTGGAGCTTCGTGCAGGAGCCGTTGGAGTCCGGGTGCAGGCGATGAGACCAGTCAGAACTCAGACGGACTCCAAGGGAGGGCGACTATCCCCTGTCAACTCCACTCTGGGCCCCGTCGGTTTAAAATTAACAAGACCAGAACACTCAGGAGCAGCAGTGACACTCAGAAAGGATGTTGTGCATGGCTGCATGCTACTTCTCCTCCGCAGCTCAAGGGACTGGGGGAGGGGGGGAGGGGAATGAACGCAGCAAGGTTGAACAAGAGATCAAGTTGGATGTCGCTGGGGCGGCAGAAGTTGGCTGGGAAATCACCTGATGGGAGTGGGAGTTCCAGCGGAACCAAGAGCCCGGGGATGTATAGGACTTCACCACAGGACGGAGGTAAGCAGATGTTTCTGGCAATGATTGCTCACAGTACATCTAGTCATATACTACTATGTCAGTGACCTACCAATCAAGCGCATGTTGACAGATGAGCCCGGTATGTGTTGGCCACTACATGATTAGCAGTGTGACACTGACAGGCGAGCTGCTCATTACAAAAAGATTGTTGTTGGAGATGATGGCTACATTTTCAAGGTCCACTTTCAAGCGCCAAGCAGAATCATTCTACTCGTCCATGTCCTGGAATATGATAAAGCTATATAGCGATACAGCAGCCTAGTAGCCCAGGAAATTTAAGGCTATGCGACTCCATGAGGTAGGTGTAACTACTAACTAGGGCGTTCCCCAATCGTACAAGTGGAATTACGACTGACTTCAAGGAACATTACTTGGTACTGTATTAGTGTATTCAGTATTGTAGTAGTAGTCTCACTAGGTACCTAGACTCTGTATACGATAAGATCACATGAGTAAGTTATGGGCCTCTATGCGAAGCAAATGAGACTCGTCTTTTTCTCGTTTTCGACCCACTATTCAAAAACTGGATGCATCCGATGTCGCGGCAAATATCCAACCACTTGATGCAGACATGTAGGGTTTGAAGCATTCACCTAAGCATGCAGAATGACCGCCGTTTTATCGCTCTCAACGGTTGACCGCTGGTCCATTGACGGTCATTAGACACTAAATCCACACAGGCTGATCCACTGCATACCCTGGGACTGATCTGTTCAAATGATTCAGATGAAGGGAGTGGCGACCTCTTCTGTAGTACAGACTACAGTGCCGTAGGGGGTCAAGACAGCTCTGGTGAAAGGCTTTTCTGATGCCGCGGCTCATTGGTTACTACACATCAGGCCCGGAATTCGATCGGCAATCTTTATCCGCCTCTATACCGTAGTTGGTCGGTAAAGAGGCATCACACATCAAATTAAGCCACATGCGGATTGTTCCAGTGTCACAAGCATCATCGATCACCACTCGCCACCACCGCACCCATTCGCTTCGTTCAAAAACATGGACACTGGGGTGAATCCCCTAATAACTGCAAGATATACTTGCCACCTCCTTTTCTTCCGTTGATCATAGGGAATAGGATTTACTGAGCAGAAGTGATGGGATCATGGGAGTACTATGTACTTTAACTATGGTTAGTACTTAGTACTTACTGTGAATGCCAGAACAGACATCGCTCTCGATCGATGGCCAGAACGCATTCACGGGTCAGCCTGTTCCGGGCTGTGAACAGCCAAAGTACATCAAGCCCCGGCTTGAGACTGGCAGACTAACAGTACCGTTACTAGTACTACTCAGCACACATTTGGACCTTGTAAGTTGCGACTCTCCGATCCTTCCGTGCCATTGAAGGCGGTTTCCGTCGAGCCAATTTCTCGATGCACCTCTGCAGCTCACTGTGAGGGGGAATTTCATGTCCAAGTCATACTACGTTACAAACTTCATTTACATATAGGTGCAGCACGCTCATCCCATTTCCAATAAATTATGACTTTGTCAGATCCGGGCTTCGAATTGCTCGCCTTGCAACCGGCCTGCATATATGGTGCTCAGAGGCTATGATCGAACAAACGCTGGCCAACTTACCTGTTATTTACACTTGAGTCTTAGACAAGGTTGGGGCATGTGGAGCCTGACATAAGAGGTAAGGTTGATCTTAGCCGCGAAGATGACGGGATGACTCAAATGATTTACCTATGGAGGAGGAGACAGGATATCTACGGACCTAGGTATCCGAGTATATATTACTGCAGGTCTTTTGAACCTGTGCAATTTACTACTTATATCGATTTCAATCTGCATATCATCATCAACCAAATCTGACTTGAGTTTCTGTTCCACCGACGGAATGAATGCTCTTTCGCTGACTACCTAGCGTATTCCGTCCATGAGGTCATACACTTCTGATCGAAATAGACATCCACTCATATCTACCCAATAGCTGTAGACCATTTTTGTATGAACATGGATGGGAATTCGTTTGTATAAGGTTGCAGTGTTGGAATACATTTAGCATGTACTTTTGGGTCACATTTGAAATAGAATGATATTAAGTCAGAGACCATATCAATGGAGTTTCAATCCAGGCGCGATCTGAATTGAAGGCCTGGACACCTCTCCCACTGCCAAGAATGGATTTTTGCCCGAGCTCATGAGGATCCCACCCGTGTTGTTACTGCACTAAGAGTATTGAAGCACAGACTCTACCCGAACACTCTATAGTCAGGACCTCCGACCCAGCACAGGTTCCAATCGGTTTGCCTTACCAGGCGGGCCGTCGGGAACCACCCGTGGTTCTACATAGCTTTAGTGGTCCAACCTTGTAGTCATTCCAAGGTTGGATTGAATTGAACAATAAATGTCACACACGCGCAAGGTAAGATTAATGGATACTCTTAATGAGAGCTCTTTCAATTCCACGAGTTGGGTTGCGCTGTTCTCAATTTTTAGTCAATAAAGGCACATCTGCAGCCCAAGGATATCTATTGCTATCACAACTCAACAAATCACGATAAACCGAACAGAACCGCCACACCCAGATTCGGGCCACTCGAGTCGTGCCACTTCTTGGGCTTCGGGCAGGTTTTGTGAGTGATTCTGCTACTTAAAGACATACACCATCCCGGCTCGATCGACACTCACGATCATGCCATGGGGCTGGCGCAGAACAGCAACATCTTGAATTATGTCAAGATGGCTCTTCAACAGCATCTGTTGTTGAAGGCTGATCACGGTGCTGCGTGGGGGTCGAGGACTGGCTCCCTTCTTCGAGCTCGATGTAAGGGTACCCTCACTCTGGATCGACGTCCTCGGCATACGCTCTGTCACCGCGAAGAGACTGGCTGCTGGCTGGCTGCTTTCGTACTGCGGCTTACTTGCCACTGGCCCACTGGAGACCGCATCCAATCCGCTAACAATCATTGAATTGGCCGGGTTGGCAAGGTCCCAAAATCGAACACGTCGGTCGCTGCCTCCAGAGACGATGAAGCCGAGTCGGCTGTTACTGTTCGCGCCTCTCGCGTCGTCTGGAGAATTGAGACCCCCGACAAAGGCTAATGTCCCCATGCGATCGCCCGCACTGCCGCTCGCTGGCAACGAGGAGCCGATGTGGCCCCCAGCTCCAGCCAGTACACCAGCCCCGGCAGGTCCTGTAGTCGCAAATCGATTGAGCATACCCTCAGGTCGATCCTCGTCTACAGGCCACGCCTCGAAGTCCTTGATGTCGAGGCGTGATCCTCGACTCGTGGCAGCGGGTCGTGAGCTTCGAGAAGAAGGTTGCGGCGGTGGAGGCGCACTGTTCGCTGCCCCGTTGGGCGTGGTACTCTCACTGGAACCGAGTGGCGACGCTTGATAAACTTCACGACAGCGGAATTTCTCGACATCCCACACGGTGATTTCGTTACCATGAGCCCCGCCGCTTGATACACAGACCCAGCGTCCCCGTGATTTGAGAGGGTGTAGCTGGACTCTGTGAATATAGCCCCATCCTGGTAGACCCCAAGCTTTCAGCCGGACACGGAAACGGAGATCCCACAAGTCGAGAATTCCATGAGTTGTCCCAACCAATAACCAAGTGTGACGCCGGTCACAGCAGAACGTCGTTGGCGTTCCATGATGTACAGGGTTCTCTAAAGTGTAGAATGGCAACATGGTTTTCATGTCTAGCGCCAAGATTCGACAGGCGTTCGTGGCGATAATAAGTGTTGAGGTGCCTTCGTCACGGTAATGCTCCATCCAGACAGCGTACTCCTGCATGCCATCTTCAGTGAGGGGAAGCTGATATTCTCGGACCAACTGAAGCTTGCCGTACCGAGCAGTTTCGTTTACTTTTTGATAGTCAATTCGGACGGCGTGAATGCTGCCATCAGTGGCACCGCTGACGAAAGTGTACGTATTTTCGACGAAGGTGAGTGCCTTGACGCGTGCCCCGGGTGCATGACGATAGGTCTGCCTGGAGCGTGGTGTGAGATTGCGCTCCAGCCGAACAGAGTCCCAAACTTTGACAGTGCTATCATCAGAAGCAGTCACGAAGAATGCATGGTCCGGAGGTACAGCAATACGATTTACTGGTGCAGTATGCTCCCCAAAGGTAGCAATGAGGCTACCCTCTGGACGCCATAACGCGTTGGTATCCTGTGGATTTGCGTTTGGAATAGAATGCCGCACATCAATTTCCTTGACGTAGGGGCCAAGGTCAAAGAGATCCGTGGGATAGTTCTCCGCAAAGACGTTGTCTAGAAGTCGTAGGACAACCGGGTCGTCTCCGGTGTAGGAGTGATTCGCATGATACCGTCGTGGAACAGTCATCGCCGCATTTGACTTTAGATCGGGTACACCCGCAGACTGTTGGGCGGCTCTCGGGGCTGATGCATCTATCTTTCCAACGGCATTGGCAGAGCTTGTACCGGTTTCAGCGTAGGCCTTTACGGTCTCACGGCGATTCAATAAATTAATAGCACTGGGTTTGCGATGTATTGGGAGTCCCCTTGTGGAAAGTGTGTCGGTGTTTGTTGGAGTGGTTGACGCGCTGTCATGAGGTGAACTGGATCTGCGATCTTGAGTCTTAGAAGTATGCTCGGCGTCCGAGTCTGGCGGAGACATGAGGCGTTGGCCTGATGCTGCAGCTGGGGATGAGGCAACAGGCGAAGGGGACAAAGATCCAATTGCAGCGTGCGTCTGACTTGACATGTCAATCTCCTTCCGAAGCTGGCTTCGAATATTGATTGGTTTACGATGTGAGGAAGTCGGTCTTTCAATAGTGGTGGACGCATCAAGTAGAGCGTCCGCAATGGTGCGTGGTCTTTGCTCGTCGAGTGATCGGCGTACTTGACTTACGTGTCTCTGATGAGACACTTTACTTGACTTTTCTTTCAAATTTTGGTCAAAGAAGACAGTCTGAGGAGTGACACCGTGCTGCGAAAGGCTGACAATCTCAGATAGCGAATATGAAGCTTCCGACTCGACATCTCGGAATTGCCGCTCAGACACTTTAGCGATGTAATCCCTAAGAGCCAAAAGCTTGAATTCATCTTCGACAGTCAAGCCAAGATTGCGCAGTCGTGCAAGCCACTGTTCGTCTTCATCATTCTTTGATTGAGAAGCCATTGACAAATTCGGTACCTGACCCAAACGGAAACTTTGACTTCCGGAATCCATAAGGCTGAAAGCGTCCCTACTCGCAGATTTCCAGAATATGCCCTTTTCGGTCTTCGAGGCCCAGAGCATCGCCGATTTATAGATGTTCCTGGGCAAAGGTCGCTTGAGCGCTTCAAGGAGCTCCACATCTGAGATCCTTATCGCCTTGTTCTTGAGATAGGGTCGGATAAGAGGAGTGAGAATCGAGAAAATATCAGCCGCCGATAAAAACTTCGTTGCGTTTGCAATCAGGTGAACTGTGCCCTCACGGATCCACATATTAGGATGCATCAAAAAGCCCACGGTCATGTGAAGAAGATCCCAGATCGTTGACCTTTGAAAGAGACCGAGGCCAGCCATAGTAGCAAGCGAACGGATCACTTTTTCGACGACAAATTCTTCGGGCTCGGTCAAGGACTGCAGCATAAGGGGGAGAATATACTGCTCCAAAGTTGTACTGCCAACGTACGTGGCGACACCCACGACGGTCTCAAAGAAGGCGCATTTGAGAATCCAGTCTCGGTCGTTGAGGTAAGTATTTAAGTGGCTGAGGATGATCTCGTTGGCTTTGGTGTTCCCGAAAAAGACGCACAAGCTAGAGACGGACCCAAGAAAAGCCCGTCGAACAGACTGATCACCATCTGTCAAGAGCGCCTTGGTGTGCGTCTCAAAGTAATCCAACAAGTCAATGCGGGCGACGTCGTATAGATTATGGTAAGTCGCATCCTCGGTCCATCGAGGCTCAAATCCCGCAGGAATGAGATGAGTCAAACGAGTGTCCGAACGCAGCGCTTGAACCATGTTCAAGAATCGCAATGACGAATGCGCCAGAGAGGCTATACAAGAAGCGTACACGGCACGGACAATGGGGCTTGGTTTGCTCTTGGGTGACGTGACGAAGTGGTGAAGCCTGGGAAAAATGTATTCCGGAAAAATATAAGCATTGACCGGCGAGACGACCCGAACCATCTCTAGTAGTTGAGTCAGCGTGCGGATCGCAGCGATTTTAACGGTGTCAACGCGGTCTGTGAGCAAGATAATGACATATGGGAGAACTCGATCGAGCTTCGCCTCATCCGATAACCTTTCTGCAAAGGCTAACATGATATCGCAAGCCTTGATGCGCGCCGAGGCTTTCGAGGTGGTTCGTAAGTTGGATACGACAAGACTCAGAAATATGAGAACACCCTCGTCGGAACGTAAGCGTGGTGATGATTCGGTAGATGGGACCCCTTCGCTACCACCAATAGGTAGGTTGAGTTTGACCGGAAGACAGCTGCCAGTGAGCCTAGACCCTGGAGCTGTACTTGTGGTACAAAACATGGACGCTCGTGGAGGTATCCCGAGGAAATAGAATATCTTGTCGAAGTCAAAGAAAACCCTCTCAATTCGATCGTCAGTCTCGCCACGATTGTTCGTCTCCGCATCTACCCTCGTTCTGCCGGAGGATGGATCTGTCATTAGTGACATGTACTGGTGGAGAAAGCTGTAGAAGTACTCTGGGAAGGCCTTGATCTTCCAGAAATTGAGATACTCCTCGGCAGAATAACGTGCTTCCGGATCCAACTGAATCATGTGTGAGATCAGCTCTCGGATTTCCGGATCCTCAATCTTCACAAGATGACCGTGTTCCGGGCTGTATTCACCCTTGCGATATTTGTACATTTGACTAAGCGTGAAGATCGGAGCCTCTAGAAACAGCTCTGCGATGACACAGCCTGCGCTGAAAATGTCCATTGCCCAATTCACCTTGCGACTGCCGGACTCCTCTCCCGCCTCAAGGAAGCGTTCTGGGGCGAGGTAACATGTTCGTCGACCAGAAATGTCGAAGTAAAATGAGAAATCAGCAGGATTGTCCTCTGGGAGAAAGGTGGGTTTGAACGAAGAAGAAAAGTCGGAAAGATAGAGCCAATTCCAAGAAGTGACCAGCACGTTCTCAGTCTTGATGTCGCCATGGAAGACGTCCAATGAATGAGAGTCTCGCAATGCGCAAAGAAGCTGGAATGCAATCCATTTTTTCTCAATGTCCTCAACGAAAGGACGCGTGCTGTGGTCAAAGGTCAGATCACTGTTGATTGAAAACGATGAGTTGTTGAACTATACCTGATGCGATCGTACAGGGAGCTATGGATGAATTGACGAACCAGGTAACCACTAGTTCCGGTCTCCAGGATTCTCTCATAGCTTAAAGCGTTGGGCACATCTGACAAAAGTTTTCGTTCCCCTTGATGATTTATCAGCAGAGATACTTGCATTGAGATAATTTTCGTGACCGACTGATTAAAGCCTTGACATATGGCTCAAGTTCCATAGTTGGATATGGCTTCATTATCACCTTGACGAACACAAGCCCATTCTGTTGCCTTGCTCGGATACTCTTCATAAACCTGCCGCCGCCCATGGACCTCTCATACACCAGATCCGCTAGCTCCGGGACGTCTATCCCTGCAGAGCCCGCTGAAAGGGTCGTGAGGGAGTAGCCTTGACCCATGATGTCTGTAAAGCCTCATTGCCAGCTCCTCCGGGAACAGCTGTTGGTTTAACCGCGATGGGCCCCGTGGGTCAACCCCGTCAGTGAGGTCACTTGTGTCGTCTCTCCACGTGATGAATTGAAAGGCGGTGAACGAGCCCCCACACCGCAGCCATGAGCTTATTTGAGACTAGTCGAAGGGCAAAGACGATCGTGTCTAGTCGAACGCGACATTTTTGAACGCTGACCATAAATAATGGTCTGAGTCTGCATCTAATTTATGATAGTACTTTCTCGATTCCGGTGATTTTTCTCACACTTTGCAGAAGTTGGTCGACTGAGTCTATGCACGTTCAGTCCCTTGATAGCCACGGCCAAGCTCTCCTGCGATTCTGCCAAGATTGCCTTCTTCCGCCCGGGAAGGCTAATTGCTGGCCCTTTGCACACAGTTATTTACTTGCGACCTGTTGATTGAACGATTGCTGGCAGTGACCGAAGGCTATATTCGCCCCATTTGCCATGTGCGATCACCATCGCGATTCATTTGCTTCGGATGCAGCATCCGGAGCAGAGCCTGGAATGGATCTTTTCGACATTCCGCTTGTTGAAACGGATGATCCATTGTTCATTGTCATCTCTAAACTTTCTCAGTACGTGTGATAATCGACCCTTTTTCACCACATTCTTCCCTGACATACTCGATAAGTTGCATTGAAATGGCAATTGGCGACATTGCCTACTCGTTTGAACAAATGAGACTTGATGCTAGAGGACACGGTCTTCGACATTTAGTCCGGGTGCTCGCAAGAGATAGTCACAATTCTCTGATTATCATCGCGTTAATGTAACAAACATTTACTTTTGTTACTTCCTGCACCTGGTTTAACTGACATCTCCCGGCGCAGGATATTGAAGTGGGATTATTCAACGACAGCCCAAGACGACTGGGGCCTCAACGAAAGTCGGGGCGTAGCATGTGAATTTGTTGCATGGCAATTTCTGTGTCATCTCAACCAACGAGAAACGATCGAAGTTCTCTTGGAAGAACTGCCAAGCTCGAGACGCGAGTCCACTACGTCTTTCGAGCCTGAGACAGGGTCCAACTACAGCGCTACCAGAGAGTCGCACGAGTCGACGCCGTTGCTTGAAGGCCAGCATTTGAGTGGTCATCAATCCGATTGCTGGCAGGGAAAGCAAGCATCCCACTGTCAGCATCGGAACAATCATCGCGGCTCACAATTCGATACCGTGGGAGATGGTGACATGATGAGGATCTCAAGATTCTTTGGATTGAATGCCCTTGAAATTGCAGCTATTGCTGGTGCCAAAAAGTTTCTTAGTCAGCGTGTTGTTCAACGCGTGGTCAACGGTATCTGGAATGGTGATATCATATTCTGGGACTCTCTCACAGTTCATTCCTTGAAAAAGCCGCAACGCTTTAATCGAAAGTACTTCACCCAAACGCTCTCTGATCGGTGACTTGTTCGAGCTTCTCATGCTGACTCAATATATCAGAACCGCGGACCCATATTCGCGCTTGCGAGTACCTGTATACCGCAAGATGTTCGAGGCCGCCTTTTTCCTCTCATTTCTTTTTCTTTACTACTGTGTCCTCGTTGAGCGTAAAACTAACGGCTTAGGGCTTTTTGAAACACTCATGGACATCTGGATTCTTGCCTTTGCTTACGATGAATTGAGCGGCTTCATAGATGCAGGCATCATGTTTTATCAGACAGATTTTTGGAGCCTATGGAACTTGGGGATCATTGGAGTAGGATTCGCCTTTATTGGAACAAGTGAGTTCTATTTCCCATCTCGGAATTCTGCCCCTGTTGTTGTCAGAAGCAATGTTCTCGATACCCTGATCATTCATGATTCCGAAGACCATACACTGACGTCGATGTGTATACGTAGGAGCTGTTGGCCTTCTTCAGAATAACGATTTTATCTTGGATCTGTCATTTGATATTTTGTCACTGGAAGCGTTGTTCTTAGTCCCACGGTTTGTTGTCCCTGGTCCAAGATATGACCCGCAATTTGTCTCTAATTTGACATCGAGTCTGCAGGATCTGCTCTCTCGTGAGCCTAAATTCATACTTCGGAAGCCTAGTACGTTGATATCTTCACTAACTGTTGACTTGATCGGCGTCTTTCTCATTGTGCATCTAGATACCCGTGCTTAAGGAGATGGTAGGGCCACCGCTCCCGCTTGGATCTGGTTTCAATGCTACTCAACGAGGCTGACAACCCCTGGCGTGAACTCCAGACGAAGGCGTTTCTACGATTTCTGCCTGTTGTGATAGTCCTCTACATTGGTAAGACGTGGATACAATGACCTCCAATGCAAAGAAGAGCTGGCCGATATGCACAGCCTCCGTGCATGGAGAACGGGAAATTGACTTCTTTTGAAATACGCACAGGGTTTCTTACCACGTTCACAATGCTGGCTCGCGACCGATTGTCCCTCAAACAGATGTCATGGATGCTAGTTAAGGTCTTCTTTGGGTATGCTACAGTACCAAGTGACCCAGCACTGTCCTAAAAGGAGGTTTCCTAGGGCTGATTTGATTTTTTCTTCAGATCAGGATCGCTTGGCTTAGTCGGTCCTCCCTGTTGCTTGTCCCTGCGCTGCCTACTTGTGTTCCATTTGATAACTGACGGTGGCTGAATCGATTGGCGAACAGGACAGCTCGCCTGAGGTAGGTAGACATGCAGGAGCAGCGATTGCGGCGCTAGTCAGATGTGGACACCATGTTGTTGCACTAGCAGGATGATTGGGTTCGGCAACAAGTTGACTGACGCGTTACTACTGCTGTGATTTTAGATTTCCCCAATCTTTGGCTACGGCTTGATGTGAGTTCCTTTGGTCGTCGCTTTCTCCACTGCGCCCGATGGGCCGGAAGATTGAATCCCGCATGCACCATTGATCACGTTACGCTTTGCGCCCGGTGATATCGACGTGCAGTAGTTGGCTCCCCAATCTCTGTCTGTGCAGTATTTTTATTCGAGGCGGGGTGGAATTGGTTTTGGCTTTCTGGTTGTTTCGCCGATCATTGCACGCGGGCGGAAGACATCTGGAATATGGACACCACGCCACAACTATTTCCACGTCCCGCCAGTGATTATCCGCGCGGACGTTGCAAGTATGTTTGGAGCATGCCACTAACTATTGCGCCTATCCTGGCCTAGGATGGTCTTCGTCGCAATGACCAATATTCTACTGCTTTCGTCGCTTATCAGTCTGATGAGTATGAGTATGGAAGGGGTGAGTCCATACATGCCGTTGGTTTTGGGTCCAGTCTCATTACTCTTCGTAACGGGCTAATCTCATGAATACTAGGTAATGCGACATGCCCGTGAGGAATACCTTTTCCAGTCAGTGACCCTTGGAATAGTACTCGACCGACCGAATCATGGAGACGCCGTTTCTCCCACCATTTTTTTGTGGTGGTTCAGTACTGATCTTGCTGCTTGGCAGGTTGTCCATTTACGTTTTGGAGAGCAGTAACTCCCGACGACTCACCTATTTCATGCCTCCATTGGTCAGTAACCACCACTTACTGTTACGTTCTTTGTTACGGCAGAATCACGAACAAGATGATTCCTGATCTGTTCGTACCACAATTTTCCCAAGCTAAACTGAGCCCAGAATTTGATACCTTTGCTATGCATCCGGCCTATGCGACTTTTCCTATCCGCAGGGACTGTCCGTCGTGTCCGCATCATGCTACTTCGGGCAACACATCTGCCCTTTGTCGCTTTGATCTCTGCTTATGAGCACAGTCAAAGGCATCTTCGACGTTCAACGGCTACTAGCCTCCCCCCGCCCTCCACTGCGAAACCTCCGCGTACCTTTGGTGGCGACCGAGGTGTTTCCCGGTGGCAGGACCCACCGCTGTCCTCCAGCAGGTCGACACGTCGAGCAGACCTGGCGAAGAGACGGCTTAGTGTGCCCCATGACATCTCCTGTGAGTCGAGTATGGCGCGGCCCGACGAGGCACACCTAGTAGAGCTCCTGAACACGGTGGATCGACTACAAGTACAAGTAGAACGCTTGACTACCGAACCGCCACGTTGAGGATTCTGCCCACATGCTCTCAATTTTTTTTCTTTGTTTTTTTTTTCTCCCTTTTATCCCTTTCTCTGTCGCTTGTACACCATTCCTGCGATCTGTATAGAGTCTATGAAATCCATTAGAGGAGAAATGTTCATGGTCAGAAGTGCGACTAAATTTTCGTTCATCTCAACACACCCATGAGTTCTGGGACCCAAGTGACTGCCCGTGATGCTCATTTGTGTATCCACGCACTCGCCTCGCATTGGTCTGAATCAGCCCAGCCTCTGTCGATTGGGGTCAGTGCAGATCCAGCAACAGCCACCGTGACGTGACCTCTCGCGCTGTTTGGGATAACTTTTGGAAGTCGTTGAATGCTTTGATGGACAACAGCCCATCGAGTCACTTGCACCTCCGGTTGTATGATTCTCACGATGAACCTGCTTCATCTCTCGAAGCCTCCACGAAAACCCTCGCAAAGAAGGACTGCTGACCACTTCCATCGGGGTCTGCCCGAAAGAACAATGAAGTGGCTCCTTGACAAATTCGCCCATAAATCATGTCCCGGGGATGTCACGACGAACTTCGACCGCAAGGATTTCGAACTGGAAAGTTGGAAAGCCCGTTAGGAAGGGAAGGTTCGGCCCGTCCTGAACGCCTGGCCCATTATTTGATCATCTTGGCCTCTCGAGCAACTGTAGAATGAAGCGCCACAAAGTACTCTTACTCATGGGGTGCTACCAACACGCCTCGATGGCAGCCTGAAGGAGGAAACCCTCGTGCAGACCAAGTATTTGTGAAATACCCCTGTTCATGAGGGACGGGATCCCTGAAAAGGTGCCAGTGTACCAGTTCCTTGGTTGGGCTTGTTGGTCGGCCATTTCATGGTCTTGGTAAACCCAAGGCGTTGGAGACACCAGTCCAGCGGTGACTTTGATGAAAACATGACTCTTGACTCTGACCAGTGCGTTATTTTGCCCAAGTGAGCATCAGACCATGTTACCAGTCCACAAGCATCATTCCTTGTACGACCCAACGGGCGTGGCGTCTCATTCTAGGCAATGCAACTGCTTCCTTGAAGAAGACCTGACGATTTCAATGCTGTGATTCAAATCACTGGCATTGAGTAGCCCAAAATTCCGTATTCCGTTCAGCAGCGTCTACGAGATGAAGTCCAGTCCAGTTGGCCCGGGTGCAACACCGAGCCTTCTCAACCGCGAGAGGAGGTCAGAGGCACTGATTAGTCGGGGAAGTCGAGGATTTCTCAATTAGTAGACTCCGTCATCTTGCAACCGGCAAAGCGAACAGGCTCTCAATCTTAGGACTAGCACCCTTTGAACTCTAGTCAATCGACTAGACGAAAAGTCCGGTCCATGTTGATCGGGACCCTTCCGTTAGGCTTCTCGACAGCCCCAGTGTGTTTATTTCCAATTAAAACTCCCCGCTCCACTGTCTCAATTACGCCTATCGCCTTCTTCCCCATACAACTTCTCCATTGTCGACGTGTGGATGGAATCTTGGCTCGAATTCTGCCTTGTCTGGTAATTTGTCAAGTTGACTGAGTACTTCAAATTTTTGGGTTCGATGCAGAACTCCCGAGTCTTCAACTCGTCCTCGATTCATTCTTCAACTTTCAGCCACCATTCATGCATGCAGCTGCCTATCACCAACAGCCAGAGCTGTTGACTCGGCGCATCTGATATATATTCTCGGGTGCCTGCCCGTTCTTTTTGGACGCTGTTCAGCACCATCAGACTCAATTGAGCATTGAGGACGTTCTCATCGATCGCTCAACGATCTGTAGATCTAGAGGATTTTCTCTGCCGAGATCATTGTCTTGCACTCTTCGTCAGGTTGTTCTTTTTCTTTTTTTTCCCCCAACAGGACCTCGGCATCAATATGGAGTCGACCCCCCGCCAGAATCGACAACCGACTGTGAGGCATACCGCCAACACCGACGAAACATATCCGTCTGCGAGTCTTCTTGCTCGCGATACCGTCTCTTCAAGCAACGCCACCACCCACCTACCGGTTGGGCTTGGGATCTCCAATTGTGGTCTGGAGAGTATCTATACTCAGGCCGCCCCGATCCCTCACCACGTGTCATTTCCAATAAACTCAATGACGCCTCATCATGCCATTACGCCAACGCATAATCACCTTCTCTCACTCCAAGCCGATGACTTCTGCGGCATGTCATGCTACGAGATTTACAATACAACTCCAGACGGGACAAATCCATTGCCAGACGACCCGGCGGCACAGTCCCTGGCTGTTTACCCAGGCTTTCAACCATCGTTCGACTACCGCCACGAGCCGTGCATCTCCTTAGACAAAAACAGCGGACTGAACAATCACTGGATGGACATATCGACGCCAGGATCCATGACTCCGCCTCACAACGTGAACAATGTAGCAGTACCAGCGCCGTACGGCCACTGGTCCGGGGAATACCTCACACAATCGGGCGTCAACTTGCAGCAGGCATTACCGGTGATGACCCACAGCGAACTTCAATCGTTTGGTCCGCCTCTACCTCACAGTGATCTAAGCAGGCCCTGTAAGAGTGAATCGATGGCGACCGCAGCACTCGAGCCGCAAAACGTTGATTCTGGTCCAACAGAGACGGTGTCGGACTATTCCTCAGCCAAAACTAGCAAGCGTGGCAGGAAACCGTCCGTCGAGAAAGGCTGCAAATGTCCGGTGTGCGGCTACTACTTCACCCGACGGTCTAACTGTGTCGCGCACCAGAAGAAACACGATCCAACATACCACCGCGCGATTCCATGCGAGGAGTGCCCCAAGTCTTTCGGCCGGAATGCGGATCTTCGAAGACATGTCGACACTGTGAGTGGAAATCATGGTAATCCAAGTCCAGGCTTCTGATCACTGAACGAAAAATGATGTCAACCAGGTTCACCGGGGAATTCGAAAACACGTCTGCAAATGGTGCTCGCGTCGCTACACTCGCTGGGAGAATATGACTAAGTCAGTACAGTCCTTCTCGCGCCGGATCACTTTTGATTCGACTCACTTGCTGACCTCGGAGCCCAACCCCATGGCTTTTAGACATCTAGTGGAGTGTAGGGAAAGACCCGCGGATGCTCGAACACCGACTCCTCCTCCTCCTTCGTCTCTCGAGGCCGAATGTGACTCATTAAACTCTCTTCAGGTAGAGAGGTAACCCAGGGCTCCGAGGCTCCGGCTGATGGCCATCTCCTTGGCAGTCGGTCTGATTCCAATTTACCCCTGAACCTCAATTCCGATCACAGAGGCCCTCGAAAGCCAGGAATGTACCACTCAAGGCGAGCAGCGGAATTGATTCCACAGCCCACTCCAAGGGCTGGCCCTTTGCTCCATCTAGACTCGTCGTCCATCGCGTGAATTGCACCCTACACAAGTAATGGGTAGTTTGCAGATCCTCGCATCGGCGATCGCATTTGGAAAGGGCCGAAATTGATTCTTGCATCAGATTGGTCGGATGGGGCATCTAGACTGGAATAACTTGTATTTCGTGCCCAACGTCTGGCCAGTTGATGTGCGCCTCGGCCGACATAGCGTGACTGATGCGAAAGAACCACGAGCTGCTTCATCCGGACTAACTACTCGTCTGGGTCCATTCCCCTGCTCAGAGCTATCATTTCCATCATCTCTCTTGCTCAAGCCATTCCGTGTCATCCTCATGATCGTTGGGCCTTTCTCTATATAGTAACGTGTATAGAAGCTGTGATTTTCCCTGCAGCAGTGTGCAGTTCGGGATACGCGCGCGGTAAAACCGCTCGGAAGCGGGTCTCCCCCCCCCTGGATTGACTGTTGTAGTTGGTTTGGGGCCGGGTGGATACACTGGGAGCGCCTTGGTCACCCTGGAGTCAGCACTTCCAGGAACCACCAGGGCAAGTTCGCAGGCGAGTCCAGAAACGCCGTCGCTGGATGTGAGCTAAGAGCTCCGTTCCTCATTTCCACTAGTTCTCCACTTCCCGGACTTCCTGTGATAGTGCGAACGGGGTCACTGTGCGGAATGTCTCGGCGAGGGACTTCCTTCAGGATACCAACTCCGTCGAAGCGATGCTGATCACTGAACAGTGGTGGTTACGGCAGCAGCAGCAGCAGCAGCAGTAGTAGTATGATGGCTTTTTTGAATGTTTTACCTCCTCGACTGCTCAGACTGACGAGGGATTGCTCTTTGTCTCTTGAGGGTCCGCGTCCTGACGGGAGCCGGGTCCACTGGCACCTGCCACCTCGTTACCTTCAAGCTTAGGTGAAGTTCCAGTCAACAATCGATTACATAATGCTTTCGATGGGCACTGGTCCATGGATCTTCCCGATTGGGATCGATAATCCAAAGCACCTTGTAGGCAGTACACATCGTTGATGCGATCATGTCTGCCTCATAGGATGATCTCACAGGTGTCCACTTCAGCAAGCGGCCGTTGACAGTGTGCGGGCAAGATCAACATCATCGCAGACCAGATGAACTCGCAGATCTGACCCGGTGTCAGTGACTGTCTTGTGTTGGGCTTCTCCTGCTTCGTCTTTTTTTGAAGAGTTTTTAGCTGTGTGTCTCACACACGCCTGCCTCAGTGCCTACTATTGCTAGGTAGTTTACCTCGTAGGTACCGTCAGTAAGGCATTGTAGGCAATGCCTTACTGGTACCAGTGTACCACTAGGTACCTACTCCCTAGTACCACTACCTACCGACTGATCTCTTTGCGTGAGTACTTCGAAAGACTCTTAGGCCATAACTACGGGGTTTGCTGAGCTCACAGGGGTAGAGGCTCTCGACCCTCGACCCTCTCTCTCTACCAGCAGCCGCGATCCACTTTCCACCGCGCCAGACACGGCCCTTCGAGAGTCTTTGAGAAGGGAACTCATGACGACGCAGCAATTTCATACCCGAAGCATTGACAAAGTGACGGTACTAACGCTTTCTCTCGAGTTAGCAAGTGTACCAACTAGTCATTTGCGGTTCTAGACCTTCTAATTATCTCCACCACCCAGACTGAGAGCGGGTCTAAGCACTCACTTGCTGCACGTCCGTAAGCCTGGCAGGATGAGAGTCCTAAGTCAAAGTCCGAAACTCCGAGACTCGCATGGAACTCTTTCTTCGTAGGCCAGTAGTGGACTGTACAGAACACTGAGGGATGCTTCAGTTCTCCTTCACGAAGATGAGTTCAATGTAATTTCCGAGTCAGATGAGTATTTGTCATTCACTGCGGATCTGGTACACCTCTTCCGATCCTGCTAGTAGTATCTAGTAATCTACTATCTGCTAATCTAGTAGGTATCTACCATATAGTAGCAACCTACTATCTACTATCTTGTGCTTATCTACTGACTACTCACTAGTAATGATCACGCCGGTTGAGCTACTATCATGAATGACCCCACAACAATAATCCTTCGTTCCGTGGAAGCCGTCCATCGAGACAATCAGCATGACATTCGGAACCTTGGCGTCATTTCCCAAGGTTGGGCTTTGAGACTGGGACATAGGTGTTGAGGTCAGACACCATCCGTGATTTCCATCTAAATACATATCACATGAACAATGGAGTAGAGACTTCAGTTTTCTTGATGGAACTTTGGGAATAATGTAATCCATCTCCATTCGAGTATTAGCAGAGGTAGTTGAGGTTATGAGACTTCGCGCCTGGAGACTGAATGAATCAATCTTTGCAAGCAACTCCATTTTGAATAGGAGGCTGCCGAAACTCATTCTATAAGGTTTGGTAAGGTCAAAGTGATTTCACGACTAGAGTGTCCATCGAAACAGAACTTGAGATAACCCGCAAATACCCAGCCAGGCTGCAACTCGCCTTACGATCGCGGGAGCTACGCATTACGTGATGCTATCCAACGCTAGGTTAGGTAGGTTAGGTAGTTACCAGAGCGACTTACTTTGAGTGACTCAAGCAAGCCAAATTTATCACCCGATTCAGTATCACAAGCCAACTGGCCGGGGTCAGCCATTAAACGGCAGACTCATACATGGATGATCGTTCAATTGCAAGTTCACAATACCAATGTATGCCAGACTCGAGGTCTACCTTCAAGCCAGTTCTCGAAATTGAACGAATTTTTCACAGTCCCGATTTGCAATGAAAGAGAATTACCCTGCATCCGAACATCCAAGCCTCGGCGCTAGGTACTGGGTGCGTGCAAGAATGCGCCTCGCGGCGAACGTGATGCCAGGCATACCGTCTGTATCAGACCTAACCACTTTACAAAGGCACCTGATTCAGTCACTAGGGAGTAGGTACCTACCCGACGTAACTGATATTTCATCTTAAGATTGGATTCTGCAGATACGTGTACGTAACACCCAAAAACCATATGGCCGTGAGACTGTACTGGACTACTGAAGATTGATATAAGAGAGGAGCATGCGTCCCGATCTTGGGTAGGCTACATGTATAGATCAAGACGCTTCATTGGTCTTGATGCAAAGTAAAAGCTCGATGACCGGGCCGTCGTCAAATGATAGGTATTCGCAAGGTTGATGTACGGCATTGCCTTCCGGGGATGGAGCAGGCGTATTTCAAACTCATATATTGAAAGACCAATGCAACGAATACTTTGCACAGAGAAATCGCCGCAATTGTCTGGGCTTGGATGGAACAAGACCATCGGGGTTCTCTCCTAGCCAAGAGCGCCGCGCTGGCCCTTCAGCTAGTACCCATTGGAGCTGTCTAAAATCTTCCTTAGGCTATCAATACTGGACTTCATGACCAGCGTCAGCAACCAGCGGTCAAGTGATGATGGGTCAACCCGCAAAGCTGTCAACGAACAGTACGAATGCGTTCATAAACAGGAGCAGAGTTTCGAGAACTTCATGCCTCGTTGAGAGGTTTGCAGGGTACACGACAGCGCAAGTTAGTTTTATTGCAACACGTAAAGGACAAGATCAGCGACAATCAAATGCGGTGACTCTGAATATGTGCCTACCGACAGTAAAGCCGAACTGGTGGTGTCTGGGATGAGATGATAACCAGCGTATCCCACACAGACAGGCCTGTGAACCGGGACTACTAACAGTCGAACACAACTCTAAACCCGGGCAGTTTAATGGGCTCCACAGCTCCCCAGCTCCCCGCCGAGGGACGAGCCATCTGCCGTGTTTCACCGCTAAGCGGGGTCGGCGTTCCAAGACTCCGCCTGCCTTCTTCTTTTTCAAAGGGGTAGAAAGTTTATTGTTGAACAAAAAACTCAGCCCGACTTCAAGAAAGCTCCTCAACATGAGTGCCACAATGACCATGACCGCTCCTGCAGAGCCTGCAGAGATCACGGCGAGCAACGTCGCCACGATCTTCCCCGATGTGGATACCTCCCTCGCGCGTGATATCCTTCCCTCTTCGACCAGTAACGGGGTTGCTCAAAGTTCCGAGCTTGCTGGTTACGATGATGAGCAAGTGCGATTGATGGAGGAGATGTGTATCGTGTTGGACAACGAAGACCGGCCCATCGGCAGTGCTAGCAAAAAGACTTGTAAGGAAATACCCATGCTATGATCCGGCTCCATTTCGCTTGGTGCACTTCGCCTCGACGACAATCGAGGGTTCGGATAAAAGCTTCCGAGATTCATGGATGCTAACAGGAATTTTTTGGCATCCAGGCCACCTTATGACCAACATTGACAAGGGTCTGCTCCACCGTGCGTTCTCGGTCTTCTTGTTTGACGCCGAGAAGCGCCTCCTTCTTCAACAACGTGCGACCGAGAAAATCACCTTCCCCGACATGTGGACCAACACCTGCTGCTCTCATCCTTTGGGCATTCCGGGTGAGACGGGTGCGGAGCTTGATGCGGCTGTCATGGGTGTCAAGCGTGCGGCCCAGCGGAAGCTCCACCAGGAGCTCGGTATCAAGGCTGAGCAAGTACCGCTCGACAAATTCGAGTTTTTCACTCGAATTCACTACAAGGCCCCCAGTGATGGCAAGTGGGGAGAGCATGAGAGTAAGTGAAAATCCAAGCAGGGTTCTGATCTGATGTGTATGTTCAGTTTCCACGTGCTAACAGACCCTCCTTGTTTAGTCGACTATATCCTTTTCATTCAAGCGGACGTCGATCTGGAGCCCAATCCGAATGAGGTTCGCGACACCAAATATGTTTCGGCTGAAGACTTGAAAGCGATGTTCAAGCAGCCCGAGCTCACATTCACGCCCTGGTTCAAATTGATTTGCAACTCCATGCTCTTCGAGTGGTGGAGTCACCTGGGCACCCCAGCCTTGGACAAATATAAAGGCGAAACTCAGATTCGCCGTATGTAAGAGATTGAGACGGCGATCTATTTTTCCGAGCGTTCAGTTTGAAATGGGGGTTTCCATTTTCCCCGCTTTAAAACATGCCCTGTCTCACTGATGATACCTACACTTTTCTAATTTTCTCGTTCTAATTTACAACGCTTGGCTCTTTGAGCGTGCTGCACACCCTCAACATTTGTATATCATGTGAATTGGGTCCTTGGAGACCCTTGAGAAGAAATTGAACATACTGGCTTTTTCAAATCAGTAGGCTTTACCAAATTCACCCTCCCTCCCCTTTCGATTCGTCGACTTTGATACTTCGAATCTGCCCACGGGTGCCAGCTCGGCCAGCGACTTACCTTACATGGCTCATTTCTCTAAAAGATTCCAGCATTACGAACTGGCAAGATTGAAAGAATACGCGTCATACTGAAGCTTTGATTCTGCACATGCAATGCCATGCTATGCAATTCACGTGTTTGAGATATATAGACGAATCTCGAGAAGAGAGTCGGATCAGGCCCGCCGACCCGTTGACAAGAACAGGATACAGCTGCCTAGAATTGCCGTCCCAATAATGGTGATCACGACCTGCGTCTTCCATCCACTCTGGACCAGCGCAGCCTTTCGACTATACTTCATGACTGTGCGAACATAATTGAAGAAGCCGTTTCCGAGACAAGTGAGGCTGAGGAGCCAGAAAATCACACCCAGGGGCAACGCCATGCGTCGTTCGAGACTGGAGGGCTGCTCTCGAAAGTGGAAGGAGATGACAATGGCTACTGCCACGATGGACAAGTACATGGAGAGACGCAGCCATGACAGGAATGTACGCTCATTGGCACAATGATCACGAGCGTCGGAGCTGGTATTTTGAAATAGAAGAGCGCCAAAGAGAGGTCGGGACAGGAGGATGTGTTGTTGATCCTCAACGTGTCTACAAGACGGGTTAGAACCGAGAGATTGGCATTGAGGGGGAATGTATTGTACAATGATTTTGGACTCGCGCGAACTGTCATCACAGGGCTGCCCGTTGCAGGCCTCACGTTTCTTGCGTCTGTCAAGTGAAACACGCGATGGATGACAGCAGGCAAGATTTATCTCATCCCATGCTTCAGGTGACACAGGACCGAACCGGCTATTTGATACAGACCGGCAAGACACAAGACGTTCTCAAGGAGGCACGGATAATTCCACGAAACCAAATGCATCAGGAGATTCAGGAGGATGGACTTACTCTTCCACCAAAGCTGGCTTAGAATGAATCGGGTTGATGATCGGGTTGTATCGGTGTGGCACGCACGAGCCAGTGCTGGTTGAGACCGAGGACGCCATCTCGTCGTTCACGACTGGTGAAGTCGTGCGGATGAACAGGCGTTCCTGGTTATTTCTCCTTGGACAGGCACCTAAACATCGATCGAGACCTGACCGTGGATGATCTTCGATCGTCGGTTTTGTGATCACTTGGAGTGAAATGGCCTGGGGAAAAGCGGGCCCTCCTCACGATCCGCGTGTCTGGCCGGGGGGAGAAGGGTTACCTGTCACGTGAAGCTACGGTGGGCGGACTGTTTACGGTGATGTCACTGTGTGCTAGAGAGTCGCGTGAAGACTTGACGAGTCGACTCAGTAGTACCGCGATTCATTAAAATCAAGGCTGTGGAACAGGGGTTATGTGCAACTTGTCCACTTTACCAATCGACCGTCTTATGAGACTATCAAACCACAGTTTTTACAACCCATTGCACCTAGCTGGAGTGTGCCGGTGTGCTTACCTGGTCAGAATAGTGCAAGGTGTTTGTAACGAACTTTGTTTGACAGAGCACTTCCAAGTTCTCCGTATTTAGGAAGCGTGACGACTGACGACAATAACCACTTACTCGAGACCTACCAAATCCCGAGCACCGGGTCCAGGAAGGAGCCGTACGCGCATTCGGTATCACATCTGGCTGTGATTCTTATGCTTATCGAATGTGTCCGCGGCAGGGCGGATTCGTGCGACTCCTCTCTATGTGCCCGTGCAGCATGATCAGTAAAATGGCAGACCTTGTCATTATCTTTCTCCGGACAAAAGACCCTTCAGATAGGGTGTGATATATATTTGTAGGTGATCTACAAGAAGGAGAAGAGAAAGGTGAAAAACGCAACTTTATTGGTGAAAAGAAGATGGGAGGAAGTGAGGCTATCTAATGTGGGTTGTGGGTCCCTCGGTGGTGAGTCGGCAGAATCATCCAAACACCCCCTAGACCAACGAACCATGCCTCCTTCCTAAAAAGGAAAGCACCTATACTCTCAGAAAAAGAAAAGCACCTAATAGGGTAAAAATACCTTATGTTAGTATGAATATAACCCCTTACTTTGGAATATCTTATATCCCTAAAAGCGTAAGGAATCGGCCGTGTTGAATCTTTCTAAGCAGTTTTGTGAAGCCGTTAGCAGCCTATTCCTCTGTAGGAACGCGTTTAAATTTGTAAATACCCTTAGAGACTTAATAGCGAATATAATAATATTTCATATTAATATACTTCGTACGTTAGTGGAATTCCGGATTCTCCGTAAGACAGATAGCGCCGTTATTGTCTTCGAAAATATAAGTCAGAAGGTCCAGAAACAATTTAAATTAAAGCTCCTTTAAGAAGAGATATAGCTATATAACTTCTTACGTGGCTAATAAGGTCGTAATATATTCACTTTCGGTTAAAGAAAGCGTAACGCAAGATTACTTTTTAGAAACCTATAAGATAGGCCCCCCTACTAGCTTAAATACGAAGCCGGACATAGATATCGCGCTATCTATATACCTACCTACCTAATCGGTATTAACGTAGCCGTAGAGGGGCTCTAGGTTATAGTAGTAATAGATATATAGCTTTTTAGTACCTTTTAAATACCGAAAAACGCGTTTTAACATAGTAAAATAGCGGCTTATAGGATTATACGAATATCTAGCTAGCTTAGTAACTAAATATTAAATATTAGGTCTAGTATTAACTATTAGCTAAATTAAAGAACCGATCTTCTTACGATAATTAAGGACGTCCGCGGCCGAAGCTATACTATTATATCGCTTTAGAACTTCCTTTTTAAAGAAGGGCGAATTAACTATATACGTATCTTATATATTAAACTTTTTAAGGATTTAATTAACGTAGGATTCCTACGTTAAGAAGATATTATTATTACTTTAAACAATATTAATCGTAAGGAATCGATTAGGGACCTTATTATTAGTAAGATCGAATATCTTTAATAATTTAGTTTTTAGCTATTAAATATAGTCTTCCGAAGGCGAAATAATAAGGTAGTTATTAATATAGATTAAAACGTAGATATACTTCGGTAGCTAATTAGCTTAATTAAGATATTAAATTAAATAGAAGATATAGTAGTCTGCTTTAGAATATTTAAATCTAAGCGTAGTAAATATATCGAAAACTACTTTATATTACTTCCTAGGACTCTACTTTAGCCCGTAGAGCGTTTTTATAAGAAGGCTATATATTCCTAGATACTTTTCGCGGATTCCTTTAGGGAGATTAATATAGATCTCTTCTTTTAATTCCGTATTTAAGACCGTAGATATAAAGTTAATCGTATAATATTTCTAGCTAAGCGTAGCTACGATTACTATAAAAAGCTTAAAGCTAGTAGCCTTAGCCGTTAATATATAGATATCGAGATAGTTAACGCCTTTACGCTATTTAAAGCCTTTAGCTATAAGACGCGCTTTATAGGTCCTATTATCTTTAATTTTAAAGACCTATCGAAGTAGAATAGGCTTCCTACCCTTTAGTAGGGTTATAACTATCTAAGTATTGAGATAGCTTAGTAGTTTAGCGCGTCTCACTAGCGTGGTACGCGCCCACGCACACTACCTTCGTAGCTTAGATAGGCACCTCTTACCAGATATAATCTCACTATTCCTTTCTCCCCTCTTTTAGGTCTGCTACGTTTCCTAGTAGCCTCTAATAGGTTATAAGCCCTACTTAGCGCACAAAAAGTAAGGTTATTTATATTTCCTCACTACCTAGGTATAACTTATATAATAACCTCTTTTTCCATCGTTTTTCGGCGCGTTTTGCGCCTTCTACAGAGTATAGACTTCGTACCTCTTTACGACTTAACGATCCCTATACATCGAATATAGCTACTAAAGCTATTATATCGAATCGTCGCTAAAGTCCCTCCTTCGACTCTAACGCTATTTAAAAAAAATATATAAAATCCTTCCGGCTTCTATGTTATTTTCAGAGCTCTAACGCTCTTTACCTACGTAGCGATATACCGCTATAGTAGGTACGCCTATATAGCGGTACTTCGCTGTAGTAGGCTTACTATATAATATACCTTTATTATTATAGACCTTATACCTTCCGGCTCTTACGCTCCTTACCTACGTAGCGGTATATCGCTATAGTAGGTATTACCTACGTAGCGGTACTTCGTCGTAGTAGGATTAATATATTTACGTATATTTAATATAGTTTCCGATCTCGAGGCTTATAAGGCGGCTAAAACCTTCGCTGAATTAGTCCCTATAGTTAAGGGAAGAGCTAACTTCGAGAAATAGAAATAGGGGCTTTAATTTATTATAGATAGCCTAGACGAAGATCTATAGTCTATTATTATAGGTAAACTAATATACCCTATTTAAGAGCCTTATAATACTCCTATAGAGGAAGCTATCTAAAACGTCCTTTTCGCTTAACTTAGATAAGAACCTACCGAAGAGGAATTTAATAAGTAGATTAATAAGAATATAACTTAACTAAATAACCGATTTTACTAGTTTCGCCGGAAATATATACTTACGAAATACCTTATCTATTATATACTTAGTAATTTAGCTTATAGCTTTATACGCGATTATAAAGATTCTTATAAAATCTTCCTTTATATTAGTAATATATATAGTACTAGTAACTATACTACTTTAAGCTATAGGCTATTATCTTTAATTAAGCTTATATATACTAGTAGTAATCTATATAATTTCGTTACTAAATAGTAAGCTACTTTAGGCCTTATAAATTTAGCTATTCTAAATACCCTATTACTACCTAAATAGGCTCTAGCTTATTTTAAGCTTATAATTAACGGCTACTAAAGCGTGAAAGGTTTCTTAAATATATATAAACCTCTAACTAATCCGGATAGTATACTTAACTATATTTTCGGTAAATTTATTAAATATAAGTCGAATAAAAAGTCTGTAAATATAGTAATTATAGCTATTTCTACCTTAAAAGATACAAAATCTACGTAAAATAACGATCGAGGTAGAGATAGAGGTAGAGGCCGAGGAGATAGAGGCCGCGGCAGAGGCTCCGGATAAGGTTATAGCTAAAGTTAAAATAACTAGGATAATTATTATACGCGAGAATAGAAAAGCTTTAGAAGGACTTAGAAACTTTTATTTAACTTAGCTACGTGGTATTAAGAATCTTAAAGGCTAAAGAGGAGAAAAAGAAAAGGGAAGAGGCTATAGTCTATCCTAAGTTTTAAGATAGTATATATAATATATATAGTAGATATAGCTTATATCCTCTATCCTCCTATATCCTATCCTTATCCTAAGTTAGTCCTACTATACTTATAATATTACCTCCTCCTTTAAAGGACCTAGTCCTCTAGGTCTTTAAATTCTAGTACTAGTAGCGTTAGTATCGTTCTTAAGTAACCGGCTTATCGTTATCCTTATAGTCGTTATTAACTTTATATTTTAGTACTACTTTAGCCTAATTTTATAGTCTTCTCGGTGGTCCTAGCTAATTAGGGTATTCCCTATAGAATTCTATAACTCTCTCTAGTAAATTCTTAAAGTTCCTTATAGGATACTAGTTATCGTTATATTTATATCCTTTCTACTTTACTTAATACTATAACTTTCGATATCGTAGCCTTATCGCGAGGATCTTCTTAACTTCCTATTCCTACTCGCTATCTATAATCTTAAGTAGTAGTCCCGGATCCGGTAGTTAGTCTTATAATAGTTCCGATTTCGATACTTTTCGTAGCTTATCTAGTAAGAATATCGGATATACCTTTATAGAGTTTAGTAGTTTGATCTTATACGTATTTCCTACTTTTTCGAGAATCTTAAAAGGTCTATACGCCTAGTAAGCTAATTTACGGCTAGGTTAAGGAGTTTTCTAATTTTTCGAAGTTATATAGACTATATCTCCGATACCGAAATCCTTAGGTCTATAATATCGATTAGCGTATTCCTTATAGCGTCCCTAAGCTATAGTTACTTATTATTAGACTCGCTCCTAAATCTCTTTTAGGTTACTTATATAGTCTTGTACTACTTAAATTTCCTCTAAAGGATCTCCTTA